TCTGCAGTAAATTTACGACCATTTTTATAAGCTTATAGCCTTACTTTTTGAACTGATTTTTGCTGATAGAAAATGGTGTTTTTTTGACAAATCTATTAGTTAGAGACCATGATTTATCGTTTACCTTCACCTTAGTGTCCTATAGGAAACGAAAAACGGAAGAAAGAAATTTAATTTCAGCAATAAATTTTCGACCATTTTTTTAAGCCTATAGCCTTACTTTTTGACCAAATTTTTGCCGATAGAAAATGGTGTTTTTTTGACAAAGATATTAGTTAGAGACCATGATTTATCGTTTACCTTAACCTTTGTGTCCTATAGGCAACGAAAAACGACAGAAAGAAACTTAATTTCTGCAGTAAATTTTCGACCATTTTTATAAGCTTATAGCCTTACTTTTTGAACTGATTTTTGCTGATAGAAAATGGTGTTTTTTTGACAAATATATTAGTTAGAGACCATGATTTATCGTTTGCCTTAACCTTACTGTCCTATAGGCAACGAAAAACGACAGAAAGAAATTTAATTTTTCCAGCAAATTTTCGATCATTTTTCTAAGCCTATAGCCTTACTTTTTGACCAAATTTTTGCCGATAGAAAATGGTGTTTTTTTGACAAAGATATTAGTTAGAGACCATGATTTATCGTTTACCTTAACCTTTGTGTCCTATAGGCAACGAAAAACGACAGAAAGAAACTTAATTTCTGCAGTAAATTTTCGACCATTTTTATAAGCTTATAGCCTTACTTTTTGAACTGATTTTTGCTGATAGAAAATGGTGTTTTTTTGACAAATATATTAGTTAGAGACCATGATTTATCGTTTGCCTTAACCTTACTGTCCTATAGGAAAGGAAAAACGACGGAAAGAAATTTAATTTTTCCAGTAAATTTTCGACCATTTTTGTAAGCCTATATCCTTACTTTTTGACCAAATTTTTGCTGATAGAAAATGGTGTTTTTTTGACAAATATATTGGTTACAGACCATGATTCATCGTTTACCTTGATCTTAGTGTCCTATAGGCAACGAAAAACGACAGAAAGAAATTTAATTTTTCCAGCAAATTTTCGACCATTTTTTAAGCCTATAGCCTTACTTTTTGACCAAATTTTTGCCGATAGAAAATGGTGTTTTTTTGACAAATCTATTAGTTAGAGACAGAGATTTATCGTTTACCATAACCTTTGTGTCCTAAAGGCAACGAAAAACGACAGAAAGAAACTTAATTTCTGCAGTAAATTTTCGATCATTTTTATAAGCTTATAGCCTTACTATTTTATCTAATTTTAGCTGATAGAAAATACTGTTTTTTTGAAAAATATTTTAATGGAAAATTAAGTTATAGCTTTTGCTTATTCTTTAAAGTCCACTAGGCAACGAAAAACGGCATAAAGAAACTGAATATTGTGCAGTATATTTTTGAGCATTTTTGCAAGCCTAGAGTCTTACTTTCTGACTCAATTTCAGCTTTTAGAACATGGTGTTCTTTTGAAAAATATATTTATAGGAGATTGAGTTATGGGTCTTGCTTGCACTTTAAATTTCTGTAGGCAACGAACAACAGGATTAAAAAACTAAACTTTTTTGTAGTAAATTTCCGACCATTTTTGTAAACCCAAAGCTTTACTTTTTGACCAAATTTCAGCTGAGAGAAAATGGTCTTCTTTTGACAAATATATTAAAAGAAGACTGAGAAATATCTTTTCTTTGTAATGATAATTCCGTACTCGGTGTATTATTTTTGGAAAATCCGCGTCTTTGATTCTGGCTCTAATTTAGAGCTGTAAAATCCGCGAATTGCAATCCTCCTAGGATTGTAAATGAATTTCTTGGAAAGTTTTGTCCCAGAAAGAAATCTTTGGAAAAAATGTTGAAAATTGTGAAAAAGGCAGGAAAAAAAACGATACTTCGCGAAAAAAAGTGGTCGAAAATACCTTGAGCTACGTCGATGGAAAATGCACATGGGTTCTTGTGCCTTGAAAGCGTAAGAAAACTTTGCGAGGATAAAATTGTCTTTGGTTTGAGCCATTCGATCCGATAAGCCACGTGTGCGTAAATGACGATACTTGTTGGTCGTGCGCGCATGAAAAATGTAGGAAAATAATCGATACATCGCAAAAACGTTGAATATACCTCGAGTTTCTTCGATGGAAATTCCACGCGGATCCTTGTGCGTTGAAAGCGTAGGAAAAGGTTTCGAGGACAAAATTGTCTTTGGTTTGAGCCATTCGACCTGATAAGCCACGTATGCGTAAATAATGATAGTTATTTGTCGTGCGGCGCTTCTTCTGTTGAACGGGCCTAATTTTTATCCAACTACTCATAGAATACATGTACTTGGAGGATTTAAAATACACGAAACTAGCAAATAGGATCAATTTCATAACCATTATTAATGGATGAAACTCAAGCAAAAAGAGCCTCACGCAGTATTCAGGGAGCCCCACCAAAATTTTGTTGTCGCACATCATGCATTTTTGCACCGGACTTGTGTGTTTATATGTAGGTGCTCAGTGTTGTTTCTACACAAATATACCCGTCCCTAACTTACCGAAATACAAGAAAAAGGAAAGGTACTCACTGTGAATCTTGCCTTCATGAATCTTGACTCCTTTGCTGTCTTCTATCAGCTTATCATTTCTCCAATATGATAAGAAAAACTTCAAAACACCTCATCTACATTTTCCACTGTATGGGCTAATTGTCAAGTAACGTAGCTTTTGGCAGAAGATTAATCGTTTTTCCAATAACTTTGGTGCAACATGGCTATCGCAACGTGGTTCAGTCCAGATAAAATGTTTGTAGGCCTATTTCGTGCGTAGCTTTGGCTGAATTAAGTTAGTTTCCAAACACAAATTGTGCATTTCAATACGTCCATGTTGTATTTCTGGCATGCACCTTGCATTGTTCAATTTTGCATTATTGAATGTTTTCTTTCGATTCTCAGGGGATATGGTACACTTGGGACCATGATTTTGTCGCAGCCAATGAATGATGCTTTTGTTTCATTTATATTGTTTTGGGTAGCTAATAGCATGATAATCCTTTTACGAACAAAAATCTCACCATACACTCTTCGCCTGTTCACGACAGTTGACCCCCTCCATAGACAGCAACTTTTGATTTGCAGTCGAAAGAATTTTGGTGTGTAATAGCAAAGCTAGGCTGGATAGCTAGAGAAAGAGCTACAATAATCAAGTGCATGAAAGCAGCAAATAAACATATTTTGATAAATCAAACAAGAAGAGATTAGTGGAACAATAGATTTTAAGTAAATGTGACCAAAAACTATATTTCTTAATACGTATTGTCTAGATAGAAAACGTGAAAAGTCAGTTAGGCACGGCGGTAGGAAATAATTTTGTCCCAAGAAATATTCGGAGTTGGCCAACCAACACGAAAAATTGACAGTCCATTGATCCGATAATATTTACCAATACAGTACATATTAACCAAACCCAAAACACTATTTGTAACTAAAGTACCCGAGAGTACTAATTAGTGGGCCATCAGATGTGGTTGTAACCGCCCAAATAGTCGGCAAACACCATTTTGTCTGGGAGAACTTCTAACTGTTCTTGTCAATTGATGTCGCTTTCTTGATTTCCTTATTGTTAAAAAAGACTTTTGCACGACATTAGACAAACTTTTCATTTGCTTTTGACTGACCTTAAGCGCTGCTGAGTAACAACATCTTTTAAGCGTGTTAAAGAGAGGATTGAATGGGTGTGGTTGTTAATAATTTTACCAGGAGCAAACTCCCAGACCCCTTCTGTCATCAAGCTCCCTGTCCTTTCTTTTCCTTACTGGTGTATTTCTGGTTCTATTCATCTTCAACCTAAGTCCCCTGTTGCCATCTATAATTGTTCTTTAAATCTAACACCATCGAAGTATTACTAATGTAAATAATGATAAGAAAAAATAATAATAAATTAAAGCATTATTATTACTGTTGTCATTATTTAGTCGATTAGCTTTGATTTTTTGCAGGGCGATATTCCTACGTCCCCCAAACTGTGGCGGGGCCCCAAAGTCTTCTACACCCCCAAAGAGAGCATGAAATCTACGCCCCTGTTTAAAAAATCATGAGACGAATATAATTCCTGTCTAACATTCCTAAAAAAAGTACAACTTCAGTCAACAACAGGTTAACTTCAGTTTCAAAAAAGCTATCTTTCAAATTCCATTTTGCGCTGAAACATAAATTATCTCTCATTTCTCTGATTTTACCACTCAGTTGCCCTAGAGGAAGCAAAAAACTCCTCTCTAGCAAACTTCACATCGAAGACTTAACCAAACAAGAGCTTCTGACAAACTCAACGCATATTGTTCAGTAATAGGGCTTCCTGGCAGCTTAATTTATGATACATTTTTACCCCCTGGCCCTGTGGTGAATATATCTACAAAAATATGGATTTTGGCTATTCCGGACAAGTGAGTCAGTGAATAGATCGTCAATTATGCCTTAACAGGATCTTATCCGCCAACTTGCGTGTTTTATCAGTTCCACTTTAAAGCGGAATTCACACTGGACGCGTCACAGCGCGGTGCGTCATCTAGCGTCATCTAACAGAGACGATGAACACACAATTTTAAAAATTGAAAGCCTGTGCCTAGTTCAAAGTAACAATTCATAAATTAACCTACTCACAGTCGTTCAGATTTAAGATCTCAAGACTGAATCGTCTATGATATCATAGGCAACGTTTGGGGAAAGCAAAAAAGAAAATAATGTCGAGAAAATAAATTACAAAAAAGTTGACGCAAATTCGCGGTACATTAAACTTTATTCGGCGTATATTCTTAAACAGACGTCTTTATTAAATTAAGGCCATTCCAAAAATAACCGTGTAGGTAAATTCAAAGAAAATTTTGTTCTTTGGTTGAAAACACTTCATTTAATGGTCGAATTGGTTGGTACGTTACTTTGCTAAGGGCTTCAAGCAAGACCTTTCCTTTGCGGAGACGCCAGGCTGAGAATAATAACAGACAAAGGATTAAGATTGGTCAAAGCCTATGCAACTATCCTAACAAAAGTTACTTTACATGTAACAAAATAAAAGCAGATGTGTGTACGCTAACTTCTTTAACAAAATTAAAGTTATATAAAAAAGTTTGAACTGGATGGATTCGCTACACAGACCGAGTTTCTGTAATCTATCACAGTGAGACACGACTGTTACTGTTGTCCCTTGCAAAACAACTTCTTAAGTTATAATGCAGCGTAATATAAACAATTGATGTTCTTTTCCACCGGCACTGAATCAGTACTTCTTTTTCCCAGAGTACATGCGAACGCTAAGAAAGAAGTAGACATTTTTAACTTGCCAGAAAGCAAAGATACTTGAAGATCACATGCCAAATATTAGACTAATGTTTCGTCTATACGGATTAGCATTATCAAAATTACGCTATAAACGTGTAGTGAACTGTATATTCAACTAGATAAATAGCCAACATAGACAGATTAAAAAGATAAGATAGGTAAAAACACTATAGCAATGCTTACGCGTGATGCAAGTAGTACCAGATCTAATAAAAAGGCAACGATCTGGAACAAAAGATACAGCATACCGGTTGCAATTTTCAAAAATCCTGCTGCTATTTGGTTAAAATGCTCTGCAAAAACTGCGGGCTATATTGCACAATCATGCATTTTTCATATTAAAATTTAGCTGTACCCATCCCTAGGTTCACGCAGTTGATTTTACTGTTGATCTTTCAAATAAACGGGCTTGAGATGGAACCAATTTTTTAGGGAATGAGGCCAGAACCTTGTTATGCAATATAGCTTAGGCAGTAGGGTGACAGCTTCAGATACCTGGCTGATTCCTGGCGTGGTTTCCCCGTCGATTGTAGTGAAGCTTTTATTTGTTAAAGTAATATTAAAAGCTGAAGCAAGATTCGTACCTTTGCTGCATCAGAAACTGAGCATATTGTATCTGCTCTTCATTTCCCTTAATGGTTATGACGCGGTCTTTGATGTTTGGATCTGGTTCTTCGATCTTTATATCGGCGCCGGAGCGTTGTCTAAAAATTACCAATCATTGAAAAAGAAAATTTTACCCGGTATCATATTCCGCTGAATAACCCTTTCTGTGAGAAATGGTAACTTGCAGCGGGGACACGCCTACCTAAACTGTCACAGCCTGACTGATAAATCAGTGAACTATCTTCGAGTAAGAAGCCTAGAGCGTTTCCGAATTGTTAACAAATGGCTCAAAGTACTCAATAATTGTTAACAAATGGCTTAAAGTACTTAATACTAGGCAAAATAGGCAAGAGAGCTTCACACCCTACCACCTGGATTGGAGCAATGACTGAAAAAGGTCGCGTCCAACAAAGGCAATTCAAATTGAGAACGAATTTACAAAATCACCAAAATAATTTTCAGTACCTTATCCTATGGAGCCGTTAATGAAACTTGTCAGGAATTTGCCACTTTCCCTGGACATACATATCTCGATTTTCGTTAAGATGAGACCATTCGATTTGTGTCAAAAGAGGATTAAAAACTAGAGTCCATTGCTTTATACCTGATGCTCCTGATTCTTTCACCACCACGGCCAATTATTGCACCAGCCAACTAAAAAATAAATTACCTGTCAACAAGAGAAACGACTTGCAAACACAATGGCCTTAGAACATTACTTATGAGACAAGGTGCTCAGAGATAATGTTATTTCAGCAAAGTACCATTCCGCCCTATTTACTTCTGCAAATGGCTCCCGTCTGTTGTCTCAAGGTAATGTTTTAAGGTTCTATTTTACGGAAAAGAATCGTTTGGAGGTGTCAGTTATTGGATGGTGTCTGATATTGGAGGTTTTACTGTTCCAACAAGGCATTCGTACAACCAAAGCCCTTCAACATATGCATTGAAATTTTGCAGATTTTTGCTTCGCTGACGTAATAAAAACTCCCCGTGACAGTAACAACAGCTAAGCTGTCCTGATTGATTAACCTGCGGAAATTTGCTGCCTGATTTTGGGACTTACGGGCTTATAATTAAACTAAGTATTGCTCACTGAACTAGAATTTTAGCAAGGTCAAACATAAAAACATTCCTAAATCACAAAGACAAAAAAATACTTTAAAGATTCTGTTGAAAAGAAAAGACAAAGTGCTTTTTAAGTTGACAATTCCTTACATCTTTAGGTATGGTGACCTGTGTGGTTTGCTGGCCAGATGGATCTACAAGGCAGAAGTTGATATTTAATCAAGAAGCCAAAACATCGGGTCGCGTTGGTTATCATTAAAAAGTAAAGTAGTTGATCTGGAGGCCTCTTATTTGAAAATCTTCATAATATGATTTCAATCAAATATGGAATACCACTTTTGAGTATTAACTGTTGTAGAATGATAAGAGACGACATATTTTCCAATCAATCATGGTTTGAAATTAACCAGACCTACAGTAAAATTTCTTTATTTTGTTGCTATAAAGCTCTCAGTAAATTATGACCTAAAAACTCACAGGCATATAATTAACAAACACGCTTATTGTCAGTAAACCGCATAACAGCAGTTTCCTACTAAAAAGACACAACTACTTCCGTTCTTTGCATCACAACTGACAGGGGTCAAATTTCAAATTACTCTGCTACAGTCATATCCATACCTTGAAAGTCTGTGTAATTTCCTTCATCGTTCTACAATAAGATAAGAAAGAATATTTGCTAGCATTCATACAAAAAACGGCCAATAAAATCTCTCAGCGAAAATACTTTCATTGAAACACAACATAGAACACATAACGAAAGCTCTTTTTAATGACTCTCAAAATGATTCGCCGCTTAAAGCGCAGCTGTAAAATATGGCAGAAGATCATAAATGCTTTTTCTCGAGAAGTCTCTTTTCCGATAGATTTTAAATTATCGTTTTGAATACTGCACGAGTGCTAATCTATTCTCTAATACAAAAGATTCTCCAGCAAACCCTAAAATGTGCAGCACTGTAGATAAGGTGCATACTGACAAATATCATGTGCTTTACCAAAGCAGCAATACTTCCATAACGAGGATAGGTATGTGGCCAGGCAATTCAAGAAACACATTTTCTCGGAGAAGTACACTCTCCCCTTCAAATGTTTAGCTAGATACTTTTAATAGTTATGTCAACAATTAAAACCAAGAAGCAACTTATAACTGTGGTTAAAACAATATTCTGTTTCAGTAGCAACATACCATGCATTTTTAAACATTGGTAATTTCAATTCAACTTTATTTAAGTTTCTCACAATGTGCATAAACATACCATCTGTTGATTGAAAACACTCTCATCAGGAAGCAGTCCACGTCCTCTGCCTCTGGCTCCAAAACCTGGACCGCCTCCAAACCCACCTCCGCGTCCAACTTGACCTCCACGACCTCCTCGCATCCCAACACCACCACCGCGCATGCCTCCTCTCATTCCCATGGGCGGTCCTCCTCCGTATCCACCATAATCATCATATTCGTCTTGAGGGGTAGGATCGTAAAGAGACACTGGACCTTTGATGGGTGTCTGTTGAAGAAATATGTTGGCAATGTTTATCCTTGCATAGACACCCCTTTGTCTATTAATTCTTCGCAAGTTCTCTGACAATCCTGGTGGTACAAGCGGCCACCAATTTTACGTCCTAATCTTAGTGAAAACTGCAGTCTTAAATTGCTATAACTTATTTTATTTGATCTAAACAGCTCTTACAATAAACGTGTTTGAGATTTGTAGCCATCAGTAAAAAAAATGATGTCATAGATTCCAATCATGGATTTGTCCAACTGATCATTTCTATGAACAAAAGACATTTCTCAATCCAGAAGATCTGAAGAAAATTGATAAAATATAAAGAAAAGCCTCTAAAAATAAGACGAATTACCTTCGACATCGTCTCGAGAATATTCTCCATGGCACTTACGACTTCATCTGGATTACCTGTAAAATAAAGAATCAAGTGTTGATGTCAATTTTCTTTGTAGGCACATGGCATTGAAAGTTATTTAGAAAATAGGTGTCAAAGTGTTATATTCCAAACAAAAACTATAAGATACCAAGCGTCATAGAATTATCATGAAGGAGTGTTGGATACCTTCCTAGAGTAAAAATAAAAAAGATGCAAAAAGGATATAGCCCTTCTACTGTGCAAATGTAACCGCTTAAATAAAAGCATTTATTGCGAACACTGCGCTGGGGGGAAACAGCAAAAATAGTGATATTGGGAGGCTTTCGAAAGTCGTCAAGACATACCAGCTATGGCAACGACACGTTCAGTAGCACCAGGGAGACAATCTGAAAAGATCTGAAGAAAAGAAAAAATATCGTCACATATTATCATAGTATGACTCTAAAACTAAAATCGATTTTCCCTGACTCCAACTTCATTTTTGTTTAACTCTCACATTCATTTTGAGCGTTGCCTCGAAAAATTGCAAAAACAGAAAATGTGCAACCGCTGTAATACATCTAATTGCATTTATTAGGGGAACCGCATGAAAGGATTACAGCCAGTTAGGTGTTGCACTGTTGGTAATCAATTGCCATGATACTCAAGCGTCCGAACAAATAAAGGGGTAGTAAATTAAGATGGCAAAAACAGTATTTCTAAATTGGATGAAGTCCCGTATGCTGGGGCAATATTAGCCAGAACTGATTAATGTGTGTTTTTTGTTGTTCATTCTCGTCGCACTGAGGTGTTTCTTATTTACTACTATTTTATCGATTTTTTGCCGGAAGTATTTCATCGGAATCCATCGAGCAGCCTGCTATCATAGCCTCTCTTTTATTCACACATTTCTAAATAGCCTTACATAAACATTTGTTACTAATTGAGTGAACAAGACCGCATTTAAACTAATACAGGTAGAAGAAGCAATAGACTGACTGAATCTTCAGTTGACCAATTATAATGTTACTACAGCTATCTTCTTTAATTAAAGGTACTGGTTGCCAAGAACTTACATACAACCGTACATAATCGGTAAAAAAATCAAAATTGCCTAAAATTGTAGCAGTAAGAATAAAACCTTATATATAAATACCTTTATCTGGCATCCAGTTTTCTAAAATAAAAAGAATCATACAGCTTATTTAAAAAACAAGGCATTTTTAAATTAAAATAGTCCAACAGTGATATCATGAAAAAATGTTTTTATTAAAAAATTGAGGTTCAATAAAGTTACCGTGTTGCTAATTTTTCGAAACTTGTTGGAGAGCGTGTTAGAGTTAAAAAGATATAAAATAGTTAGATAAATTAATCTATTTTCACGGCTTCAGATATCCTGTAACAAACCCTACCAAAATTACATCTAGCCACATCGATATGGAACATACTTGTACAGAGCGATAATAAATATAATTTGTTTATGTAAAATTCTAAAGCGACGCCAATTCTAAATAAGTAGGCTGGGATGTTTCCATCAAATGGGGATACAAAATTTGATCACAAGAAATCAAGGGTGAATGTCCTAAAAACTGAAAGAAAGATAATTAGTAAGGATATCTTAATAAATAAACCAACCTCTCTTAGTTCTTTGATCTTCGATCCGCCAGTTCCAATCACACTTCCCGCCTGGCTTGAATGAATCAAGAAGTTGATTTCGTGTTGACCTTGATTTGGTTGCTTGTTTAAACCAGAATACGGCGGCTGAAAAACAAAGAAACACAGTAATTTTCAAGTGCATAGATATGATAATGCTTCCAAATAATTAATATTTTCTTAACACAACACAACACGAAATAATTCTCCGAGTAAAAAGTGCCTTATCGAAGATGATGAAGATGATTTTAGGTTATAAATAAATTATACAGAACTTTCTGAGAGATTAGGTCATATTAACATAAAAAAAACCTGAATACCAGTCAACATACCAGTCAACTTATCATTTCAAATTTATGAATAACAGCATTTTAACCTGCATTACATAATATTAGCACTTCTATGAAGACGAGGATAAATGACAATTTTTTTATGACTTAAGGGGACCCGAGCTGTAGGCACCTTTCAGTCTTAAAAAAACACTGGCAATATTGGCATGTTCGTATTAACAATGAGGAGAACATGGAACAGTCTTTGAAGAGCCCAGGGCTCGATATCCCAAAAATAAGGACAGCGTGAGAAAACAGCAAGCCTTGGGTGGAAAATTAGAAGAAAAAAATATGTTTTGATAATTCCCTCTCACTTAAACAGATCACAGCCTAACAGTTTTGGCAACAGTCTAAATAGAATGAAAATTAATCTACGAGTTTGTGCTATCTCTTTTCAACTGTAAATAAAAACATACTTTATAACCTAACTTCTCGCTTGATTGAGCTTAGACAAGGAGGAAAATTAAGAAATACTCGCCTCTCCCATTTGTGGAAAACACTCTTTTAGAATTGCAACGGCATTTTCGTCAGATGATTGAATCGACAATATGCTGAAAATAATTGGTACACACAGGTGTGAAAATGACGATGGAAGAAACCACTTTTTAGTGGAATTATGAACTAGACTTACCCCAGAACTATAATATGTAATAAAAAGAGTTATGGATAATATCGTGGGGATGGATAACCACGCGGAGGAAATGAATTAATTTTTCATCTATTGAGGATGCTCGAAATTTTCATCTAAGCACGAGAATTTATCCACTGAAAATTCTTAAAGTTGGGTGTCCGAAATGCTGCCAAAAAGTGTTTGGCTGTTCTATTATTGTTGAAAGAAAAAAGCTTAGAGCTGATAACGGACAGACTTTACGTTAAGTGCAATTGCAGTAGAGCACTTGATTGACAAAGAACGCTGTTCAAAATCTACAGTTTGCTATAATGGCGGCACCTACTTGCAATTAAGTAGAGAAATGGGCAGGTGGCAACTGTGAGCCTATGGTCATGCCTATACAGACTGCAATAAAAAAACAACTTTTCTATTGACATATTGTCACTTATAATTCATATTTTTTTCTTTTGCGATATTCCTTGACAGCGAATAGCCTGAGTTTTGAGTGGTAGTTTCAAGATGATATCCTGAAAATGTTGCCCAGAAAAGTAAGATCTTCAATTATGAAAATCATCAACCAGAGAGGCAATCAAAACAAACCCATTGCATCTTCATATGTTTTAAAAAACCTCTCTAAGAACATTAATTGGAAAAAAATATTTAATAAAAATATTTAAGTTATGCAAGAATCAAAATTTGTGGAAAGTGATGATTCCTGAGTGATAATTTTTAACGCCACATTTTCATGCTTACAATTCTAGCATAGTGTACTTAGCGACTGTATGCGATGATCTAAAACAAGAGTATAGGGACCAGCTAAGGAACGGCTTCCGAATTTGTAAAAGGAAAAAATCCCAGGGAACTGGGACCTACCGCTCTGAAGACATGGAGTCGGGAACATTGACTGTTGCACTGTACTAATGGGTTGTTAAGGGAGGGCCAGAGAAGATCAGGGCGACATCGACATTGATATGGAAGGGTTTCCAACCAGGGTTTCAAGTAGGTCAGGGATTGACGGCGGGTGCAGGAAAGGAAAAAGATATGCATTCAGTTAGCAAAATGAACACAAATAAGCCTATATAAAATAGAAAAAAATTATTCAAATATATTATCCCACTATAAAGTCACAATTACAGCATTAGTAAAACGAAAATCGTGGAATTCCAGGATTCAGATAAAAGCAGTTCTGACCTAAACAGGTCACACAGGGGATTAATAAGGTGAACTTAAAGACAACGAGACGCTTTGCAACATATGCTACCATGAGGATGCTACGGTACAAGTAGTTCTAAGGCAGTTAGCAATTTTTTTCAAATTAGGTCTTTAATGCTTCTTTATCAAGTGAAAAGGCACAACAACCCAAGCCAAGGATCAACAGGGTACTATCTTTTCAATGTTTGCTTACGTTTTAGCTGGTCTTCTCAACCTATTATCATCCAGTTCAAATTATAGGAAGTGGCGAGCAAAACTTTAATAAGAAATTGCGTTTTTAGAATGGACAGGAGGAAAGTAACAGATAAGCCTTAAAAAAAGTCGGAGGGTGAGAAAATCCGTTCTGTTTTATCGTTGATGTAATCTCTTCATTATCAAATTTTCAGATCAGGCGCCCATAATTCTAGCTTAAGCTTTGGGTAAACGGAGGTTACACGGAAGGGGGAAATGTTACCAAAAATGATTTTAAATTATAAATTTTATCTATAAATACTAACCTCGCTTCTTAGTCTTTTTATGTTCTGTCCACCCTGAATTTGAGATAAAAACAGGTTAAAGAAAATGTAAATAAAACTATTGTAAACAAGAGGAAATAATTTGATTTGTATATTTGTAACGTTAAAGTAAATATATTCTGAAAATTCTAAAAGTCAAAGCACTCAAAATGGGTCAGCAACTAGAAATTTTAATGAAAGAAAAACTTTATTGGCCAAAAAGAATTCAACTATAAAACCTATATTACATCGTGATTTCGGACAATAAAAATTCCAATAAAACTATCAATACTTCTCCTTGCCAAAAAGACCAAAGAAAGAGTGAAAAACAATTGAATAGGTAACCATCTCACCTTGCCAATAATACCTCCAGCATTCTAAAACAACAAAGGTATAATTTTAAATCAATTCAAGCCATTATACCAAGATCAAGAGACTCAACTTTGCTAATATGCATGTGCTCTTTTTAAAAATATAAATGTATAAAAAAATAATTGACAAGGTCTTGGCAAATATTGGGTCGAAGGAAAAGCAAAAATGACAAGAGGTTTACACACTTTCGGAGTAAACAGTTTAAAGAAGCACGTGGTGGCCCTTGGGCATTTTTTAAATAAAGGCAACTGTCACATGGTCAAAGAACTTGAGGAATACCATAAAAAACAAAATAGGTCTTGAAATCAAGCCCTAAACCCGTCTTAACTGAAAACTTTTCTGGATTTTGGTTAAAGCCTCCAGCAAACAAAATTTAACAGGAGGCTATTGTTATACAAGTTGTATCCAAAACACAACACACAGCAGAAACAACAATAAAGAAGGTGTCTTTGTTGTGCAGGGGATAACTCTAAAAGTTGTGAGCATTTTGCCAATAGGTTAGGGCAATATTTATCCTCTCAGCTACAGGTTTATACCCTCTCATTGTAGCAAACTGATTAGTAAGAGATACCATATTCTTGCATTAAGAGGCCTTCGTTGCTAAAGTTCACAAAAAGTCATTTCTGGCTTATTGTTTATAGTAGCCATTTCTTTTCTCAATGTTGCAAAGAGAAATTTTGCAATCTTCCCATGAGCATCTTGTCCCTAACATCACGTTTCTTCCCACATAGTAGCTCTTTTAATCTGACTGCCAATGTCCAGGGCCAACCTGCCTCGGCATGAAAGCATTACAAACCAGCCCTGATAAATGGGCTTGCTTGCTTTGTCGGGCCAGCCCGCTCCATCAGAAAAGGCCCTTAAACCTTTAATGCAATGGCCACTCGAAACAAACAACTGTTTTGACCGTCGCTAAAACAAAGCTCCTGCAAATGAACGCATCACGCCTATTTTACCTTTAAACCTGTCTAGCCAATCCTTTTTATCTTCTGAAGTACATAGCTGGAGAATATCCTAGTAATTTTAAGACTACATAGCTGGAATAAGTGCTAGCAAACGAAAACTTACTTTGCTCTGCAGTAAAAAACGGAGGGTTATGTCACGGCCTCTGTTATCTTGACGAGGTCTTTTTGCTCCACCCATTCCAGAACTGCCAGCATCTCCTAATTCCCTTTTAACACCTGAAACAGAGAAATGCTTTCTTTAAAACAAATGAATTCGATAAGGGTGTAGGTTTATACATAAAGCAGAGCTTATGCAGCAGCATTTGGAATGAAAAACCTGAAACACTAAAAAATTATAACTGGCATGCTACTGTGATATTTGGCTGAAAGGGCTATACTAGCGATAGACCATGCCTTCAGAAATTCACCAACGACCTTTAAGAAAGGTGAAAGTTACGAGGATCTTCAGTTGGACAAATGTTACGAGCATACCATAGTTTGCAGTGATGTAAATAGTACTGCAAGTGGATGTGTTTAGCGCGTGATTGGTTTTCTGGAAGTTTATTGAGAAAATGGAGGTTTATATCATTACAATTTAAGAACATATTGGGATTTTTTAAGGCTCTTTTTCAAATATCTAAAGAATACCACTGGCGTAACGCAGTTTAGGGCGACTCGGTTAGGGCACCAAATGATTTTAATATCAGTCTATATTCGCCCAAGTTCACCGTTTTTTTAAAAACTTCAAAAGTTCTTCCATTGAAGATTCTTTAACTCAGCCTCCCCCCTTCATTATACAGTTAACTAGAAAAATTATAATTTTACATCTTGCTATGGTTTTTGATCTACTCCACATCGTTGGGTGAGACATTCTCGCCGTTCGTAAATAGGGGCATCGTCTCTGTTTTGTTAGGGCCCCAGACATCTCCGTTACGCCATTGCATATAGCTTTGACTATTTAGAATGTTACGATAAAAAATAAGAGAAGATAATTGATTTTTCGGACTGGCCTAATGTTTATATAATCTTTGCAAGATTTACTGATTCTTGTTTGAAAAAGACCTGCCAATCTTATAAGCAATGTAAGAGAAGGTAGCAGCGTGTTGATCTTGCAGGGAATCGAGCTTGGGTTGAAATAGGAAGAAGTAACTTAAAATATTTATTATTAAATACTCATGCAGTATAAAAAATTTTAATAGAGGTATATTTGCTATTTATCTGAAGAATTACTTTATGCAAGAACTGGAAGGAACGGCCAGCCGCTCTTTAGAATAAGTGAAGGAAGAAGAATAGTATCTACAACCTCGAGTGAACGTCAGTTCCTTTCGAAGATGTGTAGTTGATGCCCTTCATCAGATAACAGGAAGGGCTTAATTCTCGTTTAAGCTAATTTTAAATCAATGTAATATTTCATTACGATTTTATGTAGCATGCTTCGAAACGCGGTTTTAGAAGTTTAGGCGAGATTCGGCACACGGTCTCCCGTGCTAAAGAGTTCGTGGATACAACTGTATTCTCACTTTGCGGTACGCTTTATAAATTTCTTAATACCAACATGTTCTTGCGGTGCGTTTTATTATGCAAAACTTCGGTTTGTGTGTACAGCCACATATGTTTTTGATGCGGTTTTAAAGGAAAAAAATTATTATGTTAAACATGCATTTGATGACATTCCACAATGAGATCAGAATATGCTGCAGCAGACCTCTTTTAACAGAAACTAAAAAACCTGACAGAGAAGGGTTTACATCAATTTGACGCTTCTCGTTATAAATATTTTTCAAGAAGAGGCCGTCTTTAAACAACCGACCCCTGAGATAAAAAATATAAAACCATCGTTTTGATGAACACAAAAAATGAATATTTGCTTGTTCAACTTACATAAAAAATAGAACGAAAAACTCTTTACGACTGACTAGGTGGTCTGGTTTGTTCTGTTAATGTCCTGATTATGTTATGTTTGTGCTATGCTATGTTGTATTATGTTGTATTATGTTATGTTATGTTATGCTATGTTATGTTATGTGCTATGCTATGCTATGCCATGCTATGTTTTGCTATGCTATGCTATGCTATGCTATGCTATGCTATGCTATGCTATGCTATGCTATGCTATGCTATGCTATGCTATACTATGCTATGCTATGCTATGCTATGCTATGCTATGCTATGCTATGCTATGCTATGCTATGCTATGCTATGCTATGCTATGCTATGCTATTCTATGCTATGCTATGCTATGTATATTATGTTTGTTATGTTATCCTATGTTATGTTATGTTAAGTTATGTTATGTTTTGTTATGTAATGTTATGTATGTTATCCTATGTTATGTTATGTTATCCTATGTTATGTTAAGTCATGTTATGTTTTGTTATCTTATTTAATGTTATGTTATGTTATGTTACATCTTACGTGTTTATGCTTTGCTATGTTATTTCCTTTTTTAGTGTTTTATACTCTTCGCATCTAGACCTTCCAGAAGACCTTTTGTTCTCACACTGGAAGCGCTTTTCTCACCTTACTTTTGTGTGTTATTTTTCTATTCAAAAATATTTCTAAGCACATTGATATTTAAGAAACTTTTGAGGGGCTTTTCGTACCAAAGTTAATCGAGAAACTACCAAACTGAGTACTAATACGCGCTTTTTCTAAAGAACATTTGGCTCCGATGTTTGCTGAATACCCTACCCTGTTCCTTGTGTTGCTCTTACTTTTTGGGCAAATCTCGGCTTGATGTGTCTTATAAGGGTTGTTTTTGTAAAAAAAGTGTACCGAGCTAAGTTTCTAACAAAAATGCATGAAATGAATTTTTTTCAAATTTTCACAGAAAATCTGATAAGAAAAACTAGACGAATAAATGGAAAACCGTCGACTTCTCAAAAGATTCACAGATAAAGATTCACAAGCAATTGTCACGACTGGAAAATTCATGCAAATTTAAGCAATTCGATCGGGTTCGAAAAAATGTTTTTACTTCTTTGTCTGTCCTTGCTGAAACTACCTGTTGCTTAGTACAACAACACATCCTAACCGCAAATCGGAGGGCTTATGGCCACGTAAACCAGCCGTAACAGAAACTTCCGAGCTAAAGAAACAGAATGTCTTTATCAGAAAAACATTTTTGCAAACGCTGTCTCCATCAACTCACGATCAAAATAGATTGATGTCAAGCAGGAACCAAAGTTTGCTTTGCGGCCAACATGAATGCCGAGAACCGAACCGCCAACATCTGTAACAAAGCTTTGCGGGAATCCCCTTCGAATCTTTTCAAACGCAATACGCAAGAAAGTTTATCATTTCCTTTATCTCTATTTAAAACCACCAGTAAGATGCAGGGGATGACATATCTCATCACTGCAACAGCCGTGCGCAAATTACCATTACAACTGAAGTCTCCGCAAAACTTGACGACGTGTTTCCAGACACAAAGTTCGTGTTCAAGTGAGTAACGGAAGCTCAACTTGTCGACAAGACTTCCTAGTTCACCTTAAAAGTGCCAAATAGTTTGCAGTTAACTGCGTAAACAGTATTCCAAAGGTGCATAAAAGGCAAGTTGCGTACTCAAGAAAAACAACAGCGGCGGCAACCGCAATATGGCCGAAATCAAAGATGAATGCATTGGCGAGGACAAGAATGAAAGCGAGAGCTCGTCAAATGGATTAAATTTTGACGAAATGCTGGCAGCCACAGTGCGGAGGCACCCAGTTCTTTACGACAAATCATATAAAGACTTTCATGAAAGGGACGTAAAGGATAACGCATGGCAAGCTGTAGCGCGAGAAGTCGGATTGGTTTCGGGTACGTATGGAAATTTCAGTGAGAACAACAAAAATTCAAACAAAATATCCTCGGTCAACCTTCAATGTGATTCTTTCTCTCGACCAGATAAATTATAGAGAATGGCGAGGATTAGGTTTCGTGTTAGTCCTTGCAAGTCAAATTTAGCAAACTGCACCAACCGCAAACTCGAAGTGCTCCTTTATGTAAATTGACGCACAATAGTGTGTCTGGCAACCTAAACGGCTACGCAGTCATGAATAATATTGCCTTTATTTATCCAGGTATCCTGAAGGGTAACTAAGTTGTCGAGGATTATTTTCCCCGTGGAAATACTATTATTTCGCTCGAAAACACTCATAAAATTATTCTGCGTCTTGCTAAAAAATACCAATTATATTACCGACTTCTCGAGATTTCGCTTGACTAGCAACGTTTTCTTTGAAGCCGAAAATTTCAGGAGAAAATTGATTTTGCTTCCAAAAATGATTTCCATATTTAAAAAAAAGATGAGCTACTACCCTCTATATTATGGACAACGCTCGAATTCAAGAATGTGATGTTGCCTGCCTGGGACCCCACCCATCTCTGCACATGCAACAAACAAACAAACTTCACACCCGTGCTTCTCCTTTCACATCTCAGCTTGCATGCGTGTGCATATAGCGCGAAGCACTTTCAAAGATCATGTTAGGAAAATATAGAAAATCTGTTTTGCATGGTTTTTCTCCCCTAAAATAACAGTAAAGCAAACTTAAATGCTCAAAACAACTGCTAGACAATCAAGAGAAAAGGGGGGCACACTTGAAATGCCTGGAAATAAAATTCATGCGATTATTCCCTGAATTTTATGAAGTTGAAAGTAATTCCCTGAATATATTGTAATACAATAATTAGAGAATTACAGTAATATATCCAGAATTGTTAACTTGCAGTTGATGCTTAGATAAAAATCATAACTATTGACTTGAAGTCTTTTCAGATTTGTTTACTTTAATGCATAGACACATTCAATTGACTTACTTTTATAATACCACTTTCTACATTATAACTGCAGTTTAGGTATCAGGTGCCACACCTTTTTAAATTCATATACACGATTTTCTACTGTTATTTCATCAGTTAACCAGATAACATAACACAAAGGATCTGTATCTCTTTAGGTCAAGAGGCAGAAAAACAATTTCGTCTTTTGCGTGACCGCTACCAAAGAGCAAAAATGGCCATCCAAAGAAGGGAAACTTCTGGAAAATCACAAATAGCAATGGTTAGAGTCCAAGCAAGACTTAGCAATATGAACTTTATGCACTGGTTGGATGAACATATAAAACCAAGAACGAGGTTTGTCAGCATGCGACACAACAAGAATTCTATGGTAGGAATAGTTGATGAAAATGAACCAGCTAATCATGTTGAAATACTGGAAGGGGTTGATTGCGCAAGTGAGGCTGACTCAGAAATTGATTTTCCATCTTCATCTGTCCCACATACAATGGTACCAGCAAGAAGAAAGTTTTCACCATGCATTGTACAGCAAGCAAAGGTTCCAAAAAACACAGCCCATCCAAGATTTGCATCAGGGCCAAAAAGGCAATACATGCATGAAGATGAACCTAAGCATATGCAATATGAACAAAGAGAAGCAGTTGGAATTATCAGAGAATCAGATGATGAGAGGCAAACAATAATAACACCTGATATCCACAGTAATATTACAGTCTTGCGAGATTCAGCACAGATATTTGGGGACTTTGTTGCAGATCAGCTAAGACAGCTATCCCGAGACCAGGCAGTAGAAGCAAGATACAAAATCAGTGGCATATTCTACTCTTTAATGCAGAATTCACAAGGACATAAACCCTCATAAAAAATGCAGACTTAATGAGAAAAACCTGGCAAACTACAGACTTTGCTTAATGAGTACTCTGTTCCATATATCCATTAACTTTTAAATTAATATTAAAGAAATATTAGAAGACTTCTGTGTAACAGGAATACCTGAATCCACCAGTGATCAGCACATTTGTTGTTGTTAAATTTTATCTAATGACTGCATTTATCATTAATTTTTTACTGCCATCTGTCGTTAATAAAATTCTTTAAATATCATTAATATTTACTGACATTATTATTAACGACAATACCATCAAGTTTGAATGTTGATTTTTTCTACCACTCTCGCAATGCCCCATATAATTCTAAACATTATACATAATAAAAACTCAGATTATTGTGTACTTTCCAATGTCAAACTGGTGTCGTCCTCTATCAAATTTCAGATTTCTGTCTAGCCCCTCAGCCTTATTAAAAACCAACTTTTATTAATTTTTTCAGAGTTTATTTATTCAATTTCATAGCAGATTTTTAAACTTCCTTATTTTGTTTTTATCATTATACTGAACAAGTTCAAAGAAAGACAAAACATATTTTGTGGTATCTTTATCTATCCAAGCCATTTCTTTCATTATAATCCTATTCTTGTTTTTGATAAATTTTTAGTTTATTCTTGATCCCCTCTTTTTCCAAGACTCCTTGCTTATTGATATCTGGCGCCAAAGAAAACAGTAATTTCTTAATTGGAAATGTAGGAAATGTTATTAAAAGCTTCAACTTTGTTTGAGAAATAATTTTAACTTATTTAACTATTAGGGAAGAGGGCTTAAGAAAAAACAGAGACAACAGCTGCAATTAGCCAGCTTTGATGGGAGCTGTCTATAACATTTTCAGCAATGTGGCTTTTGTGAAAATCAATAAAAAAGTGGACTTATGCTTGGTTTCAGTAGGTCTTTTGAAATCAGTATAGTCCGGTTTCCATAAAATTAAGTGATTTTAGCAATTTTGTCTTCTGTTTGTGTCAGCATTTGAAGTTCTTTTCCACATTACAGGCAAACTTTTAAGAAAGGATTCTTAGTGAACTCAGAAAGGCCATTGAAATGAAGCACTGTTATCTTCTACTATGATTTTCAATGTGTCTACAATACATAGCTAGGGAAGAAATATTAAGTCAGCGAGAAAGCTTTATAGGAAAGTAACAAAAAATGTTTACATTCAAACTAAAAAATATAACAAAGAAAGCAGGCTATTTATTTTGAACATTTCATGATGATGCCAATTATAGTCTTTTATTCAAACAACATTAAGTCTTTTATTCATAAACAAGAAGTGATTTGCCTACTAAAGTGTTGATAAGTAAGCCATGATTTCTGATTCAAGATTTTGTCTACAGAAAATTGCTACAACCAGATTTAAAAACAAAATGATAGCTAAAGTGCAGCCCTTATAATGTTTGAAAGAAACTAAAAATCTGTTCAACCAAGTTTGATCCATAACAAATAAAATATTGAAAAAATACTTTACTAATTAATGTTGAAAAATGAAACAATAAGGACATGAATTTTGTAGGTTATAGGACATATATATGAGTTCATAATGCCTAAATAATAAAATGCTTAGCACTTTCATAATAGGAATGAAAAACTAGATTAAATTGGTACATATATAATATTAATGGTTTTTTAGTAGAGTGAAAATCAACTTAATCACTCACACTCTCTTAGGAACAGTTTTTTTAGATATGAAGTTTTGCTGTGAACCACCAAAAAGCTTTCCACTTGCACCCTGTAAGGGCATACCTATAAGGTGCAACTGTTTCACCATAATCCCAGGCCCCTATGTAAAGATTTCAGAAGGTGTTCAAGGCTGAAGCAAAATTGGTAATATTAGTACTATTGATGTTTGCTGCTTTTCCATGTGATTTCGAAACTTTGTGGTACATGAGTATCATATAGCTTTTGTCTTTCAAATGACAGGCGCAAAAGAATATTTTTTTATTTCTACTACCTACACTTGAAAAAGTTCAGTTAAATCCAATAAATTACAAACTGTGAAAATTGGTAAATTTTAGAGAACTTTATTACAGCTTTCGTAGAGGAACAAAATTCTGTCAACTAGGGTTGCATAATTTGACAGTAATTTTTTTAAAGCTTTTTTGACATGCATTTTATAAGCATTTGTAGTATTTGGCATATTATGTTTCCTTTTCCTCTTTTAAATATCATAAAAAAGGATTTGAACAGTTTTTTGCCGTACAGAACTTGAAAATGGCTTTGAAAAAAGCAAAAATTTCATATCATATTGGCTAAAAGCTTTTTCATCTGACCTCAGAGCATAAAACAACAGAATACGAATCCGAAAGAACACGATGGAAAATATATACCCAGTTGTCGATCGAATTGGCCAATCAGAAAAACGCAAGCACAAGACTGGTATAGTTGACCAATTAGTGTCACATGCCTAAGAAAAACTACCGATGGAGCCTAAGAGAGGAAACAAACTCCTTCTGTCCACACAATGACCGCTTTTTCCTTTGCATGTAAATCGATTATAAAACTGCTAGATGGAAAGATAGCCGGGGTCTGCCAATTATCTGAAACATGTTGTCATTATAGTTTTGCACAATCTGGCCCATGGCATAATCACTTGTTTTAACAATGTTTGTAGACCTACAAGATCGAGGAGGATGTTCTCTTTGAGGGGCAGTTTTGCTTCTTATGTTGGAATGAACATGTTCTAATCTTTGGGTTGTGCATCCTACGTAGCCAGAATCACACTGGCACGTAAATTCATAAACAAGAGAATTTTTTTGGTTGGTAGGAACACAACACTTTTGACTAGATAGAAGAGCTCTCCTAGTGCTTTAAACAATATGGGGATTGACAGCATGAATTTGTTATTAGCGTCTTATGTTCACTAGTCAAATACTTTTTGTCTCAATCAATATTCACCAAAACGGCTTAACAAAGAACTGTTGTGGTCACTAACAAACATGCTTTAATGATCTAAAAATATTTTTCCACAAGCAGAAAAATCAATGTAATTTACACTTAATTAAAAAATCATTTTGGCTTAAACTTTAATTTCGTCAATAAATGTTAAGGAAAAAAGTTTTGCAACAACCACTTCTTGAGAAACATCTTTACGAGATCAATTTCCAAAAAAACAACCTATTTTTGAGGTTACTTAATTGATCAAAGTAACCATTGGCAATCCAATGTGTTATCATTATAACACTGTATAGAGTGTCTAGGCACAAAATCTGATGAATTTCACTGCCTTTCAATCACACATAAAGAAACTCGATGGGAAATCCTCCCCTTTTGGTTCTCTTTGCTGAGTACTAGGGTAGAATAGAATACAATGGGAAATCACAAGTCCATAAAGGATATCTCTGGCATAATCTACATCGGGGTGGGCAACCTACAGCCTGCAGGCCAGAGTCGGCCCTGGGAAGACAATTTTTGTGGCAGCCCGAAAGATGATAAATCAAAATTCAATGTTATTGTTTTCGGTTGTCAAGTAGGATGTTTTAACTGTCTGTAGTGACAAATTTTTCCTACTCAAAAACAGGAAAGTTAACAAGTGCAGGAAAAAAGATTCTTGCAGGTTGCACTCATGGAAGTTAGGCAGGGATCACGTTTTTCCTTATTATGTCGTATCTGAGTTGCTGGTGCACTGGAGGGGGGGGGGCTGTATTGGATAAATTTGTGTTAAAATATATTGAAGTAAATGGTCTGATAATGATTGGATAATTCTATTTCCATCAGTTTTCCCTTTTTTACTTATGATTGGAATAGTCTTAGCTTGTAAACACAGGCTAGCTAGTTGCAAACTATTTATGTAATAGGGAGGTTTGTAACTGGTAGTTGAAATTAAATGAGACTTTTCATTATTATTATCAAAATCATTTAATTACAACTATTATAATAGTTTGTCTTTTTACCTTTGGCCAGCTTAACAAAAGGTTTGAAGGATCTTGCCCACTCTCCAAATAGGTTGCCAACCCCTGATCTATAAACAGGACTTATAGCATTTTTCACCCACAGCTTTCCCTTTTATTCATGTCTACAGGCTAAATGCTGTCATACATTTGCTGTACAATAAATTTTTTTCAATGTTAATATAAATTAAACAATTTTAATCGACTAATAATGTATTGAAAATAATTTGAAAATTAGCAATACCTTGCATTGTGTGTTTCGAAGTGTATCCCTAAAAGAGGATTGATTTGAAATTAGAACAACTTCCACTACTTCATCAAAAACTGTAGCTCACTTTTCCAGTTTTTTTATTTTGTTTATTGTAGGTTACTATCGCAAAAGGGATTTACAAACACGACAACTTCCTAGGTTGGGTCAGCCTAACGGCCTGGTGGTTAGGCCATGGTACGATATGAGTGCGTTGATTTCGTTGCACTGTAGAAAAAACAACGAAAAGGATTTCAAAGAAACACTGCAACTGATTGTGATACCTAAGACGCATCGGTCAAGGACACGAAAGTCGACTTACTTCGTAAAATGACGCTTTTCTCTTTATACTGAACTGTGATATGAAGAACTGTATATAACAAACACCTGGCCTCCAAGTCTACCGAAGTGCAGCATGGGAATGGTGGCCGAAAAGAATGATGGGAAATAGTCCCAAGAAGGGGAACTTTTTTCCAATTCAAAATAAAAAAGATTCAGGATTTCTCATCTATTAAACTACTGCTATTGACAAATTTCCCGTTTTATGTGTGAAAATTCACAAAATATTTTAGTCGAATAAGATAAAACTTTGTATGGCAAGAAATTGAAGTCACGGAAATTGCAGAATGAAAATCAAATTAAGCATGCATCAAAAGTTTCTTCGTTATTTGACCCTAACAATATATTGTACCAAAATTCCTTAACTTTTGGAAATATTAATCTGGAGTTTCTTAAAGTTGCCTCCTTAAATAAATGCATATCGACTTAAGAGTTCCCCAAAGACCAATGCCGTGGTTCCAAGGGGCACATTGGGTTTATGGTATCCTTGAAATTGTGCTAGAATTTGCAAAGTCTGAGTTGCTTCGACCAATTCTTAACTGAATAAGGTGGTGGGATAAACCTATTAGTTATACCAAATATAGATCTTGAGGGGTTCGGACTAGGGAGAAAAGCTTTTTCTTGAAAACATCAACATATGATGATAGTCTAATGTCAGGATAAAATTTATTCCATCTGGATATGCAGTGGGAATAAAGACAATAGTGGGAATAAATTTGAATTTCTGTCTTTATTGGCCTTGGATCCTTCGCTTAAACTTGCGCGAGATAATCATCTACCTGTTTCATTTCGGTGATTAAATAATTCACTTAGAAGTTGTACAATCTTTTTCTCGGGGTTCCTCCCAATGTTGCCATTTTAGCTCAAGCATTAATAAATTAATACAGAACAGATTCTGAAATTTCCGCAAACACTGGATTCACATACAGTTCAGCCACGTAGCTGCAGGGGGGCACGGGGGGGCTGTGCCCCCCCCCAAATGAAAATTTTGACAACAGCTTGACCCCTCTGGCTACAGTTTTTCCAAATGATATTTTGAAAATTTAGCAAATTTATAATTCCATGACCTTGATTTTGTCCAAATATATCTGTTTGTTATATATCTGTTTTCTTGTTTTAAAGCCTGCCCCCTGAGGTATGGTTCTTGCTCGAGTTTGCCCCCCCCCCCCTAGCCGACACCTACAGCTACGTGGTTGATACAGTTGCTGGAATGTAGTAAATAACAGCCCCGTAGATTAGATGAGACCGCATATAGAGTTTATACAATAAATTTAAGGTATGCTTGGGCAGAAAATTGGAGAGATACTCCAGCAAGGCAGAACGCTACATGCCCTTGTACGGATGAGAAACATCCCTCGTGAGTTTGAAACGGTCGGTCAACTTAAAACCTGAAATATGTAGTCGCCAGAAGCCTGAAATATGTAGTCAATACAGAATTATAATCGAATGCGTACTTTTTGAACAACATTCTTGTTCAAAAATTCTAATATTCTTGATGTAATTTCCTTTGTTCTGATGCATCTAAAACCAAGAGCCAAAAAAGAGACATATTCAAAATATTCTCAAAGGACCATGCCCCGGACCCTGTAGTCGAGCACAACCATCAATGCCTATAAAATAAGATCAAATATAAAATGGACTGGTATCTGTTCATTTATAAATTTTATGTTTAGCACCACAACCCCCCTTAATGTACTAATTTTATTACAGTTTAGCACTTTTGACCAATTATCTGAGCATTGGCGGGAGGGGCGGCCGTACAGATTGAATATTCCTATTGTTGTGATATCACGTTATGCACGACAGATGGCAACCTAAAATTACTTTTATTACACTAGATTAAACCTGTCGGTGTGTCGTGTGTACCCGCTCCAGTAGCTTGCTATCCCCTTTATCACGGTTATTATCCAGCCTGCTCAAAGAATACAAGCCATTTACAATCACTGAAAAACTAAAAAAAACAATGATGAACCGTGTAAAAGTCGGTTATCGCAGGAATGCATCACACGAGAAAATCGTTACTATCCTCATTACAAGAGAAAAAATGGATGTCAACATTTTAATAACAGGAGCAAATAACGTTGAGACCTACTCCAAACTCTTCATTATAAAAGTCCATCTAAGCCTCAAAACACAACAGGAAACAAGAAACAGAATAAGGCAAACGACAAAAAAGGAAATGTATTAGACAAATTATTGCCAAATGTTAACTCTGAAACTTCATTACATAATTGCTAATGCATAATCAAGATAAATTCCTCAAAAAGGTTAATCATCATTTTCTATCGATATTTCTGCGATAGAAACTTTCTGTAACAGCAATACAAGAAGCAATTATTAGGAAAAATCACATAGCATTCAAAGAGCATTAGCCGAAAACGAAACATTTTCTTGGAGATTGAGAAACTTAAAGTAGAGACGCATAACAAATATTACAATTCTGAACTGCTATATTATGACTAACTAGATATTATAATGATTACTTTTATGAAAAGATTAAGGTTGGATGGATTGCAGGCTGTATAGAATAATACCACTAACTGCGTTGCAAATAAATACAATTAGGTTACTTACGTAAAATTTCTGGATTTATCAATTCACAAGACGCTAACAAATGTTATCGAGATTAATATAACAAAAACAGAAGTTTTTCATCATAATGTATGATCTATGGTCTGCATTTTTGCCGTTAAGGCATTTAATCAACATGATTTTCAAGCAATTGACATTTGGAAATAATGAAGGGGGAGGGTGTTTAAAGTGAATCGCAGGAAATTTCATTGTGCATTGTATACAAAAGTCGAAATTCAAACTCTACAATTATATTCTACGCTATGTATAATGCCATCTTGTAAAGTGCGTTATGGATCTTATCCGGGACGAATTAATATTTCTAATGCAGTTCCTAATGCATTGTATTAAGATGTAAAAAATGTGAAGGGGGATGGGTAAAAACAACAAAACTTCATAAGAAAAAGGAATTTTGCAACAAAGACTCTTACTTTCTCTTGAAAAAGATTATGTTATTTTGAAACCCTACCTTGTGGTTTGTTCGCAATATTAAATAAAAGAAGCTTTAACTAAGAAGTCTTACGTCAAAATCATATCATGTTAAAAGCGAAATGTGTGTATCATTGTAAAACGCAAGAATTCTCACAAGAGCACCAAGTTTGTGGTTGTCTTTTGGGAAGAATTAAATCCAAATCCTCGTCATCTGATAATTCATCCAACCTGATAAAAATGAACCGTGTTATTGCAAGTCAGAGTGAAACATTACATCTCTAACTGCACAAGAAGCTAGTAGCCCTTAACCAAGTTGTGCGTTAAGAATCACTCAGACAAATTGGAAGGTCTTGTTTTCCTCTTGTATGATTTAGAACAAAAAGGATTGGTCGGCAGCAAGAGACGACCGAAGATCAATACCATTGATTATTAGTACCTATATCATATCACAAAAATGCTTCATTTAATATGAGAGTAGCAGCTGTGTAGGCATATTGATGTAATCGATGAAAAATAAGCAACAACAATAACTAAAGAGCCTTTCAAGTCGACAAGACAGTCTCAAAGAAACAGCAAGGTGGGGGATGTTGTTTGCAAAAAACGATTCACTACTCCAGTGTTATAACTTGATGTTTATAATGTGATGTTTTGAATATAAATTAATGTATATCAGATGTTTGATCAAACATTTGATATCAGGAAGGTATGACAAAAAAGCAATATTTTTCCAAAAAATTGTCAAATGCCTCGATCAATAAGAAAATTGCTATAAAATGTTAAAAAACCAAGCAATGTTGCAAAATGGCTTTCGCAAAAGTGAAAAACAACCTGTATCCATCTTTAAGCAACTGTTGGGTGCAATCTTCTGGACCATGCTGTGTAATGAAGACAAACAATTTTAATGTTTCACCATTTATCTATGACAAAACTATTACACCAGATACAGGACTTCATACAGGATCCTAAAAACACAGGCATTACCCAAGTATGAATGCTGAAATCTAAAAAGGTAAAGATGCAATAGTAGATAAAGCAACTGTCCTGAAGGTGCAAATGACACCTGTTGTTTGACCAGTCATTCCTCGTTCCTCTCAAATTAAGTTGTCAAAATGATGGAGAAAACCAAAAAGCTAGCAAAAATCTAGGTTCATCGGCAAATCTGTTTTTTATCTCTGTTATAAGTTGAGAGGGCAAAGACAAGATAGCGAATTAAACATTGATAGATAGAAAGTGCAGCAGGGGGCATGTCACTAAATGAAGAAGAAGAAGAATAGAAAATGCTGTTTGGTGAAAAAACCCGGTTCTGAGAAAACGTAAAATGAAATACAATTAGTGCAATGCTAGATAACAAAAATTTCCACTTAAAATCTACATTGTACAATACTGTTTTGAAATTCTTCAGAGAGCAGAGATAAGGCATTCTACACCAAAAAACATTCCTTCAAAAGTAAACAAAGCATTATGGTAGCTAAGAAAAATAGTTCAAAAAGGGGGGTAAGTTTTCACTGGAGAAATCTGGTAAAATTTCTTTAGAAATACCTCCATTACAGAAAGCTTGTTGGCAGCAGTGTTAGCCTTCTGAGCAGATAATAATTCTTAAAATTCTAACCCTATCACAAAATTTTAACGCTATCACGAAATTCTAAATCATAATATTTTTCTTTCATTTTCTCTAAATTTCATTATCCTTAATAAACTTCAAATTTTCTCACCTTATAAGGGCTCTGGGGTTGTTTAAATATAATATCTGTTGGGGATACCAATTCCACATCTTCAAAATCTTCATCAATGCTGAAAAAAGTTAAGAAGAAAAAAAGTCTGTGAAATCAAAAATTTAAATTTTGGTGTAATTACTAACCGTGACATGGTTATGAAGTATGCATTTGTGATGAGTAAATCCAGTTTATAGTAAATAAGCTTACCTAGATGAAGATAGAGCTACAAGTGGGGGCTCTTCAGGCCTAAGGTCAGTGAATCCTCCTTTACCTGGTACAATCAAGCTGCAAAACAATAAAAAAAACATTCAACAAATTTTTCATGTTGATACACTATACACTCTACATGAGAGACCCATAAACAGTAATTTTCTTAATCTTTAAACAGAAGATATTCTGAATTTCAATAATTATGCAGTTTTGTTAAACTACCAGAAAGAGCAGCCTGTTTCTCTCATTGATATTCCTTTATGTTTTTTAATCAAAATAATATCTTTCTATGTGATATCTAAGAACTATTCTCTTACACAAATGGTCTTCCTTTAAATCCTTTACATATATTCCACACGCAAGTGACAAAAGACAAAATTAACACACCTGCCTCTTGACACCATTTTGCCTTGTGATATTTGTCTTGACTTTTCTACTTGCCTTTCTAAGAATTTATCATTAAGTAAATCAGAATAATTGACAGAATGATGAATGCCTAATCAAATTTAGCTAGATTACTAAGAGGCTAATTTAATAATTATTAAAGTTCAGGAATGATTTTTAGGATTCAGCTAATTTGCTTTGAAAGGATTCATCTATCAACAAGTTTGTCTTTCAATTAACTAACTTTTGGATTATTTAAATTTTTTTATTCATGTTACACAATGTAATGTTTAACTATTAGTCACTCATAAATTACCTCAATGCAGTTGTTAGAAGTGATGTGGGGTTTTGGATAAAGAAAAACTTTTTTCTCATTTCTCTTCACTTACAGTTTACTCTGCTTTGAATTTTCAAAAGCCATTGGGGCGATCCAATATATGAATACTTCTTAAAACAATCTTGAGAAAAAAATTTTACCTAATTTGAGTTGCAGGTCAGAAGGTTTTCTCAGTGTCTTTAACAATGGCTCAACTTCACCATTCTCTGTCTAAAAGGCAAATGTATTTCTGACATATTAAAAAAGAGAAATATCTGTAACAAAGGATTATACATTAAGAATTCAGTTGTGGCTGGTTGTGTGCCTCAAAACAAAATTTTTCATTGAAGCCACTTGATTCTAAATTCAAGTTTAAATCTCATGTAAAAATTTTAATATCAGAACTATTGATGTTACAGCTTTTTAGTGCAATTTTTAAGCTTTGTTGTTGCAAAGATTATATTTTCTCTATTTTCTATTTTCTCTCAGATGCATGATGATTCATGACAAAATATGCACCTTGTCTCACCTAGGCAGATGCTGAGGCAGGGACACACAATCACCCACTTCAAACTAGGAGGCCTGCAGTCACAAATGTCAGGTGATCTGTGTGTTCTTTTAACAGGAGAGTTTTCCGGGTGGTTCAAATGACATATTATTTGTGAAGAAAGCTGTCAATTTAGCTCAGTGTTAGGCATCAAATTTTGTATAACAAGATGATACATGGTCTTGATTAATCATTGACTATGGCCTACAAATATACATAGCAATGAATTGCTAACTTGGTTAGCATTTTATCATAGCTCATGCTGGACAGTTTGGCATTATTCAATAAGGAATTTTCTGCTTACATGATAGCTAATAAGCATGAGTTCCAGTGGACTGGTAGAATAGGGAGGTAAGTAGATAAGGCATGTAACAGTTAAAATCGAAACCAGGCTTAGGAATCAGGTACAGGGCATCACTTTTGTATGGGAAATCATTGCTTTCTTTTCATTTACAGTTCATTATATTCATCTTAAACTATTTTAAAAATAGTACTGAGGAGTTGTTGCTGGCATGCAAAGTAAGATGGTACTAGTAATGCAAAAATTTGTGAGAGGAGCTTACTGGGTGCTGGGTGGTGGTAGGGGGCAAAGGTCTGGCCCCCAGAAGTTTTTTTATTTTTTAGCAAAGATGGTCAAAATATTGTTTAATGGCAGACCAGAGCTTTCAAACATACTTTAGAATACATCAATTTGTTTGACCTCTTATGATACAGCAAAAAAGACAGCGGTTAAATGACTTCACAGCAGCTCTTTTAGAAAGTGGATTCTAGCATTGCAAACAAATTTCCATTGTTTGATAATTAAAAGACAAACAGTTTTATGCCATGTTGAGTCACAAGTTACAATGGGAAAGTGCTTCCTTTCACTATTAAGCTGATGATAACTTTGAATGACCATTTACACTGAATTAATGATAAAAAAGAAAAAGTTCCTTAGCAGTCTTTGTTACTGTCTATGCTTCCTCTCAGGAGAAGCATTTCCTGTGTGATGAATGTTGGGCTCTATTTCCTCTCCAGCCATGCTTTCGCTGTTAACAGTTTAATATTAGATTAGGGTCATTCCATATCAAATCATCAGATATTTTTAAGATTTGTAACCCATGGTCTTAGAATTTCTTGATTTTTTTACCACAACGAGCCATTTTGGAGAAAACACCACATACAAAATTTTATCATTATATCTCTTACGGTTGCGATTTTGTAGCCGTTTCAAAAGTGACCCATTTTAGCCAAATATGCCACACCCAGTTTACCAAGCGATGGGCGCGGCTTTCTATCAATAGCTGTAACTTTTCTATAGTTGTCAATATTTACTTGAAAATAATGTCAATTATTGATTTGATACTGTAGATTTCAAATATTGCATCAGAATTTGTCAATTCTCTAAGGTGAAGCAGATAGTCATATGTTAAAGGTTATCACTTGTTTTGAAAATATTCCCAACCGATGTATATAAATATTGAAAAAAAGTCCTGTAGCTGGAATCATAGCATTAGAAGCTTGATATATTCTGAAAGTGTATTCTTTGGGCTATTAGAAAATGTTCAAGATTACAATTGCAATTGAAGTATTTTGAGTTAATTGCACCTTACAAAATGGGTATAATTTTGCAGGAATCGTGAGCAAAAAAATTTATATTTAAAGTAATATTGCATGAAATAAAAAATAGCTGCTAAAAACATTGAATCAATCATGATTTCACATTCAGAGACAACAAAGAATAATTAAAAATGATTCCTAGCCATGGACAAGCTGAGATACTGCTTTATTGTCACTGTAGCTGAAGCTCTAAGTTTGACCTGTAATTGTTTTGGATGAATCAGTTTTGCAAAGCATGTAAATGTGATACCCAGCATATGTATGATCTGCTTGATCATGTAAAGTTCTGAGTGGGTTCAGGTGGGTGCATGAAGTTCATTTGAAAGTCCCCTTCATCTTCATTAATGTCATAGCAACCCACCAGTCATTGTCATATAGGCAAGCAACATACTTTATCGTTCGAGTCCAAATGCCATTCTCTCCCTTCTTAGAAAGAAAAGCAAAGTTTGCTGCAAAGTCTCTGTCATCAGAAAATTACTTGAAAGCAATCTTTTCATCTTAAAGTAGATAAACTGGGGTGTAGCATGCAATTTTGCTTGTTCCAATGGGCTGACTGAATTTCATCTTAAGTGAAAAATTCATAGTTTTCGGCAAAGTCAGCCAAAAAACAAGAATCATCTTCATTTATTCCTTTCACTTAAGGTATTTTGACTGCAATTGTGTAAGAAAAGAATGAGAGGTCAAAGCAACAATACACTTTACAAGCAGCTCAACAAAATAAGCAATACTCAAGAACCTTGTTACTATTTTTGATCTTCTAGTGTTATCACCTTGCTGAAATAAACATGTGATTAGTGAGTGATTATTTGTGTTTAGAAATTACGTATCAGGTTAATTTTGGTTCTGTTTCTTGATCTTGAGGGCATAACATATTCACTTTGCTCAGTTGTCAACAAGATATCACGAGCTTGTAATCATATTTGATGATTACATAATCATGCTATTTTTGTGTACTGTTTGTATATAAAAGGAATGCTTATAATGATTTTGAGTAGGAGGGGATCAAGCTAGAGGTTATTAAGAGCCTTATCTTATGTTTCAGTTGATGGAAATAATAAAATTTCATTATATTGTGTGGTTTATCTCTCGTATCAGTCCATTACATACCTCTCGGTCAGTCCATTACAACATGTGTATAATCAACCTTCAATTTTAATAAAACAGCTGATCACACTCAAATATGCTTTTGAAAACATGTTAATCAAAATACCAATTTTAAATTTTTCTGCTCATAGAGCCCTATACATAATTTCTAGTCTGGTCTTATCCTAATGCCTTAACTTGGCACAATGCTCGTGGACTTTGGAGTTTAAGCCTTTGGATTCAAAATTTGATAAGGTTTTGAATTCGATTCTGATCTGAGCAACTGCAAAAAACAAAGCATTTGATTCTTTCTGAACTAAAAATTTAATTTGCACACGCAAAGATTTGAAAATTGTGCATGGAACGTCTTCCCTGTGTGCACATGCACAGTTTAGCAAACTTTCCTCCATTGGACCACATCTGGATTCTGGAAGTGACGTACATTCGTTTTAAAATCAGCTCTCTTTCTCTTGCACTTTGGCAAATTGTACCATTTGCTTGTGACAATTTAATCTACCGAGAATAACAAAATTGCATAAAATAGCGAAAAAGTTATCGATTAACTTTGTCACACAAACTCGAAAGAAGTTAATTAGGCATCACCTTTTTAACAGTGCCATTTCTTTTCTGTTCCACAAGGCAAGTCGACTCTAAGTCCACGTCGAAATCATCTATATCATCCGTGTTATTACTCATCTACTGGCAAATTGTTTTTTAACATCTAGGGGGAAGATGATAAAAAATTCGATCTTTTCTCTAGCCTATGTCAAACAAAGCAACCACCGGTCGAGCGAGGACAACAAGGTAGGCCTTTAGAAAAACTTATTCAGGCTTATAGCCAGCCAGTCTAGCTTCAATAAAATCCTATGTCTGGAATCTCTAATTTGACTTGTACGGCTTCCAACTTTGCAAAGACTCTCTGGTCAGAAAAAAGGAAGAAGACCACCGTCAGAATTTCGTTCGCGATCTCCCTGCTCCTTTACATGTGGTTGCTGCTGTTAGCAAATGGACAACATGGCCCTGGCCTCCTTTAGAACCCGACACGAAAACGAAGTTGTTGTGAGAAAAACAAACAACAACAGAACTTGTTAATGAGGATTAAGATTACAATTACAGTTGAGACAAAACAAAACAGAAGTCAGAGAGTAAGTTTATTCAAACCAAAAGAAATGGTCAAATGATCTCTCCAAGCATTAATGTCTCTGTAAGCTACAATACGTAGGAAAATCAAAGTGAGGGGTACATGTGTAGTGTAAATAGGGGTATACCTCTGTAAGCTGGTACTAAGGAAAACTGAACTTACCACTGTTTCTGAATAGTAGGCACGTGCCCCCTGCCCTGTACAACCTGGTTCCCACTTATGACAATCTACGTCAAAACAACAGTTTGCAAATAATGTAAAATAACGTTCAACGTAGAACGTGAAATGAACGGGACCCGTGGCAGAGGAAATCAATTTTCGAATTCTTTTCTTGGCTACCTATCCAAAAAAATTAATCAACAAACGGAACAGACCATGTAGCTTACGATTGCACAGCTACCCACATATTGTACACCACAGACTTTACATTCATCCTTTTATGCATGGTCCCTGCCCCCTCATTTTAAAGTTTAGCCATAACTAGTAAATCGTTAAAATTCTTATTTCGATTAAATGATATCAAAGGTGGCTTAGGAAGCTCCTTTCTATGCTCTTCTGATACTGTCAGCATAGAATGGAGTCTTCTAGCCACCTTATAAACCGGTCTGCAGAGTATGGCACTTTTCGACGAGATCTCCGGTGTGCACAAGCAAAAAGCCTGGTGTGCTGGTGTGCACCACCAAAAATGTCTGGTGTGTTGGTGTGCACCGACTATTTTCCCCTGTTGTGGTTAAAGTTTGTGAATTTGCATTTCACCGTAAAAATGCGTGTGAAGTATACTGTTGAAGACAGTGCAAGTTTTTATTTGTATGTTTGTCAAGTAAGATTCATGATATCTCAAATTGTTCATACACAACTGTGCTTGTTTTTATCAGCTGACATTTTCTATGGGATCACACCAAGCCACACCCATCTTAGTTGCCACACCCAAAAATACCCGGTGTGCAACAGGTTTTGCACAAAAATATCTCTGGTGTGCACATGCCATACTCTGCAGACTGGCTTATAAATATGAAAATATCTATTTTTATAATTATTGCTATGTATGTCTCAAAACTGCCTGATGATACCTTTGTAGAAAACACTACTCATTCATGGAACATAAAATATTGCTTGTAACTTTTTTTAAATTGTATAATTTTTAAATATTAATTGTATGATTATATATTGATTAAAAAATTAATTTGATAATTAAATTTAACAATGTATTACCTTCAAACTGGTGCTTTTTCCATAATTCCAATCCTGAAGTAAGAAATTGTGATTTTGACTAGCAGTCAAAGCATTTTGCTCATGAAACTCAAGGACTGTGCTGCATATTATATATTGAGGAGGGCTAAAATACTTGTGGGGGCTAAACCAAGAACAGAATGATTTTTGCATGGTTTAAAGTACATTTTGGAAATAATAGTAGCCAAATTACTAGACATTATTAATGGTTTGATTGCCTTCTGATTAAACATGTTTTTACTGAAGATTTGACATGCTGAATTTAAAATTAAATGCTTTTCAGTTCATCAATAATGTTAGTGGTTCTTTGAATCACAGACATTTGAGAAACTCTAGTTTCTTCCCATGAAAATTTAGAGACAACTTGGTTTGCTATTCCAGCATTCAGAAGGCCTACTTCTGGAAATGCAAATGCTTAGATATTAACAAAGATGATGGAAACAAAATTGATTCAACTGAAATAGGATTTAATAATATTGAGAATATCATGGAAATTCAAAGTTACTACATATTACCTTTTTTAATCAACAGGTGTAATGATGGCATCGTCTGGAAAGCCCTTTCCTATCATGGTCAATGACTATGAACTTTTTGAGGAGGATATGTCTCAAACTGAATATGAATATTTTCAGAAACACATCCAAGCCTTTAGGAGTATGTGGCATGAAAAGGTATTTCGAATTAGATAGCTCTAACCTATTTTTAAACTTTGATCTATATAGTGTCATTTCATTATTTTTTTCCTTGCTTCTACGCTTTTTTGATTTGCCAAAGCTTGCAGTGAAAACTAGGCACATCCAACTACTGGAAATATATACTTAAGGTTTTCCATTAAATTTCAGTTATTTGTATACCATTTTAGTTATAAACTAATCACGATTCCATGCCAGCATGCAAACAAACTACAGATGATTCTATGCCAGCTTTTATTGAACACCACAGATACAGTCTTAGGTTTGTGCCCCAGCCATGATCAAACTTTTACTGGGTGGAGAGTTGCCAGCTCTCTGTAATCTCAGACATAAGTTTGGACACATTCAGATTCTTCTTGGTCCTCTATTGGATATTCTGCTTTCTCCTTTCAGAGTGTAGATGACAAGGTTGAATTCGTTGATGAGTTTTTTAAGTTTTCAGAAGAGTTTGGCTATATAAGAGACTTTCCATTGAAGGTATGGTGATGTATATTTGCTTTGACTGTTTTACGTTTTCCTTGTTTTTTTAAATAGTGTCTATGCGAACAGTTGATGTAACCATTATTGGGGGTATCTACTTTGGGAAGAGTTTCTGACTGTCATTAGATGAAATAATTCTTAATTTGTGATGAAATGCTGCATTAATATGAATTGCTGACTTTCATAATTAGAAGTTAGTTCTGCAGTTTGGGAGTTTCAAAATTAAGTTTAAGCTCTATTTCAATGCTTTTCAGATGGATTCAAAAAGAAAATTCTTTGATATGTCAAAAGAATTTTTAATAGACCAATTTGCAAAAGGTGAGCTGGATTTTTATTCAATCGTGTGATGATTAAGTTTCTGATTTAAGAATTATAAAATAGGGTTGTCAGTCAGTAAGCAGGAAAATTGCATAGAAAGAACTTCAAGGTTTATGGAAGCTATGACAAGTAAACTGACTTGGCAGATTCAATGTTATAACAGTACACATAGCTGTTTTTACAGTTTATAATCTGGTTTACATAAGCTGAAAGATCTCTGTTCAAAATGACTTAATGTGTTAAAATTTGGCTGAGATATGCCCCGGATTTAAACCAATGGCGGATTTAGGGAGGCAGCAGCAAGAGGCAGTTGCCCCTCCCTCAACGAGTTGAAGCAAGTCTGGCGCTCCTTTTTTGGAAATTGTACGCCCCTTTTGAAGAATGAGAATCAGATGGAAAAGATTCTGAGACCGATAGGTTAATTTTCTTCAAGGATTACCTCAAAGTTACGCTGTTTTTTCCGAAAATGTATCTGAAATTGCTGTATACAGCGTACTCTCGTCACCACTTTGAAATTTTTTCAGCGCCCCCACTACCAACTGCCCCTCCTTCAAATTTGCTCTGGATCTGCCCCTGATTTAAACATGGTTTATCTACGGACCGCGGTTTCAACAAAAGGTGCGTCTTTCGGTATAAATTCGCAACGGTTTACGGCTTCTATAATACGATTGCGGCTTTCAAATGAAATAACGGTCTGCGACAAGGCTTTTCACTTTACACCAAAGGTTTTGAATAGAGCCCCATGTCGAATAGGAGAAACGTAAGAATGGACAAGCTACTGTCAGTCATTGCTGTCAGTTAGAACAAGAGAGGGAGAGGAAATGTAAACAATAGTGCCCATACCAAAGAGGTAGAATAACATAGTGATATAGTGTAACTGGCACCTCTATGGCCGTGTAAGCAGGGCCGTACTTCCCACTGGGCCAACAAACAAATAGGATTCCCAAGAAATATTCGGGAGTTTTATATGGTGTCATAGGGTTCTTTTACACTTGTCAAATGTTTTCGAAGAACATTGTCTCCGCAAAGCGGACAAAATATCTACGTACAGTTTTCAGAATGATTCATGGGATGGTCAGTCCCAATTATTCATAATAAAAGGGGTTGACGTAATATTCATGACTAGGGAATTTTCAGAGGATAATTTTACAGATAATTTATCTTCTTCGTCGGCTCAGAGTCAGGGCACAGGTAGGTTGCGCAGTGAGGTTTAATAAACGATTCATTTAGTAGAGCTTGAGTAGGGCTAGCTTTTTTCGATTTTTAATCCATTCAAATGATTCAGGGTACACACTTTTTATAAGAAAATAGTCTACAAGAATATTAAGGCGCTAAATCGCTGAAATTTAAGAATAGTTTAAAAATAATGCAACGCTCAAGCTTCATCAGGAATCAAATTTTTGGTTTATTTTGAGTTTTGTTCAAAGCAAGAAAAATGTGAGTTTTAATAATTAAAAAATTTTGCGGCTCAGCAAAAGTTAGGTATTACAAAAAAATGTGGGAATGTGAAAAATACTTGGGTACAAACACGTTGATGTGAGATGTTTAAAAATGTTTGGATTGATACAACGATAGCTTGCTGCGAAATATAGTGAGGACCATTAGAAACAGTTACTTTTTATCCCCCTTTTCTAATAGATGATTTTTGGTGTCTCGTGACGTTTTGCGAGGCCCGATAAGAGGTAACTCATAACTACATTATCTCATAATTCATGATGATATCTTACAATTAATTCATATTTCAAATTACCAAAGCAAAGTATTTCGAAATTGTCAAATGTTCCATTCCTACCCCCAAAGTAGAAAGTTTTTGAGGAGATGTCAGAACACATTGGACCGACTCATATACAAAATGGACTGAGTCTTCAAAACCAAACTTTGCAGATAAAAATATTGAAAATGTATAAAGAATATGTTCTTGAATAGCCAAAGGGCCCCGTACTTAGGTAAAAAAGGGAATTGATTCTCTTTGGAACTGTGATGATCCTTTGGTACTTTTGAGGGGAATCTAAGGACACTGGATGATAAATCTATCGTTGTTTTGCTCAACTTGTTTTTGGGTAACAACTAAAGAAACTCGAAAAACATACACGTATCAAAACTGATAGTCTAAAGTCTTTTGCGTGGAGGGTACAACCTGAAGGGGCCAGTCTTCGTCTATTTTGTTTAAAATAAGAATAACCTCGCGGAAAATATGTCTAGCCTCAGATAAAAAAAATTGAAAAATGAACAATATCTGTTTGGAGATTTGAAGATTTAGAAGACAGATTTTATCAGCAAATAAATCCTGCAACTTAAATGGTTTACAAAACTGTTGTTTAGTTGTATTAGAAAGAATTCGTAGTATAAAGATGTGGAACAATTAATGTAGATAAAAACATTTTTATGATGCTGTCTGGTATTTTCGTCTATTTTGTTGAAATAATATAACCCAAAACTATTTGCGGTAGATTCTATGCTATTGGCATTTTTACTAATCATGAAGTATGAAAAGCTGCCTCTTCTTTTAAGCGCCTCCTGTAAGAAAATGCCCCGAAAAAGTTTGAAAAATTTAAAAGAGCAACCCAGGCGTAATATGGTATCTTGACAGCTTTACATATCAAAAGTCACTTGAGTCAATGCTGTTATCAAATAGATTATTCAAACACAACATTAAAAGATGTATTCAGTTATTTTGTTATTTCATATTGGGAACCAAAGTTATTTCATATTTCAGAGCCAAATAATCTAAATAGTCTAAATATTTTCTACCCGAAAATTAATTATTTCATATTTCAATTACCCCTTATGTGGCCGCCTTTGCTATCGCGGCCACATCTTCGCGCTTAATCCTTTTGGTCCCCCTATAATAGGCCCCCCTTAAATAAAGCTTGCGTGTTCAAGGCAACGCCAGAAACAATTTCTTGAGTCAGTTGAAAGCGAGAATAACCAATGAAGGCCTTTAATCCATATAAATCTAGTAACAGGGAAATCAGAAGAATTTTCGTCCATTTGGAAGGAATTGTAAGCAAATAGAACGATATGTTCGGAAAATTTATCGAGCAAAAAGTGCAAGCACTGCAAATTTAACATACTAAATAACTTGATTCAAATCCATTTGGTCACCCTATTATTTTCCCGCGCTTTGGTAAAAACAAATGAATAAATATAAAACAGGCGTGCGATAAAACACATTTCCTAGTGTGGGGGGGGCGTGTATCAACGTGCACTTTCATTTTCAGAAAGTACAGTTTTTATAATAACATTTGGCTTTATGTTTCGTTGAGGATAAAAGAAAGTTTGTTATTTTTCTTTTTAGCAAAATATTCAGTTGCAAAGAACCTCGTTCCTCAAATAGCTACAATAGCAAGTAATAGAGAAAAAATTTTCCAGCATGGCTCACTGGCGAGAGGTAAAATTTAAATTCTCTGTTAAAATTTGTAGATTGACTTCTCCTCGCATTTACAATTTCGCTGGGAAGTTTTCAAGACAGTATAACCATAAGATCTGTTGTAATTGTAGAGACGAATAAGTTAAGCATTCTCTCTTGTTTTCTTCCAGGAAAGGATCCTTTCTACAATATAGAAACAAGGTCTGTGTCAATTTTTTGTCTATTGCTATCTTTTCAATGCTCACCCTGTTATTCAATACCTGTTTGTTATTTAGTGCCGAGGTTTTGTGCATTTGATATCTATGGCCAGGTATTTACAAGCTTGATTTCTTAAACGAAGCAAAACCAAGCAGCAACTCTAAGTTAAGTTATCAAATGCAACTTTTATATTGAATTAGACATGTATACTGCTGCAATTCTAGTTGTTCAATGAGACCTACCTTACTAATTGACATGGAAACGTTACAAAGTGTGTCATTAGTGGCCCGATTAGGTTTAATTCCCCAATAGCTATTACATGGCTGACAACGTAGGTACAAATTGACATTTCGACAATTGCAGATCAACTTTTGATCTTTGATGTGTTTTTAAAGCATAAAATGTTGAATTTGTGTTATTTTGCGAAATTTGTTCCAAACGTTACTTCGTTCATTGGCTTTGTTCAAGATGGCTGCAATATTTTGTTTTGTTTTTATGTGACGTTTTTTGTTAAAGGGATACCTTTAGAACATTTTTTGGTGAGCCTGGCCATGTGGACACTTTTAAGAAGGTAAAATTTTATTTTCTTGCCAAGAAATAAACACATTTCTAATGTAAAACAACTTTGCCTTGCAAGTTTTGTTAAAAATTAATTCAAGTCTGCGAAAAAAATTCAATTTTCATGTTCTGAAATGATGGAAAGACATTTTTGGATAGAATTTGAAACGATCCATGGCTTTATTTAAGTGCTATTAAAACATTTAATCAATGCTGTCTGTTTCCTAAGGCTGTCGCAAATATGCCTTTATACACAAGATTTGGAGGAGCATTGTGTCGAATTTTAAGAAGATGGGTAGAAGGGATACAAATGACCCCTGATTTGTTTGAAGCAATGAAAAATAGACCATCTATAATCACCCATGATCATCAGAGAGAAAGCCAAACAAATAGGAGTTCAACTGGGCAGACAAATACTAAAGAAGAGCCAAAAGAACCGAAAAGCAATGCTTTAGAAGAGAAGAAACCCGTTTATGGGCATTATTTGGATGAGAAGATGCCATTTATGGCCGACAGTGAAATTAAAAAGGAACGCAAATCTGAAAGTTGCGTTGTTGAAACAAATAGTGAGAAAAAAGAAGCATGCAACGAAAACAAAGGAGGTATGACCGACAAATTTAAACAAAATTCAGAAGAAACAGGGAAAAAATTACATCACTGTGGATATTGTTTGGATATTGAAGTCAAACCGAAGATGTACAAAAAATGTTCTTTGTAAGTGTTTACGTATGCATGATGTCTATTAACTTTATTATTTTTCAATGTTCGATCTACGTCAGTGTTATTCTTTGTTTTCATTCAGGTAAGAGGTTTTCTAATTAATCAATGTTTTTGTTGCTGTGATATATTTATGTATTTATCTGTTTAATTTTTATTTATTTATTTATATTCTTATTTATTTATTAATTTATTTACTTAATTTACTTAATTCATTTATTCAATTTACTTAATTTTTTATGGTAATGTGTAACTCGAAATGCCTAATCCTGGTGAGATTCATTCCTCAGCTTACTACATGCATTATCCATTCCTTTGCTAGAATCAACAAAGCATGGGCATTAGGTTTTATGATTATGATTATTATGATGATCATATAGTCAATTATGATTTATTGCAGTTTTAAGACGCACTTTCGCCATCTTCGTTGTTCTTTTGTGGGTTTAATTTCAATGTACAACGAAATTGAACACGCATGACGCATTGTTTTGTTATTGTAGACCAATAACGCCTTTTGTAGACCAATGTCATTGTTTTTGTAGACCAAAGTCATTGTTTTCAAACTAATTCTATTGTTTAGCTAGACCAATAGACAGTACGACACTGTGCCTTTCGTAAATGCTTTTTGATCAGCTTTAGCCATAAACCTAATTTCGATTGCGTTACCGAGTCTATATACAGCTGTTATAACATATCTACAAATAGTTTCTTTTCTGATCTTTGTAAAGCAACCTTTCATACAATTGATTAAACAAAATAAGCTGTCATCCTTTCGTACCAACAAATTTCAATATTGCACACGAGTAAGCAAATATTATTACAGCTCGTTGAGTCCGACACTCCTCAAGGGGATAGTGACCAAAATTATTGTAATGTAAACTTCAATCAACTTGTAACCCGAAAGCTCAGTTCCCTAGATATCTTCATTTTAGAGCCTAGCAGTTTTGAATTTAATTCTTGATGATTCACCTTGTTTTGGTTAACTTTCTAGCACAGTGATTGTGTAACAGCAATTAAACTACTAAATGGGATTTTTTTTGCAGGTGCAAGGGAAAAGGAACTCGCTTTTATTGCTGCAAGGATTGCCAAAGTAAAGTTTTTGTATTCCTTTAATTATTTATCTATGTTCAACCAATTTTCTATTTCTTATTACAATAACAAATAAGTATTGCGTTCCCTTCTTATCTTTAAGTACCATTTTACTGATTGGAAGAGTCGGCGTGGAAGAAGCATCAGTCATGTGTTTTAGCCAAAACATTTAATAATATTACCTAGACTCGCTATTTTCTTAGATAAGACGGAAACTTCTTATTGCTTTCTAAAAAGAGATTTAATGGATTAATTTTTGTATTACTCTTATTCTCATTTGAGCTGCTGTATGTCCTCAGACTGTCTCCATGAGTCCTTCCTGTCGATAGCCCAATGAATCTGTCCATTGATTCTTATGCCTAATTCTCCAGTTCGTTTGCAAAGACCAAAAAAGTACTTACTTGTACTATATTTTTAATCAGTGTATTGTAAAGAAACTTTACAATCATTTGTGATAACCTAAATGTACACTTTCAGGCTCAAAACATGCTTTCGATTGGTTAAGAAACCCTCATTCATACAAGTGCCCTAAATCATTTAGATCTTCGTCTAACTAACTACCAATAGACAAAATCTAAATTTTGACCGTGAAAAACACGACTTTCTTCTTTTGGCAAAAATTATCCATGGTCAAAGTATATTGGCGTTGAAATGGCGATGATATCGATCAGTTTCCAATTCATTTCTTCAGATCTGGGCTTGCCTCTATTTAACGACTTAATTTTTTGTAATCTCAGCTGCCAAGCGTATCAATTCAACTTGCACACTTCATTTCCATATTTGCCGTTGATCTTGAATTTTTTGCTTTTATTTGACCTACCTTATTTTTCTGTTTTCCCTGTTACAATTGCCCATACTCGAATCAAGGGTCTAGCTGTATTTTCTGCCAAAATGGAAATTAATAGCCCTAAGACTGTCAGCGAAGTTTTAAGCAAATACGATTTGCCAATTTATGCCTTTCCTTAATGCGTCTGAACTCACCCATTCATTCATTCATCCATTTATTCATTCATTCATTCATTAATCATTATGAAAGGTGCGGTTGTTTCAATACATCTAATTCACATCTTTGCTTGCTTCATGAGACCCTAGCCATATTTTCAGGATACATTCTTCGAAGAGAGAGTACAAATATGACAAATAAACAATATGTGTATAAGTGACGTTTGTCAGAGGTTTCAAACACTAGTAAACCTTGTGCTAAATACCTTTGTTTTTCATAGGAAATGATTGGATGGACCGACACCGACAGGAGCATGTAGATAAAGCTAATCACAAGAATCTTGGCCTGTAAAAGCTAGATGGAAACGTTTTTTACTTGGATGGCCTTTTTGGTTTCTTTTCAATGGGCGGATAGTTTACATGACTTTGCTCCACGACTTTGTCTGACCTTGCTTTTGGGTGATTTGATAAACATGATCGTTTCTATTATGTCTGTATACATTGTTCGTTTATGGAAGTTTTTTGGTCATTAAGAATGTCATGCTGAACGGAAAGGAATTTTTCGCTGGAAAATGAGAGCTTAAGAGGTTTTTCCTTAGGAATGCATTTGAACACAAAATATCATGCGTCGTGGCGAAGATATTTAACAGGAACAAAACCTATTGACTACAAGAGGATTTTTGAAAAGTCTTGCCAGTGACTGCAGCCTTTCTCAGACAGCCAACACACCTGCATAAGCGTCCAAACTCACACACCCACTGCAACTGGGATGATCAGACAAGACGAACATTCTTTGAAGAGTTGGTATAAGAGCCCTGGACATTTTTAATTCATTCTATCGTCTTTTACAAAAAGATAACAGTTTGCTCTGAATTTTAATGCCACGAGAAGTATAACAAACAATTTGAATTTTAAGACCAATGTCCCATTAGAGATATTCTGTGTAGATTTTGCATGCAATGATATTTTTCCTATGATTTTAAGCTCTAACTGATAGGTCATTTGATTTTAACATTTCAGATATCTTTTCTTTACGCTGCTTTTGCTGGCATCCGAGCATTTTTGTCTCTTCATAGCTATGTTCTGTTAGTATTAATTTGATACTTTTTCACAACTATGGTGGTACTTTTTTGTACGATTATTCTCATTAGATTTTTTATCAACGGTTGAAATATCTCATTGCTTCACTGCATTGCTAGATCTTTATTCCTAGCAAATAAGAAGTATTTAGCAACTAGTGTGGGCGACTTTTTGACTGTTGCAGTCTTTCAAAACAGTACATTCAATAAACATTTTCGAGATGAAACAAAAATTCATTTTATTTGGAAATATCTATGAATTTCTCCACTTTTGAACAAAACAGGCTGTGCCGCAATTGGAAGAAACGAGAAAATTAGTATATGTTATGTTCACTTTTTTCTGAATTATAGATCGAAACACTGTCAATGCCTTTGTAACCTTCATGCAGGATTATTTGATGATTCGAATGTATTCTTCCCCTGCAGGAATAGATAATTGGAGATGATATAGCTGACTAGTAATATCTGAAAAGTTTTATATAAGGAATCAGAAAACCAATGGCGATACCAAAGGAGCATGCTAATAATCGGATTCATGCAAAACTACTGGATTGGTGCCGTAAATGGCAGACAATTATCAGTTTTTGTAATGTACCAGTAATGAAATAATGCAAAATATTGAATATGCATTATGACAAAATGTTCTAAAAAATTACAGCTTTTTGAAATAAAAGCTGAGATTTAAATGCTGATATGACAATATTTCCTTTTTCTTTCTTAAATCGGAAATATGTTACCTAGCAACATAGCTATTGCAACAGGAATGTCGCCATTGGAATTAGGTATCAAGTCTTCGATTTCTCTAATATCTAGTTACTTGCGCAAGTGATACTCGAATTTATGCTAAACCGTTGAGAAACAAGCATCAAAGCTGCAGCTGATGAACCATTGGTGACAGGTAAGCAACAACCTTTTCGCAAAATTTTACAATTGACGAAGAAAGAATTTGAATTGCATCAAATACACTTATTTTCATTTTGGATTGCATTTCAAATTGAAATCAGCATAGGGATTATAGGGAGACAGGAATCAATCTACGCAAAATACCGTAAAATTCATATCAAGAATATCATTGGGAACTCGCGGAGATTATATATAGGGAACTGAGCTGGTATATCAATAAGGCAAAAAACTATCCATTAAGCAAAATACAATGCTAAATGATTTCAAAAGGGTTTGTTGTAGCAGATGAATTTCATGCTATACAGAAATGTTTCCAAACTCAATCTGTTGAAAGTTTAAATTATTTTATTTTGTGTCCTATGACTCTGATTATATCTTGTTATGCAGTGAAGTCCAATTCACGTACAAAAAAGCAGCCACCAGTTGTCTTTTCACCGTGATGTTTTTCAGACTCCGTACAAATATTGAAAATAGGTTTCCAGTCACAACTGTAGTTTACCTGGTACATTACATTAAAACAGTAACAAATTACCATGCTCACCCAACTGCTTAGAGTGATAGATTAATCATTGAAGATATCGCGGACACAGGTGTAACAATCCCGATGAAGAATGTCCCGACCAGGGACATCATTTTCGAAAAATCCAAAGCCCCAACCCCTTTAAGATGAAATTTATCGTCCCCGATCAGCCTGAAGCTCCGTCTTTTGTACGATACCCCATCGCCTGTCAGTCTAAGACAATTTTGCCCCTTCCATATTTACCTGCTATCCCCCCCCCCTAAAGCTCGGATTAGCACCGAAAGAGTATCTAACATTAGGTACGTCTAGGAAGACCAGGAATCGTTTCTCTGGTAGTATGATAATACGTATCTAATGTATATTTATTTCTTGCTGTCTCTTGAATGCACTAATTCTTTCAGGAGTTATTTTAGAAGTGCACTCTTTTTCTTAGGCAGTTCAATCTTTTCTATGGTAATGTTTTTCTTAATGCAAGGCACCTTTAAAAAGATGTTGGCAAAATGAAGACCAAATGAAGCATCCGAGGGCCAAATGAAGGCTAAATTCCGATTGATTTCAAAAAATAAAACATTGGATATCCTGCCATCTCAACACTCAATTCATTCTAAAAGCTTAGTAATCTGGTCTGCCAGCCAGACTTTTTTCAATGGCAAGCTTGATAAGATTCATTGTTCTTTCCCAATTGATTCTGCATTTCAGAGAATTCTCTGTTGAGTCCCTAGAAACAGATACCAAACCCACATTTATTTGGCATTGAAAACGTTGCAGCCTTTCCTGCAGTACTACCGGGTAGCATATTGTTCTTTTGTCAATGCTTGCGCTGGTGACGATACCGATAAAAGCAAATATTGATTTTAAAACGAACTAGATAAAACAAGATCTAAAGTATACAGATTCTCTTTAGTAAAACAAACTAAGGCCATGGGAGGGAGTAACTATGTACCAGTAACAGGAACTAGAGAAGCGCATATAAGGTGAAGTGCAACGTTCTGTGGACCAATGTGAAAAAAATTCCATGTATTATTATTGTCATGGTAATTGAAAATATGCCAAATAAAAAATAAGTCAAAATAAATAAACAAATGTTTGCGACCTTTTTTCAGATCGAATATATAACTTGTCCGATTTGATGATTCATAAAATACACAAGTTAACAATTTTTAATGCTTTTTAGATCCAAATTTACAATAAAATAATTTAATTTTGCATGAATTCAGGATTTATCCTTTTTACAGTTTTGAAAAATTCAATGTAGAGATACCTTAGCCGACCTGCATGCATTGTGCATTTTTGTGATTTACAAGCAGGGACGCCGGAACGACCAAGGGGCAAGGGGGCAAGCTTGTGTAAAAGGGCATTCGAAAGATGGTTCCAAGATACTAACAATTCTTTCGTAAATATCATTTTGTCTCGATCAATTGTAGGTATCTTAAAAATCAGCAAACCTATGGCATAAGAAATTTCTTCACAAAATTTTGAAATGTCGTCATGAATAAGGCAGTACAGTCGGAATTGTATTTGAATCCTTTGAGAATAACAAACGGCCGTTGTCGTTGACACTTATATGAAAAGGGCACTTGGGCCCCCCTTGCCTCTCCTATCGAAAGGCAACAGGGGCGGTTGACCCCATGCGCCCCCCCTCTCCGGAGTCCCCGTTTGCAAGGCAAATCTCCATAAGATGTATCATGTCTAGAAGCAAAAATTGAATATTTTCTGTTGTGATTATGACATCATTCAAACTATTCACCCACTTAAAAAACTGATGGGAAATTGTTCATTCACCGGAAATCTTTATCAAAGTATAGGGATTCCTTTTTCTACACGGAATTCGTCCAACGTATTATGTACTCGCTTCTTGAAGGCAATTGAACCCTCTAAGCCCCCCTCCACGACACCCTGGAAGCATTTTGGTATGACTCCTATCAACAATCTATCAAAAGAAACGTTTACATATGCTTTTGCCATAAACATCCTCAAGGAATGTTTCGCAGCTGCAAACATAGTTGTTAGAAAATCTGAAAAAGGATGCTGGAGTACAAGGAGCCTCGTCATCATCATCAACCTTATTAAGTGTTTAACGTGAAGCATCTTAGAGACTACATGGACAGAATTTACAACTATTAGCAAATGCTGAGCAGCAGCATTTCTAACCACAAAACCAACTTTTGATAAGAATATTAAGTTTATTTATATTTGGGGACGATTTGATTCAATTTGGAAGTGACGTCTAGATCATTTGGCCTAAGTAACTGGTCAACTTAATCTAGTAAATTGTAGTTTTCACCGTTAGAATGTAAAGATACCACATACGTAGATCATGGCATATGCTACTGGGGAGAAAAAGTCTTTCATTAATGTGGAGCTCAAATTATGCAAAGCTTTAAACGCCTCAAGCGTTAAACGTTGAATGCATGTGTACTGTAGTAGATCTAGACCTCTACAACAGGTCATGGTAAGTAGAGGAGTAATCTGAGAGGGCTAGTCGTAAGGCTCTTTCATTAATTTTTTCTAGTTTTTTTGGCTTTCATTGCTGCCAAATCCAAATAGCCATACACATAAAGGCAGTAGCTAAAATGAAAAGTTAAAATAGATAAATAATAACCTGTTTTTCTTGCTGCCAATGAACCGAGCAAATATTTTGAGACAATTGAGTTGCAAAGCAGCTTTTTACAGAGGTCATCAATATGTGAATCAAATTTCAAGTAATTATCAGTTTGGAATCCAAGAAAGCTTACCTTATTACTGACATTAATTCTGAAATAATTTTTTATTGCAATTTCCTTAATGTGCTTATCCATTTATTTACAACTATTAACTAAAATTTTATTTGGTTGCATGTCATGTAGTTGGAATTAAACCAATCAATGCGTTTACTATTTGTGTCTATTATAGCTAACCTACGAAGATCTTCAGTATCACTAGCAAATCAGCAAGATTGCATTTAAAGCCTTTACCTATAGCAAGAAAGATGCCGTTTATGAAAACATCAAAAGAATGGGCCCTAGAATTGAACTTTGGGTTACCCCTTGAGTAGGTTGCTACAACTACTAAAACCCCCACTGACTTAACCATGTTTCCTGTTTGTAGAGTAACTTTGCATTAATCTAAGTGAATTCATGCTTACACCATGAGCATATAAGTAAGCGATTAATAAGTTCGTTGGCGAGCTGTCAAAAGATTTTGATAAATCCATCAACACAGCTCCGACAATTTTGCCAGCTTCTAGATCTAATTTTTAACCTTCTAATAATCTTATCAAGGCAAGCTGAGATGGAAAACTTCTTCTGTAAGCATTGTGAAAAGGCATTCTCCAGAAATAGGGATAATTGTATTTTTTGGAAGCTTGCTTTCTATTGCTTTTTGAAAAGATTTTGGAAAGAGCAGTTAAAACATTTATAGTCCTATAGTTTTCTATACAGGAAGGGTATATCTTTTTGTGAACTGTAGAGACAACTACCCGTATGGATGGATGCATCTGCTAAAAATGTTAACTAAGAGCTGTGCGATTATGTCAGCATTTAAAAACCTTTTATGATTGAGCGTTTTGTAGGCCCTGATGACAGATTTTCCAGCTTACAATTTGACAATTCGTGCTAGAAAGCTTGGCAAGGCACAGAATTTGACACCAGATAGAATTCTAAAGCTGTTTTGAAATCTATGGTCAAATCAAGAATCCTTCGAGCTTGCTCACTTTGATGTAACAGTGAAATGCATCAATTTCTATTTCTATCCCTCTTTTTATTGCGAAAAGATAAAATGGTTCCAAAATACTTCATACTTCGTTCATGAATTATTGAATATATTGATTTCTGCTTGCATATCATTTCAACTTCATTTGGAACATGTTAACTCGCATCTCCTTCAAATAAATAAAACTTCGTTAAACATCGGCTTCATAGAGTGTTGCTTCCATAAAAACATTCTAACAATCTTAGTGATCCCATCTATCAAGGGATAGACCAGAAAAAACATGACAAGAACAACTTACAGAAGGCTTATCCTTTAAGAAAAATGACCAGAAAACTTTTTTATTTCTATAATTCAAAATCAGCCCTTCTATTATTTACTCCCAGCGAAAGTGCTTAACATTGGGAAATTGGCTTGAAAAACAATAAAGTAGAGGTAGATGCCACTGAGAAAGAAACTAAATAGAGTTTAATCTCATTTTAGGTCTGCATCTAAACAGAATTTAGAAATTCTGTCCTCTACATAATTTCTTCCAGTAAAATCTATCTGATTCAGCAGTCTTTTTCCATTATCACCAATATATATACGCAATCAATGATTGTCACAAAAGAAGAAGGAAAGAGAACATCAAAAAGAGATTTCCGCTTATAAAATACGTTGATTATATTCATTTTATGACCCAGCTGAACAATCCTATTGTAGACAAATACAACTGTAATTTATTTTTTTTACAAATCAAATGCTTCCAAAAGAGGTAATGTCAACATTTTATAAAAGTAATTTCAATCTGGGGCTTTTTATCGAAGTTATCAGTCTTGTGATTTATTCGTTGTGTTTGAAGTATAATTTTGATGTATTCATCTAAACTGACAATTGTTTTCTACAAAAAGCCTTAGAATATCCCTATCATCGATATGTTAGTTTCATATTCTTTTTCATTCAATCTCATTTCCTTTACTCAAGTTGAAAGAGTTCCTGTTTTTTTACATAATCCAATAAAAAGTTACAATACATATTACTGTCTACACTGCTAACAAGAACTACTTTACAATACTACTGGGACGAAAACCCCCGGGGAGCAAAAGACTGTGTCTACCCCAATGGCATTAACATTTATATACACATAAATATAAGAATAAGAAATAAAAATAAAAATACGTTACAGAAAAAAAATGGTTTATTGTATGTTTGTATTGTTTTATATATTCCTGTTTTATTGTATGTTTCAAAAAAGGTATTCATCTATAACACGATTTAGAATTTTTTCATCATTGCTGACTATATAATCTCAAATAAACAATAGAACCTGATGAGTTGCCAATTTCTAACAAATGTTCCACTGATTCTTCCTTCTGATCTTCCAAAACAGTTGAAAGCACTATTTGCTATCAAAAACCTTTTGATAGCAAGGAGAAATCTTCTGAATCATCTTTTAATGCTTTGTTTGTAAAACCAAAATACCTACTTTAAATAAAATCTAATACATTTCTTTCGCGATCGGTATCAGCATGTTCTAGGAAAAAATAAAAACAGAGCCAATGATTTGGAAGATTCGTCATGCTAACGTAGGTGCAGTTGTTTGTTCCGTGACGAAATTAATCTGTCGTCTAGCTGACTTCCTTAACGAATAAAACCCCTTGTCAATCAGAATCAATTGGTTTTATTGAAACTTTACATCTACATTTGATTTAAATTGTCAAAATAGCAGATAAAGATAGAAGGAGGCTTAATGTCAACACAGGGATGTCAACTTAATGTCTTTTTATTGTGTCGTAGATTCAATATTTGTTAGTCGGAAGATAAGATTTTGATGTAAATGCAAATACCTTCCGATTCAAAGAAAGATAACTGAAGTGGTTGTGTCTTGCTTGCCATTCTAGCAGTGGATCTACATGGTTAGAGATCAGAAAGCAGAGCTCTTGAAGAGGTGGAAAGACAGTGAATGAAATTGTACACGAGGTTCGTATCTTTAAAGCAATCTTACAGGTGAAGATGGTTCTCTGCAGCAATATGAAAATATACTGGGAGAAGATATAATGAAATACTCTCGAGTATGATTTGCTTTGTAATATTATTTCGAATAACCATGACTTATATTGTTTTGCCCGTGTAGACATCGTGGTGTTCGCATTGGATGTAGACATCATGCTTAAAAATAATGTTGAAGTATAGTTTAGAAGAATTGCGTTTTTGATCAAAAAGCCATGAAAAATCTCCTGCAGAGTGTCAAGAGAATATTAGTTTGATAGCCATTGTTCAACAGTAAGTAGCAAAAAAAGATGTGCTGTTTGAAAATTATTCAGCCACAGAGAACATTTTAGCAAAAATCCTCATTAAAGGTACAATAACAGTTAAACATTTCATTTATGATTCAAAACTTTTATAGCAGAGGAGGTAATCAAATCCGGTTATTTTCAAAGAAAAACCAATTTTGCGACATTTCTCAAATCAATGAATACAAGTATCAATGAAGTATCACCAAAAACATAGCTAGAAGGTTCAATGATTTTTATTCCAGCTTAATCGCCAGCTACAAGGGCCTACATCTAACGCCAACATTATGTTAAATTTCTATACCACTCACAATGAATTTGATATTGGTGCCGCGAATCTAATGTTGTTCCTATGGCTGTAATCGAACGTGGTGATAAAAATATATTTCATTAAGATAGATTTGAGCTGTTCTTATTTTAATGAATTCGACCATACATAATTTTCTCAAGTTTTTCTTAAGAGTCGATCATGACTTATCTTTTGGTAGATGTTCACCAGAGGGAATTCAATGTCTCTTGACCACTTACATCGTTTGCTAAGTCCTTCAGTCTTGACCAAGTGAATCAAGCATCGGCATAAAGCATTCTCCGTCCCAACCCCATTGTTGAATAAAACATGTTTAATTCATCAGTCTATGTTTTACAATGTTTTCAGATGTTTTATGATGATTTCCATCAAACATTTCGTAAAACTTTTCCTTTGTTCTCATGCATAAAATTTTTATTGTTGAGGTGATGATGAATTGAAACCAATAAATTATGATAAAACTTTGTTATACTCATGCAAGCGCAGTAAGTTAAATTCGACAGAAAATGCAATAACTGTAGAAAGCTTTGCAGCAGCGCGTAACCACGAAATTTTTTTTGCCATTTGTTTAAATCGTTTGCCAAGGCCATAGACATCGTCCAACGATCAACAATTTTTGAGAGGTATTGATTTATAAGATTTTTTAGATGATTGATGCGTTTATGTTGTAAACTTTTAACTCAGTAATGATCCAACATAACAAAAGATGTCATTATCAGTTCAAATTTTCCGGGTCAAGACATAGGAAGATTTTAATTCTTATAAGGATGGTAGTTGAAATATACGTTTTCATTAAGTACATTTTCAAACTAAATATTACTAAAGAATTAACATTTTTATTGAAGATTTTGCTGAATGACAGGGGCCCTAGTACACATTCTTGTGGTACTCATTCATGAACATATAACTTTGCATCTAAGCTTTCTTCTTTATTCAAAACAAAAAGACAGTTGCCTATTTTCTTAACATTTTCTCAATTTGTACAATTTTATATGCTTACACTCTAGAAGAAGTTCCTGATCATCGTTTAGTGCATGAAATTCGAAGTTTCAGCTTAGAACCTTCCTATTTGTACAGTAAAGCGAGTACAGCTCTGGCTATAACGGCATCGAACACTATATTACAGGCCGGTTAAACAGTGATATACACTAAAATGTTAACGTAAAAATATTTCCACTTCATCTACTGCACACAAGCAAACTAGATTCCTTATTCAGGATGACTGATAATACAAGTGTACCGACGATAAACAATTGGGAGATTAGATATCAGGTATCAAAAACTGCTCTGCTCTGCACTAGAATGTTTAATATTTTTAATCCTCCTGATGTTTTTATCAAGCATAGTCAAATACTCAAATGGATACAATTTTTCCTCTATCCTTTGTCTTTTGAAAGATCACACATTCCTTTGCCTAAAATGCTTGTATTTGGCCTTAAATCGCAGCAAATTAGATTTCGAAGGCCATTTCATACTCTCGTATTTGCATCTTTTTTCTAACAGAATAGTTTGAAAGCACGCATCGGTTGCCTCATTAATAAAATGCTTGATCGTGCATAGTAACCCACCTGTCGTGAGAATGAAAGTTCTGCCTGATCGTCTGGTAGCAATGTGTTGCCTTGTAGGTGCTTGACATTTAAGTAATAATGTTATCAAAGCATTCAATCTTAGGCACCTCATTATAAATGTAAGCAAGCATATTAGTAACGATTTTGCATATTTGTTTTATTTTTGATTTTGTTTTTGCAAGTGAGCAACAGGAAATAACAAAAAAATATGGAAACAGCATCAATGAAATTGTTTGCAATTGCAGCCCTCGTGTTGGCATTAAATAGAGTATCTTGGTGAGTACATTGCGTCTAACGCACACTTAATTGTTAAACTTTTAGTTAAGTAGTCATCAAAATAGCAACAGCTTTATGCTTAAAACGATGTACAAACCGACAAATGTTGGAAATCATTACTCAAATTAAGGTTTACTTCTTAGTTTTATAATATATGCAATATCATGTTTACAGGAACTTGCTTATCAAGATTTATATTAGCCTATTTTCAAACCAGATAACGACTGTATGATTTAAGTCTAATAAAAGACAAATGCTACGACAGTCTAAAAAACGATTGAGGATCTGTTGCTTCGGTATTTTATCTAGACAGCGACTTAGAGATAATGTAAAATGACACTTTTAGCAGCGTAAAACTGTTAATTTGATACTTTTGGAGAATGTCAAGCAATCGATATCAAGGTTTTTTCACTTTAATTCGATATGTAAGAATCGTTTGATCTTTGATCATTGACCCAGGTAACACGCAATTAAAAAGCTTCAATAACATGTTTGTTGTCTTTAATATTTGGCACAAGCTGGCTGTTTACAAAATTTTACGCACGATTGATTTCGTCTACCCGCTAAGGCGGCGTTCAAATTGGCCTTTATGCCGGTGTCAGACACGTTTCGGTAACCTTATGCATTTCGGTCCGGGTACACAAATGCATGACTATTTTGGTTTATGCAAAAACGTACCCAAGCACTTAAACAATGGGGTACCAAAGCAAATGGTGGAAGTTAGCATGCAAATCGGTCCGAGTACACAAATGTTCTGATTCAAATTGTTTAGAATGTGAAGAACAATCGAACTATTTTTAAAAAGGGGGGCTAGGGGGTGCTAATAAGAAGCAGTGCTATGATTTCCCTTTTTAAGTTTATGCAAAAAAAGAACAACATCAATGGCGACTCCAAAGAATTTAATAAAAAAACAATGCACTAATCTCGAATGTATAAGTGAATAGGCATGGCTTACGTTTCCATGCTGATAAAATTTATTTTGGCATTTACATGTTTAGTTCTTTGGAAATTGCATGATTGTATGCATTTCTTTTTCATATCAGTAAAAAAATGCAAAGCCGATTTTCTTTATCGTTGAATAAAAAAATGTTTATCGGTCTTCCAACTGACAAAAAAATCAGATTTGATATTTTGAAAAATTTGATGGAAAGAATCAAATTGTCAGAAAATGTAGAATATTGATATTGTAAGCAAAGCTTATTTACAACGCTACATTGTTTCACAATTCCATAAATAATTCTGTATTATCAGGCCTATAACGGCACACTAATACATTTTCTATAGAGATATTAGAAAGTATATTAGAAGTTGGATTCTTGCAGACATCAAACACTAACCCAAGCTCAAGTTTCTCCAAGTTCCAGAAGTGAATAGGCACTAAATGACCACATTGTCAAATGAGTATTTCAACTTAATATTGCCTATTTCTGTATCTTAATTTACATGCAATTCAAGTATCTACTGCTGTTTACACCCAATTCTAATCTAACCTTTACTTTGATATCATTGATGGATTTCATCTGCCTTTGTTCTTATAAACAAGTTTTACAATATTGTGATTTGTTTTGTTACATATATTTTGTTAGGTGTCAGAAACCAATATCGGGTAGTGAGGCCAATCTTTGTAAATATACACAGACGAAAACAAGAACAGTGCTGCGTAAAAATGTCACAACTACCACAGAGTACCACACAAAAAGTTGCGGTATACCATCTAAGCCAGAGCTACAATGCCCTGAAACAAGGTACGTTATAACTTTGTCCAAGGCTCACGCCTTCTTGGATGCATTTATATTTAAAGAAATAGTATTTAGTTATACACAAATTAGGGTCTGCTCAGATAGGGTAAGATATGCCAATGTGATAGAATAACCCGCTCAAATGTTGAATGACTCAAACGTCATTCTTATGAATGGTCTTTGCTCCACTTGAGCGAGCTGTTTACTGAATTGCATAGGCACAGTCTGTATCATTTCATACCACATTACCGGGCCGGCTCACTAAGCTTTGCTCGCTTAAGAAAAATCATTCCCACTTGAGAGAAATCTTTTTGGGAAGACATACCAAAAACTTCCTGTGCTGGACACCTGAGTAGGATATCCAATCTCATATGAACAACCTCATTTGTTATGGGAAAACCTTGCCTGTTAGTCATCTGTCATTCTTGTTGTCAGCAGCAGTTGTCCTCAAACCCACATGATAAGTGAGAAGGGGCCCCTCATGATTTGCTTCGCTAAGAAAAACATAGTAGAATTCAGAAGTAGCCTAACTTGAGTAAAACGTAAAATCCTTCTAACTACAGTCTCTTTTCGAGGCCTTGTCAGCTTGGGGCCTATAGTAATACTTCTCCCCCTGGACACATTCTGGCTTGCCAGGTTTTTTCCAAGTGCTATTTCTTGACACATTACACAACTTTAATGAAATTAAACATAAAAGAATGTATACCTTTTAGAATCAAATCTTAACACCTCATATGACATATCCTCTTTTTTTCTCCTTACTATAGAGTTTATTCAGTAATATACTGGTATCCAGTTAAAAAAACTGACAAGTTTGAAGTTGTCAAATGCTGTCCAGGATGGTCAAATTACGTTATAAACGTGGGATGCACGAAAAGTTAGTAAAATTGACTTTAAGCTAAAATTTTTCATCTTTAACTTTTTTTCTTAAGCAACATGATGAAGTTAGGAACATTTCTTGAATAAATTTTCACACCCAATTTTCATTCAAAGAAAACTAGATGGATACGAAATTTTGTTTCTAGCGTCGCTCTTTCTTTACTTTGATTAAATTTGGAATTTCTTTTTTTCAAAGAGACTGGATGTTCATCATCGTTACCACAGAAAGACAATAAAATGTGTGTCATGGTGCGTGAAAAGTACAAGATGTACAATCGCGCGTATTACCAACTCACTTCGCCGGCTGTTCCTAAGGATAGCGAAAGAGCAAAAGAAATTATCTTCCCAACAATTAACAAATCTACGGAGGACGTCCTGACTAGAGCAATGATGGATCCTTTCACGTCGCATTGGTTCAATATTTATTTTTATGGAATGTTGAAAAGAAACAACGAGACACAAGCAAAAGCATGGAGCATGTTTAAACATCTTAAGTTTGACCAAATCAGTGACTTTGTCACTATTTACAATTTTTTCATGCCATTACAAGAGGTTAGTATCAATGACTTCTTGCACTCTTTATTGTCATTTACCTAGCCTTTTGCTCTCTTTTATAGTAGACCTGGTAAATGATATTACTATTTTTTCATAAATACATAAAGTGATGATATAGGTCCTCTATCTAAGAGAATAATTTCACTAGTGCTGGTAGAATAGGACAAGTAGTTGTGCCTGTATCAGAGCACCTCAATCTTATAAAAAAACATGGCATTCTTATCCTTTTGTATTCACCGTAATCTAATATAATATTTTCAGCAAGTGCCACTTCCATACTTCAAACTCCCTTCAATGAAGCCTGGATTTCGAAATATCGTTTATAACGAAACCTGGAGAACAGACAAGTCGTTTGTTGAGCAAAGGCTGGCTGGCTTGAATCCAATGGCTCTTCAGAAAGTCACTAAAGACGGTGAGCAAAAAAACAATATTTCTTTATTTTGCAGATAAACCGTACGTCGTCTTCACACAGATACGTCGTCTATTGGAAAACCCTTACACTTCCTGGCTGATGCATCCTAAAACTGATGAATTACCAAACATGTTTCTGCTTACCTCTTAGCTATTACAATAGTATTGAATAAGCATGGAATGTAAACTGAAAACAGAATTACAATTCACTCTCTCTGGTAACTCTAGTCTAGGCATATTGGACTTGAAATGTTGTTTAAACATTTCCACGCTAAACAAAAATCCCATAGTAATGAATCCATCATAAATTCTAGAAATCTCTATGGCTGATTTTTTCTTTCTGTGCAGGAAAAGTTGGTATGGGTATTGAAAAGCTCTCGAGTTACTTAAACAAAAAATTCGATTGGAACGCAGCATTGAGTGATGCACTTGGCGAAAAAGAAACGATGCAATCGGTATGTATAAAAAATGTTTTATGAATACATAAAAAGTGACCTTAAGTCCTTGGAGCACTATTCGTAACGTTACAAAACCTTCTTGTGAGTTAGTAGCTGGTTGCATGTTGGGAAAACATATGAAAAGGTGAAAGACGTAGAGGTACTCCAAATGGCAAGCAGGAATAACATCAAATACGTATATATAAGGAAGATTGCTGTTGAGATGTATAAGATCGTTAAAGGAGAAGAAGTTTATAGACTAAAAGGGATGTCTACCATCAAACGTAATAGACGGAAAAGGAGGAAATTAGAGATAAAATGGTTGAAATCTGCTAAGAACTTTTAGGTTGTAGGTTCACATCAGCCAACAGGAGGCTGCCAAACACTAAAAATGTATGTATGTATGTATGTATGTATTTATGTATGTATAGGAATTCGACACACCCGTAGTCAAAGCAATCTTTACGTTTGCTAGTGCAGGAAAAAAGGAGCTAAGAAAATTTTGTTTTTTTCATTAAAGGCTGTGGAGAAAGGCAAGCTGTTTGTTGTTGACTACCCCATATACCATGACATCCCTCATGTACCAGATATCACTGACGAAGACCCGACTGACAGAAGAGTAATGTTGAGAAGCAGCTCGCCTGTTGGTCTATTTGCTGTTCGAAAGGACAGTACTGGCAAGAATGAGCTCAAAGCTGTTGCAATCCAACTTGATTATAAGCCAGGTAACATTTTTCATTAACAATGAATAAACAAATTGCAGTCTTTAGAGAGAAACATGTGTTCAGTGACGACTTCCGAGATATGGTTCTCTCTACCTCTAATAGAGATTAAGAAATTACAATAAAAAGAAGTTGAGCACGTCCTACCTTTTAAATAGTTTTTCAGCTTTATTGTCATTTAAATGGTTTCGACTCCTCTTTGGCTGGCTGGTGATATCATCTAGGCAAAAGGATTTCTACACTCTACTTCAAATAGAGAACAGTGAGGTGGATAATGAAAGGCTAACTCTCCTCCTTCTCCCTGTCACAGATGCTAAAGGACTCATTAAAGAATGACCATACTTCTGATATGCAGTTTTTCTCGCAGATTCTTGTCCAACCAGTCTTGTCTCTCATCTAAGAACATTATATGCTTAAGCAGGGATTATTTTCGTGTATTTTCCATTTAGAATCTGAAGTACGAACTCCGAAAGATGGCAGCAAGTGGATGGCAGCAAAAGGGTTTCTACAGATGGCTGATTTTGCAGTGGTGGAGATATACGAGCATTTGCTCAAGACGCACGTGCGCATAGAACCGATCTGCGTTTGCATACACCGACATCTTGCACCTACCCATCCTTTATACCAGGTGTTAAGAATACATTGCCGTGGCTTACTTCCGACAAACAGCTATGGTTTTCCAAGGCTAACCAACGAGTTTATGTATATGCACAGGTTGTTTGGAATGGGACATCTTGGAACACTTCAGATACTCAATGAAGGATACAAGAAAATGAAGTGGGAGGACAACGATCTTTTAAACGATATCAAGGTTTACTGATTTTTTATATGCAGATTATCTGCATTTATGCAGAGCATAAGATTTTCAAGGAAAAGCTTATTTAGAAACGTCAATGATTTCTGAAAACTTTTGTAGGACTTTCTGGAATAGTGGTAATAATAATCATTCAAGTACTCAGAAATATCAAAGGAGACAGATATATCAAAGAAAATGTTAAATGATGTCTCATATCAAGCCATATGACATCATCAAGAACGCTGTTTCTAAGTCATCAACGAAATATCAAGCAATTATGAGATCGTCAAGTCACCTGTTCGAGCAGCGTAGTACAGTTTCTGAATATCCCCAATTATAAATCAAAGTCTATCTTCAGTGATGTAGCTTTCTAGTATACCAACAAGCCGTGATTTTTAAGACGAGATTAGTATAGCAGTTGGCATCGAATCTTCATTGAAAGAGAATATGTCTGCAGTTTATAACGCATCTTACAATACGGTAACTTCAAAATGACATAATAAACCTCACTATTCTACTTTCCAACTGCTTTGCAACACTACTAAAACAATATCTAGGAGTGCAATGATAGGGGTGAATCAAGTTCTGTGAATGAAAAAAACCATAGCTATCAAAGTTTGAAGGATTCCCAATAAAATTTGACCTAGCAATAAGCGTTGAAATCCTGCAGCTTTATGCTCAATTTTATTTTTAAACTTCTATTATGAAAAAAAAACTTACAATGATGTATATTTTATCTCCGACGAATGTTTTGTGTATAAAAAAATGTTTTCTTGCTTTTATATAGGCCCGAGGAGTCGACGACCCAGAAATTCTACCTTACTTCCCATATAGAGACGATGGCAAAGTTATTTATCAAGTTATAGAGTCATTTTCAAGAGATTTGGTTGATTTGTAAGTGTATTGTACTATCAAACTCCAGTCATTTAATATCCACCAAACCAGATGCTGTTTTGTGTTAAAGCCTCTCCAGAAATTGATGACATCATCATAGATTCACTTTATCATTGACTTATTCCAACCAAAAAATAATATTTATGTATATTATTTTAGATTTTACAAAGTTGATAAAGATGTTGTCGAAGACTATGAAGTTCAAAACCTTGTCAGCGAGCTATCGGCTGATGGAAAAGGAACAGTTGATGCAGCGAAAGGAAGGGTAATTCTTAAAATTTTTTCCACGATAGATTTTGTATTCTTAGAAATTCAGAACAATTTCAGATATTATTGAAACTATTTCAAATGATTCATCTATAAGCAAAGTGTAGATTTTTTTTCAAGAATCAAAGAATAGGATGATAGGCTCGTCAAATGTGATTTAATGCAGTTGCATTCACCACATCACGTGTATGAAATCAATCATAATGATAATGAAGCTCTCTGTTGTCACTAGGTAATTCTTGCAATCAAAGGCTTTGGTATAGCTCAATTCTTAAACGAATGAACTTTGAAATTATTTTGAACGATCAAGATTTTATATATCCTATTGGTATGGAACAATCCACCAAAAGAATGACAAGGTAATGGGCTATTAACGAATAAGGGAATCTCTTTACTATTAAGCAATTTTCATTACATAGATCGTGGGTTTTCCAGCCAAACTTGAAAGCAGAGAGCAACTAGCAGGAATTATTAAAGCTATAGTTTGGTTGGTGATACAACATGCAGCCGTCAACTATCCGATCAGTGCATATGGTGGATTCACTCCTAATATGCCGACCAAGTTATACGAAGATCCTGATCACCATAAATATGGCAAATATGAAGCTATGTTACCAAAAGCTCCATTGGCAATTGTAAGTAAATACATCATTCCGAGACGAACAACTGTCGTCTTTCGTTTTTTTAATCTCGATTGGGCGATAGCCAATCATATTCGACCATACTACCACAGCAACTAAAAAACCTTTGGGCGTTATAACTCACGTAGAAGCATAGGGATTCCAGAAGGTAGCACTCGTAGAAACAAAAGTTTCTATCAGCAGATTATACACCACCCTTTTGAAGTGAAACAAAAACTTGTGTATTACGTTTAAGAGAAAAAAAACTAGTCATGTATAGTCAGTCGGCTTCAGTAGGAACATTAAAATAAATTCCATCCCTTGATATGAGCTTGCGACGATGTTCCTTTTTTATTCTCAATGAGAAAATATCTCCTTTTAGAGAGTGTAGAACCGGAAAACTTTATTGATAAACAGTAGCATATTTCCTGTCAAGATACTGTAGTGTGCGGTTCTAAGATGTGCGAAACCAAAGAAACGATAGTTTAACAAGAATGCAGACAGAAAAACTCGTTAAGGGCGTTAAAGGAACTTTAGCAGGGGTGCAGTGGAGGTAGGCTCCTGAAGGTCAGGGGGCTCAACCCACCTTTATTTAATCCAGAGTGATTTTGGTGGGCTCACTTCCCCTCCCAGCAAGCCAGCACATGTTTGGTTTGACGCAATCTATGTTGGGAACCCTCGTTTACCATTCACGATTATGTTATAGGTTATCCGTGAATGAGCAGTTTCCAATCAGTATTTCTGAGTCGGAGAACAGTTCGAACGATTTCGTATACACAACAGAGAATCTATAACACAAATGCTAGAATATTGGTTGTGGTCATGGGTATGGCTTCAGAAATTAGCCTCCAGCAAAACCCCCTTCACTTTTTAGGATGGCACCCCTCATTAATGGTAACATAATAAAGTGACTTGAACACGAGTTATAGTTTCAGACATGTATTGATAGCGGACCAGACTATTATTGCAACAAATTTTCTAAATATAACATGAACTTGTTTATAATTTCAGTGTTTCTAGCAATCTAGCTCATTATAAGAAGTTGAAAAGGTTTTTTTTCAAAAGGGAAAAGATAAGAATATAATTTAACCCACATACCTGGTTGGTCTTTACGTGTTATTCAGCTGCAGACAGTGGAATGCATAGAATGAAAAACCACCCTTTATATCCAGTACCAGAATGCTCACATTTTAACTGGTTCACTTCGTCTCTTTCATATTCCGTCTGTGCAGATACGATAAATAGAAAAACTAACAAGCAAAGCACGAGGTATTTGTTGTTTCAAACAAATGTTCCTCCGACACAAGACTAATGAAATCTCTGTCTTTCAAGCACCACCAAATTGCTTGCAACGATGCAGTAATGGACCTTGGCATAATTTAACAAAGTTTATGATATCGAAGCTTCATTTTAGGCCCATAGTTTCAAAATCTACTCCAGGCAGGATTATTTCATCTTGCGTTTCAAAATGACATTGCAGAGAAATCCAGTTGCATTAGTTTACTTTTGGGACTGTTACTGTGTTCCTGAGGATCCCTTGTTTCCCTTGAGATATATGCATCAATGATATTGGTACTTTCTGTTTCAGTTTTCTGCTTAAGGCATGTTACCAAGCCTTTTGGGGGATAGCTTTTGAATAAAGTCTTTGTCTTGTGCATATATCCGAGCTAATGAATTTTTAAGCGGACGTTTTTCAATTGATATATGCAGTATCATGGACGAAATTTAGTACTTAGGACGTAAATTAGTATCATGGACGACTGAAGTTGTACGGCAAGACAAGGCCAAATAAAAAATCAAAACGTTCGGTTAACCATTATGACATAAAACAAGCTTCATTGAATTTCTGGCTTGATTTTAACTTGGGCAATGTTTTTATTCTTAGTATGGCAGATTAATTGGTGCATGTTTTAGAATTTTTTTATTGTTTTATTCACTGAAATCGATTAGTGAAATCGGTGAAAAATTATTCGCGAAAAGCAGTTGACGATCAAACACCTATTGATGTAAGGCAAGCCGCATTAAAAAAAGCTTTTGCTAAAAATTAAAAACGCTGGCTTATAAGTTTGTACTAATTTTTACATATTTAGAATTACTATTGCTTTAATCAAACTCGGCCTCACCAAAAACTAACTAAAGAAATCATCGTAATTGATGACAATCGTTATAACATCCTAGTACAACAGCAGAACAGATTTATGCTTCTTTTTCTTTATTTCCCACTTTATTTTTTCCTTTATAATAAAATTGCAATTTATACGCTTTTTCATGTTTATGCTTCATTTTTATGCTGTTGCTACCGTTTTTAATGTTCAATTCAGTTAATCAGCAATGCTTAAAAAGCAGAGCCCTTAGCTCGACATCCATTTTTGGAGTTTTTTCTAAGGGTCCTCAACAACGGGTAAACATTTTATATAAGGCTTTTGTATTTACTGTTTTTGCATTAGCAATTATTGTCATTGGCTAAGATTTAGAATTTGTGATGTAATCTAATCACATATACGTATTTAAACTATAACTTGTATTTCTTGTTGTTTGAAATGAAAATGAATTTGAATAACTTTGTTCAATAGCTCCAGAATTTCGTTACACTGAATCTTGGAACTATGAGGTACGACAGACTCTTCGACTACAGTGAGAGTGTGGATGATGCACAAACCAAATTGTTGCTGATAAGATACTATGATCAAATGACCAAAGAGGTGCAACCAATGCTCGAAGCGAGAAACAAAAAGAGATATGCCGAAGGACAACTCACCTACCCATACATGGAACCAAAATGGCTACCTAACAGCATTCACACATAACTGATGAATAGATATGTATTTGAATCAAAACTCCGGTATCAGACGAAAATTGTAATATTTAATCTTTTAGTTAGTAATGCATTGATATTAGCATACTAATGATACTACTACTAAAATAATTATATTAGGCACTTCAATTATATTTGCTCATTTCACGTAGCCTTTATTACCTGTGCCTTTAATACCATAGAATATTCTCATACTTCTGCTTAGAAAGTAGTAAAGTGATAAATCAGTTGTGTTCGCAAAGTTTGATCTCAAAGCTGTCGAAGCTTCTTGCTCCATTAGTATAGTGTGAAGATTTGAAATAAAGAGAAACTCTATTTAGTAAGCTATTTTGAACAAATAGCTATCTTTTTACTGGCCTTGACGGCTCGATTTGGTTTGACTTGATAATTCGTAAAAAATGTAATTAGGTTTAAGGTTTTAGGTAGAAACTGAAGCGTCTATGTAATTTATTAGTGGAGGGCTACGTGAAAATCAACACTGTCAAACATTTTAAAGTAGATTCCCCTATTTTCTCTCCTATTTTTCGTCTCCTATTTTCTCTTTAAATCAAAACAGTCAACAATTTTGCTTAGAAAAATATTAATTAGGTTTAAGACTTTAGATTAAGATTAGAATCTTAAGTAAAAATTAAAGATTGTTTGTATTTATCAGTGAAGGGCTACTTAAAAATCAACACTATCAAACATTTTAACTTACATTGGCTTTTTTCTTTAATATAATGAGACCGCCTCCTATATTATCCTTAAATCAACACAGTCCTTTCTATATCTTCTTCTGATATATTGCTCTTCTCACAAGACATTCATTAGGAGCCTTTATTTCGTAAACAAAAACAAATGTTAAACCGCTGATAAATTAATCCAAGAGAGTTGACTAATTTAGCCAATATAGCGAATGAACGTAGTCAAGAATACATTAATGAAATTAAATGGTGTTTGAAAAAATTGATTTATCTGAAAAATTCTTGCAACACAAGAATCATGCATTGAGACCAACGTAACAGTCACTCCAGACCGAATATTAGTTTCTTAATTGACTCAAGCCTATAGTTATGATCGAATAACTATACCTACGACTTACATAATAATAATTTATTGCTGATGCTTTGTAAAGAAAAATTTCCTTTAGGTTTTTCCCTTAAAGCATCTTTGTTTTTCTTTCAAAATCATATTATGCTAACAAATTGATTAACACTTTCTATAGAACAGAAGGTCTTTGCTTGGCAAATTATAGAAAAAATATACCAAGTTGGCATGGGATTAGTGTATGCTAAATCGAACAGACTTCTCCCAAAAATGCTCAACGGTTAGCGAATATTTTACATCTTCAAAATAAAATACAACAATAGAACAAGATAATTACACACATGATATGAATCATAGCAACCTGACAGAGTTCAGTTTTAGTCAGCAGCCGTTGTATTTTGTACAATTACCCAATGGTTGCTTGCCTCTTCTGCTTTGTGAGAATTCAGCTTCGTGTTAGCAGTGACCTCATAATCGCGACCAAATGGAGTTCTTACAAAAACAGGAAAAATATTGTCAGTTTAGTCGAAAGAACAAACGTGTCGAAAATCATTAGTAACAGTATAGGACTCTACACTATTACCAAAGAAGATATATCGATAATATGTTTATAACATAAAATGTCTATAGGATAACAGCACGGACAAGACTTATGCTGACTATAGTACAAAGTATGCTTAGTGTACTTCTTAATACCATACTATGGTTAATATGAAGCTCGTTTGATAAAAGTATTCTGTTTAGCTAGGGTTGATGTCAGTGAAATAATAATAGGTTAAAAATTGATCATAAACTAATTTATGTTTCCAAACATGCAGGTTTTCAGTGCCCCTAGGAGGGGTCAGGCTATCGATTTGCTATAATTCTAAGCAGCGTTGGAAATTAATTTCTTTTCTTGAAAAGTAGAAAATTTGATCTACACACCGTCCACTGCCATCATACTGTAATTGTCTTTCAGTTTGTACAACTTTTTTAGAAGTTTGTACAACTTTTTTAGAAGTTAGTTCGTGCATGGCTATTGGCTAGTTCTTACACGTGTCGAAGATCATTAGATTCTTTAAATTTTGGCCATTTGGCTACTAGAGTTTACAACCATTCGGCAACTATGGTTAGCTGATTGTTGCATAATTCGGAAAAAGGGGTTCTTAAAAACTTACCAAAGCATCAATATTGCGAATTTTTCAATCTCAATAATATCTTGGTCCAACGCTTTCAAATCATAAGAATTTACCGTCTATTCCCTTAAAAATTCGTTTAATTTGGACGCCTGTGTGTATAAAGTGAAAAGCTCACCTGAAAGTAAATTCTGGCAGAACAGCGAGTCTCTGATTTGTTTTACAATGGTTTATCAGCAATTTCTCATTAGCCTAAAATAGAGACCATATAGCTCATAATAGACGAAATTATGTTATAATTCTATTTTTCTAAAAGACTGACAAATGACGAAGATCAAGATCCTGAAGCAATATAAAAGTTAACAAGGTGAAGGTAGAACTAGTATTAGAACTAGCAAACATCCTTTTCAAGCATATCGCTTATAACATATCGTTCAGGCCCAGAATCATCAAATTTTTAAGAATATCGTAAGAATATTAGACTAAGCCTAAGCCTGTTTTTCGATGTTCATAAAAGGGAGTTGCAGAACTGACAAAGCTTTGTTTTTTCTAAAAGCGTAGTTTTTATTCAAAAGCGGGCGATGTTCCGCTAAAATCAACTCAGTTTGTCAATTTAGCCATCAATTTTTCTAGAATTGGGTGGAACATTTCTTGGCAAAAGAAGAAGATTATGCACCATCAATTCCAACACTTGGCACTGCAACTATTTACCATCACATAATTTTTAAAAAAGAATCTTCAATTTAAGGTCATCAATACTCTGCCAGATCTGTTATCCAATATAATGTCTTTGATAAACTATTCCTTTGTTGAAAACATTAATAATCCATGCTGCAAAGTCATTTTCCAAAGTTTAGGGCCATCTTCAGCTTAGGAAGTAAACTTATTCCATAGTTTCAATTGAAAAACGAATTAAGGAAAATAGAAAAAGTAAACAAAATTAAGCATGTTGATCATAAATTATTCATTTGCATATTTACTGGAACTGGCAAACCCTCTGTCTCGAGCCTTTCTCTTGGGTCTAAATGGAGCAATTCCCTAGAAAAAATTAAAGACTTTCTTAATCTCTGCAAAATTTCTGCATTTAAATTTTGCCCAAAAATGGAAACACTTTGTCTGATTAATGGTATGGGTTTTTCTTAAACAAAAAGAAATAATTTTCATTAAACTTGGTTTATGGAAGTTCAGGCTGTATTGGGCCTGAGTTACATAAAAGAGATTGAGTTTAATTTGGATTGGTTTCAACATCTCAGGTTTCAGTTAACAACCATGGGACAGGGGCCCAGAAATGGCAAGGATTAACATGACAACAACATACCAGTGACAATGATATGCGATTTCTTTTTGCAAAATAACTTCTTGCAATCTTGATTTTTTAGCACATTTCATGAATGTAGCAGTATCACTGTGTAAGTTGAGCTGGTGATTAAAATAAAGCAGGCAAGTGTCAGTCAAATCAACAAATTAACTTTCAGCAAGACTAAACTCTATTTGAAAATCTTGGGTAACAGTAAGGTGATCAGACAACTTATAGCAGTAATAAATGATTGAACTCATGGGATTTCAAAACATCATCACTTCCAGTAAAGGCAATTAATATACATTTTTCAAATTAACAGATCATCCATAATGCTTGACTTGGTAGTAAACTAAAAAAGAGCAAAAACACCTTTGCTTGAAACATGCAAACAATCTTTAGGTGGTACAAAACTTGAAAACGGCTTTGAAAGAAGCAAACATTTGAGTAAACTAAAGCTTTTCGTCTGCTACTCTTCAGAGTTCAAAACATCAGAACATAGATTGAAGACTCTACGATTGAAGACTAGATGGAATGACGATTGGACTTTACCAAAAATATAAAACATGTTGCCATTGTAGTTTTTTGCACAATCTGGGTTTTCCATTAAATGATGCCCGATAGCAGAATCACAGGTTTTAGTTGTACTTCTATATTGCAAGATTGAGGTGCCTGTTCTCTTTGGGGATGAGTTTTGTTTCTAATACTAGACAGAACATGCTGTTTCATTCTATTTTCCAATCTTTGGGTAGTGCATTCTTCATAGCCAGAATCACATTGGCAATAAATTCATATACAACGGAGCTCCTTTGTGAGGTAGGAGCGTAATCCTTTTGAATTGATGGAAGGGCTGCCACTTTTGTACTTTAAACAATATTCATGGCAAAGAAACAATTTGTAATAGTCTGTTTTATCAGATTTTCAAAATGCAAGGAACTGTTACTTATCCTCAGTCTTGCAGGTCTAAAAGTACAACTAAAACCTGCCATTCTGCTATTTCCTAGCATAGTGTTTTCAATCTATGTTCTGATGTTTTAAACTCTGAAGAGTGTCAGACGAAAAGCTTTAGTTTACTCAAATGTTTGCTTTTTTCAAAGCCATTTTAAAAATACCTTTCAAGATAACAGTTAAATTCTTTATCAATTTGTGATGCAGATGAAAAATATTCTCAGGTATGGTATGAAAATAATAGATATTTACATCTACTTGTGAAAATTGCCTTATTTTTAGATAAAAACATTGTTTCTTTGCTAATGATTTTTTTAAATGATAGTCTTATATATCTGCTTATTAGTAAAAAATACTTACATCTCCACCAATCCCAGATAAAGTACTTAGAAGAAAATGTTGACCATACACCAAAGCATCACCATCTCTTGACTCATCACAGCTAGTAACAAATTATAAAATAAGGTAATAGATAGTAATACATGTGAGTAACTTAGTAGTATTTTCCCAGACTGTAAACCAATGCCAATTCTAGTTTAGAACAAATCAGCTCTGAAGTCATTTAAAAGAAATTTCTACAAGATAATTGTTTTAGTTGTCTCATTTGACATATAAAAGGGCAAAATTCAAGATAGAGCCATTTGAAAAACGTGAGCTGTTTGGAATAATTTCTAGTAGGAATATTAACATTTAATTTAGGCTAATGATAAGCCAAAGCTCACTTTTTGCCAATAAATAGATCACAAACCTTTTAATGACAAATGCATTTCGAACACTTGGCTCCAAAGATTTTGAAGCAGACACTCCACAGGGTCCTTCAATACATTCAGCCTCATGTAGTTTGCTGTCTGTCATATTGACTGACAAAGTAGTGTCAGTTTCAGGGTTGTAAACACAAACTGTATCACCAAATCTGATATATCCATCACTTGATGAGGAGACATCAACCTGTAATGATTTCTTGTCATCATAGACCATTGTAATTTTGAGTAAATTTAAACACAAGAAGGTCCTAAGCAAATACAGAGTAGGAGTAAGTAGAATGATATAGAAACTCCAAGCTACACTGTAGGGAACTGAAATGAAAAGCTTTGCAAAACATTGTCCTGTTATTGAAATCTTGGGTTTGCAAGGCATAACTACTTGTTGGTAATGTGCAATAACCATTTGCATAAATGTGCTCTAAGCAAATCGTCACTGGCTTGATTGCAATTGCATGGTTAAGTCTTTTTAAAAAGCCAAACAACATTATGTTACAAAACCAAATAATGGTTTGAGCCTTATCAAGTTTTCATATTTTCTCATAAATATTATCATACATTAGCATTCTTTGTAATAAGATACATGTAAACCTCTGCACACATGCACAAATCGTCTAAGGCCTGCAAGACATCAAATGTGGAAAGAAAATTGCAAAGAAAAACTTCCTACAAATTCAAAGAATTTAAAAATTGATTTCTAAAGCAGTGGGAACTCAATGTTTTCAAATTTACAGGCAGTTTTCTGAGGTGTTACAGTATTCCCATATGCCATTTAACAATGGCATCAACAAGCAATAACATTTCTACAGTTGCCGAGTGTTCTTGAAAGGTAGCCCAATCAAATGGTAAGATATTTTTTAAATAATATCTGCTATGATATCAACTATTTTAGCATTGATACAGAAGTCAGTGATGTTGCATGGCAACAATGGAAAACTTTTTCAATACAGATATCTTCAAATGTTTGTCCAGGAACTCCATAATGACATCTTGGAAATTTATTAACTATCAAAATCTAATATCTCTATGGAAGAACCAGAACAGTTTCTCGGTCAATTTTCTTGGTTTCTTTTCAGTTTATGATACAAAAGGTCTCTTTTAAAGCAGTACCCTATTTTTCTTGATAGCAGGAATAAAAAAACAACAGATATATAAAAGTTGCTCTTACTGCATAACATAACATGTGCAAAGTAATCAAGTCATTATTTACATTTATTTCAAAGACTGCACCAGCATCATTTGAAGCTCATTTTTGTTTTTCAGTCAATTCAAGTTGGTTTGAAAATTTTTTTTGTCAAAATATCTTGCAATATTGTATCATGTTTACACATTTTGAATTCTATGGCTGGCTTAGGATAATAGTTTGACAATCAAATAGATAGTAAAACAAATTTTTCATGATAAAATTCTATATTATCAAATGGTACCAGAATCATCGAGTCCTGCAAGTCTGTCGCAGAAAGGTGAGTTTCTGTACCATTTTTGTTCAGATTAGGCTAAAACAGTATTTAGCATAAAAAGTATCCAAACCTTTTTAAGAATTTTGGAATATAGATTGTGTGTTTTGTCAATAAGAAGCTCCCCTCGCTCTTTTTTCTCAATAAAGTCTTTGAGAAGATCCTAAAAGGTCAAAATGTGTTGATTTTTAATATCTCAAGTTACTCAAAGTTCCAATAGTTTGATTGAAAAAATAAACAGAATGAAACCTATCCAAAAAATTAAAAACGTTCAAGACAAAAAAATCTTAAGACAATAACTATGGCAAAACAATTCAAAATATCTGTGTAGTATCATGTTCAATAACACAGGGATCATCACAGTCAAAAGTGAAATAGTTGTGTATGATTTCGGTTATACGTAGCAACAACCATTTACGAATTACTAGGTGCAAGCCGCAAGCAAAAAGAAGCGATACTTTTCGAGATGGAAATAAACAGATGTGAGGCTGAGTTGAGGCAAATTTTCCAATACAAACCACACTTCTAGAAGACAAAATATCAGCAAAATCGTTACAATTTTTAAAAAAAACAGCATCACCTCCTCGAGACAAAGGTCTTCGTTCCAGTTTCCAACCCTCACTGATGGGTTATATGTACTCACTCCACTCATATTTCCGATTTAGAAATATTGCAAACCACCGACACAGAATATTCTTATCATGTGCTCCCGATGTCCCCTAGAAAGTCCTGTATCGGTCCTGTCCTGTCCATCGAACAATAACATCGGAAAGAGTTGCCTTGGATACTGCACTGATACGAGGTCTATGACCATTATGAGGATCATCAGCATGAATAATTATTTCATGTAAAGAGTTGGGGTTACTTTTAGGGTCAGGTTTAGGTTTAGGTTTAGAGCCGTTAGAGGGTTAAGGTTAGGTTTAGGGTAAACTAATAACGTCATCAGGTCGAGCAGTATGGAAACTAAACAACTTCCTACTCAGTCGTCCGATTGCTCTTTTTGCCATATGCAAGAAACGTTACTTCAAGTTGTTGCAGGCTGCAAAACATACCTCGAAGAAGACCGTTACACATAGCACCATATAACACAATCTTTTAAAGCTATACCTAATAGCTCTCTTTACGTAGACCTTTCAGGTTATCTCTCACCCTCTATCGTAATAGGAGACTTTTTCCGTCCTGATCTACTTCTAGTCACTTCTGACCATCGCATCTTCATACTCGAGCTTACAGTAGGGTACGAAACTAACTTGGATGTTAATGCTAATCGCTAAAGAGAGAAATACTCGCATCTCGTAGTCTAAGCTCATCCTATTCATCTATCATGCTTGTTAATATTTCTATCAGTTCCCTAGGTCTCTTTGGTCTCTCCTGCTACTCTTTCATCGACATGTGCAACGCTCTAGATATCAGCGAGAATCATCTCCGCTTCATGATCTCCAAACTATCCAACTTAACTATCCGTACTTCCTATTACTGCCGCAGAAATAAGTCTTGGAATAATCCTGAATTTCTTCAATTCTAACGATCTCTGCTACTGGCAACTTCTAAAACAAACAATGAAGAACACACTTTTTCCTTTTTTTGTTAATTCATTTGTTTGTGCTTGTAATAGTCTTTTTCTTTGTAAACCCAGACTAGCCAATTGCAAATTACCTTTAAAAAGTGAAGTTTGTAATTGTAGTTTTAATTGAATTGAAAATGAAAAGCTTCCATAATTATTATCATCGTAATTTGAATTTCAACCGCAAAACGTTGAGAAAAGTGAGAGGTCTAAATAATTTTTCCAAAAAGTGGGGGGGAGGGGCTAAAGCCCCGCAGTACCCCTGCTCCACGGTGCCTGAATTTGGACCACATAACCCAAAAGTGCATCAAGAAATACCCCTCAAAGTGTGGAATTAGTTAAATTTTTGACAAATTTACAGATATACATTCACGTGAGCACAGGCTCTTTCCCCATCAAATTGCGATGATTTCGTCTTGTTTGGTTTGGTTCTAGACTTTATGAACTAGAGCAAAATAACACTAATTCATTAGCAAAACTCAGCTTCTTCACCGGCCATATCTTACTTAATTTTCACCAGTTTTCAACCGATTTGCATTTTAAGATGCGTTTCCTGGTTCGTATTTAATTTATGGACCAAATCTCATGAATTCTTAGAATAAATTTTTTTAGGTTGTCAAATTTTGGTACCTTCTACTCGCCGAAGGAATTATTTCTCTCTCTTAATCTCATTGACATTAGCAAGTTAAAATAAAAAGCTTAAATGAAAACGGTTCTCAACTTATCTTGGCAATTGGTAACAAGGCAAGTTTGCCCAGTAACTTCACGACAAATGTAAAAAATATCAAATACGGAGACAAACTATACACTAAGCGGGAACCTAATAGTTAACAAAAGTGAGTAATTCTACTACGAATGCTACTAGTCTGGAAAGAGTAAATCTATCGTATAAAAGAGACTGAGTGCGGCATTCCATTTTGAGTTACACTAAAAAGCTCTTGAAAAATCAAAAGCATTGCCAAGAAAGCGGATTAAAGACAATCCTTCAATGGACCAAATCTCGAAAATATTTCGTTAACTGAGCACTTGCTGGCATTTGAGTTCGTTTTGAAACTCGGCTTAAAATTATTATTATTAAGTTACGGAAAAAAATTTTATAAGGAAGGGAAAAGTTGATCTATAACATTTTTTGAAAAGTTATCCCATAACGATACTTTAAAATTAAAATTAAATAGCTAATATCTAACAATCAATATCCAAGTTCTGATATCCAAAGTCATTCTAAATCTGAAGTAACTTAAGTCTTACTGCACAGAACAAATAGAAAACACGGGTCTATAAATAAACAGTTATTGTTTTTCTCTGTCATCAAGACGTCGTCATTTCCAACTTTCAGCAAATAACTGGAATTTCTACATTCAATTCGGAAGTAACCGAGAGGATACTGTTGAATTTGTGCCATATGAAAGAGACATTCCGCGAAGGTGCCGTCGAAACTCTGTGGAGACAAATTTTCTTGTAACAGTAGATGTGGAGATGCAATTGAATCAACACATTGATCATTGAAAATTGCACAAAAAACGGGGAACATAACGCATGTTACAGAAATGCTTCTCTTTGTCAAATTCTCTTCAGAATATGAAATATCAGATAATTAAGCAAAACGTAAACGTGACAAGAAAACGCGCCTTTGGTTTTTAACCAAGTGGGGACACTTTCGGTCTACACAAATAAGGATTTTTGTTTTAATATCGGCCTATTCCAAAAGTGTACATTGCTCGAGAACTCGAGCACACAAAAACAAAAAGTTACGACATTAAGGCAGGAAGATCTGTCTACTTTACAAGAAAAATCTACTTTTACGCAAGTTCTAGTTTTTGAAGTTCTTTCTCTCGCTTATTTCTGAAACAGCATTTCAAAAAAACAGTCGCAGAATATTGATGATAGCATTTCTTTGGTGTGGTATGTTTTATAGTCATATTAATTGTTTTTCTACTTTCCTCTTGCGACCCCAAATAAAAATTGAGCATCTTCCTTGGTTTCCTCTTTGATACTTTTATAAATAATAAAGTTCGCTACGTAAGGAGTGTTCGTAAGGAGATTTTTAAGCATTGATCTAAAAAATACATTGGTTAAGTTAAAAAGAGTTAAAACACTGCAATTAATGTATAGATGGAAAATGAACCTTAATAAGGTTTCTTAGTCAACAATTTCAAATGAGCCTTTTTGCTTTGGAACAAATCTGAGTGATATTTTTTAAATATAGTAAAATAGGTATCGATTTGAAGGAAAAAGTTAATAATTGCGTTAATCTTTTTGAATGACAGAAACATTTCGAAGGAAAAATGTATTTCACCTTGGTTGCAAAAGCAGTGTCTTCTCTGGCGTACAGACGATGTCCTTCTTCGCGGCCTAGCCGTATAGAATATAATTCTTTTTCTGACTCCTCTTTTTCTTTTATGAACCAGAGGCCTAGCAATATAATAGTTGAAGAATCAGCCACTTTTTTAGCTGGTGATGCAAGAGAAAGACCCAGGAACCTATTGCGAAGCCTAGCCTTAACAAAGGAACTGAGGAAGGGGTTTGGAAGAGAAGGATGTAAGATCAAGTTTGTTAACTTTAGACAGGCTATACGAGTGTGGGGCAGCCTTTCCACTAGCCTTGGTTAAAACATATCCGGGTTAAAAGTTATCCGTTTCTGCGTCGCGTTCCCACTAACCCACTTGAAAAACGGATGAGTTTGAAAACGGAACTCAAAGTGGGTCAGTTTTTACCCGGGTATCTTTTGATCCACCTGCGAGTTAATGGAAACGCCGAAACCCGGATAATTTCTGATCCACTTGCAACAACAACAAGTTTAAAAATTGAGATGGCGCCAAAAAAAAACAAAATCCTCAATGTCGATGCTGCTTCCATTGGCCTAGAACGATGGAAATTGAAGAATTATTAATGCAAATACTGATTTCTCTTACAACTTTTCACCCTGGATACATTTTAACCCGGCTTAGTGGGAACGGTCAAAACGGATTAAAAAGGGGTCGAAGAAAAATGCCGTTTCCATTGACTCACTTTAAAAACGGATAACTTTTAACCCGGGTATGTTTTAACCCAGGCTAGTGGAAAGGCTGCCTAGGAAGCAGGAAGAGGGTATAGCGTTCCGGGCCAATATGTTTATGACATTCTTCAGAAATTTTTATTGAATCTTATTGAAAGCTAGAATTTGTAGCATAGTGTACAGTGGGTCAGATTAAAAAGCAAGGACACCAATGGGCTTTTATTGGAACACATTGAAAAGTGTAAAATTTTCATTTTTAGACGAAATGGAATAGGGTACCCTGGGTACCAGAGCTTCAGTGAAAAGATGGTCGACTTCCACCGACCCATTCTTCCAATGAGGCTCTTGCACCCAGGATAGGAATCGGAAGGACATTCGCATTTCTCCGCTTTATGATCGGTGCCAATTTTCATGCTGTTCGTAACAGTGGCGTAGATAGGAAAATGCATAAAAGGGGCGAGAAATTCAGATTTTCAGACAAAAACTAAAAAGCATTTCTATTTTTTCAAAAATTTGAACATAACATAACCACGTTAGTACTGAAATAAAACAGATGACAAATTCTTAATATCTATTAAAGTAAAGTGTCATAATTATACTATTTGAAGATTGTCCTTGTCTTCTCCTCTACAAAGGCACTTTTAAGTACCATACCTTATTGAAACCATACCATGGAACAACAGAGGTTATCAATTAAATCTCCTATTTTCAAAGGATTTAGAAAAACAGGTACCGTTAGTGAAGAACCGACTCATGCCTCCAAGTAATTCGCCATATCAAACCAAAAGAGCTATTTAATGCAGATGAAATTTCCATTTACTTTGAGAATCGTATCCACAAATTCAGAAAACAGTTATTCGAAATCATGTGATATGAGCAAATGTAGATGGTCTACTCACACGATCCCTCATCTCTTGAAGCATTGCATAAAACAGTGTAGCACTCTTTATGGCCAGTGATCTCCAGTTTACTGCCCAGTTTTAAGTAGCCTTGGCCGTTCGAACGAGAGGGGCACCAAATGCGATATGGTCCAGGAGGAAGCTCTTGGTTTTCCTAGAAGAGACCCTTGATTTTCATGATGGTTCATGCATTCTATTTTTGTTCTATTTCGGTTACAAGAAGTTAATCTTGATATTGCATTAGTACCACAGTTCTAATTCTAACCAGCTCTACTAGCTTTATCAATCTGTTTTATTTATTCATTCATTTTTCTATGCTTTTGCTTGCTTTTGTTAATTTTTTCTCCTAAACATTTAATTCATACCTCATTGCTGGTCGAGAGAGAGCAATAATCTAATCTGCCTGGTATTGTTCTTGAGCCAAGAGCAAAACGACAAAAGAAGTTGTATGCTACTCCATGAGCCTCTGTTTCGCTACTGCCTCATTTGACGGACGCTACAACAGAGACTCGTTATCTAAGTGTGCGATGTAATTAGCTAAAAATTTGAAACAAACGCTGTGTGATTTGTTGTGACTGTGCTACTTAGCAAACTGTGAACCGAATACCCCAAAGGGGCCCTGGCGAACAACAGAACAAAGCTCACACGTGCACAAAAGAAGCGTGCAACCCGCAAGAACAGGATTGAGTCTAGGAACTAAAAAACAAAAATAACCTACTATTTATAGTTTTATAGTTTCAAAATTTTAAAAATAAACTCTAGAAAGGTTCACTTTCCTTTATCAGAAACTTTCCAGTATGTGGTAGAACAGTAGGAAAAAAATTATGTAGCAATGAAGAATAAAAACTGTTTCTGATCAACTACTCAAAAACATTTTAATCTCCATTACCAGCACCTTCTCCTGATACCTCTTTTTAACAGTAACATAACCACCAGAGGTAAGAAGGATGGAAGTCCCAACAATTTGACCTAATAAAAATTTTTAAGCTCCAAACAATAAGGCTTTCAACGGAAAAGCTTCCAAAGCGAAGTTAGAGTTACCCGACTGTTTTACCAATACTAATTACAACTTTTCGAATAAACACAATAAAAAATATTTTGGTAAAACGTATTTTCAAACAGAGGCGCCGGAAGCTTCATGATGCGGCGGGGGCAGGACTGGCAGAAAGGGCCTCTGGGGGTGTCAAAGATTGCTGATGAAACAGATCGGGAGTAGTCGTTTGGTCAACGACAAAGCCTGGTTGTAGGTGAAAGCCCTGTCAAGGGAGGGAGGGTCGATGTTCTGGGGGCATAGCCCCTAGGGAAATTTTGCGTTGCTACGTCCTGAAGACTTTTGGAAATGAAGGCAACACTCATAAAAAGTACATTTTAATCAAGACTACAATCAAACTTCATTCTCAAAATCCCATCCCAGCATCAACCATCAAAGAGGTTGGATCCAATCCTCCCTTACATAAAAATAAAAATTTGTTCTGATGACAATCTACATGATTTGATATAATTTTTGGATACAACTCCTCTGAACATACTGTTATTTATTTTCTCTTTTTAAAGTTGGTACAATCTGTAGCTATATTCAAGCTAAATAAAGCCAATTAATTTAAATATAACCTAATATAACTTATGTTGGATACGTATTCTATGCAAAGATCACATTGAACGATGAAAATTCTGAGATTTTTTCTGAGATTTTTTCTGAGATTTTAACTGAGTTTGGCGCAATCTGTTTGACAAAGATCTTGAGACCAGAAGGAATCATATTTTTATTTTGTTAAAAAGGCTGTTACATAAAGCCTGATTACAATGATATAGATATCATTTTCTGGCTTAGTTGCGTGTAGTGCTGCTGAGAGGTTTCGGAGGTCTTGCGGCAGAATCGAAAAAGGAGGCAGAAAAAGTTTGACGACTATGCCCTTTAGATTAGCTAAAAACCATTTCAGAGTATTTTTTTGTAACCATTTTCTTGCAATCATTTAAAAAGTTGTACAACTTTGTTAGGTCTTAAAAATTACTTTCTCAACCTGTAAACCTCGAGGCCCCCACTCAAGATCCAAGGGCAATTTTTCATCGCCACCACCTTTCGGTAACCTTTGTTTCTAAAAGAGGATCGAAAAGAAACATTTTAGATCATCGCCCCAAAGGGTCACCCGTTTGCTCATTTCATATAGCATCAGAGCAAAGGGTACTTTTTGGTTAAGCAGTTGGCAAAAAGAGCAACTCGGTGAGCTGCGAAGGGGCAGGTACACTGTTTTTGGAAAAAGGGGGTACCTGCACACAATGCCCCCCCGGTTCCTACGCCTTTGCTTGAATTTAAGACATCATTGATGCCTGGACTGATATGCGAGCCAAGGTTGGTAGCAATCTGAAATCTGTTCAGCATGATCATGAAAGTTAAGAGAAACTATCAATGAATTGCTTTGCAGATCGATTTTCAGTTCTAATCAAAATGGAAAATATTGACTTTTGTCTTGCACGTACTTAAACCTAGATTTCATTAGCATTCAAAATATTTATATAAATTAATATTGCTCGGAAATCAATTTCTTGAAAAGGGCACTTTGCTGCCCCCGTGCTTCCCCTGTGCTGCCTTCGTGCTGCCCCCGTGCTGCCCCCCCCCGCACCACTAGGGCAACGGTGGCAGCTGCGGGTTCCGGGCTCTGGCGCCCTTTATTTTAAAAAATTATATTCTAAACAATTGAGAAAAAGGAAAAAAGACCAGAAAATTGCTAGGAAACTAAGACTATACCAAAGAAAAATATCAACCAAAACATGGTACCTCTCCGGATTCTTCAGGGGCGGATCCAGTGGGGTGCGAAGGGGGCTCGAGCACCCCTCAGATTTGAGAACAAACTTTTTGAGGATTAAAGCTTATTCTACCGCAATTTTGTTTATTATTATTTAAACCATTTAAATAATACCGGGAAGTATGCACATCTCCTGAAATTGTTATTTCCGCTTCAATGCCCCGTCTCACAACTGTTCAACATTGTTATTTCAGTCCATGCATTGAAGTGTTATGAAACTCCCCCTGGTTGTCCTGTATAGCATTCTACAGACTCGGAAAGCATTGTCTCCTCTTATATCCAGCCACTTAAGGAACCCGTGGCCTGTAAATTATACGAGTTTCTGCACCCGTGGAAGTGAATCTAGCCAATCACGGTGCCAGGTCGAGGGGTTCTAAACTTTGGCGCGAGAACCCATGGATTTCAAAAATCCAAAACATCAAAGAATACCGACAAACCAGGGGGAGTTTCTTCGCTTCAATCTACAGTCAAATGTATAAGTGGTTTTATGACCAGGGGGAGTTGAGGTTGACCAGGGGGAGTTGAGGTTGACCAGGGGGAGTTGAATTATGATACAGCACGCGACGAATGCTTAGGCGCAAATTTGCAATATGTTTTCGTGGATCTTTTGACGATCTTTACCTGATGCTCGATGCTGGAACGGCAGAACTTGTAAACGCTGTGGTTTATATAACAGAACGGTTTCAAGTTTCAACTCCGTGTTTCACGTCTTATTCATAGACCATGAGGTATGATTTATATTCAGAGGATAAAGCTTGCCCGAGCCCCGAGCCCTTGTTATTCTTTTTTTAATAATTCAAGAACTACATAAAAAACATCTCAAAAACTTGCCCTTACTATTATTGACCAAAAGGGGTTTCCTTTTTATACCTACTTATATTCCTGCGAATACTTTTTTCTCTAAGAATTTCAAATACATAAAAATACTCAAAACGCCAGGCCCATAGCGAAACATTCAGGGCCTTCTTTGTTTGGTTCGGCGTCATATGTCGATGCATGCTGTGTTTGAATCCCTGTGTTCAACTTTTGCACTGCACTTCAAGGGCTTCATTCCACCAGCCACGTTATTTTTTTGGTCAAGCTGATCAAGTTCTAATAAATGGCTGCAAAGAGTCAAAAATTAAATTTTGCTTTGAAAATTTGTGGGCTCGGGCCTTTTGCCACTGCGGGCCATCATATCATATTTGACTACAGTTTCTATACTTTTGTACCCTAAGTGAATATAAGAGGGGCGAGCTGCAAATTGCGTTCAATTGGCATAAAAGCTGAAACCAAAAATTACTATATAAATCAAGGCATCCAGGCTTTTTAGTTTATGGAAGACTTTCATTTCATTATGGCTTATTAGCAGGGGTACAGAGTTTGTGCATAGCAACACCCTGGGTTACCAAGCCTTACGTTTTAGAACCCCTCAGAATAATTTCTAGATCCGCCCCTGTTCTTCATGTCCGTCCTACCTTTTAATTATAATTCAACGTGCTCCGAAACTTCTCCGCTGTCAGCTGTTATCGGCCTAAATTTATGCCGTCGACATGATTTGGTATTGCTGAACAGTAAGTACAAAAGCATTTTGTAATCGAAATTATGAATTGAAAATTGACGTTTCCTTTTCTCTAAAACATAAATGCCTAACCTTGTTGTCCATTGAGTAATTGCTTTGCTTTTGTTCGTTGCTCTGATCTTTGTGTCACATAAGAAGAGAGGTTTGATTCTCCCGCTAAACGCGACATCAAAAACCTCCCTTACTGATTGGCTAAATTCAACACAAAGGAGGAGTTATGACACGTGGACACAATGGTGAATGGGAATGGGACGAAAGTGAAATAACCACCAATCGAAACTTCAATACATTTATAACATTTGCAAAACGGAAATTAGAGTTGTCAAGTGATAACGTCACAAAAATATAGTTTTAGAATTTTTGAAATTTTTTCCCATAACCTGAAAGAGCATCATGAAATACATCTAAATCTTCAAAATGAGTTAAAGGTATCACGAACTGGCTGAGATATGACCAGATGAGAAAAGGTTCTTGCCCCATCAAACCTCTGTAATTTGATCTCAGTTCAAAACTTTATGGAATGAGCCAAAATAACAGTAACCGTTAGCACACTTCAAATCTTCAATTGGTCATAGCTCACCCAATTTTTGACAAATTTAACTATTTTGCGTTCATATGGGTATTCCATGGTGTTCTTTCATGTTATGTGGTCAAAATTCGAAAATTCTACCCCCTGTGAAATCCCCATCCTTTGTTAAGACCAGCACGATTTTATTCCGAATGTTGGTAATCTACGTTTAAAATTTTTCCCCTGAGTTTACGTTTAGTTTTTCGCATTTTTTTATATTTAATTTAATCCCGAGACATTTATATCTTATCTTTCTCCGATTGAGCGCGCCCAGGGTGTCATGTCATTAAAGCGAATATGATATTCTGAAAATTTACATAGATATAATATATTGTAAGGCGTCAAACCTGATCTTCTATGAAAGCAGTGGTATTGATCGTCATTGTGTCTTGGATTTCCACCCTCAAGACTTCAGAGTCGGTTATTTCCTTCCCATCTGCTATTGGTGATCTTCCTGAGGCCTCCGACAAACAAGTTAACTGAATAACATTGCTAATTCTCAAGGGTTCCTTGTAGTTCTTTACATCATCTTCTGTAAGTCCAGTTGCACCAGCAATCACTGGAACAAGTTCGTCTTCAAAAGCGTCCAATAAAGCCTTGTGAAAGGACTCTAGATCATCGGTCCTTTGAACGAAGCGACGAAGAGACTGGTTATTTTGGGCATACTCTACCAGAACCTTTCGCCGGCGTCTCCAGAGTCGAAAACAGTTCAGCATCGTGGCGATAGCCTGCAATGAACAAGACAAAAGCAGCTTTAATAGCAATGGTCTAAGTCGTCGAAAAACTAGTTTGGAACATAACGTGGTCTCAGTTTGAAAGCTTAACTTTAGATGCTCCCGGAAAACGAAAAAGGAATGCCTCACTTCATAAGATTACTCTGTATTACCAATGTAACAACGTCCAGGATTCATAGTAAGTTTTTTTCTCTCTATTGTTAACTATTTTTGAAACTATCAAAATTCGATTTCAGTTTCTTGCATATTTTTAAAGAAAATTGCCCCCTCCCAGATTAAAACTCAAAACCTTTCAAGATACAAGATCCAATTTAGCCAAAATTTTCATCTATCTATATAATGATGAATCACAATAACTTAGAAATAACAATATATTTTTGGTGGCTGTGCCAATTATGCGAAACATGTCGACCTGCTTTTTTAATTTAAAAGGGACATTGCGTCCTACCAAGATAAAATAAGAGTTATCTTAATATATCTTGGTCCTACGCAGCCAGAATCATACTGGCACTTTCTCACTGGCGCATTCTGAGAGGTAGAAACGAAATTCCTTGGAATGGATGGAATGATTCTCCTTGTCCTTTAAAAAGTTGCAGGATTGACAACAAAGAAAATTATCAGAATGGTCCTGTTTAATTTGAATTTAAATCGCAAGAAAGTGGACGCTATTTAGATCAAATTGTATTAGGAAGGAGGCACTGACTTGCCAACCTTAACAGTCATGTTCGTGAGTACCCTGGGTGTCAGAGTACCCATAATTTAGTCCCAGAACTCATTCTTTGCCAGCGCATCAGTCTAAAATACTTTATCCTTGGTGTTTTGAGGCTCTGGTACCCAGGGTAGTTCTTGCAATATACTTTCTAGCTTAATATTTTCGACATTTTCGATCATTATACATAGATGGTAAAAAAGACTGAGGGAAGCAGAGGGGAACATTGGCCGACGACATCAAACTATGGGCAACATCTACCAGTTCAGTAGAAATAAAGAGAAAGACTGAAAATCGTAGTTTGTGGAAGAACCAGGTTGTCATAGCAGGGCCGTAAATCCCGGGGGGGACGGGGGGGACTGGACCCCCCAAAAATCTGGAGCAAAATGATTTTTTTTGATGAATTATCATCATTTTCTTTGAAAGAAACAAATCTCTGGTAGCCAGGTTTGAACCAAACTACGTTTTTCTGTGTTATTGCAACAAAACCCAGCCACTAAGTCATGGTGTCAAGTGCAAGTTGACTTATGCTGATAGCCGTTATCTTTCTAAGCAGAGTGGTTTTTATCTGTTTTTTATCGTTTTTTAACGTTTTATTTTTGAAAACAGAATATGAAATAAAAAGAAAGCAAACTGATATTTTATTTGACATATTTACCAACTTATTTACGCATATTTCTATTATTTGTTTATTATTTGCTTTTATTTAGTAAATCACTTTCTGTATCATTAGAATGTATTCATTTTCGATCTGTAAACATGGTCTTCAAAACACTGAAAATAAGGAAGACGCACATTTCTGTTCAAGAAGCAAAATTCTACTAATCAATGCAACATCATCCCTACTTTCCCCAACGTCTGTCACTAGAGTTTAAGCATGGCTCTTCCCCTATACAATTTCGCTCAATAAACAATAATCTGTGTTCTTCTGAGAAACGTTGAATTTTTTATTCTGAGCGATCTAATAATTTATTAAATTTAGTCTGGGAGGTGCTTTTTTAGCCTTTCTAGAAGGTATAATTTCAAAAATTTTCTTTTGCGTCGGACCCAACCATGGTGGGTCCTCCTACGTCACTAAACCTGATTCTAGCTCCCAAGGTCCAATTTCGCGGGCCGTCTCTGAAAAATTTTATCTATCAAATTATACACACATGTCAGATGTACTAAGTCTTAAGAAATCCCAAAATCTTGACTTTTGTTTTTCAAGTCATTTGCCCCTCAACTGTTTTTATAACACATACCATAAATTGCTTGGTGGTGCCATGAACCACGGCACACTTTAGATTTATTTACCCTGCTGACCCCCCCTTGTTCACGTGATAGATTTACGGCCCTGTGTCATAGCCAGCGTGCAGACTCGGAAATTAAATAAGTAAAGTCTGCGCAACCCAGACGATTTTCTTGTTCACCGGTTCCTCAGAGTCAAGGAACCGAATTTGATTGGTTGGGGGGATTGTCATTGTTTTTTTCAATTTTAAAAATGGCGTCTTCGAAGCAGACATGAATCGAACCAGGAAACGTTCGACGAAGCACTGCAACTTAAGAGTGCAATGAATTCCGTAGATGAGATATAACCTTATCAGAGGTTAGCCCCGACAGAGTACTTCAAAAAGAGAAAGAACGTTCTCCCCTTTTCAATTTCCAAGTCTGCACGCAGGCTAGATTGTCAACCTTCGGACCGAAGACAATGCATGACGGTGATGATGACAATGATTATGATGATGATGATGATGATGGTGATAATGGTGATTGCTTGCTATTAAAAGCCATTTTCAAATAAAAGAAACTTCACTGAAAAGGAAACATATTTCTTTCAAGAAACGGCCCACCACAACCTTGTTTGATCTAAATTAAATTATTTAGAAACCTAAAGATAGGCAGAACATCATCTTATGTTTCATGACTATTTAAATTTGATTCATGCAAGAGCATTTACTAATATGTTAGACAAGTCAACAAAAATTAGAATCTTTTTTCATTTTTTTCCCCCAGTAAGACGGAGTCAGCAAACATTTTGCAAAAACGTTGATTAGGGGGTACGATAGTGAGTCTGGTACCCAGGGTAGGGGTACGAGAACAATTTTACACTTTTTGCCTCTCCCTCCCACCGCCCACCCCCCCCCCTCAATTTAGAATTTGTGGCGTAGAAGTCGTTCAGGAATTGTCAGCTTATAAGATTTAGCTTTGTTTGAGAGGGGATGGGGTCACGTCGATGATAGTCATTGCTTCATACTTCTTACACGAGTCAACATCAAAAGATTTCAAAATGTTTTCCAAATGAAAACAGAGTGATTTGTTGCTGAGGTGAGCCCTTTTTCACAGCGATAAAATTGGGGAACAAGCAATGGCGTAACAGAATACTCAGGCTCAAAAGAAAATCAGAGAAGGGGCCACTATTTACGGACAGAAAAATCACCCCACCCAAGGGTGTAAAGAATGTAATCTGTTATTTTAGTAGCAGAGCTATTTGCGAAGTTAAAGATCTTTTTGAAAATAAAATGAACATGGATATAATTTGGGGGCTTTCTTTTCATCGGGGCCCCCCTAGCTATTGAACTTAGGTACTTTAAACTGCGTTACGCCCTGAACTTTCCGCTAAAAATGTTAAAATTGTAATATGTGAAAAATCAAACTTTGATTTTTCTTGTTCGAATGGCCTTTCTTCAAACGTAGTCTTTGCAGGCAGAGAAAAAGAAAAGTTTTTATTTTGTCATCTTTGCTTTGGAAAAGATAGTGTACTTTGCATTTTTGATCTGCGTTTGTATTCTTCCAAAAATTATCAAATTCAAAATATTAGGGCAATTTTCTAACCCGAAATGAAACCAAATAAGAAACTTTTAGTAATGAAATAACTCTATAGATGCCCTGAAACGTGCTAAACAATATTCTATATAGAGGTAATAAATTGTGGGAATTTTATAGAAATTGACAGGGAATTTTATAGAAAAAACAAATAACTGCCCAACTTCAAATTTTATTTCTCATACCTAGAACGAAAAGAAATAGCAATTGCATTGCTTACACCCGTATCATTTATGAACAAATTAAGAATAATCCAGCCTTGGATTTTCGAAAAAAACAAGAACAGTCTGAACTTAAATTTACTGGTTCTTAACAAAAGATAAAACGTGTAATGTTTTGAAAAATCAGTATTCACCACGAAAAAATCAGTATTTATAAGAACACGAGCCTTGAAATTAGTCAAAAGTCAAGAACAAATTAAGAAGGAGCTGAGACTGAGCTTCTACAAAAAGCAATTTTGAGCAAAGCTTCATCTCAAAAACGAGGATTTTTAGCCATGTGTGGATGCTTTTCGGCGAATATTCAAACTTGTCGGCAAAAAAGGTTGTCTTACTCACTTCGTTGGCAATTGAGGCCTGAACACCTCCCTAGAGCGAAAAGCTAGAAATCGCACTACTTACACCCTATCAATTTAAGAACAAATTAAGAACACCCAAGCCTCAGATTTTCGAAAAAATTAAGAACATTTAAATTTACTGGTTCTGATAAAAAAGACAGAAGAGCGTACATAAATTAGTAAATACTAAAAAACTACGTATTAAAAACAACGGAATTAGTAATCCCCTCGACAAATACTACCGATAAACTACAGCAAGATTAGAAATCGTATGCCGTAGTTTATGGATAACCTTTTAAGAACCACTTGATAGATCATAATTTTTGTTATGCAGATGGCCTACTAACATAAAGAAGCACAAATGGTCAAGTTCTACGAAAAACGAACCTGTTTTCTTTTTCTCTGTGTGACCAGAATCAATGAGTTGCCAATCTGTTCCAAGAATGAAGAATCAATGAGTCGCACTTCACTTCCTCGCTGCTTCAACTTTCACATGACCAGATGACATCAAAAAAGAATGAACACAGCACAGCAGGGGCGCTTTAATAAATGTTCTTTAGAATTTTGACAATAAAATCCGAAAGCGTGCTTTGCAGATAACTTGCAATATGCAGAATCACAAAACATGTGGAGACCCCCAGGAGATCTGAGATCTGTGTCCCCATGTTCCCAGAAAATTTTCAATAATCTTCCCTGTTTCTTCTGACATTTTTAAATGTTTCCTTGATCTCGAGATGTTCCTATGCTCCATAATAAAAAACAGCAGGTTTCCCCTCCCCTACCAACCACCGAGATTTCCTCAAGGTGCAACCTTCCGAATAAACAAACCCCGTGTGAAATATTTTGTAACAATTAGGCCATGATTCGCACACAAGACAGTGTTGACAGGCACCGCAGCGCAGGGCCTGGGCCGCAGGGGGGCTGGAGGGGGGCTTTGGCCCCCCACTTTTTGTAAAACGTGCAAAAGATTAAAAAGTGAACCACCAGTAAAGTCTCTTTTATTCGGTTTTAGCCCCCGCGCTTTTTTAGACCCCCCAACTTTTCGCAACGCCCCGCGGTGCCTGGTTGAAAGCTTGATTAAATGAAATTGAATCACGTTTAATATGTGACAGGGTACGCCTTTTAGGTGCCCCTTGGGCTTTTGTTTTTTGGGCACAGATTGCACAATTGTGGAGTTTGTGTTTATTGTAGCAGTGCTCGAGTAAGCTTTACATTGTGTTTTTTATACGGCTAAAGCAACCAGCGTGCAAGTGTGCATTGGCTTTGGGTATATAAACTTTGTCTCAGCACAGTTTCATTCTCACACGTTGCACGACAACTTGAAGTTGGACTTTGGAGAGGAAAGGGTTTTCCTTTGCGACCCTGCCCACCCAACCCTTGTCTAGAAATTTTCAGGGGTTTTTATTTACATGCATGTTGACTTACTACTTATTTTCGTGCATTAGTTAATGGCCGTATGGCTTGCGACTTTTTGCATGAACAAGGTGCTGCTAGTCGGCGGAAGAAGGCCATTGTTCTTCTTCTCAACCCCCTCAAAAACGGTTGGGGTTTTATTTATGGCCGTCTTTGCGATTGGCGCACCGACAGCCGAAAACTAAATGGTTCAAATGATGAGAGAACACCACCTTCAGTCTTATGATTGACAATGGTAAAACATTCTGAGGACCATCCTACCCTTATTTGCTAATGGTTTTTGTTTAGTAACCTGGAACAAATATTAAGACAGTTTAGCACTGGAATGGTGCAAAAGATCGTGGTCTAAAAGGAAAGATTATCGAACAAAAGAACGCGAAAAATCTTCAAGGGAATTACTCTCAATTACCCAAATCAGTAAACTCTAATTGACGCCCAGGTGACTTCGATGTTTCCGGCGGATAGGTGGCTGAAATCCTTTACTAATCCACTACATTTTACACTATCAGCTTTTTTGGTTATTCTACCTATCATAGTTCCAGAGCCACATACACTCGAGCGCGGAAATAGAAGATAGAAAATGAGTCAATCTGAGAAGAAGAAAAAGCGCAACTTTTCCTTCTTCTCAGCTAGACGCTTCTCCACTTGGTGGCTCTGGTACCCAGGCATAGGCGTAGACTTACATTTTTTTCAGGGGGGGCTCAAAAAATTAATGACAATTCCTGATGGCAGCTGCTGATGTCACAGGATAGAAAGTGGATTAGCTAAGGTCTTACAGGTGACTTTTCCGTGCATTTTTTATTATCGAGGAAGAAGAAACACACAAATGAAATTGAAAGTTTATTTTTAAATCATTATCAGTTTTTTAGGTCGAGATCATCAGTTCTATTTAGGCACCGAAAACGTACTCTTTCTCACGGCATTTCTTGATATGAAGGTGTCAACCGTAATAGTGCTAGTTTGGATTTCGTTTGTTTTGCATCCTGTAACCTTAGTAATTTTATCACCATTCGCACATTCGATTGTTTATAATTCCTTTTGTTATCTAATTGCACCTTTAGATTCATTAACAATTTCTTTTGGGATTTTTAGTATCATTATTCAGTTTATGTAATTAATCTTGGATGTAATATATTTTGCATTCACTATTATTATGTAAATTTACGTAGCTATGTAGCATTACAATAAGTTCTTGTTTAGTTATATTTTGGGCGTGTTACATTTTAGAGTTTTTGAGTTCGTTGGAGTTGAAGTTGGAAATGGAATTCGGTTAAGAGCGTTTACGTTAAGTTTTGATATTTTGTATATTTAGGTTCTCGACGTTTTATAAATGCGGCAAGATGCTTGTGAAAGATCTTGTCGACATGAAGTATGGGTTTATAGAATACATACTTGGATTTATGGAATCGCGCGTGATGATTTATTGATTGTGCATTACTATAGTATAGTTTGAACGGACAGTGCTTGTGAAAGACTGTGCCTGTTATTAAAAGAGAACGATCGACGTTACGGGTCAACCGTAGAGAAACATTGTGAAGTTTATAAGCTTTCGCGGAAAGATCACATGATCGGAAGATGGACGTTTGAAACATTATTTATTTGTCTCTTTGTCTCAATTCTCATTGAAGGACTAGTTTATATCGACGGTAACGACAGGGTGGATGTATTCGTTTTGGCAAAAAACCCTATTACACAACCTTATGTTCACAATAATTTCATACTTTATTTTGCTGTAAATGCAATTATCTAATGCAACAAATCTTATGCGTGAAACTAATAATGTAAGAAACTTATCTAAAAATTGGTAAAGCATTTCCTTATTTTCCAGGGGGGGCTCAGCCCCCCCGGTTTTCGTCAGGAGGGGCTGAAGCCCCAGAGCCCCCCCTAAGTTTACGCATATGTACCCAGGTACTATTTGTAGAGTACACAATGAAAGGGACATCTACCATAGGATAGTGGGGAGGATGAGTACTTCCATATATTACAAAAAAAGGTCCGTCTGCTTTTAAAAATATCTGAAATGCATTGGGTAGGTTCAGTCATAGTTTGTAAGGAGGATTATTACGATGAAATGGTTTATAAACGGGCGTATGTGAAATATAGAAAGGGTGCGGTCTAGAAACATTTTCCTGATCGACTTGGGCTACACTTGGTACTCCTCGTTCTCTTGGGTTACCTTTGTGCTTTCATTTTCTCTTGAGATCAACTAAGCAGAAAACCTTACTGCATTCATGACCGCCGAGAGGGAGCCAAGGGGGGCAAAATGCCCCGATTTTTGTTACCTATAATCAATTCCAAAATGGAATTGATTATAAGTAACAAAAATAGGCCCATATTCTGATTTTTTCCAAAAAAGGTCACCCAAAAGGGTGCGGAGACCCTAATTGCATTAATTCTGTTTTGGCGCAGTTAAAGGAATTTTTGTTGATTACCACAACAGAAAAGTGAATGTACACTTTCGGATAAAAAAACTTTACAGTCAACATGATCTTGAACAAAAATCCGCCGTGACATCAGAGAAAGCAAGAGGAAAAAGGGAATCCAAAATCACCATAGAAAAACGAGACTAGCGAGAATTTTGAACGAGATAGTCTTGCACAACCAAAGATTATTTTATCAATTAAGTGTTCAAACAGGCTTTTGATAAACCAAAAGGAAGGTGACAGCATGGTTGGCATAGTGCAGAAGAAAAGCGTAGTAATCACGCGTAAGATTTGAAGAGTCAAGGTTTGATAGCGATTACCGATTAATATCGCTGCTTCATACGTCGTTATACGTACGAACAGTTAGAAGCAGTATATCTGGTAACGATATAGTTGCAATAAGTCCATTATAGCCCCGGTTTCACCGTTTCTTGGTAAACAATAACCGTGTATTTCTAACGTCAGTTTGATTTGTTATACTACACACTCTAGGTAACCCTGACCTATTAACGCTTTTTCGTGTTTGACTGAATCTTTTTTGTAACTTACTGGTAACCTTTTAGGTACTTTTAATTGTAAATTACGGTTATTTTCTTTGACGGATGCAGCAAAATTCAATGCATAACTTCTCTCATTTTCAAAACCCACACGAGATTATCACAAAGAATGTATTTGAGTCTTCAACCGTTCAAATACAAGATATAAAAAGGCACAATAAGATTTTGTTCAAAAATATTCTCAGCTCTGAAACAAAAGGAAAACGTTTAAAGTTTTGAAAAATTGTTTCTCATTTCTGAATACTATTTTTACCAGCTATCTGTACTTTGATTTCATCATATCCGTTCCATCCGTACGACCAATCTATACTATGAATTCACCAGCTCATTCCCATTCCCACAGCAAGAATACTCAGTATCTAAACAAAGCACTTTTAAACAGATATTCTGAACAAGTCAAGTTAATACACCATTTCACCGCAATTCATTTAATACTAGACACTCTGCGCATAAAAACCTGTACTAAAGATTTCAAATCAGGCGAAAGATATTACATTTACAGCAACATGTAGGCTGTGAGGAACATTTAGGGAAGTTTGGTCGTAAAATAAATTGTCATTTTCTGTTGAGCTCAAAGAATTTCTAATCAAAAGATGCCAAGAATGAAGTTACTACAGCTTTCAGTTTCTCATCACTGGCCTGCGAGATATGTCCTTCTGTTTGGATAGCTTTCAGCAGCTCTTGCTGTGTTGAGCGAATGTGTTTCACAAAGGCACTTTCAAATGCAGTGATTCTTGCGGGTTCCAGTTTGTCCAAATATCCTCTTACACCAGCATAGATAACTGTGACTTGCTCAGCGATGTCCATTGGTACTAATGACACAAAAGATAATTGTTATAATATCTATTTATAAAAAAATCGCCGCAAAGTTGAAATGGTAGATATAAAAAACATATCATAGTAACCATTTCAGAACGAAGGATGCACATACCATATTGTCCTTGTTTCAATAATTCAGTAAGACGGACTCCTCTGTTCAGTAAAGATTGTGTTGCTGCATCCAAATCTGATCCAAATTGGGCAAATGCAGCTACTTCACGGTACTGGGCAAGCTCTAGCTTCATAGACCCTGCAACCTTTGGAAAAAGAATTTTAAAAAACAAGGTTAATTGCGTACAAAGCAAACAAATAAGCACAAGGCAGTATGATATAATTCAAGGGTTACCAAAGCAATTACTGCTTGCTATTTATGTTATGTGCCAAATAACATACGGATTGACATGCTTTTGACTGATTGGCTGCTTAGACAAGCCATTCAATATGACAATGTTTCACAAGACAAAACGAGCTCATTATCAAAAGATATAGGTAAACAATTATATGTTAACGACTATGCAGCGAATCACTGTTGTTTTAGGATCATAAGGTTAATTTTCACAAATAATTTTCAATTTTTCCTTAAGGTTAAAGGCAATCTGTCACGGCGTTGATGATTATAAGAACAAAGGGATTCTTTATTGTTTTCAGTCCCCCTTTAATTCCTCGCAACGTAAAAAATATGGCGGAGCGCTGGAATCGTGTTTAGGCTATTGTTCCAGCTATTGTTCTCGTTAACCAATCCACAACGAGACTGTTTATTGGAATGAGGATATAGATAAATTTTTGTAAGCTAAAGTAAGTTATTAATGTTTAGATGAAAGCCTGGCAGACTTAATGTTTTTTTGCTTTGATATGAACGGCCTGGTACAATTCTACCCACCTATAGAAAATTCCCATAAGTTTTATACATGCATGCAAGTTTGATTCTAAATTCTTCTCTCAAATTGAAATAGGAAAGTACAATCAACATTTTTGACTTCAAAATGTACCTGTTTCATTGATTTGGTCTGAGCTGCAGATCCTACTCTGCTGACTGAAAGACCTACATTAATAGCAGGACGGATTCCTTTGTAGAACAACTCAGTTTCCAAAAAGATTTGACCGTCAGTGATTGAGATGACATTAGTTGGAATATATGCTGACACATCACCAGCCTAGAAAAACGAAATAAATATATTTAAATGTACACTTCCAAAAAGGGTATCTAATTGTATTATCTAATTGCACTATCTAATTGCACTATTCTACATCACCTCAATGTTACATGTCTATTGGTAAAGAACAACAAATAACAATATCCTATGTCATATAAGTGGATTGCAATGGCATTGTATTAACCTGGGTTTCAATGACTGGCAAAGCAGTGAGAGATCCTCCTCCAAAGTTGTCATTCATTTTTGCAGCTCTCTCAAGCAAACGTGAATGGAGGTAAAAGACATCTCCTGGGTAGGCTTCACGGCCTGGAGGACGACGCAGCAACAAAGACATCTGTCTGTATGCAACAGCCTGCAAAGGAGTAAAATCCATACAAAAGCAGCCCTTACCAAGTCATGAAATTATTATGTTTAAGGTTACGGTAAACGTTTTCTGGATGAAAACATCCCTTTTTCGATTTTTTCACATTCAAGTAGCTGAACTTTTAAGGCACACAATGATAACAAATTTGAAACAAACAGAAATTTTGAAAATGGAACAAATCTCATGTAAACGAAGGTTTCCATAATTTCTTTATCAGAACTTTTATCTGAGGCCTGAAAATCTCTTGACCTATTAAGCCGATTATCGATGCTTTGCGGTCGCATGTCTCATTTACAATATCGCTTGACACATCCATGTTTCCAATGTACGTCCCTGTTTATTTAAACAGGCTTATTGATCTTGAAGCTTCAAGTGACTTGACCAGGATTACACTTTGATTTACGAGTGTACCTTGCAAGCGAGATCAGTTAAATCCCGTTTATCGTAACCTTAAACAACATTCCAAGAACGTTTATCGTAACCTTAAACAACATTCCAATTGTGCTTGATCTTGCCTGTTGTGATATTGACTTGAGAGTCATTTTAATGATTGACTAGTACCATGCTGCAACTGTACTGTTGATGTGATTTGTGGTCCAGGAAAGATTTATTTTGAAAATCATTTTTACATTGAATAAGCTTTACTGCCCAAGATTCTGCTCAAACTTAGAGAAGCCAATCAATCAACTAAGAAAATGTAGAGCACAATTCAAATGCCTTGACAAAATAGTACAAAGTATACTTTTCTGGATGCTTTTCTCAGAAAAAAGAATCTAAATTAAATATTGTTTAAGTTGCACTTGGTTGAAAATAATTATGATGCATTAGTTAATTTATGATGCTACCTAAATATGTGAAGGGGCATATCAAGTATATCAATTTAAACTGTATCAAGTGACAGGGATCAATTTACACTGTATCAAGTGCCAGGGATCAACAATTTGAAATTTAAATAAGTTCCATAAGATACCAACCTGTTTAGACAAATCATCATAGATAATCAGTGCATGCTTGCCATTGTCTCTAAAGTATTCACCCATGGCACAACCAGAGTATGGGGCAAGGTATTGCAAAGGAGCTGCATCAGAAGCTGTGGCACTGACAACTACTGTGTACTTCATAGCATCTGGAGAGACATTGGAAATTCATGACTCAGGCCCTTCATGTTCAAAAATTAACGTTGGCAACCAAAAACTAATGTGGCCATGCTAACTGGATTTTCTTTGGAACGCTAAACTTTAGAAAACTTGTAAAATGAACTAAATACTGCATTGTATATATATAAATAATTATATTCATGAATCAAAATGAGCTGGAACAAAACCAGAGTAATAACAGCATCTTTGTTTTCGTTTTGACCAAAATGGTGTGTGCTGTAGCAATGGAAATGATCAGAAAACACAGACATACCAAAACAGAAAATAGAGTAATGAAAACAGGGATTTGATGACAAACTTTCCTTTTGGAAAAAAGAGTTTTTGAAGTGGATTGGCATATCAGCATCCCATTAACCACACTTTTAAGAGAAATAATTATCGCTGGACCTGCAATTATTTGCTTTCAAAGGAAACACAGGGTATGCTGCTGTGTTTAGCATATCCCCCACTAAAAGACCTGATGACTAGGTAGGCCTTTTCATGAAGAAATTTTCACAAGGGCGACAAACTGCCCATGTGGATCAGCTTACGAGGGCAACCCCCCGTCCAGCACTATTTGTCAAATGAGGATCTTCATGACCTGAAGGGGATGAAGGGTTTTATCTAGCCATGACTGCCTAACCTTTGATTTTTAAATGCGGGATTACCTCCAATTTGTAGCCAAAATATTTGACGTATAACTTATAATGTCAACAATGAGAAAATGATACTTTGTTCTCATTAACAACTTGACCCTTTATTCAGGAATACTGTTACTTTTAGGGACAGACAAAAAGAAAACGATGCACAAGATAAGGATTTTTATAAAGTTTTAAAGATTTGTGGAATTCTTCACCTTTTGTCCTTTAAAACTTTTTGAATAAAGGTCCTATCAACAATTTTAAGGCACTGAACTTTGGCTCAAAAAGGACAGGAACGACAGATTTCTACCCATCTTGATGGCCCTTACTTTGATAGCACTCGTGTTCTATAAACGTTTAGCTAAAAGGCCTCAAGGGAAATCATTAATGACTCCATGAGATATGAATTTAATAATAGCGACAACAGCAAAAGTGAAATTTATTGCTAACTTTTCAAGAAGTGCTCAACCTTTCTCTTGCGGGTGATACATGTTTTTGTGAGGGCGGTCAATAGCCCATGTCAATAATTTGGCGAGCGCGATGGCAAGGGTGATCGCCCACATGAAACGTATAGGTCTGTTACTAGGTCATAATTTGAAATCAAGTTATAATTTAGCCAAACAAAAAAATAGATGGCAGTTGGTAAACAACCAAAAACTGCATCTAATGCTATAAATACCTGCATCTGTAAGGCGCTTGACAAGCTGGGCCACTGTACTTCTTTTCTGGCCAATTGCAACATAAATACAGTAAAGTTTGGCCTCTGTATAAAAAGGAATGATTTCATTAAAAAAGTGTAAACATATAAATTTAAAAAAAGAAAATATATAGTTAATTTTAAAGGAATTAAGAAAGAAGGAATAAAAAGTAATGTAACTGTTTAAACACTAGAGATGCTTTCTGATAACAGTTTCTTATCAATTTCTGTCTGCAGCATAATTTACTGGTCCCTGCCTGAAGGCATTTGCAAACGCCTGCAGGCATGCAAACCAAATTGCTCAACAGAAGTTAGGACAAGGCTATTTTTGCATGTCAAAATCAAAATCCTTTTCTGGATTTAATACATATAACTACATGTGCATTATAAATTTTTCAAGACTTTCTTTTAAAGTTTTTTTACTGGCATTGTAGCTGATTTACTTCTCATTTTTGCTCACAAATTCCTATACCTCTGCCAGGGCAAATCAAATTTTACTGGAGGGTTTTATTTTAAAAAAATCGAGGGAAACCCAGCCAATGAAAGCAGAATAGTTTAATAACTGGAAATTTCTGCAATTGTTTTTCACCATTTCTTTTCTATATATTTTAATTCTTTGACACTGAAATGACTCTATTTAAAGCCCATATTCAAAGCCCTAGAAACATTGACAAATAATAGAAGTTTGAGCTTTTGGGCAAACACAGTGAAAGTTTAGGGTTTACTTTGTTTAAAGGGCCCTTTCTCTTTCAATTCTAACAAATTTTCAACCAATTACCAATTTTTCAAGCAAAGTTTCTGATTCAAATTGTCCCAACTCCTATAACATTGAACACAGCATACAAGAGAGAAAAACAAAAACTGCAGCATATGCGATACATTTAAATATATACATCGGACAGATTTTAAATTTTTTCCTTTTGGCATAGAAATGGCAATTTTGGCAATTTATGCTTAAAATTATTCCCTTTAAGAAACATACATGTAAACACAACCATTTTACTTTAGTTAAAGAATTTACACTACAAAAACCTACTTTCATTTCCAGCTTCATTGAATCTCTTTTGGTTGATAATAGTGTCAATAGCAATGGCTGTCTTTCTACAAATAGACAAATTTCAGGTTATTGTGTAACAATAAAACCTAAATATGAAAATTGAAATTGATAACTGTTAAAATCAATTCAATCACTTCCTTATTTGCTTGACCTGTCTTTAAGAGAAAACCTTTTGGATTCCCTGACAAAATAGGGCAAAAAAATAAAATTTTCAGAGACATGTCCTTACCCAGTCTGTCTGTCTCCAATAATCAACTCTCTCTGTCCTCTTCCAATTGGTACTAAGCTATCTACAGCCTTTATTCCTGTCAACATAGGTTCTTTTACAGATGTTCTTGGAATGATACCAGGGGCCTTCAACCCAACTCTAGCCCTGCTTGCAGAGTTGATTGGACCCTTTCCATCAATAGCATTACCCAAGGCATCAACAACCCTGCCCAATAGTTCTTCTCCAATTGGTACATCTACAATAGCTCCGGTTCTTTTCACAACATCACCTTCCTTGATGAGTTTGTCATTACCAAATACTACAACACCAACATTATCTGGCTCCAAGTTCAAGGCCATACCCTTGAAAAAATAAAAAAATTGAGTGACAGTTCAGACACATTCAAACACACTGAAACATTTCACTTTAGAATTATGTGAGGATCAGAAACAAATCAGAAAGCAAACAAATCACAAAGCAAAATTGGTTTATTACACTGATTTCAAGATTTATCACAGTCGTGATTCATCATGAAAGCCAAAGAGTAATCTATACATACACCTTGTAAAATTTTTATTTTCTCCAGAAAACTTGATAATTATATATTGTGCTTTTGTAGACAATTATAATAAAGTTAAATTCACACCAGAAGCAAAACATCAACTTCGCCAAACAGTGAGGCAGTGCCAAAAAATAAATTTAGAAATTTTTAACCTTGTACAGCCAGAGAGAAAAAATGTTTCTAATGTGAATTCATCTTTAGGAAGTAAAAGCCTGTATTAATGTAAGGCAAAACAAATACCAACCTTCAGACCACTTGAGAATTCTACCATTTCCTCTGCTTGGACATTTTTCAGACCATATACACGGGCAATACCATCACCAATGGACAATACTCTTCCAGTCTCTTCAAGCTCTGCCTTGCTAGAGGTTCCTAAAATTCTTTCTTCAAGGATGGATGCAACTTCAGCAGAGGCTAAAAAGCAACAACTTAGACATCAATATTTTTGCTTCTGCTTGTTCTGGATGATAAAAATTCTGTTTACCGACCTATGATATTGCTCTTGATCATTTAGGAAAAACTGTACAGACTTTGATGTGTAAAAAAGGGCACTTCAAAGTTGCAACTCAGACTTAATGCAAATGTCAGGCAACCAAAAGATATTTAATCAGACAACACATTCCTATGAAATGCATGTGAAATGGAAAGAATGTTAAAACGAGGGAGACAGCTCTATGGTAATTTTTCAAGCAAATCATTGAAGAAATACATTGTATACAGGGTGCATCAGCTAGTTTACTTTGCAAGTACAAAGCGACACCATAGAGGCAATTTGGCTAATGGGATCAAGTCATTTTTCTATGCTTCAAATTTACATATTTGATATGGCACTTTGCATAACACAGATAAGATATATTAAGGGGCTGCCTCTGTGCTTAGGACTTTGAGGTGGAAAATTATCTAAAAAAGGTCTAAAGGTGTCCACTGCCAGATGCTTAGTGCTACTTTAGAAATAGACTACTGCAAATAGCTAAATAATTTTACACTGTCTGATGTAGCATGTTACTTATCAACTGTAATAATGACACTGAAACTGCATACCTCTTTGTGTTGGTGTGGTATGATAATGTTTTGTTGCTGCAATGGCAGCTGCTCCAAGACTTCCTTGAAGTCCCTTGAAAATATATTAATATAATTTAAAATATTAAGAACAGCAATAGACACTTAAATACTGAAAACATTTCTTTAAGTATCCAGCAACAACAAAATCAACTTGGTATAAAAAAGTACACAAAAAGTGTGTTATTGGCAGCATGAAAAACTTGCACACTTGATGCTACTTGGTATAAAAATATAGCAAAAAAGGTATTTCCAAGAATTTGTCTCTCTGCATGAAAGAAAATGCTCTAAAACCAATTGATGTATGCAAAAACAGCCACAAAAATTTATTTTTTCTAATTCAGCACCATTTAATTCAATGTCCCTATCATAACTGATAGGGAACCTAACAGATTTGAAAAAGATCAGCAACCTATGAAATGCCAGGCAAGCACGTTGCACAATAAAACAGTAGTGTCAACAGCTGGAAATAATATTTGCCATTTTGTTTCTTTTTTTTGTGATTATATATTCCTGTCCACTCAATGGCAAGCAGAACACACCCTTAATATAAAGAGGATGTGTGCAGACCATAGCATATATATAGAATGTGGCAACACAAACTACTTATATGACATTACAGTATATGTCGTCCCGAGCCGTTTATTGGAACTAGCCACAACTAATTCTCAAAGAAAAAGTCAACGTATCAAAAGAATGAGGTACACATCATTATTCAACGTTATTTCCAAACAGATGTCTTTCCGTTATTTCTCTTTGGACCCGAAAGCTAGGCCAGTTACGCGAGACTTGCGTGGAATTGCTCCCTGACCTGAATAAAATTGTCTTCGAAAAATGCATCTCTAATCATGATTAGCAGTAAATTGCAGGAAAAAGACAAACGTCTAATGTTCTTAAATACCTTTGGAACAGTTCGGACGGCAGTCCTTAAAAGGGAGGAGGCAACTCTTCGCGTCAACATCTTCAAATTCGTTCTTCAAGGCCTTCTTTGCAGAGGACTGCTCAAAGGAGACCAAAGCCGATAGGGCACACGGTTAAGGTCACGTGGTATTAGTGCGCGCGCAGGAAGAACCTGTTCGAAAATGAGACTGCGCTGTTTCGAAATGAGAATGGACAATTCTGGACAAATATGAATGCAAGGCAAAAAACATGACCACAAAATAAATTTTTTCTGCAAAAAATGTTCTTCCTTTAAAACGTTAACTCGCAATACATTACGAGCACTTGATGTAATATAATGCAAGAACAGGTATGTCATGATAGACCAAATGAAATATGAATGAATAAAGGTTTCAAGCAGGGCCATAAATCCCGGACCCCCAAAAATCTGGAGCAAAAACGATTTTTTTAGAAATTATCGTCGTTTTCTTTTAAAGAAAGGAACCCCCTGTAGCTGGGTTAGAACCAAACTAAGTTTTGCAACATACCTCAGCCACTATGTCATGGTGTCAAGCGCAAGTTCACTACTGTATATAAATGGCTGTTATTTATGTTTGCAGGGTGGTGTCAAGTCGGTGACGATGTTCATGGAGGGGATTAGCCCCAAATATCTTATGCACCGGTCACCCCTTGAAAAAATCTAAAAACATCTAAGAAATGAATCGCTTAAGTCGCCATAAATCTCGACAACCCCACATTACACACATTTCATACATGCCTTTTTATAAAAATCAAATACAAACTCAAAACCTAGGTCCTAAAGTTCCTAATTTCTGAACCTCTATTAATCGAATTGCGGAACGAAGACCTCCATAATAGCTCCTTAATTTTAACTGCATATTTAGTGACATGATAATAGCATAGAAATTATGAGTTTTGCTTTTAACTGTAGCTAGGAACAAGGCTAAAAGACAAAGAGGGCAAAAAGTAAAAGTAATTTGCGTAAAAGTACCATGTCAATAAAGAAGTACTTTTGCATTTAACTTAGAGAGAAGCAATGACTAAACTCTTTATTATTAACATAGAGAGAAGCAATGAATTTTGCCCAGCCTCGTTTTTTTTAAGAAAAGTTTCATTTTGAGCCCGATATGTTCTTAGATACATCCTTAATTTTTCGAATCCGATATGGTTTCAAGAAAAAACGCTTGCTCTCTAATAAAAAACGCCTTTTCTTTTTTCTCTCCAACGTCTGTCAATAGAGTTTAAGCATTTCCCCAACATCTGTCACTAGACTCTTCCCTTACCTAATTTCTCCAAGAAGCAATAATCTGTGTTCTTCAGAGAAACGTCGATTTGTCTATCCTGAACGGTATAGTATTTTGTTAAACCTGGTCTGGGAGATGCTTTTATAGCTATTTAGAAGGTATGATTTTAAAAAATATTCTTCCTCGTCGGCCCTAAATATGGTGGGTCCTCCTACGTCACTAAACGTGATTCTCAGCCCCCAGATTCAATTTCTTCAAGCTGTCTCTGAAAAATGTTATCAACTCAACTATGAAAAAGTCAACGTGCTAAGAATATATCTGTAAATACCTTATATAGAGCTGAAAAACCTTACTAAATTTAAAATCTTTTTTTGTTTATTAAGTCGTTTGCCCCTCGAACTGTTTCCATAACACCTACCATAAATTGCTTGGTGGTGCAATGACCCACTGCACACTTTTTATTCATTCGCTCTGCTGACCCCACCCCCCTCCCCCAATTGACATGACAGGTTTACGGCCCTGTTTTCAAGGGCACTTAGATGAAAAGTACTAAAACAGGCCCTGCCTCCACTAAAACAGGCCCTGCCTCCTAGAGACCTAATAACCAGACAAGTCGGTCGTATCAAACTCTTTTCGAGCTTTTGGCGCCCTATACAAGCTTTGGCCCCTATGAAAAAGTCAGCTGGGGAAGCATAAACACTATTTAGATAAGTTACTTTTTTAAGAACAAATGGCGTGCAACTTCAAAATGAGGGGCAATTATTTTGATGGCTATAAAAAAATCCGGGTGTTGCTGGCGGGTCTTGACTTTTCTGATCTGGTCTGGAGCATTAAACGATGCTTTTGCTGGCAGCTTGCTTACAGTTTCATCGTGTTCGGAATGCTTTCATTTAATGCTTTCAAAAAGGCCAGAGAGGGAGTTAACAGCTAAAATCTAGAAAACAAGATACTTAAAAGGATAGTTCCAGCTGGAAAAATTGGCTTTAGTCTTGGAATATTCAAGGCGGCAGAAAAGTTAAAACCTCAAAAGCTATTTATTTACCCTACAAACATTGAAGTGGTGCAAAATCAAAAAATACAAACCGTTTTAATTCTCAAAAAATGAACTAAAAAAGTGTTGTTGAATTTTGGTGCTTTTTGGTCAGGGTATTTTCATACTTCAGAAAAAGACAAAGAAACAGTTGAACCAAAGCAGAAAACTGGTGCTGCAACAGTGTTTGTGTAGAAAGCATATTAAAAACAGAATACAATTTTGACCTACAAAATATTGCGTACATCTTGTGTCAAGTTGTTGCATAACAGATCTCACCGACATAAACGAATATGATTGGTTGGGATTAAACGTTAAGTTTTACCTAAGATAATAAATTAATGTAAAGACAAAGTGGAAGTGGCATTGTCCCTTTCAATAAATTAGTCATCAATCGTAAGAGCCTTTCCAAGCACAGCTACAACGTGTCCCTACAAAATGCTACGACATGAGTTCCAACTCTTCCTTCTGGGAAATGTGTATGGAAGTACCTGATACACTAGAGGGGAAAAAATTAAGAAACATCCATCAGAACTTGTTGACAACGGATTTGAACTTTCAAGAAAAAAACTGACACAGAAAAGTCGCCATAAAATAGTATAAAACGGTCAGATATTGAAGCTTTCTTGTTTTCTAAAATTGGACTTGCTGGTTCGAGGGTTTTGGAGTACTTATTGGTATAAAACTACTGTAGAGGAGCACTGGTGAGTAAAAAAGGTAGAATTTTCCCCAACTAACACGTTGATTTCAAGTAGAAGGTCCACCCCTGTCGTAAGAAGGTCAAACTTGAGTTTACATACCAAAGAAATAATCCTATTTTTGTACATGGGTACTTTCCCTCCTGGATTTTTCTACTGAAAATTTTTGGTTACTTGATGATCAACTACGCTCCCGGACAGACGATGTTTGATTTTGCACCCCCTCCCCAAATGCTCTGATTTTGAAAGGGTAGAGTGTGTGGATGTTGCACTTCCAATACAGTCATGCTATCGGAAACATGTTTAGGGGTTTGTCTCCACAGATCTGTCCAAGATTGTAGTTTACTTGATTTCTTGGCAGGTTTCAGAGGTACTGAGGCAATTTTCACAATATTGCTGAAAATTTGGAACGATTCTCGTGGACGTTCTCCCCCCGTCACAACATCATATTGCAGAAACGTTTTTCTTTATATCTACTTTACCTCAAAAAAGCTGTTTCTGTTCAGGAATGATGTAACACCACTATCCTAGTAAGAGAAAATAGTAATGGCATACAACTATACATCTTCCATAAAAACAAAGAGCCGGAGAGACAAAATGGCCCTAAATTATAACATATGAAAGATTCCGCTGTTCAAAACTTTTCAGATTGTAATCAAGAGAGAAGGAGAGAGAAGGAGAGAGAAGGAGAGAGAAGGAGAGAGAAGGAGAGAGAAGGAGAGAGAAGGAGAGAGAAGGAGAGAGAAGGAGAGAGAAGGAGAGAGAAGGAGAGAGATAGAGAGAGAAGGAGAGAGAAGGAGAGAGAAGGAGAGAGAAGGAGAGAGAAGGAGAGAGAAGGAGAGAAAAGGAGAGAGAAGGAGAGAGAGGGAGAGAGAGAGAGAGGGGGAGAGAGAGAGGGAGAGGGGGGGATGAAGATTACAAATGTGGACTGTAATTAGTCTTGCCTAGACAGGTAATTGATTTCAAATATGTCCAAACATTACAGCTATGATAAATAGGATTGAAAAACTTTTCTTTACCTTAAGCAACACGTTGAACAAAATAACATGTGTAGGAAAAGGATTCTTTGTCCTATCATATTGTGAATGTAGCCATGCAGTGGAATTTTGATAAAACGAATCTGCTTCTTCAACATAATTCGGTTCGGTGCTTGGGTGGCATTCAAGAAATCTCATTTTAACATTAATGTGAAGATGGCTGGAATGCAATAAAATATATAAGCGTAATGAATGCCTAATGTCTGATAAAGAGCAAAGGAGCTTGATTGTCATTAGCAGACAGGGCAGCGCTAGAAAGAATCGGGAGTCAGTTAATTAGGACAATGTAAACATCACTTGGAGAATATAGAGTTATAGTCAGCGCGATGAGTCTTTTCAGAACAGGATTTGTAAAAATATCACGTAAAATACCCAGAACAATTCAAATTTAACAGAAAAATGCAGGCTATAAAAGGCAATAGCTTATGCAAATCTAAGATTAACCGATACGATTCCTCACTTCAATTCTCACAGCTTAATAAAAGCGGATTCACGCAAGTTTAAATTCCTCCAGACTGAAAGCAGCAATAAATAAGAGCCTGCTCATCAGATCAGAGAAAAATTGTTTTGAATTAAGTAACTAAAGCAATCTATGAGATACGAATTTGAATTCCGTTAATGATGCCCAACTAGGGAAGAATTACCTGTAATAAGGAGTAGAGTGGCAAGGCATTAAGAACAAAACTGCACTATCCGCTGTCTTTTCTTTCAAGTCAGATCTCAAGAAACGCATTACATCAAGAGTACCTCGCTGGTGTACAAGTCCAAAATACAAGGCCACGAAGAGATTCAAAATACCAAGGAACACAAGAACAACCATGCTTTTCTTCCTAACAATTATAAAATCTTGATTTTCGTCTTCTGGTGAAGGTTTATCCTCACCGTGTTCACTACGTCTTTGTCCAACAAAATCACAGAACCATTTTGAAGCAATGCAATGGACGAATGGAATGCATGGTAACAGGAAACGAAACTCTTTGTGACTAACAAAGCTGCAATTAGAAGAGTATCTTAAATTGTTGCATTTGAAAATGCTAATAAAACAGATGTTTCAGGTTTTTTAATAATAATCAGAAAATTGTTAGATAAGTTAAAATGAATTCCTAATCAATGGATGTGACTGGAGTGGAAGTTAAGGAGAAATCATTTAATTACACGATATGTTATAGCATTTGAAGCAATTTATAAGTGTATACAAATTAGAAACGTTTACTTTACCTTAGACCAGCTATATACAGTAGTGTTAGACACCAAAGTGCAAGTTCATTCCTCTTAACTTCACTTTTGAAAACAGTAAACACCACCAGAGGTAAATTTGTAAACAAAACAACTGGTAGACCTTGCGTAAAGTACCAATGCCATGAATGACTGCCATAAAAGCTGCTCATACCTTGTAGCACATTAAAGCGAAAAAAGTTCCAATGCACAAATATCAAATTTCCATAGAAGATGGAGTCCACCAAAGTAGAAACAAACAATATAACAAGACCTGTTATGGCCCCAGTTCTAATGAGGCCAAGGGATCTTTTATGAATAAAATCATGAAATACTTCACAGAGAATTACTGGCAACCAAATAAGTGCAGCTGATGGTCTAACAACACAGGACAGTCCACAAAAAGACAGGCCACATATTAATGATAAACCTGAATGTCCACTGATTTCCCTGGATTCATTTGTTTTCTGAAAAATGTGCCAGTTGTAAATGCCTATGCCTACAATAACCAAAGTCATTTCAGTAGTGTTTGTCAGTGTTCTGGATCCATTATAGAAAATGAACCATGATGAAAGTTGTAGAATAAATGCATAAAATGCTCTTTGATTTCCATAAACTCTCTTAACAAATATATACAATAAGTAATCACCAGCAGAACTTGAAAGTGCTTGTAAAACTCTAGGAAGTGTCACAAGAAAATACACAGTATCCAAATTCAGAATTTTTAAAAGTAAATATGTCAGTGCAATAAGGCTTGGGTAGCAATAGTTTCGAATACCCTTGGACCACTCCCATGTTTTGTACCCATAACCAAAAACATTGAGGTGTGCAATCTCCAAGCTTTGCCAGTATTCATCTGGTACAAAATAGCTTTGTACCAATATAACAGATGCTAGTCTAAGGCAAAGTGAATATTTGAGTATATATTTTCCATTGCTTGGCACTTTGAAGTAAGTGGATTCATTCTTCCCCTGAGGTAAGATGTCTGTCTCTTTCTCCTTTGATAAATGATTGCCTTTGCTTTTTCTGAACTTTATGTGCATAGTAGTATATGCAAAAAGGAACTGTTACAATCAGGAACTTTGGAAACATGAAATACCTAAAAAACAGAAGCAATTTCTTAGAGTTGACTAAATGAGGTTTAAGGTATGGTCAAATGTTAAACCTGAACTCTTTTAGCACAGTTGTACATGCAAAAAGTGTCTTTCTTTTAGTAAACATATGCTGGCAAAACCTAACTTACTAATACAAATGAAAGAAAGAAAGAAAGAAAGAAAGAAAGAAAGAAAGAAAGAAAGAAAGAAAAAAAGAAAGAAAGAAAGAAAGAAAGAAAGAAAGAAAAATGGAAATGAAAGAAATGTTGCTTCTCTTGATAATCAATGCTACTGTCATGCAAACAGCATGATAAAAAGAAAGATAAATTACCTGGTTTGCATCTGTGCTTTTTGAATTCAATATTTTCTGAATAAATAAGAAGAAATGCAAAAACATGTGAAAAGGGGTAAAACATCAAAAGTAGGAGCACTTTTTAAATAAGATAAATACGATAAATAGCATAAAGATAAAACATATTGTAGATTTTTTGTACTGCATTGCCAAGTTGTTAACCTTGGTGTAGGCCAATAAGTTATATTGAACATTTCATTCAAGATCCGGCACAATTAACTATTCTGCATTCTACTACAGCAAAATATGGCTTTTAAATCATATTTTTCTATTATTCTTCCCACTGATTTTGTGCCTTGTGGACACATTTATTGTGGGTATTATAAGGCACTGGCAGTTATTAGGGGGCAAGGGGGCAGTTGCCCTACTTGGAAGCCAAAAGTTAACAAAATTACCCTAAAATCAGTATTATTTGGCATTTGTTACTTTGGCCTTTTTAAAAATTTCTAACATTAAAACTTCAATAATTTGGAGCCTTGTTTCCAGTTAGTTGCGAAGCAATGTACAACTCTAATGATGTTGCTGCAGTATGTGCATGAAAGTGGATTGTACAAGGCTTACCCCCAATTTGTGTAGAGCCTATCAAATATTCTGCACAATACCTTTCACAGCTGCCAGTGCTGAGTGGTCATTCCCAAAACAAAGATAAACAAAAACTATCGACAGGATTGGTCAGCAACGACTTAAGGGGCAATCACTTCTCTCAATTGAAAAGGAAATCGCTGAGAGCTTGAACTACGGTGAAGAACTAGACTCAATTGCAAAGGCTTATATTGAAATAATTCAACTTACAACTGAAGTAAGGGATGACTCATTAAGTATTTGTAAAATTGCTTCTTAATGTTAAAAGGCTTGTACTGATTCCTTGAAACCCTGACTCTGCTTGTTATTTGGTATGATAACCCAGTTGATGTTTTTCAAATAAAGATATTCTCAGAAAAAATTGCTCAGAAACAGGTTACAAACCAGTTTAAAAATTTAAAATTTGATATCATGTATTAAAATGGCTTCAAAATTTCCAAATAAAATTCATTTTTAAGGCCCTTTTGAGGTCCCCTAGACCTAAGATCTTGAGGGAATATGCATCATATCACACTCTTTGCGATCCAGCTTGAGATCGCACTTATCACAAGTGCCATCTTGCACTCCCCAGGTAATATCTTGTGCACCCCTGATACTTCATCAAAAGCTGACATGAAATCCAGACTGACCTACAGGCCAACTAATACAAAGCAAAATTTTATTAGACGATAAACTAAATATTCAAATGCCTTTAGTGGGTGATAAACAGGGGCAGACACTTGGTCAAATATTGAGGAAGGCAAGTCTATTGCTTTGATAAGATGATGTCAGATTTTCCCTAGAACAAAAGACCATTGTCTTCCAAAGTATTGGGGAGGCAACCACTCCCTCGCCCCCAGGTGTCCCCCACTGATAATCATCCATCTTTGATAAACCTTTTGATAAAGTCTTGAAAGCTTATGTTTGAACCAAATATAAGAATGGGAGTCATTTGTCCCTGCAGCTGTTCTGTTTGTCAAATTTATTTTTAAAAATACTTTCTTTTAGGCTTAGAATGGGTAGTTAAGAGTATGCTGGTTTCATAGAATATGACAAATGGGATGCTGTAGTGCATACAAACACAGTTTCAGCCGTAAGGGTAGTTAGGACTATGACATTAGGGGGAGGGGGTAAAAAAATTTACTAACAAATAGAAATGACTATATTATCAAAAATAACGTTAAGAGGTAATTTGCACAAACATGCACAAACCAACACATTTATGGGAGAGAGGGTTAAGAGGCAACCTGTGCACATTTTAAACCAATGTTTACACCTCGATCAAAAAATAATCCCACTCACTTTTTTGAGAACCCTCCTTGGGATCTTGTAAAAATATCTTTGCAAAAACTTTGGGTGTTACTAGAATTGTCCCTCTTTCCTAAATACTCAAGCCTTCCTAAACAAGAACTCAGTGGTAGAGAAGGCGGTCGAAAACTATATCATTTGAGCACTCAGCCTCATTCTCAAAACGTTGTCAGGAAAAGCTGCCTTCAGGGATGTTGTTAAATAATTCAGGGCAGTCATAGTTATTATTTTGGCGGGAAACCTTGTTTTGATGTTTTGGTAGGATAAAGACAAAAGTCGAATTGTGGTCAGATAAAAAAGAACAAGGGATGCCTACCGTTAGAGTTCGTCATAAAACTAGGGTGGTGCTAAAGTGGCGTGTGTGTGTGGATGGGGAGGGGGTGGTTGGGTTTGACAACTTCCCATGAATTGATTGAGCTTTTTACTCGATTGATACTACGCGGCAACCTGCTACACCCCCTCAAAAGAAATTTTTCCAGCACCGCCTCTGGACAAGTCTCCCGCTCTTTGAGTGTTTCACTCATTAAGTTTATATCCCTTTTTGAGCTCGTTAACGGTAGCAGAAGTGTATTTCTAGGGAGAATGGGGGTTAGCGGGCTGAGCCCCCTTGTTAATGCCAAAATTGGTAAATTTCTACTTCGCTATTGTTTTTCGCAACATTTTCTGCAAGAGCCCCCTTGTTATTTTGGTAGCACTACACCACTGAACGATAGTGATGTTCAAACCCTTAACCCAACCAAACTCTATATCAATGACATTGAATTCGACTATGAAGTTTTCTGAAGACAACTGACATGCAGGAGCTATGAAAGTTTAAGGGGCTCTTACGCAAAATGCTTCAAAAATTGGCAAAAGTAGAAATTGGCTACTTTTTAGAAGGGGCAGGGGCTTAGCCCCTGACTCAGACAAGTACTACCCTTGTAAGTTATTAACTTTGATCATAATTCTTATCAGTAAAATCATAGCCTTTCGGAAGGGAAATTGAATGAGAAGGCAAGCCTTTCTTTTTATAAAGAGATATACAATAGCCTATTGTTTAAAATAATAGAAAGTTATTGGGGCTGGAGAGGCAATTGCCCTCTAGTTTGTATGTTAAAAAAGACCCTGGATATAGTTGTTCTAGAACTGTGTGCATTGTCACGCCCTCAAGGGTAGTCGTTACTCTTTTGGCGAGCAGATAACCACAGTAAGCACTATAGACTGAGTGTCGCGACTTGACTCATATGCCTTACTGAATAAATGCGGTAGCTAAAACGAGAATACATACTTCTTAGGATACAAAACGATACAGCGACAAAGGATAATGCTAACGTACGGCCAAGGACATAAATTGACAGATACCTTTGTGGGAGGAGGGGGGAGGGGGATGAAGGGCTCAAAATTTCCGACTGACAAAGGTCAATTCTAATTTTGTATGAGGGCCTAAACTTTAATAGTTTTTTAGCAACAGAACCTTATAAATTGTCTCGTCAATTATTCAGCTGTATGATAAAGTTGCTAGATTTCGTAAATTTGGAAGATCGAGCATAAAGACTGTTAGTTTAATTAGTGCATCAAAACATACGTAGTCCATGAGGTCGTTTAGTCTTTTACAGAGGCGGCGCCAAGAAATTCAAAGTGAGGGGGTGGGGCTCGAGTTGATAGAATTATTAGACTAAAGAACCATCTTTTGAAAAACGCACTAAAACGATATTTTATGCCTATTATTTTATTGGGCACTCATTATGCTAGCGGTACGTTTGAAGGGGCCGGCGGGAGGTTTGCGGAGGCTTTAAGGATATTCGAAAGAAGTGGCTTCCCTGCGAGCGAAGCGATCAGAAAATTTTCACGACCACGCTTTTTAGATTAGCTTAAATACATTTCAGAATATTTCTTGCAGGTATTTTCTTGCAATCGTTTAAAACATTTTGTTATTTTTAAGGCATGCTCTTATTACGTTTGATTAATTCCAGTCTTAAAATTGAATTCATTGCTTTATGAGGCCCCATAGACCTCGGCATACTCCTTGGAAAGTAAGCAACTAAAGGATTTGTCGGATTATTCTTTTCTTTTTCTTTTTTCCTTTACTCTTTTTATTTGCTTAAAAATACATTTTTGCAAAAAAATTGGGGGGGGGGCTGAAGCCCCCAGCTCTCCACCTGGCGCCGCCTGTGTTTCATCGGACATCTCAACGGAGAAAGTCATGGGAAATGTGCTGCGCTTCTTGAAGCATTACTGTTAAATAATAACTTATCTTGTTAATCTATTTCATAGTAATTATCATCTTCTCTTAATAAGTGGAAAGAAGCAAGTTCTTCTAAAAGGGGCGTTTTCCAGCGTTTCAAAGAGTGTGGCCTCACAAAATTTTTGGTCCACACCCTTCTCAGCCCACCCACTTTTAGACTGGTGCGCGGTGCCTGGAGATATCTCTGTGGTGGTCGGGTACGACCATACCAAGGTGGCAACATTTACTATGATCACAAAGGCAATCAATGAGCTTCAGTTTATTGACTAAGAGGTATGTCACAACATTATTATCCAAATGTATCCTGACTTTGGTTGCACTTTTGACAATACTGGGTTAGCATCTTCTTTTTTGAAAACCTCTTTTCGTATTTTCTCACATTCTCTATGGAAAAATTCACCACAGCCACTGCATTGTGTCATATGCCTGTCAATAAAATATTTCTCCTTCTTAAATTTGTTTCTTGCTATATGACAAAATCAGAAAACGTGTAAATGTGTCTAGGTATGTAGATAGGATCACAATCTTGCTAAGAGTTCATTATTTGTCATTTCATTTGAATTATCAATAAAGGAAGCTGTTGACAAATAATTTCTAATACCTCTCTACTTTTGTACCATCACTAGGAAACCAAGGAAGACGCCAAGTGCAAGAAAAGTCAATTTCAATGATTTTATCTGCATTCTGCTTTGCTTTTTCACCGGTGATTGGAAACAAGTCCAGTTGATCTGCTTCCAGTGCACACAGAATATGATGTCGCATCACCATTTGGTTGAAGTTTACACAGGATGGATATTCTTTGTGAACTATGATGTAGTGAGCAAAGGCAATAGCAAAGAGACCACAGTCGATTGAACACTTTTGTTGTTGAACTGGGATGACCTTTATTGTGAGAGTGTTCTTCTCATGGCATACTAAAGAGCATATCTGTCAAAGCAAATTTTGTTTAATCTTTCCATTAGAAAGACTATCCATATAAATGACTTCTCCAGGTTTGCATTGGAAAGTGCAGTATTCGGGCAAATGGCTTTTCCTTGTAGACCTTGAATTTTAAAAGGATACCACATAAAGGATCCTGCAGGCCAGTGTTTCCTGGATATTGGTCCTTAATGATTTTCTGCAGAACTGCAATCAAGTTCCCTGTAAACATTTTTTATGGCCAATGTTCCTTAAATCTCTTCCATTAATGTGGTTCTTATGGATTCATGAAAAGATTTCATCAACATTGAAATTTGTAACCTTTCTTGGCAAGCTTTCCTCATTTCCTGGACAAAACCTGGTCCTTTACAATATTTTTCTCTAGCTCTTTGATGGCCAGATTCTGTTTCTCTTCAATGGACTACAATTGGCATCCTTTATCTCCAGAGGGCAAAGACTTTTCTTCAGACAATGATCCATTTTCGGTCTCAATATCTCCATGGTTGCCCTCCTCACGAACATTGATTTCCATTGCTCGCAAAAACTTTTTTTCTGCTCACCTACTCTCCAACCAAATTTTACTTGCGCTTCCTGTGAGGAAGTGGAATGAACAGTTCACTCTTTATCTTTATCATTGCCTTTGTTATATTTTCACTCTTCTCAAAGCAATACCACATTCTCAGGGCACAGAATCAAAGAGTGCAGCCTGCAGTGCGGCGAGGTGCTCTCTCAATTCTTTCATCAAATTATGACTGTCTTTTAGCAGGTAGTTCTTCTTATTTCATCTAAGAGTTCTCTGCAGGCATGACCATTATTTCTGGAAGTCTTGAATTCCTTCCAAAACATTTTGTAAGATCATCAACTGTTCCCACTGTCTCCTGTTGATCTACTGCATCATGTGCTTCATCATTCTGATCTGCTTTATCATTCTGATCTGCTTTCTAGTCCATACGCTGAGACCCATACTCTCACTGGGAACAATAAACCTGCCACGATCTGTCATAATAACATTGGCAATGTCAATACAATCTGCTCGAGAAATTTGCTCAAGGCTATGTATTGTCATATCCTTTGGACGATTTCTTAAGAAGCTTGGAATATTTTCTCCAAAACTTCGAGAACTTGACTTTGCCTTTAGACTTGTTTCACAATATCTAGAAAAGTAGAGTTGTGTAAGCTTTGTGTTTTTTTGGGAGGAAAACTACCTAAATAAGTATCAATAGCATTACTGATATAGGTTTTAAATGCACTGCAGAGTTATGTGGAGCAGATAAATTTGCAGGTGTTATATCCTGGAGCAAAATCCCCTCATTCATTAAAAAAATCTTCTTCAACCGTGACTTTTCTTCATAAGCTTCAGTATTCCCAACCAGATAATGATCTAATTTCTTCTGACGTCGGCATCTCCATCGTATAAACTACATCAGATGAACACACAGTAAAACAGCATAAAGAAGGTTAATACTGACAAATGATTACACAAAAAAACACGGGCGTGGACCCAAACGTAAATTCCATTATATTCAAGTTAGATAATATAAGATGCTTCATTTATTTAGGCCTTTATTTTCTATTTAGGGTATCAATGTGTTTGGAGCCATGACATTTTGCACTTTTACAATAAGACTGTCTGCCTTTTTCCAATTAAACTTGGTAGTTGCAATTTTTTCCGCAGTCTACGTCTACCCTACGTAATGTGAGTACCGAATGAATACTTACAACGATAAGTAGTCTGATGAATGGTCGTGTTGACTTATCAGCTCGAACATGATAGCCTCAGACTCGATAAAAACCTCGAAGTAGCTTAACTCTTGACAATAATAAAGTATATTTTATTGCGGTACAGAACTTGAAAATGGCTTTGTATGTATTTAAATGGCTTTGAAAATGTATTTTATAAAACCCCCATATAATCACATTTTTCGTGTGAAATTTTTTCAGCAAACTTCAAGACTTCTAGATCATTCAGGAAATTTTTAGTAAAATTCTTATTTTCTTCCATTCCAAAACTGCACTTTGCCACAAAGTGAGACTTTTGAGTGGAAAAAACAGAATTTCGACTAATTTTTCCACTGCAGTTTCTTATAGATTGAGATGTCAAGGGAGAAACTATTAGTTCATGAACATAGAGAATATATATTCAAACATATGGAATTTTTCCGTTTGTTTTGTTGTAGATATATTAGCATAAAAGATTTATGTACAAGAAGTGGGTGAAAGCAAAAATTGGATGAAGCGACAGGAAAAGAAAAGACTTTTTTGTACATCGATAACAAAGTTGACTGTTGAAGAAGAGTGTACAACGAGATGATGCAAATGTCGCACGAAGGCATTCTAAAGATTTTGGTTTACGTAGAGACAGGAAAACAGACGAAAACCTTTAGATTTCCACTGCCACGGCGCCTGCGCTAGCACAACAGATGTTTAATTGGTGGCAAAACGGCTGAACATTCGCTAAGCAACACTAAACAACGTTAAACACTTTTAACCAGCTTCAAACTTTGCTCAACAACACTAAACAGGGTGGCAAAATGAATAAATTTTTCACTAAGCAAAAATTGGGTGAAATGTTTAGTGAAATGTTTAGTCATTTTGCCAGGGCTTAAGAGAGCTTCGTTCCGTTGTGGTTAAGAGAGCATCGTTTCATAACTTTGATGCCATTCATTTTAATATTTCGGGTGATCGTGCAAGATGGTTATGAAGAACTTGGGACTTTTGAAGAATTTTGATTGCTTGCATCTTCATATTCACGTCAACGAGCCAAACACATTGATAGAAAATCCAGTCACTTCCAGTGGTGGCGCTAGGTTTCCTCCGACAAAGGGGCTAGCACTTCCGACGGAGGGGCTAATTTTTTTAGAGAACGATAGGGCTAGGGGGCGACAAGGAATTGTAAGGGTACTGGAGACCGAAGGCGAGCGTTGCGAGCCGAAAATTCGGGGGGTCCGGGGGTACTCCCCCGGGAAAATTTTGGTGGCTACACCCATTAGATTGGCTAAAAATGCTATCAAAATGGTGTAATCGTGTTTTTTACTACGTTTTTTGACATATTACTAAGGGCACGTTTGCCCCCTCCCTTGCCCCTCCTAGCAAAGGGCAGGAGGGGCGCTTGCCCCCCCGCGCCCCCCTTCTCCGGCGTCCCTGGAAATTTTTTTGAAAGCTGCCTCTAGATAAGCTTAAAACTACTCTAAATCTTTACAACTCATCAAACGTTGCCAATTCAAGTAGGGCCTATCTTTGGAAAGTATGAATTTAAATAAAAAGCAACCAACTGAACTTAAGGAAAACTGGAACACAACGTAACTTTATAGGAACAGACCTAAGCGGTGGAATACGCACTTCTACATATCGAAAATTCAAGTCCAAGAATCAAAATTGTTTCACAGAGCAATTCTACGCTTCCTGAATTCTGATAACAGTCCTTTTAGAAATTTCTATTTCCGCCAAAACTTAAAAAATTCGCTCCGACAAAAAAAATTCAAGCATAATTTATCTTCCGACGGAGGGGCTAGCCTCCTCCGACGGGGGGGCTGTAGCCCCCCCTGCCCCCCCTCTGGCGCCACCACTGGTCACTTCTCAATACCTTTGCTTCCGGCGCTAAAGTGCCTTGACCTCTGGATTCTTAGTGCTCGTTTCTTATAGCATGTGGTTGATAATTAAAAAAAAGGTTGGAGTAAGACATATTTTAAATTTAGCAAAAAGAGGAAGAGCCAGCAGAGGCGAACGTTCAAACGTGGAAAGCGTCACCATTTTGGAAGTAGAAAGAGCAAGCAATTACAAAAGAAGGGAAGAAGTTTATCATACAGTAAATTTTCAAACAGAAAGGAGATGTAGGCGACTATAACTAAGGGGAATCAAGAAGTAGGAACATACTTTCAAGAGCTTGATTGTATAATGCTGAAAATGTGTTAAAAAAGAACTTCTAACATGGTCATATTGAAAAACATGGGAACAACTCAAGCCATATTCCTTTAAAATCAAAGGCAAGAGAAATATCTAAAGAAAAACACACATAGACGTAGAAAAGGTATGCCGCTACGTTACTAAAAAAGGTTGTCTATTGGGCATTAAAGAAGAAAAACTCCTGAGAGGCTTGTTGGGATACTTAACGTAACAACCCAAGGGGGTTGAAGAAGGTGTTAGTCCCAATGGTTAAAATGTATTCTCTGAGAAGAGTGCAAATCTGCAATCAAAGTGTGCCTTAGGAAGGGATCCAACAACGGAGCCTGTACTTTTCCCATCACAAAGATTTAAAACAAATGGCACCTTTAACATATTTCAATTCAGCTACATTATCAACTATACAGAAATCAAACAAAAATAAACACAAATAGGTCATGTAATGCTTTCATGTTCAGACTGACCAATGTTTACACTTTCAATGGAAATCTTCATAATGCATCTTAAGATCTTTTAAATTTTTTATATAAAGATAAGAAAAACTTTCGAATTCACAAAAGGAAGTGAGAGGCAATAAGGTCAGAAAAACTTCGCAGAAAATCTGTTTCAAGTTTTTCGTCATCATGCCTCAGGGCAAAAAATATGGCTACTAAATATAATAAATTTAGAAAGCAAATGGCAGCACAGCAAATGTGAAAAATGCCTCACAGTCAAGTTAAGGGCTGGAGAGTAGCAATAATGGACTAAGTGGAATAGCTTAGTTTGATCACATTAATTGAATGGAACATTTCACTAAAGCTTAGTAAAAATTCTTTAGTAAGAGGCCAACATATAAAAAAGCATGCATTTTAAAACAAAATGATCAATTCCTATTTTGCACTTAAAAATAACCTAAATAGATCTATGGATATCCATTTATTGTTCATGAATAAAGCAAAGTATGATACCAATTGAGGTAAAGTACATTTTTGGCTTATAGATTTTTAATCAACTACTTCTCCAAAGACCAATTAATTGTCTCATAATGACTGTAATAAAAAGGATAATTCCTGGAACTTTAAACATAAAATTTTCAACAATGTGCAATTTAGTCTTTTAATGTTAAACCAATTAATCTATCTCAATCCAAATAATGCTTTTCCCCTGCCTTCAAAAAAAACTGTTGAGACTTTAGCAAAATGAATGCTCTGCTATCAATACTATATTTATTTCATGACAGTTTTTAGCAACCTTTCAATATCTACTGCAATGTCTTTGGTCTCATAAAATCTGCTATACCTTTTGATGGGCTTTCCATCTGGACCAATGAGAAATTTCTCAAAATTCCATGCAATGTCAGTCCTCAAAATTGGGCTCCAAATTGCAAATCGGCAATCTTTCAACAATGTTTCACTGTCGTCAGAAGGAAGTGGAAGCTGCTTTTTCAAGAATTTGAAGAGGGAATGGGCATCATTGCCATTAACCTGGAAAGTGAAGAACATGAAAAACGAGTCAGAAATGTCAACTGGCAACTAAAGTTCATAGCAATGGTTGTTCACTTCGTGACACCAAAAGTTTAGAAGTTGGCAAAATTTGAGACATACTTAACAGAAAGTACAAATAAGAATTGAAACTGAAAATAGAGAACCATTTGCGACAGTCAGTTAATTTGAGCTTCCATTCTTGCATTGTTCATGTCCTTCAACGGATGTAATTGTTTTTGCTTACAATTGAGGCGAGATAATGTTACATGTGCAACAGCTTTCATAACTCCATTTTAGCATACTAGAGTTCTTAAATATTCCTAAATTCTGCAAATACGATAAAAATAAAGAAGGTACATTACTTCAACTTTAGAAAACATGTCAAACTTTGGAGCATATCCATTTCCAGGTCTAACATTTGCCAACAAAGGGAGGATCTCTTCATTGGTGCAGTTCTCTTGATGGCCAAACTGATTGCAGGGAAAACCAAGAATTGACAAGCCTTGAGACTCATACTTCTCAGCAAGCTCGTTCATCTTTGAAAAAATATTAAGGCACTAGAGCTCAAAAAACCTGACAAAAGCTTGTGACAATTATAAGGCAAAATATAATAACACTTCCATCTAAATACAGGTGGATGAGATCATAATTGAGAGATCTTATGATCTGAGCAGATCTACTTGAAGTTGAAAAATAAAACAGTTGCTACTTTTAATGATAATGCTGCTATGACACTGGTGATTGAGCACCATTCTTAGCATGAGATGTGTATAATTGGCATCCTCTAATTCTGCTGTGTTAGCCACTCTAGTTAGCAGACTTTAAGGCCTTTTTCTGCTTTTAGTTTTAAATACAAAAGAAAACTTTGCCATCAAGTATTTTCTTAGGCCCTTGGGTGCTTGGTTTGGGTGTTTCTTACATAATTACCAAACTTTGCCTGACACTTTGGCGAAATGTGGCTGCATTCTCCCTGGTCTTCTATGGCTCATTCAGCTATGCTTTGATCATTAAAAATTTCAGTTTATTTTTCTTGGTGTTGCCAAATCAGCTCTTGTGCAAAAAGGCAGAAATCAAATTTTTAGGAAAAGTTTTCCATTGCTTTGACTAAAAGTTGAATTTAGTCTTAGGGGCTTTTACCAAAAACCATCATTGTGCAACATATTTACGGAGTGTAATACAATGCTCACAACTCAAATATACTGAGTGTAACAACAAAATTCAAATACATATACTGAGGATAATATTTAACGGACATCGAATCATTAAGATGTTTTTGCAGTAGAAGAAGATGTTCCAAAGCTGTACCTTTCAGGTTTAATGTTATCATTAGGGGACAGTTAGCTGACATTCATATTTTTAACATAAGATTATATCACCACTGATTCGATTACACTAAAGTTATATTAAGTTTGCTTACATTATCCTGACAATGATCTTAAGAGAACTCTCCTTCAGATTTCTGGGTGAACATAGTTATGTCCACATTGAGCAAAACATGCTCTCAAAAGTATTATGGTTTTTCAGTAAAGTTTTGAATTAAGAAATCATGTTGGGGCCTTTTTGCATGGAACCAATTCCTGCAAGTTGAAATTTCAGAATTATTGCAGTATTTTCAGTATTCATTCAGCCCAAAGACTAACTAAGAATAAACTTATATTTAAACATGAAAACTCTGTATCTTACCTGGATAAAATCCCGTACAGTTGTGCCTCATAATGAGGCAGTATTCTCAATAAGAACAATTCTTCCTTTGTATTTTGACATTTCAACCTTTTGACCTTTAAGATCCAAGGCAGAAAATCCATAGAAAGAAGCCATGGCTCTTGACAAAGTAGTTCCCAGAGAAGTATGAATTCTTCTAGTAAATGAGCAAGCAGAAGGAAGCATGCTAGAAAACAAGGAAGACTGTAATAAAATATAGTCAAATGAGACAGTTGAGGGGATGTTGTATCAGTATTAAAAAATGATGCCACAGGGTATGGAATATACCCAGATTGGAATCTTTGAAAGATGTGCAGAGAATCTGTTACATGTCCATTAAAATTGCACATTTGCAAATAGCAAAGGTAAACATTTTGTGTGGACCATATATTAGAAAAGTGGGGGGGTGTAGGGTAGGTAACTTATTCCCCCACTTGGGTACGCCACTTCTTAGGTGCAGTATGGTAGAGTGCAGGTATCAGATTTAGCTGACCCAAAAAGCTGTTTACTATGAAATAAGTCAAGAATTTGGGAAAAGTTGAGAACAGTTTCAATGCAGAGAGAAAAGATTCAGAGGATAAGCTAACTTCTATTGACAACTTTTACAATCATTTTTTATGAAATTTATAAAAAAAATTCTATAAAACGATAAAACACACAAATATGCTCCATAAGAATAAAGGACAAACTTCCTGAATTAGCTAGATTTAGAAGCAACCTCTTTTAACTGCAAAAAAGCAGTCTCTGTTTGCTTGTGGGTGAGTCTCACAGTAACTTAACGAAAATATATTGTGTCCTGATTCTTCCAAACACCAAATTTTGAATGACTTTCTTTAAAGTGCCTAAATTTTGGCATTCCTATTGAGCAATGACACTTTAAATGATTAATAAAATGATTCATTATTGAATGATTAATGAGCTTATTGAAGAGAAGACACAGTGCAATGCGCAGAAAACAAACTATTGCCTCCTGTGCTGAGTGAATCAAATCAAAGCACTGCTTTATGGCATAAAACCTTCTACCAGACGCTTCACACTGAAGATCTTTCAAAAAAGGCACTAAAGGTTGCTCGCTGACAGCACAGAATAGAGAATATTATCTACTCTCCTATGACACTTGAATTCTGACCTATACAATGCAAAGGTTGTCAGAAAGATAAGCCACGCCCTTTTGTGTTGGAAACGCCCGGACTTTTCTTAATAAAATTTGTATCTCTGATATTGAATATGGAATTCAAGAAAGGAATTCTAAGGAAACGACTCGCAAAGAGAAGATTAAATTTATCTGCAATTCAAAGGAAATTGCCATTTCATCGGCTGTAACAAACAATTACAATAGGTCCACTGTAAACAATTACATAAGTCAACTCTGACTCCTATTGGTTGGCTGAACTGCTACACAGGCAAGCTCGGCTTCTGATTTCCTTAATCAAATCTCACCTATGCTCCCGCCAAAGATTGCAGAGGTGAAGTACACTCTGATTGGCTTACAAGACGTTTGCAGAGGTCAAGCAAGCAGTGATTGGCTCTCGAGGGACAAACAGGTTTCTGGATTCTGAAAATACGGATAAAATAAATGCCTAGAATCGCCACTCGACTATTCTGTGCAGAGGCCGAAAGGTAGTCAGCAAAGTATATGCCCTGTTGTCTTCTCAGAGCTCCCACACGTAGGGGAAATCCCCTACAGTTTGCTAAAATTGAACTGTGTAGGGAGTAGAGAAAACCTACAGGGAAAATGAGCGTGTGTAGGGGAAATTTCGTTTTTTTGTAGGGGAATTGAGCTATTTCGATATTTTCTTTGCCATGAAAGACATTACACCTTACCAAGGGTCATTATTTAAGTAAAGCTGCACAGACAGCAGTAGGAGCCCTTGTAACTCACCTGTTCCAATAGAAAAAAGATGTTGTAAAAAATGGTGGCTGGGAAAACCAAAGCCTTAATGAATTCTTAAAGCTATGAAACAGCTTCAAGGATACAAAAGTCTGGCACTTTTTATGCTGATTAGAACTGGACTACCACAAATTATGGCAGCAATTGAAAGAATAATTTTGTAAATGAATAAGAAACAAAATGAAATTGTCTTGCTGTAAAGCACTAGAGTCAATTGTAAAAGTTCGTGAAAAATTTACAGCCAATCTTGACATTGATGAGCATCATGTTCGTTTATATAGAAATGCTATAAATTCACATTCAAAGCAGTGGCGGCGCCAAGGGCGGCATGTGGGGGTAATTATTTTGTCAAAAATTAACTTGGTACAAAGCACTGAAACAGGCAAAGGGGCGTGGTCTCACTGGCCACGCCTATTACCCTCCCACTCTGCAGTAGTACAAAGGTGTACTCAGAAGGAGCTTGATAATATTGAAAATGATATAGTATTTGAGAAGTACTATTTAATATTTCAAAGTTAATAACAAAATTTAAGTACATGATGCGTTGTTTTTCAAATAATTTCTGCATATTTTTGTAGGGATTGTAGGGGAAAATTTGTAGGGAAATGTAGGGGGAAACAAGGAAGCAGCCGTAAGGAAATGTAGGGGAAAAACGCATGCGCCGTAGCGGAAAATAGCAAACGTTGAGTGGGAGCACTGTCTTCTGCATGTTGTTGGTTTCAACGGAGGCAGATCTAGGGCGGACGTTGCTGAAGAGTTTGCCAAAGAAACTATTGATTACAAATTTTGATAGTTTCTATTTTATTTTGTTGTTATAAAAATCTGACTTATGCTTCTGCTGTAGTCTGGATCCGCCTCTGCTCACCGACGGTCCAACATTGTATGTCATCATATCCCTTAATGATGGAAATTTCGTCCATATTCGGGAAAATTGTGAGGGTGCTCGATCCCTTAAATGTGTTCTTACAAAAAAGAAAAAATTCAATTCATGAAATCCTAAATCACGCCTTATTTTTCTATTTCTAAACATAATTCTGAAGGAGAATTAATCTAAACAGACAGCCTTACCTCAATCCAAGTTCCTCGTGCTACTTTCAATTTGTCAACAGGAGTGACATGTGGGCGAGACAAATACCAAGTCTCGAGCCCAATCTACAAAATTGTGGAGCCTCGAATTCAATCAAAGAATTCCTCTTTTCTTCATGGGGCACTACAATGAACGTTGCGTCTGGTACTTTATGTACGTTGTGTTTCCAACTATAAAACTAATTTATTTCATTCTGGTACTCATTTTATTCGCTTACTATATAATCACCACAAGATCACTGTTATACAGATATCAAGCGCAAGAGTTTCTTTATAGCTCCTAAATATGCTGAGAGGCTACATTGAAAATACCAAAAATACAGTGACACCAATACTAGCAGCCAGAAACCTACAAGTAAACAAAGACAAGACAGAAGAAAATGCCATCAGCAGAGGTGCAGGAAATCAAGACTGGAGAAAATGCAAACTCCTAGAGAGCCATCTAGATAGCAACAAGGACATAGAAAGAAGAAAAGCATTGATCATCTCTTCCATGAAAAGTCTCGAAAATATCATTTCTGCCATGAAAAGTCAAGAGCCAAAGAATAGGCAATGTTATCGAAATAAGAACCTAAACAATTGTGAACTATTGGCAATGACAGAGACCATTGAAAACAAAATGGATAATTAACATCGCAGACAACTCAGATATGCATATTATACCCAAGAATTATATCCAATGAAGATGAAAATGAGACGTTTGCCATTGCTTGGAATCTCTATGCGAATACCCCCACGAAACACCAGCCAGAATAGCCCTTGAGGGCTTGAGGAGGCAACAAGACCAGCCAAGAACCCCAAAATTAGACCACCTGTCACATGGATAAGTTGTGTTAAGAAAGAACTGCCGGCCGAATGCCGGTCTTCTGACCAAAAGAGAGATGGAAGATCCAGCGATCTTCTTACAAAGACTTGAAGATCTTGCCCGCAACAGGCACGATTGGGCTAAAGCAGATTCGGACGCAATGCTCGGTGAACGAGTGACGCACAACTGATTATGATGCAAGGGGTGTCGCGATAGATTACACCATCGCAGTCGTATGAATGCCTTGTAGATTTAAAGCAAGAAAGAATTTTGGGAAGTCTATTTCAGCGGAAGATAATTTTTAGATAACTTAGACCTTCACGGACTTAAAGAATATGGCAATGGTTGTTACTCCATTATCTACACTTACGTTCAAAAAGTATTGGGACAAATTCGATAAGCGAATTATGGAGTACCGTTTGATTTAGTTTTGCAACGGAAACTTTTCAGATTTGGGCAGTCTTTCTCCAAATAATCTAGGCCCCAAAAATGAATTAAAAGTTAAAAAAGGCTTCAACTTTTGAAGCATAACCACGAAAACATAGGATTCTTACAATTTTCCTCAAAATAGCTGCAAAATATGTAGAAGGGTTGTATGGCCTAATAATGGCAAAGTCACACGACCTTCACAAAGTTTTAGAGATATTCAAACAAATTCAACTTTACATTTGATATTCTCCTAAAGGTAGACAAAAATAAGAGTTCGTGTGGATTTCATAAGGTAGAAATTTGATTCACGATTTATTATTGGCACTGAATCCAAAAAACCAGGCCCTCTTTAGGTAAAAGTGCGCCTTTAATCTTTCTTAACTTCCTTATATGTAGGCCTTTGTATGTACAATAATCTTTAATGGGAATTACAAACTTAGTTTGTAAGATTGTTTTCAGTTTGGTTCACAAATTAAAAGTACAAATAATCTAAATTTACACTAAAAACAGTGAAAAATAGTAAAAACCTAGTACAAAATTTGAATAATGAGTTATGAATCTATAATGTTAGTAAAAAATGCTATTCTAAAGTCTATCCAGACTTCTGAAAAGAATCCGCCTTTAGTTTGTCCATTAGATAATTTTCATATTTATTTTTATAAGAATCTATATTGCCACATTGCCTCAACGAATTGGGCAAACAGTTCCATATCCTTGCTCCATACTGTTTAAAAGACTTTTCAAAGCTCTGAAGGTCAATTGACAACTAGTGCTGCCGGTTACCTGGCTTTAGTAGTAATGTAACAACTTTGTATTTTCAAGACCACAACCAGATCGCTTTAGTTGTTATTATCTGCGGCACAATCCGTGTGCAAAAATAAAGAATTTTCAGTACGATTAGGAGAAAAAAAAACCTTCGCAGTATTTGGTCTGGGGATTTATTAGGCGATTACATATTCTTGGTTAGTGAAAATGACCTCGCTGATAGCATTGCTCTTACCAGGGTAACATTGAAATCGCCTTGAAAAAATCTAATAAATTTTCACGAGAAATAATTATTAGATAGCCTTTTCGATTTCATAGGGACAGTCCGATATCAAGATTTTATCCCGACTACCCGAATTGAGAGATTTTGTCGCAGACTAAAGCAAATCCACCCAACTACAATGCATAAGGTAAAATATATAACAATGACACCAGAAAATTATGCAATCACGTAAACAATTACGAGTTAGATTGACAACTTTTTTGCGCTGGCCTCTGCCAGCAACTAAAGGAATTCAGGTAATTGGGTTTTGAAAAAAGCAAACATTTGAACAAAACAAAGCTTTTCGTCTGACACTCTTCAGAGTATAAAACGTCAGAACATAGATCGAAAACTCTACGCTAAGAAATATATATACCCAGTTGTGGCTCGAAGTAGGCCAATCAGAAACGCGAGCACATGACTGTTAAGGTTGACCAGCCAGTGCCGCTTGCCTATTGAGAATTTTACCAATGGAGTCCTAAGGTAAAAACGAACTCTTGTCTACACAATAGCGGTTTTTTCGTACTTATATGGATAGATTCCAAAACTGCTAGATGGAACGACGATCGGATTGGCCTACTTCAAAGGCCTATTTTTTCAAAGCCATTTTCAAGTTTTGTACTACCAAAAGATTGTTTGTAATCAGGTTTATTCGTAGTCCACACCCCTAACTTTATGCCTCATCCTACTCTGCACTGAGAAATAGTCCCAGTCATTGTGACCGTAGTTAGCTCTGTTCTAACAGAAGCACATAAAAGCCAAGGGATTTTAGTTTTGAAATTATTCTTGTCACATCATTTTTCTTGCTTTTCAACACTAATTCTGGCGCAGCGTCGATAAAACCAGATTTTGTGGAGTTGAATTCCCTTTTATTCATTTCACATATTCATTTTTGGGTTGTTTTTCAAAGAACATGTGTTCACTGTAGTCACTGTGGTTGCAAGAAACTTTGAAAAATAAACAGCATTCTATATGCACTTAATTTTTCTTCTGCTTTTGCTTTTTCTTGCACATTAGAGACTCTTGTACAAATGGTAGATTTTGATATTTTTGACAAAATTAGATCTTACCAAAGGAAAATCTGTGACAATTCAAAAATAAATTCAGACTTTACCCTCTTGCAGTTAGGCAATGTGAAGAGAAGATAATAATTAATTTGTCAATTTTGCAATATTTTCCCACACCTTTGATATCTCAGATTAAATATTTTGAGACTGATCTTGAGAATTTTGCACCTATCACATCCCCATGTTACCAGTGCCCACTTACAAATTCAAAATATATAAAGAAGGATTTAATTCAAAGAAAATAAAAGGCATAAAATAACATCAATATTTTACCAATAATTTAAAACAGTTTTATAGGGGAGTCTCTTAAAGATAAGTTGATTTCGATTCAACTATCTTATCATCTCATGATAAATTGAATACTTATATTGCTTGGCAAAAATATATTAACATTATAGGGAAGGTTTAAAATCAATGTAAGATCAGTTTTTAAAAACCTGCTTATCATTTTTAATGCAACTTCTGGATTCTATTGCGTTCTTCACAAACTTAAACGAAATAGCAAAGTAGTGTCAGGTGGAAAATAACATGAAGTATTTGCAATAATTGTTTAACAATTAGGAAAGTTAAGCAAAATTTATGCTAGGGACTCTATAAAGCTAATGTTATCAAATTATTGCTCTGAAATTAACACTAATATGGAAGGTCTACTTCATTACAAATAATATTAACAGAATGCAAATATAATAAATTCTAAGAAATAGGCTCAAATACCATTAATATTACTAGTTAACAAATTAAAACTAATTCCGCTCCCTACCTGTTATAAAAAACTAAATTCAAACTAATAATTATTTCAGCTCCCTACCTGTTTTTCTTTGCTGACAAAAAATAAACTATATACATTACAGGCAGAAGAACCGCAACTGTACAAACAACAAGAATAATCCCCTTGTAACTTAACCACCCGGCTTGGCCAAGTTTATCATCTTTCTTTGAATCATTCAAATTTGGTTGCATATATGCTAAAGACTGTCCTCCAATGTCAACAATATCACTTTTTGATTGAACTTTGCTTGAAATATTCTTGATGTCTTTATCAACCAACTCCAAATACTCTTCATAAAGATTATTAGTATCATTCAATGATTTTGAATTGTCTTGGGCACTATGCAAAAGACTTCTCATTTCATTACTGTCATCATCCGAATAAGAATAATCTGCTGATGGGTGTACTGAATCTCTCAATACTCTATCTTTTTCATACATCATATTTTCTCTGACATGTCTGAAGCTGCCTTCACTTTGACTCCTAGTTAGTTCCCTTAAATGATCGATCTTGGAGTCAAGTGAGTTTTTTCTATTTCCTGACAACTCCCATAAAAAGCTATGGACAAATACAGGTATCTTAAGAGTTCTTCTGGCAAAAAAGTCTTGATCATTATAAATTCCATTAGCTTGCTTCAACTGAGTAACCTAAAAAAGATCAAAATCATCAATAAAAAGATAGACAGCAATCCAGACCTGTTTTATTACAACTGAGTAGTTATACATTTTATTAACTTTATTATTCTTTTTAGTAAGAAAGTAACAGTAATTAATTGCACTTTAGCATTGATTGTTGATTGTTGGATATTGACGGCTATGTTTGATTTATTAGAGCTAAGAGTTTCATTCTCATCTTAAGGTTTAACTGATTTAACTGATAACAACTTTGTTTAACTGATAACAAAGCTCACAAAAAATTTGGTTGAAATTCCAATTGAGAATGATTGTTTTTTAAAATTATAATTAATCATGGAGAGGATTTCTTAAAAAAAGGTTTGTAACAACATCTATGTAATCATTTAGTTCATATCTAGCTCCTTCATTCAGTAAATATAATATTAAGACATTTTTTACCATGTAAGATGTCACCTTCTCTACAGGTTATTTTAATTGTCAAAGGGCTTTGTTTTTAAATTATCATAAATCACACAACTTAAATAGGCACTTTGTCGACTCAGTAAATAACTTTTAGGGTAATGGCAATGCAAATCCTGTTCAGAAGGTGAACTTTACTTTTAGACAATGTTCACACCACAGTCACAACATAGGCTATTTTCCTTCAAAAAAATTTGAGTCTTTATGCAACTCACACTACATCCATATTTCAAAGACAGCTTAGCAAGGGTATCATCCGGTTCCATATTGTGATCTATGAAGTGGCTCTTCCTCATATCCTCACCCGTGTAATTCGCTCCAGTCCTTCCATGCTCTTTTCGATTTCTTGAACGAATTTCGGCCATCTCGATTGACCCGTTATCCATTTCAATCAAGTCCTCTTCGTTTTGCCCAAAAACAAAAATACGGTGAGATGAAGAGTTTTGATTTTCAGCTGTCTTTAATGCCGAACTGTAACTTCTGACTGGAAGATCGTTCTTCTTTCCTAGGCTCATCGGCCTATCACTACCTTCACGCCAGCTATTAGAAGCCTTGGGGTCATTACCTCTGTTGGGAAGTCGTTTCTGTTCTCCAATCGGACTCATTGAGCCAACAAGAGATAAATATCATGAATAAAGCCTTGGATTAAAAGATGTACCGATAGCCTTGCCTCTTATGCTGTTTTTGGAGAGGAACGGCATTGATTGTAATGAAACAACATCAAACATACAGAATCGATTAAAAATAACTTGAAGTAAATTATACTACGTCAGTTCCTTGTGTCCATAATGGCGGATTAGAAAAGCCACGACTGTGTTCACGGTAACCGCAAAGTAAGCGAAATTATGCGTAAAAGAGAGAAATAATTGTTTTCGAAATACTGTCACCTGTATATTATTTAATACTTTATTGAAAAATACATAAACTTTTGACCTATCAAATTAAACTTTTTTTGTACTGCAAGCCTGTAGCCAGGCCAGTGGAATTGGGATGAGTCCAATGCAGGCGAAGTTCAAGGTTAAGTTTTCAGTGTGGGAAGGGAGTAAGTGGAAATAAAGAAGCAAGAACATTTTAAAATATCTTCAGCAATTAAGCAATTTATCACCCTCTTTTTTTCTCTCCAGCTAGAAGAATTTCAAACGTTATGTCTTCCATCAAGATTTTATTTTTAAAGGCCTCTAAAGGAGCTATCTTTCCAAGCCCCTTTTCTGGCCTCTTCGCATCTTTTATTATTTGATAAAATATTTTGCGCACTGCTTGGAGAAAATACACCAAGCTCCTGAAATATTTTCTCCAGAACAGGAAACACTGCATTTTTATATAGAGGTATCAGTCTCTCGAGGCGAAATGAGGGGAAAGAGCTTCCATGGTCTCCCATAAAGCTGTGTTGACTGATCCAGCCTTTCTCCTCAACTCTATCTCACTCAGCTGCAACGATTCTCTGAAGACGTGAAGCTTCATTCTGAAGGCTGATGGAGACTGCCCTGTACTGACAAAATCATCAAAGTGCTTCTGAACAAAAAATTCCTTCTTTGATAATTACTGATTAATGTTAAATGTTCGTGTCTAGACACTACAGTATTGTCCTCAATATTGTTATACACATGATTTTGACAGTGATTTTGAAATCCCCTGGTCACCATGTTGCAGGCAGACGTTTCAGAAACTTTTCTGAGAAGCCCCCAAGTAGAACCAATTTTTTTGCTAAGCATCGTAAGGATTTTTGAACGCAAGGTACTATGTTAAGTCCTACATCGGTAATAAAAGACCTTAATAAACATATTTCTATACGACTAAATTATTAGCTTGACTCAAATTGTCGTGATAATCCAATGAAAACGTCGAAAAAACCCATTAAAAGATTTGGAGACAAAATTCTCGGGGTGGCAAACAGCTGGCATACTTTTGAAAAAGGCATCTGTTGAATTTTGCAACAAATGGAATATAGTTACCAAAGCCGGACGGAACTTCATCGCTTTTACCCTTTCTGAAAAAGGGTAACTCCATCAAAACCCAACATAGGAACAGACCACCGTAAGATTGTTATTTTATTTTCGGTATCACACTTGATATTCTGAAAGGATGACGAAGGTGAGTCCATCAAACCCCGAAACTCAAAATACGTCGCGTTACGTCTATTCTTCAAAGTCTAAAGGAGCGTAAATACAACAAAGGACAATAGAAAAGAGAGGAGCTTAAAATAAAATAAACAAGGGGAATGACATATACTATGTTTAGCTCGAATCGGGTTTTAATTTTATCAAAGGCTTCTGTCCAAATCATGTACCCTATTTGGAAATAATGGTGAATCCCTAATGTTTCCTTATACTTTCACCCTTGCCGAAAACAACTTGAAGAAAATCTTAAATGTGAAAATATACACCAGGCATTTCAATTCAGTGCGTTTATCTCCGCTAAAAATCGTCAATACTTACTTCTTCAAAGTCAACTGAGGCCTTTCTTTTTTCACATAACTTAGATCGATGATTCATGTATTTTTTCCCAGCTAATTCTGCACAACTCTCATTTTCAAAATCTATTGATCTTAGTGAGTCGTTGTTAGTGTATAAATGCTTTTTACTTTACAATGTATACAGCTGACACAAAAACTGACACACAACTGACGTAAAGTCAACACAATTGACTTCTATAGTTTTATGAAGTAAAATAAGTTAGGAAAAATGCTTCATTCTGGAACACAAAATGTAATTCAAAGGTGAATAAAAAGTCTTATCTTAGCATTTCAACATCATCCATTTTATTACTGTCCGCAAGGAAGACGTTTTGCCTAAAAAATACTTGCTCTAAGGGAAAATGGCGCTCCCTTGTTTATTTTGGGACGTATTGGATAAACTATAAAAATGAATTTCACAAAGCATAAAACAAACGAGACTTGCACATGCTGTCCAATAAATAATTTTTAATCATATTTACAATAATTATTATTTACAAAGCTAGGTCTCATAATACTTTAGTTTGTTAGAAGAAAATTTATTAACGCATTTTACAGAGTGGTTTTTAATAGAGAGTCGAGAGTTCAGGCAAATGAAATTGCAGCTGCCATATGTAGACATTTTCAGTGACTGGTATCTTCTCAACAATTTGGAATAAATCATCATCGTTCCTGTAACAAAATATTGACTATGAAGTTATGTAGCTTCAAAAACAATAATAATAATTGGGAACTAATAGCTGGGGTCTTAAGTGCAAGAATGAAAAATAAACATGTGTATTTTAACTGTTTGAACATTTGTCAGTTTTGAAATCAATGAAAAGATCAACAAAAGGCTCACCTCAGAGAAAACATTTTTGTTCTCTTTGATCTGACGGTCATCTCCAAGCTGAAGTGCAGATATAAATATAAAGATCAATAAGAAAATTCATTGAAGTTGTATTGTATTTACATTTCAACATTTATTAACTAAAATGAGCTTATAATGAGCAACAAAAAGGAGCGCACAGAATCAAATGTATTTATAAGTGAACATGGGCCTCAGGGAAACATAGCATACTCAAGTACTTGAATGAGATAGAATTTTCAAAGCTACATGCACAAACTGTGTAAAAAGTGTACTACATATAAAGATAGTTCACGGCATAATTCAATTTATGGTAACAGTCAAATCCATAGAAAGCAGGAGCAAGGAGAAAGCAGGCTTACCTTCTTATATTTTTCTGTCAATGCGGACACTTGGTCATTCAGGAATTTCTCTCGTCTTTTTTGATCTTCATATAAATCGTTTATAGGGAGAGGTGATTGGGGTGATCCATGAAGCAAAGTAACCTCCAAACTATTGTGCCACTTTTGTAGATCTACGAGTTTGTCCTTTGAACACAACAAAAAGACGGAATTAGACATTAAACTAAATTTGTGATGATAGATTTTAAGCAAATTTCTGAATAAAATAATGCAACAGTCCCTAGCTTTAAGCAGCCTCTTTTCTGGAACACAGCCTCCTAATACCAATAGTTTTCTTAAAAGACGGTTGTTTACGACAGGTATCAAGCTTTATCAAGCTTAAGCTTTTATCCTTATTGTTTACTCCTTCTATACATATAGTATATCATATGTTTTTCGATCCTTATTGTTCACTCTTCCCATACCTACAGTAAATTTCTGTCATATTCTACCACTTACTGAAGATGAATCTAGCTATAGCCGGAACGTCTTAATAACTAGGCATGTCTTTCTGATTATGCCATACTGATTTTGTCGTAATAATTCTGTCGAATTTTGATTAAAGGTGGTTAGAATAAGGGGCGGATACTTGCTCAAATATGGGGGGGGAAGCCTATTGTGTTGAGAAGATGACGTCACATTTTCCCATTGTTTTAGAACAAAAGACCATTGTATTCCAAAATATTGGGGGGGGGCGACCGCCCCTTTTGCCCCCAGGTGTCCGCCAGTGGCTACGACTATTTATATTTATGTCGAAACATAAAGATGTCTATTTGTTTCGCTGTGTTGGCTATTCTGTTTATCAAGCTTTTATGTTATACTGTTAATATGAAACGGGATTTTTGTGCAGGGTTGCTGATTATTTTTTCATGAAGATATTTCATCAAAAACGTTCCTTTAAAGCAGGAACGAAAACAGCAACTAGTATAAACCTTATGAAAAAGTATTTTTCATAACAAGATGACTAATAACAATTAAACAGGTTGACCAAAAAATTCCTACATGTAAATCTTTTTGTGAACCTTCCATTGAAAGCAATCTTCTCTGGGCAAATGACGAGTCGGTTGAAAACTGATGGAATTTCGATTCAAGAAGCTCTCTCGCCCTGCAATATAGAAAGAATGCATGCGATTTATAGGTAGTGTTTCTCAATTTGAATTCTGGTAATTTGAGATCCTTGTGACCCTAAGTCCCTTGTAATAAAATCAGAAAAATTGTTTTACTGATCGTCTTAGCTTAAGCATAAGTAAGGGAAAATTTACAAAGTTGACAACTAAAAATTTAAGAGCAAACAGTTTAAATTACCTTTTTTCAACTTCAAAATTAACGATCTTAGTTTCAACAAGGCCCTTCAATTCGTCCACCTCCGTTGTTACTCTTTCTAATTCCTTGTCTTTCTGCTCTATTTGAAAAGTCATCTTCTCTTTTTCTCTCCTGAAAAATTAATTTTGCTGTAAGGTTGAAGGGTGAAACAAATTTAAAACTGCAAAGAAAACCCCTTTACGCTCAAGTTAGTTCGTAGTCCGCCAACATTTTTGGCCAATTATGATATATATTCCTCCCTGTAGTTTTCGATTCAACTTTGTTCTATTAAAACTCTACTCGACTTGTACGAATGATACCCCGAGCTCTGTATAAAACTACACTAACACCTCTTGTATAAACTAACACCTCTTTTCGGTAAAAACTGTTACAGGTTCTACGAAAAGCACACCCTTAACTAACACAAAGCACTACAAATTTCTATAAAGATTTGTAAGCGGTGTTTCTAGCTTTTCTTAGATTATCCACTTGCCCTTCAACTCGACTCAGCTCGATTAATCGTCGTTATTTCTAAAACTAGTCGTCTAAACTTAAAAGCAAGCTAAATTTGATCATAAAAGCAAAAAATGAACACTTGAAAACATATAATTCTTCAAAAATCCCTTGATAGTTTGATTCACTTGATTCATAGAATTTCATTGTAAAAAAAGACTTGCATACTTTATGTGCTCAAAATCTTGCTTCAAACGACGGTTTTCTTGATGATCATAAGACATCTTCGACTCAATCAAATCCTCAAATGTTTTTTGTGTTCTCATAGACACTTCCCGTTGCATTTCGTATTTTTCAAGAACCTCTTGTAGATGACGCCTCGTATCAGTGTTCTCTTGGCGCTGCAGTGCAACGGTCTCTTGTAATCCGTTGACGCAAGTGGCCATAGCTTCGTTATCTACGATCATCGCTTTGAGACAATTAAGAGCCTCGATCTTCTCTCGCCGCTCATATTCAATCTGTTAACGTAAACGAATAAAGTTAGAAATTTTCCTTGAATGAAGTTAATAACAATAGAAGAAAATTGCAATATACAGCACCATTAATCAGGATATGTAAGATACATGCTTCACAAAAGTGCCAAACATAACCATGTTGACATTCACGATTTCTGCTCTCATTAAGAACGGTACGACTACCATTTGATATGTGAAATATTTTACACAGGTTTGCGAAAATTTCAGAGCTATAAATTTTAAACGATGCTACTTGGTTTTGATTTTCAAACGGCAACAACAACAAATATTTCTGTCGATCAAACTAATGCAAACAATATTTAATAAAAGAAGAAGAAATACCTCTTGTTTCAACTTCTGACAGTCTTTTTCCTTTTGCTGAAAGAGCTGGATTTTTGCTTGAGAAATCTAAAGCAATAATGAAAAAAGAGCGCTCATAAGGGACTTACTTTAAAGAATAGGTGAAAAGAAAAAGTTCACGATCAACTAGTTGTCCAGAATAACCAAAGAAAACGACAAGAGTTATAAGCTACATAATTCCCTCCGTATTACTGTACGCACCTTTCGTTGCCTTTCAAGCTCTTTCATAGTTTCTTCATACTTCTGTTTAATCTCTTCTTTTTCCTTTGCAAACGCACCCACCTTTGAATTGGAATAAAAGAGCTTTTATCTACCATTATATGGCCATTGGGTATAAACTTGTTTACAGGTGGCTTCCTTTATCGTTTAGGGTACTGTGCTTAGCATATATTTGTAGTAGGAGAGAAATATCATATTCTATCTTACCAAAGAATACATTGTTATATCAAATATGATCTACCTGTTTAAAAAGGGAACATGTCTAGAATATACGGCGACTAATTTCAATCCAAAATTTTTAAACATATTTCAATGTTGGTAAGAATTTTGTCTGCAATGTCAACATAAAATGGTTCAAGTAAGAATAATTTCAACATTTTTAAAACCAATCTTATGGATTGGATAATTAATAGACCCCTGAGTAAATACGCATCAAGAAAGTTATCTAACACTTTGCCGTACAACAATTGAAAAGGATATCTTTGTTGACAGATATTGAAAAATCAATGCATCAATAGAATACCTTTTCTTCAGCTTCAAACGCCTCAAAGCTCATCGCAGCACTCTCTACCTGCTGAACCTGAGCAACTTGACATCCCTGGTCTCCAACTAATTCAGATTCTTCAATCAATTGTTTCACTTTTTTGTTCAAATTTGAATTTTCGCGGGCTTTCTTCTCCAGTTCTCTGTTTGATTTCTCTATCAAGTATTCTTGCTCAGCTATTTTCTCCTCTAAACCTGCAACTTGCTGGTTCAAAGATTTGATTTCCTCCTTGTTATTTTTGGTAATGGTTTTCTTTTCATCTTCTTTCTTTTTAAGCTGAAAAGGGGCGAAAAGTATTTAGAAACTTTATCTTAGATTGTACTACGCACAAATATTTAACGTGCATCAGGGTCGAAACTTAACCTTGCTTTGTTTCTCAGTCTTATAACAAAAATTGACAAATTTTCTGGATTTGGGAAAATATAACATGGAACTACATCTATTTCATACCTCCAAAATAATACAAGCGAGACTGCAAAACGACAGCCTGTAGGTAGGAAGCTCTTCTTTAAGAACTGGATAACTTAAAAACGTTGAGTATTTGAACAAGTGGTAGCAGCCTAAAAGGGTATTATTTTCTTGAACAAAACTCTAATTAACCACAACGCCACGATTCTAGTTGGTATTGCTAGAACTGCTTTGTAACAGCAACAACATACCTCATTTTCAAGTTGCGACAATTCTACTTCTATTTGCAACTTTGCAGCCTTCATTTCCTCGTTTTCTTTTCTCAAAGAATCAACAATCTGGTCCACCTGGTGAATATGAAAGTATGGAGAAATTAACAGCATCTTTTATGGATAGCACAACAAAAAGGAAACAATTCGTGTGCATTTTAAAAGAATCCTTATTTCATGAAAATTGTCTGTGTACGAAGCATCGGATGAAGAGCAAACTATGACAATCTTTACACAAAGATACAAATTCCTAGCTTCAAGTGTTTGGCAATATGTTACCTGTGCAGCTTTCATAAATTGGTCGTTCTCTTTCTCAGCTAGTTTCTCGTTTGCTTCTCTCAGCTCATTAAGGATTTGTTCTTGCTTCGTTGTTAGGGATGATACCTGAAATATAGAAATACACTGCTCATGTCTTGCAAACTGTAGACTAGGACAGTTTATGAGCATTAAATAAGTTGATGGGTCTGCCCTCGATAACAGAGCTTATAAAACAATAGAAGATGCCCGATATTTTACATTATCACACGGGGTTAGATTTAGAAATCATACTATGCAAGAAAGACAGTGCTTGAGTCATTAAAACAGAGTAATTCATTTGAAAATTTGAGTTCCATACTCATACAATCGTCGTACAAAAATGATCTACGGAAAATAGCGTTAATCATAAGTTGCATAAACAACCAGCCCGGGGTGATGGCATTTTAAGAAAATTATTTCTAAAATAACTCATTTAAGTTTTATTGCGGTACCTCAAGGCAAGTTACAACCTTTACCTTAAGAGCAAAAAGTATTCAAAATTTCAGAAGTTTGTTTGTTGTTGTCTTACTCGAATTGTTGTTTTTTTAGTAATTTTGAAGCACCTTTTCTTAAAATGACAGATCAGGCGTTACCTTAATTAATTACAATCACATACAGACATCAACGAGCATAAATTTAGGAACCTCATGTAAAGAAACTTTTTTATTTAGTTTATAAAAATAGTGTCAGTTCGCTTAATCAATTTTGCTATCTTAAATTCATCAATTTTATCTTTATTTTTGTGAAATGAGCATAACAGAAATAAGGTTGGCAAGCATTCTTTAAGACAGAATTGTTCCAAATAATTGGAAGGCTGTTCAAGGGCCTTTTACCTGAACCTCTTTCTCCATTTTTATGCTCTGAAGTTCCTTCTCCTTTTCTAAAAGATTTGCATCTGCTTTCTGTATTTCTTGCTGCAGAAATTCTACGGAATCGACCAGCTTGGCCTTTTCACTAGTAATCATTCTAGAAAAAATCGTAACATTTATTCTCAAATCAAAGTAATTTTTCATCAAAAATCTACTTTAGTAATGGGATCGTATTTTGAAACATACATATAGGCTTCATTATCAGCCTTACGCAATAAAGAACTGAGCAATGCACAAAGCTACATCAATACACAAAAAGGCCCTAAATTAAAGGGGCTGTGTCACAAGGGACATCCCGCGTGGCAACACGCCAGTTTGCGAAAGTTGTTGGGGTGAAACAACCTGCGTTCAATAGGAAAACCAACATGGAATAAAACAGTTTTTTGTATCTGTGCTCATCGTGCGAACCTTTTGCATTTGTGGATGTTTTATGAAAGGAAACAAATAATAAGGGTCCTTTCTTTAGTCTTATAACCATATTTCTTTGGATAAAGGATGGCAATACAAAAAACAAAGGCCACTTTTACGGCTAGGATACCGCAACGAAGCTGTTTATAGAAATTGGCCGAAATGACATTAAAAAACCTACCTTACTGATGTAAATTATGAGCGAAAAACATTATCAAAGTTTGCAGGACAAATTTTGAGCAATCAGTTTGTTGTAGTGTCTAATTCCATCTAGATTCACCAAGAGAAACGGAATATCTTCGCCATGATTGAATGAACCTTCATTTCCTTAGCCTAGACCAAATTAACATACACTTATCGTTTGGATTGTCGGTACATATCCTGAAATATAGCAATTTTTCATTCCTTGTTCGGTAAATACGCTAAGAAAATACAATTTATCGTAATCGAGCTTGTCGATGCACCGTAGCACCATCCGCCATTATCCCGATGTACAAATCAGGCTAAAAACGCACAATGTCCCGCGCATTTGGTTTGTTTACAAAATCGTGACACAGCCCAGGCTTTAAGGTACTAATTTCCAGTATTTAACAAAAGCCTCTTGTGATTTGCATCCATGGTTAGTTAAACGTCACACGACATACCTGAGTTGTGATTCTCTCTCGTCTATGAGCTGCTGAAACTGAGTCGTTTTGTTTTCGGACTCCGCAAGATTGTTCGTGAGCTATGGTAGAAGGAATGAACAATTCAAGAAAACAAAAAAAACGAGTATAAGCGAAAGGCAATCCTATGATACTTCAGAGATCAGTTAGGAAAAATGGGACGGGGTAAAGTTAATAGAAAGTGGATGAAAGAGAGTACAGTGCAGAAATTCTAAATTAAATGATGACAGACGACCTGTTTGAAAGTGGTAGATTCCACCCACTTGGATGTAAATCCCTTTGGCTATAGCTCTCTGGTTCTTAAAGAGATGAAATTAGTAATAACAGATTTACCTTTTGAATCTTATCTTTTTGACTTTCTATTCTTCCCCTTGCTTGTTTCATCTCTTCGTCATATCTATTCTTCTCTTTCTGCAGCTCTTGGTAAACATCATCCTTCATTTTTTGCAACTCATTGGCTAAAGAGACATTCTCGTCGGACATTACTCTTGACATTTCATCCATATCCATTTTCAATTTCCTTGTCTCTGCTTTTGATTCCTGTTAAGAAAAGGCAAAAATTTAAATATAAAGCGTGAACGGTTACAGAACAGAATCCAGCTTTGCCAGTGCACTCTTTAGCAACCTTAACGAGGTAATAAGCATTAACTTACTCGACACTCCTTTTCAGTCTTGGAAAGCTTTTGTAGAATACTTTCAACAGAATTTCTAATTTTTTTCTCGTCGTCCTCTTGTCCATCAACTGCATCGTACAGGCCCATCAGCGTGAGCTGTTTACGAATGATGTTTTGAGCTGCCTATAAAGCAGGTAGAAATCTTTCATGTTTATGGGAACAAGGGTATTTGCAGACACGAAAATTATCCTAAGATGATCATCTTCATAGCCTAAGGGCTTTCAGCGCGATGATTAGCTTCTAAAATAAGCTTTAAAATCACTAATACATTGCTTCGAACGATAATTTCATTAAAGCACCCATTTCAATCAAACTTGGCCTAATTATTGTTGTATAATTCGTAGGCAAACCTCATGAATATACTGCCAGACGTTAATGTAGGATATTGGAAGTGGAAGTAGTAGCATTCGAGAAAATAAATGAGAATTGTGAAATACAAAACTTAAAGTGGGTATTCATGTAAGTTCGGTAGGCATTGTAGCAACGTATGGGTGCAATATCGTTAGTAGGCAAGCATGCTACCTTTATTTCTGCAATCAGTAAATCCTTCTCGTGTTGTAATGCTTCCAGTTTAGTCTGGTCTTTTTCTATTCGTATTTGATGCTCTTCGTTTAGCTTCTTTAGTTCCTCAGACAACGAGCCACGTCTTTCAGACAAATTATTCATCTGAGACTTAAGAGTCTCGATATCTTTTAGTTGCTTTCTGTTCTCTGATTTCGCAGTATCTAAGTTTTCTGTTAGTAATTCAGTCTGTGTCTGTTGGTATGTCAACTTCTCTTGCAAACTATCTCGCTCTGACACAACCTGCAGACAAAAGTATGAAGTTTGGCCATTCATTATAACAGAAACAAAAACAACTAAAAAAGGTTTAAACTCTAAAAGTGTCTGAACGTAAATCAGACAGTTCAACATAAACGAAAACTCAAACACTGAACGTTAAACATCTATTAGAAATATTTATTTAAAATAAATCAATTGTAAAAAGATACTTGCTTCTCAGTAAAGAACAGTCAATGCCACGTTTGACAAATAAAATTCATAGGTCAAATAATTCTACCTCTTGAATGTATCGTGTTTTCTCTTTCAGCTGGTGTTTATGTTCTTTTAATTCCTTGTCTAGCGATATCATACGATCACTTTTTTGCTGCAAACTCCTTTTCGTTTCCTCGAGAATGTCCTGTAACCTCTGCTTCTCCCTGCTTATGTCTCTATAAGTAACTTGTAATGAATTCAGCTCTTTCGCCAACATTGCCTTCGAGGACTCGTGTGACTTCAAGGAGGTTTCGGTTTCCGCATATTCAAGCTAACATTGGAGGTGATAGAAGGTAACTGATCTTAAAGACGAAAAACTAGAAACATTTGAGTTTACGATATGATCGGCGAAGGTAAAGAATCCGGTTCGGATAATCCTATTCACCTCGTGTCATACACGACGAGGAGCTTTTTGACTGCATCCACGAATCACAGATCACCTAGGGTCAGGGAACGCTCTCCTAAAAACATAGCATCTAGCAAAACATGATACCTCTCCGGATTCTTCATGTCCGCCGATGTGATCATTACGATTCCTCAAGATTCTATTATGTAGTTTACCATTTTTAACAGAACAAATACAACATCCAAACGAGTATATGTTCTCTTGATATGCTTCAATTTTCAAAAGTACAGGACTTTATGCTTCACAAATTTAAATTTTCCAGACTTTCTGTAATAAGAGTAGTAAGTATTCTTTGCAAAATTATAGCTGATAAGCAGCTGATTCAATCTAGGAATCTAAGGACCGTTTTAATGTAATAACGTTGTTGACGTCGGATCGAAAGGGTTGATAAGCAAAAATTTAAGGGACAAATGAATAATAAAAGTCACAAGCAATATAATCACTAAATATATATATATAAATATATAGAAATTTGTCTTTTGATACTTCCGTAGCACAGTGCTTAATACGTTAACACGTAGAGCGTGATATATCATAGATTGAAGAAAGTAAAACTACATGGTTTATCTCTACAAGCCTGTTTCGTGAGTAACTCACTCTTCAGGAGATGTGAGACATAATGGTGTAGCGTTTGGTCAATAATTCACCAACTTACTTGTATCGAGTCAAATCGTGATGTGGCATGATGCAAATCATCCTCTAAAACTTTGATCCTTTCCAAGAGTCTTTCAACTTCTTCAGTCTTCTCTGTAAGTTTGTAGGTGAGATCATCAATTTCGTCCTCGAGTTCTTTATTCCTATCTTCCTCTATGCCAAGCAGATGGCTTGCTCCAAGACAATCGGCTTTTGCCTTTTCCAACTCAGTACTAATAGATGCAAATTTATCCACCTTTTCTTGGAATGTGTATTCAAGAGATTTTATCTAAAACAATGTAAAGTGGTGAATATAACATCGTATACAATTCATTAAGAGGAAAATATTAAATCCCCTACAAAACCCCAGTCTTCATATCATTTTAAACAATATTCATATAAGGAATGATAAGCAAAATAAAAACATGGATAGTGACAGCAAAAACATTATTTGGTCCAAATAAATTTTTTTCTGTCCTCATATTTTCATAAATCAACGTTGTTCAAACATTGACTAAACTGAGTGAGAATGGAGTCAAATTTCTATCTCTTCTGCAAATCATCAAAACTTTCTATACTGCTAATGGTGATATATGAGGACACATTCAATCTGGCTTTCTGTTTTACGGAACGGATGCCAATTCAAGGCCCAACGAACAAGTAATTAAACACAATGCAATTCCTGTTTGATCACATACCTGGTTTTTGAGATTAGCGACAACCGAGTTGGCTTGCCTCAACTCTGCTTCGTTGGTTACAAGTTTTTCTTGCAAGGACAAAACTACTTCTTTTGCCGAGTCTCGTTCGGATGACGCTCTGTTTATATGCATTTGGCTGGCCTCGAGGTTTTCTGAAAGTCTTTGGACCTTGAGTGATAACATAACGTCTAATTTATTAAATTTGGCGAGGTATGCTAAAAGCAAAACTGACCTCAGACATTACTTATCGTGAAACTTAACAGGAAACAAGATTTTGTGGAAACAGAAGAACTGGTAAAAATCACTCTAGGTAATTATTATTATGCTTTGAAATCTTCAAAGTGGAATTGTTAGCTGATACATTTAATGACAATGTCTCATTTGTTTAATGGAATATCCTCAATTTCCATATCTAGAACATCGACGTTAATAGAGTTATATTTACCTTTGATTCCAATTCAGCAATAAATTTTTCACTCTCTTTGATGACTTTCTTTTTTGTTTCAAGCTCTGATGATACTCTGGAGTTGTTTTTTCTTTCTTGCTGAACTCTTTCTGACTCCACTACCAAGTCTCTTTTAACCCGTTCTAGTTCTGCAGTTTTAATGGACAGATCTTTTCGAGTTTTCCCAAGATCGGCATCCACTGTCTTCATTTCATTTGTAACATTCAGCAAATTATCTAACAATGAAATAGTTTTTTTTCAAATCAGGTACAAATGCTAAGCTTCTATCCTACTGATACGGTGTCCCCGATAAATAAGGTACGAGCAATCTTGACGAAATTCTATTTTTTCTAGCAGAAGGATACATCAACATCAGCAGATGGACATCTTTAAACTATCAGGAAATTAATTCCCCAGATAACAGAAACTTCCTCACAACGGGCACTTTCTCTGGTCCTGTACATTATACGGAGAGTCTACTTTAATTCGTTATCTACCAAGACGTACCTCGCAACAATTGAAGTTCGTTCTGCCTCTTATTCAGCATTGACTTTGTGTCAACCAAATCCTTTTGCGCCTGTTCAGCAGCTATTTTAGCAGCATCCCAATCGTCCATTGACTTCTGAAGCTGCAAAAATGAGCTCTTCTTTTCGGCCAACAGGTCCTCTAATTGTCTATCATAAGAAAAAAGCACTGTTAAGAAATTTCTGGATTGGTGCTTCTGCTAGACCTTGATAAAAGGGTGCTTTGTTATTATCTTTGAACCTTTGCATATGTCAAGCACAGCTCCAAAGATCTTAAATCAAACTTCCGCTCCTTAGCCTGCTATCAACATCGTTTTTAGTTGGAATTTAGTTCAGAGGTTTCGAGAGTACTATTTAACTCTAGTCTTTAATCTCAATTTTCCTATTTCAAACATGGCAATTAACAGGGGTCTCATAAACAAAAAATTAAAGCTAAAATATAGAGCCGCGTTTAAAAGAAGGTAAAAATGCTGCATCCGGAATCTTATTACCTTTTGCTCGTCATCTCTGTCAACTTCAGGTGACTCTCTAATGAAGAAACGTTTTGCCTTAGATCATCTACAGTCCTTTTTAATGTTTTCTTTTCAGCTTTCAATTCCTGAAAATTAGAACATGGCTTTCAGAAGTGCAAAGAATTTAACGATATGCTTCATTCGCAAAAAATGAAGAAATTTGCAAGGATAAAGTGATGGGATACCTTAAAAACGCAATGAAATGAAATACATAATGCTTTTCAAAACTTAGAAAGTGGCATGACAACTATGTTTGATTACTTGAGTACATGACGTTTGAATACATGAGCACAATCCAGTTTTCATACTGACCTGAATTATTGGTCTCGGGTCACCGTTTTTGCAAGCAGATAAAACATCTTCAGTCTCTTTCAACTTCTCAGCCAGGTCCTTTTGTCTTGAGAATAGAACGCGGACCACCTCTTCAGAAGAGCATTGTTCTGGGCCGAGTCCCTCTTTTTCTAATGCTGAAATTATCTCCTTCATTTCAGTCAAATGCTTTAAAAAAGAAAAAAATCGCTTACTAGAAGCAAAAAATAAGTACTAGGGCTGTTGTGGTATTGAAGCTCTTTACTTTTTATTTGCTTTTTCAACAACTGTACTTAATTTAACGTGGACATGCTCTTCCTTGACTGCCTGCAATGATTTTGGAAGTTCATGGTTCAATGTTTACTTATCCTTGGAAGCCAGAACTTCGGAAAACATATCATCTTTTACACATTTCGTAGGCAAATGCTATTAAAAATAAAATGGTTCGATACTAACTATTAAGATTTAAGTACAACAAACTCTGGGGCTTTTTCTCGTCCACTCTTCCTGATATCTCAAAAAGGAAGTCTTTCACTTTCCGCCTGTCAAGCTTTTAAATTTTCATTACATTTCATTACAGAGCATTCAGTTTATAAATTCTAAGAAACTTTGGAAAACGTTACAAATAAACTGTAAACGTTAAATATTACATAAAAAAGGGAATAACCATAGGACATGAATAAGTGGCGCAAGGATGCAATATATACACGAAGGCAGAAATATATTGTGCATGCAGAGTCTTTAACACCGATGATCTTGTACAAGCGATCCTGCATTGGATTCTTTGCTCATTGATGGGTTGTTTTCAGCGAGCAAAAGTCTCACCTTAGTTAAAATGTAGGGGGAAAATTTTGTTGTGTCTTCATTGACATAATCAGCAATTGGCAACTGATGATATTGAAAACGATATACTCATAGACAAAACAAATGGTTTCCAACTTCCAGTGATCAGGAATTTTTAACGGATATCGATTATAACCATCTTGTCATTGCAAATTGGCTTTATTATAAAGAATTGTTTAAATCTGCAAAAGCATCTGTGTCAATAAAAGTTGTTTAAGCTATGCATCTGAGATATCTTTTTCCTCGCAAGTAAAAGAGATTATTAAGAATTGTGTTTACTTGGGATAAACATATTCCTTTCACACGTTTCTTTCTACTCAGCAACAAATCATACACAAATACAACGTAAATTGTGTTTACCTTTCTACTTTCAGATCGCATTGCGGACCATTTACCGTGATATGGCAAATTTCTTCCAGGGGAACTGGGACGACGCTCATCTTCAAGCTCTTTTAGCTGCGATCGCAGTGTTTCAATTTCCTTCCGGAGCTTGATTGAGCTTTCTCATTTTCTGCCTACAGTTAAGAGAAGACAATAGTACTGATTGCAATTGCAGAATTTAGAATACTTAATCCTTCTTTGCAGTTTTTGGGGGTTACGAAATCAATTCTGACTTTTTGAGATGAAAAAAGAATATTTTTTATAGCTAGCAAGTCTGTTGAACATTACCGGTTAAAAGGTAAAATAGCTACCAGTAAAGAAGAATAAGCAACAAGCAAGAATTGTACTTTGATAGGTATAAGTTAAAATCGTGGAGCCAACTATCATACTCTACAGCAACCACTGTCAAAGACAAACTTAATGAGTAATAGCTTTACAATTCTAAAGCAGAGAAATCAGCAACAAAAAGCTGCCTTACGTTCTGAGTTCTGACTTCCTCGAGATGTTTCTTCTGCAACTGCTCGATCTCTGTTGACGTATCTTTTCGCAATTTCTGCAACTTCATCTCGGAGACAGCTAATTTCCCGCTAAGTTGCATATACTAGAAGAAATGGATTTGAAGTGTACTCCAAGACATAACGTAACTTTGCTTATTTGCTTCTTGAATAAACCAATAAATTTCAAATAGCGGGCCATTACAAATTTGAGATTATTTAAGAGGAGAACATAGATTTCTTGCAAACTACTCTAAGCTATAATACCTAAATTTTGATGCCTTTATGAAATAATGTCAACAGAAATTATAAATGCCTCTAAATGTTAATTCACTTCAAATGATTCTTGAAGATTAACCTTACGAGTCAAAACATTCAACAAAGGAGCATTTTAAAATTATAAAAAATTACCTTGTCGCTATTCTCCTTCGTATCGGCTTTCTTTCGCTCGTCTAGTTCCTCTTCGACATCTGATTTGGACTTCGTTAGTTTTATCATGTTCTGCAACGCAGATAGTTTTTCTTTTCTTTCATTTAATCTTTCTTTCTCACTTGTGGCTAGAACCTCCCTGACTTGTACGAGCTCTTTCTAGAAAGTAAATGCCGATTGATACTTAAAACTTGCAGCTAAATCAAAATTAATGGGCATATTCAATGCGAAGACTGTTCAGTTTGCCACCTACACAAGAAATTAGGGTACCATATATTAACTAGACTAACGAAATTTTATAATCGACACGCCAAAATTGGTCTTTAGAAAAGCTGGATAAAAATTGTTTCAATAACTTATATAATACAATATCATAGCTAGGAGAGACCTTGTATTGAATTACAAGGACAAGGATATAATAACAACAAACGCAGGTCAGGTTTTCCGATGCGCAGTGACACTACTCGAGGTCTTAAGGGACCACTACTTAACCTAATATTTCAAGTTTGCCCGGCCCTCTGTTAAATAACTCCACTGAATTGCGTGAGGTCTATAGTATTCATCCGTTTTTAACCGGTAGCATTCTGCATTTTGAAAATACTGCAGTGATTTATAAAATAGAAGTTAAGCATGACTTACAAATGCTGACCACAGAATCATTAAAATATACAGCAAAACATGCTGCCTCCTGGAAAGGCTACCAGCTGAGTTTCTAAATAATGTTTTCAAAACAGTTGAATGTTCTCTGGTAGTCACTGCAAGATTTCGATTTTCCAATCAAATGCCAACACAATGACTATGCCTTTGGCATTCAAACTCTATAGCCAAGGTTCGCATTTTGAATCATTTATAGCAACGCAAAGTTATTTGCGCAAATGATTCGTAAACGAGCTGTTTATACCGAAAGTGTCTAGTGTGCATAATTCTAAGATCAACAGTGAAAAACCTAGAGCTGCCACGTCGCTTAATAGATTTACTCTAATTTTCCAGCCAACACAATTCAAATTTCAAGATAACTGCTACTAGTTGCAACAAGTAGCATTGCCAGGCAAACCTTGTGTGTGGCACACAAATCATTGAAGTACATTTCACACTGAAAAACAACCGGCAGCGTATTGTTTGTCGTGTGCATTTTCATATTACTCAATATGAAATCATACTCCTCAATTAATTTACAATTTAAACACTTTTTCCGCGAGCTTCCTGGAACTCTACAGATGAAATGTTGTTGATTGTATTTCAAAAGAAGCACACTTACCCGCAGACTTGACAGCTGTTTTGCGGCAGGGCTATTATCTTCATCCACTTCGGACCCTTCTTTCAGCATAGCCAAATTGTCCTCGAGCTCATCGACTTGCTTCTTGTAAAATTTCACCTATCAGATCGAGACACACGTCAAAACATATTAGTATAAGGAGTCACAATTTAATCTCTATTAAATGAATACTGTACCTGTTAGCAATTCAGCTAACTGCTGGAATTAGCCAGGTAGGCCTTTCTTTGTGGAGTTTGCCTAATGTTTTAAAAGTAATCATACTAAAACTACACTCATTTTTTTATAAGAAACAAAGATCGATGTTGAGTACTCCAGTTTCTTAATGTTCTGGAAATTTCAATACTCACAATATTCTTAAGAGTTTCTTAATCATGATGTCATGAATTTTATATTTGGGGTTCCTTATATTTTATTTTTCATGCTAGGAAGAAAGTTTAGTTAATGTTAGGAACTATTACAGAAAATGTTTCTACTGTTATGAAATTATGCTATGTTATGAAATGTTCGTGACCTTTTTCTCATTTCAAGAGATTCGCTTCAGTTCTGATTATGTGTTTAGATGTGGGAAGTATCATTTATCGCTTGTTGAGTGTAAGTCAAGAATAAAGAGTAGAGCAGAGTTGACGAGGTAAAGGTGGTAATCTTAGGTTTATACTTATGTCACTTTATTTTGACGATTTTACAGAAAATAAAATAAAATAGCAGACATTCACAAAGGATTCACTAGACTTAGTTTTGTTTTACGAAAAACGGGCAAAGACGAGACATGCTAAGGCTTGTAATAAAGCTAAGCCGTGTTGGCTGCTAAAAGGGCTGGAGCCGTTGCTATGCAAACTTTGAAATAAAAGGAATTCTTAATAAAATTCATGTTGCGCTTAAACATGTTCGGATAGCAAAAATCAGCCGTGGATCGAAAACAAAGCAAAATATTAAACAAGTACCACAAAATCAGTTAAATTATAAACTTGTGTCAATATTTAATATTGCGGTATTTGAATCCGCGACACGCTGGATATGCATATCATAACCTTACAAATAAATACACTATGAACTAAAATTCAATAAAAGGGCGGAATTTGTTTTCAAATTTATACACATTGTATTATTGAGTAAATGTTCTAAAAAAGTGACGTTTTCTAATGTAAAGATTCACAATTTGTGCGTATATCAGACGCAAACGCCGCTTTGTTTAGATCAAAAGCAACTCTAGAAATAACTGAGAATTTCGGCAAATAATTTGGAAGAAAAGCTTAATGTGTACTGGGGATGTCGAAATAATTTCAAAGCTGGACGATCATAGACAAAAATAAGCTTTTTGACGATTCTAAAGAAGGTAATTATAAGTAAAGGGGAATTTTCCCAAAGGTTGGAAGGCGTGTGCTGCTGGTGTTCCCTGGTTAAAGCGTTTCTAATGTAAAGCCTCTTAAAAATATATATCTCAGGGCATCATTTCATCTAAAGATATATCTATTAAATGATAAAGATAGGAAAGACTTTTCCTAATGTATCATATGTGGCGTCGCATAAACAGTCAGGAGGGTCCTAGATGAATGTGAAGAGGCCGAAATTTACACTCATTTGGCTACCCAGTTTCAAGGCTATTGAGGTGCAATACGTTTCAAGGTGCTGAAGACTCCAAAAATGCTTAAATAAACTTGATATAGTCTTCATGAAATATTTCTATAACTAGTAAAAACGAGCTTACCTCTGACTCAAATTGTTTCACTTTGTCTTTTAAGTCACTCTCGATTTCCTCCCTCGTATAACGTTCATTTTGTAGCTCTTTACTATGTGCTCTCTCCAACCGATCAATTTTTGCTAACTGGTCACGCTCCTTCACTAACATCTCTTGTTTACTCTCTTCGATTTTGTCCTCCAGACTTTCAATAATTCCTAAGGTCACAAAATTACTTGTACTGATCATGATTCAAGAACAAATTTAGCTTTATTTCACTATAAATTAACTTAAATCGAAGCCAACTTATCACAGCTGTGAATTACTGCAGTAGATCTACAGGTGGCGCGATACTAACTTTGGCTTCTGCATTAGGTTTTGAAGTGTTTACCAAAAATTCCTTTCATATAATATGGGCACAACAAAATTCTATATTGACACTATATAAGGAATGGTATTGGGTATTCTGAGGGTTATGCCTTGTGATAACTATGGACTGTTAAACTTTCCGTCGTGCCACTTTGAAAATTGAATGCAATGAAAACAATCAAACGGAGCAAAGCAATATTTACCTTCGTATCTTCTTAGTTTTTCCCGCAATGGCTCAAGCTCGGCTTCGAGGCTGTTTGACTTGGCCTGGGACTGCTCTGCCTTCTTTTTCAAGGTGTCCTGAAATAATAATGGAAAGGAATCTGTCAGATCTAACTTCTGAGATTACCTTACTCTTTCGACCATGTCATTGCCACACGCTTTCTGAATGTACTCGCTACGTAAAAACCCTTTTTAGCCATGTTTAAAGCTATTCAACACAACCCAGGAAAGCGGCAGCATTGTTTTTGCAAGTGAATCGAAAAGTACACATTCTGGTATCTAGCAAACTTTCATACACAAATGATAGCGGGGGGTTTAAAGCTTGTGCAAATATTACCAGTTTCCCGACCTATTCTAGAGCTAATCTTCGCCCGCTTAATAGGTATTAATCGCTAACGAGGGGAGGCTTAGGCAGGGCGCATAGCAAGTTCCTTTCACGGCATCCATTGTTGGGGAAAGATAGTATGTTTGAACCTTTCTTGGAATTCATACGCTAATTGCTGCGATGACGCAAATATCAATTTTATAAATAGTTAATCACATTTGAATAAACAAAAAATTGCTAATAAGCAAAAGTAAATTATAAAGCCCGACAATATTTGGCTTTTCTCTTTTTTTGACAGCACAATATTTGGAACTTCAGTGCGTTGCTTTTGACAAACCCTTGTGAACATTGCCTCCTATAAATGAGACAAATTTTGTGGAAATATTCATTATTTGATCTAACGGACATTGATTCCACAGAAGCACACTGGTTTTCGTAAAGGAAATGTCAATGCCTTGCAATAAAAGCTTTGATTATGGAATCAACCCAGGTGCAGCAGTTACCTACTTGTAACCCTCAGAGTCCAGAAAAGTTTTTAACCTTCCTCCAGACAAAAACATCCCAGAAGGCAAACCTTCTTCACAAAACAATATAAAGTGGGCACAGCTTGGGTGTGTCATAGGAGCTTCTATTGTTTTTCAGGGACCTTCCTCTGGTCAGTGCCTGTGCGACCGTAATGTTTACCTGACTCTGGTTAATCTGAAGGCTTGAGACAAAGCATGATGAATTGGTTCCGAAATATGAAAGCAGCGGCTCAGTTTTGATCTAAGGATGCATCACATTGTAAGAGTATCAGAGACAGGGTAAGACCTGTTTAAAGATTGTTTACTTATGTATCACACAAATTCAGTTCATAATACCCTGCTGATACTATTATTTATCTTCAACCTCTCACTAAGCCATTTTACAATTCAATGCAGACATGTCTGTGACAAGCCTTGATCACCCCATTTCCATATCAGAGGTGAAACATATGGAAGAAAATCCAGAGTAAACAGCTGAGTAAAGAATGCTCATCCTTTCTTACGGCCAACATGCTCACGTTTAATAAACTGTACCTGGGTTAACTTTGATGCTGAAACCTATGTCAAAACCAGCTGAACCAAAGAAGACCAAATTAAGAAAGAATTCATTTTAGTGCCAAGGGTAGATCTATAAGTATAATACAAGGGCCAAATGAATACAATTGGTGTAACACATTTAAATTTTCCCAGAATCAATACTCTGTAATACTGCATACTAAATCTAATTAGGGGGTCTGAATCTGGACAGCCCCTTCCTTCTTTTATCCAGGCTGGCCTTTTCTAGCTATGTCTGGGTCAGCTGACACCATCCAATGCCACAAAATTTCTTGTTCTCAGTTGGGTCATTATCCATCCCCATCTTTTGGAAATATCTTGCCACATCATCTTTCTGTCTCACTTTCAACCTCACTCTTCTTTTTTCTCATAGCAGGTGAAACAGTCCACCCCCTGAGATCAATCAAAGGTTTCTTGTCCCTTACCGTTACCTTGCAAGGGAAATCATACCTATTGATATATCCTTTCAAAATTATTATTATTATTATTGAATCCACCTTTAAATTTTCTCATATTTATCAGATGTCTTTAACAGAAAGCCCTGATATCACTGGTGGGAAACTCAACTGAAGGGGGCTGCCATAACATAAACTCTTATTATGTACTTTCAGGAACCGTAATCAAAATTTTGTTTAAAAGAGTACTCAAATCCTTATAAGTTTCCAGAGATCATGACATTTCTAAACTTCTTCAAATCAATTTCTTCTGGCAATCAGTACCTTGTTAGTTACAACACCTGTTTGAAAACAGCATGCCAGAAAAAGTTGGTAGTACATGCTGATGGATGACAAAATGGCTGACATGAGGGTGAAGTTGCCAGGGGTCAGGACCTGCTTTCAGAAGTTCAACTTGTCCAGCATTATTTGGACGTAATCTATGCTTATCATAATCTCAGGTATCAAATATGAACTTTGTTGCAAAATTCTAATTATTTGCCATGCTGAAAACATAGGTTCCAAAATGTCTTATGATTAAAAAATATCAATGCTATTGTATTGTATTGTATTGTATTGTATTGTATTGTATTGTATTGTATTGCCTGTAAAATTTCAGCAATGCTCTGCCATACTTTGATAATGTTTAGAGGCACTGAGGTTTTAAGACAAGACAATTTTTAGAGTTAATACAGCGAGTTTTAATTTTCACAACTTCTTCAGATATTTAGGGTTCATTTTATTCCATGACTCACGATAGCCTCTTTACCGAGAATTTTAATTTCAACTTGTTGACACACTTATTTAGGGACATGGACCATAGAAAGCATAAAGATTGCTTTAAATTCGTAACAGAAAGAACCTGTAGTTATCCAATTTTAATTGAGTGTACACAAAGAACGCAAGCATTCAGGACGGATTAAATTATCATACGCATATTTGACCACAATAAAGGAAAGCACAGCTTGATTTATCTAGTGATTCGCATTCGGATCTTAAACTTCGCGGGTGCTGATCAACTTTCAAACCTAAAAACCTGACTATTTGATGGCAAATATCTTGAACATGCTTTAAGAACTCTGTTAAAGCACTGACAAACAGTCTCTAGACAAATCTCACCAGCGCTGCTCGCGTGTAACCCTATAATCAGACCATTGTGTATAATAATAGACTCTGTTTGTATCTCTACAATGGATGTATTCGAGTAACTGTTCACAAACAAATATTCATAATAAGTTTAATCTTAGGCCATCAAATTCCTATTTAAACTGATCTATATCAAAACTCTTAACTTTTGTGCATGAGTTGACGTAATCTAAACATACAGGTTGCGGATTATTTGCGTTTCCAACGAAGAGACTTTGTCAACAAGGAAATACTTCTCAATTACAGAACAGACAACTGACTTACCAGTTCATCGTTCGTTCTCTTTCTGGCAGCACCATCCCTTCGTTTCTTGATATTTTCAGCAGCCATTACGACGGACCAAGGCTTGATAGTTCCATTTCCTGTTCGTGTAGCACTCCTCGCACTGCCAACACTCGACACCGATGAATTTGAATCAAACCTGTAGAGTCTCGGTCTATTTTCCTCCTCGCCGACACTTTCTCGTCCGCTATCAACAGATTGCCTGCCTTCTAGCGTTTGTTTTCTGGCCAAAACAGACTTGGATGTGGCTGATGCCAGTTTCAAATTTGAGGCAAGTGTCCTTAACACAGCTTCTTCCCTTAACTTTTTTGGCAATGTTGAAAGCAACTTTCTCTCCATGTTTGAGCCCTGCGTTTGCTGAAGGTCTTTAACCGAGGTGTCAGTTAGTGTCGTAACACCTTCTCTTCCGCGTTTTTCTGTGGCTTTAATTTCATCATAATTTTTAACTGTCTTTAAACTTTCTAAATCAGAAACTGTATTTTGTGATTCGCTTTTATGACTAACATCGCCTTTATTTTTCTCCGCACTGCCACCTGCCCCTTTGATCGTCAATCTCGGAATGCGACTCGGTGACGTCTGCCTCAGCTGTCCTTGCTTGCCTTTGGCGGTCTTCTTCTTAGCCTCCTCTTTCTCCGTCTGCCGACCTCTGGTCAGTTCACTAGATTCTCCAATATCGTTCAATGTACCGAAATACCCATTTGTGGTATTTCCACTGAACCCGGCTTCTTGTAATTCTTCCAGCAAGGGTCTTGTTGCTATGCTGATTGAGTCACTATCCGGTGTTTTTTCTAAAGACAAGCTCATTCTGTCCCCGTCCAAGTTATCAAAATCAAACCCCAAAGCAACTTCACTAAAATCAGGGACAGGTGAAAGCCGGTGCGATAGGGGCTCTGGCAAAGCTAAGTAATCAACTGCAATGGACTCGTCTTTACGTTCAAGTATCCTTGGAGACAATCTCACCTCCCCTCCATTCTTTGATGAGTCGTTGGAATGTCCTTTGCTGTCTGTCAGGGATTTCTCCAATGAAGCAAAACGAGGGGACAACGGTCTCATTGTTAGCAGGGCTTCAGGTTTCATTATCGCGGTTAAATCAGGGCCGCAGTCAGCTTTGTTTGGACAATCGATACTTGATTACCACGCCGACGCCCAAAATCGCCAATTGTTATTTCCCAAAACAATTGAAACCGCCTGTACGTAATATTGTTCTGCGATAAAAAAGAGATTAGTCCATGAACGAAATACTCATGTCGCAATTTTTTAGAGCGAAATAAAACAGGATGATAAACGAGATGATAAACAACATCCAAAAACACAAAGCTATTTTTAATCAGCATTTTAAGCTTATCTTGAGGTCTGCCAGATAGTTCAGTTATTTTTCTTTTGGAGAAAATTTAATTGATCCGTAAACCACGATTTCCGATAATATCAAACTGGTATCAAGAATTGCTACAAAAAATGCCACAGGTTTTCTTTCCTGTGTATTTTAGTGATCCGATGTCATTACTAAACCTGTTTTGATGCAGGTATGTGGAAGGTTTAAGCTTTGAAAGTTTGGAATAAATCAACTTGCGGATTTAAGATTGGTCAAAACACGATGAAACCGTTGGCATGGTCACCGTTGCTAACGGCTTCTTGGACTTCAATTCGAAAAGGAATACAAATATCGAATAAAAATACCCCAAAATCCAATTGCATTTAGACTTCTATTTATCAAAACTTCTCTTGGGTTGAGCTGAATCATGAGATGAATCATGAGATGGTTTTAAAGATACGGTAGTTCTTTTCTGTATATCCCTATGAAATTGGTATACATATAGACATTGCGTTTCTCCTTTTTTAACATTGATCTTATATTCATTTTACTTGGCAATTTTGATATCGCATACTGCTAACTAAAAGCCTTTCATATTAGGATGATAATTAACTGCGATTTCTGCATGTTTTCCATGCTTATCAGTTTGGGCAGGAACTAAGAAAATATACAAAAACAAAGACCTCAGCAGTTAACTTTAAGGGACATTCAAGATAAAGTTTCTTAATCAATTTCTTAATTGAGAATTGGCAGAGGGGAAAGCAGATGCGGGTTCGTGATTTCATGCTTCTCTATGCTTTCCTAAGCAACACAAGAATAACCCAAATCAGTAACAATATTTTGTTCTAGAATTTTCAAGAAGGAACGGTAGGCTTCCATGGATCCGCACTACCTTCACCTTTACATGTTCATAATGAATCTTTAATTGCCACAGGAAAGCTTGTAATAGTAATGATGACAAGCAGTAAGCTACTGAAATGTTTCTTGCTATGGAAAACTGTGTGACGTTTACCAGACATTAGATTCTTTTTAACCCTGCAATGTCATGGAATGGTTTCTATACGACAATACCGTGTAATAAGACAGCTAATTTTGGGCCAAGCACAGCCAGAAAAGACCCTTGATTCCATTGGCTCACTTCAGCCAACAGCGCACAAGGGTTAACATCAGTTAGAGTCGATTCAATACCATTCTGTTATCGTTATGCCAACCCTTCTCAATTTTATAGTTGAGGATCATTGTTTATTGGGCATACGGTGAGCGCTGCTTAAGCAAAGCGAAAATTCTATCATGATATGTTATTATTAACAGTTGCTATACGACATAATTGAAAAAAGTAACAGTATCTTTGAAGACAAGTTGCATGCAGTAAGAACCAGTGACGGGAAAAAGTCATTGACATACAACTAAACTTGTGGAGCAATGCTGTAAAGTCTAGTTGACTTTCAAAAGCATTTTATCTGTTGTAGTTGGTATACTTTACATTAGTATCATCAAGAAGCAGAGGTTTCTTACCGCTTTTGTAGATTAATGTACAATATTTTCTCGATAGTTTGTGTGAAAATCAGCTAGCTGTAGTCTTGAGGCCACGTTCGGGTGTATCAGGGTCGTGCAAACGCGCGACAGGGATTCGTCGTTGCAAGCTGCCAACAAAAGGTTCTCCCAAATGAAGAAGTTGTTTCTATCAAGGTGAAAATAACTGTTGAAAACAATATTTTGATCAAAAGCTCCGTCCTATTTAAGATTGAGCTGCTGATGTATAAGAATTAAACCATTTACTCGAGGGACCAATTTAAATAATTAACGAGATACATATGCTTTTTGTTTACAAAACTTTGAAGTAAACATTAAATCTCAAAACATTAAAGAGAACAGCTGCTAACAGAAGGCACTATGCCCCGAAAGCCGATCTGTCGACAAAGTCCCACTGTCCTTCAAAATCGCGACTTTCTTAAAAAAATTTTGTCTTTTCTTTGTGAAATTTTGAGGAGTTTGTCCAGTCAAAGATCTTAAATACAGCAAACTGAGGGAAAAAAATTTCAGATTCCCTGTGCAGCTTTCCTGGGAACCTATAAGCACTCGTGGAAATCTATGAACCCTAAATATCCGATAAAAAAGGCTCCACTGCTCTTCACCCTTAAGTCTAGCTCGAATTTTTCTCTCTATTAGCTCTCTCTATTAATTTCCTAAAATAAGCATTTCCGTCCCTTCTTTAAGAGAATCACCTTCGAGCAGTTTCTAAACAGGGTGATCAGAATTTTGATTCCTTAATTTTTTGTCATCTCAGTGGTCGGCATTTTATCCGAAACCAGGAAACTCCAGGTTTTGTTTGCCTTCTCCCGGTCTCCCAGCTTTCTGACATTTTCTTCCTGTTCCAAAGAAGTGTGGCAGAAGTTAAAATATGCACTTTAGGAAAATCGGTTTTTTTGATCGGACTCCGCTTTTGATTGAATGTGTTTCCTTTAACATGTCTCAAAGATGAATAGCAGGGTCATCGCGAGGCAAGCTTTGTTGGGGAGGGAGGGGAGGGTTGGACTACAAATTTACCTGATTAAAAAATAATTACCTCAATTTTTTAAGTTGCTGTCACAAACCTCTGCAATACATTTTTTCAATCTAGCTGTGTTGCATATAATTCACAACATTCATTTAAAAATGATAATAACGGACTTTCCTTATAGTTTTGCTAAATCTGTATACCGGGACGGGCAACTACCCGAAGCGGCACCATGGTTGCCGCGGAAGGACCAGAAAATTTTCGAATTTTGATGCTTCAAATCCCCTGGAAAATGCACTCTTTTAAGTAAATTTTACTAAAGCAATCCTCCTAAACCTATCGAAAATTCTTTTATTTTTGCAAACAAATTGAACAGCAGATGTTGTCAGTTACTTCTAAAGCTAGGTAACAAGCAGCAATGGTTGCCAATTTAGATCCCTCTTTCCATCTAAGCATGCCTTTTTAGGGGAAATGGACGCAAGGCACAATTTTACCTAAAGAGGGCCTGGATTTTTAGATTTTTTGCCAACAAGAAATCTTCAAATCTTCAAATCATTAGTTTGTTTATCTACCTTCAATCAAGAAATATCATAATAAGCCAAAGAAGCAACTACCTTTGCTTGATCCTTTATTGATGTTAATACATGAAAGTCGCTTAAATGCCTAAAGGGTTTCTTCCACGGGGCGGATTTTACCTGGAATTTCCTATCGAGATACTAATGGGGGGGGTGTGACACCCCCACACCTCCCGGTTGCAACGCCCCTGCAAAAAGTGTTTTGTATCTTCTTATGTTTGTCTTTTGCAGAGATATGCTTCTGATAAGAAAGATCACTTTGGTTTACTAAAAAATTTAAAAGAATTGTGAATAAGTTACTCATGAAAAATTTGTAAATAGTATGCTTAAACACATTTAACATAGGTTGGTGTTGTTGGGGGTAGTATGATTACACCTCCCTGTTTTTGGCCGAAGCTCCCTATTTTTCTTGAAAAAAATCTAAAATCTACTGGGTATATATTTTAGGCTGACAAATTTGTATTATAGACAGTTTCTTGTAAATAAAAATTGTTGTAGCAGAAAAGCTTTAAGTGAGGGCTAGTGATTTTTGTTTATTCGGGGGCATCATTTCCCAAAAACGGGCTTGGTGGGAAGGGTACTTATATAAATTCTTATTCCTCCCTTATTTTGCAATACTTAATTTGGAATGAAAGAAATTCACCAATATCATATGATACATCAAGCAAGGGGGGGGGGCGGGGGTTATATTACAAACATTGTCAAGACTAATAAACAAGTTTTTGTGAAAATTCATTGTTCAAATAATTCATTATCAAGGATCTGTATTGATTTTAGCTTCCTTGAATAGAAGGTTCTAGGTCTGTCCAACATTCCATCATCTTTGCTGAAATTCTAATATGTGTTCCACTTGGAAAATTACATCTAAATAGAATCACCTTGCTCTTGGGTTTTAGTATGCATAGCCCCTCCCAATGGTTGTAGATCCCTAAACCCATTATAAGTTCTTTGGTCCTTCCATAGGCATTGAAGGCTCAAGCCACCCCTAAAAGAGGATAGTGACTGCTTGTTCTAAAGTTCAAAACCAAACTTCCCTTCTTCAATTACTTACATGGGTGTAGTGAATGAATACTATTCAGATGGCTTAGAGTATGAATCTTACCTGAAAATGATTGCTTCAAGGAGATAGTACTGCTCAAATGAAGACTGAAATATAACGCTTTAACATGTTTTGAATCCAATCTCAAAAGCATAAAAATAAAAACTTTTTAACACAGCTTTTCTTTGAATTTCTGAAGAAGCTTGCATACAGTAGAGATAGATAGAAATATTGATATGCAAGAACTGTCAAAAAATCTTGTAACCAATGAAATATTAACAGAAAAAGAAAATTGCTACAAGCTTGAGCAGAAATTGTATGAGTAGCTGGTAATGTTTACAGAACTGTAGATGATGCAAAAAAAAGAAATGGCAAACATAAAGGAACACCATAAATTTTATTGAGCATTTGATTATGAAGCATTGGAAAATTCTATAATTAGATCAAAACTCAAGATCTACTTCTCCAAATTTGTCAAAATAAGTTTTAAACCAGTTGATTTGTTCAATTTTCTGCTCAACAGTACAAAATGGGTTTTGTTGCAAACCTGTTATAACCAATTCCATAAATTTTCTTATTTGTCCTTTCTCAGGAAACAAATCTAGATAATGGTCAAGAAAAACGTGATCTTCAAAGTTTGAATTTTCTTTTTCATCAAGGCCCTCTTCATTATCAACTGGAAATTTCCACATTTTTTCTGAATTGAGCATGATTGCTTCAAACCCATCACTTGGCCCTAGCTTTGGAACTGAGTCTTTGACTTCCCTTTGCCATTTAGTTTCATGGATAGATATAAAGTTCCTGTCCTTCGCAATGCTAGGTATACTAAAAAGACCATCAAGGTAGTGGGATCTCACACCACTGAACAATCTCATTTTATTTGAAAACATTTGGGGTTTCCTGGTGCCATCAAGGTAACTGCCACTATCTTTTGCCATTTGAAATTTTTTGCCAAATTTTTCTCCCCTTCTTGTTGATGTACCTAAAAGAAACCTTTTGTCTGGAGTTGGCTTCATATTTGCCATTACTTCTTTGACATTACTTTCGTCCATTTTGCCATCAATCAATGCTGCAAGTAGTCCTCCAACTTCTGTTTCATCTGGTATTATTTGGTCCCTTCCTTTTTTGTGTATCTGGCTGACTAAATCTGTTTCCGAATTACCAGTATTTTTATCATTGTCAATATTTACATCTAAAATGGTGCTACCCTTTTTGGCTGGACCTTTTAGAATGTCACTCTCTTTGGAGTGCTTCTGTAAAGCTTTTACTCTGAGCCAAGGATCAGTTTTGAATGACAAGCTCTTCGATTCGAAGATTGATGTTTTAGAAACTTCCAAGGATTTTCTCTCGAAATCAGGGTCAATAGCAGCTTCTACTTTGATATTCTTGCTATGACTTTCGGTGTCAAAATCGCCTTTCAGTTCATTTATCAAGTCTTTTAAACCAAGCTTCTTTTGTTGTCCTTTGTGATCATCAAATTCAGGGTATCGCAATTTGTCCTTCTTTTCCACAGATTGCCTTAGAATATCTTGAAGCTTCATTTCAGCGTTATCATCTGAACTGTATGGTCTTGAATGAAAACAAGGCATGCGTTGACCATTAGAAGATTGTCCATTTTCGCCAACACCGGATAATTTTGAGGCAAAATAAAATGGCCGAGAGGGTAAAGGCTGCCAACTCAAGGGCCTCATTTTATACACAAAATCGTACTTATATTTCAAACAAGAAGAAACCAAATTTCTCGTATATCGATTCATGACTTTCACTACAGTTTCAAAAACCCAAACTTTCAACACAAGCAAAGATACTAACCATTATAGGTCAGCCTCGCAATCAATCTGCCTCTACCATCGCTGTGGATTTGCCGGACCATGTTACTTTATCTTGTCATTACTGCAATGAAAAAGCCTGAGCCCCGCTTGTTAATGCCTAAAATTGGCAAACTTCAACTTTTGCTGTTTTTCACAATAATTTGTGAAAAAGCACCCCCGTTGTATTTTTGATGGCACCAAACCACTGTACACAAGCCTGGGGCTCCGACGAAGGGGGGGGGGCCCCACTTTTTTTTTGCAAAACAATAGTTCTTTTCAAAATCTTTTGTTATGGGTGTCAAATTTTCCCTTGCCCCCCACTTTTCTACCTTTGTCGGAGCCCATGCAAGCATCCAGTTTTTCAGTGCATTTCTCAGTGTCTTATAATTTCAATTTCTGATGTTAACTCGACTGGCATTCAGCGGATGAAATATTTCCGTATTCAAACTCTTAGATGGCAAGATTACCTAGCTATGTAACAGGTTCCTGGCATGAATATATACCCCCACTTTAACTATTATATTATACCCCCACCTAGCGCCGTTGAATGTTGAAAAATTAACACCTCCTGCACGATTAATGCCATACTTAAAATAGTTTAAAAACTGCTTTCACGTGCAATCTTACTTTATTCAGACTAGCAAGTCAATTTCCACTTATCATCAGGAAATAGGGATCGTAAATATTATGGAGAGAGAAAGCAGAAAAAACAAAGAAACTTGAAAGCAATATTTCAATGATTGATTTTATCAGCTACCATATGAGAGATAAAAAAGTTTGCGTATGGTTGTGTATGCGTATGTCATAATTTAGCCATGTCTGTTCTTCCTCGTATCAACCTGGAGGCCATGCCATTTGCCTTTTCCCTAAAACATGCATGTGCAAATGATAAACTGACTGAGCTCCATCCTTCCCTTCGTTGATGACCACTCTGTAACCATTTTCCAACCCTCTTTGTTTGGCAACCTTTTTCACGGTTGTGAGCATGTGGCCCAACAATGGCTCATCACTGTCCTCTGCTTTAGAGAGCTGACTTATTGTCTTCTTTGGCAGCACAAGAAAATGCTCTGGAGCTTGCGGATTGATATCCTTGATTGCTATCACCTGTGTTGAGAAGACAAATAACAGAATTCTTAGTAATCAAAACACGTGCAAACACCAACGTTCACTTTGTCATAGGCTAGTAGAAGTTATAAAAGCTCAAGTACACAAAGTGGAAATAATTCCAGCACAATTAAGCAACGGGGATATTTTCCCTTGCCCTTTTAACACACAAGAAATCGTTAAACTCGCAGTCTAGATAGACAAAAGGGCGGGGCTGGCCTAAACCTGTATCCTTCTTTAAACAGTCACAGAGCAACTTATCAAAAGCTAAACTAATTATCACATTATTTGAAAATGTTCTATGTAACAGTAGTATATGAAACACGTTGAATGTGCTTTTCCTGTGTGGGCCTAAAGCTTCCACGCTGGAAGATTTCCTGCGAACACGCTCGTGCAAACTGCCAACCACTCAGCTGTTAATTGCGCGTTTTGAGGAAATGGACAAAATATTCTAAAAATAAAAGACTGGCATGTAACAAAGAGCATAATTGCTAACTAACTGCGGTGAGATTGGATTTTATCAAGTTTTAACAACACTGGGTAGAACGTTGGATGCATCGAACTTCGATCGACATTCTTAGGCTTCCATGCTTGTCGCATTCACCCAACTTAAACACGGCAAAATAAAGCAGTTCAATGGTTTTCACTCACCCTGTCATCTTCAAACAGAATTTCAGAAGGGATTTCCTTCCTAACAATCTTCCCAAAGATGGTGTCGCCACCAGGCATTGCACTTTGCGCTGCTTTCACCTCACCAGCCATCTTTTCCAATGCCCGTGACAGTGAGACGGAATTGCACAAGCGTGCCGCCCTTATTATTCGATGTCTCCTTGATCACATGTTATTTACAATGGATTTAATTGGTTTCTGGTTGAAATTGTTTGATATGATTGGCTGATTCTCCCCGTCTGGGACGTAAAGAGACAATAGTGAAACAACAGGGCAATCATGATACTCGTCACGTCCGAATACAATTTCATACAATTTCATTGGCATCGAAGGTAAGCGGTAATGGTTGGGACATTCTGATGGGACGATAGAATCTGGTTTTCTGGTTTTGATGGAACCAGAAACCAAAGCCTTAACTATTGTATTGTATGAGGACTAGATTCCTAGATAGGCAAAATTGCCTTTGTTGAAAAAAGTTGCATGCAACTTTTTGTTGGGGGGGGGGGGGGGGGGGGGGGGGGGCTCTGATCTCGGCCCCCTGAATCGGTCCTTAGCAGGGGCTGTAGTGGCCTGATCATAAGTCGAAAGAATGCCCGGAGGTTCAGGGGTGGGCAACCACTCAATCAAAGAGTTCAAGGACAACCTGACTTTTTCACCAAAGGTGTACGAAATTGTCTTGGGGGGAATTTTCCCTTGCTTAGGGGTAAGGAGGGGTATTAAATCTGTAATCGATCTTGTTTATGCTGGGTAAATGTCAACCCCTCCCAAAAAAACCAAGTCCACCTCTAGCGTATACGAAAACACAAGGATTCGGTGTGTGTTTCTCGAATCGACCTTCTAACAGATACTAATAAGCAAGGACGTCGAAGCACGTGGACGCCCCCTTTCCTCGCAAAATTTACCAATTTTTTGTTACTTTGCTGTTATCTTGCCCTTCTTGGGGGGGGGGGGGAAGGTATGAACAAAATTTAATTGTTGAATGAGAGCTTTTTCTTGCATCAAATATAATTTATTCCTGGTAAGAATAAAATAAAACATTAGTTTATTTTTTCAAAATTTTCAGACCCTCCCAATTAAGAAGGGGTGAGGGGGCTATTAGTTTGACTCTGAGTCACGTGGCAATTAGCCTGTGCTCCAGACCTCTAACTTTCAGGTTAGGGGTCTGGAACACAGGCTACGCGCCAATTCTCGCCGCTAAATAAATTTATGGAAGAAATATTTTTATCATAGTCGTAAGTCGTGTTTATCTTGTGCATAATCGTACGGTCAATTTATAAGTTGCGGCGAGCTTGCATCAAATCAACACAAAACTCAAGCTAAACAACTTCTGAAGGCATGCATAAGCTCTTTTTCTGTCATAAGAATATTCAGGCTCAGAATCATCCAATTTTTAAGCATGTTATTTATAAGGACATTTCTCAGCTCCCAAATTTCTGTCTCATTTTCAGCAGTTGGCTTTTGCGATTTTTATAACAGGGGATCGCAAAACTGACATATCTTGTTTTTCTGAAAGAGTGGTTTTCATTCGAGAGCAGGCAATGATACCTAAAGCCATATCAGATTTGAACAAAAATATTATTGCATTAAGAATTTTATTATGATGCTTTAAGGATTTTTTCAAGCTCTAAACGAAAACTGTGTCACAAAATTTCAACTGAGAGAAACAAGATAGGAGCGGAGAAGCGGAGTTTATGTGGCTCTAGTACCAATGGTACTGTGCAGCTAGCGCCAGGTCATAACATTACTGCCATATTTGTTGAATTAATTGTAATCCGAAGCTCATAGGCACAAGGACTGATATTGCACTTCTACCTGCCACAATTACACAAGAATCCCACGCAGATATGTCATTGTCCCAATAAAATCTCATAATAACAACTTTCAATCATGAATTACATAGGGATTTAGACAGCATAACACTTCTATCTGATTACATATAACGCATTTGCAATTAAATTAACTTAGGCATATGCCAAAATTGTAGCAGAACTTTCGAAAGACTCACAATGTCAATCACGTATGTTAACAGTATTGCATGGCCCGGTATATTGCAAAATATATCTGGAATTTGAATTCACTATGTTATGCTGCTTATATAATTGAAAAGAAAATTTTGCAAAATTAAAGTGCAATCTAGAAGTTATACCGTGAAAAAGGATTTTTTAATTAATAATTCTGAGACCTTTATCAAATCATTACTTGTTCTTTCAAAATTTCAGTGAAATTCTACATAGCCGAAACATCTAGAGGTAGAGTTTCTGCTCAAGGGCGGGGATGCTTCTGTTGCCTTGAGGTTGCTTGCAAAAGTTATAAACGGAGGAACAAAATAGGGAACAACATCATTCGTTAAATGTTTTTTTTTTCAAAGCATCCTTTCGTGTGAATTGTCCATTATTGCATATTTCATTCTTATTACCAATAAAGTTCCATGAAAGACCTTTTTAAATTGCATTCAGGTCTAAAACCTAAATAAACCGTTAGGCTTTTGAACGTAAAAAGGGGGAGATCTTTGGTCTTTTGTCGTAGGAAGGTCTAAAAGCATTCAAGGTATCCTATGATTAACAAACTTTATTTGACAATTATCTTTAAGCCAAGCAAAGCAAATCAAATTAGATCTTATGCATTCTTGTTCATTGTTGAATATCGCATAGTGAATATCAACTGAATGAATCTTCTTTTTCGAATTAACAGTCAATAGCCAAAAATAGTAAAGCAGTCGCTTTTGTCACATATCAAGCGTTCGGGTTGTAGGGCTTACTGGTACAATAGGAAAGTCCCTTTTGGGGTATTATGTATATATTTGAAAATCTTATCTACACAGAATCGATCTGTTTAAGAAACCAAAAGACGTATGCTAGTGTTACGAGTGCCAGTGTGCCATGGGAGAGGGTAATGGTATTTCCAGAGCTTGGATTGGTTGATAACCTGGGTGAAGGTGGCGATGGATTTGGCTTCACGACTGTCTCACTGTTTTTTATCAACCAGTTGTATCCATCTGTTTTCCCTTGCCTTTTCAACTCTGCTCCTAAAATCTTTCTGCTGTTGGCATTGAAATCGTTTAGCCATTTGATCTGTCAATAAAAAACCTAAAAATGTTTTCCTCTTCAATACCATCATCTTTTGCAAGAAACTCTCCTCTAAGCAGGGTTTTGAATTTTTAGCAACAACAATTGTAGAAAAGTGGTTTCAGTAGGCCAAATATAAACATTTTTACAAAAAGACGTACTGCATTCCTTCTCTTCTGCATAAACGTAACACATCATGATTTGTGATTGTGTTACGTAGCTATTACTACTGTACTAGTGTCTAAAAAATCTCATAAAAGTTGATTCTAGGCTGTTAAATTACAAGTCCTAAACAAACAGCTAAAGATGCCTTTGCACATCTTTATAAAAAGGTTGGTACCGTTTTAGATGGTACCATTAAGCAATAAGAAAAATAAAAAAATTTAGATAGCTGTATTCTCTAGTAATTATCTCTTATACTATATCAGATGTTTAAAAAGACTGAAACAGAAAGAAATTTTACCTCAGCTTCATTCAACATGCTTGCATCGATAAGTTCTTTTTGGAAGGGAACCTGAATGGATGAAAGTACATATTCAAATCCAGCAAGACCGATAGAAAGATATATGATTTCATAGTTTTTTTACTTTCTGACGCTGAATAAAGCATGTTAATTTTTCGAGAACCATTACATGTTTGTTGGTTTTCACAATTCAAAGAAAGAAGAAATACTAAATACCAAAACTTATAATTTTTTGACAGGATACATTAAATAGGGTTATTAGGTCTATTTTAGGGAAGAGAAGATCCCTAAAATGTTCTGTACATGTTCTGTATGAAGAGAAGATCCCTAAAAACAAACTAAAGTTGTCAAACACTTTCCAAAAACTAAAAAAATTGCAAAATTGAGTCAGAAAACAGGGTTCTGATAAGCTAATCTGTTGACATAGAAATTTTAATTTAGGCAACAGGGACAGGGGAAATCATTTGCATTGGATGACCATTTGCATCGTGTGTTTGAAAGCTTGTATCTACCCAACATACCTAATCAAAATACATAAAAAGCTTATCTTTGAACAAGGAAACTATAAACAGGAAGAAAGTAAACGGAATGCTTTGGGCCTTTCTAAGCCAAAAAGATAGCTTTATAGATTTGGAACCAACAGGAACAAATAACTAGACAAATAGGGCAGAAACATAAGTACATATTTGAACCTTTTTCAAATCTTAACATCAAGCTGAGAAAGTTTAACATGGTTGATATTCACAGGTAAGTGATGTTCTCATTGTCGAAAAAAACTTACGAAGGTGATGGGCTCAAATCCAAGAAACTGTTTGCCTTCAAACTGATGCTGGAGCAAAAGAGAAAAAATATCAGCTAGCTAATTTATCTTTGAAATATGTTAAACGTTAAAAGTGTTAGTAAGTTTTCGTTTGCAATACAAAATGGAAGGCGTATACAGAACAGGAATGCGCTTTTCAGGAAGCAATTATATAAAGACATGATCAAACAAAAGATCAAGTATTTTTTTAACAAGTTTACAAATCTAGCAGTTTAAGGTCCGCATTTATGTCATTTCCAACTCAGTACAGATGACAAGCAGGCAATCCAAAGTGTTGAAGAGACGACAGAGTAGAGCCTCCACGTAATAAACGAAGGGCGATATTGAAAAGGAGGTTATTATTTAATGGCGGTCTCACTGTATTTAAGACTAACCTTTGTGGTTGCATTTATAGTCAATAGGGCTGTTTCCAATCGAATACCAAATTTTCCAGTTTCATAGTAACCAGGCTCTTCATGAAAAGACAAATCACATTCAAAATGAATCAGCAAGTCATGTAGGATATTGACTAATGAAGTCAAGGAACCATGAGCGAACAATAATGTCGTCTACCTATCTATGACCAACTTATGGGCCTTATGAATGACATTGTACGCAGTAATGTCAAGTTACTCGTGCTGAATAAGAAACACTTTACACTAGGAGGGCTCAGGACAATAAAGGCTCTAATGTGTAAATGCAATTAAGCATGGGTATTAGCCTAAGATGGCCCATACCAGTTTGAAGCTTTTGATGGTAGTTTTCTATGGACAACTGCACCCAGAAACTTACCGTCAGATTGTACCATTCCAGCATAAAGTGGTTTCTCAGATGGATAGAACTTTCCAGAGCCGATCGCTTGGGGGCCTGTTGGAACAAAAACAGGCAATTAGAGAGCAGTAGAAACGAACAAAAAAGGATAATGGCCTATTTGCAATATCGAAAAATATTAAAAATCAAAATCATTAATCTGGAAAAAATCTAGTAAATTATTTCTAGTTGTTTCTCTACTGACGTAAGCAAAACGGTTCCAAATCAGAATATTCAATCATTAATAAAACGTCTCCACTAAATACATTTTTGTAGAAAATCCTCGAATTAGAGAAATGAACCACAACTGATTGTAAAAGATGGTACAAAATTTCCATTCTTATCTCGTTTCCAATTTTCGTAGGCGATAGAGCAATATCAAGGGGTATGTTAAGCTTCCGGATCTCGTCTGTCTCGACTTTAATGCAACAAAGACATTTTCTCCCTTATAATTTGTGGAATCAGCAGGTTGCTTCCTCTAATTATCACTAAAAATTTTCCGCAAACATTACGAAGCAGTATCAGAGTAGATTCTATACTCTGAGTAATGTCATGATTTGCAATCTTATCAAATCGAATTAAACTACACTTTGGGCATAATAGATGGTAACATAGATTCGCTTATATCTGATCGTATTCACCCAAAATTCGGAGACTTCCTTTACCTACCACAATCTAAGGTACAACGTTTCAAAAATACATTTAGCTGGGATATCAAAGCTAAAATACGTGGCTCAAACCTTCATGGACACTTAAATAATGTCCAATTCCGTGACCAGTGCCATGGTTGTAGTTAAGACCGCTCGCCCATAACGAAGATCTCGCTAGTGCATCAATGTGCCTACCTGATAATACAGTAAACACCAAGAAAATATGCTATACAGTTTCATTAGTATAAGCAAATAGAATCACAAAAGGCTTATGCGAAAAAGGTTGCTACAAGTGTAATCAAGTGCTATAAACGCTATAGTGTTAAAAAAGAAACGTAGCTAAACGTTATATGGGAGAAAGACCATTCTTGACTACACAATTATTCAAACGTTCTTCGGTCACAAACTCAAAACTACGGGTAACCCTGAGCTTCTTTCTATCTCTACATTAGTATTTGAAATATTACTTGCAATCAGACAATATTTCATTAATAAAAACTATATTTTCACTGCGTCTGCAGCACATATAAGGTCTATATATGATTATATATTTCTCAGTAAATCAATATAAACAAGAATTACTCTTGCTTAAGAAGATATTCACAAAGATACTACATCAACTTAAACAAAACAAAACAAAACAAAACATAAGTACTTATCATATCATAATTATCATAATTACAATATCTTGTCTTTTTATGCTTTTGTATATCCCAACATAATTCATATCAAGAGCGTAAATTTTAATTCTATAAAAAGTCTTATCAAGAATTCATAGCCTAATGTAGTGTGTATAAAATGTATATCTAAGACGCATACAACATTAGTTAAATTCAATTCTATGTTTGCAACTGCTATAATCATATGTCAGCTATTTTACAGCAAGTGAAAATGTATCGTATGAGGCTATTTGATGAATATGAAAGCTCAAAAACTAAACTCACGCACCATAAATACCAGGTGGAAAGACAATCATAGCTAGTCTAATGGAACCTTGCAAAACCCGCGTGTATGCATCCTGAAAACAAAACCAATACGACAAATTAAATAAGCCACAAAAAGGGACTCTGGAAAAACGTCATTAGCCCGATTCTACGAGTCTTGTTATGATAATTTGATCAATAAATAATAGACAGGATCAAGTTAAAACGACAAGAAGCAATCTAATGATCAATTAAACCAGATGTAGCTTGGAAAACAAAAATTTCGAAATTAACTGACATCTCGCTTCAGCAGAAGGGCATCACCAGCAAAAATATAATAACAAATAATTAATCACAAATGGAAGATGATCTATTAAGTTAAAAAATGGTAAGAGCGATTAATAGGAACAATCATAATTTGCAGGAATAATCAGTATTTTCCTTGCAAAGTTTCCTCTTTAATTCAAAATTCAAAACTTGGTAGGCAGGTCGTAAATAGCGTCGGATTCGGGCTACGGGTAGCTGCAAACGCCGTGGGTGTGATCAAAATAGGCTGCGAGATGAATACTCTGGTTTTTGTTCATAACCTGCATAAATGTTTTAAGGTGCAAATGAGAATGAGAAGCATGGCCTTTTAAATATGGGTGCAGCTGCAAATGAGTGCAAGCTTTTCTACCTGCTCTGAAAGCATTCAACATTACATATAAGGTTTCCGGCAAGAGATTTCAGCTTGAAAAACATCTGGCTCTTATACCGATGTGCATGTAATGATGCCCATCAGAGGATATCATCCTCCAAAAGGTTTACGTAGAAGGGATACATTTGCACCATAGCTAGTGAAATTAAGGCATTTAATACATGCGTTGTTGCAATAGAGTAGTACATTGTTTCACTGGACGATATTTAGGGTTGTTGAAAACAAGACAGTCATAAGTTAGTCGATGACTCTGATTCAATGCAAACATTATCCTTGGTTAAGAAATCGTAACAGATAGTAAAAAGAAGATGCAAAGGTATTAAAATTTTCTAACTATTTCTAAGTAAATTCGCTCTACCTTTTCAAAAGCAGTAGGTGTTCCAAAATGAACGGTTCTTGTAATATCAGTTGTTCCTTCACTGATGAAAATGAAAAAAGATTTATGAATCTCATAATCAAATACTGAGTCTCATGATCAAATATTTGATAGTTATTAGGTTGAAAAGGACTGTAATGTACTGTTAAAAGAATATCATAATGAAATACATTAACATGCCAAACTTGCAAATAACAACTTTTTAGAGTAATTATCATCTCTATCATTCTTAATTTTGACAAAAATGAAAGAAGATAGGTGAAAGAAAAAACAAGGTAAAAACATACGGAAATTGGCACCCAGAGTCGACGAGATACAATCCTTTGTCGGTAATGTTTAATGAAGTTTCACTGCTTGGCCTAACAGGAGAGAGAAAATTTTCAGCTGAAGAAACATTGAGATAGAAATGCCGGAATGGAGCCTGAAACACGAAAGACTTTGCCTGAGTAGGAAGGCTGCAGCCCTTCCAGTCCTATGTCTCCTTGAACTTGTTGTTTATTTGCCTCATCTAATCTTGTAGCACAGAGCCAAAAGTTGTCCCTGGTCTTGCTAAAAACTGTTCCGTGTTAGAATATTAGTGGTAGAACATTTTGAAATAGTTTTAGATTATGTCGAAATCTTGGTCACCTGAATTTTATCATAATTCGATTAATGGATGTTAGTTTGCACATTTTACATACCTTGCTGCTGTCCTCAATTCGTTTACTGCTCCATACAATTCTTAATTGACTTACTATATGATGTCCCAAAGTCATATGAGATCAGTGACTTACTATATGATGTCCCAAAGTCATATGAGATCAATGACTTACTATATGATGTCCCAAAGTCATATGAGATCAGTGACTTACTATATGATGTCCCAAAGTCCTACTGTATCAGTTAATTTGGCGAGAATTAGTTAATATGCATAAAACCAATGCCTTTTTTAAACACAGTTTTTCAGATCTTTCAAAGTTGCTTCAAAGTAGCTTTAACAAAAATTAAAAATGGATTTGAGAAAATCAAACATTTTGAAACATACTTAAACTTTTTTTCTCACACTTGTGTGCTTGCCTTTTTGATTGGCCTATTTCGATACTCTGAAGACCGTCAGAAGAGAACCTTAAGTATGTTTTGAAATGTTTGCTTTTTTCAGAGCCAGTTTTAAAGATTCTGTTGCCTTTCGTTTTCTGTTTATTGTATTACCGTTATCTTTTTGGCTTTTCATTTTAATAGAACCAGTAAATACTAATATTTGCTTGCTTCATATTCAGTTTAAGCATCCTGAAAGGGTTTAGTTTGTCAAAAAATTGGCTTTTAGGGAAGCAAAATGTCATTTGAAGAGGAACAGGCAAACATACCCTCAGCTCTTATAAAAAAAATATTGTCTGTCTGTTTGTCTGTCATACCTTGTTCAAAAAGTATTCCTGCAGTTCTGTAGCAAATAGGTAAAGGCATTTGCGAGACGCGGAATCGCTGATCACTCAATCAATCAATTAATCATCCAGAAGGTAATACACATTACCGTTTAATTAACAGTGGACTTTCAGGAAGCAATAACTGGTCAACTTACCGGTAATGTATGACAGCACCATTCCTACCAAATGCGGAAATGGTCTCGAAACTCAAATCTTTGAAATCCTTTTGCTTGCTAGAAGAGAAAAGCCATGTTTTGTGATTAATGCCAGAATGGGGAACTACTAAATGGAACTTTTTCTACATCCAAAATTCTAAGAAAGATTAATACCGAGTAATTTTTACGAGATCTACAGCTTCCAAAATATTTTCTCGTGCGAAACATGCATAGGGCCAGCAAATAAAATTATTGATGGTTGAAAATCTTGTTCTGTTGCGTTCTAGAACTCTGAAAACCAACATCAAAGGCTGGTAACTTTTTGTCATATCTTCTAAGCAATAACTGCCTTTTCAAAAAGAAAGAATATATGCACATTTTTAAATTTTCTGAAACTCAGGTGATCGGTTTTCAGTCAAGTATGAGGTTAAAAATACATTCCTTGGTGATATATATGATAATTGTATAGTAAGGCTGGATTTTATGTACCCTTTTAATTCCTTGAGTTTGGCGGCAGCAGCGACTTCGTCTATATTTTTTACACCAGCTTTGATCTGTTCAAAGAATGATACAAAAATAATTATACTTAAACTAACAAGGACAAAAAATAGTAAGAATTTTATCTGAATTGGGCTCCCGGAATACCCAGAATGCCATTTCTACTAATCTTTGTATTTTTGTGCAAAAGAACGATCTTCTGAATAGAGACCAGTGCAATAGCTTGATTCAAATGACTTCTATTTAGAGAGAGGACTGCACAATAATAAGCAATATAATATATTCTAGCAGCAAATATGACCGATGCACAGAAATATTGCATCACATATCCTAATATTACAGTAACATTATGCGGAAAGTATTCCAAGGGACTAAAACTTTAACTCGTAATGGTGAGAAGATCGTAACAGACGGAGTTCGTAATAGAGGGATTCCACGGTACTTCCAACAGAGGGTAATTCTCCTCCAACTAGAAGGTACGGAGTAAAGGTACGGAGTTAGTCTCCTCCACGGTACTAAGATGCTTACTGTCTAGATTTATAAAAACAGTATACAGTATATTTGTACAGATTTGCTTTAGGTGTTGATGAGGTTTTTCGAGGGGTTTTCGGGAACAAGGGAACATGGCAACAAATGGTACAGAAACACGGAAACAACTTAAATTTTTCACTGGGGACGTGAGAACTTAATACTAGATAAAGGGGAAAAGGAAACATTTTTTTCATTTTCCAGTGAGAACACGGGAACGTTGGGTGTTTTCGATGGCAACACGGGAACAAGTACCCCCCTCCAGAAGATCCTGATTGTGAAAATCTTGAATAAAATAATATATTACCTCCTTTTCAAGCCAGGCAAAAAATTCGACTATTGCAACACCATCCTTGGTCTATCAAAAGAAAGTATAAAGGAGAGTAGAAAATTTCTATTCAAAATTGCATTTAAAAAAAAGATATGAAGCCTGGGAAAAAGAGACAATATTTGATAAGCAGTATTCACGTACCAAAAGTAGGATTTCTCTCGACAACAGAGGTAACTAGCACAACGCATTCTGTAAAGAACACCTTTTAACGTAAAACTGTCTGATGGTTATGTATGGGTAAATATGCAGCAGGTATTAAGCTATGGGGTAACCAGGGGCGCCTACACCGGGGGGGCTGGAGGGGCAGCTGCCCCTCCTGCCCTCTTCGAAGAGAGGCAGAGGGGGCAAGAAGTGCCCTGAAATGTAAGAAAATATTACAGAATCTTATTGATTATTGATGATCACTTTGACCGCACTCGTTATGTTAATTTCTATTAGGAAATATTAGAAAAATGATAAAACCAGCACAAAAACACAAAGGTTGAAAAGGCTGCCTGTAGCAAGGTGGGTAAAAAGAGGGAGAGCGGCAAAGATAATAGTAGATAAACAAGAGACCTGTTCCCTGAAAAGTACTCCAGAAACCAAAGATGGATAAAACAGTATTTGCTATCATTGATGGTAGAAAAACTAAGCTGTATGGTCGTCACATATGCATGTTAACATTTTGTTATGTTACTCCAACCTCCTTCCTTAAATAGGAATACTCGATCATGTTAGTAGAAAAATTCTACGATTTGCCCTCAGCACCAACACTGCCCCTCCTGCCCTAATCTTGTGCAGGCGTCCCTGGGGGTAACAATACCATCCAAATGCAGAAGATTTAACAGGGTAGGTGTAACGATCATAGTGGTTTGTATTATGCAGGACAAGCAACATACGTTTGCAGTTTTCATTCCATTGATCTCGATGCTGTTTTTCTGTGCCTTCATCAGCTGAACCGGAGAATAGTCCAGCATTATCTGCGTCTAGAAACGAAGGAAAATCCTTTAAAAAATGCAATTTTTTCTATTTTTCTCAAGTAATGATAAATAATTGATTAAATAGCAACTTAAAACCAAACCATTATACAAAATAAAGCGTGTACACCTTTGCCTATAGGTCATCAAGATCTCTGAAACAGATCGGTTAACAGAAAACTTTGGTGGTCAATTGAGTCATAAAATCTGGAAATTCACCAAAATATCCGACTTGATTTTCGCAATAGATTTTCTAGTTTGATAAGGCTATTACTCATCCTCAGAAATAAAATCAACCCACTTTTCTTAGCAGTCACGTGGCTTTACGACCGCCTCCCTTATTTCTACGTCTTCTTCTAACAACTGGACAATTTTGACCTCCAGATACACAGACCCCATGGCATCATTGAACAAAAAATTGCCCTCCAACCTATTTATCATTGTAGATATTATACATTCAAAGAGAAATAAATATTTTTCTTGAATTTTTTTTCACAAGAAATTATCTTTTTGTTGGTTGCTCTGATCCCATTGCAAAGCAAAGCATTTTCAATAGTCGATATCCTAGGCTGGAACAGCTTGCTCCCTTTTGTCAGAGAAATAATGAACTAGCAGAGGGTTAAGGAAACAATAGACTGCTCCTACAAGGTGAGAAACGCAGGCAGAGAGATCAAACAAAATACTTACATCATTAATTCCCAATTGCAACGAGTAACTGGTATCTGGTGCAATCTAAAATATGGAAAGTAATGCAAAAATTCGCTTCTAATTGTAAACAAAATATGCAACAAAACTTCGAAAAAATTTCTCTGTCTTCCAAAGGACTCATAATAAAACAGATTTCTTAACCCTAGAGAGAAGAAAAAAATAAGTTTTAATTGACCAAACACTAGAAAGCTAGAGCAATTTGAAAGGAAGTGAAAAATACTCGCTAAAGCAACATGCTCCTAATAACTCCTAATAAATTCAAGAAGAGAGAAATACATGCATTATTACACATCAAAGAACAATGAAAACACAACGCAATAAACCAAAGAAAACTCACCCAAAGTTTATGCATTGGATTAGAAAGAATTTTATCAAGATCAAATCGGACTGATGTGTAATTGAATATTTGAACGCAGTATGCTTTATTTGTGTTATCAGGACAAAGATGCGATTGCACTGCAGATGTTAGTTTGTCTTTATCGACGTACAATCTGTAATAAGAAAAAAACAAAAATATAGGGGACTTCTCGTTATAACACATAACTAGACAAACTAGACAAACATAACTAGACAAACATAACTAGAAAAATATAGGGGACAGCTAATTGTTGCTCTAAAGCAATTTTGTTCCATGATTTTTAAGACACTATTGAAAGATCTTTGAGGTACCTGGGGGAACATCGGAATTCAGAGATAGTCTATTTATAAGTCAATTAAAAATAAAGGTTATTTCAACAATATTCGTCATTTATTGCTGTAGGGTCTATCAAGCTTAAAGTATAGAAAATTGAAAAGTTTAATATCTTGAGGCACACTCCTCTATGACACAAAGAATTCCACGAGGCTAGAAGGTCTCAAGAAAATGAAAAAACCACTTTCGTGTTAACAGAAGATGTTCATTTTTACGTTAGAACTCCATTGGTAACATTTTTAAAAGGCAAGCGACCCTGATTGGGCAACCTCAACAGTCATGTGCTCAAGTTTCTATTTGGCCTATTTCGATCCAAAACTGGGTAAATATATTTCCTAGCGTAGAGTTCTCGATCTATGTCCTGACGTTTTATGCTCTAAGTGTGTCAGACGAAAGGCTTAAGTATACTCAAATGTTTGCTTTCTTTCAAAGCCATTTTTAAAACCCACACTGCATACAATTTACCCGATGATCAAAATAACCATGAAATTACACGTCACAACTTGAATAGGGCTTGATCGAAAAAAGCAAGGCGAATTTCTCCATGTACCCATCTAACGAACTTTGATTTCTTAAATCAGTTTGCTTCAGTTATTACAAAATTACTAAATTAGTTTGAAGTTGCTGCATGAAAAAGAAAAAAGTTAAACTACAATGTATATATACACAAGGACTTACTTTATTTCATCTTTGGTCAGTATAACGTAAGCAAAGAAAAACGGATTGTACGGAATATCTTGGCCTCTCAAGCAAAGCATCCCTGATGAAAAAAACAAGAACAAAATTAATTGTAAATTAATAGTAAAAAAATGTGCAACGCATTGGTCAACATTTTTCGAAAGAAAAAATATTTGAAAAAGGCGTTTATCATAGTATTGTTTTGAGTTTCAAAAGTGAATGCAATAGTGTGGGGCAGTCGCTTATTCTGCAGCACATTGCAGCAAAGATAAGATAGCATTGGAAGGTAGCCGGTTGAACATTTCTTAAAAATATTTCGTTGCATTTGGGATTTGCAAATAAATGCTGTTATACAATCATCTAAAATTATAAATATGGTCCAAAAGACAATTTAAAAAAAAGTAGTGTTTGTAATAGAACCCTGTTTCATCAAGTGAGAGATATTTTGTGAAAATAACCCTGTCCCCGAGACTGAAACATCTCTCAAAAACCTGTGCATTACTTGTTACAAAGCTGTTACAAATGCATTATTGAATTGATACCAGAACAGCAAAAAAATTACACTGTTTAACATTTGACAAAAAATAATCCTGATTCGGATTGACCTTGGACTTTTGAGATTTGAAATTTCAAAGACAATAAAATGTTTTCTGATGCAGTAATCAATTTGCCATAGAACCCAAAGCCTCACAATCGATTTATGCAGTGTACACCCTATCTAGTTTTCATTTCATCAAGGTTTAGAACAAAAGTAAAATGCAATCAGATTATGATAAACATGGAATATACATGCGATGTCATCCAGCAGGGACAAGACAATAACAGTGGCCTTTCTTTCTGCTATGTTTTCTCTGATTCGACGAACCTTGTTTTGCCATGTTTCACCTGAGAGAAAAAGTAGCGATTTTGAAAAAATTAAGTCATTGTATAAACCAAAATGCTTTGAGGAAGAAAAGTCATATAAAAATAAAATCTGCCAGCCATTATTTGGAAAGTTGACAAAGTTGATAAAAGTTCGATAATGGCAATGATTATCACAATGACAGGCGGTGATCTCATTGATTAGTATAACAATGATAATATATTGAGCACTTACCAGTATATTTGACATCAAGCACCGTCAGTTTGGTTTTGGGTGGTACAGGTTTATCCGTCCAAATCTCATCAACAAGGTTACTCTGTACAGCTTTAAGTTGTATTCCTGATCTCATTAAAATCTGGAGAAAGTATTTAAATAAAATATCATGATGCATACATTTGAAAGTTCAAGTTTAATGAGAGAATACTGGACAGTAGCAAACGATGCTATCAAAAATAATTCTATTTTCTAGAATCGTTTTTACCTTGCTCCTTGATTGCCAACTTGCTGTAAAAAGTAAGAAATGTTTCAGTTAAGAGTAGCAAAAAGTACCTGCTTTGATTTATAAGAAAAAAAGAAAGCAAAACGTTTACAACCAGGAGATATAATGTCTTAGGAGTAAATGGACTAACGTATCAATAAAACATGCATGGCTCCGTACTCAATCTGAATTTAACATTTTTAATTCTTCTCGGAAAACCTCAGCGATTTGTCCCAGATTGCACTGTGCATTTATAGGCACGATTTTATCTTTCTAATCCTGTAATACATAAACCTTGGAATTGAACACTTTCTTAGAAACAATTATATCCAGAAGTTGCTTTGTGAATAGTTCAAAAACATTGTTTCAGAAGATCTTGGCCCCTGAACTCAATTTTTAATCAAAAAACAAAATTTCAAAAAAATTCTGTTAACTGCTTTTATGTTTGTCATTTTTACCGTGTAGAATTGGCAAAAGCAGTTAAAAAATTGTGTAAACCACTTTTTAATATGCAGAAAAATCGTGTTTTGGACCTTCGCGTCGTCATTATTAGTCTAAGCCACAAAAATAGCCGCCATTTTAGATGGAAAAGTTTTTTTATAGAGTTCCATAATAGCTTAACTTCAGTGACTTCCTCTCAAATTAACTTCTGTTTTGCAGACATAAGAAAATATGATCATGATACATGCATCTTGTGAGTATAACTGAGTAAGACTGACATATGCAAATTGTACACTCTAATAGAACATCCCTGTATATCCTAAACAGAGAGTTGACTGGCCTGCATTTTCTTCTCAAGCATTTCTAAAAAAACCTATTTGATAGGTTTATGCTTAGAAGTTGGCATACACCATTTGTCCTTTGGTCAGTATTTAGAAACAAACAAATGAGTAGTCGTTGTTCAAAAACGAATCAATGTATACGGTTTATTCAAACAAAAAAAGAAACGAGTAATAATTTTAGTTTACTACAAGGATAAAGTTGCTTACAGATGGCAATAAGTCGTGGATCTATCCCAACCACATGCCCAGCTCCAAGTTCCTAAAACAGACGGAAGTTAAATACAAAATCGAGACAAGTTTAGATAATAAGATGATTTAAAAGCGTTGATAGTTTTCTTGCAAATAGCGAACATAAAACCATTTTATAACTGAAGCAACAACATTTTTGGTATTAAAAAGAAATTTTGAGAATTTGCGTTGCCCTTCACCCTGTGGTTCGTTAGAAAATACTTACAGATTTTCATTTTAATTAGTCATTAAAGCCTGGTTCACACCAGTGAGATATTTGCACTGAGTGAGATGAATCCGTCAATTTCAAACGAAATCTTTTCATTTGGATCATTTGTTTAACGTCAAAGTAATCTTAATCAGGGAAAGAAAAACTTGTGTGGCAGCTCTTGCTCAAATTATGGTTCAATGATCGCAAATACCAGTGATCGTAAAAAAATTGAGAAAAATCGCAGCACCGGGAGTTTTAGAGCTTTAATGAAGCCCATTGCAAGTCCCATTGCTAGTCCCATTGCAAGAGACGCTTCTTATCTTACAATCAGAGCTTCTTTCAAACTTTAGTAGTCCTTGGTTTTACCCAAGGATACCACTTTGGGATATAGTTCCCAGTTATATTTCTAGAACAGTGGCATCTAGAAGCAAATCATTTCTTGGAATCATGTACACCTTCGATGGATATTTTGTGTTTTATCTCCCAATTCTTAGAAATCATTTGTATTGCTGCAAACTCGTATGTCTGTTGCAAGAGTAGATTGACCCTTGAGTAGTTGCTAGATAAAAATGGTAATAGAAAGCAATTAATACAAAATAGTGTGGCAACAGGAGTGTTAATGCGTTAATATAGAAAATGATAATATGATACTGTAAAAAAATGCAGGGTATATCTTGATGAGAAAAATGCAGGTGTTCACACCAATGAGACCGTTGATCTTTCAGCTCACTGAAAGATCCATCTGGTGTGAACCATGCTTAAAACAAAAATTAGAAGGTTGTGGTATGCAAATGGAAAAACGTGAAAGATGGTGACATGACGTGAAAATATGCGGTAAAAGGTCCTCACTTGTGACAGCCAAGTGTTTTCGGAAGGAACTTTTGGTTGGCCTATAAAAGATTTGGGGCAAAAAAGAATCATTGTCAGCAAAAAAATAAAGGACCAATGAATCAAATAGAGAATCATGACAAGTTAATACATTAATTAAATACTTTGTAAAAATGTTATACGTATCTTCATTAAAGATGCAGATTTGATGAACGAATAGGTTGAGTTGAATATGACATCAGTTAAATTTAAGAGATTCAAAGACTACTTATGGTCGCTTTTGGCAAATATATATCTTAGCTTTGTACAATAAATTTTTTTGTATAATAAAATCAAAAAGATATTTAGATGCTTTTAGCAGTCAAATATAATGAACTTTTAGGAATGTATAGTAAGCAAATTTGCGCAGACTAGTTTTCTGCCTCAAAACTTCATAATAAAGTATGATTGTTGATAAACCGTTAATGAAAGATTCAGTTTATCCCCCAACCTAGCAAAAATGTTGCTTGATGGATTTATTAACACTGTGGTGCTGTTGGTCTATGGAAAACGACAATTTAAAACAAATTCGTCTATGGAAAACGACAATTTAAAACAGCGGGTGTAAAGCAAAGCATGCAATGCATTAGTACAATTTCTGGAATTTTAATGACGATTAAACAAAACGTGCTTTTAATATAATATAAAAGAGGAACTATTTTGTGTTTCGCGATGAAAACTTAAGTAATTGTAACTTGATTTTCCTTACAACTATTACTGCATTAAAAACATTTATTGAAATATATTTGATATCATTATTCCAACAATATCGCAATCACAAACAAATCTTTCTGCAAAATGATAGCGAGATTCGTTCAACAGACCAAATAGAAGGGGTCCTTACCACTTTTCTGGAGGATCCAGTTACAATCCAACTGCATTTCTCCTTGCTCAAAATATCTTCCATCGGTCCACAATGCCGCCTTTTTCATTGTAACAATTGCAGTCCCTGCAAAAGTAACCATATTTTTGGATGAAATATCCAGCATCTTGAAAAAATGATAAAAATAAGCCAACTTGCGGATTTCCGTACAATCTAAGGAAATTTCTAAATAGCAAAAAACAACCTCTATAGAAAATGTAATTGAAGAGTTATTCATCATAGTGTTAAAACCCATCAATGATGACTTGATCTGCTACTGTCTCTGTTCATTCGATTGCTAACAAGAGTTATATAAAAACTTCAGAGAACTCAAAATTAGTGGTAGTAAAGAAGTATTTTATCCTAAAGTCCACCAAAACGATGACCTATACAAAGTTGCATTTTGTACAGTATTGTACTGTATTTGTACTGTATTATATTGTATTGTGCTGTATTGTGCTGCGTTGTTCTGCGTTGTTCTGCATTGTGTATTTATAGTGTATTATGCAAAGTTGTGGAATATTTGTAATGTTGGGTATGGAGGCAACTTGATAACGTTATACTTTTTGCCTCCATCTCAACAATGATCAACTCGAGTCTTGTAGTTGTTTTTATTGTTATAAAGAAAAAAAGTCCACCAATCATTATATTTGCACAAGAAACATTACATTTATTTCTAAAATCAAATCTACTAATAATTGAAAAAACCTCAAGGCTTCTCAGGCCTTAAGATCTAGAATTCTCTTCCTGATAAAACAAAAACATACATAACAGTACACGATTCTAAAATGCTAGTCAAGAACTGGTTTTGTGAAGATAAATGTGCTTGTTTGGCCTACAACCAAGAGTTTTTAATGATGCAATCGCAATTATTGGAACATTTTGTTATTTGAGACCTTTTATCGAGATATCATTTTCAATGATTATTGTCAGATGTAGCAAAGTTGTTTTGGTACGTACGACGTTTTTACCGAGACTCACAAGAAAATGAAATTTTGCAAAAAAGTACCAAGTTTGCACATACAGTTTTTGAACGACAGCTTTGAAACTTTGCATGCCCCTAACCAAGTTCACTTTTGCTATCAAATACATAAACAGTATCGAAATTACGCATTTTTTACAAATCAAAATTTGTGAAAAGGGACCTATGATTGTGGACCCAATTGCTACATTTCCTATATTCTGACATGCAGTGCCATGTCCACCTACAAACGTGTTCTAAATGGTTAAAAATAAAAGTTAATTGACCCATTTCAGTAAGAGCATTTAAAAAAAAAATGTTACTTCATATAATTACCGGCAGAACCAGAAAATCCAGACATATATTGTCTCCTCTTGGCTTGTGGGGCGACGTATTCAGACTAGAAAAGTGTAGTGGTAAAAAGGTAACAAAAACAAGTTCGTGAACAAGTAAACTCTGATGGCAAATATCAGAAAATGTTAAAAGTTAAGTTGTTATAAGAAGATACTAGAAATTCAGGGAGAAAGGAATTTTAAATAGATTAGTTTCATGAATTTTGCACTTTTATTCTCTTTAATTTGGATTTTCACTAAAATCAAAATTAAATGCAACACGGGACCTGATTTTCAGAATTATGAAGAATTATGAAAATTGACACTGATTTAAGTTTGACCGTAAAAATAACGAAAATGCCTATTATTTACATTAGAAATGCATGTCTTTTTTAAAATTACGTTCACCGAGTCTTTGTTCGCCACGTTGCTTCATGCATAATGAAAGCTCACAGCCCACGATAGCTGTGAAATTGGTAAGAATCATTAATCCTCTGAAATAACTGGAAAAGTCCACTACTCTATGGCAACTTCAACTTCAGTTAAGGAAAAACATACACCGATGAATTGAAGAGTTTGTTATTCTTGTACCTGATGTTCATCGACTGGCGGTATAATGTATGCATTGATCCCATTTTGCGCAAACAAGGCCCTGAGGTTGCGAAGTCTCTGCGTGGTATTAGTTGCGGTGCTCGGCAAAGGACCCTGGAATGAGGAACAGTTAACAAAAAACTTCATTTATCTAACAGCATTGAAAATAGAGAAGAGATTGATAAAGGTGGTGACAAGTCGTCATCCCTCTTTAAAAGTCTTTCGGGGCCATCACTAGCCCAGGCTTAATACTTAAAAACCTGCATTTAGAGAATAATTATTGGGCAAGCTGGTCGTCTTTATTTAGATGTTTGGGAATCTGCCTACATCAATAAAGCAGATCCTGACAAAGAAAGAGTTCGTTTTCTATCTAGGACTTCAACCAGATGAGGGGCTTGCGATTGGTCAAAATTAAAGAACCAATAAAATGCGTTGATCTTCCTCTCATATTACTATCGACCCATATCTGGATATAAATCCTGCTTACTTCAAGTCATTATCCCACGCTCAAACTCTGAGATGAGGCGGATGACAAATACTTAAAAATGCCGTGATCCCCTCCTTCAAAATGCTATGTTTCCTTTCGTTGCTACCTTCGAAATTAAAGGTAGCAAGGGCTTATTTGAAGAAATGCAGAATACGCACTTAGATTACAAATTAGATGTCCTTATCTAAGAAATTGGACCTAAAATGATGGACACGCTAGCAATTTATGCGCATATTCCCGCAATATTTGATACCATAATAAACCACAGTCTATTTACTTTGGTAAAATCAGTCCATTATTACTAAAAACTACATCGAATCTAAAGAAAAACGACCACTGACAGCTAGTCTTACGACATTTTATTTACAACATGAAATTTCGAAACTTGTTTACAAATACAGAGGCCAGAAACCACTGTGGTCACACGACTGGCTCCTCCGCAGAGTCTTCCCAGTCATTCTCGTGCAAAGAAATACTGTATGGGTCAGTGATCTCACAGTCTTCATTCAACAAGTTTGTCGATTTTAGTTAACTGCAGTTGTTTGCGTGTGTTGTCATTTTGTGATATCCATCGTATGCGCAAGGTAAAATGGCAACATAAGACGCTGTGGAGGAGCCTAGGTCATCGTTTTCACAGCTTGAGAGCCTTGTCTGAATGAAAGAAAAACACTTTCTGGACCGTGCAGAAATATGAATAGGACAAGGAAAAAACCTGTGATCAATCCTCACCCTATGATACCTTACGATTCGAATTAATGGGAAAAGGAATCTTACCACTGATGTTCCATTTACACATTGCCTGTATCGCTGACATGATACCGCATGGAGCATTGACAAAATAACTGCAACAAAACAGAAAAAATAAATGAATAAGCCAACTGGCCAGAAATTTTGACAGTCAAATATGACAGAAAGATTTTTGCACTGGTTCTGCGAATAGTGAAGAATAAGAAAAGGCGACTAAGGCAATCATCCAGACAAATTTTGATCAATTTTAAAGGCATTCGTTATCTCTTCAGATTCTATTTCCTTACAAGTAGGCATTAAATATTGATAACAAACCCTCAAACGAATCCCACGCATATTACAACTAATTCTCTTGAGGCTCTAAAAAGAGCGAGAGCAAATACCGAAATTCTTAGAGATTTTTGAACAAATGCCGTTCGGTTAAGAAACTTTGTAGAATTAAGTGGAAGAATTAAGAAACTTTGTAAAAATATTGAACGAGGCTGGATTTCAGAATCTTGCAAACATTTCCAAAGGCTAATTAGACATTCCCAATACGATGACTGCGAAGCAAGCAACTGCTTTTTTACGAATTCTTAAATGTAAATATTCCAGTATACATAAAATCTCGTTCAGTATTGCTTAGTTTCGAGCATTAGGGACATTTTGAGCATTTGAGTGACGAATGCTAAGAGAGGATATCAAATTAATAAACTTGACAAGAAAGACTTTCTATTGCTAATATTTTGAAGCATATCATTGTCATGAGTTTTGCCCTTATTTTCGTTTTGCAATGCCATTGCAGCAAAAGAGGGTGCCCACATTCATTGCTTTGCTAGCGTAGAGAACACGAGTCAGAAAAGTCTGTACCTCATCTTCTCCAAATATTTATGGACTGTAAAGGCTAAATGAATATTTCATTCTCTTGAATTTCGTCTTATTGCTGGTGAACTGTTAAATTTATTTGGAAAGTTGATATGTGAGTCGATAAAGTGAAAAGTATTTTATCAAATGGGAAGAATCAAAGTTGGAAAAGAAATGGTTATAAAAAATGCTTTGACACTTTGATTTTTAAAAATTGATCATTTTGATTGCAAAATCTTCAGCACCACAGAGTAAAGGGGCACAGTTGTAGGAAAAACTATACTTGAACTAGGATTTTATTATTAGAAGGAATATGACGATAAATCAGTTACAAAAAAGGATCTCCATTTGTTTCATGGATCTCCATTTGTATTCAAAGCATAGCTACAAGAACTGTCGTATTGTGCGACTGGGAAAATATGCCATGATGTTGTGGGAACAACGAAAACATTTTCTTAGAAAATCAGCAAAATAAACAGAAGGGCAGAAAATAAAGTCCCTTTTAAGCCATAAGATCTTTATTTAAACTATAAAATGGTTCGGTAAACAATAAGAATAAACCAGTTAACAGTAAAAGCCAGCAAGGATTTGATAAGGTGTGCTTTTTGCTCAAAAGCACATTGCACGTAAACGGAATTAAACTTCTTATCGGAAGTGAAATTACAGTGGCTAAGCAACAACTTCACCATATGACCGAAGGTTTACTAGCAGCAATAGAAACGAATCTAAAGATAACCCGCCGATAGCACATAAACCAGATTTAGTTAATGATAACACTACGACATTTGTAGAAATCTTAGGTTGCTGTTTCGGTTGCCTATAAATAGCGAAGTTATATATATGCAAGTTGATAGTAACAAGAAACAAAACGAAATATTTCAATTTTGAATATATATTTTTAAAGGAGAGCTCTTTAAAAATTATGAATATGTTTCTATTTTGCATATAATATTAATTGTATGCGTGTACAGCTTTGCCTATACGGCGTCGAACAGTTTATGGCAGATAGGTAAACAGTAATTTTCATTAATATTCATTCAGCGGTAATGATCTATTCTGTTTAAAGCAAACCAATTTTGAGTGAAATTATTCCATTGGCCCATCTCCCCTTAAACTTTCCCCGTACACTTTCCAATCGTTTTATGCTGTTTCTATATGGAAGCCTCTCCCAGAAATCTAACTTTTACTTCATCTACAATGTTTTTGGTGCTATGAGTCTAGGAAAACGATAAACATTTCTCGTTTTATCAAACATTTTTTGTCAAAAAGGCAATTGGAAACACGACGCATTTCTTATTCAAGATTTGAAAAAAGGTTGCTCAGTAATCTTCTCAACGACCTCTCCGTAAAAGGGCGAAATAAAAGCAATGTATTTCTGCTTTCTATACAACAATCGTTAGTTTCCAGATAGCCTTGCTTTATACAAAATCAAAATCCTTATGTTAGGGACAAAAACCCGTTGTGCATGAAGAACAAATCAAAAATCAATTTGATAGACACCTTGATTTCAATTCAAAGCATAGCTTGGAAAACTTGAAAGGTAATAATACTATGTTAAAAAAGTTATTTTTTGCAACAATTTCGCTTCACAACAGTCTCACGAACATGCAAAAACAAGTTTACGAGTTACAGGTAGAAATTTGGGTCCATAACAAATGTGGTATTGAACAGCTTTCAGTTCAATCTGTTCCATCTTATCTGTAATGCATTTTTCCTTTATCCGTAAAATATTGTTCCTTTTATCTTAAACCCTTGTGTATTTGCCTATGTTTGATCTGTGTCTGAGAAAGAAGCCAGGGACAAATGTGGATTCCACGCATTTGGTTAATTAAAAAAAATGAAAATGAAATATTCTGCATGAAGTTACTTCAGATTATGATTTACTTTTTGTTTTTTTTTGTGGTGGCAACTGGTACAAATGCCCTAGATCGGCAACTAGCAAACCAATACAAAGCAATTTTATTTTCAAACCAAAAATATTTCCTTCAACCTCAGCAAATAATTTTTCTAATCTCGTTATTAGATGCAGCCTCCCTCTCATCTTTCTAACTAAATTACTTCGCAAGCCCGTACTATGGTGTTGAAAAGAACAAAAGCGATCCAGAACGGTGTAAACGGGGAGTTGAACTGGTACAGTTTTGTACCAGAACAGTATAAAAGCAGTTGAATTGTGATTCGCGAGGTGTTTTGCAGATTAAAGTTGTATGCACTGGTACATTGTATACGGGGCCAGATCACTTTCCTCCACAGAGGCTATTGGGAAGGGAGATGGGGAGGGAAAAGTGGATAGAATAAAAGGAAGTACGAAAGAATTGAAAAAAGGGGGAGGTTGGAGTGAGAAGGAGGAAGAGAATAGCGGCAGAAACTATTTTTCTTTTCCTCTTCTACCCGGCCCTCCTCCTCCTATTCTCAGCAGGTCCACCATTTCTCACTCCCCACCTCCCTTCCCAATAGCCTCCGCGGAGGAGAGTAGAGTCAGATATAACATCAAAGGCTCTTGCACTACCGGCGTGTTTGCGGATATATTTTGAAAACTGGCCTAATATCTTACTGCTTGAAAATACAAAATACAGACCATGTCTCCTCGCGTAAAAAACAGCAAAGCATGCCGGTTGAGCAAGAGCCTTCAAGTAGAAAACACAATCATCGCAAACATGCACATGAATTTCACAACTTGCGTTAATCTGGTAGCTGGCTTTTATCACTTTCTTGGATTTAGAAATCACAAGGGCCTTATGACATCTTGGAAATGCTTGAAGAATTCCAGTATTGTGATGTTTTCCTTTTGCTATCCTAAATTGGCTGGTGCTTGACCGTTCTTTGTATTAACACTTAAAAATCACTCAGCAATCATTCAGGCTAAATATTATAGTTGCCACAAGAGCCTTAATACTTTCATCAAAGAATCAGATTAGCAAGGAGATGCAGAGGAGGACGGATCTGGGGGATGCAGTACGTTAACTCCTCTATTTATCGTAAACAAAATTTTTGCTCTCCAAATGAGAGGCGAGTAATATAAAGAAACATAAAAAAGGGGAGAGGTTCATAAGGGGATTTGCAAATTCAGTTACGTTTTAAAGGAAGTTCATCAGATTTCCACCCCGCATCCAATTTCTAGAACTTTTCAGCCAAACTCTGCCGCCTCAGCTATTTGTCAAAGGATTACGTTATTGATGTGCCAAGCACATGCTACTTCTAGCAATTTGCGCAAGAGCTTTTTATGATTCCTATTAAAAGCAAACTTTCTCTTAGTTTTGGCATGACAAAACAAGCTTACGCGTTTTGGCATAGAGATGAAGTTATTTGTGTATGCTTGGCAGTTGAAAAATTAGCCAACAAGCAAACTGCGAAATTGGGAAGGATATGTGCCCTTCGAACGCCAAATCTTCAAATTGAGATTAATCAGCAAACCTTGGCTTCTGCCTTCACTCCGCCTTCATGTTACACTCAGAAATCTAAGTCCGGCATACCAAGATTGCCGATGATGTTATGAAAATATGCGTACTTTATATCTAGTTATACGTCACTAATTCGCTGCCCAAAGTACTAATGCATAGATACTTTGAATGATGTTTTAATAAGTTGGCTAATAAAACGTTCAAGCATCATTTCGAAAATTAGTTTGGATCGGTTTAGGTCTACTGTCATATTTTCCAGTTGAAAATACGTTGCTCTCTCCTCAAATGCATTGAACTGCCAGGTCTAAAAAATTTGTTTCAAAGATGAATTGTGCAAAAGCAAATTCCGACTTCAAGATTCGTTAACATGATACTTTCCACAAACGTGTTTTTATCAATTAGACCCAATGGTTGTCATACAGTAGTCGTGGGGTCGAGTAACAGTCACATGCTCCAAACAATATAAACAGAGTATCGTTTGCAACACAAAGGATAGAAATCTTCCTTCGTGAATTTAAGGGCTAATACGCAGAATACATTATGCTGGCAATGGGCGATTGAAAGGAACTGAATGTTTTTAAAATGAATACAAAAAACGTTTGCTACTTACAAATGAAGAAAAGTAGAAGCTGGAACTCTTGCCTCCCTAACATGTCAGCACAAAAGTTGATAACACTTGCAACCAATGAAATTTCCTTTGAAAAGGAGACGAAAAACACACACAGTTAAAGGGAGTCAATTGTAAAGTAATACGGCTTGATCGATCATGCAAAATTATTTTGGTTGAATGCCTGCTGAGCAGTCTGCGCAAAAATTTCTCAAATGACAGCGGCTTTGGTCATATGCTAAATGGCGGTTATTAGTTTTGTCTCGATATCCATTGGTAACAAGGAAAAAGAGTGCAGATGGAGCAAGTTCAAACGAGAATTGATGAGAATCGTGTTTGTTTAGGCTTTAAATATTCTATAGTTTGTTTGAACAAGTTTCAGAATCATTAACAGCCAGTTTGTTAAGAATTTAACAAACTCTATTGGGGATATAAAAACTTGATTATCCTATGGATAAATGATGATGTATAGAAACCTCACAAGCAGTGACCGCTGATCAAATAAAATCTTATTGGGAAATGGATCATTTTTCGGCGCATCGAATAACAGTAACTGACACGTCAATATATGCGTATCTCTTGCAGCTCGAAGGGGGTTCCCCACCAACACCCTTTGGTAAGTCATACATAAATTTTTGGGGTTAACTCTCAACCACCTTCTGACAAGCGGGGTCCTTAGTTGTCAAGATTACGGTTTAAGTCATACATTTTTCATCTTTAAGAGAGGTTTTGCAATGAGACGAGGTTGCAACCATTTCCTTATGCGGAGGATGGAAACGTTCAATCGTTGTAAAATCTTATCACTCTTGAGTCCTTTATTGCAAGGTTGAAGGAAGGGAGTAAAGTGGGGAATATAGGATTACGGAACAAAATCTCAAAGATTTCACTCTATTACCACTCCTTTCCAATCCTACAAGCTTCTGCTATGTTATCCACCAGCATCAATTATGGGATAAACGTGGAAATTAATGGAGAAAAAATCCAAGGAGCCCATGACGTAAAATGTCTAGGAGTCATTATCGATGAAAACCTATCTTGGAACAAGCAGTACAAGAGGCTTGAGTCTAAATTCAAAAGTGGCCTTTCTTCGTTGAGGAAACTTAAAAACACACTCCCACAGTCGAAATTGGACCAGGTTTACAGGGCACTTTCCAGAGCCATCTAAGATACGGTGATGATTTATGGGGAAGTCTGTCCGCTACAAAGCTTGAACATCTTCAGCGTCTTCAAGACAGGGCTCAAACATTAATTGAAAATGCTAAATTTGAGGACAGGTGGATTTGTAAATGGCTTTACGTTTCAAAACTAATTAAATATGACAGGGCCATAATGACGTACAAAATGATGAATGGTCTTTGCCCTGACAGCCTTTGAGGTAAATTGATCACTAGATCAGTGATATTCAATTATTCGACAAGGAATCAGCTTGATATTGACATCCCAAGGCAAAATTTGGAATTCTCTGAATTTTATCTGAAAATGCAGAATTATTTGCAAACTAGAGATGCTTTGTCGGTGAATTTTCAAATTTTTTGGTAAAATAGGATGACATGGCTCTTTTACTTTCTTCGCGAATTGGGCCTAAACAATCTCCTTGAAGGATTTTACTGCTGACATCCCAATAATTTAAAAACAAATAAAGAACAATCCGACTTGGTAAAAGTTAAGAACAGTTAAGTTAAGAACCTGAACCTCAATTTCTTAGTTGTTTTAAAAAAGAATGTAAAGACCATTATAGGAATAGGAAGACTTCAAAATTCATCAAGTACCTTCTGACCCCCACAGCAAGGAACTTAGGAGAATCCATGCTTACAACTGTTTCATAGAAGAGGTTGGTGAGCTTTTCACAATTGGTATCAACTGGCATTGTAGATTGACGATAGATATAAAGTGTCTAATTAAAATCTAACTTTTTGGTATTAGAAAAAACTGAATTTCCTTGTTTCGAACATTCAATACTAGAGGCTACATTTTGACGTCAATGTTTAGAAGATTTAAAGAAGAAGGTTATTCATAGGACAAAGGTATCTCCTATGTTGACTTTTTAAGTATACTAAAAGTTAATCTCTTTTTCCAGAGTCTTTTAGCTCAAAAACCTGGTGATCATGAAAAGTGCATTCATGATTTACAAGCCTGTTGAAAGCATTCCCATGCATCCACACATTTCCAGTTAAAATTATCTGCCTTGCACCTGATTTTGTTTCTGAAATCAATGACGTAATAAACCTCAATTTAGCATCATCAGAATTGAAGCTACAAGGAAACAAGCTATCACGAAATGTTGCAAAGGCGTCTTTTAATCCAAGCTTTTTTTAATCTTCTATCTAATCTATTCCAACCATAAATATAAAATGGAAATGGCTGAATAATGAACAAGCACAGGTGTTTAAAAAAGGTCTTTGTTATTTTGTTGTTTTTTTTCTGACTAGACTATCGGTTCGGTTTTACATGAAATTTAAGAAAATAATTAACGTAACATGACTATAATCCTTCTGATTCAGAAGACTCAAACTTAAGCTTTACGGCACCTAGTGTCAGAAGTCTTGGACCGAGCTCATATTTCAATTCAAATGCTCTGGAAGCAAAGCACCATTTTGTTAGCGGTTTGTACCTTTCTAAGCAGTAAAGTCGTTGTTATGAATTAAGTGCAATGCCATTAACCGCACTGCACAAATGCCATCGCTATATTAGTCTATTTAAACACGACCCCCTGGAAAAACAGCATTTTAGATTGAAATTATATCTTTTTTAATTGAACAAATATATTTATAGCTGAAGGGTTGAATTGTGTAAAAAGAAATATTATTATATCATATTATTTTATTATAGGAAGGGTCACATCAGGAAGGGGTCACATCAGGAAGAGGTCACCCTGGAAATATTCCGGACTAAAATACCCCCGGGAATGCGAACCCTTCCAGTTTATAAAAATGGAATCTAGAATAATTAGAGTTGTTGAAATCAGACTATTAAGATTTCGGCCTTTTGAATAACATTTTACTTCTGATGGAGAAACAGGAATTCACGCCCGCTGGTAAAGACCTTCAGAAAAGCTGTGCTCATGAATCTCACTTGAGACAACCTTTGCCGGGGGGTTGGGGGTGGGAGGGCGATTAGGGGGAAGTCAATCAGAATCTAAAACATTCAAATCTTTAAATTCTTCATAGAAAACTAAAAACAGCTTATTCTTCTCTGGGAATCCAAAGTAAAACACTGGCGAAATGCGTGGGAACAGGATCAAGATAAAAATTGTTCGAGAAAGATAGCAGCAACGAAGATTCTACATATAGATAAAATTGGAAGAAACTTTCCGAGCACTGAAATAGAAACAAATTGAATTTCTAAACCTCGAAGACCTGCCAAAAATAATGCCTCTTCATACTCTTGTTGAGATGTACGAAATAAAAAACAGGAAGAATCTCAATTCATTAATGAAAAATGAAGGCTGCAAAAGAAGAATATAGCAGCAATAACCCTTACCTGATAAAGACGATTTGCAAGGGGAATTCAAGCACTGTGTACCTTGTATCTATGAAGCAATGTCATGTCAGGAACTAAGAGAACTGGTGTAGAAATGCCTTGAAATATCCACTTGAAATTGATTTAAATCCTTGATAAATCTAATTACAAAATCGCGCAATTTCACAAGAAATTATCTGGTTTGGTAAACGTGATTAAATTTGGTTACGAAACAAAGGCTGACCACAACTCGCAAAATGCAATCTACGCATTAACCACTCAAATCGATGCCTGTTTATGTCAATTGCGAATGCACCACATGTAAGCTAGGTCAGTAAAGATATTTTCAAAGGCGTTTAACGAATAAACTAACCAATGCCCAACAAAAGGATTTCAAAACCAAATGAGCTGAAGACAAAAGAACATTTAGCAAGACCTCCTAACGAGATAAATACCACTCGAGAGTCTTAAGTTTATCAGGTTGAATATTTAATAGAAACATTGAACATTTCTTGCAGCGAAGCATATTAAACAATATCTAAGTCATGCAGAATGTCTCTGCACTTTGATAGATTGCAGGTTGGCAATTGTCGATTCACAGTTGCATACTTTGCTAGTTTTGCAAACATTACTACCAGTCTAGGTTGCTCTTTCTTCAAACAAACACATCCGCAATACACTTATGTCATAACTATGTCAAAATTACTTGCCATCAGCGATGAGTAATCAGCTAAAAAGTTACTGCTGAAATATCTTTCAAAGAGAATTTATCTTTAAATGAAATATGCAAATTGCGTGCGTGGGTGTAACACAGTGAGAAACAAAAGAGAAACAACTTACCTCAAAGTCACCAATGCCTTCCCCCAAGTGCTACAAAATTAATCATACATTTCTAAGGTTCACATAACTCTAAAGAACTACTTCATATAACAATCTGCTCTACACGTGAGAACAGGAGGACGAAGGAGCAATTAGCCGACCTCTTTACATCTGCTTTTAAGTGCAAACAGTCTATTAAAAAGTTATCGCTCCAGAGAGTAGCCTTTAATAATAGATGCTTTCCTATTAATTGAAGACATAAATGACAAAGATAGAATCGTAACGAATCTGGCACGATTAGACAATGAAATACAAATGAAGGGTAGCACCTGCAAAATACCAACAAAACGTTAGCAAGGAGCGAGTTGTAAGTTAACTTATACGGGAATGGATAAAAGCAAGGTGTTATCAGCAATATTGAAAAGGAAACAAGATCTTAAAACCAGATAAAAGCACTGCCTTATAAGATAAAAGGCACCGAAAGTCCCTACCTGAGAAGTCCCCTACATTCCAATGTCTCTTCATTACTGTCCCATTGGCAGGCCACTTTTGGTTTCGTTCAGCGTAGATTTTGAAAATATTTTGAATTCTGGTCGTGAAGAAATTGCAATAATCAAAATTAAGAAGGAAATTCACCGAACCTCGATTTTGTTATCGCTGCACGGATCACTAAAAAGAAACTTACTGCATAGTGTCAAATCGAATCCAGTTTAGTCGATATAAACTCTATAGGGCTTTTATACACGCGATGATCCAGTAACTACAGTATGCAAAAACTCCAGAACTGAAAGATTTGTGTTTTTGATAAATTCCTTCATTTTGAAAAGGCTTTTGGAACGTACTCTAGCAATAGCAGGTAGAACAACCGTGCGTGTGATCTTGTATGTTTCTAAGATAAGAATATAACCTAGCGGAAAATATAACAAGTGTGTTATCTGCGGAGGCAAAATGGTACTAGTCTCTCGACTCGTTACCACAGATTACGTAGCATCAAAATACTATCCGAACTTCTCAACGATTAACATTCTAATGCTCACACTAATGTCCATTAATCCCAGACGAAAGATCTCTAAAGTCCTTACCATTATCATAGCCTATACCAACGTTATCATAGCCTATACCAACGTATCAATGTTATAAACTTGCCAACAGATATTATACGATTAAGGAAAAGGAAACAAACTTACAGTTACGTTAGTGAACAAAAACCTATGCCAGAAAAATAACAATGTACATTTAGGAAACATTCCTTGATATGAATGCCAAAAAAGTATTCTGTTCAGTGTACAACACCCTACACTTATCGTTACCGCTAACAAGCATCCCAGTCTCTTGTTCTGGGCCGAGTTATAAAAGAAGATATTAAAGCTGTCATATTAAGGAAAATAACATTGATTCAAGGCTACTGTCATTTTGGCTTATAGTTGAGGTTAATCTGAATGCACTGATAGCAATTTATCCTCTGCTGAGAATAAAGAACTAACACCAACTAGTATCGTTGACATAGCTTTTCCAACATCTGGGGCTCAATAGTGTTAGCTGGCCATCTGCAGGGCAGGCATTTCCTCGTTGATTTTGCCGTAGTCCTTGTTGGGAATATTGAAGGTGCGTAGTCAGGTAGTGCTTCTAGCCCACTCGGCAGTTACTGTACCTTTCATGCATCTTACATGTTTAAAATCCCAAGAACCCAAACCATCACAGCCCATACCCAGCAAAGACCTTCTTATGGATAATGCGTTTCTAGGAGAATTGTTAATTGCAAAAGGGGGTTTTATTATCTAAACTAGCTTAGAGATCAAAATTTATTAACTTTAAATTCACACGGTTTTACCTTTAATGTGAAGGTATATCAAGATTATTAAAAAAAAGTAAATACTAGGATATCTCGGAAGCATTGCTTAATGCTCGATAGCCGAAGAAAAATTTCTGATACGAAACCAAGATACTGCGCCAACTAGGCATTTGAAACAGAGCTTCGGAAAACTTGGAACAAACTGTTGGCGAAAGAGCACAGCTGAAACTAGGAAAGTGAAGGTACTTTGGCATGGATGTGTAGAATCAAACTGAAATTTGAAGCTATTTCTGTTTGACAACTCACTGGATTTATTTTTTAGAAATCATACAAATCCGCAAGCTATTCAAATTTCTTTACACAATTATTTTGGCACCATGAAGGAAAGAATTATATATATATTGAGATAGCTAGAAAAATATTGACAAAGTAAGAAAAAAGAAACATATCAACAACAGGTGCAAAAGTGGAGGCCTGCAGATGCTATAATATCTCGTCAATTAAAAATTCAGTTATTTGTGCTTTAAAAAAATATGAAGAGATGGTGCAAAAATCAACAGTTTTTGAAGCCAGAAGCAATACAGTGGGTAATTAAGACCATCTGTTTCAATGAAATTGTTATTTACGTCGAAAAAGTACCTTTCAATTGCCCCTGCAGGTAATCTATGTCGAATGATCTCCAATCAAGGCACGAGAAAGCGAAAAAAATCCACTATCGTAGAAAATTATGAGTTAGGTGCTAATTCTCAGTATCGTATTTAAGCTATTTGATTTATTAAATAATGGACGTCAAAAGGCCATCTTCCACATTTCAATTAAATGATTGAAGAATCAGAAGCCAAAGCCTTGTTCCTTGTTTTATTGCTTTCAGATCGTGGAATTTCAAAATTTGTTAAATCCATTCGAAATTGTAATGTCGACGGGTTCTGACTTGTTGTTGTTGTTCTAGACCAAGAACCCAGAAGGTTTTTTGCTTTAAGATAAAGATTGAATTTATCGTTCGTTTTGAAAAGTTTTACCCTGCCTATAAACGAGAGTAAGAAATACCTAGACAGAAATTCGATGGCTTACTGGCACCGTGATTGACCACTAACATGTTTGATATACCAAAATAATTCAATAATGCTTCTGTTCATGGGGCTGGCTTAAGAACTTATGTTCTGAAATATTGAAGACGGATTTTTTAGTTCTGGCATATATAATAGTGATGCCATGAATATGATATGTGCAAGAAGTTCTTCGAACTAATCTACTAGTAGCGTAGTTTTCTTGTGGTAGTAATGAACTTGCATGGCATTTGCAATTTTGATGTCCTTTTGATGCGTTAAATGTCAACATTCTATACATATGGCTCCCAACCTACAAACGTTTTTCCAAGTATATTAGGGTCGGTGGCTTGGTCGATCAAACAAGCAACCTGTTGCTCTGTAGTTAAAATAAACTTCGTCGGCTCCTCATCCGCCTCTTCCAGCAATCTCGCCCTGATATTGCGCTTAGGATTACCATAAGCAATATCCAGCATTTTTTTGAAATATGGCTTCTTGCCTTTACCAAGCCTCAACTCTTCCCTGAAATTAGAAAGAAAATAAAGAAACAAGAAGACAATTTTCCCCACTAACCTCCCATTCTAACAATGTATTTCATAGGTTTTCGACACATCCTCGTGATATCAATTAAACCAAATTCCGTTTCTATTCTTTAACTTTCTCTTGACAGAGAATTAGAAGCGCCATGAGCGCTAAAGATATTCAAGATTTAACCTATAATCCCTGAAAACTACTAGCATACTACCTTTCTAGCCCTTCCCTGAATATTAAATAACTCGCGGAATTCAAATAGAATTTAGGATAACTGTCTCTGAGTTGTTGCTTGCAATTATTCTGGACGAGTGACAGAAGACGTTAAATATCTTAGCATTGATGTAAAGCGTTTTCTGGCGGGAAAAGGCACGCCACATTAATCGTGCAAAAAGTTAAGTCACAAACCAACAGGCTTCACTGCACAGTGTTAGACAGTCATGACACAGAGAATCCTAAGTGCCACATAAAATGTACCAATGAGTTTGGCGTCCTAAAAAGAGTCCGGGACGTAAAAACTATTGAACAAGTAGATAAAATTAGTTTAAAAATCTAAACTGAAACAGACAAATATTTACTCCTACCCTGTAATGTAGCAACTGTTTACTCCCATAAGCTTCAGTTTACATATCTCTATCTTTTCTTTTGGATACCAATTGGCTGAAGTATCTTTACGAAAAAGAAATAAATTGTCAAAAATCAATTAAGTCTATAAAAAAGAAGAAGTCTCGAGAAAACGTTCAGCCTATGAGTTCATCGGGGTGCGGGGAAATTAATCACGCCAACATTTGGGTAATAATCTAATAACCCAAATATTGACTTTTATTTTAATACTTTTTTAAAAGAAGAAGTGTGAAAGAACTCCTACACACGGAGCTAGATTATGTATTATAGGGAAATCTTTTAAGCGAATTAGAGAAGAAGAAGGACAAAATTCCAACGTTATAAAATATCCGCGTCTTTCTTAGGCCTTAATACATGTACAAATTTAAGGCTGTGTTTCATGGTTTTTTCTAAAGATAAAGCTACCGACACACTTGATTCAGGTTGCAGAAAGGTTTCCTCCATTTCGGAGCTAGCATCATAATTAACGGTTCTTAACAATCACGACGCTACGTATAGTTGACATTAAAACTGACTACGTGTAATTAAAATGGTATAAAAATGAGTATTGCACATCGCAGATCAAGAGACAAGGCTAATTAAACGAACTACAAATTATGTAATTGAAAAGTAATCACGAAGGATAGCCACCTGCACCATCCATCCTGATTGATTGTTTCCGAGCATTAGCCTATGAAGAATTAGAAAATAAAAAAGAGTTCAAATGAAAATTAAATGGGTACTGTAACAAAATGAAAGGAGAAGAAACATTATTCTTGATAACATTATTCTTGATAACGTTATTCTTGATAACATGCTAGGGAAATGCAGACGAGTCGGGTCGCTTTCAGTTAACAAAGTGAATATAATGCTGTTAAACAGAATCCTAAATTAAGCAAAGACAAACACAAAACTGTTCTTTGAACCAAGGTTGACAGCCTTTCTAAACTAAGCATAACAATAGTTAATAAGCAAAACATGTCTCCTTACTTAAAAATGCCGGGAGCTGAATATTCAATTTTTCTTTAAAATGTTTGACTAAAAGACATCTTCTTGATGCTAGGTTTTTAAGCAGTTTAATTTTAAATCAGCGATTTTAATCTACAGTCATATGTACCTACAGATTTTACTGTCCCGTACATAATGGTTTACTGGTCAATTTATGTGCAAATGGCCTAAACATGCATAGGCGTCAAATCTTGATTGGCTGTGAAAGAATCGCCAAAGCAGGAATCAAATTGCGAGAAATGCAAAATTTTAGGATTTTGACCACCCCTTCTTCAAAAAAGGTCCTGATGCCAGGATTTTTGGGGAAATTTGCTTTTATTCGATTGGTTAAAATCGATTGGGACTCCCGCTTTAGCGATTCCTTTCGCAGCCAATCAAGATTTGACGCCTATGCTGCCTAAACATGCATTCAACTGGGTGCAGATACAACAAAGGATTTATCTTCGGACTGAAACGTTACCAACTGACTGGAATATGTTTGCCTTAAACACCACCAACAAAGTTTGAAATATTCTTTAATTGATAAAAGTCTAGACAGGGAAGGTTAGTCTTCTTCAAAAGAATCAAAACAAAACAAAATATTCAAGCATCTAAAATATAAGTTAGTCGCCAATAGTATACGACTGATTTAATTTCTTTATTTAAAGCTTCTATAATTTCGATTGTATTTCAGATTCACTCATAGCATAAAATTCCGTGTTTCTTTCTCCTTTCTTGCGATGAATCACAGAATTTGTCGGTAGATTAAAAGGAGAACGCCCATACTCTAGACCTTAACCTAGAAATGTTATCTTCACGACACGTAGCAAAAAAGGTCTCATTTTCAAAAGAACTGGCCAATGAATAGCTATTACTTGAACGACAGAGAAAAATCAGAAAACTGTGCTCTATATCAGTTTCGATGAAATCATTTCGGTTTTCAGATGCAAAGAAAAATTATTGGCAAAACGAAGTAAAGTTTTCTATCTTTAATTGATAATATCAAATTCAGTATTAATGAACAAGAGCTTTAAACTTAGCAATGACCCTTTAAAAGCGTAACTCAAATGCTAAACTGACTAGTACTACTATATGAAAGACTCTTACAAGTAAATGTAATTAGCTACTAAATAAGTGTTGTTATTTTCGGTTGCATGAAATGAATTTGAAAACAAATATTGCAGTATTTTTAACGTATGTTTAGATTAAATTTTTTCGCATAAATGTCATTCATGTAGTTACGAAATTACTCAAAGTATTGGCATCGTTGACAACGACTTGAAAAGAGTAGACTTGCCCGTAAAATAGTCATTAACATTTATAGATACAAAATAATGGGTCATCCCACAATATTGCAGTTATATCTAATCGAGAAAGACTTGAAAACAGGTACCGGCTGTTGGGGAAGGATATCCCCAACAGCACACTCCGGCACACCTTAAGGATAGTACCCCTAATGAAATAATGCACCGAAATGGAGAAAAATAAGGATCGGGCAAAAAAGTGTTTCCGGTAATGGAAGAATTGTCTCACATATAACGAACGAAGGCTCACATATAAAAAATTAGCAAACAATAAAAGTTGTTATTTGATTTTACGCTCTATTAGTGCCATAATACCCACTTAGCTCGGCATTGACTAACTGTGAGGTCAGCAAGTGCAGATATATAATCAGACAGCCTACCTGCCAGTCAACTAGTGGCTCGTTAACAAATATATTCATCGTACAGAGAAGAATATCGGAGTTGCTTCTTAATGCTCTCATTACTGACGTCATCGGCAGCTTATATGGCCCGAGGTCTTTCAGCGGTAATAGCAGGTTTCTGAACTGTTTTGTTAGCCGGAATGGCATCAGTTCTGGAATAGGAAGCACCTTCAAAGAAGAACATAGAAAACATTGTTGCATCTGGAAGGGTTGTTGGTAGATATGTTAAAATACTGAGCACACTTCATTGAAGATATATATGAAGTTCTCCAATGCATTGCAATTGTATTAAGAAATTTTAAAGAATGATCAATTCATGATAAGAAGTATCAGGTCCTGGTATGTAATTATTTGAGCTAGGTTCCTTTCTAAAACCACCTAGATAAACAGCAATATTGATTGCAGGTAATAACTAACCGTAGTTGAAACACCAAACGAATAGCCAAAATCGATCCCAACAATTCCACCTGTTGTTGTATCTACCATGAGATTACTGAGATGACGATCACCGATGCCAAGAACATACTGGCAGATGCAGAGACAAGCGTGCGTTTGGATAAAGTGATTCCGTAGAACGAAAAAGGCCTCGGTGGACATCGAAAGACGGTCAAATACACGCCTGAAAGTATGAAGAGAGACAATTTGGAACAAAACTTGTAAAACTGTAGCTTAACGGTCTTATCAGAAATCGGAACATTACCAAGTTAGAACTAAATTAGATGACAACAACAGCTATAAAGTATCTGATAGAGAGCACAGATCAAAATATATTCCGAAACGCGGCTTAACGCAAACGGTTCACAGTCTCAGTTACATGTTGGTCACGTTGCGATACTGTGGATCTTAGGTATAGACCATGTCTTACTTTCATTTGCCGAGATGAATTGAGATAATTTCTCAAGACGTCCAATTCTGTCAGCTTCAATAGAAGTCTTTAAGGGGCCTTAGATAATTTGGGGTCCTTCACAGTCAATCTCAAACACAAGTAGGCATAGCTCACTAGCCCTACGTAAAGGTGCAAATGACGGAAATAAAAACAGAGATAATTAATGGCAAGCAACGAGAAAAACAAAATTTTTAGATACAAAACTGTATAGCAAACTGAGTATGGAAAGTAGCTCTTAGATCAATCAAAAACAACCTTAGGAAAAATCAAAGTAGACAAGACATAAAAGGTCTGAAAATAGGTAAAACTTTTTGAAAGTCTTAACATACAACAAGAAAGAATTAAGATGGATGAAAAAACATGACGAAGAAAAAACCTCAGAAGATCCCATGGAAGAAACGTTTCTATCTTCTCAAATTCTTTAGAAATATCAGGGACTGGCTTCCTAATTGGAGGAAAAATAAGAGGGTTACCTCTATTCACATCTCAAGAAAGCTGCAAAAGTAAGAAAGTTGAATATCATTTTATTCAGAATATCACCACATGGTTTACTGGTGAAATTCTACTCTACGTTGAGACATAACAAATACAAGGAACTCAAAATTAACGTATAATAAATGAATAAAATATTTAAAAATGAAATAAACTTACATGTATGCATTAATGTACTGAGTGGCTAAGTCGTTTATTTTCGACCCAGACGAAAAGCGGCGAATCATCTCATGGTATTTTGTTCTTGCATTACTGTTTTAAAAAATTTTAAAAACAAATTAGACGAAGGGTTTCAAAGACTGCAAAAATCAAATTAAATTTCTTATTCATAAGCAAAGAAGTAGTCAAAATAACTCAAAGTCTATACAAAATTGAAGTAACAACATGCACACTTCGCATTAGATAGGCATTTCTATTAGTATGCTTTATTAAAAAAAACATTTTGTGTTGTTTCATTCACAGGCCATCCATAGCTTAAGGATATCTCTTTGATCATGTTATAGAGCAGCCTGTTTTCCGTTAATTCAAGCAGTTTGTGTACAAATGGGATGCGGAAATATGGGGGTAAATTTTCTAAAGAGCGGCGCACCAAGGTCACGCAAGGTCTGCCAGGAAAAGAGGCCGCTGGATGATAAATGCGCCTTTCTACAAGACTACAAGAATTTTTGCATCTCTTGCGAGTCAAATAGAGCCACCGAGACAATCATACGAAAATTATATCTATCTACGCAAAAATCGATGCAAAATAAACCTGAAAGTTTGTTTGCTATCTGAACCTGTCCCCGAAAGGAGATCTCTCAGTGCAACGGTATTTTCCATCCATTCAATAATTCCAATTCTACAAAATCAAGAAATTTGAAAGTTACATTTAGTCATATAATCTTGCCTGCTACGGCAAGTTTTATGTAAATTAATTAAGTATGCCTAAACGGTATTTTATTGAAGCAGGTAATTCAGAAAGAAGGTCATAACTCAAGGTATTCGCTATGATAATGATCAATGTCTACGGGTGTACATTCCTTTGCGGATTCGAAAATGTTTGTCTCCAAACGTCGCGTACTCAAATCAAATTCGGCCGCCCATTTACGTAAGGGTTTATTGAAGTTTTCACAGCTTCTTTGAGAATAATTTCTACAGAGCATACGCTATCAAACACGCGAGTCAGCATTTGATTATCAGATTATCGGATATTAAAAACTATCCGGATGCAAGCGCCAAGCGCAAGATGCAAGATCAGATTCGAACCTTATCGAAAAAAACCCTTGTGAAGAGAGGGTTAAAAAAGGTTGCAGAATTGGGAGCGTGTTCGTCGATTATGTGTAGACGAAAGCTTTCCAGACCATTAAAAATTGTTGCAATACAAAATACTCTCAGCAGCATTTCTGCTTTTAGCATGGAAATAGGTATACGAGGTTTAGAATATTTTTGAGAAATTGAGCATTAAAGTACCTCGACGTTAGTGGAATAACTTGATACGTCTTGAGTTTCAATGATCTTGAGTTGCAGGCAGGGTCATCTGCCAGAATTCCATTCATTATGTCAAACAGCTGTAACGTGATTGAAAACTGATTATGTTGCCGGGGTTGTCTTGACAAGAAACAAGATTATTAGCATTCAAATGGCTGGATTTTTTCTCTGATTTAAAAATCAGGTCAACGTCAACACTTCAAGCCTGTAACCAATAGTCTAGAATTTTTTAGTCATTCAAAAAGTCAAAAGTTCAATAAGTGTTACAGATCTTTATTGTCTGTGGGTTTATCCCCGTCGTTTGTAGGTTACAAGGCCTGGAACACTCATTGAAAAAAAATAACTTTTCCGATTTTTACAGGTGGAAAGCAAGTAATAGTTGCAAAGGAGCCTCAGTTACCAAGCAAATATATTGCAAAAGTATTTTTGATTGCTACTACTTACAATTTGGACAGACTATGTTGAGATTTCCACCCCCCTCCCCTTCCCCAGCTCAATGTTAACATCCCTGTTATTAAAGGGTGTACATCCCAACTTTGAATGGGGGAGAGGGGTTGTAGAAGCTGAACTATACATGCACGCTCCCCGAGACGCGGTTAGGGTTTTATCTTTACAGCTCTGTCTAAAATTGTAGCTTTCGAATGCAGTTTTTAGGACATAGGGAAGCTGTATTAATAGAGCAGTGTTATGGCCCTTCCTCTCGATGAGACCAATTTTCTGATTCCATCGTCTGGAAATGCAGAGAGCTGGCAGCGTCGCTCGCTCTGAGTGAAATTTAGTCAGGTCAGGGACTTTCAAAACTTCCAAAAGTATCCCTCAGACTTCGTAAAATTTCTCTCTGGTTCGTTGCCTACTCTTTTGGTATGGTACATTAGAGCGACAATTAAGGCCGTATGGTACATTAGAGCGACAATTAACGTGTCGCAGGGTAAAAATTGATATTTTCGATTGACAACGTTAAAAAAGAAGCGGAAATTTGATGCGGTAAAAGCAACAAACTGTAATGGGCAATGTATACTTGAAAGAGTGTCTGGGTTCAAGACAGGTCTTGCTCGAAGTCTTCTTTTTAGCATTGCATAGAATGTAATCATTTCCGCAAACTGTTTACAATTGGTTGCGGATTATTTGAAATGCGAATAAATACTGAGAAATGTCAATTCTTCAATATTCTAACCTGTTCTATTCTCTGATCCAAACGCAAGTCCTCATTTCCCTTCACCAAAAATTTGTATTCTTTTTCGTCATGTCCCCTGATTGTTATCCTCTTGGGGACCCGTAACGAATCCATACTAAGAACCTGAATCCAAGCAAATTATATGATGAAGAAATCGTGATACGTACACAAATTTCAGTTGGAAAAATGAAATCATCATTATGAAATATTGATATTTAAAAAATCAATACATCGCAATAGGGATAGCTACTTTGTGGTGCTTGATACCCCTGTCTGAAATTCTATCATAGACAGATCAAAGATAATTCTCATAGGATTTACTGCATTCCCATTCAATATGATCTCCATTCTTCAATGCCCCTTTTCTTAAAATTCCTTTCTATTCTTTCATAAATAAAAGCAAAATAAATTTGAAATTTCGAAAGTAAGTTAAGAGCAGCATTACAAATTGGGACCTCTTTTGCACTCTGTCAAAACCCACATTAAAGTAACGGTGATGTTCTGTAGCAGGCTGAAACGCAACCTAACATAATAGTTTCCATTTTGAGGGTCCTTATTTTGCAAAAAATTAGCCTGGGGATTCTTAGTCTGCAGTTTCTTTCACGCGAGTTTTCTCATACATTGCTAGTTATACTGGTTTCAACAATAAACAAGAGTACTGATTTCCGGGTTTCATCACAAAGTTTAAACGGCGTCACATTGCAATAAGAAAGAGCGTCATATGCATAATATCATGTGTCCTTTTTAAGAAGATCCAAGAAAACGATCACTTACTCTTTCATCGAATCCTGCAATTCGCACATGGTATTCCAAAAGAGGCTTTTGCTTCCCAGTGTACTGACCTATAAGGATTTTTTACAAGCTGAATGATCATCAATCCTATTTAGATCAACTTATATTTACAGTTGGCGAGGAATTTCATATCAAGATTCGTGGTGTATTTAGTTTAATGATAGATACTAGCAAAAAGAATTGGTATCAAATTATGTAAATTTACCCAATTGAATACAATTCCATCAATTCACATAATTTATATGTAGTCTAAAAATTTTAGTAATGATTTATAAATTTGCAAAAATTATTACCAAATTTTTTAACAATAGACTCTCGACTGGGTTACGAGGAGAGGAACCGTGGATACGGAATTTCAAACCAAAATGCATTTACCTAAAAGACCTATAGAAATATATTTTACTGATTTTTTTCGATTCTAGATTTGATACCATTCCTATTAGATAAACTACTCCTATTACAAAAATCTCTGATTATTTCTCAAACTAGGCATTATCATATTAAAAGCTATTGTCGTTACAAAAAGTGAGCAAAGTCTTACAATGAAGAGGCAGTCAATAAAGCGCCATTTGAAGTTTGTGCTAAAACTTTGAAAACAAGCAAAGACAAAACATGCTGAGTTGGTCTAACCTGGAATTTCAAGGGAATCTTCGGACTGATTCTCATGGAAAGTTGAAAACCATGGAGAGTAACCTTTCAGATTGTAACTACGACGAGTTTTCTTCATTTCCTCCAAAAGTTTAATGCAAATATCCAAAAAATCCTACGAGAGACAGTGGAGTTCATGAAAATTTTATTTAACTTGAGGTGAGGTGGATTTTGAAGTCAAGTTACAAATAAATTAATCTGTTCTCCCAATTTTCACAACTTGCCTAAATACAAATAGTTTTCAAGAAATAGATGAATTACTCAAAAATACCTTTGAAGGCATGTTTACGATCTTTGATCCATTATCACCAAACAAAGTCTGAATCTTTTTGCTAAAATCCTAAAATCAAATCAAAGGATATCAAAATTTACGTTAAATCTAATAAATAAACACTTATGATCTAGTAAAAATCATTTTGAAAACGGATTTGAAAAAGTAAACATTTTAAAACAAAGTGAAGCTTTTCGTAGACACATTATTTATACCAAGCTGTAGATCGAAATAACCCAATCAGAAATGCGAGCACATGACACTTGAGGTTGTCCAGTCCGGTCCAATTAGTGCCGTTGACCTACTTAAAACATCAAAAAAATCCAAGGCGAAAAATTCCTTCTGTCTACATTATTTTCCCGGTTTTTTTACTAACAATAAAGAGAGCATCATGCTCATGATTCAAATATATATTAGTTAAATATAATTCCAATTAATTAGTTAAATAGAGGACCCTCATGAAAAGCACCCTCGAGTGACTGAGGCAATCCTCTGTAAATATTTGTCTTATTATTATCATTAATATAATATATAATTAACGTGTACGACAAATATTCCACACATACCTTGGACGAATTTTTTCTAATTGTACCTCTTATTTTTTCACCAGGATCTACCGGTTTAAAAAGCTGGTCCCAGATGCCACTAAAGCAAAGTTTTACTGCATTTGAATCTCTTCGTTTTACTTCAAGTAATGTACGCATGTCGTCAGACCAGTCCTATACGAAAACCGATTCAAGAACGTGAAAAATCAATAAAACCTGAAAAATTCTATTGAAAGAAAATAATTTTGCAAAGGATCACATTTCTTATGCTCATAAAAATTCAAAACACTACTACAAACTACAGTATTATAAGGGGACATGAATCTTTGTAACAACCCTGTTGCCATTCACAATTAACTCAAAGTCTATCCTAAAAATGATGCCAGGCGAGACACCCAGGAAGGTTACAGGTTTAAAAAAGGGACGAATTAGTGCCAAAAGGTCATTCTTGAAGCAGTTATTGAAGAAAATAGTCTAATTTCTGGGGCGAGTTTGTTCCAGTCAGACAGACAGGGAGCAAAAGCTTGCATAGTATCTTAAGGTCCTTGCAAAGATTCACCAAACTACGTTGGGTTTGCGAAGAGAGGGAGGTGGTTCTAGGATTTGTGGTATTGGTATTAGTGCATAATTTGGTGCCAGGTTGTTATTGAAGTTATATACAAGACGCCTGCTTCATCGATGTAGGTTAAGCGACTCCCATCCCAGTTCATCAGAGATTCTCTCAAGTGATGTTCCTTTCAATGCACCAGTAATCGCTAATGCAGCCAAATATCGAACCGATTCCAATTTTTCCATGTTGTCATTCAAAGTGATGTTTGGAATAGAGTCACTATTTTTATGTGGGATGTGATATTCAAATAAGTGTTTTCATAACAAGGACAAGAAAACTGAAATTTCGATCTCTATGAAGATCAGGAAACTAATGGATTGAAAACGAAGATTATCAAATTTATGCACTAAATTTCCTCTTTGGGAGGTTAAAAGAGACTAAATTTTTGCTTTTCTTAAAGTTACATAGAAATAAACAAGATTGAAAATAATAATAGGAATAAAACAAAAGATAAAGTTCATATTTCATAAATTAACACATGAATCTACAAAGGAACAGGCGTAAATCATGACCAGCTCCAACCAAGAAATTAGCAATCGTAAATAGACATATAAAGCATGTAAATAAGGTTTTAAATTCAAAATGATTAGTTGAAAAATTGGCAATACAAAATTGTCAATTGAAAATGGTAAATCTAATATGAAATAATACAAAAACCTTGAGTATATGTTCTGGATTCGTCAGTTGATGCAAAGCTTGTATAAATTCATCGCAGAGTGGATTTTTAATCTCAGACGACAACCTGGAAAAAAGAGAAAAGAGATGATGTAGCTTGAAAATATAAATTCGATCAAATATGAATAACTCTTAGGCAAGGGCATTATGGCTTAAAAAAAGCAAGTATTGAAATTTGTTATAGACCATTCTGTGACCCTGTCCACAATGCATTGCAGACTTTTACAGCAGCCATGTCAGGCCACAGAGAACAGCCCTTTGGACTACAGAACGTCCAACACAGGTACTAAGACCATCTATGCTGTTGAAGTGCTAGCTCGATCTGCCACTCCATTTTGCAAAATCTCGATCGACTTTATAGCAATGACAATTTCCATAAAAATGTCTAAGGCCCTGGTTACACGAGGTCGGATTCAAACAGTACCGGGTCCATTTGGATCCGATTTCATTTTGAAACCACTGAGCAGTTGGCAAGTGATGCGTCACAAAAAAGAAAACTGCAAAGGGTTTCATCTGCAAACTTTGTTGATAACAGACGTTGCTTCAAGGTGTAGATACCTTCAAGCATATGTAAATTACTAAAAAGCGACAAACTATATAAAAGATCTTATTAAAATTATGTTTTCTTCATTATTTCAGTTCATTGGTGAATAGGATAATCTAGTCATCATTCCTTTTATACAAATAAAAACTGGCAAAAATATTTTATCAGCAAGTGAAACTTAAGAGCCAACGTGTACAAAATTAAATCATGTTAAATCAAAATTAAAACATACACACCAACTTCACAGCTTTTTTTAATTAGGCATAACAAGTACAAATAAACGAAGCGATTGTTACCTTTCAAAATCAGACTTCATCTTCCTCCCTTCTGGTGTTCCATCGAAAGAAAACTGTTCACTGCTTATGCGCAAGGGGAACATCAGTGCCTGAGGGTAGTCCCTAGCAACTACCTCAAGTATTGGCATAATGGCGTCGCTTTCATTTTTGTCCAACAATGCCACAACTTGATTCAACCAACCCAGGAACATCCAAGATGGTAGGGTAGTAACCTAAAGATGGAAAATTAGGTCTTGATAATAATTATCGAGCGTTTGCAGCAATAAACATATCGTAAAATATCCATTTACCCTCCATTTATTATTACCTATTGAAACTTAAAAGCCCTGCCTAAAACAAGTTCTCTAAACTAACAGAACCACGAGTTAGCACATGCAGATTTTTGCAGACCCAAAGAAAGAGCGAACCTCAAGTTCTTCTGCTCAATGTCACATTAAGATTTTTCTGCCCCCATTACTACAGCCCACAACCCTGCATTTTCTCCAAAACTCGATGCTGTTTTTGTTCTACAGTTTTCTTAAACACTACCAAGTAACTAAAAGGATTAAGAAAGGGGGAAATGGAAAAGGTATGCATCAAGATTTCGTTGCTGTTATATTTGGAAAGTAAATTAGAAATGGCTTTGAAAAAAGCAAACGTTTCAGTTTACTAAAGCTTTTCGTCTGACACTTTTCAGAGTATAAAACATCAGAACATAAATCGAAAACTCTACGCTGGGAAATAAATATATACCCAGTTGTAGATCGAAATAGCCCAATCAGAAACGCAAGCAGATGACCGTAGAGGCTACCCAATGGAGTCCTAGGGTGAAAACGAACTCCTGCTGTCTACATAATAGCGGTTCATTCGTGCTAATGTAGATAGTTTCCAAAACTGCTAGATGGATCGATGATCAGGCTTTGCCAATAATCTGAAACATGTCGCCATTATAGTTTAACAGTCATGTGCTCGCGTTTCTGATTGGCCTATTTCGATCTACAACTGGGTATATATTTATTTCCCAGCATAGAGTTTTCGATCTATGTTCTGATGTTTTATATTCTGAATAGCATCAGACGAAAAGCTTCAGTATACTCAAACGTTTGCTTTTCTCAAAGCCATTTTTAAGTTTTGTGCTATCATAAGATTCAATTACCTTTTTTCTAAATATGCTCCTAGTTTCTGGATACCGGCTAATTATTTGCAAGAGCCTTGGGAACCTCTGGCGACCTTCTGCTGAATCAAGTGACATCGCCTTTATGTGATAACGTACTACAGTGCTTGCATATTCTGACTGCTTCACAACTTCTTCTCCAACTGCAAAGTATTTGAAGTAAATTACAAGACTTAACCGATATAAAAACGAGCATATAAAACCGAAAAAGATCATTCTGAGGTGTCTTTCTGGCAGAAACAAGGTTTAATTGCCTATATTAAGCAAAAGAGCTAGCTGGAAAGTTGGTTGGAAACTAGCTTAAAAAGCCAGGATAAATTCTGCTACTGAACCTTATACGACATCCCGAATTCGGTATCCCTGGAATATATAAAGAGGAGCTTAACATCGAAGAGAAAATCCCCTTAGCTGCTTTACCATCTTATGTGTAGAATGGGTTGGCATTAGTATTATAAAGGTCCAATCTCTTCTGAAATAGCATCAAAGTTCGCAGAGACCAAAAAAACTTACTAAATAAAAGAACCGGCATTAATCTACTCTAAAACGGAAGGCCATGGCAAAACGAATATTTTCGAGGATTATAATATGCAGGCTTACCCACGAAAGTACAAAAAGAAAAAACGGATCCATCAAGTACCTTCTTCTGCTTCTCTAAGGCGGCTATCACAAAATTTAACCATATTCATTATGACCCTTTCAGACAGCATCCTGACAGAAGCAACAACAAATTGTTTATACAAGCATTCCTTGTAATTTTCAGTGATACTTTAAGCAAAAAATACAGTTCACCAAAATATTAAAAACCCTTCTCAAAGCCTACTAGCAATTCAAATGCCTATTGTATACGCAGAGCCTTTCAATAGCCCATTCAATTACTTCGAACATCTCTCCAAAACAAACCTTTAAGAAAGAAGAATTTTCTTGCATCCTGGACGAGTAAAAACTTTATGCCTAATTCCAATTTGATGAAAATCATTAAAACCAAAGATATATAATGCTGATGATAATGCTTCCAGAGATCTACATGTCAAAATTTTAGAAATTTACAGGATCTCTTGCTTAATAAAATTGCAAAGAAAAATGTAGAATACATTGGAAGATTTGTAATTAGGCACATTGTCAAAAACATTGTACATATTACAAAGGAAACTGCATACCTGTCTGCTTCAGAAATTTCGCTAAGTTTGTTTGACAATGATAGAGCAGAATGAAGTCGACTGTAGGAATATTGGTGAAAGAAATCCTTGCACTAGGAATGGAAAATATCATCATCGCATGAGATTCAATTAGGGCAAGAGCTACAAAGATAAAGCTTGAACACTTTTTCGATAATGGTTGAAAAATAAAAACATCAGGAAAAAAAGGAATCACCTTTCAAATTTTGTCTAGTATATTGTCTAATAAATGTTAGAGTTTAGTTTTGATTATTGTCAAAAGTACCTGTTTCTTGTCCATTGGGGGTACAATTCCAAAAATTGTTCTACAAGTGTCGCGCTGCTTGTCACCAAAAAACCCTGCAACACTGGTTTGGTCTGCAAAGTGTGATAAATCAGGCAGTTAGCAAGTGTTTCAGGTCACGGAATCTGTTAATATACTATGCTCTCTGTGATAAGGATCGTAGTAGAAAATGTTAAAAGGTTTTTAAAATGTATAACAGCAAGACGATTTAGAGTTCTATTTCTGGAAAGAAACGTTGATTTTAGTCAGGATTGCGACTCACGATAATTTATATTACAAGTTGGCCTCATAGCTATTTAATAAGCAAAAAAAAGAAGGCTTGCAATGTAAAGAAATAATATTATATCTGTATAAAACCTTGGTTATTGATGGCTTCAGCTAAACAGTCCAATGTAGAACTTTCTAAGAGGTGATTTTTCAAACTCCTTGGTGTATCGTTTGTCGCACAGGCTTTTACAGTGTCTAGAAATGAAAACGACTTGACTTTTCAAACAACATTGATAATTTCTACAAATAAAGACAAATGAAAACAAATTACAATCTAAGCTCGGGAGATGATCGCTTGGATAAAAAAGCCTGGAGCTAAACCTACATCAATGTTATGCAAAAAAGAAAATGTTATTTATAAAACAACCAGGAAATGAGATGCGGCTTGTAAGGGCTATGCAGGATTTCAAGCCAAGACAGATAACAGCAACACTAACTGATGAACACAATCTCATTTGTAAAATACGCTTTAAGTAAAAAATATATTCATGCAAGATTCCCAGAACTTCAGATTTTCCTTTTTCTCCAGAATGAGAATAAATGTTAGCTTATTAACCAATATATAATTATAACACTTGGACGTCACTAACTCTAGAAAAAAGGTAACACATGAAACGCACTCAGTTTTTCTAATACAGAAAGCAGCGAGGGGACAGCTTCTAATGGCTGTAATGACTTAGACCGCTCGGAATCCACTTTGGAATAAACATGGTACCAATCAACAGCAAGTCCATTTTCCTTGGCATTATCCTACGGAGATAAATTTCATAAGTCTGAGACAGACGAGTAAGCTTTTACAGATTTCAAGGTCGGATTAGACCCTTGTGAGTAGCTATCACTAGTTGTTATAATTGAGAGGGTGTTGAATAAAACAGAATAAAAGGTTAAGTAGCTTGTGATTCTCTTAGCCTTGTTGAAAAATCAGCAGCAGAAATTGCATATGTGTGATAATGCTTGTTGTCAGATGGCCGATCTACGTAGCAGAACTCGTGATTCGAACACAAAATAGCTTTTTATTTTAAAACTGACAAACTGTTTCATATCAAACAAACTTTACAGAAAAAAAAAATCGTGTAGTGATACGGTTTCTTACCCGCATTGTAGAGTCAAATGAGTCACGTAAATACTTTTTTGCAACAGCGAAGTTCCCCTTTAAAGCAATGATGTTTATGTTAATTGGTTATCTGACAAAAAGTTATAAAAACGCAAATTGGTTGCTCAAGTTGTCTAGGTCTGAGCAAGTAGTGATTCGAGTAGCCATAACTCGTAACTGTGAATATTTCAATGTCCCAAGGCTAGATATATATTTCATTCAATGATACCTGTTGCTTCAAAAATCATATTCTTATTTGCTAGTTTAAAGCTCATCAAAAACAGTTTGTACATGACAGTGCATAACTTACAGCTTCGGATCTAAAACAAAGTAAACAACCTATATATTCTTGCATTTAAAGTTCCACAAGCGAAATAAGTTGGCGGCTTGGTCTTGTCTTGGGCTAACTTACAGCATCAACTTACCAATAAACTATAAAGAATATAAAGTGCTGACGAATATATAAAGATAAGGTATGTTTAATAATCTGCTATCTAAGAAAGAAAAGGACTGCTAAGCTTGCTTAAAATAAAAATCAAAGACTTGTACCTACCTGTTTTCTTGCCACATCAGCAAGCAAAAGAGTATTTTTGGAATCTTCAGCATCAAGAAGCTCAATAATTTCTTCAGCGTTTGATCTTGAGTTTTTATGCAAGATAAAATAAAAGTCGTTATGATCTTTTAAATGACTATTGCATTGTTCATAAAAGTCATAAGAATAATTATGAATTATTGCTGTGATTATTATACTCTAGGTATTTCTAGGCATACACATTCATCCTTAGTGCAAATATTGTAATGAAGGACAAGGCATACCTTTGAGTTTGTAGTAGCCTGTACTTGATTTTCTTCATATAAACACACCTAAATGCAAGAAATTGAAAAAAATAATACACTACTGGCTCGCAAATTGCCCATAAAATACAAGGAAATAGCATATTTCAAAATAGTCAATAAGATTGACCCTGGCATCTGCTAGAAATTGGTAACATTTGCGGTGAAGAAAAAGCTCAGTCCATCAAAGGCATCTAAAATTCCCTTAAAGGTATCTGAGATCAACTTTCACATATCAAAACTAAAATCTTATGCACAAAGAGACACAAGCACTAAGTATTAAAGTATCGTTCTTGCCTATTGGCGATGACGTCATCCCATATTGACATCGAATGCACTTTGTCGTCTGGCAGGCGTCTAAACCATTGAGTTAAAAGGGCGTGTACTGATGAAAGGCTATGAACATCTAAGCAGCGAAGAAGAAAAAGCATTAATGACTTGCAAGTGAAGAAAAGAGAAATAAGGAAATTCATTTTCTACTAATATGGTACACCTTAAAAAGCAAAGCAGTATGCAGAAATTGCCAAGTTTCAAATATCAACAACAATATTTAAATAATCAAGTTGAATGTGGCCCTTCTTTATGCACGTTGTTACGATAAGACTACAGGTTTGTATCTTGGCGTGACGCACAGCATTTGCAAAATTATCTTGTGTATCAAACTGGCATGATAAAACAGCGATGGTTAGTTTTTGGATCAGCGTAAAATTAAAAGCCCATTGGCAGAACTTTTGTGTGAATGTGATCGTGGCGAGATGTAACCATATAGGTTTTTCCGTGATACTACGTAGCAATTCATAATGACATACAGGCATACTGCATGTAAACATTAGAGCCTAAAATCAAAATAAGCAATACCATTTTTTGAGAAAAAGGCAGCGAACTCTTTCATCTCACACAAACACTGAAGTTTGCTGAGGGTTTTCAGTCTGCTCCCAAGCATCAATGAGTTTAGATGAGACCATTCCTAAAAAATTAATTCTTATAAAATCAATCATTAACGTAAACCTCAACAAATGTGTTGGAACATCCCAAACAACGGATAAATAATTTTGTTTCAAAATCCCCTTTTTGCATCTAGATATGTATCAAAACCACCTCCCCTTCCCCTAAAAGTATCCTCGGTAAACAGATATCTTTTTACTACGGACAGTAACTTCAACGCGTGTCCAATTTTTGGGGGCTTAGCTAAAATAGCAATTTTTCACACAGTTTTTAAAAAATACATTTTGATACTAATCTAGGCTTCGTTCAATAATATTGTCAGACACAAAATAGTTTATTCAATTTTTTTTGAGTCAGCAGGTATAATTTAGTTTTAATTTGATAAGGAAAAAATAAATGATGGAGAACTTGATTCATCTACTTCCTATGAAGAGAGGAATCTAAATCTATTTAGATTTCTATAGAAAAAATGTTTTAAAAAAGTGACAAATGAATTGCTTCAACAATAAGTAACGTTTCTTTGCAGCATTATAGAACTTCCCAAACAGTTGAGGTGGGAAAAGGGCAGAAAGGTGGCTCTACAAACAACTTTTTTGCATCATCAAAGCCTACCATGCACCTAAAGATGGCTATTCCAGGGCTAACGCCTTCTTAATCTAAAACCGCGCAATTTGACTTACTTCAATGAAACCTTGTATGCCAAGATTTATATAATGCATGGCACCACCAAAATCGTCTTGGAGAATTCTAACTAGGGCAAGCTCGCTGCAGTATCTGGACTGAAAAGAAAACGCGAAAAGCCATTAGCAGTTAATGAACATAAAAGAAAAGACAGAAAATTTACTATTAGCTTTTGATGGCATGCTTGATCTTGCTAGATTCAATAAATACATGTACGAAAGGTAAAGCGATTATTGTACTAAAAAAAATCGTTTTCAAAAGAAAAAGCATAGAAAATCATATATTTGTTTAATCAAAGATCACAATGTATTACATCCTTACGAAGAAAAGCACGGATAAATGACTATTGCACTAATGCACAAAATTTATAGAATTCATAGAGAATTCATGTAATTAAGAGAGAAAAAAACTAAAACTTGAAGTCTGTAACAAATACTTACTTCTAAAATCTCTCTCTGCTCGTCAGTTTTCAAAGAACGGTTGATGAATTCGTCAAACCCTTGAACTTCCTGTGTTTTGCCATGACAAAGCAGCTTGATGTTGCTCCGAATGTAGTAAGGCAAAAACTGCTCCTATGGCACAAACATATTAAGTAGTGTTTCTATGTTTTCACAGACTGAAAAAGAGTAAAACATCAAAAGAATACAACAAAATGAAATATCATTGAGCAAGTTCATAGAATAGAGACAACGCTAAAATTCCCAAACGCATTAGGAAAAAGGATAATGTTTTGAAAAATTCCTTTGAAATTGGTTTCACGAACATGAATTACCTGCAAATATACGTCATCCCATATTTTCAGTATGTCTGCAGGAGTGTCTTCGTCTATACATTGGAGGGTTAGACTTCTTAGATCAGACCACTGGCCGAGATTGTCATAGCACTAGGATATAAGCAATAAAAATAGGTAAAAGTGCCCGTTACAGTTTAATAATGTGATTGTTGTGTCGAAGGCCAGCATCTCTGGAAAGAGCCTGGCATAAATATCACTGAAGTGTTTGCGTATAGGGTAAGGGGAGCAAAATAAAAGGTTTCCATGTCATACCATGCAGTCTTTCTCTTAAAAGTGTGTTTTTGCAATGAAATAAGAACTTGTCAGAAATAAAAATTCACGCTTACTATTTTCTCATATATTGACACCTAATTAAAAAAGGAATGTGACACTTTTAAAAAACTTAGTTTCATATGATAAACGTGCTTTTAATGTATTTGTTAATCGAATTATCGCTGTCGATCTCAAACTTCTAACGAAATCACTTTTGTCCAACATACCTCCAGTCTTGCAATATCCCAGAATTCCTCTTCCTCGCGAGAAGGTCCATTTCCATTCCAGTGTTCAGCTGACGATACCTCGATAATTGGGAAGATTCATAAGCACAAAATAGCATTGTCTAAATAGCCACTAAATAGCATTATTTTTCAATTTATGCTAAGGCTTTTTCCTGCTGCCATTTCCTATAATCCTAAGGTTGTGGTTTTGGATTTTCCGACTTCTAACAAATCAATGAAAGTAATTTCAACCGAAAAAGGCTAATGAAAATATAGACCTCTTCATTGGCAATTGATAACGGGCTATGCTTGAAACGTCGTTATTTATTTAAAAAAATTTTCCTTGTACAACTTACTTACATTGATCGTTATTATAGCTTTATTTTTGTACCGCACGCAATATAGTATAATTTCAATTATACATGCTGTATTATAATCCTAGAAAAATTTTGAAACTTTTGACGTTTATGACAAGCTGTGAAACTTTCAAACTGATAGTTTCCAACTGATATTAGCATTCCAATGGAATTTTTAAACCTGCAAGCTATACGGTTTGCAATTATACCTTGATGTAGAGTTTGAGAGCTTGCGCGTAGTCGTTTCTAGCTTCAGCCTCGAGAGCAAGCCTTGTGTCATTATCCTTACTTATCTGCGAACTGAATATACTGTGTACAAAGTCGTAGCAGCCAATCGATTTATAAAGCTTTGCCAATTCGGTCCACGTGACTATGTCCTCCATTGGAATCGATTCAGTACGTTTCCTCTTACTTTTAGGTTCAGCATGTTCTTTTTCAAGCAACTGTTTTTCAAGCAGCAATATTCCCATTGGATGTTGTAGGGATGTGGCACTGGCAGTTGATACAGATGACGCATCGATTCTAAGCCCCTCGTTTTTGAAACAGGAATCTTCGAGAGCATAGATAAAAGGTGGGTAAAATACGGCGGAATTGTTGATCATCGCATTAATTGCTTCCTGGATGTCTGCTTGAGCCTTTTCGCTGACATCTTCTGTTAGTTGCCGCGGCAGTTCCGAAACAACAGCAGCAAACAGTATCTATATCAAAATTGAAGAAAGTGAAAACGTTGATGCATAGGCACAAAGACAACTGAAATTGAAGCATAAGCACAACGACAACTGAAATTGAAGCATAGGCACAAAGACAACTGAAATTGAAGCATAGGCACAAAGACAACTGAAAAGTCACACGGAGGCACATGCAGTAAAATATTATGTATATATATTTATATATATCCATCTATTAACAAATTTACAGTATACCTAAATCTAGACCATTATGGCACAGAATTAGGCCCATTTGACATAATGAACATACCTCGAACAGTTGCCTTCCTAAAATCGGATCATGTTGTGCAGCAGCTTGTAATTGTACGATCAGCTCAGAGTGTTTGATCTGAATATCAGGAAGTTCGCCTAGTCTGTATTTTCGATACATGACTACCTGGTGGTCTCTCGCAGCTTTCTGTCTCTGCGCAGCTGCTTCCCTCTGTTGTTGGGTTCGTCTCTGCTTTATAGCAAAATATATATTAGATTGTTTTTCCTGGTTCTTCATTATCCGTCTCTTAAGCTTTAATATCTCTCCTTTATTCACTGATTCTGGACTTCCGGAGTCAACATCATCAACCCCTTTTCTTCCATTTATATCCTTTAAATGACCCCCAAGTCTACCTTTGTTAAAATCGCTCCTTTTTGCTCCGACGTACGCGCTTTGAGAGGCAAACAAGTAGGAGCCAAGATTGGATTGTGACGATGCAACTGATTGAGAGCCAATCTGATGGTGAAAAATAGTACAGTCTTTTAGAGATGGATGTCTCCAAGAAAATTGTTTGAATTTTAAGATATTTGAATAAATAAAATTAGTTAAACAATACATATACTTGAATAATATTAGCTCATTAATAAATAAATATGCAATCACAATAAGCAGTCTTACCTGAAAGCTCGGATTCATCCAGTTTCCAGTGTCACCCTGGTCTTGAGTTGGAGTAAACTCAAGATTCTGTTGCGTTTCTCGTATCATTCCAACGGACACGCTATCTGCCTCTTGAAGCTGGGAAAACGGCTGACTTTGGGTCTGAGAAGCAGCAAATAAAGGCGTCATTGCTATTTTTTGTCTTTGCCAAGAGAAGTTCACGTGGTAATCCTGTAATAGAGAAAATGAGGATAAAAAACAACGATACAGGAGGTGATGTGAATGATGAGTAGATATCAATTTCACCACAACATTTAGGGTTTGCATAGAAAAATAAGTCGATCTTGCTCTTTACCTGAAACCTCTTTGAAGAATCCAGGGGATCGCTAAACAATGGCAGGTTGTAGTCAGGACTAAGAGAAGTTAATTGCAGGAGAAGGTTTGTTGAGTAGCTTAAAAACTGAAATGAAAAACAGAGATTATTTGAGTATGAACCCCTATACCATTAATTCTATTTTGAATATCAATATTTAAATAAGCGAAAAAAAGAGCAATAATATTAGACGAAAAATACATATTTAGATAATTCGGTTGCTTTTTCTTGGCAATTTTCTTCATTATTAATCAATACATTCATAAAAACATGTTTCCTTGTTAACATATGAATACCCCGTTAGAAATATCAATTCTACAAAAATAAGGCAAAAGAAAGAGCAACAGAAAAGGCTATGAAAACTTCAAACTTGTAATAAATAATGTAATAGAAAGACGTTAAAGATACAAATTCTAGCAGAACGTATCTTAGCAGAAGATTTAAACAAATTACGTTCATTATAATACCTCCTTCTCTGTTTTTGTTGAGTACAAGGCCCTGAGGATTTCAATAAATCTTTCAATCGTAGATTTCGGAAGTCGTGTTTCATGCCGCCAGAAATTGAGAACTTTAAGGCTGCAAAGAAGAAAATGCTAAGAATAAAAGCACTGCAAATCATCCTCTTCCGCCTGGAAAGTGCACGGGACTAGTAGGGTCTGAGAAAATTAACGAGGATTTCACATTTAATATCTTCTCGATAACAAGTATGGATGGATGCATAGCTGTTAAGGTTCAACTATATGTTGGGACGACGAGCATCTGATGGCTACCAGGAAGAAAAAAACCGAGAATAGAAACAATATAACAAGAAGAGACATTTCTTTTTGTTTTTCAAGCGAGAAACGTAAAAAATCACATTTTCAGAAAGGTAAGCGGCAGAAAAGAGACAAGAAGTAAATGGTACTTGGAGCCATGTTTGAATGATGTCGCGTTTATCTAAAAACCTTTGCATGGTTCTTGCAAAAATTGATTACCTTATTTCTGTGTTATTATCATTTATTCCAATAAGCAGTGTCTCTTTGCTTATTTTCAAAAGCTCGATAGCAGTGTTGTCTTCCATTGTTTGCTCATCAGCCCTGAAGATAAAAGAAAACGAATCTCTAAAACTCTTATATTCAAGCTTCATAGCTCACGTATCGCTGTCATCTTTCTCTTAAAATTTTTTTTTAAGAGACAATCCAATTATTATCAACATGATGTATTGATGATTACTTTGTGTAGTTTCTCTACAATATCAGGTACTCAAATATTACGTGATTATTCCATATAAATGGAGGATGTAATCGAAGAGAGGCTTTGAAAATCAACAGATGAGTCGGTTAGAAGCAGTCGACACTTGCTATAACTGGTATTGCCAGTGACATTGTGTTGTGATCTACTCAACGAAAATTACATAGCAGAGGGACATCTAGGATGCATTTCGTTCGATGAAAAAATAATTAAACACTTTACCTGTAGGTATCGTAGATCCATATGAATGTATCATACATCTTTTGCCTCAACGTGACACTGTTACAAGATCTATATTTCGTAATAGAATCAGCAAGTGGCAAGATCTCTTCTGCGTTTAGGTACTTTAATAGGCCGTTGAAAGCAGCCAAGGAGGCCAGCTGAATGCCTTCGTCCCTGCAAAAGCAGTTAAAATATATAACAGATCGCAAGAATGATTTAATAGCAAAATTATGTTGCAAAATTGCTAAGACCTCTAAGAGTCTTGATCACCTCTATCCGTCCTCTCATGGAGCCCCAGCTTTTATTATTACCTCTATATGGGTAACTGATTAATGCAAGAGAAGGTGGCAAAATGGGTGCAGCTTTTCGCATTTGGTTGTGGTGAGAATGTGCAAAAGGAGGCTATCACACAGGCAGTAGAGCAGACGAGAGACTGAAACACGTAAGATATCAAAACTAAGTGCTCGCGAGGGTATGTGCATTGACTTGTACAGTCCCTATTCATAATACAATGACCTAAAGAAAGCACAAGACCTCACTGATGATCAAATTCATGATAGCAGCAGATAACGTAGAGCTTGCGAGAAGGAAGTTCCTAAACGTTCATAAGTGAAAGTTTTCGGCATAGGAACGATGCATTAAAACGCATTTAAAAGCAACCAAGTTATGAGAGAAAGTTGACAGCAAAGAAACAACTCGCCTGTGATTGAGAGCTGATACAAGGCCTTTGTTTTTCAGTTCGATAAAAATATCATGAGGTTCTTCAGCATGCTCCACTCGTGAGGCCAGAATCTCCAAACATTGCTGCTTTAGAATACCATGAAGCGATGGAAGAACGTAGAGCAACTTAACAATAAATCTGTACAAAACGACACAAGTTAAATGAGATTAAAAATCGTATATTATTAATTCGAGCTACATAAACGAGATTTGGACAGATAAAGTTGACGAGAAAATTAGGCCTTTTAGTGTATTTATTGACGAGCTATAAGCCTTTAAGCGTATTTTTCTTACAAAAGAGATAATTTTAGAACAATAACTGGAAAAAATAACCCAGAAAAGAACATTTTTGAATGTAAAGCTTGCAAGAAAAATCCCTGAGCTACAATGGGAAAAAGATAACTAGTTTTGTAGATATAATATTCAAAATCATATCCACAGTTATGGGCAAGGTCAATAGCAACACAAAAGCTACGTCGGCCCTATATTGTTAATAGAATTTACAATGGGCAAAGAAAAGGTTCGTCTAAACCTGAAGTATAAGCAACGTACTTGTCCACAATGATGGGATAATTCAGGTGCACTCGATATAAACACAAGATAAATCTGTCTGGACGCGCTGTTTGCAGGTCAAAAAGGCTTTCGTACGCTTTCTTAAACAACGGACAATCAAGCTAGAAAAAAGTTGGATTCATGCATCATTTCATGACTTATTAAGTCTACATGTACAGTCTACATGAACTACATATAAATATATATGTCATTTATATTGTTAATGCCGAAAGGGTCGTATCTAGATACGAAACAACAAGGACTGGTGTCTAGCACTCTACCCACTAGACCACTCCACATTTGTATATTTATAACAATCTCTAGGTTTGCCATAGAACAAAGGTATTAGCATCGAAAAAAAGGGCTAGAAAAAATACCCCATTAAAAAAACAATAAATAGACAACAAAGGTCAAGATCTTAAGAAAAGTATATGTTTCAAAATACTCACGAATTCCTTGTTACTGCCAGTTAATTTCATTGACAGACCTATGACTTCAGCCGCCGATGCAAAAACATCTTTGTATTTGAATTTGACATTCTGAGTCAAGGCTGTGTAGTATCTAGAAGTGATATGGAAATAATTTGCATCAAAAGATGACATGGAAAAATTTCTTGAAGCAAAAACTTTTACGTGTTTATCAATTTAAGTAAATGCTGAATAAAACTTCAATCAGCCAGCCTGTTAGAACATGATCCTAAAGATGGTAATAAGGGTCGCAGGCTATATGCTAGCAGTGTTTTATGTAATCATTTACAGTTGCCTGATGTTTACATTAAGCTTGAAATTCAGAGTTGCAACTTGGAACCGCCCTGCTCTACACACAAAAGCATGCACAACTCTGTCTATACGGCATCATGGTATCGACAAAGATAAAAAAGACCGGTAATCAGTAATTCTTATCACTCATTGAGTAACATGGAAGGAGATCTGCATGCAAGATCTATACGTTGCACCTGTTTTTATGGGTCTAAAAGTTAGAACAAAACAAAATCATTTGGAAAATGCTATCTTTTTCATGAAAAAACAGCAACTGAAAGAATAGCTTTAGAAAAACCTGCATAAAGAACACAGCTCAAAAAAATACTATTCAATCGTCTTTTGTTACAAATGATACAAAAATTTCAATTACTTGCATAGACTATATGTTTTGCTTTAATCTATTAATATACATACAAGCATATTAAACAAGCTTTAGGAGAGGACTTTTAGTATAGTATAACACACTATAAACAGCACATATGTATTAATCATCATAGACAAAAATCGCTTACTGGTCTTCATCCACGCCACAGCCAGGAAGATAAGGAGGAAAACCATTTGTGATCAACACACCAAGAAGTTGGATACCAGTCATGTTGTCCTTTGTGTTTTTGTCTTCACAAGTAAAATGCTCGTAGACCAGTCTATAAAATTTTGCATATTTTCATTAGCTGGTAACAAAAACAAGCAAATATTATTTTAAGGAGAGTTGTTTATCTCTTATGAATTTAAATTAGGATTTCTAACAGTTGTCACTTCGACCACGTTTAAGGAAATTGGTCTTGAATATGCAAAATGGCCATGAAAAGTAAAACGATTGTAATACAACAGCAATTGTAGAATCTTACAAGATGTGCCTTACATTTTTATAAAATGCCATACATTAAGTTGGTTAATCTGTTGCTTGATACATGTTTCTTTCCTGACCTTGTAAGACAGTCAACTAGATAAATGCGAGGAAAAGATATCATAAAGGAAAAGGTACTGAGTCTAGAGTAAAGTAAACTGTTCCAACGAGAATCTGTTGCAATATCTAAAAAATCTGTAGAAATATTTTGTTATAGACAGCGAAGCTCAGCGGTACTTACTTATATGGTACAGTAAGACGCTCCTTCCAGACGCTAGTAAGGGTTTTAATCACTTGCAAGTTGTTTTTCAGAACTGCCCGATTATTGTGATGACAATTCTTAACCATGTAATCAAGCAGGCTACTAGCCAGGATTTGACCGACAGGTGTGTCCTAAAAAGGCATAAGTCTTACCTTAGGATAAACAAATGATTAAAAAAGGTCGATGGAGACCAATGACCAGCTAAAGGAAGCATTTTCATCTATTTAGTTCATAAATGGCAGCAAAAAATAATTTCATATAAAGCTTTTATGCTTTCTGTTCCTTACACCCACTCATCGACAACTCCTGTAAACATCATTGCTTTTTCAGCGACTTATTGTTTATATAGTGCAATCGCTTAGAGGTTGAATTGTGCATTTTATGATACAAGCATGAAACTTGGTATAAGTACACAACTTGACATGGCGAATGAGATGAGATGCAGACCCAATTTCAAAAACACCCCCAAAAGCTAGTTCTAGACTGAGGTACCTGTTTTGGGTCTTCCTCCGCATCTTTTAAAATATGCAAGTTATGTACCTGAAACTTTGTTTTCTGGCGTAATTTGCAGGCTCAATAAGATGAGATGCAGACCCCACTTCAAAACCACCCCAAAAGCTATTTTTAGGCTAGTGTACCTTGTACCCACTCCTCTATTTGGTCCTTCATATCTTTGAACGACGCAAGTTTGTCAAACCCGAAACTTTGTTTTCTTGCGTAATTTGACATGCTAAATAATATTCTGTAGAAAATTCTGTAGATATTGCCTTCAATGAAATAGGCCTACTTTGGTTGCGAAATTTTGATAAATTTATCTAATCTGTCTAATCACGTACGTAGCTATTGGTCACTAGTGAGCTCAGAAAAAATATCTAATCTTACCCATTAGAAATGTAATGTGATCCATAAGGTAGCCCACAATGACAAGGCATGTTAACTTTCAAGCCACGCTGGTTCTCCTAGTGTCCAAGGCAACTTACTTGATATTTGATTACAGCATTTTGTATCATTCAATCTACAATTTGTATCTTTTATCAACGTATCGTTACTCAACAAGTATTCGTTTAAATTCGATAACATGAATTTAAATTTTGTTTATATTTCACTAAGCTTAGCTTCAGTACCTATCTACAGGGGTCTATCTTAAAAGTTATAAAGCGAAACTGCATCGATTTTCCTCTCTCAGTTGCATTTCTTCTTTCCTTTAGTAAATATTTGTCTGGAGAAATTGTCCGAGAACATGAACAATCGGCAAAAACGGTATTACACCAACATGTTTACGATTTTCAGTTTCTTAGTACCCTGTGGAAACCTTGATTCAATCGGCTCTCAACTGCCAAGGAGCTTTTGATTGGCTTGCAATTGTCAGGGCCTTTCTTGATTGGCTTGCAACCCTTAGCAATCTTTGCACTCAAACACAATGTTGCTCCCGTTCATCGTGAAAGCCTTTATGAGACCCATCCTAGAAAGCCCAAACGCTTTGGGGCTCTTAGGAGTTGCTCGAACCCCAACCTATGTCGGTTACGCCACTGGTCAGTAGCACTTGATAGAGCAACGAAAGCTCCGTTAACCTCAGGAAAATTCTTCCAAACAGAGTTTGCCTTTTACACGAAATTAAGAAACTGTGTCGCAGCCAATAAAATTGCATAATTAAGTAACCATTTTTTTTATTCTGTCATCCGTTTTGCTTGCGACTCTTCTATGCCCTGAACTGGAAATACTTTTCACGCAGAAAAACATTCTACTATCAGATTCTTCGTGATTAAAAAGCTTCTGGGGGCAATTTAGGGACATCTTATCTTATTCAGCATGTCAAATTCCGACAGAAAACCATGTTTTGGGTTTCTAACTTGCATAGTTTTAAAGATATGGAGTAATGCCCAAATGAGGACTGGGTGCAGGTACCCCAATCTAAAAATTGCTTTTTGGGGTGTTTTTGAAGCTGGATCTGCATTTCATATTATCTACCATGTCATAAAGTGTACTTGTACCTAATCCTATGGTTGTATCATAAAATGCACAATTCGTTCTATTTTTGAGGTTACACATCTGTTATCTAATTTCCCATCGAAGACGTGGATACAACGTATTATACAGTATGTTACTTGTATAAATACGGAGCAATTTAATGGTTATCAAAACACAAAGAACTTGCCTCTGGAATACAGGTGCTTGACCAGGATAACATCACCACGACTATGTCAATCACAAAATAATTGAGACAAGCTCCCTTGATCTCACCACTAATTAGAAATTTTACGATCACTGGAAACCAAAATTTTCCATAGGGCTCAAAAACCTGTTAAAAACACAATTACCTTCAATTAAACAGATTAGTGAGAAGTCTTACAAGCATGAGAAATGTACACATTTTCGCGACTGGTAAACAGTTACAGTATCCAAGAATGACTCAGTGGTTAGGGTCGCGGGTTCGAGACCCTGACATGATCAAGTATTCACCCAGAGTGAGGGGAGTCGCAAGCTCTCTACAATTCCAGACATATTAATCATGAGGTAGGATCATATCGAGAAAAAGGTGCTCGATAAGCATAGCTTTTCAGTGTCCTAAAACTACCTTCAGACGCTAGGCAGAAACAAACAGATAACAGCTACAGTTCACTTGGAAACACTTCATTTCAGGCAATCAAGGATTGGCTTATGACTGGTGTTTAATGGCTTTAAAAAATTAAGCGTAAAAATTGATTTGAGACGCCTTGAAACATCCTTGAAATTTAGATTCGTAGTATGCTTTTCCTTATTCATCCCAGTCATCATAATCAAAGGGTAAAGGTTAGTTAATTGAAGTATGGCCTAATGATACCGAGAAGATTGTAACGCGTAGAAGCTTGCAACAAACTTGAAATAGAATAAAATATCTTGCCTTGGGTTCGTTGATGATAAGCTTCAAAATAAACAACTTCACATTTGTGCTAGCGTCTGCAGAATTCATCTTTTTCTCGAGACATTTCATCCACGATGGCATATCTTGCCCCTCTGTACCCTTAACGTAGAAGACGATAAATGAACGCGTGAATATAATTACTGAAAAATACACAATAAAAGCTCTTATATATCTAATTGCATAAAAGAATAAAATATTCAAACATCATTTGTTGCTTTGATGCACAAACAAGATAATTGAAACAGTAAAAGATATATTTAATTCCTAAGGTTTTGAAAATAATAAACTTCAGCAATTACGACTCTACAATGAAATTTTCTTAAACATAAAAAATTTTTATGTTACAATAACAAGATGACCAAAGCTGATATAACTTCATCATCATCATCTCTACTGCTGGAGTTCGACATTCTTCTCTAATTTCGTGGGTCTTTCTTTGAGAATTATGTTTATGAATTACTCTGTTTAGTTACTTTAGATTTACAGTTACTTTGAGGATAATCCGCACAGTCTTCTCACTTTGAGGACTACTTCCATCAGCAGTCTAAGTTTAGCAGCAGTATATTCGGTCATTACAACACAAGAGGAATATGCAACGTTATAAATCTGCTTTTCAACAAAAACAAGGCAAAAAGTGACAGCTTACTTCAGCAGGATGACTGTAGACTCCGGAGTCCCTCATATGCTTCAAAAGTGACACTAGAACCGGCATGCATTCATTCTTATTAATTTCATCCATTTCCAAAACCTCTTCCGGTCCAGTAGAAAATTCCTTGAAAAATAACCAAAATTTACTCTACCATTGTTAAAAGGCTTGTTTGCGAAAGTAAATCAACCATTATTAATAATAAAAATGATACACTTATACGTACATCTGCACCCTCTTCTGTTGAGTTTTTTCGGTGGCTCATTGATTGAGATCTTAAAAATTCTGCACTGGTGGCAGTTGAATATGCCTAGAAGCAACGCAAAGAAAGTCAGCTAAAGCCGTCCAATGCATATTTGGATAATGCGAGAATAGATGAATTTGACATAAGATTAAAAAAGGTGTAGAAGGAAGGAATTCATATTAACAAAGAAGAAAAAGGTAGAGCTATTGAAGTGGATTTAGATAATAAATAACGAGCGACAGAAACTTGAATAGAATGCAAAACAAACTTTCGAATAAAAAAACTGAAATACCTGTATCGGTGTTGAAAAGTCAAACTGGCTTAGTTCTTGGCTCAGGCTACTGTTCATTAAATACTGAGATGAAAGATAAGGCATGATGCCTAAAACGAAACAAAAGCATAGTGGATTAAAAAGAAAAGGGTTTAATGAAAAGTGCCTTGATTTACAAGAGGAAGGTAACAGACTAACAATAGTCTCAAAAATATATTTTTTCTAAGTAGAAAATAAATGCAACACCTCAAGAAAGCAAAAGATGCCAAAGAAAATGAGGATTTAAAAAGGGGAGTACCTCTTTCCTCAAAGTCATCGCCAGTGTTCTCATTTGTCGTTTGTTTTCGCCTGATCATCTGCAGCTGTCTCTTTCGTGCGAATGGAACCTAATGGGGGCAAAAATGCTGCAGTGATAACATTGCTATAAGCCATTTGCAAAAATATTCATTTGTGAACATGAAAACCTAAATGTTTACTTGTATTCAATGATACGTTAATGAGTAAATACTTAAATACAACGAAAAGGCTGTATTAATCTCCTGTCTTTGAATCCCTTCTTCCAATAAGCCCCTTCCAAAGCAAAGTCTTTAAATAGGCGCCACCCTCCGATTCTCGTTCAATAGGTGATAAAGTTTGTCAGCGCACGAATAGACCTGATTTAGTGTAAAAAAATTCTTATCCAGCTCTGCCTTTACATGCTCCAGTTTGCTTCGAAAAACTTACACAGGTTTAAGTATTTACAACTGAAAGAATTGGCCTTCTTGTCAGAGTTCAAAGCCTCGTAGTAGATAAAATGTTAAAAAGAAGACAAAACTAGTTTTTATTTTATAGTTTTTACATTGGTTTCCTAGTTTCTAAACTCTTTTTCTAAAAAGCCCCAAATCAAAATTAGATCCCTTCCCTTTAGGCCCTCCTCTAGAGCTTTATATAATATAAAATGAATAAAATGAGAACTTAAGGTCCGTTATGAAAAACTTACGATGATTATTCAAATTTCTGTAAATTAAAATATGACTTTGCATAAAAAAGATCTCAAGACGACAAGGAATTTTAAGAAATGAATTATCATTACAAAAAGGTAAAGGAGAAGGGATATATTTGCATAATGGTAAAGGAAACTCATTTTAATCATCCATTCAAGCTAAGAGAGCGGGGTTTTGTTTTATTGAATACCGATAAATTTGAATATATTTCAAGAAAACAAACTTTTGAACATTACTGACTGTTTGCTCAGCCTCAAAACTGTACTCTTTCTCGTTATCAATGATATTTTCCCAAAGCATTTGTCCCTGAGCAGGATAAGAAACGATACATTACATTCAAAAACTAATTCAGCAACACATAGAAAGCATTATAAAATGTGCTTCAAATAATCTGTTGCATAAATCGTCACTGTTTGAAACAAAATAAAAATGACACGAAAAAAAGCAATTATGTTGAAAAAAATTCACCGAAAACTTTCAAAATACAAGTTTATAAAAATGACAAATATTGAAATTTAAACCTGTATGCAAAACTAAAGTAACGAAAGTAACACAATATAAATAAGCAATTTTGAAATATAACAGACTATATTATAATATATATAACAGATTATAATATAATATATAATGTTATTCTATTTAGAAATAGCAACTTATTTCATTGTCCCTGATTCAAGAAAATGATTTTTAAAAATCATTCTTGCTGGTTGGATAAAAGCATTGACTTGTTAAGATACTTAATATTAAAAGTAAACAATTTGACACTTAATATTAAAAAAAACCAAAAAAGAATGAAAATTACTTTGACCATTAGGCAGATATAATTGAATGACAAGAGCTGAGAATTGATCATCTTAGTCTATGGCTAAGAAAGTTGCATAGGAGTCCCACATAACATAGTCAAATATACTAGTAAATGAAAAGAGGTTTTACTTTAATAGGGTTCTCCGTAAAAAGAAGGCCAGTGTATAATTGCACTTCTGTTTGCGTGTTGGCAATAACAGCACAAAGAGCGTTTTGCGCGGCACAATGATACTGTCTGCGGAGGTCTTTGAGCATAGTTTCCCCTCTACAGTCTTCACTTCTTGCTGCGTGCGCGGCTCTAAGAGGCGAAAAATGACAGATTTTTCAAGCTATTTAACGCATTTCGTCAGCAAGTATATCGTAGAGAGCCGACTATCATAGCTTCATACAATATTCCGCTACTTTTTACGCAGAATTCTTTGAACATGGGTTGGCTCTTCGGATTAATACATGATTATAATATATATATATAACGTTGGCTCAAGACCCTTTACCGTCCTAATATTAACAGTAATCTTGCAGCTTTTTCGTCTTTTATATCTGTAATTGATAGTTGAATAAAGTGCATCAAACTGCGTATATTGGAATGTAAACCATATTGATGGAAAGGCAATCACTAGGAAGCCTAAGTAATCCGAAGAACAGAAACATTTAGGAAAATTATGTAGTATTGTGAATTTCATAAATAACAACCCAGATTCTCTTTTGGCTTACTTTGTAACTGCTTTTGTTAGCTCTTTGCCTGATTCAGTCGCTGGGGCATACGATTTTACAATTTCTGAGTTTTTTGACATCAGCTCATCTTTAGGTAGCAAAACAAATAAGGACTGAATTATTTTGAAACAACATATCTTTGTGACAAGCTGTGCCTCGAACACAGACTCTGGGAGCTAAAAAGATACAGAAAGATATAATTATCTCTTGGCAAAAAGTGCAATTTTTATGAGATATAGATAAAAATGGAAGGTTTGTTGAGTTTCTGAATTCCTTGCGATTGATTTATCAATGCTAGAAATTCTTTGCATGCTGCATATGGTAAATGAAAAGAGCAATTAACGCAGCATATGGCCTGTGAGAAAGGCTTTGTTCTTTATGCTATCTTCATAACTTCATTCCTAGCGCCAAAGGCAATTGACGTTTTTTCATCACTGGATGCCGAAGAGAGAGTGAGTGCTAGGAAGGGAATCTTGTTACGTAATCTTTCAAGTCATAAATTACTATACACAAAAGCAGAGCTCTAAGTAGCCCTTTGTCGAAAATGAGGTAAATCACAGACGTACCTGAATTATGTACCTACATTCAAAATTTTCATTCTGTAAAAAATTAAATCAAGAAAGAATCAAAGTTACAGGCTGAACGAGATACGAGTTTAAGTCCTACCTTTATGAGCTTGCTTTCAATTTTCTCCATAATGGCTTTCATGTTCCCTTTAAAAAATGCTTTCACCACACTGACTTCAACATTTCGGATCGCCAAAAACAAAACACGATCCATGACACCTCTGCGAATACTGTTTGGATATTTCTCTGCGTCTACCATCACGTTGAAACACAAATTCAATGAATGTTCTGCCTCTTTCCTGTTCAGTCTAAATAAAAAAATACGCATTGATGTTACTGCATATTTAAGAGACATAACATTGAACTGCATAAAATAAACAAAGTTAATGCAATCATGAAAGTTACATCGCTTTGCATATATTAAAGCACAAGGGGTTTCATGGAGGGATAGGCATTCTATCTTCAAAAAGCTCAATGCAGTCTGAAATTTCGAAGACCAAATTTTGAAATCTATCAATGGGATTTGGATAGGGAAATGATTGATTTGCCCTATCAAACAAATCAAAACTAGATAGGAAACGACATAACGAGATAGAAAATTCTGCAAAATGACATACCTTTCAAAATACATTTTCAGAGATGGTGAAATGATTTTGTCAGTGACATCATCTGTTTCACGAACCGTTATTGCAAGAAGTGTGTCCAGTAGGACATGGCTGGATGAGGCAATAAGGCTTCTGAAAAGCTAAATTTGTAAAAACATGGTTAAGACCAAAATCATGGTTAAGACTTTTTAAGGCCGGTTTCCACTTGAGAGAAACCTTCAAAGATTGGTATGTTTTTTTTATCTTTCCAGGCAAAGGAAAATTCGCTAGCGAAATGTGAAAGTTGAAAGGAGTTTGCTAATTCGCTCAAATGGAAACTGGCCTTTAAAGAGGGCAAGAAATTGGCCAACAAGCCATCTAATAAATTTATGTAGAACTGATTTTTAAGAACAAAGACTCTGAAGTGCGAAATACTAAAAAAATTGGAGCCGGACGTTGTGGCTTATTTCTCACTATATTGTAGCGATGAAGCCCTAAAGCGAATTCAACACCATCTTAAAAAAGGGGGTGCTCTCTCCTCGATTAGTTTATCTATTGAGAGAGCTCCTCCTAAAGAAATCCCCCTGCATGCAACATCTTATGTAAATTGTTATTTTTTGTGTATTTTTCTTAGTATGTTTATGTAATTTGTAGTCATAGTATGTAAGTAGTGCTTCATTAAGATATTGTATGTAGAGGAATTTTACAATATAGGAACTGAAAGATACATTCTAGCTCCCTTGCTTTATTTCATACCAATATTTCAATGATCGTAAGATATACAATGTCATTGAGGTTATCAATTTACCTTCTGCAAACAGCCAATATACTCCCCATACTTTGCCCCACCTTTTTTCAAGTCATCAGAGCAGAGGGGAAAGAATGTCGCCATAAATCGTTTTAATGCGTCGCTAAAACGATAGAATCTTGCAATAAACAAGGACAATTAGACAAAGTAACAAGTGACTTGCTACGCAACAAGTATAGTCTTAAAGGACGTTATCTTTGATAATCAATCTTGGAATGTCAAATATCGATCCTCTCTAATGCCTCATTAAAGGATACAAGAGAGATGAAAACATTGCGAAATATTTTGAAAGGCTCAGAATTGTGATGAACAGAAAAAAGCGAAAATCAGGAATGAGAAAGAAAGGAAAGCCGGGGAAGAAAGCAGTGAAGAAATGAGTAATATTTTTGTACTTAAAATATTTAAAGGAAAAAGTGGGGCAAAAAAGAAAGTATGAAAAAAGTAAAAAAAAGCGGAGAAAAAGGAAAAAAGGAAACGAAAATATACGAAAGGTAATATTGGTTGACACTGTATTCAAATTGTACCTCACGATAGATCTTTTGTCCTCATCAAGACCCTCTAAAAGCTGTGGCAACAATTCAAACATTTGTCCCTGAAAAGTATTCATATCAATATTTAGATAGGCAATAATCAAGCATACAAATATTTTTTGATTTCATGACATGGAATTTCCTTAATACTGCCAGCTGATATACCCGGGTCTCACATGTATTAGAAAGCATTGCGATACAAAATGTTCCTTTTGATACTTATGAATGTTAGGAAATGGTTCAATAAAGACATGAGCGTTACGCTATAGTACCTTAAAAGCCAGTCCCGTGTTTGTGTCGGACAGTAACTGCAAAAAGCAGGCCAAAGTGGGAGAAGCATTGGAGCCTGACGATCGAAGAGTTTCCTACAATACATAAAGACAAGGAGCATTAGCAACCGAGCAACAGAGTTTGATAACAAAATTCAGAGTGGAGCTCATCAAAGAAAAGTAAGAGTTCGTTTGACTGCAAGAAAATTATTATAATAGCAAAGCTACAAAATAAAGCTATACTTGAGGGTTGATGATCAACAGACATCTAAGAAGAGCTAAGACTGCAACTTTTCGTTCAATGGTCGAATCGGATCTCCACCATGTGCATATATTCATCCAGTTCACAAGTACTTCATTAAAAACCGAGGCAGCATCACTAGAAAAACGAAATTATAAGCGATCACATGTGGGATTTTCATCATGATAATAAAGAATAAACCAGACAGGCTTTTTTAAAGGTTATTCAAAATTTGATCACTGAGAAAAAAATCAATTCGACTTTGGTGGTTCTTCTTTAATAAACAATTATTATTATTTTCATGCACCATGTAATAGGAAATCAGTAAGATACCTACATTTTTAGTATATCAATAGTTGTTTTAACCTTTCAGCACGACACAGGACGTCATAGGTCAAAATTAAAAGTTTTCTTTAGTTCCTAGAGGGTGGCGATAGTGGAGATAGCGACAGCTTTGTCTATATCTATACAATAAAAAGATCCATATATTTGTAAAATGGCTGAATTAATTTCAATTTCGATTTCTTTGTGGAATAGTGACGCTAATTCATGGAGAAAATAGCTAAGAACATGCAAAATTTGCACCTTTTTAAGGCTTTCTGCTCTCCTCTCTTTTTCATATCCCTGGAAACGTGTTCCACGATCCCTTGCAAAATGACAGGCAAGTTTTGATGGCTAGGCTGTCCTCTCGTGATGAGATGAGAAACAAAAGATGCATTTCCATGAGTGATGTATTCGTTGACAACAGATCTAAATAGCCCGTAGAAAACAACACCTCTTGGAGAAAGATTCACAGTAGCTGAAAATGAAAAGAATGCATTAAAAAGACTACTGGTAAGTAGTCATTCAAGAATAAATCTTATGACTACAAATTGGGCATTCAATGAAAAATTTGTTTAATAATATGCTAAATCAAAACTTTCTTTGGAATATAACCAACAGCCATGGATCCGTGCATAAAAAATATATCAGAGGACAGATACATGAGTAGGATTTGAATATTTTGACATACTAAAAGGTTTAAATACTTTATGATTACATTGTTCAAATTAAAAAACGCAAAAAGTCGATATTGTGACGTCATTGCTTAGCCATTCTAAAAAACAGCTTTGCTTACACAAGGTGCTCTGCTAATATAAAGTGAATTAGCACATGATCCAATCAGAAATTCAGAGTGTTTTCTTGTGATATTAATGATTGCTTGTGGTTGAAGTATACCGTAAAAGCTCTATTAATATTGAATTATTAATAATCCCCCCTCTCTAGAAAGCCTTCTCTCTAGGACTGAAAAAAAAAATGATAGAGCTTTTACGGTATTTATCAAAACCACAGCTTCCATATGTGTAAATGTAACTAAAATCCGGATTTCCCTTGACTTCTAAACAACTTTTGACAACAGTTTGTCTCTAAAAACATGGCTACCCTGACAGGTTAAAATTCTTAATAGAACCATGAAGGGGCAAGTTATTTGGAACTAAAAAATAGTTGTCCAGTCATTAAGTCTTTCATAAGAATCAATTTTCAATTTGGACAAAAAAATTCGAAAACAAAAACTTTAGCCGATAGCTGAAAAATTGCTGAATCAATTCGACATACTCGTTTCCTATCAAACTGACTTGTCTGGGAAGTAAGAATAAACTTAATTAATAACCAATTCTCATTTTTAGTTCTTTTTTACCTTGGTGACTTTGAACTGGTTTCGTATCGAGCAGGATTTCCACCAAAGATTCCGGCTGAAATGGTTAGCATAATCGAAATATAAATGAAATATAATCTTTGAAATTAAATATAAATGCTAACATTGCATAAACTAAACTAAACTAAGAGGGTATTATTGTGGGCTTTTGGATATTTTAGAGATAATTTCAAAAGATGTTACTCAGTGAGGCATCAAATGACTGAAGATATAATTAATTTGAATGCATAAAGAAATTGGGTTGAAATAAAGCCAAGATTGTTGCAATTGCAAAGTCGTGCACAACATTTGCATCGTCCAATGTAGCAGTAAAATGGATATGAAATAAAGAGTAGACCTCAAGAAACAAAGTGCACCATGACATTCGCTGTGGACATCTTATTCGGTTGATATTACATCGATATCAACCGAATAAACAATGAATGTTGTGACAAGTGACTGTGTTATAAAATAACAGGCATGTACAGGAAAAAGGCAAGTTAGTAATGCAAATACCTCCGATTCAATTTGAAGAGCTAATTGCAGCATCGATTCAGCAAGTCTTTTCTGCGATGGATTAACTGACGTATTATCACTCCCGGATAGAGGTAGCAGGCCATTGAGTACGTTGGACATCAGTTCTGAATTGAGTGATTTGATTTCCTTGCAAAAAAAGCTTGGCAATTAGCTTTTAAAAAGCAACAGGAGCTATAGAAAAGGCTCTATCTATTGCCTTTGCCCTGACTTGATTATTCTTCCAGTTTTACGGCAAAAGAATAAGTATCAATTTACAACCCACAAATTAGACTTCATAAATTTTTACAACTGCCACATGCTGCAAAAACAGCACAAAAGCAAAGACATAAATCACAATACGATAGAATCGTCAAATATAAAAAGAGCAGTTGTAATACAAATAGTTACTGAAACAAAATGAATGGAAAAAGACAGTATCTAAAATACAATGCTTTTCTAACCTGTGGTTTCATACAAAGCTCAAGTAGGCTAGCATTTCTGAGCAACTGATAACCAGCAGTTAATTGTTGTACGCTTAAGAACTTCTCGTTCCCTTCTAATGTGTTACTTCTCAAATCCAAAGGCAAGTGCATAGTAACATCGTACCTAGATACAAGAAAAGGAAGCGTTCAATTTGCTGATAGAAGGACTGGGAGCGAATAGAAGGCGCCAACGTAATAACAAGAACAAACCCTGAAAAGGTTTTTAAGCAGAGCGACACAGTTTTATACTAATTAATTTTTTTAGAAAAAGATTTGCATGGAATTAAGGAGGCATTAAAGACATGAAAAGCAATAAACAAGCAGAAAAAACATAAAACACAAAACACCTTTCTTTGGAAATTTGCGAGCCAATAGTCTTAACAAAATCTTCAAACTGGCGTGAAGGCAATCCTGTTTTCATATTCAAACACAATGACAGCATCTGAAGGAATGAAAATAAACACATTTGGTTATAAAATCAAAACATATTACACAGAAAACAACTTACCATATTATATATCAACATATTTCAATATACAACATTAATATTTCATGAAGTAAACCAACTTGAATATGAGATTCAATGAAAGTAATAAATTTCTAGGCATAATGGTTTTTTGGGGGGGGGGGGGGGGGTTTTTTTTTAAGTACGTGTAAAGGACTACTTTTCAATTAGTTGGAAAATTATTTAGAAACGAATAATATTTTCAAAACTTTGGTACTTATTATCACATTCTTTCATTATTCCGAGAAAACGAATTTGCTAGATTTACCACAATTACGCGAGCAATCGAAAAATGAAACTAGAACTCCCTGTAAGTGCTCGAAATAGCATGGTAGCCAGCAGCAAGGTATCTTTGCTAAGCAGCATATCTATTCATTATGAATTGAGTTATATGTCAATCATTCACTAGACAGGGAAACAAACCTTTTAGGGGCAAGCAGACCTTTAGGGGCAACATGACCAAAGCACATTCTTTTTAAAACATCAACCGGGTTCGAAATGGATACAAAAACCTGAGCAATTATGCCCAGACGATATTCAAATTGAAAAAGTCATTATTCTATCACTGATATTGAAAAATTGTTCCTAAAAATAATGAATAAACTTTACTTGTTCTGGAAGTTTTTGCAAAACATCAAGATCGGCAATATCAAAACCTATTGATTCCGGCTCTAGGATACATTTGCAAATAACCAAATGCAATTCCTTCGAAAATACATTGAAAGCTTGTCCCTCAAACTGCAAAGCAACACGAAGAAAAGTTTGATTATAAAACAAGAAGTGGTTTATCGATGAGAGATGTTGAATGAGCGGTGCTGGATGTTGGACATCAGAGCAAACTAGAGAAGCGTCGAATACCCGAATTGAAAAGGTTTTTCTCCAATAAAGCCAGAGAAAGATACATTCAGAAGGATTAGACCCAAAAGTGGACTGAAATATGTAGTATGAAGAATGGAGAAAATAAAAGTAATCAACCATAATTAAACGTTCATCAAAATATGGCATATATGTTGCTGCTACTGAAGCTCTGTTTCTAGGTCTAACAGAAAAATATTCATGTTTTTAAGTTGGTCAATATTAAATAAAAAGTGATACCTCTTTGCTTTTCCATATTCCAGCTGCTAAGGTTGTTGTTAAAAAATCAAGAGTACGGACGATTGCTGTGCATTTTGACCTGGAAATTAGCTGTTTATGTTAATTTTGCTTTTTATAATAGTTAGACAATAAACATAATTGCTACTGGCTTTAATGGGGACGGACTACATAGATTGACTCTATGCATAATTAGAACAAAGTGGCTGAATATGGGCTGTAACAGGAGGCCTTGGAAAGATGTTGCCTCTAGTCTCACTGGTTGAAAAGGAAGCTTCTTCCCAATGATATTTTGAGCAGAATCCTCAATTCAAAAATGACAGGGAAGAAAATGATATCCCCAGAAGAAAATGTTTCTATGACTTTAAATACATCTTCTCCTCTATTTCGTGTCTAACGTTGGTTTTGAAAATAAAAACATTCTGTAATTTACCATGTTTGAACTCGCTGTTATTTCGCTTTTGATATTATAATGTAAAAGTGTTTTGAACAAAAGACTTAAAATAAGTAATAAAATAAACTTAAAGTGCTTCTGAGGTAACATATTCGTCAAATCATTTTGGCTAAAACTAGTAGAAAACTTTTCCTGATTGCGATGAATTAGTTCGTTTTCTGTGATGATAACTTAATATATAGTATAACTGAAGTGATATTTAGATCTAACCATAGTTTAATGCTAGGAACATACTGTGGCAGGTGAAGAACGAACTGGAACTTTTTGGATGTTTTTTGTGTGTTTCATAGCACTGCAACTAATCTAATCTTTAGCTATTCATAGCAGAAACAATGAGAATTTACCAATAACTTTTCATGGCCTAAACGTAAATTTGAGCTGAAAAAACTTGAGACATAAAATTAAAATTCAGATAACATCAACATATATTACTTACATAAGCAACGCACTTTTTGACCTTACAATCCGTTATATATTAGTAGTTTTGCGTACTTTTACTGTCCTAAGTTTGGTTTTAGCATAAATACTTTAAACTCAAATTGTCTTTATCTGTCCCTTCTAATTTCAAAATGTTAGGGTGAAAACACCTAAATTAGGTTTGCAAGCCCGAAAATGGTTATTTTATAAGGACAAACCTGTTGTACAAATCCTTATCCATCGGTGTTAAAATGTGTGTCTCTGACTTTTTTCCAGCTCTAAAACATTTCATCATAGCTGACTCTAAATCCTCAAAAGCCAGCTCCTTGATAAGATACACTAGAGTCGCTAACATCACACTGCTTGGGTCTGAAAGCAAAACCACGTCTTGCTCTAAATGCTTACACTGGATTACTTGTTCATTTATATCATTGACATCAATGTTTCACAAGAATGGTAACATTTTACAGAGAAGGCCTATCACCCAGATAGAGACAAACAACAGCATAAAAAGGATGAAAGAAAGCGTTAAGGTGGAAGAGTGCTTTGAAAACAGGGAGGTTAAAGAAAACGAAGTGCAGGAGATCTTGAAAGGAATGAATGCAAAGAAATCGGCAGGATGGGATCAATTATCTCCAGGGATATTTAAACTGAGTGCAACAGCTATCGCCCCATCTCTCACAAGAATTTTTAATGAATGCATACACCAAAATTCTTGGCCGGATGATTGGAAAAGAGAACAGTGTACCCCTGCTTTTAAGAAAGATAACAAAATGTGGATAAGAATTATAGGCCAATTACAACTTTACCTGTGGTAGATAAGATATTTGAAAATCTGATTGCGGAACAGACAGAAGTAGGGATCAAACCCTACCTAAGTGACAGTATCACAGCCTATAGGAAGGGCCACAGTACAGAAACGACACTACTCACGTTGGTAGAGAACTGGAAAGATGCAGTTGATAAGAAGCAGATAGTTGGAGTATTGTCTACCAATATGAGTAAAGCATTTGACTCTCTTTACCCTCCACTACTGCTAAAGAAAATGGAAATATATGGCTTTAGCAAGAATGCCAAAGATATGATGAAATATTATTTCGAGACTATTACAATCGTAGTAATGAGAAAAGTAAAAAAATGTTAAAAGGGGAGTAGCTATGGATTAGTCCAAGTTTTGTTTCTACAGCAGAATATATAGTATGTGGTGCGAATGGAGATGCTTGTACGTTTGGAGATGAGATAGCGTTTATGTTGATAATCAATGGACAAACAGTCACACATGTCGACGAATGAGCGGCAGGAGTTGCCAAAAATACCAAGTGAACTGATGGAAAGATTGACAAACGAGACTGACTTAAACTGACGTTTTAAGTCAGATACAAGGATATTTCTCTGACTCTCTGACAGCATTGCAGTTGAGATTTGTTTCAAAGCCTATGATTAGCTCTAAAACGTACAGACAGTTTTCCTTAGTTTTAAGAAGTAAGTCAGGGCGTAGTTGATCTCCAGTTATGATAGAAGGGGAAAGAAAGCCTGGTAAATCTGCGTAGAGAGAAGACCCATTTATTGCTTGGAAGAAAGTGGCTAGAAAGTTTAATGCAAAATTATGACGCCAAGTATAGCGGCCTTGGTCAAGGTACACTTTGCTTCCAGCAACGATGTGTATAAGTGTTTCTTGAAGAAGACAGAATTCACAGTCAGATGTTTGACTAAGGTTCCATTTCAGCAGGTTTTTACGAGATTGTTAAGATACTTGATTGTAAAGTTAAAGATGTTACTAGGCAAATTGCTCTGTGTACTTGACCAAATACCGTTCAGCTTTTCCAGTGAATGTTTTAGTAGGAAGGTAATTGTAGCTCCCTGAGATGATAAGTTTTGAGAGAGACGTTCTTTGTTGTCTGATTTGACAGCCTTTAATACCTCTTTAGTATTACGATAGATGTCGTACTGTAGGTTCGTGACATGACTGGTGTCTGAATGTCAATGTTAGGAGAAGATTTTAGGGCATTGCGACAGACGGTTTGGCATTGCGTAAATTTGACAGAAGGCAGTTGTAGGTTTAGGCCAAACTGATTTTTTGAGAGGAAAATTCCACTCAAGGTAGCAGAAACAGGAAGATCAAGCCACTGGTGAATGTAATTGGACACAAGATTGTCTAGGTTTCGGACAACCCAGGTCTTTGGTAGATCAGTAACAGTAAAATGCCATGAAACTTTAGACAGAACATAACGATGGTATAATAGCAGTTTGTTTTTAGGATGGAGAGGCAAGTCGTCAATATCCTTCATAAGAGTAGAGAAAAGAGAAACGAGTTTAGATTTATGATCTGGGTTACTCATTTCAAAATCAAAGAAACGGCCAAGATACTTAAAGGAATCGCCATTTTTGACAGCAGGTACTATTTGGTTGCAGATGAAAAGTTTCGGTTGAAATTGGAGGGATCGCCTTGAGTGTTTCTTGATACCAAAGGTAACACATTTGTCAACACTGAAAATGAAGTTTGTCCATTGGCACCATCTGGTAAAGCAGTTTAATAAGAGTTGGTTCTCCTTATCTCCACTGGTAACAACAGCAGCCTCATCAGCAAACTGAAACCAGTGTACTGGCTGAAACATGCGGTCATTACCATCATGGGGGGAGAAACCAAGCTGCTTATATTTATCTGATTTGATGTATTGTATGAACGTGTTGAAGCAAAGGTTGAAAAGAAGGGGGCTGAGGCAGTCACCTTGCAATACGCCGCGGCGAACGGGAATTGCAGAGGTTTGGAATTTATCGGTGATGATACAGGTCTTAAAATCTAGATATAAGCTTGAGATCAATGGTTGAAATTCCGAAGGTACATGATGATAAGCAAGAATAGCTGGTATCAGCTTGTGGTGAACTTCGCCAAAGGCGTTTTTAAGATCCAAAAAAGATACCACTAAAGATCGTTGCTTAATGCGATAATGTGTGCTCTAATGTACCTGATACTATTGAGGTGAAGCCTTTTTGGATTTGGTGCTCGATGAAGCCATTGTGTTTCAGAAAAGTGAAGATGGAGTCACGTAAGCAAGAAGTGAATATTTTTAAGGGCACCGATTCTAAAGTGATTGGCCTGAAATTTGATGGATCATCTGTGCTGTCTTTTTTGTAAATCAAGATAGTGGAGGTCTTAATAATAATAATAATAATAATATGTCCTGCGTATGGCACAAAACTGCATCCAGTTGTGGAGTTTCGATGTGGGATAAAGTGGTTACGCAATTGCTTCCAGGTCACCCTTGAGCAAGGTTTACTACCTGTCAGCTCCCCCCGAGACTTTGACGTACTGGGCTGTCGTCCGGCGGGGGCTAGTCTGTCTCATGGGTGGGGGGACTCTTTAGCTTTGTTTGGCAGCCCCCCTAGTGATGGTGTCACAATAAAAATACCCGAGGGAAGGAAAACCTGGATCAAACCAACCTCATGACTTTTTTATCATGATGCAGCAAATGAATTCTATTGATAATAGAGCAACGTGAATGGGGCTGGAACCAGTCAAGGTGAAAGCTCCTCGTTCGGCAGGGGTTTTTGGGGACAGCAGCGAGGCCTAGGTCCTCATCATGCTAAGGCTAGGACGAGAGTTAACTGGACAAATGAGTTAAATAAGATCATAATGGAGTGCTATTATCGCAGTGAACCTAAAAAACGCGGATTTAGGAAAAGGATGTATGCAATTTGGCAAGAAAAAGGATTGTTTGAAGCATCTGAACAACAGGTTGGGGGACAGGCACTTTGTATAAGGAATAATCAATGGCAATCTAACTTAGAATTAGAAGAAATCAAGAGAAAGATAGATGAAGGAAATGCAAGTGATGATCCCGAGTTGGGCGGAGATGATGGCAGAGCAACAGAAGATCATCGGACGAATGTGAACAGTGCACAATCACTATATGAGAATAGTCCTAATGAACAGGATGAAATAGCTGAGGCAAATGGGTACCGGTTAACAGAAGCTGTGAGTGAAGACCAACAAGAAATCATAACGATCTTGAAAAAGAAACTGGAAGATGTGAATCAGCTAAAACCAGTGAACTTACGCAACATCGATAGATGATCATTGAAGGAGAAAACAAAGAGAGTAAATGAAGTGATTGGTAAGCTAAAATCTAAAACCATCGGTGATACGAACAATTTGATTTTGGCTGGAGCAAACGTAGTTGCTGATCTGATAGAAACAAAAGTGCCGAAGAAAAAAAACGAGAAAGGATCGTGGTGGTAAAGAAGAATTCAAAGTCAGATTGATTCATTGAGAAAAGATATTAGTAAGCTAGATAAGTGGAATAAAAATAAGTTAAGAAAAGAGAATGTGAGAGAGAAATTGAATGAAAAATACAAAGTTAATGCTAAAGGAATAAGGGCTGTGATTGAAGAAATGAAGCAGAGAGTTAAGGCAAAGAGTGCAAAGATCAGAAAATATGAAGACAGGAACAATGCATTTCAACAGAATCGATTATTTCAATCATATCAAAAAAGTTTGTTTAAGAAGCTAGAAGGCTGCGGGAGACAAGATGATATAACACCTGATGCAGAGGAAAGTAAGATCTTTTGGGCTAATATATGGGACCATGGCGCCAAGCACAATGAAAAGGCAAAGTGGCTGGAAGATGTAAAAGAAAAATAACAAGAAAATAGACCAACAAGATGGATTTTCTATATCAAGGGACACTCTAACAACTCAGTTGAAGAAAATGCCTAAATGGAAAGCGTGTGGACCAGAAGGTGTGCATGGTTATTGGTTAAAAGAATTCACAAGTCTCCATGTAAGACTCGCAGTGCAACTTGATGCATGCTTAATTTCAGAAGAAGTGCCAGTATGGAGGACGAAAGGCCGGACGAGTTTGATATTGAAAGACAAGATCAAAGGAAACATAGTGACCAACTTTAGACCTATTACATGCTTACCAATGGTATGGAAGCTTGTGACAGGAATAATATCTGAGAAAATTTATCACCACTTAGAGAGCAAACATCTTCTTCCAGAAAAGCAAAAGTAATGCCGAAAAGGAGCCCGTGGCACTAACGATCAGCTTTTGATTGACAAAATTGCAATGAAGAATTGCAAGAGCAGGTTAACCAATCTTTGTCTTGCTTGGATTGATCACAAGAAGGCATATGATATGGTTCCTCATTCTGGTTGATTCAATGCATGCAGATGTTTAAGATTTCAGACAAGGTAATAACATTGTTAGGGAAGTCTATGGAAAGCTGGAGGGTTGAGCTGACTTCAGGAAACGACAAGCTTGGGAAAGTGAACATTCGAAAAGGGGTTTTCCAAGGTGACACACTGTCTCCTTCGTTACTCGTTTTGGCATTGATCCCCTTGGCTACTTTACTAAATGGTTTAGATTAAGGTTATAGAATGGGGAAAAACAGAGGAAGGATCAACCATCTCCTATTTATGGATGATTTAAAATTGTATGGTCGTAATATGCAAGAGCTAGATTCGTTAGTTCAAAGTGTCCGAATATTCAGTACCGACATAGGGATGGATTCTGGAATTGAAAAATGTGCAGCTGTGAAGATCTCAAGAGGAAGAGTTGTTGGAAGTGAAGGTATCGAGTTACCAAATGGAGACACGATAAAAGGATTGGAAGAGAATGATGGATACAAATATTAAGGTATTCTGGAGTGCGAAAAGATCAAGAGCAGTGAAATGAAAGAGAAAAAAAAGAAGGAGTACCTCAGAAGAGTGAAACTCATCTTAAAATCAAAGTTAAATGCTGGAAATGTGGTCATGGCCGTCAACAGCAGGGAAGTTTATCTTGTTCGGTATGGTGCTGATATCGCTTTGACTGGACAAAAGCAGAGTTAAAGGAAATGGATCGGAAAACAAGACTCCCAAACTTTTTTGTGTAAACTACTCCCAAACTAGTATGGTTAATAGCAGCTTCAATTTAGCTCAGTTCAGTTCAGCACAGTTTCAAAATAATCAACTAAATGTACCAAAATGGAATTTAGAAAAATATGAATCTTAATAAAAGCAGCGCTGAAAAGAACCGTATGCGAAAAAACTTCAAAAAAGGGACCCTCAAAATGGGTAAGTTAATCGAAGAGAGAGCAGCTTGTACCAGTGAAAAATAAATGGTTGTGTTGTTACTTTTACATACATACCAAGCAAAAGGGGACCAGGTTTCACTAGCTGCAAGCTTGCTATCCAAGTGTAGCAATCAAGGGAGGCTAAGTATCGCTCGTACCAGCCAATCAAATCTCTTAGATGAAAGCTTTGCGTCGATGCCATTTTTGTGATGTCTGCACACAGCTTCATTTGGCCATATTTTTCGAATCTGAAAATTCATGAGATAGAAATTTCATTGTGTGTAATTCAATAGACAAGCAAAATCTAACCAAGCTTCTCAAATATCCACGACAAATGCACTTGTAGAAGAAGGAAAAGGCCATGCTTAGAATCGAATCGAAAAGAATAACAGTTAAGATTTCACAAATGACATCTGAAGTGCCGAACGTGTTTATTGGTTTCCATAATTTTGTGGATAAACAATAAAAGACAATCACTTACAAAAGAAGGAGATTTATCCAAATAGCTGGATATAATGATTTTCTTCAAGGGTAAGTTTGATTCGTAATCATCATTTAGCTATAAAATCAGGATCACATAAATTTCAATGTATTATGGCCTACCAAAATGCTGAAACTGGCAGCCTACAGAGGAAAAATTGATAAAAGGATATTAAAAAACTTCAAAAATCACCTGTCAATTAAGAAATAATTCCCATCCGACTTGACAGTATTTTCAAACCAGACTCTAGCATGAGAAACGCCTAAAAAGAGGTGTCAACATTACTCGATGCACAAAAAACTATTTCAAACGCATTCGCTGAAATAATTTAGCGACCAATTATAGAGACAAAATTGCAGCATCGAAAAAAGAAACTATTAAAGTGCATTTATAAAGCTTAATTTTTTGTTCTAGCTTTAAAACATTATTCTAGAGAAATCTGAATAATTAAAAAAATTACTCCTACCCCTGAAAATGGAAATTGCTTACCAGGTCTTGTGGGCAACAGTGTGAATAGCAGCTCCATACATTTATGCCTGCACTCCGTTTTTGGAGATCCGCATTGCCGAAGTAGCCAAACAAACACATGATCAAGAGTCAAATGTTGATCAACCTCTTTGAGGGCTCTGATAACAAATATAATTGAACATAATTTACGTTATGATTACAGGTTTGTAGATGTATTAAAGTACTATTGGGGAAAACCTACGGCTGGTAAAGCCATGAAGAAAATAATTGTCGTTGAATGACGTCATAAGAAGAGTAGCTGTTTCCCATATCAACAACGTACAGTGAAACAAATCAGCAAATACATGTTGTTGGAAATTTATTGAGCTACTTGATGCAAGGTTTTAGAAAAAAGCATTTGAAAAAAGAAAACCGATTCATTTGCTTACACTGGTATGCGACGATTTTTACTGCTTTTGAAGAAAATTTTGGATTTCTGCTTGATTATTCGTTCCAAGTGATTAATTGCATCCTTACATTGGTCAACAGTTCCTGAAAAGGAAAAAATTTCTTATAACTTTTAAAATTTGGCATACTCTTACGATAGTACATTCGTTTTCAAAGTCAATACCAAAAAGGTAATGTAGAATCCAAAATAATGTACATACACAGTTCGGATCATAACTTTAGGCCTTAAAAATCTAAACACTACGAAGAAAGTCCTGAAGATATTTTTCATTGAAAATCAATAAAATGAAGCTTTAGTTAATTTAAATAAACACTCGATGCAAGAAGCGTAAAAGTATTTGCTGTTAAATTGTCTTACCTCTTCAGATTAAATAAAGATGTCTACTTCGTTATCCTAGAATATACTTTTAAGGGAAGCGATCGAAAGAAGAGCACCAAACAACCTCTTTGCCTCCAAGGGCAATTTCAATTCAAGATTGCCACGCCAGCCTCTACCTTTTCTTGCTCAAAACAAACATAAATCATGATGGCTCCGTCTTTGTCAAACTTATGGTATGAAAGAGCTAAACCTTAATTTTCTAGCAAGGAACCTGTTAAAATAGCATCTCTTTTTTATTTCATGTTGTTTTCACAAATGAAAATTTCACAACGCAAATGACAAAAAATTGAGCTGGTTGAGAAAAAGGGCTGACCTCACGCAGGTCTTCTAATAGTGACTCGGGGTTTCGCATAAAGCAATAAACCCTTAAATGGATATCATAATATTTATTTATTCCTTGCAAAAAGTTCATTCATACCCATGCCGGGTTCGTCACTGTGAGCCATTCCCAAACTTTCAACAAAAACGGTCAGTAGCTCTAGCGCATAAGCGTCAACTAGTTCGTCATGTTCTCTAAAATTTAGAAAATATCATAAGGTTATCGGAAGAATTGAAAAATGGATGTCAACTAAGGAAATTCTTATCTTAATGGAAAATTTTATATCCATTGATAACTTTCTTTCCATTACTATATTAACACAGATTTGTGGATGAGAGGTCATCGAAAGACTCATTCAAATCACTAAAGATCACATCAAACAGACTAAAGTCTGTGCATTGCACTATACTATGTCAATCATTGCTCGGATAAAGCCCCCGTCCAAAGCATTAGTGCTCACACAAATTAAAAAGCTAGGATATTCAACACTACAACGAACATAGTCTGGCGGAGAAGGGGGAAGGTGCCAAATTGTTTCTACAGGAAAAGGTAATTTGTGCAACAAGGCATCCCACAGGCTTTTGGCTAGGACGGTAAGTAGCAATTGGGTCCACACTTTCAAACTAACCCACTAAAAACGAAGTTTGAAGATGTACTGTCGGATCATTGACGCTAAATTTGAGAAACTGTAAGCGACAATGGGCGCCTAAAAAAGGTTGCCAACATGTCTTGAAAAACCAACTTCGATTGAAGGCTGATTTAATAAATTTAGTAAGCAAAGATAAATAAACAGCTTGATGGAGGATAATGATTTTCAAGAACTTGAAATTGGTACCTGAAGGTAACATAAATACTGTTAAAAGCCATGGCAGCGCCTAGTCTTTTGTAAACATTCGGATGTGAAGCCATGCTATAGATCCTCTTGAACATTGCCTTAGGGTTAACTGCCGATTTGTCTAAATGCTGAAAAGATGAAAAAAGAAGATTGTGTATACCTTATGGCATGGCAGATAAAAGAAATATCCAAAACGATCAACTTAACTAAAAAACATCTAAGAAATTTAGTGTAGTTTTAAATAATAAATTAAAAGCATTATGTAGCACCAGGATTATTAAACAGCAAGCAAACATTATAATTTGCGATAGTCTCTTTATTTACAAAGGTTTACAAATCATTTTTTCTCCATCCAATATCCGGGGGCTAAAAACTGTCTTGCTTCGCGTTATTCGTAGATTTTACACTAATAGCAATATTTCTTGTATCAAAACCACTTTACCGTTAATACTCCAAAACGTTACAAATATTCAAGAAAAAAATCTCAGAGTTTTCATTGTACCTTTGCAACAAATATACCTGTAACATTGGATTTGTGTTTGTCTTATGCGGTGGTAATTTAATTAGTTGGTTATAACTAGCTCTGGTGTAGCAAAAAATTCAACCAACTTTAAAACAAGAAAAAAGGAAGATAAAGCCACCCTCACATCGATGTGAGATGTGATATTGCAATAATTTTCTTTTAAAATAGGCCCCTACTAATTAAAAGTTCTACGATCATTTGATCAAATCTTAGAAAGGTTCGACGAATCCCACTTCTGGAATAATCGAGCTTAATCTAGAAACGGTTTGTCTGAAGACTCGAATGGGTTATCGTGTTCTTCGAGATCCAGAGACTTATTCTCCGAGATTTTCCTTGGTCCAGTTGGTGAAAATAAAAATCCACAGTTCTTTTGATTTTCCACAGAAATGATATTTCCAGAGATAAATACCTAGCGAAAGCTTTCTCTACATTCATATTTCTCTACAAAATCTTTTCTGTTTTTAAGAAAAGTATTACTTAGAAAACCTCCCTCTTAAATAAAGGTTGGTTTTTCAAATATTGCAATTAGAAATTGTTCGACTTACTTTGATCTTCGTATGTTTAATTGACCATTCCAAGAATTCTCTGATGCATTTGGCTGAAAAATCTCGTAATGCGCTGTTATCTTGGCTAACAAGTCCATTCTGAAATTTCAGCAGAGTGTACTTTAGAACGTCGCAAAAGTTCATTACAAATAAACAAAGAGCAAGCTATACACACAAGCACACACAAAACCCCATTTAAAAGAGACCAAATCGCATATTCAAACATTAGAAATTACTTATTTTGGTTTAAAATTGACAAAACGTTACTTTTATTCCTAGGTTTGGTATTTTGAGCCTAAAATTGATGAGCAACCACCTTATATCTAAAGCAACATTCAAATTGTGTACAACTCTGAAGTACTACATTTTGCATGATAACGATCTACCAAAACAAAGTTTTAAAATACAAGATTCAAAATATTGAAAATCACGTAAAAAATAGATCAAAAATAAAGAGTCAAAATAATAATAAAACTAAAAATGCAGTAATATTTGGAGAAATTCTACCATTATTGTGTCAAGCAGAATTACTGTGTCCTGACTCTCTGTTTTCGAAGGGCTGCTTGTAAACCAGTGGATCATTTGAAAAACCAATGGCCTAAAGAGTTGTTCAGCAACCTTCAAGAAAATTTATAAGAAGCTCAGGAAATGTAGAGGCAAAGCAGGTAGATTTTTTAGCGATTTTTTTTAATTGATTGGAGAATAAACAAAAAATGGCTAACAGATTGTTGCATGTACTATGTTGTGTAAATTGTAAGATTAAGAAATAGACCTTGACAAGTGCGTCAAGACGACGAGGCGGCGTAAACTTCTTAACATATTATGTCCTGGTACCTGTTCAATGTCACAGCCAAGTTTAAGCAGAGCAGGAAAGAGGTGCTTGTAAATCCCTTCCATCCCTTCCTACAAAGCGAAAAAGCAACGGCTCAGCTATTCTCAGCTTTAATAATACATACAGTACTGTCCCGATAACTCGAACCTCCGAAGGAAGCGATGAGAATGGTTTGAATTGATGAATTTCCGAGTAACTGGGGGCTCGAACGTATTTGGGGAAACTTCAGGGGAATGCGAAAGCAGTTCGATTTAGCGAATGTTCGAATAATCGGGAGTTAAAGTTATCGGGACTATTCTGTTTTGTTGCAAACAATGTAGAATCAAAACTTCGTTACCAAGTTCTCAATTTATATTTTTTTCTTTATTAAAAGTTCTTTTGAATGGCTGCTTAAAGACTGAGATAATTTAAAAAAAAATTAGCTCAACTCTGGCACAAAAGAAATTTAAATAAACGTAGTGCCGTTTAATATGCTATGTGTCTGAGAAGCTTATTTTACGAAGATAAAATTGAACCATGATACCATAGCTGCCGAGGGACCATAGCTGGCGAGATACCGAACAGTCAAAATAACATGAATAATGAGGGACTATCAAGAAATGAAGAATCATCTCAAATAATCAAATGGTTCTGTGTAGTATCTGTTTCTTATGTTTGTAACGTTATCTAGGCGAAATCGAAAGCGAAACCCAAGGGAAATCTAAACCAACATATCAGGGCTGACAAACGTATAAATGATCGAGGATGGAGAATATTGACTCCTCAGTGATCCCAAAAGTTAGTCATGTCTTTATTTCAAAATCAGCCATACTAACTTGGTGATAAAGCAGGAAAATATAGACTTTCATCAAATTTTTAAGCAGACTTTGCGCTTTTTAACTTGATTAACGGGGTCACACCAAAGAAAAAATTTCCTCCACAAATAATGGATAACTATTTTATAGATTACACGCACAAGATCTCAAGAATTCTATAAAGTTGAAGAGGCTCTTTGTGATGACAGCTGTTTTCAGCACTTGATCATGACTTGCTCAGAATAAAAATATACAATAACATATTAACAGTGACAAACTGCGTGGAAATCACACTTTTTGCATCTCTACAGAAGAATTCAAATATTTTAATTTCGTTGCCTTTCTGGACATCTGGTTTGCTTGCTGTGTACTTTTACCAAGTATAAAGAGAGTCAATGCATGTAAGAGCTCACAAGCAACCACCTGTGAATTGAAGGAGGTGCTTCAGATAATTATCAAATATTGCGCGATACACTTCAATCTATGTACACGCCCCTTCACAAAAATCTGCTTCAAAATACATCCAAAATTAAAAAGATCATTAACTAAACATTAAAGCTGTTAAGAAAAATCCACAAGTTACAAAACATGGACAACCATGCGGAACGAGCATATGCGTAACGCACGTGACTCGCCTAAAAAACCTCCAAGGCTGGTGATGTTAAACATCTTTTTCTTCAACAGAACAGAACGTAAATTTGAGTCACTAGTTACTTTCGAACGGCAGTCAGCACAGCTATTTAAACCCCATTATCACAAAGTTGTAGTTTATTACTATCACAGAAATACATGCCAATCCTGCATAAAGGTTCTGTTGTATTCTAACATCATTTTTAGCTAATAAAACGAAATAAAACTACTCTCCATCTTTAAGAAGACATTTATGCAAATCATAGATACTTTATCAATAATATTTTTGAAACATATTACCTTTGTTTGTCTATCACTGGAAACGGTAGCGAGCTCGATCACTCGTGGCAAAAATGTATCTAGAAATGAAGAACACAAGTTTAGCACAACTACCTTAAAAATGCACTTTCAACACAGACACGCATCATCACAACTTTTTTTTCTTTCGACTAGGTTCCCATCAAAGTCACGAAAGTCTTTATTTCGCTCCCAATTTATAAACGAGAATCTCAGCATAATATCCAAGTTAACAACTTCCAAGACTCTCATTCATTCATACTAATCTAATTCTAATTATGTGCATATAAAATTCATCTAGACCTATGACAGGTAAATTCCAATTCAATCAACATGGTATCATTTCAACTTACATTAACGTCAGTATCCTATACTCAAGTTACTAAAAACACTTCAAAAATAGGGCCTGGGCCAGACTTTACTCTAAAATAAGGGAATGTGTTCTTAATATAAGCCTAACATTACTGATAATTCTTCAGTAAATTGCATCTGAAAATGAATAGGTGAAGCCAAAAGAGGCTATAGAAAACGGCGTTGATCGAAGTTCTTACCAAGGTAGATGGTAGGCTTCATGTCCCAAAATGGCAAACCAAAAGAAAGGTGAGTATCTGTATCCCAGGCAATCGCGCGAGATGGATCAGCGATCCGCCCCTCTTTGATAATATCAATATTCATGCTTCCGCCTAGATTTCCAAGAAATTGCACAACACGTGATCTAAACTGACTAATTGGGGACTCTGAAATCTAAAAGGAAAAGAAAATTCTTAAGATGAACAGAAGCGGCTTCGCTTTTCAACATACTACATTTTTTGCATTTCCCGAATCGAATGATTTTTCCATTGCTTTTTCTCGATCCAAATTCCAAATCACATTTTATGGATAAAACAAGAACTGTAATATTGACGGAAACTTTGTTCCTGTCTTTTGCTAGCACCTCTTTTCATCATCTTTGAATCCCAGAAGAAAAACTCTACCCAGACTGCAATTGCACGAACATCCTACACCTAATTTCTGACGCTCCCACAGTGATACGTACCTTGTCAGCATCTCTCAGTGCTCTAAGGAGCTTAATTGGAACTCTGTTTCGCCTAGAATTTGTTGACCGATTAAAGACTATTACGTCGTCTTTGTCTTCCACATTCCCTAGAATGCAAAGGCCTATAGCTAAAGCAGAGAAACTTGCACCGTACAGCATTCATTTGTTAGTATAGATTCTATTGACTGTGGTATTCAGAAGAACCCTTAACGAGTACTGCGTGTTGGAGAGTGTTGGAAAGTCATAAGGGGCACTAGTAACGACGATGCGCAAGCTTGTTCTAATCTGGTAGCTTCAAGTATTGTGATAGTTTTAAATAAATGCTAAGATGACTGACAAATCGTTTGACCATTTACAAGCTGTCGTCAATGAATATTGAGATAGGTTTTGGTAGAGGGAAGCTTATCTAAACACTAGCAGCACAAACCTAAAAGATTATCAAATAATTTTTAGATGTAGTCATATTCTTACTGGTCAAAATAAGATAAGGCAAAAAGTGAACATTTAAGACTTTATTGTAGAGAAAGGAGAAAATGGGATACAAAAACACTTTTCACTGCACAGAAATCGTTAAAATAATGTGAAAAAGAATTTCCCAATTTGCTTTTCGTACCAAAAACAAGCGATTATGAGCGAAAGACTAAACGCCGCTTCTTTACAACAGCATCAAGCTTATGCTTCAATTGAATGCTAGAATATTGCGTTGGTCAGCTTCTGATGGCTTATTTTTAGCGCTTATTTCTAAGCCTAATTTTCAAATAGTCAATGTGTCAATGTCAATACAAAGTCGATCTGAAATAGTGAAAATCGTTTAGCAATCAAATTAAAATTACTAAAAGTCGATGTAATATTAAACCTGACTTATCAGAAGAGATCTGCAAATATCCATCAAAGTATGGCAAAACGTCTGTCAATAACTTTCTTGTTTTCCATGATTGCAAATTTCCTTGCCAGAACTCTAGAGCATTTAAAGCAGTGACAGCAAGTGGATGATGGCTAAGGCCAAGTTTTAACGCAAGCTGAAACAAAACTCATTTATCAATGCCTCATATTCAAACAGAGGTATAATACCATGTTTGACCATTTATCTACTGATTAGAAGAGGTTTAAATAAGGAAAAACATAAGGGAGCAAACGATGGCCTATATTCTATGACTTCCTACATGAACTATGATACATGTTATTAGATAAGAATTTATGCTTTTGCTGCAAAGAACAGAAAGGTTCTAAGTTGCTACTCCGAGTTTCGTGCTTAATGTGATCACCAGACAAATGTACAGCTCTGACTATGCGGAATCGATTACTATATGACAGATAGGTAAACAGTTATTTTCATTAAGATAATAATACACAAAAATTGCTGGAAGATTGAAATTTCAGCGTAAAAACTGCCAAGGAAACATGTAAAAAAATTGCCAAGGGGAGAGGTAGGATGCTCCCTAAAAAACAAGTTACGAGGAAATGGTAGCGAAAATCCATTTCTCTTTGAAGCTGATTAAACTGAGTAATACCTACCTGTAAAGGCTTTGCGAAACTCTCGACGTTCGTCTCAACAATTTCTATAGGCAAACTAAGAACAAACTGAAGACAGGATGAAAGCAGGTCATCTGTGAATTGGGAAACGCGGCTCAATACCTGAAATGCAAAGAGCACCGAAAAAATGATTGATAACTTAATAATCAAGACAAAATCACATTTTTGATTTGCTAACTGCTTTGTTCATTCCAAACAGTGCTTTGCTTAAACGAACAAGTACAAAACTGCTGATTTCAAAGGATTGCCTAAGGATTGCCTAAGGATTGCCTAAGAATTGCCCAAGAATTGCCTAAGAATTTTTTAAGGATCGCCTGAGGATTGCTTGAGTATAGTCTAAGGAGTGTCTCTGGCAACCTATCGTTTTACTTACAAAGAGAAACGTTATATTCTGCGACAACTTCGTTATGAAAAGGAAATGTTTTATGGACTTCTACATCTAAAACTACCAAAGGGTTGTCCTAATTAAATTCTTCAAAATCATTAAAACGTTGGTATCTATTTACAAATACATTTCTCACATCCCTTTAAATAACTTTAGAAAAGCACGAGTACTTTAGTCAACCCAGATGCTTGGAAATCAACAAGCTACCGAAATTCAGTTGAACATATAATGCCAAAATATTTTTGCTATGCTATGAACGGCTTTCAAAATTAAAATCAATAATTATGTTAAGTTTACAAAATCGCATTGGCATACGTTTTTGACGAACTTTCCAAGGAGTAAAAATGTCGTTCTCTTTTCAGTCAAATCATCTGGATCCACAGTCATACCCTAAATTAAAAACAGCACAGAAGTTAAATAATTTTTTGATTAAAATGTTAATCTTGAATGTTAACTCGTGTATTGATAAAATATTCAGCTTTGCATTCAGGAAGATGAAAAATGAAAGGAATATGATACGGAAAAAACTCCAAACAACATGGCGCCACATCACTTTGGAAGGAACGCATGATTTAAGAAGTTAACAGCAGGATTATTAACTTGCCTGAAAGAAACTGAGATCGGAACATATTTTACCAGCAATCTCCAGGAGCTTATAAAAACCACTGACAAGGGGATATCTGAAAAAAATTTCACGACACTGCAAGAAAATTGCTTTAACTCAATACCGAAATGCGCAGTGAAGCCTGTGAACAGTATCCAAAATATGAAACATTTGAAAAAAGACACAAAATCTCTCTCAAAATCGCATTATGATTTTCTTTTCAAGCAAATCTAGGCAATGCCTAAAGGTTTTGAAAGATCCGTTGAGGACAGAAAATTGTACAAACAGATTGTTAAATTAATATAGGTAAATGCGAGATTGCTTTAAAGCTGCATGAATTAGTTTAGGGCTAAAAACTTTACAAGTAAAAAACACAAAGGTTCAAAATTGAAGTATTTCGAGCACCATCAAAGTGTATTTGAAATTTTTTTTGAAGATTTTGAACTGCCCAAGCAATGACAATTCATGGAAATCGCTGAAAATTAAGAGTATAAACACAAAAGTGAAATTTACAAAGCGCATAGAAATATTGTTGAGATGATAATGAATAAGCAAAAATTTATACCTAGCTGATAGAGTGATAAATTCTTTTACATAAATAGGAATCCATCTTGAAAACGAACTGGTATCTGATCGAAACAAAATAACTCTAAAAAAGAACAGATAATTATAACTTCAAACGTATGCTTTTGAAATCTAGTGCTTCTTAGAAAACAAAAAATGTTACCTAGGGCGGCGGAAGATAAGGAAAGAACTTTAAATGGAAAGAAATGTAACTTATTCTATACAGAAGAAATTTGAAAGAAGGTATGAGGTGTATGACGAAATCAACAAATACTGCTTTGGTACATAAATTTTTAACATTTTAATCCAAGGCTCAAACCTGCAAAATTCCACTAGATTGATGAAAATCTGGAAATCCTTCGGAACGTTTGCAACAAGACCAGTCATCGGGTCTGAACTTGGTTGAAGAGTCTGGTCTTCAATCTAAGTAGAGGTGCAATGACTGATGAAGTACTTCAAGGAAATCAGAATAATATCTTTGCATATTGAATGAAGTGATTGTCGTAGATGACAAATGGGTACCAAAAGTGAAAACAAACCCCACTATGTTCATAGGCATTACTCCTAACTACGTCACGGGAAATCGAAAGGGATGAAGATTGAAAAACTAGAGCATTGTCTAAAGTTGTATCCTTTTTTGTTGACGGTGTTTAAGCATTTCCGCATTAACTGGACGTAGAAATATCAATAATCTTTCGAGAGCAGCACACTGTCTATGAAATTCATCAAGCCTTTACAGCTATAAGACGCCAAGGCTTTATCGCCAGTATTATGAGACGGCTTCCTTGCTTTTTTCAAAATATATATTTAGCTTTAAGTTTAGCATTTCAACACTGTCGTTATACATAAGATATGTCAAAATTGACTCTTACCCCAGAACCAGTCTTCTGTGTGCTTAGATTCAGTTTCTTAGCAATTAACAGAACTGATTGCATTAATTCATCGTAAACATTTTCTTTCAAAGATTTTGATTTTGTGCAGTCCTCAAGCAAACTCTAGAAAGCAGTTCTTCTATATAAAGGATTAATTCTTCTAAAATAACATGGATGCAAAGTAACATAAAGTTATTGATGAAAAAAATAGATAATCGGTTGCAAAACAAATGAAATTTAGGAAAAGTAGTTAACACTGCACAGGACGTTTCCACTCTTGGCAAATATGTAAAAGTTTTGTCAAGTATATTTGGAGAGTGATTGCGGCCCAAATATGCATAAAGACACTTTGCATCAAGTTGACAGAAAGAGACAAAAGAGTGAAGACTGCATCATAAAATTGAGGTTCATGAATCTGAAATAAGAGTACCGAAAATGATCTACGGTACCAAATACAAAACAGCCTTACTACCATAAAAGGTTTCCGGGTTATTGAAACAGAAGCACTGAATTGCTGAAATACATCTTCACAAGACAACTTTTATAGTTGCAACTCACTCTGTAGTTTTTCTCGCATAACAAGGCGACCCATAGGTTGACAAAACTGCGAAAAGACACGTCATCGGAATTTGTGACAGTGGAAACAGCTTCTTCTTGTCCAATACCCTTAGGTGAAAAAATTTTGATTCTTAAAGTAATTGGCTTTAAATTTCACAGAATAAATTTAGTATAACACATTTTAAGCAAGTGGTCTCAAGCTCAAATTATCTGGGGGCCACTGAAGACTACCTACAGAGAGGCTGGGCCACATCAAGAATGTCACATAAAGGAAGTTTGAAAAATTCAAAAAAAACATTGAAGAAAACTAATCGTTACGGATTTCGGAAGTATGCACTGACATCAGGATGGTGGAGGCATCACTCCGATAGGCGAGCGAAGTCGGCCGAGAAAAGGGGGTTCTGGGGGGGGGGTACTCCCCAAGACATTTTTGCTACTACAGTTCACATGGCCAAAAACAACATGAAATCATAATCTATTGCCCTTAACTTCCAATGCTTTAACGCAATGTTATCTGGTTTCTTTTAATACTTTTCATGGGAATTTAGTCGTAATCAAATGTTCAAAATGGCAAAAATAAGGGAGTAAGTTTGATACAAATTTTTTCATAAGCATATTTAATTTCTTTTAAAAATATTCAGATCCTGAATAGGTACAAACCACCAGTTACTGATTAAAATTGATATGTTCGATAAAAACATTCTGTCTTCTGAGAAAAAATCGAGAAAACAATTTTGTCGTCAAATAATGACAAAAGCACTTTTAACCCATTTCCCCCTTGTTCCAACATGACTGTCAGTCGATGACACGTATCAAAAGAGTGAGCGGATTCTAACTATAAACGGGCATAGATTTCACAATTTTTCTTAATCGGCAAAACTTTCTTTGTCATCAGTGTGTCTTTATGCATATTTATTTCAATCGGTGTCTACTGTAAACCAATGTAGGATATGATGATGAAAAATCGACATAATTAACACTAAACTTTGCTGTCAAGTACGGAGCCGCAAAATATCGTCTCACAGGCCTCCGTCAGGCCGCGAGAATGAGACCCCTGTTGTAAGCCTTGAAAATAGTCAAATAAAACATTAAGTGCAGAAGACTTGAGCGTCTCACTGAGGTCATTCAGTTATTCCTTGCAGTTTCTTCATAGACAAAATACCTTGGCTGCATCCACTATCCCTTACTATTTGAATCTTGCTTTATTTATCTTTACACGATACATCCCGCATTAGACATAACTGTAGTCCTAGGAACAGTAGGCATTATTTAAAAATACCAATTCTTGCAGAATATGGCATCAACGAATCTAAGTTTGGTAAGGCTACTGACACTTCAACAAAACTTTAAAAATCGGAATAAAATTGTAATCTCTGGTAGAGCATATACCTCTTCTGTCACAACTGGGTGAGAGCAGGTCCTGATCAAACCCTGATAAACTTCGAGAGAATGAAAGGAGAAAAAATTATTATGACAAATCATAGTTTTTGCTACCTGCATTAGGATACCAGTGTAGTGAAGGGTTTTATAATAAAAGCGAGTTAAAAATCAGAATTGACGCCTTTTTTGTGTATAAAACAATTTAAAAACAATACGGATTTGGATAACAAAAGAATGGCAAATAATCAAACCGAGAAATTCCAAGAGGAAGAAATATTTTAACTAAAAAAAATCAAACACAGAAGGGAAGAAATGTCATAATTGAAAGAATATTGAAAGAAATGATCTATCAATTTCCATCAAGTTTTTGCATTTCAGATGACTCCCCGACATATTAAGCCGAGGGTAATATCCCAGTGAAAGTAATAGAATTTAAAAATAATTTTGTAAAAGTCTCACCAATTTCTGACAAACAGACTTTGAATATGGACGTGTTATTGCTCAGTGCACGTATAAAATGGGTTAAACTTTTCTCGAATACAAACATCCCTCCTTTGCCAAGTTTTGGATAATTTTCAAACAGAATAACCACCATTCTTTCCATCGGGACCAAGTGGACAGCAGAAACCTAAAAAACCGTCAATAGTTCGCTATTGTACATAGTATTATAATATTCTATAATATTATAATACAATATAATATTATAATATAATATTCTAGGCCAGAAGTTCAAGTTGAAAATTTCAGCTGACTATCTTTAAAAAGGATCTCTACAGGTAGAAAAAACTTTCTTTAAAATAATGAATCAATGCAAAGAAAATTGTAGATAGCCTCAATGCAAAAAGATAGGTTTTGCCGACCCTCGTCGCCAGTGGCAGAAATTATTTGAGGCAAGGGGGGAGCTCAGGGGTTCTTGTCAGAAAATTTCTGGACTTCGTCGGATAATTGACATAGGTTTAACGTGCCGAAAGCCCATCCCAGAAGTTGTTTTGTCTGACAATCGGGGGCCTGAGCCGCCCCCAAAAGTAAAAAACCTGAATTTCCACCAGTCTGTCGCGAAATTGAGAGCAACGAAGAGCGTATTTTCAAGCGATGAGGGGCTTTGCTTTTCAAATAGCATAGCTAAAATATGTTTTAACGTAGCTTAGCTTAAAAGCAAATAGCAGAGCTTAAAAGCTATTTTCCCTTGAAATATAGATTACTTTCTCCTGTGCCAAAAGATTTTCTCTCTCACTTTTACATCTATATATCCAGGTACACAACAAAAAGAGCATTAAATAAAGAATTTCAGCGAAGAAATCACCTCCTTAATTTGCTGTAAAATCTTGGCCAGAGCCTCTAGAAATGTTGGCAAATACTGTAGGGTTTCGTCGGAAAGATATTCAATGCTGAAATAAATTTGAATGCACGTAGTCGCAAAAATATACAACATTTTGGTGGTTCAAATCTTACTGAAAAGCTTTTAGTCTGAAACTTCTTAAAGAATGAAATTTTAAGAGGTGGTATCTAGAAACATTTTCAATCTACATTTGAATATTAGCACAGCACAGATCCTTTATTCTCCAGCGTAAAGCTTGCGTTTGTGATCTTCGAAATGCCAGATGAAAAAACTTTCAATATGCTAATGCATTTCCGTGTCACCTTGACACAAACTATAAAAAAATGGTTCGAGCAACAACTTCGTAGTGTACCAACACATCATCACCATATTCCCATTACCATATTCAAAGTACTTCTTTGTTGTAAACACGTGCTTTTAACAAAAGGGTTGTCTTATCATGCAACAAGCACGCAGAACTTCAACATACTGCGTGGGCCCTTGAAAAAAATTTATCAAATATTACAAGAAAACACGATTGCGCAAAATAAAGAAACACTTCCATGATTAGTCCGACCCACCTCTTGGTTAGTCCGACCCACCTATTGGCTACCTATCAATTCATTAGCAATCACGCCATACATTTGCACTTATTCAATTAAAAAAGAACTCTCATCAAAAAAACTGAATGTCACCGGATCAATCTAAAACAACTGAGAAAAAGGAGTGTCAATTCGCAAGCAGTAATCGGCTATCCATCAACTCATTAGCAGTCACGCCATACATTTGCATTTCTTCACTAAGAAAAAACTGAATGTCACCGGATCAATCTAAAACAACTGAGAAAAAGGAGTGTCAATTCGCAAGCAGCAATCGGCTATCCATCAACTCATTAGCAGTCACGCCATACATTTGCATTTCTTCACTAAGAAAAAACTGAATGTCATCGGATCAATCTAAAACAACTGAGAAAAAGGAGTGTCAATTCGCAAGCAGCAATCGGCTATCCATCAACTCATTAGCAGTCACGCCATACATTTGCATTTCTTCACTAAGAAAAAACTGAATGTCATCGGATCAATCTAAAACAACTGAGAAAAAGGAGTGTCAATTCGCAAGCAGCAATCGGCTATCCATCAACTCATTAGCAGTCACGCCATACATTTGCATTTCTTCACTAAGAAAAAACTCAATCTCATCGAATCAATCTAAAACAATTGAGAAAAAGGAGTGTCAATTCGCAAGCTGAAAGATAAATACAAACAGCATAACTGTAAAGAAACAAGTTTAAATCACGTATTCTTACTTTGAAAACAAATGTTGACTTTTATTCATTATTTCATCAAATAAAAGTTTGACATCAGTTTCACTCAGCAACATTTTGCAAGCCTACAAAAAATTTGCATTCAATAAGATTTGTGAACAATTTTTGGGGGGTACAGAATTCAAGGAAAAAAGCAAAATATTTAAATCATACAGCTTTTCCTCTAATATTATTTACATCATTAAACGTCAAAATAATGAAAACTAGTCATCACATTTTTCTTTTGAAGAAACAGCTTCTTTTAAAGACTCATTAAAAATAACAAGGAATGAGAATAGAAGAAAACAACTAAGTACAAGGCCAATCGAAGCTTACTGAGCGATGGCATATATTCGTACAAAATCCCACCAGGTTTGTTTCCATTTTGGCAATTCAGCCAGTTGGAAGAAAACAGAATTTATGGCTGTGCGAGTTGCTAGTCTGTGGGATTTTAATTGAAAAAAGTCCTATAATATGGAGCAAAAAAGCTTTTTAAAAATTAGCAGGTCCACTCAGCAACGCGAGTTACCCAAATCTTTGATGGCAAGCGGATTTCTTCCGAATAAACTAATATTTCTCGAACTTTGCCATTACAGTCCTTATTTAGCAAGAATGATAAATGCAAGAATGAATAAAAAATCAATGCATAAAGAACTAGAGAAAAACATGTAATGAAAGTTGAAGCAAACGGAGCATTCATGTTTTCTAAACTCAGAAAACTAAAATGTGACGGTCAACCCGGCAATGTTACTCCATTGTAGTGGTCAATCTGAAACATTTTGGCTTTTATGTTCTCAAAGGATTGTTAATTTTGAAAGCAAATACTCCCAGAACTGGAACCCAGAATGCTGCGCCAAAACAGGCATCGGTTCGTTGAAGTTATCTATATTATCAAAGGCCCTAGGGAAGTCTACTTATGTGTCATTACCGCCATGTGGTCCAGTTTATCGTGAACTGTTAGGCAAGTCAAGAGCAAAATTTACTGTCGAGTGATCCTCGCAGAAGCCAGAGTGGTGCATCTAATATTATTCCAATTCAAAAATGTGCCGTTCTGTCTAGGATGTAAATTTTAGAATTGTAGATTGACTCTATTTAGATCATGCGGACACGGTGGTCGTAACATTAACGTAACGTAAGGTTCCAAAGCATTCGTTTGCATCCATATATCCATATGCAGCAATCTGGTTTCTAGTTTCCAATGCAAATAACAAGAAATCACTTGCTCGAAGAACGATAAAAAAATATTTACTAACAGTTGTTAAGATGACTTCTGTTGCAAGCTTTATCTACTGGATAGCCCTTTGTGGAATATTTCTGGAATGACAGAAATACTCTTCTGGTCTCTTCTTGTGTCTCTCAGAAACAATTTATTCACAACTCTGTGAATCAGGTTTTAGGCTCTTTTAAAACCTCAGTCAATGCACAACAAGATCGAGCCTAGTGGGACCAGCCTCTATGTGCGTGACTCCGATCCGATAACTATGAACTAAAGATTGGGTGGGATGTCCAATTTGTAGAAAAGGTCACGTTCGACAGATGAAGCTTGAGATAATGAATTGACTTTCCGGTGACATCTGAATCCATTGAATTGTAAGAACTGTCGAACATACTCATGCAAAACACTCATGAAAATCATTACACAGGTGGCAGATCGTTATAGGAAAACTCAGTTGTACGACCTACCTTGGCAAACATCCCAAAGCCTTTAACAGCCAATGAAAGCTCTTTAGGATCTGATGATTCGGCATTCAACTTCCCATGAAAATCTCTGAGAAGGGTCTACAAACAAAAATACGTTTTTGCGAAATAGAAATCAATATATACTTTCTTGCCAAGGTTTCTAGCTTAATCAAGTTTTACCATGTCCTGGAGAAAGCCTTGAAGTAGTTGTTTAATTCTTTAACCTCACACTATCAAAAGAAAACTGCTCACGATTATTCAGATGGTTATAAAGAAAAACCAAGGTACTTTTTACTTGTGACTTAAAGCCGTCATATACATATAATCAAAGGTTCAAGACGAAGAATCTTGAAAAAAATTAGAATTTGTTACAAAATAACACATTGACTAAGCTCTAATTGTAAAAAGTGCCGAATGGTTCCAAGGGTAAAAAATTATGGTATAAAAGTACTCAAAGATACCGTACTAAGACAGGTTGAGGGTGCTTGCTCAGAGAAAGAGATTTTTAAAAAGTAATTTGCTATACAAACATATATCAATAATTGGTTTTGATTTATATGGCTTTCTTCGACTAAATCATAACTTTTTCCTTAAATAAATAGTTATCTTTACTTGGTTTTTTATTGCAACCGACTGGTCTTGATTTCAATTTCACATATGAGGTCTACAAAAATTAAATGAGATAATTAAAAAAAACTACCAGTAGGAGGGAAAAGAAGGCTTTTATGAAGTATTATAAGAATGCAACAATTACCAATGCTATAGGGACAAGTGGAGGCCAGCTTATCAATCCAATGGTGGATGTGATGGTAAATCAATCGGCTTAATTGAAGAGCAAGGGAGAAAAATCGATGCATATGATAGCTTATGGTGATCAATTAAATTATCATCGCCTCTGGAGGCCTACTGACCGTTAGTATTTGAATGGATTCTGTTTTCTTTGGATGCCTTACAATGCATTGAGATATCTGCACGTAAAAACAAAAGTAAGCACTTTAAAGAATAAAGCACAAATAAAGATTTGCAAGAAAAATGACTATGAAAATGCAAATGTGGACAATTTTAATAGGTCGAAATTGCAAATACATTATTCGTGTTAAATCTATTTATCTCTAAGAATTTCAAATTACTTTAAACTTTTCTTCAATCGCTTAAACAACGGCCTTGCTAACCCTGAAACGCTCCAGCCTTTCCTTTTCGGACAATGTAAACTCATTTTGCAAAAAGTTACATAACATCAAAAACAAAGAATCCTGCTGAGTGCCGATCTGACAAAAGAAATTTATAACAAAGACATAAGGACATTTTATGTTCCAAAAGCCACAGTCAGGAAAGAATCGAGGAGAGCATATGGCCGCAGGAATAAGATCGTGGATTGGAGAAATTAACTGGGTACATGTCGGAGAAAAGCTTCACAATGAAGAGTCAGGCGCTCTATACGTATGAATAAGCATGACATGGCATCTCAATATACGTCAATGATTGAAAATGGAATGAGCCGGCCATTTGATCAAGGGTGTGAGAAGTATAGAAAAAGACCGTAATGACAACAATAGTAAACGAAAGCAACATGAAAAGTGATAGAGCAAAATTCTGCCACATTCAATCAACCATTTTCAGATACTTTGCTGAAATTTTTACCATGACACATATAAATTACTGTCAGTGACCAGAGCTATCATAAGATTCGATGTATATCACAAAATTAAAGCATTCTAAGTGTATCTCCGAAGTTCAACCTTCAAGCAAGTTACAAAAAAGACTGTTTTCATTACCTCTTTCAAGCAGGAATCCCAAGCCTTCAATCCAGCGATTTTCATATCTTTGTTACTATGCTTGCTCCAAAAACAGAGCGTGTCATAAAGTGGCTGAAACAATATTTCTAAATTTTAATTATTAGCTATCAATCTTTATTTTGAAGAATAATTTCAACGAGGTCTTCTTAAATTTCAAAAAGCTAGTTAGCAAAAATAAATTTCTTATTAGTTTAAAATATAAAACAGTAGATATAATAGGACTGAATAAAAAACATTAATGAATCTATGAAAGAGTGGTTTTATGCATGTCAATATGGAGCATATGAAAAGAATCTTTTATTAAAGTTTTAAGAGGCAAAATGCCAACTGCATTGTTTGAAATTACTTTTTGAAGCTAACTTATAATGTTGTAGCATACAGTAGTCCCTTCAAAAAGAGGTTTCAAATAGAGAAAAAGGAATCAACATAAACAATCCAAAGTGCCAAGAAAGCAGTTGCTAACTATGACAACTTTCTCTCGAATTTATTCTTGCTTCATTTCCATACCCCCATACAAACTAGTCATCGAAAATTGATTTTTCTCTTCTGATTGTAATTTAAGTAGGAAAATAAATAATGCAGACAACGTTAGCCCAGATATTTCAACATAGAATTAAGAAATGTACTGGCAAAGCCCCCACCTCCCAGTCATCTGTGATTTGCTGACGAAAGAGAACTGCATGCTTTTCTAGCAAACACAGGGCGGCTGCAAAAGCAAATTATGAAACAATGAAATGCGCAGGATATCAGTGTAAAAAATGCAAGCATGAACCGAATGGCTTTTTCTTGATAGCGAATGAAGTGTCTTTGCGATAACTACAGACCCAAGGGTCCGTGGTTCGAGTCCCTGGCTTGACCAAACTTTCTCCAAAAGTGAGGAGAGTCACCAGCTCTCTATAATTCTAGGCGTAGGAATCACGAGGTGTGGTCACATCGAGAGGAAAGACCAGGACACTGCTCGATAACCTTAAGCTTCTCAGTGTCTTAAAAACTACCTGTGGATGCTAGGTAGAAACAAATACAAATACAAAATGTGTTTGAAAATGTCATGCATTGTAAAAAAAGTATATAGATGCTTAAATCCCGTTGCTCCTATTTAAATACATTGGTTTTTTATGTGTTGTAGTCATGACATGCAGGCAAAAATTTTACTATCTAGTATGCTTGTCATGATTTTGGCATAAATTGGACAATAAGTGGCAGTTGAACTTCTGTATTCGCTAATATTATTGATAGTAAAACGGTAAAAAAAAATGATTATATTTTCTGACAAAAAATTATTAACTGTGCTTTTCATTTACCTTTGGGTACTTCATACTTTGAAAGCTCAACCTAGAAGTTAAACCATGAAATCATTTTGAAAAAATGTTTTTTTGATATTATGGTGCATATAGGAATTTAATTGCATTAAAATAAACGAAGGTTGTAAATGTAACTTTTAAGCGTGCAAGGGGAAACAATTAGCAGGTAGAACATAGGTTGCGACGAAAACACAAAATCCCTACATATAGTTGAGAGATTTCAGACAGCGATGAAAAATCAGCTATTGCCGATGGACCTATTTGGAATTCAGCTGAAAAAAAATGAAAAATCGTGTCATTGTACCTTCGGGTTTATGGCCATCTTTGTGTAGCAAAAGAGGTCATCTATGCTTTTTGACCCTAAAATAACGAAAATTCAAAATGATTCTGTCAAGCACAAACAGTACCTTCAGGCCAGCATAAGCAGATTCGGTTGATCAGAATTCGGAGCCCTCTAAATTTACCATTAATAGGAAGAGGTAATCGGCAATCAGGGCCTAAATATGGAGAAAATAACAAACAAGCATTCCAGCTGTTTCCCAATTACCTTCCTCCATTGATTGTGTGAAATTGACAAGGTAGCCAGCCAATCCACGCAGGCAACCCCCAATTACCAGAAACTCAGGCTTCTTTGAAACGACCATCTATAGCAAGAAAACAGATTCTTGTTATATAGAAATATAGAAAGAAAACAGCTCAACAGATATAACGTCACATATCATAAAGAACTATCAAAAACTAATTGTGGGAACAGCTAAGAACAGTTGGCATGATGTGTGGCAATCGTCTTTTTCAAAGTTGACTTGATGCAACTGTTACCTTGCATAACGATTATTTGCATTTCAATTAAATGTATAACAACAATTCAAGAATCAAAATGATACAAAAATTACAAGGCACAAAATGTAAAAATGTTCAAACAAATTTAAAAGTCACTGAAGCTGTAATTAAATGAAGCTGTAAGCTAGAACAAAATTTTCGCGGTAGTAATGGTCTCAAAAATAGCGAGGTTTCTTTTGAGTTATAATAAGCAATGGGAATTAGAAACGGGCTTAATTGGTAGAGCAAAAAGGGGATTTTTGGAGCCAGTTAAGTTGGAGGTCACTCGCAAAGATATCTGGACCAAATTAAGTAGGAAAGATTTTTCTGTTGATTGCATCCAGACGATGGCAACTAGCAAGCGATGGCAACTATCGAACGTTCTCGTATTATGCGGCTATACAAGCCCAACATGCTAAAATCAGTATATCAGAATTTATCAAAGCTGTCCGGTGGTTAAGTGCGAGGTTACGCTTGAGGTGGTGTGTCCGTACAAATAACTTGCTTTGAGAGGGGTTTAGCTTGGGCTGAACCAATCCACGTAAATAAGCACGGTCTAAACCAATCAAATAACAGAATATCTTATTCATGTCAGCATTTTGTCAGCAGTTTCAACCAACGTACATGGAACCATAGGGACACAATGTCTTTCACAAGACACGGAAAAGGGCGTACACTTGAAGAACAGTACATAGTTTCAGGTATGCTCCACTCCAGATAAATTTAGATCCTCAACATCTGAAAGGGAGATCTAGGAATCTCTTAAATCACATGGTCAGAAATAAGCACCAAAAAGAGAAGAAAGAAACGCGATGCCTTGCACTGGAAGAGTAGAATCATCGTTCTCTAGAAGGACTTCTATGATAGGATGGTTCTAAGATACAGTAGCCCGACCGTAATTTTAAGTTTGATAACAAAAAAGCGCGTTAAAAATTGGTTAAAAATAAAAACCTGATCGGTACGGACAATAGAAAAATGAAATACAAGTAAGCACCTTTGTAATATCAGTCTAAATGGATTCCCTGATCACATGCGCCCTGAACTTTGCTTAGGAAAAGATCTGACCGTGCACAAAGATCAACGGGTACTTGCTCGTTAGATAGCAGTTGATAGGACATACTACCATTATACGATGACCTGTAGGCCTAAATATGAAACAAAATAGAACATTTAAGCGACTGCAGTTCAACCCTATGCTAATGTGCTTTTTAAAAAAAAAATTCGACCTTAGATGAAATACAAGATAGCGAAACACTCCACAGAAATCGCTTGCGAGAATGTAAATGTAATGGCGGTCATTGATGAAGAAAAATCTGTTCGAGCGCTGTTCAAAAATATTTCTACCAGACAACAACACATGGGATTCCAGCAGTGTATTTCAATGAAGGAAAGACGAAAAAGGTTATATGGTCAATCATTTTCTTTGCTCTTCTGGGCTCCTTATCCTTCAACGTGGCAAACCTTCTTTCGGAATACTTTAGCTATCCAATTTACCAACGGGTGCGAGATGAAAGACCTACAGAAGTCAAATTCCCCAGCGTTACTATTTGTACAGCAAGCGACTACTCAAAGTCGTCAGTGACGAATGAAACACTAGAGAATGTTGGTCTTTTTGTCAGCAAGATAGAAAATAACGAAGTCGATTACGACAGTTTCGGTGAATGGCGAAACAAAATGGAGCAAGAACACCTGACACATGTTCACACTACTGAATTTCAACATAAGGTGAAATCAGAATTCAGACCAATGCTTTTGAAAAGCCTTAAAGGTTCGTGTAGCTTTTCCACAGTTAAATCATGTAATTATTCGCGGGATTTCAAGTTGACGTTCCCATCAAATGAAGACAAGCTTTGTTATACCTTCAATCATAATAAAAGCGATCCTTATTTCCAGAGAGGGAATGGCCCGTTATTTGGTCTTTCCATGGTACTTTATGTAAATCAGTCAGATTACGTGCCAGCAATGGGCTTTGATAACGGTATTGGCCTTACAGTCTATATCCATGCTGTTAACACCTACCCATTTCTGGGAGTCCATGCAATAAGCGTCCCACCGGGCTACAGCAGCAACATTGCAATGCACAAGATAGTGACTACCCGTCTCCCACCTCCATATCCATCAAGATGCACTGACGGACAAGATATTCTCAATATTTTCCCGGGGGACTACACGGCCATGAGCTGTGAAGTCTCTTGTCAATACGACTATATCTATAAGAAGTGTGGATCTATCGAGCCTTTCATGCGATCATTTATGCCACCTGAGCAGTACCCCCGTACAAAAAGTTCCGACGTCGAAGATGTCCTTGAGTGCAGAAACAGGATACTTATGGAGCTTTACGAACATGGGTTTCACGAAAAATGCAACTGCCCACCTCCTTGTGTGGACGAGGTCTACCATCACATTGTCTCAATGACAAAATGGCCAGCCTTAGTTGACATACCACTGTACCGGATTGCCTTTGCAAAAGCGCTCAGTTTAGAGCCAAACAAACTTACACGCGAGTTCATACGGAGCAACTTTCTGCAAATCCGGGTATATTTTGATGAACTCGGTTACAAGCATGTCTACGAGCAATGCAAAATATCATTAGCTGAATTGTTCAGTAACCTTGGTGGCCAACTAGGATTATGGATTGGTTATTCATTGTTTTCAATTATTGAGTTAATGGCAATGCTAGTAACAGTAGCATATCTTTTTGTGAAGCAAAAATGCACCAATAGAACAAACGTAAAATCGAATGGTATCAGTCATTTTGAAGAAAAAAAAAGTGACGATGAAAATGCACAATAATTCAAAGGAGACGGCGTGAAATAAGAGTAGCTGATTGCAGTTTTACTCATCGAAAGCCTAGAGAAAAACGGTAAGCTATTATACGTCATGCTTGAAAACAACGTAGCAAATTAGAAATATCATAGATCTTCCCAAATTTTGTTTTTTGTTCAATCCGCAACATACACGCTTTTTTATAAGAACACGAGCCTAAAAATTTGTCAAAACCTCCTGCGCAGTATATACAAACTCTTGTCCTTTTTACAAAAAGAGACTTTGGAAAAGTCTACCTCTATTACTGCAAAATAAACATAAAGGAGAAGCACGAAATACTGCCATTACTTTTTTGTATCAGCAAATATCGTCGCATTCGATACGAGAATTATACTATGTTAAACCTTGCTGGAACTGTTGTTGGAAAGTTTGAGGAAAAATACTAAAAACGCTTTGAAATTGAAAACAATATTCTAAATAATTTAGCTTTTCTGCACAGGAAAAAATCAAAGGCCCTGGGGCATAAATAAACAAGAGTCCCCTTGATTTGTTAGCCAATTATTAACTTTTTATCTATGTTCAATCGCATGCCGTTAGTGAGTGTTGTCACCCGCGTGTTAGCATAAATTATTTTTCCTTCTTCTTCTAAAAATCTTTCAGTATGACAAACCTCTCAACAACATTCAATTTTTGATCCTTCAGAATGGCGCACCTTATAACAACCTTCAAATGTTCCAACAGCTATGAGATAATTATTTCGCGCCTTGTGAAGGTCAGCAGTCATCGTCCAAGAAACATCACTGGTGCACAAGGCAAAAACACGTTCTGCGTTTGCCCCGACAAATAATGTGCTTTTAACCTTTGAACTTTGCCCGGACAAATAATGTGTTTTTAACCTTTGAACTCTACTTGATGCCCTTTGACTTGATCGAGATGTTTTTATTATTATTAGCTGATAAGAACTAAGGAAATGTTTGATAAAAACACCAAAAAACTGCCACTGTCTGCTTTTCCTACCGTCACAGGCTAGATTCATTTCCGCAAGAAAACGTATGACGGGACTGCCTTTCCAGGAGGCCCCAATGGGATAACTGCCCCCTCGTCATCGTGGTATTGGTTCTGCAAATAGTTATGACGTCATGATTCAAAATACCCGTTCAAGAAATGTAAGAAATAGGTTATTCAATGTGCATCAGCTGAAGTTTGGTTTTTCTTCTGCACACTTTGCTTATATCTGTCTCTAGATGTTCAAATATGCATCCACTTAGATGTCACCAAACTCACTTATACCATTGTGATTCTCATGAGAGCCTAACCCTGACTGAACTTACTAAAGAATAACTTGAAATATGCGAGAATTTTTAGCGTCGATCTTTCTATTCTACGTTCTTTTGTTCTCCATTAGAATCAATACATCTTAACCATTTGTATTTTAACTCTTTGTAAATATGTAGATATTGAATGAATCAGTTAAACAGACATGAATTAAAATTTTAAACCCTGTTGACATTCAAATGAACTTTATTGGTCACCTATTTATTAGCTATTCTTCCTGCTTATAACAGCTATCTAACTTGATGATAAAATTCACACCGTTAACACCTTTAAAGTGCTTACAGTATTGCCCCAGACTTTTTCAAAAATCCTTCAACATCTAGTAACATTTGTTTTTTATTTTCAGTGCAAGGGGTGACTGATTCGAACGAAGAAAACAAAGACACGCTGAAAGCTATTTGCCATTCTACAGATACGATTCGTCAGTACAAACACATCAGCACATCAGTACAGATAAGATCTTCTTTGAGAAAAGATTGACCTCGACTGCTGTGTTCACGTGACAGGAAGGCTTGAAGCACAATCTATACAAATGCACATTTACACGATAAGGTGCACCGCGCGCGCGAAAGCTCATACTTGTTTCCTTGGCACTCGAACAATTATTTGTAAAACGGGGCATCAGCGATACCTTCAGAAGATGCAATACATTTCCATTAATGGACTTCCACTAAAACTTAAGCTTGATAAAACAGCAAATTACAGGGCTTTTATTTTTATTTGCATGTTCAGGCCGTGTAATCGGTCTAGTGACTTGATGACTTTCTTGAGAATCGCTTCGATAAACTGACTTTTTTCTAAACAGGTTCCTCGAATGAACGTCCCTTTATGATGTTTAAATGGAAAACTGCGAACGTCAATATTATTGAGGGAGTTTTTCTTCTTTTTCATTTCATTGATACGAACCTGAACCTGAACTAATTGCGGTATTTAATATATTTGAAGATAGCACAGAGGTTTTGCCAACAGAATAAGCGAGTAAAAAGTTGTTTCTTTACTGCAGAGACTCGTGTTGTCTATAGTACTGAAGTCATGCTCTGTCCATTCAAAAAGATTGCGTCCCTACCAGTCAAAAACATTCAGTCGTTTATAAATTTTCGTACCGATTTGAATATCGGTATGTATTTTAATGCCAATACGAAGTCAACGATTTGTCAACAATATAAACAGCATGTTTGTGCAAGCATCAGGCGAGAAATAGTTCTGAAATTAGAACAGCCACGGAGTAATTTAAATACCAGTTTGCCCAAATAAAATGCGTTTAAAAAATAAGAACAAAAAAGCCAGCTGAGTTTGAAGAACCTTAAAACGTAATTTGACCAGCATTTGACTGCATATGCTTCTTATTTATAAGTGTGACCCTTAAACATTGTTTTTGGGCACATTGCTTTTTAAATACATTGCAACATTTACAAATATTACCTTTTTATGAACCTTTTCATTAACGATATATGTTTTGTGACACGGAATAACCTTCTTTGCTGATTTTATCAAAACAACAATACATGATCAAATACATCCCAACTTATTCTGCAATAAAAGGTAGTCCTCTATCTAAAACTTAAAACTTTAACTTGGGAACAAATTGAGAACAGTCATGACTCAAAATACTACTTAAGTGTGTAATCCCTCTATAAATCAGTTCCCTCCAGGCATCCTGCCCATGAAAGGTCTCTCCGTTCTCACACAATCGAAACAATGAGACAATACACTCTTTTTTAAAATAACTGGCTTTAAGAAGTCCAGTACTGGCATTGCACATTGTATTACAAAACTGGCAGACTCTAAGTTTCGTAAATAGCGCATGCATGATGCATTTTTATGAGACTCTAGTTGTTGTATTACTGTTGTTCGTTTGAGGTCTGTTGAGATATATAAAATCATTTTGGTTACCAAAGGTATTATATCATCGCATAATCTGATATTGCATTTAAACAATTCTTCGGGGATTAGCAGAAATTTTGCAAACTTTTGCGTCAAACATATCGTGAATTCAAAGTGTTTTTAATAGCCCGTTATTAGTTATTATAACGACCACGTAACGTCGGAACTGAAGTATTGACCTAAACTGAATATCTTCGTAAAACCTATAAAATCAACGAAATCTAAATTCTCAAAATATTTAGATTATTTCTCACAGGACTTCTATCTTATTCACTTACAGGACCGTTATCAATTGCAATCTTATTGTAAAATTCATCTGTGAAGCAATTAAAACGCCCTGCGAGTAAACGTATTCAGGATGGACTTTCACAACGCGATCAGACGAACTTGAAATTATGACATCATTGGGCCTTAGATGATATGCTGTTATTGACAAAAGTAATGTCAGTAACTTTGCAGAAACATAAGGAAAGACTCCACACCATACTATACTCTGAAAGCCTCTTCACTAGTCAGTAACCTAGTATACCGTATAGCCATAGTTGGTATAACCTAGTACAAATATAAGCACATATAGTTTTGACTGCTAAATTACAACTCTCATCAGTACGGCACTACAGCAACCCTGGTTTCCATTTAAATCTTTATCAATACGAACATTAAACAGAGATGATATTATAATTAATAGAAAGTTATGAATTAGCTTTCAAAATAAGTTAATCATGCAGGGATGACTTAACCTGCGCGCAGACTCGGAAATTTAAAAGAGGAGGGAAAGTAGAGTCTGCGCAACAGAGCCGCTTTTCTTGTTCGCTGACATCAGCACTTTATTCTAAGCACTAGAACAACAACTCCATTAGCGTGCAATGTTTTTCTGTAATTTTAGTTGTTCAAAAGAACAAACAGACCTATTCTATTATCCTGATACCATTCATTTATACTTCTGCTCGAAGGCGCCACTTTGAAAACTCAAAAAACAATTGAAATTCCCACAGGCAATCAAATTCGGTTCCTTGATTTTGAAGAACCTGTGAACAAGAAAATCGGCTCGGCTTCGCAGACTCTCCTATTTGGTTCAAAGTACTGTCTCAGAGATTTATTTCAACATCTTCTGGATTCCGTGCTGTATCAGTTTTCGTGTCCTCTTTACCACAACAGGCCCAGTAAATCAAAGAGCCAAAAAAAGCAATTGTTTCAAAGACGGAGAAAACAGAGGCTCCACACCAAAATCCAAGATGGCCACCAATGTTGCTGATAAGATCAAGTTCACCAACAAGTTCTTTTGTTTTGTAATGCATTATGTGCAGCTCATCAAAGTAAACCTTTATCTTGAGGAAACTCTTGGAGATGAAATCATCACTGACATTCTTTTTGTCAGATCCTAGGACTGACTTTGCAAAAGCTCGGTATATTGGTAGGTCCCCATCGACAGGCCACTTCGAGTATGACACCCTTGAATTGTATCCTACTTCTTTGCAGGCTTTAGGGCAATCACAAAAAAAATCACGTACACCCTCGAGATATTTATTTCGCATTTTAAGTTCACATTTAAGCATTTCTAACGTAACATTTGATTTATTCTTTGGTTTAAAACTTCCCCTAATCAGAGGGTTCACGTAGCTGCATTTTTCAAAAACATTTTTATACACGCAAGTAGCCAGACAAGACAGATACGTATAACGACCAGGCAAGTAGTTTGTGAATCCTTCTCCATCAGTGCAGTTTGTACGAAATGGGTATTTAAGGGAGATGGTTTCACTTTTGAAAAAAGAAATATGAGTTGATGTTCCTGGGGCAACGAGAATACCACCAATTTCAAACAAGGGAATGGTATCCCGTTCATGGATGTAAATGGTAAAACCAGCACCGTTTTGTGTTCCTATCAGTGGCAAGTAGTCAGATTCGTTGACATAAAGTATTAATTGCAAGCCAAAGAACGGTCCGTTTTCAGCCTGAAAGTATGTGTTTGGCCCCGGTCCGTGAAAGGTATAGCAGGCATCAGTCCCGTAGGTAGATCTGAAATCTCTGGTGACGTTGCAATATTTATTCGATGCAAATAAACAGGCATCTTTGATATGCCTCAGTAACATTGGTGGGTGCTCAGGAACTGATATGTTGCTGTTTTCAGAGACTGCTTGTACCTCTAAAGACGTATTTTCAATGAAATCGAGGAGATCAGAGATATTAAGATTGCCCGTTTTCATCTCATCAAGTTTCCTCGTGATTTTATTCACAATGTCGATGGGTAAACTAGATTTTGTGGCTTTGCCGTTGCGGCATATTGTCACGCTGGGAAACTCTATGCGACTATGTGTCAACTTTTCAATCTTTGTGTACACCTCTCGCTGTGTGAAGACGTAGATAGAATCATAGACTGCAAAGGTGACTGTAACAAGCAAGCAAATGAACAAGAGGACAAAAACAAACTTCTTCAACGCTGACAAACTGTTATAAATGGCTCCAATTCCGTGAATCGTCGCATTTTCTCCATAAAACTTTAGGGCTGACCTGATTCGATCCTTTCTATACATCTTTATATTCTTTAAGTCTTCAATTTAAATCTAAGAATGTGTACTGTATCACTGCACAGTAAGATAAAGTCGAATGATTGATGTAGTGGTAGCAAGCTGCATTGAAGATCATCGTCTGCAGATAGTTAGACGAGGGGGTCTTACATCAACCTGCAGGTAATCTACGCGTGTCACTGACTTACAACAAAAAATGCTGAATGATTATAATGAATGTTGAACCAGCAACGCATCCTTTATCAATAGCCAGGAAGTATCTGCAGCAATGGGGTAGCTGATAAGATCTATACAGGCTACTGCTTACCCGATTTGTTTAAATTTTAATAGCTTTTAAGCAATTACTATGCCTATACACAAGGTGAAAAAGTACCTGCAAATAAGAGCAGTACTTTAAACCTTTCAATTAAGATCTTGAGCTTCCTTTCAAATTTTATTATTTAGGTTTAAGGTTGAATAAAAAACTACTTGTATGAGCCAAATAACGAGTGCCATGTGCTTCCTTCTATCTACAATGACGTTTTGCAAAACAACTGTCAATAATACATTAACATGAAGTATTCCTGGTTCGATAATACACGAAGAAAATCTATCCGAAGACATAAAATGACACATTACACAAACGTTTTATTCCTCAAATAGCCCCCTTTCTCCATCTTATTTCCTTTCACGTTATCGCTGGAGTCCTGTTCACGCTACGAACGGCTCAGCAATTGGGTATTAGAGTGTAATGCAAAAAGCATATCTTGCTCGGCGCAGGTTATTTGTTATTTAAGGCTAAAAATGCTAGAGTGGAAGGAGAAACTTTGCCAGGTTGGTCTAGGATCAGAGTTAGGTGGGAACAGAAGCTTGGGCTGGGCATTAAGTTAACATTCTAGAGCACATGCTTAAAACGGGGTAGTTAGTCATATGTTGTATTCAGAGGTAGATGAAGATCAAATTCACAATATTCTTGCCTCTTTTAAAAAATGAGTACATGGCGGTAAAGGTTATGCTGAGCATAATAGAATTTAAGATTTTAAAATATAATCGGGCTTCAAAAAATTTCTGCATTAACAAGGTTGTATTTTGCCAATGCTCTTGGTCAGAAAAATAGGCATAACCTTACAGCACACGCTTCTGAACAAAAGACAAGGTCTCGGTCAACGCTCAGGTAGATGATGTCACATCATTTCTACATTTTGGACACAGCTAGGGCTAAACTTGGGCAAGTTTTCGTACTTTGAACCGGGCTTAGGTCACATTGGTTCTTTAAACAATAATGGCACCTTGATACAAGGTGGTGCGAAATCAAAATGTGTCTGCAAAGAAATTGAAAAGATTCTTAAATCAAGAATGTTTAACTCGTGTACCGACAATCAATATATTCTTTTGGAGTCTAATTTGAGACTTCCATGGGTTCAATATATGAGGCTAAAAAGGCTCAATATAGGTAGCGCTTAAGATTAAAGTAGAAAATCTAATCATCTTTGTCCAGGTCTTTGTCACTTTTTACTTTAACGACAGATTTTTCAAAAGCTTCCATGTCCAAATCTTTATCATTATTTACTTTAATGCCAGATTTGCCAAAGATTGCCATAAAAAGTATAGAGGCAATTAACGCAATTGCTTCGAAGACTGAAAAAACAGAGGCTCCACACCAAAACCCAAGATGGCCACCAATGTTGCTGATAAGATCAAGTTCACCAATCAGTTCTTTAGTTACGTATCTCATGACAGACAACTCATCAAAGTAAATCCTAACCTTGAGGAAATTTTTTGATGAGAAGTCATCACTGGCATTTATTGGATCGAAACCTAAGATTGATTTCGCTAAATGTCTGTACAATGGTAGATCCCCATCGACAGGCCACTTTGAACTTGACGTTTTTGAATCATATATCACTTCTTTGCAAGCTTTAGGACAATCACAGTGAGCGAGGCTATCACCTTCAAGAAACTGATCACGCATTTCAAGCTCACATTTAAGCATATCAATCGTAACCTTTGACTTTTTCTTGGGTTTAATTTTCCCCCCAATCGTAGGGTTTACGTAGCCGCATTTCTCAAATACGTGTTTGTAAAAGCAGGTTACCAGACAAGATTGATCCGAATAACGACCAGGAAAGTAGTTTGTAAGTCCTTCTCCGTCACTGCAATTTGTACGAAATGGGTATGGAAGGGAGATGGTTTCACTTTTATAAATAGAAATTTGAGTAAATGTTTCAGGGGCAACGAGAATACCACCAATTTCAAGCAAGGGAATCGTTCCTCTTTCGTGGACGAAAATAGTAAACCCAGCACCTTTTTGTGTTTCTATCAATGGTAAGTAGTCAGATTCGTTGACATAAAGTATTAATTGCAAGCCAAAGAACGGTCCGTTTTCAGCCTGAAAGTATGTGTTTGGCCCCGGTCCGTGAAAGGTATAGCAGGCATCAGTCCCGTAGGTAGATCTGAAATCTCTGGTGACGTTGCAATATTTATTCGATGCAAATAAACAGGCATCTTTGATATGCCTCAGTAACATTGGTGGGTGCTCAGGAACTGACATGTTGCTGTTCTCAAACGCTGCACGCACTTCTAAAGAGGCATTTTGAACAAATTTGTGGAGAGCAGACAAACTCGCATTCCCATTTTTTATCCCTTCAAGCTTCGCCATTGTCTTGTCCACTATGTTGACAGGCAGACTCGATTTTGTTGCTTTTCCATTGCGACAGATCGTAACGCTAGGAAACTCAATGTTTCTACGCGATTCTTTTTCTACGCTAGTGTAAACCTGTCGTAGTGAAAAGGAGTAGAAAGAAGAATAGACAGCATAAATTACAGCACCAAACAAGGAAGTAAACAAGAAAGCAAAAATAACCTTTCTCAATATCGACAAACTATTATGTATCGCGGCAATTCCATGTACCGTTGCATTTTCTCCGTAGAATCGCAAGAGCGTTTTGATTCGATCCTGTTTGCTCATCTTTATGTCTACGTATCCTTACAGCAAGCAGTTTTTTTTATAAACTCAGGCCTATTTGAGGTAGATCTTTGCGGCGCTAGATGATAATATCAATGTTATTACATGTTTGTCTTGATAAGAATGGGCACTGAAGCTACCTATCAATCTGAGCTTCTTCCATTACGCTGGTAGAAGATTCTTTCATCGAAATGACGTCATCGTACTGCTGGCCAACGCATTTGATCACAAACCCAATGTGGATAGAATTGCAAGAGCGAGCAATGGCGATTTCAAAAGTTATGGAGAAAAAGTATCAAAAAGGCAGTGCTGAACGCATGACAATCTAGAATTATCTGCATAACAGTCTATTGAGCGCATTCTTATCTGACAATTGTTTTTGGTATCTAGTTAAAATTTATTTGTTGTTTCAGCAGTCGTTATGCCCCAAATTATCTTTAAAAAAGGGACCTGCAAAAACAGTGCAGCTCTATTGATACCGTAGTTCATTCTGTGTATTCTTGAGAAACCAAATAAATAGGTTTCGTGGTAAGAGTATTAAATATTGATCAAAGTCATACAATGCAATTCAGACACAAGGTTTAACATAACACGAGAGAAGAATTCAGCAAATAAAGGATCCTATTACCTTAGTCCCTTCAAATTTCACCTGCCTTTATTTTTCGTCCCGGAGGGGGGGGGGCGAGAATTAAAGGGGGCGAATTATGGAAATATTTGATGGGGCGAAAATTAGAGGTAGCAAAAATTAAAGGGTCCTTAAAGGGTCGAAAATTCAAGTTACCATCTTTGCGCGCGTCAAATTTTCATCCTGCGTTGATTGCTTTCATTGTTACAGTTCTAATTTAGTGACTTTCTGGAAAAATATCCATACTGAAGCTCATAAAAAAGATATCTTAATCCTAAGAATTTTGACAAAGATGATAAACTTGTGTATTTTTAAGAGGCCTTACTGTAGTTCAAAATAAAATCCATTAATCTTCGATAACGATAATATTGCCATATTTGCACTCATTCATCGATCATGCCAGCACCACGATATCCCCTTACGGCATCACATACCATAGGACATTCCCTTCACCATTGTACACACGTTCACACATCTATGTCATGCTGATTTCTTCCCAAGTCTAGTTCTTTCCTTCGCCATTGCATCATCATTACATCATCACAACACATCATTACTCAGCACATTTATTTTGTATAAAAGTATGTTAATTTTATGTAAGTCAGTACAATCAAGCAACATACTGTCTCTCTCACTGGCTCCGTGTAAACACCAACGATGGAAAGTCACAGGATATGATAGGAACCAGGCAATTCATGCTACATAGTATCGTTCCTATACTATCATCTTCTCTGGCTCAATATAGTAGTCTTGCAGATATTCTTTCATTCGATTGAAGACAGAACTTGGCGCCTTATCCTTATAAACGATTAGTACAATTGGTATTTCGAGTCCACCTTTATGAATTGGCGATCTTCTATACTTGTTGTCTCGTACACGACCTTCTAAAGCGCTCCCATAATTCAAGAAAAAATGGCAAAAGCGATTTTTCAGCAAAAAGTTTCCAAGGAAAAAAAGGTTTTTCAGAGGCCCGAGTGCAGTTCCATGCCGCATGAACGTTCATTGCTTGGAAACTGATAAGGTCAAAGCTTTGAAATTTAAAGTGTCTGGGGGCGAAAATTAAAGGGAGCGAACTTGTACAAAAAAGGGGGCGAAAATTAAAGGGGCGAAAAATAAAGGGAGCCAATATTGAAGGCAGGCTAAATTTGAAGGGACTAAGGTATCTTATAAACTTGTTACATTTTGCACAAATCTACAAATATAAATTCTTTAATGGAGTGAAGTTTCATTGCTTCGCTAAGAGCAACTGAAACATGAAGCAATTCACAATTCAAAAGGCTTTAAAATAACCCTAAAGAAATGTGATTTGCATGAATATCACCCCAAGCATTTGGAGGAAAATGAGAGTTGGCAATTGTTGAGTTTTCAATACATAAACTCGACATGTAAGGATGAAAAACGAAGCTAAGCATAGGCAGATTTATGGAAGAAAGCTAGCACTGGATTTATACCGTGTCAATAGGTTTCATAAATAAGAAACTGTATGTTATAGTGACGTGATCATCAAGGCACGAAAATCACACAACGTCTCTGCCAGGCTCTCCACTGGCAAGTGTTTTCTGCACGCTAAATAAGGCACACAAATGACGTTTTATAACCAATATCACAACATTCAGTATTTATATTGGTTTGACCTAGGAACTCCCATATGATTACGTAGAAATAGTTTTGCCTCGATTAAGAGCCTTAAACAGTTTTTCCTCGATTCAATTAAATACCTAAAGAGAATAAATAGATTCCCCTATGGCTGTAGTAACGACAAATTTTTCAATCATCCCTACAGTGGCTAAACTCAGGTCAGCCCTGTTGATGACCGTATTTGAAAAATATGTTCACGGCATTGTTGCCGAATTCAGTAAACCCAATTATTGGCTAATTAAAGGTAAAAAAGAATTTTAAAAAAGGCTGTCAATAGATTTGTTTGCAGTCAAAGGTTTGCTAGCTATAAATTTTTGAAAACATCGCTGCTGACGGCATTCAAGGTGACAAGAAAAAAGAAACTAATTTACGTGTATGCTTGACAGCAAATTTAGTCTAACACTCATTAAGGAAAGAGACTTGCTCAAACGAAACATTTTATGTCAACCTTATGTCACATTTTATGTCACTATAAATGACAGCCAGTTGAATAGATTATCACAGTTTTTTGCATAGGAAAAGAATGAAAGAAAGCCTTCGAGCTTATATGATTACTCTCTGTTAAACACTATCTTGTTTAATCAAATGAATAGGTGTTTGCTATTTTATCTTCTAAATAGTCATCAACATAAAAAAGGAAAGCAATAGCTTTCTTCGGAAACTCAAGCTTCGATTGAAAATAGAACAGCAAAACAAACGATTTTTCATTCATTGAAATATTCAACTAATTAGTCCATGGATTTGCAGTGAGATTTGCCGCTTTTCACGCAAGTATGATAGTTCAATTGGCTACCGACGTTACGTGCTGATCTCTTATGTGCTGATCTACAATGACGTTTCTAAAAACATAGACAAAGGAAAACAGTAAGCAGGTGCGTCTAAATGAAAACTGTTAAAAAGACTATTAGTGATTAGCTTAAAACAACACTTTTTGAGTAAAATTAATGATGAAAAGATTATGACGAGAAGAAAACTTCAATTGAAAGACAGAATCAATCAGCGCCAGTGTCTTAATTGCACGGGCACGAAGGGCATGAATACTTCTGCGATTAGAGCGAAGAGTGACGCCGATGATCACATGAGATGGTGCGAATCATAACGCAGTTTACTGTCTGTGATAGCAAATACTGAATCTGTTTCGTCGTTAAATGAAGATTAAATGGATTAGGGATTCGACAGTACACGATAAGCGTTGACACCAAGAATACGACCAAAGAAATATAAAAGAAGTGAGCGAATAAAGAAGTTTCTAACAGAACTGTCATAATTGGGACGCTGGGCAATCATGTCGGAGAAACTGAAGAAAACCTTGAGCTTCTTTTTAGAGAACGCAACGACACACGGAATATCTGGAATCTACCAAATGAAAAATATTTTCGTTAAGATATTGATTATGCTTTTGTTTTTAACATTGGTATCATTTATGGGCTACTCCCTCCTAGCAACATTCCGAACATTTTTCGAATATGAAGTCTACACAAGTGTTGAAATTGAAACGAACCATAGGTTGCAGTTTCCAGCCGTGACAATCTGCAGTAACAATGCCATTCCGAAATCTTATTTAAATAGCTCTTTACTGCAGGACGTACTGAACAAGACAAACGACGTAGTGACTGGGAAAATACCGTTTGATGAGATCAACGAATTTTTCCTCAATTTGACATATGAATTGACAGCAAAGCTTGAAAGTAGTAAAACAACAGCTCCTAAGCAACCACCAATGATACTAGAAACATTAAACGACGCTTGCTTGTTCGCTCAAAAGCAGAGATGCAATTTGACCAAAGACTTCAAGCCAACATTTCCTACTGAAATATTAAATACATGTTACACGTTCAACGCAGGATTGGAAAACAGATATGTCCAGACGGGAAAAGGATCTGGTTTCGGCCTTAGCTTGGTTATGTTTATGAACCAATCAGACTTTCTTCCTTTAATTGGAAAAAAGCGTGACACCGGCTTCACCGTTTACATCCATGACTCTGATACATTGCCAATGTTAGGTATAAGAGGAATGCTAGTTGGACCAGGGTTTCACACAAAAATTGCAATCAGAAAGACTGAAATAGTGGCAAAGCCTTCACCTTTTCCCAGCAACTGCTCTAACGGTGAAGGAATTGTTAACTATATACCTGGTGCCTACACTTCTTTGGCTTGCCAACTATCTTGTGTTTTTAATTCAGTTTTGTCAGAATGCGGCTATGCCCAAAATTTGATTCGTAGCCATATAAATACGACAAAAATTATTCAATCAAATGCATCGATGTTACAGTGCAGAGATAGAGTAATGAATGCTGTCTTAGGTGCACAAACCTTTCCATGTCAATGCCCGAGAGCATGTAAAGAGATACGTTATGAGTCAACAATGTCACAGTCAAGATGGCCTAATGACATTGATTTGCCCATTTTCAAAGCTTTATCGCAAAAAGTTGTCGGTGTCAACCCCAGCAGTATCACTGATGATTTCTTCACTAAAAACTTCCTCAAGCTGGACATCTATTTCGATGACATGAGTGTCAGGAAGTATGTTGAAAAAGAAATGATGGGAAGAATTAGTCTATTGAGTATTATTGGCGGTCATTTGGGTTTCTGGACCGGAAGCTCCTTGTTTTCTATTTTTGAATGGTTGGTTGCACTTATAAGCTTGTTGATGCTTTTCATCCAAATAATGGCAAACAAATTTTTAGGTGAAAGAGATCAGTCTGTAACCAAAGTGGAAAGTATTGGCATAAATCCGATGTAAAAACTTGAAACGATGTAAATTTGAGTTTTGCACTGCGGTCAGTCTTACTTGAGGAATGCAATGTCAAGAAAATAGCCAGCACCATAACAGCTAGCTACGGACAATCAATTGGTTGCAGATAAAGTTGAAAAAAGTCTCTACTGATATGAAGGCTTCACTGTACCACAAAATATATCCTCCCAAAAACAGAAACTTTGGCAATACTTCATGCATGAAGTTCAATTTGCCATGAATTTTACCACAAAACTGTGCACTTAAGTTTATTTATAACACATCATAAAGGTGTCTTATATATTTCACAAGAGTATTTGAAGTATATGCGTATATATAAAAACTATATTTAAAATACTATTCTAGTCCTTTTATGAAGTTTATCCTTCCTTTAAACGTATGTAGTGTCAACTTGGATTTAAATAAATAATTGCGTTATGCTACTCAATAATTTGATTAATTTTTCTAAATGTCTCTAAACGCTATCATACAAAATAAGTTTTAAAAAATGGCCCATTAGACCTGATGGAATTTATTTATTATATATGAGAATTATATGAATTATAGAAGTTAAGAAACTTCTATTTCTACAGCAGAACAAAGTAGAAAACATTAAAGCCGTTAAAACCTCTAGTTGACGAAGACGTCTTGTAGAGATCAGCTGATCTGTCAGTCCCGATACCATTTGTAGCTCGAAGCAAATAAGCGTTTTTTTCTCTGCACATTTTTGTGTACGGGTACTTATTGAAGTAAAATGCAGAATCCATTTCCGATACGTGCTTAAACTAGGCATTTCCCATAAAGTTATGATAAAAAGCCGTTTAACAGATTTTAAAGGTGAACTGACACGCAAAACTATTTTTTGATATAATGCAGAAAACGATGCATGGAATCTTAATTTCAAGTTTTCGGTTAATTATTATTTCCGTTCTGACGCAATTCCGCTCTAAATGTCATGAAATTATCGTCGAGTGCTCGACCATTGTCGGCATTTCATGTGACCCAGTGCGTGTGACGTCACAAACACCATGTTTTGATTCCTTGAATGGAAATCACGCATGGACTGGACAGTTCAGTTCATCTTGTTCAGTTACTATTCGAGGAGATATACGTAGCCTTTGATCCAAGACTCATGAAAATTCGAGGCTACTGAAATGTACGAAGGATATGTGCTGGCTGGTACTGCGTTATATTAGGAGGGAATTTATCTTTGGAAGGAATAGGCACTTTTAGCTGCTCGAAGAAATTCTCAATTCTGAAGTCAATCATGCGGACGAATGTAAGAATCTTTTCATTTTATCATGAATCTAGCTTCTTTTTCGAATAAATTCAATATATTATTACTTCGATATACATCCATATAAATCATGAACGTTATTGTATTTTGGGTTTGCAAACTCATCGGTTCACTCGAGTTACAGGAGGGCAGCGGCCTGGGAGATGAAAATTTTACTAAGTTGTTATCCTGCAAATAGCGAAGCGATCGTACCATGTGCTTAACCCCTGAAAATCTTCCATGTGATTGAATAAAAAATATGCCGAAAATGAGTGACGTTAATTCGAAACCTTTACTGCGTATATTGAAGTTAACCAAGATCAAAGACCGAGATTAACTTTTGGGGGGAGGAGGGAAGCCCTGATAAACAAGTCAAACAGCAGCCGTATTTAACAAAATATAAGTATTTTACTAAGGTTTCCAGAAAATAAAAAATCTGCCAATATTTTCATCGCTACCATTATTCGATATGTTGGCCCGCTACACACTTGGTCCTGCAAGATGGAGGAAGGGCCTCAAAGGCGTTGAATAATACGATATTCTTGCAAATCGTATTATGAACGGTTTGTAAAGGAGTCATGATCTGTTTTCCTATCAGATTGTCGAAATGGAGCCAAAACCTACTGAATTAATGTATCGATGCTCATCCGCAAAGTCATGAAAGTACCACCCTCCAGACTTGTTCAAGTGATGTGAACATGGTGTTTGTGACGTCACGATTATGCGGAAGGCTCGGGCAAACTCGTCCGTGCTCGGGAAATGTTCGGTAGCTAACTTTGACGCTCAATAACTCGAAAACTGTGTTGAATATTAAAAAAAAATAATGTACCAGGTATTTTTGCTCGATATGCTTTCATTTGAGGTCAAGTTAATTTTGCGTGTCAGTTCACCTTTAAACAATAAAATCAAGCGGCACGGGTTAGCAAGCTTAAAACAGATAAAAACATAATGGAAGATCGAGACAGGCATGGTTGAATCAGTGCCATTAGCTAGTCTTGTTCGGCTCGAGAGCTAGACAAAAAACGATTGTCCTAACTTTCCAGCCGGTTTACAGATTACAAGACGCAGATGATGTGCTCACCTGTTGCTTTAGTGTTTTAAGGCATATCGTGCCAAACCGCTCAGCATTGCTAGTTGAGTGTTCGGGGAATTTTTCCGCGATAACTCCATTTATATTGAAAAGTGCACCTCGAACTAAAACAACAAACATTTTGTGCTTTAAGATCTCGTTTGAAACGCACATCACAACTTGTTTATCTTGAAGAGATTTCTCTACAAACGTCACAAAAAGCTGAAGATGTCCACTTTATAAATAGCTTTGATATTCTACGTTAAGTGCAGTGTATTAAGAAAATAGAATGAATATCAACTGAAAAATTGCTTTGGTAAACATAATCATAAATTAGAAACAAAAGAAGTAGAAAGCTAAACGGCTCACCTCCAGATGCTTCTCTTGTGCTTTGCAAGCAAAGTGCAAATAATCTAGCGACAGTTATATAAAAATTCTAGAGATATGGTTTCCCTTTTTTCTGTAAACCTTATTAAACTTAACGAGAAGATTGTTAAGAGTATACGATATATTTGTTATAACTAAAAATACCAAAGCTGTTTATTATCAATACAAGATACTATCACTGGGATGCAATCAATGCCTGCTTTGATAAGTTGTTGACAACTGTTTAGTTTCTCTTTGGTTGATGAAGTGAGAAATACCTCAACCATAAAACACTCTTTCACTGCGGGCATTTCACAAAAATTTCTCATTTACAAATTTTCAGATACCTTAATTTTAATCCATAACTAGATAGAAATAGATATGGCATTAATTTGAACACAAAGCTACCCAATACTCATACAAAAGGATACTTTTCTGCCAATACAGGAACATCAAGTCTTTGTTGTATATCCTTGTTGCTAGACTGGAGAAGCTAGAAAAACAAGTTTAGCAAAAAAAGTAGAACATACAAAGAACATGACAATTGAAAATTGGAAATAGGGAAATTGGTCTTATTGAAACCTTAGCACACAGGGCATTGATGATATGCTCCAAAACTGAATAGTGTCCTGAGCTTGATAGAATCTAGGAAATTCTATTGGAGAAAGGCTGCCAATAAGATTGTCATTTCAATTTGTTTTAGAGAAAAATTTGCAAAATTTTTGGCTTGGAAAAAGTTTGGTCCGGAAAAGTGCCTTGTATATTCAAAGAGGCTGTGGGTTGGCAACGTTTCATTAGAATTCGAGAATCAAATTAATAAGACAATTGTTTCCACTGTGGCGCCCCGTGTGGTCCATAGTACTAAGGCCATGCTTCTGTCCACTTAAAAGGATTGCGTTCCTACCAATCAAAAAAGTTTAGTTATTTATGAATTTTGTGCCGATATGAAGCTTGGTGTGTAGGACGCACTGGCGATTAGTCGATAGAATAAAACAGCATGTTCCCGCGAGTATCAGGGACAAAGTTCTTAAAAAACATCCACAGCGCATTTGCAAAAATTAAAATGCCCAATTAAATGTGATTCGGCAATTGGTCAACATTTTTTCACAAATCTAGAGTGTGCCAAAACGTATAATGATTACAATTTCAAAATCATTGGGCAGACAAGATTATCTTTTCATATAAGAGTTTGGGAATCTGTTTACATCAAAACAAAGGATTCCGATATGTGTAGACAGAAAAAGTTAGTTTTCTCTCGTTGACTACGTTAGAGGTTAGCGGTCACTGATTGGTGAAAACAATAACCAATCAAACGCATCTTATTTCCCCTCACGTTACTCTCGATCCACACCTGGATACAAATTTTCAGCTTACTTTCGGTCTTATTCAACGTTTATACTCTGAAGAGTGTCGGACGAAAAGTGTTTTAATATGCTATGTTTCCGGTATTTCGTGAAATCTTCAAACTTTGCGGTACCAGAAACTTAATTCTTGGTTATTTCCGGCGGAGACCCTTGAAAGTAATTCTCGTTCCAAGCATGAATTATCTAAAAAGGCTGAAATTTCCAATTATATTTTCTTCAATAACAAAAAAGAGAAGCTATAATTGGGAAACAGCCAGTAAGCTGTTCCCTATACATGTCAAGGAAACTATATCCAACAATCTAAATTCTGGAAAAATTAACGATTGATTTTGAGAAATCTTGATTGAAGTAAGCTTTTCAAATGCAAATAGATTTGAATAGGCCAGACATAACAAGATAATTTTGCTGCTAGTCTTTGTTGAAACATAGGGTGAATTACAAGTAGATGAGCTAAATGCTTTGACCTGCTTAAATCTTGGAAAACAAAAAAGTGCAAAACGGTTAGCAAATCAACAAAGAAATTGGACATATCTATTTTCAATCCACCAATAAAACGAGAGGCCTCAACATATAGCTCCATAAACGAAGTTGCTGTGTAGCTCCAAAATTCAGAACTTTAAAGCATAGCCGGTATGATTCTTTTAAAGGGGAAGAGGGAAACCAACAGTTTAAAAAAACTGAAATTTAGAAATAGTTACAACTTATAATGATGTTCCTTAGAAAGCTAAGGACTATGCAATTCGACCTGAAGAAACAATACATTAAATCACACCTGAGTTAGAATATTAAAACCTTCAACTTTAACCTTGCTTGAAGGATCCCTGGTGACAACCAGGAGACAGGCATCCTGAAACACAAAGCAAATTACTTAAAAATGGAAAGCTGTATTTTTACTGCTGTGTATATTCATTTCTATTACATGAGTTTTGGCAAAATCCAAATAACATTATACAACATGTGTTCAGATGACATTCACTTTTGTCTTACTAAAAGGGGCAGGATACCAGAATTAATCAAAATGAAGACATCAGAAAATACCAGCTAAACATAGGTTAGGAAAAGTAACAGCTACAAGGCACAAACTTCAGGTTAATATTACAAGTCTTATTCATGTCACTACTGTAAGAATGTGTCTTTCATTGCCTTATTTCACAACACACAACAATTTTTGCATTACTCTTTGGATTTGAGACAAGTAGGATCCCATTGACTTTAGTTTGATTTCATAGATTTGCAGCAAAACTTGTAGTCAAATAAGATTTTAACCAACAAATAACAACTCTCAAAATCACAACCATCATTAATCATAAGACAAAATAAATAGAGTCATACAAAACAAACCCAGCAAAAGCCTATGCATTATTTTAGGATTTATGAGACAAAAAGAGCTAAGGTAACAAGGACAAATAGAGAATGAATGTTTGCCAAATGTAAATTACATAGAGACATATATTCAAAAAGTCACTTTTCTCAGGCTCACCTGGATTGACTTTACATGCGGTAAGATGCTGTCGCCAATTTTTTCCAAATATACTAATAGGAATGTAAGCAAATCAGCTTTTGGATTCTCAAACTGCAATTTAAACAAAAAATTGGTTCCATTGAGCAAATTAAAAACTAGCCGTAACAAACAAATGAAATCAATTAATACATACCTTAACAGGGACAATAAAAAAGCATTGGGGGAACGGAATTTAACACTTAAACATCCTTGTTTAAACAGGTCAGCAACTCATATCTCTGCAAATGAGCCAGAACAGGTAACATAATAAATATAGAAGCATCAAAAATCAAGAACAAACTTACCTCTTTAAGCTGAACAGTTGTGTTGATGAATGTAAGAACACCAAATTCATTGTTAAAAAGAAGAGAAGTGCTGTATTCTGGAACAGAATTTAGTAAAATCAAAATTCATTATATAATTCTTAGATATTAAAAAAATAGGAGTCTTTTGATAAATTCTTTAACAAATTTTCTAAGGGTTGTTAATTTTATGATAAAAATGGTTTCTGAAAAGGAATTGTAGAACAAAAAATAACTTTTTCCATTTTCCAAGTGTACAGCAGGGGTAAGGGGCATGTAATAGCCTTTTTTATGTGCAGCAAATTGTCAAAAATGAACTGGCAGTGTTCAAAAATGAACACTAACAAAACAAGCACATACTTCTCCCAAGAACAAATATGAGATATTCTCCAAGTAAAAAATAGCTATGGATTTTGTGTGAGACACATGCATTATGGCCTGTTCTCATGCTTACACACATCAAACTAAAATTCTCATACATTCTACACTTAAGTTTTAGATAATTCAAGGATGGGCAAGAAACATTAATTTCCTGCCAAAAGTCTAATAAGAATTTACATTTTTCATGAACTTGAACGTAACATTACAACATCAGAACTGAAAAAAAACATTTTGATACTCTCATGTTCATTCAGCCTTAAAGTCTTTTCTCTCTTTTTGTCCCCTCTAACACCCTATGCCACGGCAAAGGAAAATGATCTCCCTTTAATTTTGAAACAAGATTTGGAAGCATCCACTCGATCATGTTCAAAACTGAATTTTGACAGGTGTCACTATCCTTCCACTGCTGAGGTTATTCCACTTGAAGAAGAAGATAAAAAAGGCTTTGAAGTTCAGACAGTTTTTCAGAGTCTGGATGTGGTATTAATTCAGTATTTTAGCCCCTATTTGCAGTTACTGACGTTACTGATGCTGTAAACAAAATTGTCTTAAATCCCTTCATTTTGGTTTTCTTTCTGGATTCACATTAAGAAAGCCTTAGTGTAACTTCCAATAATCTCTTCAAGACTAGACACTCATCCAAAACATAAATGAAAAAATTTCTAGGAATCTTTTCAATTTCGGAGAACAACTGTGTAGTGATAAGTGATAAGACCACCAGATTTAGCTGCATTTTTATTACCCTTATTGTGAACCTGCAATGTACTGAAGTTTACGTTTCTTGTCACACCCTTATCACGGTCCTTTTTTTCTATATGAAGTGTTAGAAGGCTTACGATTATAATGAAATGGGATAAGAATACTGGCAAAACCTGTAGCCTCAATTCAAGCTAAATTGATATCTAGATTAGCCTAAATTCAACAAAAGACAATAGAAACTTTACTGGCATCTAAAAATGTAAACTCTAACAAATGGAAAAAGCCAGCTTTATGCAAACTGCAAAATTCTTTATCTTGAGTTGTTTATTTTTACAGTCAACAAACAAGATTGATATTCATGCACTCAGCACCCTCATAGGCACCTTGATTTCTTGTTGTGAAGACCTTTGATGCATTTAGGCTTTCCTTGGATTGACATGCAATCCCATGCGTTTTGTCAGAAATGTGTGCGTTTATATGATAGCAAACCATTTATAAGCTCAGTATAAACTTGTGTAGAAACTTGCTCAAGTCTTATGTAGAAAACATTTTGTTGTTAAAATGTAAGTAGCTATGTTGAGAATTCAGCAAAGAAAATTTCACAGAAATTACTGCTGTTATCATTGTTGAGTCAAGGCAATTTCTGCTTAGATCTATCATGAATATTCTAAATTTTGGCAAAAAAAACAGCACAAGCCGCCACACACCTGGTTGCCTTCAGGTGTACAGTGGCTAGCACACGTTCTATATTTTTACAAAAAAGGCCTGGAATTACTTTTAGCATCAAAAGCAGGGCTTTTTGTCCTTCATACTGAAATCCAAAATGTATTACAAACCACAAAATTAGAGCTCAAATGCAAAATGAATAAAATTGAATAGTCTGTTAATTCAAAAAACTATGTTTATGTGAAGCCTACCAATGTCAGCAACTGTAATGAAATCTTGACAATGAGAAGCAATGTCGCTGACAACATTTGAAGCTTCTACACTTCTCCCAATGAAATCTCTCTTCAGTATGTCCTGAAGATGTTCTAACAAGACTTGCAGAGAATGAGACATCTGGATTCTTTGGTCTTCAGTCAAAATAATCCATCAAATATACTGCAAATATCAAAACATACGAGTGTCTTAAACAATAAGAAAACAATTAAAAATGTTTTCCAACCAGTTATCTCTTCTAGGATTAAAGCAGTCAATAGTCAAATATGCTGGTGAAAAATGATTTGTTTAAAAAAAATGCTACCAATAATTTGAAAAACTAAACAACCTTCTCTGAAACCATAAAAAAACCAGACACCTATGGAATTCTTTTATTGGAAGCTTCCCAGTGCCTGAGGAAAGTAGTACACCTCTGCTGTTTGAATTCTCCCCTCATGAGTTGTATTTATTGTTCATTTTGGACCAAACTGGAAACTTTTGTTGCACACCTGCAATATATTGCTCCTGAACACAAATTTTTCATTCACACACTTTTGCATATTGGCAGCGTGAAGTCCCTAGTTTATAACATTTTACATTATGAACACTACAAATTTCTAAATTTGTGTGATTTCAGGCAGCCAGTCGCAAATTTCCAAAATGAGCTTGCTTGCAACATCATGAAAGTTCTTTCTCTTGATAGATCCAACCATCAGGCTGAATAATATGTTGAACCCTTTGAGGCATGTCGGGAACCGTTGAAGCGAGGGCTGATTAGGCTTCAACCAAAAAAAATTACTTCAAAAAGATACTATGAAACATCTGACTACTATGAAATCAAAATGCTACCATGAAATTATATAGCCTCACTACACCTCTCCATAGATATCTGTAATTAAAGAAACCCCCTCTCACTCATGCATGATACGATTCCTCGTTTCTTCCCAGGAAGTATCGAATAATAATGTTGCCTACTGCTTTGCAGTAAATAAACCCCTAAATGAAACCTCATTAGCATGGTGTTTTGGCAAGTAAAGGCAGGGTAGCGACGACCGTCATAAACCTGCAGGAAGCACAAATGACGAATAAATAGGAAAGAAATGCAAACGTGTTAAAAGTAGAGTACATCTTTTTGTATTGTGGTAATTTTACCTTAGTAATGCTCGAAAGAAACTATTATCTTGATAATACCTCCACAAAAGTGCAAGTTCTTGGCCGGTTACACACAGGGCTACGCAGGACATGTTTAGTGTTGTTCCGCAAGTGAACACAGCAACAACACCAAATACTGTACATTTCGCGCCATCTTGCAAGCTGTTTGGCTTGCCATCGGACCACTTTGTTTGGACCGATAGTGACAATGGTTGGGTCGAAATCTACGGTCCGTGACAACTTTTACTTTAGTTACCTTGTTTTTAAAGTTGTTTTGACATTTTATAGAACACTGTGCAAAATGAGCCCGGGTAAAATTTTGATTTTTGGTGGGCGTTGACCGGAAATGACATCATAAATTTGGTACCTGTAAAATGATTTGGTACCATAATTTGAGACAGGTATGTCTTAATCACAGAAGTAACACACCATTCCACTCACTGCGAGCAAGGCTTTCAATTGATGTGCATTAAATCACATTTTGAAGATATAAGGAAATTATGTTATGACGTCACTTTCAGAACTCAAAAACAATATATTGATCATACTGCTCTGATAAAATTGAGATTCATAAATTTTATGTGTTGAAGTCACTGTCCTAACAAGTAATTAACAGGGCAGGTGAAACCGGGGGGCATGCGAATTTCTATTGCCTAAACTTGGCACACCAAGGTCTATTTGTTAACGAAAACTTTCTCAGAAACATTACAAAAAGAGATAAATCAGCTGTTGAAGGAAAAGAAACAGCTGGAAATAATTTTTTTGATGATATGAGAAATAAAGTATGGGCAGATTTGTTCTTAAAAAGTATTTTCAAGAAAACTTCAGAGTTTGATCGTTTGGATAATCCATTCCTACTAAGGAAGATAAAATATCAACGCAATTATAAATTCTATTTAAACTCATTTTGACAAGCCCAGTTTGAAGGTTTTTCAAATTTTTGTTAAAGCACTGAATTTCCGAAAAAGTTAAGATGAGATGTTACAAAGTTATATCTTAACTGTACAAAATTGTTTAACTTTTTATTTTTAGTTGATATTTCAAGGTTAATGTTTTCTATTAATCCGTGTTTCATTGATTTTTCTCCCCCATCTTACTTCGGGTACTTTTAAAATCTAAAAAAAAGTCTTCATTACGAGCTATATGATAGTGGTTATTCCAAAACTTTGCAAAACTTATCTATTTCAAGTCAACATCATAATAGACGCGACAATGCGACACCTTCAGTCAAAATTCATTTTAGATACAGTTTCTGGCCATCCCTAAGACACAATAATTCTAAAATTTTCTTGCCGCCAACTATGGTGGCGGCCTTTCCTAACCCCTTTCGAGACAATTTATATTTTGGCCCCTCCACTTTCAAATACGTTTCGCCGGCCCTGATGTGATGTTATGTGAAGAAACATGTTGTTTAACATCCTGTGAATTAGTCAATTCATGTTTAGTCATACAAAATATCAGTTGCACCATATTTTCGCGAGCCTCGGACATTGATTCGGATAAACTATAGAGAAACCATATGCGATGTTACCAACATCTTGTCCGTTAGAACGAATAACTCATAGAGTTTCAGGCGCGGATCCAGCCTGGATTCTGACCTATGCAAAGGTTGTCAGAAAGAGAAGCCACGCCCTTTTGTGTTGGAAACGCTCAAATATTTCTAAATAAAATCGGTATCACTGATTTTGAATAGGGGGTTCCACAAAAGAATTCTGAGGAAACGACCCGCAAAGAAAAGACTAAATTAAATAAAAGACTAAACGACCTACAATTCGAAGAAAAAAGCCTCTGACCCCGGTAGAAGTGAGTTTCCCGACCCCGGTAGAATTCGACTCAGGGCCCCCTACATTCCGAACGTTACGGTCTTATCACATCACTACAGAGCAGACACTACAATGTTGACTGATTTAGCAAAAAGTTTTTTAGCAGGGGTGAAGCAGTAATTGGCTAAGTCCATTTCATTGGCAGAAACAAACAATTGCATAGGTCCACGGTAAACAATTGCATAGCTAAACTCTGACTTCTATTGGTTGGCAACCTCAGTTTCTGATTTGATGAATCAAATCTGACCTATGATCGCGCCAAAGATTGCAGAGGTGGCAGGTCTAGGACGGACGTCGAGTACGTATTTGCCCTTTCCTTCTCTGATTGACTTAAAAAATTGAGGGAAAATGCAAGTAAACTAACGCTGCAAAAGATACGTTTCGTTCAGCTCCGAAATAATTGTTTTAAATGTAAACCCGTTGTCAGAAAAATTTGCAAGCTGAGAGTTGCTACCCACGATTCCTCCGCCCAAATATGTAGATAACCAATGGATGGGGAGAGCTGGGGGAAAAAAGCGTTATAATCGTATCATTATATGGAAAATAACGATTAAGATATCGGGGAGGGGGTACGTTCGCGGGCATACACCTTCTCCGTTATTAAATCATTGTTTGAACTTGCTAAATGAGAGAGGTAGCTTGTTGACTGTTGAGGGTATTCGCAACGAATCGACGGAACCCTTCTGAACGGCTTGTATTTCAAGTGTCATATTTTTCTTTTATAAACATTATTTTGTTTCAGTGATGGAATATTAAGACACCTTCTTCCATAACAAAGTACACATAGCATTTTAATTCTCGTTAAACCTTTTTGCATTTGGTAGAATTAAACAAAACCAATTCAATACCTTCTGAACTTCTATTCGTATTCTTACAAAGTTTATTATGTTTATTAAGCTAATGACGAAGGCGGGAAGATAGAGCTATATAAAGCACGCGACCCTTCAAATTAAAGCTAAAAAGTATTATTTATTTGAGGGGCGGATATACAGAACAAATCCGAAGGGAATAATCGGTAAAATGGTCACCTATATAATTTGCTCATGTCCATACAGGGACCACGCCACGAATCTGAAAGTGGGGGGGGGAGAGGCCAAGGCTAGCAAAAGTAGGGAGTCAAGGCTTTTCCCCCTTTCAGTGCAGCTTTAAAATTACTTACTTCGCAAAAAGTAGGGGGGGCCATGGCCACCCCGGCCGCCATAACGACCTTTGATTGAGGCCACCTTTTCGTCGAAAAGAGGGACTTGAAACTATTTTCCGACGAATACGCATCGTCCAATTTGTTTAACGCAGTCCAAAACATAATAACACATAGCTTATAGAGGAAATGCAATGGCAAAGCGATTTCAATTGACGAATTTTCATAATTTCACAATAAAATCGCAACTGTAAAAAAATTGCAAAAATAAACCTTTTGCACCGCCAAATTTGAAGACATCACTGAAAGTATACCATTTTTGCTCTTCCGTGTTATCGTCAACTTAATGAAAAAATGATTCCATTGCGACGTAGACCAAATATCTTGATAAATAATTACCAATGAAGTGCATGATTCTTCTATTCCAATTCTTATTGAGTAAAAAAATACATATAAATATGAATAGGACAGATTAATTACCAGGGCCTCCGACGAAGGGGGGCTGGGGAGCTTGCCCCCCCCCCCACTTTTTTGCCTAACAATAAGAGCAATTTCCAAAATCTTTAATCGTGGGTGCTAAATTTCCCCTTGGCCCCCCTACTTTCCAACCTGTGTCGGAGCTCATGATTACCACAAACAAACCTCAAAAGGTAGAGGTAAGAGAGTCGCAGAATGATTCAATAAACGTCTATAACAAGGCTGTATTCTATTCTAAAACAGTGGCCATGCAAGTAGATTTTAATAACTATTCACATTCTTAATGCAGCCAAAATGTAAATCAACGTATCCAAAGATTGGAATACTCTTAGGTTTAGGGGTCTCAGGTTAGAATTGAAAAATCTGAGGCAAAAATCAGGGCTCCAAGAATTTTTTAAGCAAAGACTAGACTTGCACAGAAACTGGGCCATTTCAATCGACCTGCATTCATCACTTCCTTTTTCTTTTCTTCACTTTCCCAAGTCCTTTCCCAAACCAACCCGGCCGAACGGTTGCCGTTTTATGGTTGGTTTGCACAACATTTTTTAAAACAGCGTCTGCCTCTTCTTTTACTTGCTCATTTAAAAGTGAACTGAAAATACAGTTGCTTTTTGATATTGAAGATTGCACTGTTGGAGCATAGTCATTTGTCTTTTGTTCTTCCTTTACTTTTGAGTTGCATTCATCTTTCTTCAATGTAAGCAGTTTTGTCTTATGTGTATCAGATTCATAACGTGTAAGGGGAACGTGTATTCTGAACAACGGGTCATTTTGCCTGCAAATTAATAACAGTTTGTTAAGCGTTTGTCTTAGGAAGAAGAAATAGGAGGAAGCTTAGGCAAAAGCAATAAAAAGCAAATTGATTACATTTTACGAGCAAAGGATAATTGTAACATAAACACCAATAAACTACACCTTTTAAAAAAGGATTAAACAAAAACGTTGATATTTTGTTCCAAATATGCCGAAATATCTTCCCAAAGTTTATTTTCGTAGCTTTCTTCAACCAATATTTGCTTTAAGGCTGTCGACAGATCCTAAAGAGGCTTGAGCTATCTTACAAGAAAAAATTTTCTTTCAACACACCAACCAGTGAGCGAAATTCCACTCACACGCTCATTGATTGGCCAATATTGATAACATAACCTCCAAAAACTTCCAAAAACACGGAGGTTATGTGTTCGAAAGGTAATAAAAAACAATTAGAAGTTGAAATTTGAGAACAAAGGATGTAGTACTAAATTACCTGTTGTATTTAGGAATTGAATAACTTAGTTGACTCATGACAAGTTTCATAACCTCGTCCACTTTTCCTAGAAGATACGGGAGCATACGATTTTAAAATGGTTTACTAAAAAATATTGCTCGTCAAGCAAAACCCTGTCTCCCCGCTATCTCCAGAGGTTGGCTGTTCGTGAACATTAATAACATTAGTAATGATCATAAATAATCAGAAAATGATCTTTCGGAAAGACTGCAAAGTTGCTACAGACCAGAAAGTATAAACATATACTTTGAAATGCCGACGGTAAGTGTGCACACTACAAATATCATGGAAGTGAGATCACTATGACAACGCATTTAATTGCTTACTTTTCTCAAATTGTGTAATCTATGAATGCAATTAACTTTTTACGTACGAAAATAACAATAGAATACCGTGTATTTTAAGAGACGCAAGGTTGTCCTTCGGAGTCCACTGGAGATTAACGATATAAAGGTCAGGACGTTTCAGTTTAACTCTGTTCATTCCCCAGAGTCCACGATAGCTTTTTAAAACCTGTTGAAAAAATTAAGATAAATTACTACAATTATTTCAGTAGTTATTTCAGTGTTTTAGAATATATGTATATAGATTTTAGCGCTCTACAAGTGCATTTATTATTAGTAATGTGTGCAAGAAGCATTCCATGTTCATCAAAGGTTTCCTTATGAAAACAAGATATAAATCATCTCATGAAAATGTCAAACAATTTCAAGCATAGCAAAAGAATTAAACTGTAAGCAAACAATTTTGTAGATATTCTGCAATGAATACGATATTTGATAACTTTCAATTAAAATACAATTTTTTTGAATTTGAATAGAATATTAAAAAAAGAAATTTTGCTGTAAGCTTCCTAAACAAATATTGGATACATAAAGAATAGCATAGATAGACATATATGCAAAGGAATTTATTTACAAGTGATGCCGTATAGGCAGAACTGAGACCTAATAAAGAGACAATTCGTTTGTTTAATTGCTTCATCCTAGATTAGTCCGTCTGTTATCTCAAGTCACTTCCACGAACGTACAGTTTCTAGCTGCGCAAGATAACTAGAAATAGTGCTAGAAAGTGCATCCAAAGCTAAAACATAATGAAACCAGCTCTTATTATGTTTCTTCAAAAAGGATGAATTAAACATATTACTCTTAACTCAAAACATTGACTTCATGTTTCTCAGAGATGCTGGGGAATGGGGTGCAAGGGGTCAAGTGCCCCTGTTGCCTTTTGATAGAAGGGGCAAGGAGGGCCAGAGTGTCCTTTTCATTTAAATGCCCTTGAAACCAGCTATTTCTAATAATCAGATAGATTTATATTAAATTTTGGTTGTAGTGCCTAATTACTGACGACTTTTCTCAAAACTTGTAAAAAAATTCCTTATGCCAAACGATAGCCAATGTTCAAGATACATACAGAAGATCGAAAAAAAATGGCAGATACGAAGGAATTAGTAGAAGCTGAGAATTATCTCTCGAATGCCCTTTTACCCAAGCCTGCCCCCCTTGCCCCTTGGTCGTTCCGGCGTCGCTGATGTTTCTGACGAGTAGGTACTTCAGGCTTCTTTTTCAAGGGCCATACATTGATTTTGACAAGAAATCGGGTCGGGCCTAATTTTCTTCACGGTTGCGTCTTGTTTGTTATATGTTTGTCAATTTTTAGATTAAATTGTTTCGCGATGACATTGAAAATAGAAATACTAAGCGTTTGAACGAATATTAAAAATTATAATAGGCGTGACAGATCATTTAAATCCAAAAATTCCTTTGTCAGTAAGTAAAATCGTAGTAGGTAAAAAACTCTACTTGGATAGCTTTAAGCACAGCTGATCATTGATAGTCATAGCACGAGGTTGGAAAACAATGAAAATTGCATTTTCACGTCATCTGCTGCTGCCTTTGTCATAATAATGCTTTGTCAAAACTGATGCTTTTAATCAGTCATCACCACGCCCTCAACTACACCAACGCACTCCAAAAAAATTAATTAATATTTAGCAGGAAAAGCAAACATCAACTGTCACTTCCTTACTGCTAGGTCCTGATTAAAAAAAATGGGTTTCTTGCTTCAGCTGTGAATCAAGAAAATGTCCACGCCTTGAAAATTTTTAGCAGCGTTATTTGGAAGATATTTTTTAAAAAGCAATATGTAAGAGGCAAGTACTAGATTTTAATTCTGAGAGCATTTCGAAGTTGTTTACGATTTTTCTTGCTACGTTTCCACGGCTATCCAAAGATGTAGAAGTACCGTAAATCCTCGAATTAGCCCCCTGGGGGCTTATTTATTTTTGATATTTTTGGATGAGGGCTTATTCGAAGGGCGGCTAATACGAGGGGGGACTTATAAAGTTGTTGTAGACATTAAGAAGAAATTATTATAACACCTCGTTTATTTTAGCAGGAATTTCTTTATGAGCATTAAATTAATTTTTACCAAAAGTATGAATTTTTGAGGTAATTCAATAAAACACCAAACACAACCTCAGATGGCAAAAATCATCAAATTCAAGAGGGCCAATTCAAGGATTTACAGTAGCAGTGGGGGCTTTTTCGAGGGGGGGGCTTATTGAAAATTTGTAGTTCTAGGGTGGGTGCTTATTCGAGGGGAGGGGGCTTTTTCGAGGGGGGGGGGGCAATTCGAGGATTTAAGGTATTGAGGAAGGCAAATGGTAAAACTTTAAAAGAGTATATAAAGTGAGTGGAATTTATTGTTGTGCTTGAACCTTTCTTCAAGGCCAAATCAATTATGATTTCTGAATGAAACCTCTCAAGGCACAAATGCCAAATCAATGAAGATTTTCCTAGAAAATTTTGAGTAAGGCCAATTTGGCAAAATGATTGGTTAAGGCGTTTTCTGAAATCTTGCTTATTTGGAGGGTGTTTGTGTTCTTTCATTCCCCATTGCTTTCATTCCTCATTGCCTTGAGTGGTTTTTGGAGTCATAATGCTCGTTCTGGTATTGTTGCATTACATTTCGGTTTGCCAATCGGGTGTAGAGTTTTAGCAAGTCATTCAGACATGAAGGCCTAGTTGAATTTCAAAATATAAATGAAAAGTTACTATAAAACTTATAAAACAACCTTAACCTTATACGGTTCCGTCATTTCCTTTCTGAATTGAGAACATTGGCATTAGCGTTTTGTTATATTCTCTGACGCAAATAATCATTGGAATTATGATTTGGCTTTTCCGATTACTCTCAAATTTTCGACATATTTAAAGAATTTTAAAGATTGGGTGGTGTCACACCCTCCTCACATCTCCCGGTACCCAAGTGCCTGAACTTGCGTGATATAAAATAAACAAAGCCGGGATGCTTATCACACAAAAACTGGTTAAAGCTTTATGAAAAAATTGCTTTAGAATTAAAAGAAATCATTTATATTATAAAAACAGTTGACGTGCAGAGAACCATCAACCCCCAAAATTGGGCTGAGCCGACATCACTCAACTAATATGCTGTTCCAGGGATTTTAAACGTAGCTGATGAAACATCTCACCTCAGTATCGGGGCTGCTTTTACTAAACATTAAAATTCACACCCTCTCCAAGTCAATATTAGAGATCTGCATACAATGAAAAGAAATAACATGGAACAATTTCATCTAAAACTAGGTTCTTACTTTTAGACTCGACCCAAGACACAAAATTGCATCTGCCATTTTAGCATGATCAAAAGCCGCTTTCCAATTCTGCGGAAAGAAGAGCTCTCTCTTTTCTCCAAAATGTACGATAGTGTCCGATAATTTATTACAACAATAGTGACAGGTGCGATTTGTGTAGTGCCTTCTTAGACCAGTATTTTCTGTGACATCGAAAAGTCTCCAGTAGACCCTTTGTGGGTCGCATTCCTCGCAGACCTTGGAAGAAAATTATAACAGTCACAAATGTAACAAGAAATGCAAATATAAACAAGGTGATATCATAATAAAAGATGATACAAATAAATACGAAATGAAGATACAAGTATTTCAAGATGACAGACAATAGGCTGTAGTTAAACCTTCTAAAATCTAAAGGTCTTGCGTCACACAGGCTACAAACCCCTGATGAGCATAAATTTTCAAATAAAGAGCTTTCTATAGCATTGAATGTCTATTTGTCCTTGATGAAACGTTTCTGCAGACGGAACTATCTCTTTCCCCAAGCATATTATCGTCAAAAAGCAAATTAAGCAATAAAAAAAGTGCTGCAATTTTCAAATAATTGCTTTCTTTATCTGATTAACTTGGATCTTTTTTCCAAACTGACGTGTTATAATTAACTTTCAAATTTATAAATGGCTTTAACTTCAAACAATATATTTCAATCTAAAATAAAGTATAAAGTAATAATTAAACTGCTACAAAATTTATATTTCAATATATTCCAAATTCACCTCAGCAAACATGTTTCCGTGTACTTCTGACAAGGCTGGTGATGGTAAACCACTTCGAACATGTAGACCATCACAATTCTGAGAAACAACATGCTTAACCTGAAATTAAAAATACGTTAGTAGACCAGTAAATCAAGATTGCTAGATTTACTATATAGCTCAATCCTATGCTTTCGCCATCTGAGAAAAAACTTGAAAACTGCATGAATATAATCAGATATGCATTCTAAATGCAGGTTCTTGGAAATTCTAAACTGCTTCTGCAAATTTGTTTAGAAATCAAGGGCGAAACCCATTGCTTTATCAATCATAGACTATAATGTTCCATTTGTTAAAACTTAAAAATTGACATCAGTTTTTTGAAAAGACATCGTGGACGAAAGAAGATAAACATCTGAATGATGATTCAGCTTATAGTATGAAAGAACAAAAGCAGAAAATATCTTGCCCTTTCATGTTGGTATAATGCAACCAAACTCATATGAGTAAGTGTCGGCTCGGCATCACAGAAGCTATGAAAGCTGAAAAAACATTTGCAATTCTTAAAATGGCCAACTAATAAAAAAACAGATGTTTGATTGTTACAGGATCTCCTTATTCCAAGAAAAACATACATAATCCTTATTTCAACATACAGCAAGATATCAGCTTTGGTGTATAGGGCGGTTTAAGTTGCAAATCTGAGTTTCAAACTTAATGCGATCATCAGGCAACGACACAGCGTGCAAAGCTCTGCATATAATATGACACCTAGCATTTTATGACAGACCGCTAAACAGTAATTTTTATAACATCTATATATAAATATATAGCTGGTAAACTTTTTGAGAATCTACATTAATGAGTCAATATCAAGATGAAGGCAATCGGGACCTCAGGACTGGCATAGAATAATAAAATACAAATGCTACGACACAATAAAACAATTTTTTGGAGACCCACGTGAGATCTTCTCCTTTGCAAAGCTTGGTCCATACACCATCTGGTCCTCTGAAAAACGTTAGAAAATTGAAGACGATTCATAGATAATTTAGGTAACGTAGACTTCCACGCAATACAAGAAGAAACTGTTTATGAGACAATGACAATGAACGGATCGTTCCACAAATTACAGTTCTTAATGGACCAAACTAGCATAACATTCTCGGATTTTCAAAAAAAACTAGCAACATAATGATGTTCGGTCATCAAACAGAGATCTAAGAAAATATTCACTTAAAAAAATTTTGTTAAAAAGGTTCATTTTTCTACAAAATTCAATTAGGTGTTTATCAATTAGAAGTTCAATTCCTAATCCCAGTTCATGAATGCCAGTATACCCTGGGTACTAGAGCCTTAGTGAAAGAGATGTTCGAGCAGTGGTCGGACCCATTCTTTCACCGACCTACTCTTTCACAGATGCACTCAGGGCCGCATTTACCACTAGGCCTAACGGGCCCGGGCCCGGGACCCCACAAACAAATAGGGGCCCAAGAACTTTTCGGAAGTTTATTATGGTTTCATAGGGTTTCTCTTGCACAGGTTTCGTATCAGTGCCTAAATGCACAACCTTAAAGTGTGGAAGCTTAAAAAATTGATTTGGATGATTCCATCTTAAGCAAACTCACGTGGCACCCTAACTTCACAAAAGAAAAGAAGCAATGTAAAATTATAAAATGTTTTTGCAAACAACTTTATACAATATACAACCTCTTGCATTACCACTTAATTTATGAATGGAATTCAAAGAACAGAGTTCTTGCAATCACACCCTCCCAGATGATCATTTAAAACAAAACTTAGCTTATACAAGGCTTCAAGTACTAAAAATTACACCTTGCTGTGAGAAAACATCGGAAACGTGAACGTTATTCAAGACCTTTTTAATTATATAAGGAAAACAATCAAGACTTTATAGGAAAGGGCAAAGAGAAAGAAAATATTTTAGATCTTTGGACCAGTTAAAGAGTATGAAATCGTCCAATCTGCTGACAGATAAAGCGAGAAAATTGGATGATAACGATGTTTTGGTCGACGAAAACATCGAAACAGATTTTAAAATGTTCATTCAAGAAGCCAAAAAAGCTGAAGCACAAGCAACTACTGTACTCTACCTCCCATACGAGGTTTTCACCAGAAACAATTTCAGCGCTGATGTAAATTTTCAATGACTCATGAAATTTATTTTATCTCAGTTTCTAAAAATAAAATGCTTTGACTTTCACACTTGTTGATAGGCAGTATATGCCTAAGCCCAGGGGGTCCTAAAAATGTTAGCACGGCCCTGGAGGCACTGGCACCCAGGCTATAAACGTCCGTAGTTTTTCATAATTAATAATGATTACAATGACAGCTGAACGATACCTGTAATCAGGAATTGACGCAGCCTAAGAAAAAGATATAAAAACTGTTTTAAAATATAAGACTAGCCAAAATACCCAAACAGCAGAGATAATCAAGTCACTCAGAACTGACTCATTGGCATTCATTAAAAAGGAGCTCTTTCTTTAATAGGTGCACTAAATACATTTTGCATGATTAATGGAATGAAAAACTGATAGACAATAACAGGTCTTTGGATACACACTTTATATCTAACATAAATATACCACCTTTATTCTAGCTGATGCTAGCAATGTCTATTACACCTGTGGAAATTGTTTATAAATCGATTTCGATTCCTAATAAGAATATCCTGCGAAAGCATTGCATATCTAGCAAAATATTAGCATACAGTGTTCTATTGATATCGTCATTTTTCGTTTTTCTTTCAGCATCCTAAGTTTGTCTTTGCTACATAATATACATACTCTGATTAGACGTAATTCAGTAAATTTTTTCCCACTAAATCTAAGAGCCAAAGATTAAACCATGTACAATGTGGGATGCAATATTGGCTTGTTTTATCTACTCCTTTGAAAAAAGTATTATTTCATCTTGTATAACATTATGCAACTTTGCAACTCACAGTGCTTATGCCAGCACCAGTATACACAACCATATGCTTTGCGCATCTAATTGCCTCGGCCAGCTCAGCACATTTTCTTCTCAATATCTCTGGGCTATCTTCCTTCTACAAAACATAATGATACATAACATGATGAGAAATATTAACATGAGCATAAACCTGAATTAATAGTTGCAATTTCAAATCATATACCTTCATAATGCAAAAAGTTCTTAAATTGTAACGATTACAGAAATATATTGTAGGTGTAAAGTTTTCTTCAGGGGATACACACCTGGAAAAACCTTCAAGATATCTGCAACTGGATTTGATATCTTTCTGTCTACAGTTTTGATCCTTTTTTATTAGAAATATAGAAAATAAATGCTAAATTAACATGAAAATTATCTCTAATTCCATCCATATTTAGACATGTAGTGACTCTGCTTAGACCTGTTTGCATAAATTTTTTGTTACCATTCATTCCATCACATTTTACAGCACAGGAGGACAGACATCCTCTACGTCACTCTCATATCACACATTTACTAATCACTATTTTTTACTCTATCCTTGCCATGCTATTCAATTTACTCATCAACTTTACTCACCTTCCAATCATCTGTTTTTCTCACATTATTCCTGTTAATTTTAGATATCCATTTCTGTATATAAGTATGTTAATTTTTAGGTAGTCTAGCTCAGTTAGAATCAAGAGATGCAGTAGGCATATCATCTTTACTCTAGCTCTGCGTTCTCCACACGTTAAACAGGACTCACTGGGGTTAGAAACAATTAGTGAACCAACAGCATCAAAGAATCACACAGCCATGCACAATTCTAATTACACTAAAGACAAGCTAATTCAAAGGAACTGATTAAACCAATCAAACTATATACCAACAAGGAGAAAATATGTCTAGAATTTTATAAATCTTGATTTTCCTTTCTGCTTATACTTTAATGTTAAAAAAACCATTGTTTGCTAGGAAAAAATACGCAAACACTGTCACAAAGGTGCAATAACACAATTCTTCTTACACAAGCAAACATTTTACATAACTATGCTTTCTATATTTGTTTGAATGAATTTTGTCTTGAATGATAATGCAATTTTTGACAAAATATGTTTACTAACCTGTCCATTTTTCTTGATTCTGTGCAAATAAATTTGTCAAATGCTGGACAATCAATGAAGAAGCAAAACAACAATAAACCAAAATTTTTCACCTTCCCTTTTTCTGCAATTGTTCTAGTTAGTGCAATTGCACTAGTTAGTCAAAGACAAATCCTAACATCATAGTCTAAGCTAGCCACTCATTGCACAAGTCGAAATGTCAAAAAGGATAAGATCAAAAGATAAGATGATGGGACAAATTTTGCCACAAACATTTTTTATTAGTTTTGTTACTCTAAGATTTCAAAGGAAAATAGAAAGTGCAGTGACTTCAAAATTTCAGTTCAAAATCTTTTCTTTGTGACTCAAGTTGGTTTGGAAAAGTATATTTCTTTGATTAATAAAATCGACACATAAATTGTTTTAAATGCAATATTGATCATAACTAAATAACTTCACAATTTTTGCAAAAAAAATATTTTCCTGTGGACTGCCATACCAAAATTGAGCAGTTTACTAAGAAATATGGTTGAACAAACAAACTAACATACTAAAATTTAAGTTGGGCAGGTATCTTATTTTGTAGTATGGTATCAAGAGAAGTACTGTGGCTGTACATTTAACTGAGCAGACAGAAACTTTGTTAAGAGCTACCAGAGAATGGTGCATGCACCCTTTTCTTTCTTTCTCAATATTTTTCTTTCAGAAATATTCAATCTTCTCTTTAAGGATGAGGTACTCTAAATCTGGGGAAATAAATACATTGCAAGCTGTTGAAAACCATTTCTCAAGGATCTTTTAAACAAAGGCCAATTTAACCCTAACTCAAGAAAAGGATGGAGGAATTAGGCAGTTGCCAAGGCAAAATGAGAAAAGGTAATTTTATAGGAGATTTCTTGACTCTCGATTGTTGATATGGTAAAAACCTGTTTATGCCAAGTTTTAGTTGTAGTATTTAGTTGTAATTTGATTCTAAAGTTTCAGTGTTTTGTTCTTATTTAGTATATTGTAAATTATAGGTGTAAAACTGTGTTTACGGATCTTAATAATGTGTGAAATTGTATTAGGAACTGTGATTGATGAATGAAAACGAAACAAAATGAATACATCCTCTGAATAAGGTAGCAATCAGCCTGTAACTAAAAATCATAAAGTAACTTTGTAAAGATTTGTATCAACCTCTTTAGATCTTTCCTCTAAAACTCGTTTCTTTTCTTTCCTTTTCAAAACTTCGTTTGCTATCTTTGAGTACCTGCCAAGGAATTCAATGTCCTCTTCACTTCTTTCGCGCGTCTCTTTCCGCAAAATCCCTTTAATTCTACTTAAAGTCAATCTTTCTTCATTCTTGAGCATCAAATTTCTCCTTTTCATCAATTTCAATGCCTCCCTTTTCCCTAATTCGCCGTTTTCCCTTTTAGCATCCCGCCCTTCCTCTTCGTTTACATCCGCCATGATGAATTTAATGTTGTTTTGTTGTTGTGTCCAGTGACTTGGCGTGAGCACCCGTTGCTCCCGTTGACCTGAGTGAGCCAGGTATGTTCAATGACAGGGCAGGGCTTCCGAGGTGTGGGGGCTGCGACAACCCCCCAAGAGTCAAACATTAGATAAAAGAGCATATCAATATTAAAACCATAACATAACAAGCACAATGCTCATTACCTATATGATATCTCGCTAAAATTTTATCGAATTCAGTATCTATATCCAATTTGTTTGTTCTTCATCTTCTCCTTGGAGATCTTAGCTCTCCAAAACTTGTTTAAGCCTAGACCACTGAATAAGGTCAGCGATAAAAGATTTAAACAACATTAAATGATATCAAGGAACACTGCAAAATGACATGAAGCAATCAAATAAAATGGATACAGTTTCATTTTGATTTCGATATTTTGATGATTTATGTTGGATTTATTCATTTACACCACACACACTTTTTTGATAAGAATGACTTATTTTTTTCTGAGCCTCAATATTCTTAATTCTTTTTTATTTTGAGTGTAAGATTATTCTTAAATTATTCTTAAGCAACACAAGGTGTAACAGTGTCGCATTATTCTTAAATTATTCTAAAAATATCAGCTATTTTGAACCTCAATATTCTTACTGACTCTATTCTACACAAAAAGTGTGTATTTGGCTGCTTCTCGTTGCTTTTTGGTGTTTCTACCTGTCAAGTATAAAGCACACTCATCATGTTTCCAATACGTGTATTTATTGTTGTTTATTCTCGGCGTATTGCGGTGTTTCCTATTTGCTACATGTTTGCAATATTCTGGTGTTTTTCATATCCTTAATTACCATCAAAAGCTTAATCAAGGAAAGTCTTCTTGGAGGATCAATCAAATATCAATAAGAGAGAATGATTTGGGAAATATTTTCAGAGCCGTCGAAAGGTCGTACTGATTGAGGGGGCAAAACCTCGGCAAAACCAAGAAAGGGCACTTGCAGCAATTCTTTATCATTTTCGAACTGCAAAATAAATGAAATTCAAACCTTGAAAGGGTATATGTATTAACAGGTCTATGTGCTGCTATGGAAATCTTATAATAAAGTTGCTTTTTTGAATACTTTTGCTGCTAGAAATACCAAACCTTTCCCTGAAGAATTTATTTGCAACGTCTTGAAGACTAAACTAATCTAATTCATCCTTGTTTTCATTTAAGATCATGGTTTCATTTTTTTTGGGCCATCGTTGCACAAAGATATGTTTGGCTCTTCTCAAAATAGAACAGAAACATTTACGGATAGCATCTGTTCTGTAGCAGGTACAAACAGCAACTTGAACAAAGCTACAATTTCTGGAAAAGTTCTCTTTGTTGGGGCAATAACAAACGAAGGTGTTTTGTGATCGCTATTACGCCTTCAAAGAAGATGACTGGAATCCAAAGTGAAAGTTACGTTTTCATATAATTTCGCGGAAGTACTCATCCATCGTGGAAGAAAGTTAAAATGAGCGAAATATGCGATCAAACGCCTCACCCTTTGCTTGAGATAACAAGAATTTCTAACTTCTGCATAAAACTGCAAATAGCTATTTGGTTGAAAATACAATTTGTAACAGTAGTGTAGTTCTATCATAATAACAAAGGGGCTCTTGCAGATGCGAAAAACAATAGTAAAAGTAAAAATTTGCCAATTTGTTGCCAATTAACAATTGTGTGTGTGTGTGGGGGGGGGGGGGGGCTCAGCCCCTTTGAGCCCTTTAGCACTACACCCATGGTTTGTAATTGTGCCAATTGATTAAAAACAGCTCTGTAAATAGGCGCCCTCCTCGTTATCATGAAATTTTGTTCCTGCCTCTCCTTTAGAAAATCTTGCTGGACGCTGTCTGTTCACTTATCAAACCAGGACCCCTATACCTTTACGTTATGGGTCTGGAACACTGGCAGCAATGTCCATACTTTTTGCCGCTTGCCTTGAATTTTCTCAAAACAGAGAAAAGGATCACCAGTGCACAGTTTTCCTAATGCTCTCATCACTAAATTTGCGATACGCTGACATTTCTAAGTTCAGCAATCCCATAGCTTTTGTTGAAGTTTTCAATGGTCAATCACGCTTTTTATAGTCGGCCCATATAATGGAAGCGGCGTGAAAGAAAAGCCTAGTCGAGGAGTTGGCCACGATGTCCTGAACCTGAAAATTCAGGGACTGTTCTTTTCTTTTAACTCATTGGAATAAGCATCTCTGTTTTGTGAATATTCAAAAGAAAGGAATTTTCTAACGTTTTGCTTAGTAAATCCTGCAAATTTTTAACTTCTTTTATCATATCACCGACAGCAAGTTGCAAGGCATATGAAGGTAGCAATGTGCGAAGATTGCTACCATTTTGCCTTGAAAAAGGCTTTTATTTTAGGTGACAAACAAGTTCACTACCAATTTATTTGTTATTAAAGTTCACTACCAATAACCGATGAATCAAAATCTAATTTTGATTGCAAAAGAACGCTGTGGAATATTGCGCACTTTTGATTAGCAACATTTTGCTCTTGTACTGCCTAAAAGCATTGAACCTTCAAAGAAATTTTCGTAACTAAATTTCCTAATTCAGTTACAATAACAACTAAAAAAATTTTGCGGAAAAAGGGCATATTGATACTTCTAAAAATTGTTGGTGGAGGGAGGGAGCAGATGCACTGATTTTAGGCTCAAGTTTAAAATTTTTTAGGAATATTTAGGCTTGAACAAAATTAAGGTATTCTTAAAAAACTGTACGTACCAACAATTTTCTTCCCTGTGTCGTTGTTTCATGATTTAAAGAATATGAGTGGCCGGTATGCTTACTTCATGCTTTCTCAATGCAAACATAAAGAAACGGGGTCCTGTCTAAACGAATACATCTGCATAAAAATCTGTTTTCATGTCAAGGAAAGCGAATGAAATGTTTTTCGTCAACACAATCATTTTGACAAGACCCACCCCTCTTCATAGAAACGTTGATAACGAACAAATTTTCGCAGACTCATAATAATTTTAATCTATGAGCATAGTATAGTGTTGTTGTGGTTGGAACGTTGTAAAATAATGCGTTTACAGCCGTTTACACGGAAACCTATGTTTTTCAAAATTGCGTTTCCGGTCCTATACGATAAGCGAAGCTTGAGTCATCTCGAGGCAACACCAATAAAAGTTTCCGCCCAAGTTTTTTATTAAAGCATGGTTCTACGTTGATCATTATTTTTGTAAAGAAATAGCTACTGCAACAATTACCAATAGAATATATCTTATCTTGTGTTGCATTAAATAAGTCAGCATTGCTTTTGTTCGGACAAATCTTTAGCTGGCTTTCCTTTGTTCTTCGCTCAGTTTCCGATCTTCTGATTATAACACTGCTAGCAAAAAGCAGAAAAAATAGCGAGTTGCGATTGCTTTCCGCCGTCCCTTGCACAATAGAAGCTACTTTTCCCTTTCATTGCATAGTTGGTCTTTCCATGCAAGTATCAATTTACTTTAACAGTTCATCTATGGTAAAACAGATGTTTGGCTTGCGAAACAAATATGCTTTTGTAATATGGGCGGGCAATCACCTGCACATCTACGCAGGGGCGAAAGTACCGGGGGTTGGGGGGTGTGACACCCCCCAATCTAAAAAATAGTCGATTTCGCAGGGCGCCAAGAAGAGCTTTATTGCCACGCAAAAATGCTACCTCTGAAGTTCGTAAAGGGCCGTTTAGGAATTTTGAAGTGGAAATATCTTATTTGTTATGAACCTCCCTTTAGATTTTAGAGAACGGAACAGGTATGTCAGAAAGAGCTCCGTTATTAGCAAAGCGAATTTCTTACCGAAAGTCATAGCCAATGGATGCAATGATTGATGCATATGTTTATGAGGGCAAGGTCGAATCCACACAAATTATTTTTAGTTGTAAATTATTTTCATGACAGGCATGGCGCCATTGGGGGGAATAGGGGGCTGAAAGCCCCCCACTTTGGTCAAGATAAGAATTTTTTTATCATTTTTTCTGTTACTTTTTAACAGTGTATAAAATAAAAAGAGAATAAACTGTTAAGATGTCGATTTTTTTATCTAATTATTAACTTATTCACGTATATTTCTATTATTTTTCTTTTACCATCTTCCTCATTCACAACTATATCTCCCTACTTTATCATCTCCCTAATTTTTCCCAATAAACAATAATTAGTTTTTTAGCAGCATCGTATTTTGCTTAATTTTAGTCTGGGAGATGCTTTTTAGTCCTTTTACAAGGTATAATTAATTACTAAGGAAAATCAAATTTGACATTTAATTTATGCTCACGTAGAGAAGTAGATCTTTCATAGATAATGAAGTTTCAAGTTTGCTTTTAATGCTTAGAAGTTTGTCCTTGGTAAAGACAATTGTACACTGGTAAAGCTTTCACTAGTAACCTATAAACAAACCTTTGCTACAAGGTCTGCAGGGCACCACTCAATTTTGCAGGGCAGAAACCCTTTTCATCCCCCGAACCTATTGGCCAAGTTATGCCCCTGTATCTAGTAAGTCAAAAAACAAACCCACTCTTTGAAATATGAGCAAGACTCTGCAAGAATGCAGGTAGCGAATGCTGTAACAGTAACAGGTAGCTTTGAAAAACTTTGCAAAATTACGGTGCAGGTGTTGTGTTAACTAAATGATTTGCGAAAGGCTGATAAAAAATTATGTTTGCTCTTTGCGCTTTGCTTTGCCAGCCTTTTTTCGAAAAATAAATTTCTCTACATGATGTTGGTACATACATATTGCAATCACTGATAAGAGAGCAAAGAAGGGATCAGGGCCTTCGCGAGGCAGGCACTATGGTTGGTTGCCGCCGAAGGACAAAAAATTTGTCGAATTTAGATGCTTTCAATCCCCTGGAAAAAGCACTTCTTTAAGCAAATTTTACTAAGGCACTCCTCCTAATCTTATTAAAATTCTTTTATTTTTGCAAACGGACTGAGCAGCAGATAAAAAAACCGGTACAATTTCGCCGTGGTCTTGAAAATACCCATGTTGTTACTTCTAAAGCCAGGTAAGCAGGTCAATTTTTTCCATCTTGGCATTCCTTTTGAATTTAAAAAGATCTGGAGCTCATTGTGAATAATAGTTGACGCTTCTACTGAGAAACGTTAGGGAAAATGGATACAAGGCACAATTTTACCTAAGGAGGGCCTGGTTTTTTGGATTTTCGTGTCAACAAGAAATCTTGATATTGTTAACGCTTAGTTTGTTTACCTTAATTCATATCAAGGAAATATCATATATAACCAACGGAGCAACTAGCTTTGCTTGATCCTTTATTGATTTGAAAACGTGTAGGTCTCTGATCTACCTCCCATCCCCTCCCCACACTCTCCGGTCTCGACGCCCTGGATGGGATTAGAACCCGCATCGTTTTTAAAGGATAATTGACATTCGGTTTTGACCGTAAAGTTGAACATGTCCAACTTGAAAAAGGACTGACAGCTAAAAAAACGTCAGTTTGCTGCCGTACACAATCATTTTTTCTGCCATCAGTGAAACTGACAGTTTAAAATATTCGTGTATTCCAGCCGAAATTTGACAAAATCACAAATTTAAAACAATAAATGCCTATCCTTCAAATTAAAACTTTAACTGTTTAACTGAAGGAAAAGGGATAGGATAAGGGTTAAGGTTTAGCCTGCGTCACAGACCAAAACTTCCGTGAAGTTCACTAGGTAGGCCTGGCTTCGTTCCTTTAAGCTGCTAAAGTCATGCATAAAGCTTCCAAAATTATCATCTACGACACAATTTAAACTTTTTTCAGAGTATCCTTTCCCCTTCTCAGCTTTATTTCACTGCATTCTAAAAAATGGCGCAACAGGTGTGAAATGAGGCTGCTAATCGTCTTCACGATCACCATTATCAACTTCATGATCCCAAGTATCACCTTGATATCAAATGCGGCATTCTGCAGCACCTCAAGCTTCCAAATAACCATACGCTGAGCCCTCCCCAAAAATTTTTCATGCACAAAAAATACCCATACATCTCATCGATGCCGCAAGGAGAACAATAAAAATGACGTAAGGTCTCAAAATCAATTGTTTAAAACTGCGCGGGCATCTAAAATTAATATGCGAAATGCCGCTAGATCTTATTTATTTCAAATCATCTGAGGCAGGGAAGATGATCACATAATCGCAGGCATAGAATCACTTATTCGCTCAATATGAGGCAAAACAAAGATGCGAAGTAGGGTCCCATGCAGGAAAAGAACAAACAATTTCATGAATGACTGCACTTATTAAGGTATTTGGGGGTAAAGCGTCAGCCATTACAATGAAACCCAAGGATGATTTTGGCGAATTTTATATGTTTCAACCGTTGTCAACTGCAGCTGACTGCTTTGCGTAAGGCAGTTGCGGCACCCTAGACCCGCACCTGGAAAATGGTAAAAGCATAAATTATTGGATAGATTAAAAGCCTTTCTACCTTTACTGAGAATATAAAGAATAATTAGCATTAGATATACTGAAAGAAGATATAAAATCACCACAATGGTCATCTATTTGTAATGCTTAATCAAGGAAAGATTGCTAGTGTCTACGATATTAAATAAATTCATTTAAACCAGTTTGATTGCCTTCAAGATGACAGTTTCAATTTTCGAAAGTTTTTCGCTTTTGCTGCAGGTAGCAAACGCATGAAAAATATCGTAATTATCATGTTTTGATAGAAAACGACGATACTTTGATGCTTAAATGATGGAAGGAGATGATGCTTAATGATAAAGCAGGTAGCTTTGGCTCATTACCGCCTTTAAAACCTGTTGTTGAGATTTATAGGAAATCTATATAAGCAGGAAGAAGCATAAAATGCTATTAAAACCAAGGTATATTAATTTAATGTGATGGTGAATATCAATTTCCAAGAGGCCTTGAATGATCAATAAAATGCAGTGAAGAATAAAGAATGAAGAGGGAAGTGAAGCGAGCCAAACAAGAAACAGATCTGCTAATCTGGTAGCTTGGCGCTTAATGTTGCTAGAAAGAATCAAAAAATATACTTGAAGGCAAGTGCAACAAAAGTTAACGTTTTTTAAATGGTTTCTATTTGATCTTCGCAGTATTAACTAAATATATGCATGTTGCGATTGGATAAATAAAAAGGCCAACCATAGCCCCGATCATCTTGCCGTCTAGCAGATTTCGAATCTATCCACATAAGCACGAAAAAACCGCTATTGTGCAGACAAAATGAGTTCATTTTTACGTTAGAACTCCATTGGTAACATCTTTACTAGGCAAGCGGCACTGATCGAGCAACCTCAACAGTCATGTGCTCGCGTTTCTATATGGCCTATTTCGATCCACAATTGGGTATATATATTTCCTAGCGTAGAGTTTTCGGTCTTTGTTCTGACGTTCAATACTCTGAAGAGCGTCAGACGAAAAGCTTTAGTATACTCTAATGTTTGCTTTTTCAAAGCGAGTTTTGATGTTTGATCCGTTTGGCCAGGGCTTTACGTATTCCATTCGAATGCTGCATTTCTATTGTTGAACGGATGTGAATTGGTGACGTACACGGAAAAAGTATTGCGAAATTTCGCTGCGAAATACTTCACGCGAACAAATTCCTTTGAATGCTTTTGTTGAACTCACAACATTGGAATGTAAAGTTTGGGAGGATAGGAATACGGAATATGATTGGCTGCTGAAGGATTTCGCAAGCGAAAAAAGTTAAACATGGCGGGGAAATTTTTCGCGAGAAATCCCAGCAAAGGATCACTGCACATGCCCAAGACGTATTTCGCGCGAACTTTTTCGCATTTCGCTGATTTTTTTCTCACTGGAGATTGGGCTTTATACTTTAATAGTCAAACTATTGATCAACAGCAAGACAGCGGGACGTTCCTTGTGTAGTTGATGCCACATACAACCTGATGTGATTTGATAATCAACATCTTTGGTTGCAAGAAGGATCATATCTTTTTTTGACAAGCTTGTAGCACGTGATCATTGTCTGACGCATAGAGCCCTTAGATTAATATTCCTCCAAAACTTTGCTGGCTTTACATTGATAACTACAAAGCCATATTTAAAAATTGATTAATTTGCCAACTACTTTTCTGGACATAAAAATTTGATTAAGTAGTAAAAGCTTTCATGTGGAGAATCATAAATGCCACAAAAATATTTTTGAGCTAAATTTACTTCATCCCGACTGAATCCAACAGGCATAAAGTAAAAGCAACGTCTAGTTCTCTTAATCCTACTAGACTGTTTTTGACTGTTTTAGACAAGTTGCTATTATAAACTAACAATGCAACGACGGCCTTGCACAACACGAAGGACAATGGAATTATTATAGTTTTCAAGAATTATACTGGTAAAGTGCAAGGAATTGGTCCTGCTGTCCTTGGCTGACCTCAATACGAATTGTGATTATTCATTCCACGTGGCCCTTGATATCGGAGAAATTTGAAAAGCAAAACAACTTTAAACCGTTCCCCCTGACTCATTATCATGTACGATATTCTATTTAGACATGATCTTAGAGCTCGAGTTGATTCTTTCTGGGCTGCAAGCTGCCGAAGAGCTTTACTCAAATTCAAGTAAGAGTTAATTATTTCAAATCTAATTTTTTGAATGTTGTTTTGCTTTCTATTTAATAGTTTTTAAATTAACTAAATTTAATTAAGATTTAACGACAAGTCAGTTATTTTTTGTATAATATGTTAAAAATAAGATAACGGAACAGATTCTAGATTTTTTTTGACGATTATTATTCAGCTGGTAACCAATATACTTTGTGTAACGGTAATATTTGATTCTGATCAAACGAAACTTTATCAGAGTTAATTTCACGAGCAATGTTGTAGAACTTGTTTTCGATAAGGGTTCTTATTGTAGCTTATTTGTATTATTCTCATTTTGGTTTCAATTGTCATGCTTCAGTTTGGTATCCAAGTCCTTATGTGCTCTTTTGGTATTTAACTTTAGCTATATCGAAGGTTTTTGTATGGGTAAGGTGAAGCAACTTATGCCGATGCACCAACGGCCCAACGTTGCTTCCTGTAATAAGGGAATGTAGCCTCAAGACCTGATTTGATGAGGGATGTGGCAATGTCGTCTGAGGGAGCTTTTTTATTTTAATTGATGGAATTTATATGTTTTTTATCGAATAAGAAATCAATACTCGGTAAAAGATTTGTAATTGTCAACAGGGTATAAATTTTGATAAGCAATGATAATGGAAATGATTAATACTAATCTCGATATAAGTAATAGTAATATAGCTTATCAAATCAATCTGGCCCCTAGAGACGAATATCAAATTTGGTCATCATTCTTATAGATCGGGGATGCGTTTAAAGCAGTAACGTCCCGGCCAAACCAGCGCAACATTTTGTCCAATAAATCCCAACAATGTTGGTTATAAATGTTGGGCCGGTTTGGCCACCCATGTTGGACGATGTTGGATGATGTGGGTTGACGTCGGACGAAGTTTGACTATGATAAAAAATGTTGGATGATGTTGGACGATGTTGGGATGGTTTGGCCACCCTGTCCAACAAAGTCACGTTCGCGCAAACGCGGCAAGGAAAGGCTGCCGCAATTTGATTTGTTATGTTTTGATTAGGAAGCTGTGAATGAGACTTAGAAAAGTTAGAAAGGAAAAATTGGTTTTATGAACCGCGGCAGCTTCCATCAGTCAAACAAAGAAGACAATGAAAGAATGTGCTTTTGTTTGATTATGTTCTCAAATATCCCCCTTTCGTGTCTTCTCTTTATCTATTTTCTACTCTATCTTGCTTTGCTTAACCATGCCTTTGGTCTCTTCATCGCTATGAACAAAATTTCAAATACATCCTTATCGTTTGGATTGTAATCAAGTCCCATCGCTGTGGATAGTTGATGATAAATCGACAAATGTTGAATGAAATGTTGCGTTGGTTTGGCCACCCCTGCATCCAACAATGTCCAACAATGCCCAAAAGTCGCCAACAATGTTGGGATTTGTTGGAAGAAATGTTGCACTGGTTTGGCCGGGGCTTTACGCCATCTTTTTAGACTCTCTTGGGTGAAATGCATAAAAAACCTGATACTTAATGGTTAAAGTAAAAATGATGGTGTACCTAACCTGATAGGTCACTATCGTCTCAATTTAGATTGAAACATATATTCTCAAATTAAATTCCGTGATTTTTCATCAAGCCTTTTCCTTTAACTTGTTAAGAAAAATACTAGAATGATGAAAATTTTCAAGTTAATCAATAAAAAAGCCAGGAATTTAAACTGAATAATATATTCAAAACCAAAATCTATCTTTAAAGACAGGATGCTAAACTTAATTGCGAGAGCAGCGTAGATATCACCGAAGGCTTTTGCACTGCAAATAATTTACTTTTAGAAAATTATCGAAAAGGTTATTATTTCAAAGAAGGTAAACTAACGATAACGATGCAATCTTCAATGAAATTTGAAAGACAAGCATGTTCTTTGAATCTTTGAATGTAAAATTGATTTACGCAAAAGACCAACCATCTAAATCTGCTGTGGAATCCTGACTTCTTTAACTTTAGAAAGTCATGTGTAACCCTAAGCAGGAAAGTTTCCTTCCCAGCGTATTTTGGTGATTGTAAAGAAAACATCCAAGTTTAACATTACATAAAGCAATAAAGTGACTTGGAATTTTTAATGCCGGAATTTTTTTTGCTTTTTAATCTGTTGCCAGAAATTTCTCGACGACATTCAGCTTGAAGCTTATCGAGTTCTATAATGTACCACCAAGATCCATGCATACAAATCTTTTAAATGTTCTTATGGCACGTCCTGTACTTTGCTTATAATGCGAAACATATAGAGTACACACTGGCTGCTTAGTTTACAAAACAGTGGTATTTCAGCAAAGGAAGGTATGCTCCTGGCATTGTAAACTAATTACCTTTACCGGAATTTATCTAGCAAGTATACTTCCACAGGAAACGTCTAAAGCTCTTCTTCTTAAAGGTCAGGGTTCCTAAATTTTTCTGAAAACGTCTGTGGACATGCTTGCTGCATCGTCAAGCTTTGATAAATACTCTAGCAACAGAGGTTTTGCGATTTAGAGGAACCAACCAATTCGACGGATGCATCAGACAGAATTTAAGCAATACGAGGCAAAAAGGTACAATCTTGATTTGGCAAATGATTATACGTTTACAGGATGTTCTTTTTGTACATTCTTTATATCAACGGTCCTTCCTTCTCCACAACTTTATAGCTTTTCAGCCCACTCGCGCGATTTCACTTGTACAACACAGCGAGGCGCAGACCACTGCTTAAAATCACGTACGCTCTCGAGAATAATCACACTTCAATCACAAATTATACATATTAATAAAATGATCAAATTATCACAAAGTATAACATTAATCACCAAAGTTGCTTAAAAACAAATATTAGAATCTTTGACCACGTTTATTCGTATATGTTATTGAGAAGTGCAATATTTAGAATGTCCCTTTCACACTTTTCCAAACTTTTCATAAACACGTTCGAAAATCTCCAAACACACGCTCGAGAACATGAACACTTCATCAACAAATTTTTCTATGTACCCTGCGATGGAGCAAAAATTAAGGCCTCGTTATGATGCCTGGGTCACTGAAACAACCATTGCTGTTTTTGTTGCCAAAATGCCACTGAAGTTGGTCTGACCGAAAACCACGCCTGATAGCAGATATTTTTCCTTCATTTCTCATTGATTGCTACAGGGGTGGATCCAGACAGTTCCGGCTATTGCAGTTGCAACTGTTACATTGATGGGAAAAGATTTATGTCAGATTCTCATAATTTCCCCAAATAAAATTTGGTTATCAAGTTTCATATTTCTGGAACTTGTAATTTTTTTTTCGGCGAAAGTTTCAGGAATTACAGTTTCATTTTCCAATAGCGACATCACTTGCGAGGGCAGAGAACAGAGCACATGCATTTGCCTTAATGTCTTTCACGAAGTGTTCAACAACTGTTCACTGTTTTTTTCATTCCAGGCTAATTGCATCCATGTTGCTAATGCTACTGTTCAGGAAAAATAGCTTTTTTATGCATATTTAAATTCTTATGACGAAAGTAGATGACCCCGACAACAGAAAACATGCATTTATCTTAATGTCTTTTGCAAGCTGTTCAACCACTGTTCACTGTTCACTGAAATTATTTGAAAGCACTTTTGAATTTATGATTCAATTTCTAAATAATAACAAATTAATTACAAATTGATAAAAAATTAATTACTTGTATCATTAAAAATCAAATAAATCACACACAAAATTGATTTAATCACAAATTAATCACTAGTGATTGTTAATCTCGTACACCATGTTCAAGAGCGATTTGCCCCTCGCAACACAGCTGATCAAGCAATTTATTTAATAGAAAGGGTAGAAGGGATATAGAGCCACGTTAAATGTAGTCAAACACAAATTCAAGTACATGACACCTTCGAAAAGCTGGCAAACAAGTACTAAAAGGCGAGAATAAACGAAAGGGTATTCGACTTATATCTCAATCGCTGGCTACCTTAATATTCAGGTTGTTAGTGCACAAGCATGATAAAACACTGCAAAAAATTTTGAAACAAAATAAAATTTGGATAGTTTGGATTTAATTTGGTTTATTTTGGTGCTTTGAAGGGACGGGATGTCCTTATGACGCTTTTTTAAAAATACTGAAAGTAAAGATTTCTTGGAAGACTAGCCTTAGAATTTGCAATTCCTAACATGTACATAGCCAGGCCTGTCGCTAGCTATTGTACTCTAGGAGTTGGCAGGTCCCTTTTGCCAACAAAGTGGGTGAGCCATCCTTTATTTGCTGACAACTCTGAAAATTTGTCGACTAAGCGTTTTTTCAAGGGAGGTGTCACACCCGCACGCTTCCTAAGGTGACAGTTAAATCATGTATCCTTTAAGAGGTGAGAAACTCTAGAATATGCAAAAAAATTTAGTAGCAAAAAATTTGGAAATGAATTAGAAAAAGAAACATTCATTTCAAGACATACTAAAATATTTTTTCTGACATACTTCAAAAGTATCAAACATCAGATAGGTTTGGTCTGTCCAGTGCCCAGTTTACTTAAAACTACAACGGATCGATGACATCCTCTTGTGATATGGGTCAGATTAATAAGGCATTGCATCTTTGCATCAATGCATCTTTGCTGTCAATCATAGGCGTAGAAGGCATAGGGGCTTGGGCACTAGGGGCTGCAACCCTCCCATTCAGGCAAAACCTACAAAATTTCAGGCCTTTTATGGCAAATTTGTCAAAATGAAGAAATTTTTTCGGACAAGCCCATGCTAATTTCCCTTAAATATCAAGCCTCCGCCACACCCACGCTGTCAGCCAGTTCTTGTATTTTTCTACACAACAAGAAAAGTCCTTCTATTGAATCAAAAGGGCTGTTTTTCTAGCATCTTAATGCTTCCGTCATTTACGAGTTTACGTAAATGTGATTCTTGTTCCGTAGGACGTACAACGAAAAGACAAACGGATGGAATTAAATAGTATGCTTCTTCCAGCACGAGAAACTAAAAAATGTATTTCTGCCATCGGGCAACATTTAACAGGAAACCTAGAAAAACTACAATAGAAACATGTTTCGTTTTCTGGTTTAGTGAAAAGAACCCAATCGTCGCTCGATCTAGCTAGCGAGAAAGCCTTTCGAATATATGATGAGTCAAACCTGTAAAAGGCAGGTGCTACTGACGCACTACACAAGCCAGATGCCTAAGCAATACTTAATGTTCAAATAACATACCCAGTGTCTTCCTGATCCTAAATCGCTATCCAAGCTGAGCATATGATCAATCAACTTCTGCTCCTGTTCTCGTCAAACTTGCAAAGAGTCGCACTAGAAAAAATAAATTAACGCTTTCTCACTTTCGTTTCATGTTTGATAGTTGAAAAATTTGATTCAATTTCACCCTTAAAATCTCTTAACAATATACTCTTTAGTTATTTGTTCGCAATTTAGTTACTGACTTTTTCTTAGGTTCTAAATGCTCTAACGGATAATATGCTTTCACTAAGTAGTGAAGTGCTATCAAATTAACAAGGAGAGCTCTTGCACAAAATGTTGCTAAAACAATAACAAAAGTAGAAATTGACTACATTTCGGCATTAACAAGGCGGGCACAGCCCCCATGAGCCCCCTAGCACTACACCCCTGCTTCCATTGAACAAAAAAATTTGAGAAAACTAACCAGTATCGGAGAAGCTAAGTGTTTTTAGACATGCGTAAACTTTCAAGGGTAAAATTCTTTTTGTGGGGATTGGGGCTGGTGGTGGGGAAATGGCGCTGGTGGTAAGGATTGGGACTGGTGGTGGGGGATTGGCGCTGGTGGTGGGGATTGGCGCTGGTGGTGGGGGATTGGCGCTGGTGGTAAGGATTGGGACTGGTGATGGGGGATTAGGGCAGGTGGTGGGGGATTTGCGCTGGTGGTAAGGATTGGGACTGGTGGTGGGGGATTTGCGGTGGTGGTAGGGATTGGGACTGGTGATGGGGATTAGGGCAGGTGGTTGGGGATTGGTGCTGGTGGTGGGGATTGGCGCTGGTGGTAAGAATTGGGACTGGTGGTGGAGGATTGGGGCAGGTGGTGGAGGATTGGCGCTGGTGGTGGGGGATTGGCGCTGGTGGTAAAGATTGGCACTGGTGGTAAGGATTGGCGCTTGTGGTGGGGATTGGCGCTGATGGTGGGGAATGGTGGGGGATTGGCGCTAGTGGTAAGGATTGGGACTGGTGGTGGGGGATTGGCGCTGGTGGTGGGGATTGGCGCTGGTGGTAAGGATTGGGACTGGTTGTTGGTGGATTTGCGCTGGTGGTGGGGGATTGGTGCTGGTGGTGGGGATTGGCGCTGGTGGTAAGAATTGGGACTGGTTGTTGGTGGATTTGCGCTGGTGGTGGGGGATTGGTGCTGGTGGTGGGGACTGGCGCTGGTGGTAAGAATTGGGACTGGTGGTGGGGGATTGGGGCAGGTGGTGGAGGATTTGCGCTGGTGGTGGGGGATTGACGCTGGTGGTAAGGATTGGGACTGGTTGTTGGTGGATTTGCGCTGGTGGTGGGGATTGGGACTGGTGGTAAGGATTGAGACTGGTGGTAAAGATTGGGATTGATGGTTTTCCATTAGAGTGCCCAGGTAGCTTAAGGAACTCCCACTTTAAAACAGCGGAGCCACATTACAATATATATTGATTCAACAGTGTGTCATAAAGAACAAAATTTCAAACGAAATAAAATACTTTACAATTTTTCAAGAAAAAAAATCTCAGAATTGTCGTCGTTCAATTGTACTTCTGATCTTTGCGAAGGAATACGTATGCAACACCGGTTATATTCTATTTACATTATATTTAGTGCAGGTAAATATATTTTAGTTTAGATTAGTTGGCTTAAATTAGCTTTAGTATAGTTGGGGTTGTACAAACTTTAAATAAAGAAAAGAATTATGTGGATAGAGTAGACATAGGGATAGGAAATAGCATGGGGATTGGAGATGTTGTAGTAAATAAAGATGGGGTAGGGGCTGATGTGAAGATAAGGACTGGTATTATGATTGGGACTGCTGTGGGGAAGCAGTTGCCAAGATATTCTCAAATATTATCATGTCCTTTGGAACTGAACAGTTAAGAAATAAGAAAAGAAAATATGTGCTGCAGCCCTAAGGCATTTGCTCTCTAAAAATTTGAGACATCAGATGAGAAAACGACAAGCAGGGTTACACCATTTTTCTGCAACTACTTAATCTAAATATTCACTTCTATGCAAAGCTTTGACGTATCTGCATAACATTTTCTCTACATTTCATAGGTTGGTATCTTTATGTTAGCATCAATGCTCTGAAGCTCAAAGAGAAAAATGGGAGACAGTGGTCTGTTAGATCTGTACAATCTAACACTGGGTTTCGCATCGGGGAACATAACGATCAATAACACATGCATTGAAGAGCATGCTATAACGAATGCTACAAATGCATCATTGGATTCGCTTGTCTTTGGTCCTACTTCATACACTGCAAATGATACAGCTGGTGGTCATTATGATGGAGCTTTGAAAGATAGAATAAAATCGTGGCGAATCATTTTCTACAGCTTAATCATAATTGTTGCATTTCTCGGGAATGGTCTCCTTGTGCTGACGATGACGTTTACCAAGAAAATGAGGACGACAACCAACTACTTTCTTCTCAACATGGCCGTGGGAGATTTATTCGTGGCGGTGCTTTGTGCACCATATCAGCTTGCTAGCTGGAAATTTCCCTCGATAAAGACTTTCGATCGCCGCATATGCAAGACAATGCCCTTTCTTCAGCTAACAACTATTGGCATATCCATATTCACCATGGTGGCTATAGCCATAGTTAGGTAAGAAGTTGTTTTTCTTATTCAATGGTAAATTTCCTTCATTTTTAATCTAAGCTTCAATCCCTTCTGAATATAATGTGGTAAGTAAGAAAATATAACATTTTTTCATACAGTCAACTTGAGGTTTTTCATTTAATTTTGAAAAACTTAAAAGTTCAATTTTATTCAAGTTTTCTGACAGCATCTGTTCAATAGCTGCTGGCATAAAATTTTAAAGCACGGGCTTCCACAAATGGCGATAAAGATAACAGACTTTTGGTTTGGGTTAAGAAAACAAAAAGCAGCAGAGGTACTATATTTCCTTTAAAACAACTACACAAGGGCAGCCCCAAATATTACTTTCATTCCGACGGCACTGAGTTATAAGCAGCAGCTAAATGTTCTGTTTCTACTGAGGTCATTTAAAACGAAAAAGGTTTCATTTGCATACACGGAATAGATGCCGAACGAACGTTTAGTTAGATTTCAAGGAATAGACTTAAAGTTTAGTTAGTGGCAAACATCCCTTCAACACAACACTGCATGATTATTCCTGATAAGATACTACAATCCTGCCAAATTTACTTAAAAACCGGGAAACGTTGTGAAAGATTATTCGAAAGAATGCTTTTTCGCAAATTCAAGTACGCAAATGCACGATTTACAACGTATAGTTAGTTAAAACACAGAAAAGAAATGTAATTCAATACTATAGTGTCATTTCTATTCTGTAGTGCTTATTAGACTCACCTAACAGCAACAAGTGGTACAAATTTAATAAATCGATTTGCGAACGGGACCAACAACTTTAAAGGCATTGAGTCATGATAAATAGACTGGGTATACCCTAAGTGCCAAAATCCGCTGAGTCATGATTTCCATGACTGCGATGCTATTGGTTGACCTTGAACTGGTCACATGAACTCACCTCGTACTGATTAACATAACAGTTTCCATCAATAGCAAGTTGTCACCAACGGATGCCAATATCACATGAAACAGCAGCGATCACGCCGAAACCAAATGACCCCCTATAGAGAAAGCCTATTTACCATGACTCAATGCCTTTAAAGGCTTCGCATCAATGCTCCCAGATAACATCAATGTTTATTGACTTAGAAACACTGTTAATTCCACGAGGTCAAGCTGAGCTAGAGAGACAATTGATGTTATGGGTTTTGATAGTACAAAAGAGACCCTACACATAAAACACCAAGTTTAATTTCACCCCGACCATAAGAGAATGCATTGTTTTGCTGCAACAGTGTACGCAAGAAAAAATTTCAACCAGGCTTGAAATGTTGTCCCTTGAGAAATATCCATGCAAACGCTAAAGTTGCTTGACCTTTGGCGAATTCATGAAATCTCACTAAGTAGATAAAGTTTAAGGAAAGTTAAAACTTGTCCCAGGCTGAAAATCTAATATGAACGAAAGTGAAACGTTCAGCATAAATAAAATCTCAGCCCGGATTGAAACCACTCAATTAACTGAAGCTTAGCCAGCGTTGCTTTTTAATATGTGGTGAACAAGACATGCTTTTGTGGACCGGTATAAATGTTTAAAAAATTAAAATAGCTTCTCAAAATTAAAATTTAAATAGTCAACTAGCTTTTCTTTCACACCACTCTTCGAGCTCAACGTGAATCTTGCATTAGAATATTCTCTTTGCATCTTTGCAGATACCGTGCGGTGTTGAGTCCGCTCCGCCAGCACATATCAAAGCGGTCCTCTATCCTGATTATTCTGATCGTATGGCTTGCATCAGTTGCTTGTGCATCTCCCATGATTTTCGTCTACGAGATCCAGGAACTACCCGGAAGCACAAACAATTCCATTGTGAAGAGGTGCGACGAATTTGGTTGGCCGGATCCAAACAAAGATGCTGCCACTTACACCTACGTGCTGTTTGTGGTCCAGTATGCATTGCCAGGCTTGTTGACAGGGTATTTGTACCTGAGAGTACTTCTGGCCCTCTGGTTTCGCAGATTTCCTGGTATGCAGAACATGTCCAAGGCAAGCTGTCTACAATTTCGGAAAAAGCATTATCGACGAAAGAAGACGATAGTTATGCTACTGACCATTTTCCTCACCTTCATGGCTTGTAACCTGCCCATGCACGTCATATCTTTCATCTTCTACGTTGAAGGCTCTAACTTCAAAGCACCACCATACATGCATATTATAACAACATGTGCTGAGATGATCATGTATACCAACAGTGCAGTCAACCCGATTCTCTATGGATTCATGCACAACAAGTTCAGCTCTTCTGCAAGAGGCTTGTTGCGATGGGTATTCTGTAGGGAGAAGCGCCAAAATTACGAAAATATCCCCTTGAAAAAGAAAGAGAAACGACTAACTCTGATGTCAGGAGCAACATCAACGTCCACGAATAAGAATGAGGAGCAGCATAAAATATGTGAGATGAAATTCTAATACAAAAAACTGCCAAAAAACGTTAATCGTGACTTGCAGTAATCAATTGGCATCGTGCGGGCATTTGCCATTTTAATGAATAACTGAAAATAAAATAAAGTTCAAATTTTGTAACACTTTTTAACAAGCTTTTTCAGTTTTTTACTGTTAGCTAAATTGGTACTAAAAGATGCGTTAGGATTGGCCACTTTTTTACTTTCATCTAATTAAAATGTAGCAGGACTAGGAGCCCTAGAAAATAAAACCGTTTAGACTTTAAATAGCTATTTCCTTGCTCTATTAAATAACACTGAAATGTTTGTGTCATATCTAAAACTTGGAAATGAATTAAAGCAATTGATTTTTGGTTGCTTGATGTCACGGCATCCAGTACTGAAGTTGTCTAACAATTCGAAGAAAAACGTTAAAGACAATCCGTCACCTGTTTTGCTCAGTTCTAGAAGGAGAAAAATTCATCTTGATTGACGCAGATCAATGACTAGCAGTAGCAGCCACTAACTAAGGCGTTCATATCAGCCTTTCGTTTCAGTAAAGAAAAGTAAAGAAAAAGTAAAGTGAAATAAATTAAAGTAAAGTAGAATTAAAACGTTTTCCTCGTATTTTGCTGGGTAGTTTATGGGATATCTTTTGAAATTTAAATTTAGGGGATATCTTTAGAAGGCCTACGCATCGTTTTAAAACAAAAATTTTTGTGTATTGAACAATTTAGTAGCTAGTGTTGAGTAAAAACAATATTGTACATAGTTTGTAACAAAGTAAGTAGTTGCTAATTAAAAATAGATATGTATACTAATGCAGTATTAACAAGGGAAGAAGTTTGTGGATGAAGCTAAAAACGAAAAAGCTATGCCCCTCTCTTACTGCAAAGAAAGCAAATGACAAGATAAACCTCCCTCTGATATTCACCAATACCCAAGTAGTACAAGAAAGAGTCGAATTAATACTCCTTGATCCATGACAAAAAATCATTTTATGACCCTTAAGCAGCTTCGCTGAGAAGAAATTTATGTTAGAACCTAGATCCGCGAGCCGTCTTTCTTCTGTTTTCTTCAGATAAGCAATACATGAAAAGAGCCTAACATAAAATGAAAAGTAAACTCTTTCAACATATGCTGACAGAGTTTATTAAACAGGCCTGAGTGAAACAATTGCAAGCATGCAAGAGAAAATTAAAACACAAGCTTCATTATAACCTTAAACAAGGGTTAAAACCAGGGAATATAGCGTAAGTTCTAGCCAACATTGAAAATGTACGTAAATATAGTTCATTAAAAAGGTGATGGTTATCAAAGTATTGGTGGTTGTAAGATAATGATATAAAATAACAATGGAAGTCATGAAGATTTATCTGCTTCTTCAAAAGTCTTCGAAACTGATTAATAATTTAAGGTAAATTATCAGTGAGAACAAATTCATTTTGATTTCATGACACGCCTTGCATTGAGATAACAGAATACGTTCTTCGTTATCAAATAAAATTTTTAGAAGATATTGAAAGCATTCTTTGACAGGGAAGCTGCCCTTGCATTCTCTAATCTATGACTAAAACATATTAATTCACTCTTACGTCAACGTTTCCTCTAAAAATTTTTGAGCTTCAACAACGACAGGGATTTATCAACTACAAAGACAGGAAAACTTCACATTTGAGATACCAAGGCGTTTTAAAGCCACGTTGAATCCCTGGCCACGATGTTCAGTCACTGTCAGTTAAACGATGCTAGGAGCAAAGCTGTCTTTTGAAAAACCGAGTATGTTCACAAGCAAGGCTGTTAGGCCTATTATTTACAACCTGCTACAGAATGCTTCTATTTCCTTTTCAAGAAAAATAAAGGTCTCAGTCATCTTCCAGTTCTAGCAACCGAGATGTCCTTCTGCGCTTTTTTGACGGGGAGCGTGGAAGCAGTTCGCTTCTTTCTTCCTCTTCTGAATCATCTTCTTCTTCCTCTTCAGCATCTGATTTTTCGTCATTTTCATCACCCTCTTCGTCCTGTGATACGATAAGGGTAGGGATAACTGTATGCTGTGATGCGAGATAATTTATATTATATGAGGGATAATTTGTTATGAAACGTTAAAATATTTGTTGTTACGATAATTGATTAAATGGGAAACGAAGAATAAATAAGTTGAACTGAGGAAACAATCGCTAAGAAACTATCAAGAAAAACGTAATCCCAAAACACCATCTAATTCCAAAACATAAACATAATCCAAAAACAAGATAAAAGTACCGTCTGTGTTCAATTTGAAAATAATCTAGAAACTACGTTCTACTAATCATCACGTACCCGTAAGAATTTCTTTATTTATTTATTTTCTTTATTTATATCCGTAAGAAGTTCTTTTTTTATTTTGGACATAATAGACAAACTGATTTTTTTAAAAAAAACAAGATTTCTTTGCAAAATTTACGAATACAAAGGCACGTTTGCTGCTGAAATAATAAAAGTTTGAAAAGTAGAGTTTGATCAAAAAATAGATATTGTTTTTACAGGCATAGAAGGTAAAAACTAAAAAAGAATGTGTGAATAAAAGTGTAAAATCCAAAATGTAAAATGAGAAAAAAGGAGATAAGGAGTAGTCACAACCACCTGGTTATAGCCTCAAACTCAGATGGGGGGTGGCTGTGTGTGCCCCTTATATGTTTTGAGCAATTACCTTGAAAATTGGCCGAAAATGATAAAGAAGCAACTCATCATCCAGAAACCCACGAGGGACATGAGGGCACACACAACCACCCCCCATCTGAGTTTGAGGCTATAACCAGGTGGCTGTGACTACTCCTTATCTCCTTTTTTCTCATTTTTCCATTTTGGATTTTACACTTTTATTCACACATTGTTTTTTAGTTTTTACCTTCTATGATCCTTATCTCCTTTTTTTGCAATTTTCATTTTGGATTTTACACTTTTATTAACACATTGTTTCTTAGTTTTTACCTTCTATACCTATCAAAACAAAAACTTTGATATTATTTGGTGTCAAATTAATTATCACATTTCGACGTTGACGTTGACATGTCGTTTTGAAGATGACATTGTTTTGCGTTTCTGAGAACACGTTTACATGGTAGCGGATCAAAAGTGCTGCGAATCAAAATCTACCGGAGCACCCTCCTGTCCACATTGTAGCGGATCAAAAGTGCTGCGGATCAAAATGTACCGGAGCACCCTCCTGTCCACATTGTAGCGGATCAAAAGTGCTGCGGATCAAAATGTACCGGAGCACCCTCCTGTCCACATTGTAGCGGATCAAAAGTGCTGCGGATCAAAATGTACCGGAGCACCCTCCTGTCCACATTGTAGCGGATCAAAAGTGCTGCGGATCAAAATGTACCGGAGCACCCTCCTGTCCACATTGTAGCGGATCAAAAGTGCTGCGGATCAAAATGTACAGGAGCACCCTCCCGTCTACATTGTAGCAGATCGAAAGTGCTGCGGATCACCCTCCCATCTACACGGTAGCGGATCAAAATGGATATGTCTATTGGGCCTGCGCGCCAAGCACTTCAAAATGCCACCAAAGAAGCAACCAGCCAACTTCAATGGTAAAGATAAAAGTCAAAGTTTTTGGTACTGGGAAACAGTCAAAAATAAGTATGAAGAAGTCGCAATACGGTTCCAAGAGGCATACCCAAAAAAGAAATGATGCGGATCACTATCGTCTACACGACGCGGTGCAGAAGTGATCCGACACAAAACTAGTTCGCTTTCGTAGCAGGATCAAAATTGATGCGGATAGCGAAGCAAAAGTGTATCGGATCACTTGGAGCTCGTGTAGACGGGAGGCTGATCCGCAAGATATTTTGTATCAGATTAAAAGTGATTCGCTATCGTGTAAACGGGTTCTGAGTGTTGCTGTCACGAAAAGCAAAGTGCACTGTTATTCGAACTCTTTCTCTCACTTCAAACTCCCCTTCTCTTTTTGTGTGTTGAGGTAAAATCATGAAACATGCTGTAGAATACATTCACAACCATTAAACGAAAGAAACTCGAAATTCAAGCTAGGCAAAGAAACTGTTTACAAATTGACAAGAAATTTGAAATATTTCCTTGGTTTATTGTTCTTAGATAGATACAAAAAGGAATCTTGTTTGAATTAGATGTTTATTAATAGATTGAGAGATTGAGATCTTCAAAAATTGAGATAAACTCCTTATAATGTATGAAATAAAATTTTTTCGATTCAATGTCAAGTATTTTCGCAAAAAACTAATGGTTCTTCGAGGGATAAAAGCCTTTCAAAGCATTCTCAAAACAGAGTAAAACCTTTGAAAACTGTAATACTGACCTTCCCTTTCAATTATTGAGAACCGTTAAAACAAAATGAAAACAATGTTTTTTAACAAAGCAAGAAACTGTCGCTACAACCGTAAATGTCCTTCTTTCTTCAAAAATACATAATCATTCGATATGCTGAAACGTTCCAACATTTGAAGCTCTTTCGAGATTTTTCAAAATGATTTTATTATGAGCGGTGTTCTCTGTGTGAGAAGAGGGAGATGAACTAAAAAACAAACAGGTAATAGAATATTTTCGAGAAAAACTTTCTGTTGCATCACGCGGACTGAAGCTCTGAAACCAAGATTTGGTTTGTACATAGAAAAGATGTATGAAATTGAATCTAATCTTTATACTCAATCTGCATTAAAAATGTCTCCAAAACATTTTAAAAGACGTCAATACCAACCTCCTCCTCAGATGACTCGTCTGATTCGCTGGCTGGTTTTCGTCGTCTTGCATTCCTGGTAACTCTTTCTGTCGCTCGTTTTCTTGATACCCTATCTGAAACCTCTAGACACTCGTCCAGCAGTTTTTGAAACCTGGATTAGAGTTAGAGAGTAAATCAAGCAATATAAAATATGAAAAGGTAAGATGATCGAGCAATCTTAGACAAGGAAAACCTGTTTATTCAGGTGTACTATACTGGCTTTAAGATCTCTAGCCTGCCAACCTAGCCAACACAGGCGAGTTAAGGGTAGAAACAAAAATCGAATTGAATAGAATCATCCTATTTCTCTAGCTATTCGCTAGGTAAATAACAGGGACATTCAGGTGCATTTGGTGAACATTATGATAAAGCACTAACTGTCTTTTGTGATTTTCCTTATCATGCTTTTCTTTTGTTCTTACAATTCCTGCTGCCTTGAATCAATAGGGGTTTTGCGTAACGTCTGCCAACTCTATTCCTCTCTGACATTTATGGGAGACTTGACAATGTGCGTCGATGCACCAGCAGCCTAGCTAGCCCAGTGTGTTTTAACTTAGTACAAACGTAGCATATCCTCGGAGTGAGAAATTAACAAGGGGATCAAGGCACTACTTCAACGACACAAGACCAAAGCACCAGAAATCTCTAGTTGCAACATTGACATAGCTGCAATTGGTGTTATCCAGTTGATTCTATTAAGGGTCATAGATCCTATATTAACATTCTTTTGCAGCAGAGAAGGAGCGAATCGGGAGGGGGGGGGAAGGTTGGAAAAACCTACATGCTTCCGCAATGGGGGACACAATGAACAGAGTAACAACATAGACAACATGTATCGTGATGACCTACAGCATTTGGTTAACATACTGATTGAGAAATACCTCAGTTGGCTAGGCAAATTTCCCAGGATGGTAAATAAGAGCTCAATTCAGTCATGGAAACAGAAATCTAGAAAGACCTAGATTCAGATCTAAAGACTTGGTATTCTAGAAACGAAAGTAGTTGAATGATAGCATAATAAGAAAAATGTAAAAGGCAGAATACTTTAAGCGAAAAAATATAGTTTCGTTAAATTTATAAAATAATACCTTGCTTTCAATTTTGCATCTTGCACACCTGCTTTAACTTGTTGAAAAGAATACCGCAGAGATTCATACTTGAAGACTGCAATATGAGTAAATCAATAACGGATCACAGTAGCAAAGATGATCACTCAATAAGAGATCACAGTAGCAAATATTATCACTCAATAAGAGATCACAGTAGCAAAGATAATGAATCAATAACGGATCACAGTAGCAAAGATAATCACTCAATAACGGATCACAGTAGCAAAGATAATCACTCAATAACGGATCACAGTAGCAAAGATAATCAATCAATAACGGATCACAAAATCAAAGACAATTAATAAGAAAACTTAAGTCTCTCTTAGGTCTTTGATAAACTCCAAACGCAAAACTAGTTGCTTATGGTGGCTGTCAAAGAAAAAGGCAAATAGATAAATCGCTTAAAAAGGTTAGGTTGATTTAAATAGTTCCTTAGGTTGCTATTAACTCAAAATGCTAATTGTTTCAAATTTAGAAGAATTCTTGTTATCCTTGTCTTCACTTCATGTCATAAAGCTGAATCAAATAAAATGCTAACGCTACTCTAAAAATTTAAGGGGGTTTGGAAATATATGTGTAATGAACGAGATATATACTTACTGCTTTTGTTAGATGGAGACTGAAAATGTTTTCTGTACAAATCTAGATGCGTTAAAACTTGATCCACAGATGGCTGATTCTTTCCAGAAGCACTGTAAAGCAACTCATATATTAACATGAACTTCTTATAGCATTTTAGCTCAAATTACATGCCATTTACTAGAATTTGCATTTAAATATTGGTATTCTAAACATTGCTTGATAAAATGTTGCTAAAATAAAGCGCTCATCAAATCAACAAAAATATTGTGCTGCAATCTTGAAAGAACAACAATATGGCGGATGAAAAAGACAGTTTCACATTGGATTTCAATGCCTCACAAACACTCAAAGCATAGATTGAATTTAAGTCGTTTATTAAAGAGGAGCCAATGTATGGGAACCCGAAAACTATTGGACTAGGTAGAACATTTTCACTAAACTAAAATATTTTACCAGAGAATAAAAAATTAAGCTCAAGTAAGATATTTATTGAAATAATTTTTTGTAATATATCTAACACTAAAAGCTTGTTTTGAAAAGGAAAGGTTTATTGCGGTATATTCAAAATATAAATAGTATAATAAAGAGCATAATCCACTTAAGGTTCATTCAACCACTAAATCATCCACTTTTGTGAAAGAGAATTTTGTCATAAACCGTCCGCTGAGAGCCTAAAAACATTGGCAAACAGTCTCCAGGTTATTGATACTTAATAACTGTTTCAGTAGGGGCCTTCTTAAGCAGATTTAGCACGTTACTTATAATAAGCCAAAACAAGCTTGCAGATGTTGTCGAAAGGTTAAGGTGCAGCGCTTTTATACAAACATGAACAAATGATGGTTTGAGTTGAATTTTGGATAAAAATATATTCTAACTTGATTGCTTCGTAATTTGATTTAAGTTTTCTCTCGTGCAACATGCTTCCAGAAATTTGCAGCCACAACTGATCCGACATCCTTGATAGAGCTACTTTCTTCATAAAAGCATTTTTGTATAAATTGAAGTAAGTAGCAGTAATTTTCTTTTAATTTCGAAAGGGAAAGGCCTTGAATAAGCGAACAAATTCGCGGATATGAAGAATGGAGGAAGCTGCAGTGAGACGGCGAAAAAATACAACGTGGGTTTAGATAAAACAAATAATATATAAATAAATAAAAGACTAATAAACAGATAGATACATGAAGAAATAAATAAATCATCAATACGTAAAAATTAGAATACAAATAAAATAATAAATAAATAAATAAATAAATAAATAAATAAATAAATAAATAAATAAATAAAATATATAAATAAATAAATAAATAAATAAATAAATAAATGAATAAATAAATAAATAAATGAATATATAAATAAATAAATAAATAAATAAATAAATAAATAAATAAATAAATAAATAAATAAATGAATATATAAATAAATAAATAAATAAAATGAATAAATAAATAAATAAAATGAATAAATAAAGAATACAACTTACCGTCCCTGCTTCCTTTTGTTATTCTGGCCAATGCTTTTTGTTAAAATCTGAGCAATGACATTAGCAAGTTCCCTCGCTTCTTCTTCTGACCAATATTTGAACAAACACGTACTTAACAAAAATCCATCATAATCACTTCCAACTGACATGCACAATAACGGCTTTAGAATATCAGCTGTAGGACTGAAAAATAAAATACTGGTAAGCAACTTTGTTCCTGGTGTGAATTCTACAAAAGTGGCAATGAATTTGGTCCCTGCCTTATAGTTCATAATTATATGAAAATATGTTTAATGTTTTGGACATTCTGATTAGGAAACTAGTGAATGCAAGATTTCATTCCAGTAGTAAAGATAAGGGGAGGGAGAATCTTCGGTCTTATTGCAGTTCTAGTAAAAAAATCAAGATAAAAGTCATATAACATTATACATAACATACAATAATAGCTTCAAAGAATGATAGCTTCTGCGCAAAAACATTTCTGTAAACAAGTCGCTTTGTAACATATGACTATGTGTAACATAACAATTTATCCATACGTCAAAATCGGAAGGTACATGCAACTACACGAAAGGTACAACAACCGATGGCGAAAATCCATTTGCAACATCCACAGCGCCAAAAAAATATCAGAATTTTGGAAACTCAGGTTTCAAAACAATAGGATAGGCCTAACCGAATCTAGGGTAAGTGGCCAGGTAATGGCCTCAAGTTCGAGAATAAAATTTAAAAAAAGCTTAAATGAGCACAAAACATAGACAAAGAGCAATAATTAACCATGGTACCACACTAAAACCAACCTCTCATGTCGCAGTTGAAGTAATAGGTTTGACAAGGGCACGGGGTTATCTTCCTGATTCAAGTGGGGGAGCAGTCCGACAACCATCTCCACTGGTGTTTCTTCTGCAACAAGAAACTGCCATAGACAGTTTTGCTCAAATGCATCCCAAGACAAAGAGTTGACTGTAAGACAAAAGAGTACAAAATGAAGTAATTATAGGGTGGATGAAACACATTTTATGTATTTAGCTGTAAATGACTAAAAGGATCGGATGTACCAACTTATTTCACAAACTATTGTAAAATTGTGAGGTGCATTTTTTCGTGTAAATTTTTCCAGATCTTTCTGTCTATATTAATCAAGTATTAGCTAAACAAAAAATGCCAATAATCACTAAAAAGGATACTACAGAGCCTGTGATAGATAGCGGTCAGAAACCGGCTTTTGAATTATAAAAAATACGCAGCTTCAAATGAACGCATTTTAATTAAAAGAGTAAAGCTATTGCACGAAATTATGAGGTTATGAGGTAAATTGATAACCTTTTCTTAAACAAATTTAAGTATAAAATTTTTCAATAAATGAATTGTCAGTATTTGGCTCCTTTGAATAATTCATGTGGTTCCGTTTCCAATGGCAGACGTTAGGAGCACTTTTAGCTTTCAAAACAAGGCATATAAAAATACCAAAAATTCCATAATTCCATTATTTGGTAGCAAAGGCAAGGAACATAAACAAACCTAGCAATGACTCAACTTGGTTTTCGCCAATGATGACCAGCTTACCCATCGATATCTCCGTTACGATTTCTTGAATCTGTTCAACGAGATAAATGATGGTAAAAAATAACAAAAATTCTCTCATGGTCCGTCTAAAAATGAAAGAAACTACCCCAAACGTTCTCTTTGTAGCCTGAGAAAACCGAGTTGAAAATAAAATGATAAAATAATGAGAACGAAATCGATGGAGTTTGTCCCTGAAGACGACATGTTCCAAAAAGATTATCAAGATATTTAATCAACGAAGAACAAGGAATGGAATAACACACCGCAGAAAGTGAAACACTTTCAAAAACAAAAACTCGTGTCAGCCAAATTCGTACTTGCCACCTCTAAGCCTTATGATTATGACGATTGACATGGATGGTGAAGATGCTGATGGCGATTATGACTATTCATAAAGATGGTGATTTGCGAAGTGGCGAAAATGACTTTCCATCATTTAAAAACTTTAAATATATTGAAGCTCAAATAAATACAAAAAAATTACAAATAGGGAAGCTAATCAGGTATTCCTATTTCTCTTGAAATAGCTTCTATTTTTTAATAAAGCTATTTGAATTCATCAAAGAATTTGAAATTCTGAAGCTAGCTAGCTCAATGATATGGTGAAGGCACTGCTGAGCCATCTTTGAGTTGTTGCTACACCGTTTGGCTTTGCTGCAGTACATCCAACATTCAAAAGGTTTAGTAACAGACCTCAGGTATGATCAACCCAGTGCCCTGAATAGAAGATCTTTGAAAGTCCACAATCAAATTAAAAAAATTTGCTTTACTCGTCTACACGTTCATTATTTCGACGGGTTCGGACATTTTGCCATTGGCAAACACTACATGCTTCATAGTGAGAAACATGATCAGTGCTCGAAAGATCGTATATTAAAGTATTTTTATTAAAAACAAAAACACGTACTCTTTAAGTTCGTCAAATCTGCTCAAAAAGTCGGGTGACGCAAGTCTTCTTTATACAATGCACTATGAAACTTTATTTGGTATTGATTATTGTGTTTTGCGGATAGACATTACTTAGTAAAATTTTAAAAATAATTTATATGAGAGTCTTATAAAATATAATTATGATTTTTAATTTTAAATCCTGATATAGTACAGTTTAAAATTTATAAAGTAAGAACAGTTGCCCGACGATCGCACTAAGCCTCAAACTCGAAGTTGGAACTTGACTTGTAAAATTATAAACATATATTTTCTTAATTGTTTTTAGTAGCATAGGTGATTGAACAGGTCAGTTTCGGCAATGATTAAAGAGTTCTTATCCCATTATCATAAATTCGTTTCATTAACTGTTGACAGTTAAGCTAAACAGCCTTCACCCTAATTGCGTAGTATAGAGGAACTCTTATCAGAATTAAAGCTCCAGTAATGGGATTTCATCTGTTATCTTCTGTATAACAGATAGTACATTAAATTGATCTTACAGGAGAATGCAAAGAGGTTATCACGTTGAAGGCTAAATTTAAAGTTTCCACGTCAAAAGTACTACCACTGCTAAAAAAAATAAAGAAAATTGTTAGCGCAAAACTCGTTTTTTCTTTTCATCACGTAGCTCTTCAGATTTGCCTGTTATTCCAACCAAATAGAAGGGAACAAACAGTAACTGCATGTGCATTTAAATGGATTCGATTAAATGGATGCTGGAAAATAGACAATGTAAACGCAAAATTGGATGTGAAAATAGCTGTTTCGACAAAGTGAAACTTCCTTACAAAAAGCTGGACGTGTTCAACTTTCGTCGAACTTTTTGCTATTGTATTCTTCAAACGTCCTTCGAACCTTTTGTCTTTAATGACGTGCATTGAACTTCAAGGACTTTACTCCATCAGCCAGGTAATTTTTTTATCATGCTGTATTTTGAAATGGCTGCAAAGAGTCAAGGAATTGAAAAAACAGAAAATTTCATTAATTTGTGGAGAGAGGAAATCTCTCTTTGGGACATTAGATATTCGTCGCCTTCTTCCAGACGAAATTCTTGCAAAAGCGGGCTATCAATTCCTTGCTCATTTCTTCGGGTTAACCAGGGCTCGACCCGGATGGACCTTTTTTGCCTATTTAGTTTTTTGCGTATATGTTTACGTTTTTTTAAAATAATTACAATTACAGCAGAAGCAGCAGCACATTCCTCATCGAAGTCCATGAAATGAGTGGACGTTTTAAAAAAAACTGATTCAATTTAATGGATGAGTGTAAACGGAGACATTTTTCATTTAAATGGGCCGTCCATTTATTCGAATCCATTTAAATGCATAGTGTATTTCAGCCTTAAACAAACCAGCTGCAAAACATTTTGTAAAAAAGTAGCTTTAACATTTTCCCTTTATCTCAACAAAAGATATCGCAAACCTTGAAATCATCTTAACAAAATATTTCAGACTAAGCAGAGGCTTTTTACTAAAATAAATATAACCAAAACTGCAAAATCGAAATTTTGAGAATAAAAAAAGGAAATATAATAACTCCTTTACAATATCGAAAGCTCACTACTTTCGCTCAAAGACATAAATAAATAAATAAATAAATAAATAAATAAATAAATAAATAAATAAATAAATAAATAAATAAATAAATAAATAAATAAATAAATAAATAAATAGGGGAAAAAATGATGATTAAACCTCTTTGGCATTTCCTTTATCATTAAGTTATCTTCTTTTGTGAAAGGAGTTACGACATAAATTGTTTTCTGAAAGACTAGAAGCATCGACAAATTCTTCAGAAATTTATGTTTAACATCTTATAACAGAGTGTTTAATTTAGATAGTTTATCAATGTTCAAATTTGTTTTCTTTTGGACCTTCATTGAAACTAAAAACCTTATTTGAATCTTGCGAAGAGTTTAGATAATAGCACATATTTTTACACATACGTATAGAAAGTAAGTGGAAATACTTAGCGTAATACTTTCACCCATCAATAACGTTTCTCTAATGTAACAAGTTCCCAGAAGGAAAATCGATTTTTGAAGCAATGGATATAGTAATTGTTTATAGTTAAACACTTGATTCTAATAAATTATGAAATAATCAATAAATGTACAGATCCGACGAGCAAAGTAGAAACAAAGCAAAAAAATAAAACCGGTTTGGTTTGTTAGGGTTTAGTTGCCATGATTTATAATCGTCAGGATATCTCCGATCTTTGAACTTTTGATTTGCCTACCATATCTTACGTCGGACTGAACGCTTCGAGAAAAGTCGGAAAGCATTCCTCATATTGATTTAAATTTATAACCAAGTATGCAATTTTTCGAAAAACGAACTATCCAATGAAAAAACTCTCTGCTGGGTCAAAACTCTTCACATCGCCTACACAAGGGCAGCTCAAACTGTGACTTAAGCCACACGGAACTGTGAAATTCGGCCAGTTAGATATGATATTTAATGGTTCTTCACTGCGAGTTGTCATCACAACGCAAGTCCCATCGGGAAGTGCCGTTTTCTAAGCTATCTTAAGTAGATTACATATGAGACCAAGGAATAGCTAGCTACTCATTTTTGCAAAGATCTGATTGAGTAGCGGCTTCAAAACCATTTTAATCTTATCAAATATTTTACCCTTCAATTTGTGCAAAAATAGAAACGCTTAGAGAATTTTTTGCACTGAAAAAGGTTTGGAGGACAAACCTCTTGGGGGCTGATAGCTGAACACAAAAGACGAATAAGGTCGGCACAACCAACAGCTGATTCATTGAATCTTTGGAAAATCGAAGTTATGACATGCAAAAACAACTTTGGGTCGTACTGATGACACATCTGTAAAAAAATGATAATTAAATTTTAGACGCATTATTTCTGGTAGTGGTGGCTAAAAGTACAATAACATCTAAATAGGTAGATGCGGTAAGACCGAATGATACATAAATCTGTAGCACATTATTTGAAATTTGAAATAATTAATTATAAATAATGAAAATTTAGAAGAAAATATCCTCGTGAAGCGAACACAAAGATGCAGCGAATACATGACAAGTACCATAGCATAGGCAAATTTTGATACTTGATTCTCAACTAGAAGTTAATAAAATGTTTCCGAGCTTCCTTCACAATATTAAAATATATCAAACCAAATATAATTGCAGCTGTGTGTATGTCTTCATTAGGATAATGGGAGAGAAGAGACAAAATAATCAAGCTGATAAGGACACTAAAGGTCTTGGGGAAGATTGAAAGGCAGGTCATGCAAGCAGTTTGCTATATGGCTAACAATATAATCATTTTTAATTATTTTCACTAGATACCAGCATGAAATCTATCTGATATTCCAGCATGAAACGCCCAAAACGAATTCTTATTTTCATTGGCACTAAAAATATCTCTTCAACTTTCCGTTCTTTGAGAAGAATATAAATAATGCATACAAAGAGGAACAAACGTACAGTTAAGTCGGATACCAGAACTGTCCTTAGGGTTTTATCTTTTTGATAGCTTATGTAATCTTCGTAATTGAAGAACTCTGTGTCCCCAACCCTAAAGAGAAAGGTAAGTTTTGAAAGGGCATTATTCAAGGCAACCGAAGTAAAATAGTCATAGAGGAGACTACAGATGCTTGATGCTATACAGCAACAAAGGCTCATCGTCAATGCTGTTACAAAGAATAATCAAAACTAGAGAGGCGGTGAAGGAAATGTCCTTCGTGATAATAAAAAAGAAATCTGTCTAGAATAAAATGAAAACTAATTGCTTTTGAAGGAAGAAGGAATGAAAAGTAAGGCGTCATGGCAGAAAAAGGGGTCAAACGTAATCGAAACGAATAGTTAGATTGACCCATAGTCCATCTAATACGGTAGGATTTCAAGCATGACGCTAAGACTATTAAGCTTTTTTCGGATTTATTCTTTCAAAGTAAAGGAAATACACAAAATGCCCTTAATTTTAAATGATAAGGTTAGCAAAGGCAATAAATTTTCTGGATATAATATCATGTGATCGTAGTTATGTGAGCATGGGAAGATACAAATTTAACTTTGAACGCTCTGCCTACCATAGCAACAACACCTGGGTCAATTTTCTCGCCGTACAAGCAAACTTTAAAGCCTCGATAACTCTAACAACTACTACACGCTCTAAATCACCAAGCTAGAAATCATTCTGAAAGTTTCTAAAAGCTGAAAAAGCAAACATCTTATACAAAACCGTATGAAATGAATAGGTTTCGAATAAGCTAGATTCTCTTTTGAAAGGATTTTAAGAAACATTTTAATAAATACATGTTTTTAGAAAGATTAGGACATACCCTGACTTAAGAAAATACAAGAAATGATAGCCAATCTTTGGGTTTAGCTCGTGGATTCCATTCAGAAGGATGTAAAGCTTCTCTCGATCGATGTCGTGCTTTGACAATGATGTTATCGATCTAGAAAATGATGAATAATTTCAGTATTTGTAACATTATTTCACAATCTCCGCACAGAATATCAGACAGTCACCGTTCGTGAATGTATGTCTACCGACACATGCCGAGGAATAGTAATGAAATTGTTTTCTGGAAAAAAGGGAAAAGGTTAAGCTAGTTGTAAGTATCTCTTCTAATTATATGACACAAACGCAGGAAGCGGGCAAAGCCATGGCGAAGAACCAAACGAGTTCAAAATAGCTGCAATGCATCTCCTTTCGATTCAACTATACATGGTCAAGGGTTTTTATTTACAAACAAAAATAATACTTTTGTTTCTCGAGGCATTGAATTGCAGGTTTGGTACTAAATTCCTTTTTTAGGTTGTCAGTACAGTACACTCCAGTTATTATCACTCCAAATATTGCTTGAAAAGCTATGACAGTAAGCAGAGTGTAACTGCAAACGGAGCTTAATTGAAGAGCTTTTAGTATTTATATCTAAATTTAAAATGACTTTAAACGGAGTGACTGTAAGCGGAATCGACTGAATATAATCTGGAAATTTTAAAGCCCTGTGGAAACATTCTTGCATTATCCTAACATTGAAAGGAACATCATTATTTTTCACCTACTACATTATTTTTCAGCCTCACATGACCCATCGCTCTAAAGAAAGAACAACGATACATGGAAAAAATTAGTAATACCTTTCCTTGGAAATATTGCAACGACGCTGCAAAGCTTGCCTAAACCATTGTCTAAACTCTGCAAATCCCTCCTTGATGCCTATTCCCAGCAAATCGTGATAAATGTGACAGACACAACGATGAATAAATTTTCATTACTGGTTTTTTGAGACTAGAAAGAACAATTAAACTTACCTAAACAAAATGTATTGTGGCCTCTCAAATGATTGCTCAATTGCGCTATAAGAAATCAATAATGTATCTTATAAAACAAAATGTTTGCTTATCATAATACTTTATATTTTTGATCAGCAACATAACGTTGTGTATTATTCTGTGTTTATAGATGTTCAATAATTCTCAACATGAATTTTCGCTTTTCATAAATTCTAACAATCTTTTTGTGCTTTTATTGAGACAAGGTCATCGTAAATTGCATCGAGAAACAAGTTAAAAAATGACAATGGAAACTAAAAAACTCTGTCACAACTTCGGTTTAAAAAAATATTATGATACAAGTGAGCAGTGTGAATTCCTTTGAGAAACTTTCTCTAAACTCACTTTATTCTGTTGAATGGAGCTTGGAAAGTTTATCTGGCAAAATTTTACCAAAATAAGCTGAGACTCTTGATTTGAGAGGACATTTCCTGTTGCTATAATTACAAACAAGAGACCATAAATGGGAAATGACAGCCAAATGTCTTTTTTACTGTTTCAACAGAAAATCTTTTGCCAGCAAGAATAAGACTCTAATGTTTGGGACAGCATCAATGCTTTCAACAGAATTGAATTTGAAGAAATTATTCTGAAAAATTATGATTCTTTTTACCTTTCAGTGAGCTCATCGGGAAGACAGGGTAAAGCAAGGTCATCAGTCAAGCATGCAGCCAGACAAACACATATTGGTGTTGCCATTTCATCATCAAAATCCTTCTGCAACAAACAAACCTTTTAGGTTAGTAAAATATGCCAAAATGTGCGCAAAAACTACGTAGCAACGGGCATTGTGATAAAGATTGTGTTTGAAATGACTAAAAACCTAATAAAAACGAAAGGTAGATCACTTTGCGAGTCAGCGATAGAAAGAACAAAACGCCGTGATCAAATAATTTGTGCCAGATAGGTCCATAAGGATATGATCAAAGCTGGTAAATCTGATTGATACTGAAAGCTTCAAAGCCCACTAAAAATCTAAATACGTATCAGTCAAGAGAGATAAGAGATCACAAAAGTTTTGCAAGACCTTTCAGTCCTCATACCCTTCATCACTTAGAAGCATTACAAGAGCTAGGACCTAAATTCAAGGTTTTTAAAACCAAAACTAGTAATGTAGAAATACATTAACTTAAAATTCTGCTTTTAAGTTGGACAAAATGCCTGTCTGAAAAGTTCTAGACTTTAGATATACAAAGGAATGTAAGAATGTTCGCGCTCGATTAAAATCTTTTCTAGAGATCATTTGTGTTTATTGATTGTTTGAAAGCATGGCCATTATTGAATACTTTTATATTTTTGATTTCTTCAGAAATTCTCAAAAAGATTTGTTGACGGCAAACAGGAAGAAAAAAAATCAACCAGTAGAAATCGATCAGATTTTCAGCATTTATTGGTTGATTTTTACACCGCTTACCTTTGACAGAAAGAACAGGCATATGCCAGCAGTTTCGTATCGACCAGACTATGACTTTGCGAGACAACGTCTATGTAGACTATCCCGAACATTTTCAATTTGAAAAAATATACGAAGACTCACGAAAAATATCAAATGCTAATTTTGTATTAAAGCAAGTTGACTTTTGAAACATATGTAGTTTACCTTAATTTATTGCACTATTAGATGTCAGATGCACTGGGAAATATATTTGTAGATTATAAATTTTTTAGCTCCACTAAAATTTGCATTTTATTTGCTACCCAAAGTAAAATGATTAGGTGACTAGAAGCCAGGTTTTTTAAACGTAGGTTAAATCAACGTAAAAATCCAACAGATGCATGGGAAGTGTGACCTAAAAAAGAGCTGATTGAAGAACATCTGGGCAAAATTACTTTATACTTTTCGAGAAAATTAGGTCACGACTTGCTGGAATTTGAAACATGCCTCATCGTTAGCTTGTTAAACTGGCAGATAAAACTTGCAATTACTCGCAAAACGTGAAATAACGATACCAAACAGCAATAGATATGTTTTGATATGGTTAAATTACAACAGAAAAGTCGATGTACTAAGAGAAGGCTTGCTCGTATATAGAAAATAACTGTACATCAAATCTGTAGTCGTATGCACATCGAAAAACGCCAGCCCATGTGATAAGGGTAGCAACAAAATTTTTAACTTCATAGATAATCGAAAAGAATAATTACCATAGAGTCAACAGTCGAAATAATGCTTTCCATTGCTTCGCATCTCAATGTATCATCACTACAATTAATGTTAAGAATAAATAAATAAATAAATAAACAAGTGAATAAATAAATAAATAAACAAATTAATAAATAAAAGATTGAGAGTATTGTCTCAACAAACAAAATTTCAATAAACTTCAAGAGTTTTCGTTTCTCGCATTTGGTAGAGCCAGGAAAAATATTTTGGTAAAATACCATCTTAAATGTTCAATTTCAAATAAGATTTAGATCCAAAAGATGTTAATGTTTACGTACTGCTTTGCTTTTGCCTCAAAAGTCCTCAAAAGATACCATATTGTAATTTTTTTTGCCTGACTCTGAGGCACGTTCAAAATAAATCTTTGGAGATTTAAAAGCGATTTGTCGAAGAGACAGCAAATAAATAAAATAACTGTCTTGCAATTCCTGATTCGAAGAAAAAGCATTTGTTCATATCAAACAAAAAGTCGCAATATTTGCTGACAGAGCTATCGACACACTATAATTGCAGAACATGTTAACAAGATTAGCTAGGTAAAGATTGTTAAAGAGCGTCTGATAGCCCGGCGACAGTCCCGTCAGGGGGAAAACCTACCTTTATTGAGTAGAACTTATAAATGTAATTGAATTGAAAAAAGATTTTGAAACATGACTGTGTTAAAAGCAAGAAAAAATCTCAATTTGTGTCAATAAAAAGAAGATCCGTACCTGTCATTTTTAAGTTTTAGGATATTATCTCTCAAAAGTGTGTTATCAATATTCTGAAATTCCTCTAACTCCAGCATATCAACATTACCAATGACGTCATCAGACTTTCCTAGCGACGTCTCCTCCTCCCGGACAATAGGCTTAAACTTCGACTTAGAGTTTTCCTGGTCATTTTCATCATCAGAAAACACCGCTTCTTCAGCATCTGGCTCCTCTGGCTCCTCTCCTACGACTTCAATGTCATCCCCATTACCCTCTGTAGACGGGGACAGACTCGGGGGTTGCTCTGTTTTTGGTGACGTTGGGGGTGTAGTGGAAGAAGATGAGTCTTCTCCTTTCGACTCTAAGAAGCAAGCAAGTATCACTTAATAGGTTGGATTCAGCAAAAAAAGCAGATAAAGTTGAATAACCGTACTTATAATTAAATTGATTACATTGATTTTTTTAAAATATTATCCCTCATTAGCCTGATCTTTATTTGAAAAACTCTTTCTTCCGCAATACAGCAGCAGACCTAAGGCTGCCTAAGAAGAAGACTCTAGGTAAGAAAGCCTTTCTCACAGTGGAGCACACATATGAAATAGCCTCTGTTGAAGCTAAGCAGGCACCCCCCTTAGTTTTTTTAGAAAAATGATTTAGGTTTTTTGAATTTTAACTTTTCTTGTAAATATAATTTCGGATTCTTATTGGGTCTTTGAATACATTTAGTTATTTTCTGTTAGTTTATTTAATTGCAATTTTAATATTATTTTATGGGGTGGGCCTTTGAAAACCGGAACTTGTGCTGAAGGGGTCCCTCTCCATAGTTAAATAAATGAAATGAAATTAATTGTATTTATATCAAATCATATTATATTACATGTTATTAGATTACATCACATTATGTTACATTTTAATCGATTATTATTGTATAAACAGTAAATGTTTATTGAAACATAAATCTGGCAATGAGGCAAATAACATAAGAGAAAAAAGAAAATAAATATTTGGAACATTGACTGCTGTCACCAAATTTAAAGGAAATTTTGATGATAAGTCCATGAAGAAGTTAAAAAAATACCATTGTAAGGCACCAGTTACAAAATAAAAAAAAGCTATTTGGTGAGGTAGGGTGAGTCTTTGAACAATACATTCATTCAACAGCGAACTCACTTTTAAGCTTACTTTTGCTGATACACTCATTATCTAAACGAATACTGTAAATTTTTTCCAGCCTTGATATTAGTAAGAGATTTTCGTTTTCAGTTCGAAAGTATTCTTAAAGGATTCTTATTATTTTCAAATCTGACACAGTAAAAACCCGCGGATAAGAATCTGGTTTTTACAATTAGCCTAAACAGGTTCTTATTTTCTTATATTAAAATAGTTCTTATCTTTATATGGCAAAATTTTAATTTTCATACCATGCAGTAATATTATAGCAAAAGACAGTACAGATATAACAAAACAAATATATACTCAAACAAACTCATAGCAAAATAATTTTAAATTTCATTTAAAAGACAAGGATTATATGTGGAAAACTTGGAATAAATGAAAATTGAAATTTTGTACTTTGCAAATGCTGAGTATTAAGAGAATTTATTGAAATGATGAAAACAATAGACACAGTACTGTACTTCGGCTTCAAAAGAAAAATTGTTTTGCCATGCTCGTTTTAGATATAAGCAGATAATGATACTTAATTCAAAAGTTTCCACCTAGAAACATTTACAGCAGCTCCACTGTTAAGAACCTAACTCAAAATTTGCAACCTGAAAAGATTCTTATCTGGAGGAGGCCTAAATTTGAATTTTTAGCCTTACAGGTTCTTGAAATCCAGGTTCTTATACGAGGGTTTTTAGGGCATGGTTTCCGGGAAATTCACCCGCTCTTTAATAAAAACCATCCTTTTGGAAACACGAGATATGTCAGTTCTGCGGTAACTTGTTTTAAACATCGCGAAACAGGCAACTACTGACAAATGAGACACATTTTTAAAAGTTATAAAAAGAGTGCATCATTGCAAATTGTTGAAAAAACCGATCTTTCAGATAATATATCTGCTCGGTCTGGTGTCAAAAAAGTCATTTTCGCGAAAAAAACGTTTTGAAAATTTATTGAACGAGCAGCAATATTTCTGCCAGGTGTGTTAAGAAAAAAAATGTTTCTAAGAGAATTCTACTTGTGAAGGTAAAAATCGAAATAATATGTTTTCCATTTTTAATTCAGCAAGGAGATCTGATGTTTTGCTTTTAGTAATTTCAAATTCTGAGAAAAAGCACCTGGCAACCATAGAAGAGACAAAACATTCTTCTAGCATGGATCCAGTTTAGTCGAGGCCGATTTATAGTATTTTTAAATATATAGAGCTATTCCGCTTAATATTTTTTTCTGGGATTGCTAAGTATTCCCTACCTTTATCACGGCCTGTGAATTCTGGCAATGTTTCACGGACGAGATTCTTCATATTCCGATCCATTCGATGGTTATTCAAAAGAGGCGAAAGTGACCTATTAGAGAAAAATTTCCTTTACGGCAAAACCACGGCATTGATCTACTAGTTGAAACTATAACCATGTAAATAGAATGTTGAATATCTAAAAATATCAAAATTAGGCCTAAGAATTTTATGAATACTACCAACTCGCTTCAGACAGAAATGTAAATTCTGTCAACGATAATACGAACTCGTGTAATCCAAACCTTTACTAATTCGAGCAAAACCCCCAGATCCTTGAGAATTAATAGAAAAACTCTTATCAAACCTTTAAGAATGGAATCTCTTTAATTCGAACTTTTCGTAACTCGACCAATTTTGTGAAGAAAACACCCTTTTTAGCTGGAGCATCTGGGTATTTTGTAAAAAAGCTAGCTATATATGTACTTTATTTCATCAAATCCTCCTGAATCGATATTATTGTCGTTTTTGGCTGTTATTTATGTCATTTCCGCCAATATTTGCTGGGGAGATGAGACAACTAAGTTCAAGGAATCTTGGCCTACTCCGTGTTGTATGGTCAATAAGCTGCCTACTAGCGACTCTTTTTAAATCTGCTGTGCAACTTAATATATACTCAGTTGTGGATCGAAATAAGCAATCAGAAACGAGAACACATGATTGTTGAGTTTGCCTAATCAGTTACGCTACGCTATTGAAAAACTTTGACCATTGGTGACATTCAAAGCCATTATAAATTTTGTACCACTAGAAGATTGTTAAAAACATACTAGCTTTCAAGTTGACTGTATATACACTCGGAAACGAGAGAGAAAAACTGAAGTGACATATTCAAATAGCTGACCTTGGTATACCTGACCTTGATATCTTGGTTCCTTGGTATTTCTTTTGTATTTAATACAAGATGAAAAAACAAACTTACATGTCACCTCTTTTCCTTGCTAATTAGATTAATATCTTTCAGGTAGACAACATATGCCTTAAGCAGTACTCACTAATTGTTTGTCGTCAATATACTAAACAGAGTTACTTTGGCTTTACAAATGACATCCATCGGTGAATACCGTAATAATCTAATTGAGCCCCCCTCTCGAATAAGCCCCTCTTTCCAACATTGAGTTTTGAATATCCCCCCCCCCTCCGGGCTTAATCGCACTATTTCGGTATATTGCTAATTACAATGTGATTACTGGTCATTGAAACTCACCCAACAACTCGTTTATCGAGTATGCTGCGAAATGCTCTTTTTATACCATGCTTTAGCAGTGACTCATGCTCTGTTGAATACGAGGTGACGATCTAAAAAATGTTTAATTTTGCAAAACCAAGTTAAAACCAAACATAATTCAGATGGCTACAATATTTCTAAGAGAAAATAAGTTTGCCTTTTAATCAATTTTAGCCATCTACTATAGAAACTACAAAATTATATAATTCTGCGAAATGTGTTTTGTAAACTATGAACAAGGCGCGAAAAGATCGCCCAGGATTGCTCAAATCAAAACACGAGTATAGAGAAGATGGCATGAGTTGTCTTAGCTTGAGATTTCCAGAGACTAAATAATGTTTATTGCCCAAGAAAATGAGTAAAAAACCTTGAAAACTATACTGCCGATGCATTTTCCATACTAATTGACTTTTTAAACTTACTTCTTTATTAGATAGAACATATTTATTGACTTCTAACAAAAATAAACGTTGGCTATCAGCTTGATGTAAAATGAATCTACAAATAACATAATATAATGACACGAAGCAATAGATTTTTATGGCAATTTCAAAAGAAAATGCAGCTAGTAGCAACAGCACCTTGCATATAAACTCCAAAAGACCATAGGTAATACTTGGATGGGTTTTGATAGAATTATGCATAAGTAGCATGGCCGGTTCTGTGAAGTAGAAACGGCAGCTTTTATTCACAACAAAATATTTTCCCTCAAGCAAAATGTATAATGCACTAAACAAGGAAAAGCCTGACAAAATTTCATTTTTAAAGTAACGATGAAAAAATCGATTAACAGATTAGATATAGGGAAGATTAGATTTACAGATTAGATTAACAGATTAGAGAATCTAAGATTAAAATCCAAGTGATGAACTAAATGATACGGCAAAAAGCCTTATTTCGTTGCAAAAGAAACAAAAGTGGAAAACTATTCGATAAATTTTCTGTCACCTTTATAAACATTTTACTAAAGAGGGAAACAAATTGAATCGGAAAAAATATCTTATAGGATACAAAAGCTAGGGTTAACATTCAACTTGAAAAGCAAATGAAATAGTAGATTTTAGTTTATTTTTGTGCCGCTATTAGTAATCAATGGAGTTCCCGTTAAAAATCTCATTAAGCAAAATTCTTATCCACAGAGAATTGCGTCGCGTTGCCAGAAATGATAGCAAAAATCATTCACTCTTAATTCCTTTAATATTATTAACAGTATAAGGTGTAATGATGTAAGGGGCAATACCAATATTCATGATATTGTCCTTTTCACCAGAATAGAACAACCAGTCGTAGCATAGCGCCAGCTTGACGTTCGCTTGAGCAACTGGGTTCTAAAAGAGAATAACTCTTGATACAATTCTTCAAAAGCTGTTAATCTGCAATTTCGGCCTATTTCTGTTACGATAAACTTCATTATCTTTGTGGTCATAAATATCTTATACGAAAATCATCCTATCTTTTTCAAAAAAATGAATTATTCTCATTAGTGAGTGAAATGCCATTTTTTCTTCGGGGCTTTCAAGAAATTGTCGCTACCTACAGAACATCTTCAACATTAAAACCCGTATTTCTCAGGGTATTTATAGAGAAATATAGCTCTGAATTTCATGGCAAATAAAAGCTGGTTTTGGGTAAAATATTGGAACCAAGAGGATATTGGTAGGTTGGCTTCCCATTCAAAATTGGAAAGAAATTCTCATTAAGATAAAAAATAATATGCCTACAGAAAGAATGTTTTTCCTTATTGCGAAGCGGCCGGCTGACTGAATCGGCATATGCAAAGAGGGGCACTTCAAAACAAAGCGGGGGGGGGCTTTAAAACTTCTGCATAGATGCATAAGCAATAAACAGAAACACTTGCGTCTGTAATGATTCACAATAAGTGACGCACGAACAATCAATAAGCAATTCACAGTAATTACTGAGTCATCATACTACATGTAAAAGTTTGGATATAGAAAACATCAGTAAGCTTTTGTTGATTCGAATTTTAATAAGAAATCGCGTAGAAGACTACCCTTTCACCAAACTCAAACATAGCAGGGATTGCTAATTATTAATCTGAGCACCAATTCTTAGAGGGCAAAAAGCTATTACTTTATTAAGCTCACTTGCCTTGCTACAGAATAAGAGCAATTTCATTGTTACAGGGTAAGGGTAGAAATAAAAAAATGTCAGCTTTGTATCATATTAGAAATTTCCCTTTTAATGCGAGTTAAATGTCAACTGCTAGCACACAATATTCCGGCATGATGATGATTAAAAAATGTGTAAGCTCTGTCTTATATTATTTTCATTCCTTGATCGCTTCTGTTCCAATCAAGAAATTCATTTCATGCCAATTCAACATAATTTACAAATTCTTACGTATCAACAAAACTTTTAAATCCAGTCTTTCAAGGATAAAATCATACCAAGGAGCAGAAAGTTTACCTGACAAATTGTATACAACCAGCCTAGAATTGCCCATCGCGGAATGATGTCAGAACAGAGCACTTCATTGGGTGGGTGAATAACTCCACAAAGAAAACGAACCAAGTCAGGAATCAGAGACTGGGCTTCTGGTGCCAGTAGATACTTTGAAATAGAATAATATTATCATGTAAAATAAAATTAAACAGAAGATAAGCATATTTGTAAGATGTAAGATGGTAGTGAAAAAAGGGAATGGATTTCTTACCAAAATCGCTTCCCAACAGGGATTTTTCAAACTAAAAAATCCTTTCAAGTAAACTGGTGCTTAACATGTAATGGCTTTTGCACTGTTTGCAAAGGAAAGTTTAAGCTTGCTCTGCTTTACTTTATCTTTATCAGAGGACAAAAAAATTGGACCTTCTCTTCTTATCATTCCTTTTTTTCTTCAAGAAATATTGACTTATTCAGTGAGAATATGCTTCTAGGAAAGTCCTTATTTAGCTCTGAATTGCTAAATATGAACTTTCAAATGATATCATGGTAAATCCAACGAAAAAGCCGCCATTGTGTAAACAGAGGGAGTTCGGTTTTTCTCTTGGACTGTAGTGGTAATATTCCTTTAGGCACGCGGCACTGAGTGAAAAGCAATATGGGACATGTGCTCCCGTTTTTCTGATTGGCCTATTTCGATCCGCAACTGGGTATAATTTTCCATCTTATTCTTTTGGAACCTTATTCTGACGTTCTTTACTCTGAGGAGTGTCAGACAAAAGGGCTTTAAGTTAGTATGTTGTGAAATGTTTGCTTTTTGCAAGGCCATATTCAAGTTCTGTACCGCCTAAAAATTCTTCACTATTTACAATTAACTACTCAGTTATAATTCTGTGGATAGCAGATACTTAGATGAAAAAAAGTGTTGAAACTCTCTTTGCTGAAACTCTCTGTGCTTAAGCGACTGTGCGTTAAATCATATAAACCCCTGAATTTGGTCATAAATTGCGTAAAATAGTCGCATATTTAGCTAGAATGCTGAACGAATAAGAATAAAACCGGCTTAACATAAAAAGAGGAAATAGGATTGTTAACGTAAGATGTGCTAAAATTTGTGCTTTAATACTAACTAACTGAGATTCTTTTCGCAAAAATCAATACCCAGCCTCCCAAAAAGAGCAGATAAGACCAAATAAGTGATAAATTAGTGAGAAAACATGCCTAGAATTTGGAAATTATAAAACTCAATTTGCAAAACGCAATTAGAAGCCTGAAAAAGCTGTAAAGTAGAATCCAATTGTGATAACAACATTCATATATTGTATTATGAAGAAAGCTTTGGAAAATCTTTGTACTGACGAGAGTTTATCATGCTCCGTTTAGAGCGTAATATCAGTGGAAGAACATCTGCATCTCATCCTTAGCACTTGAGTACTGGTGCAAGATGAGAAACAACAACAACAGATGAAGATTGGCAACAAAAACACCATGAATAAAGGTCTTCTGATACAAATTGGTATTTGATATCATTTTAAAGAATTATTCAGTAAATGTTTTTCTGTTATTAATCCTTTAAAAAAGACTGTGATTTTGAGAGATGTGTTTCTATAATGAAGATTCTTTATATTTCAATTACGTTACAGAGGTCTTCTCGTTTTCCGTCTTCAAATGAGGGCCAAAATGTAAACACGAACAGAAGGAAGAAGATGCAACTGTCCAACGAATCGACAGGAAACAGATAGCGAGAAAACAGAGAGATTTTGTGTAGCTTTTAGAGCTGAAAGCAAAATAACCTGAAGATCCATAATGCTTTTCAAAGAATCAATGAAATAGTGACTAAATGCAATGTCGCCAGAGCTAAATTAGGGAGGAATGAAACCATTCGTTAACAAAGCGTTTGTTTTTGGCATCTTTATTAACCAATAATCGCAGACCACTTAGAGTCTTTCCCTCACTTCGCCAAGGCTTTGTTTACATTCAGCCTCAGCCACTTTCCTTTAAGGTTAAGCTATTAAGGCCCGGCCTAACTAGGAAAAATTGTCATATGAGATCCGTGTTTTAAGAATGTTTCACAAAAAGTTTTTTAGTTTGGCCACCATGTCTTATGACCAATTGGACCCAAATGTTGTCACACGAATGTTTGAAGATCGTCAAATGTTTCCTAGTGATGTTATCAGACAATTCAATCCGGGTAAAAATCAGTAAAAATTAATGTGCAGTTATTGACGCTTGCGTTAAACATGGCGGCAAACAGCAATTCAAAGCATATGTGGACAGATGAAAACATATAAAAAGTGACCGATTTGGTCGAAGAAAGGTTTGTCTTGTGGGATTCTGATCACAAGGACTATCATAACAGAAATAAGAAATCATAGGCTTTAGAAGATATTGCAGATCAGTTGGGCATTGATCAGAAAGCTGTACTCTCTAAATGGAGGAATCTTCGCGGGCAGTTTGGACAAGAATTAAAGTTAACCGCACCAAGTCAGGTCAAGGAACAGATGAACGTTACTCAAATTCCTGGAAGTATTTTGATCAGCTTTTATTTCTGTCATGTAGCATCCAGGCAGGCAAAAGTATTGATACACTTAACCTTGAAGGAAACAGCATGGCAGAAAATAATATGTCATACACCAGCTCACAGGAGCCACCTCAAAAGCAAAAAAAGAAACTTAGTGCAACAGCTTGAAGAACAGCAAAAACAGCTAAAAATTGAACTTCTTCAGAAAGCTGTAAGTGCTTTATCAACCCCAGCTTCAGATAGAACAACTGATGACAAAACTACTGGAGATTGATGTGGCAGAGAAAATGAACAGCTTATCATTCCGTAAAAGAGCCAGGGCAAAAAAGAGAATTTCTGATGTGCTGTTTGAGATTGAATTTGATGAACAAAATAATGAACAAGCATTTAATTATCATAACCCAGGAAATGATCGCCCTAAAAATACATATTTTAATAATGCTTACCATATTAATTTGTTGCACAGTTATAAATGACTTTTAAATATCACTTTTTTACAATGTGCGCAATATTTGTTATTTTCATGATATTTTTTCAACGAACCCTGTTTTTGCTCATATTCGTATTCTTCTCATATTTGCTTACTACATTTGATTCATTGTCATCATGTCTCATTGCTAGCTTGGTTTTCATGTGAATTTGCAATATCTCCACATATGTACAACTGCCATGGGACTGCACCTTCATTGAAAAAGTATTCCTTAAAAGTATCCCGTACTTCTTTAGCATTATTGGAAGCATTGTGTCCAGATCTTGGAATAGTTATCTCCCTCATAAGTAGTGAAGGGTTTGCATCTCTCTTTGATCCATCGAGAACAGATCCATCTTCTCTGTTTACATGGTCAGGTAGATGAACTGGGCTGTAAATGTGCTTTGATGGGCTTTATAGCAGAAAATTGTGCAAGGTTAAGGTTGCAAGGACGAGTGACTCTGCTGTCTTTGGCTGCACCTCCATCGATGAATGATATATTCTCCACCTGTTTGATAGTATCCCAAAAACATTTTCTGAAATGCGCCTTGCCCTAGAAAGTCTGTAATTAAAAATTCTCTTTTCAATGGTTGAGGCATGCTGTGCATATGGTTTCATGAGAAAAGGTGTACTAATTCTGTGTGTAAAACTGCGTGTAATAAGAAAATCTGAGGAAATTCCGCAAAGTCAATATACCACTCATATCTCGAGCCAAAATGAAATGTTTACTGCTCGTATTTATATTGCTCGTGATGATGCTTCTGCCCTTTGCCCTGGCTCCCACAATAACATATGGTACTGGATCATTTCCATTTGATAAAAATTTTTGTGCCCATCAGAAATCCTCCCATTTGTTCCAACATCTGCATTAAGTACTTCATATTCTGGGTCAGTAACTGCCAATAACACAATCGAATAGCACCTCTTGTAATTATAGAAATGAGAGCCTGAGTTGGTAGGGCATTTCAAGTTTATGTGTTTCCCATCAATTGCTCCTAGACAGTTTGAAAAGTTCCATCTATCACCAAAGGACTTTGCCAAAACTAACCACTCAGATGTAGTTCCAGGTAATTGAAAAAACAGGCGTCTCATGAGAACATATATAGCACAACAAATCTCTTTGATGATATAGGAAACAGCTTCTCTGCTTATACGAAATTGAAAATGCAATGATCTAAATGATTCTCCTGTTGCAAGAAAACGTATTGCGAGGGCTAGTCGTTCTGATGAGCCTTTTGGTCTACCAAATTAGGATGTTTTCTTTGAGATATTTGGCTTTAAAAAGTAGAGTATTTCTTGAAAATGTTCGTGCCTCATCCTTATCATTTCCATGTAGGCCTGCGTGTCTTCTATGGCAAGTTCCTTTACCAAATTAAACAAACCCATTTGCTCCCTTTTCCGTACCCATCGCCTTATTTTGTAAGACGCTTTTGTTTTCTGGTTTTCTCCATTAAGAGATAATAATAACATATCTAATAACAAAATACTGGCAACTGCTTTACGCTTCATCTCCATTTTCCCACCAAAAATAACGAATAACAACAACAGCAACAAAATGTTGTCAGACATTGTCAGACAAGTTTAGCCACCAAAATTTCATGTCACAGAAACAAATGAAAATTTTTTTCGTTCGTGAAACAATGTCATGTGACATTGTTTCCTAGTTTGGCCGGGCCTTTACTAAACAGCTGTGAATAGACGGATAGTGAAGAAATTGAATTTTTGTCAATAACTAGCCTATAATCAATAGAATCGGAATATTTTGTAATTTCTGTTAGCCTATGTTTTCTTTCTGACGATGGGTTTTATGAAAATAGTTTTTATGATCTTTCCAATGCAACAACGGCTCACCTTGCTCTAAACAATCTGGGAAGATAACCTCATGAATGGTTTATTGCCGTCTATTTGAAATTATCTAATGAATATTGTTCTTCAGTTTTGCCGTACAACTTAACTGCATACTTTTTTCAGGGTGAGAAAATTCACAGAAAGGTCAAATCTCGAGACAGGTCTATATCAGACACCTTTCGTACAGCATAGGTTTTTTGGATCAGATTTCAGCATAAGCAATCTTTCAAAAAATAGATTTTCAATGAAAAATAAAAATGTAGAAAAAGAAAAAACCTGTCGGTAGAACCAGTCTTGATATCTCTTCTGCTGCCCAAAACGAACCTGCGAAGTTTAGAGAAACTTGAAAACAAAAACTTGAAAACATAAAAGTTTCGGGTTAAGTTAAGTTGAAGAAAATGTAAAATAGTAATTAAATGGAACATACCCGGGTATTCAAACATTTTAAAATAATTGCAAATTCATAAATACAAATTTATCCTTGTATGGTTCGTCTAGAATACTATGAAGACTTATATTATAGAAAATAAATATCATAAAATATAAAATTAACGTGAATAATAATTTGCATGGAATTCCCGATAGGGTATTATTTATTATTTTCAAAAAAATTTTTTATGATCAATCAATGCGTGCGCTAGCAGTGATTTTTTATTAAGGTTAAGGTAGAAAAAGGGGTTGATTTTTAGGGCTCAGGCGTGGTCTATATTGACACAATTACAATGGCTTGGTTTTCATTACAAAGTGTTTGTTAAGTTGCGCTATATAGTCACAAAAATATGAATGTTCTAGTATTAAGGTGTGCGTAATTTGGTCTGACTCAAAATCAAAGCCTGAACTACGACAAAGTTACGTAGGAAAAGGCAAAAAATATGACAAATTTAGGTAAATACATTATTTTTGTTAAATTTGGAAAAAGTATCCTTGCAAAACACCGAAATCAAAATAAACTTTTTTTGCAAGGAAAATAGTTTTTTTGTTTTGCAAAGATTGCATCTTGAAAAGAACATAGCAGATTCAATCAACGAATAACAAATTTTTGACAAAATTTTACATTTTAACAGGTACCCAAGCAACAAACTCTTGATACCAATCATGACCTAATAGGCTACGTTGTTGTTTTGTTGAAAATTCCTATTTATTCTTACTCAATGAGTGCATCCCAAATTGATATTAAAGTCATCTTGCAAGCGTTTTGAGTATTTTCAAAATTAATTATTAAGGTAACAAGAGATTCATGGTCACGAGGCCATATTCTCGTGGTAAAATTTACGTTTCACATTATCATTTTACAAGAAAACTTCCTATCTAACATCGTTCTAATCAACAATATTTTTCGTACTTGGCATTTAATAGAAATTTAAAAATACAGAGAAAAGTATAAATATTCAAAATTTGTTGAAATGGCTAAGTAATCGCTTGAGTGCAGATCTCAAACCCAGGCTGATTTTGTTATTTGGAAATAATTTGACTTTTTGCAATTATTTCAAAAAATGATCTGTTTACAAGAGTAAAAAATAAAAGCAACAGTCAATTTTCTCTATCTACAGACCGTAAACAACACAAGCACAATAAACAAAAATAGATGAAAATGTAAATGGCCAAAGATTGCAACCGGGAGTTTAAAAAATTGCATTGAACTGCCTTATAATGTTTATGATATGAAACAGGAAGAAAACTGCAACACTATTATTAAGGTTCAAACTTCTTAAAAGACACTCCGTTTACGACTGCCATAAAATTATTTGGACTATAAACCAACCTTCAATGCCAGAAATGTCATCTTGTTTTCCATGTCTTGTGTAAGTCTGCTTGTAAGTATTTTTCGAGATGTTCGTGTGTTGAATATTTGTGTAATACCTTAGAGAGATAGGAACATGTATATAGCCAAAAGATTCTGTCGAAACTGGTTGCTTATACACAAAAAATATGTCTATGGGTTCCTTTAGAAAATGGAAAAATTTTCAAACACGATCCATTTTTTGAATGTACTGTGCTTTGCAACCAAATCGTGCAGTGTTAGGAAGGTAGTTAGGAAAATGACAAAAGTTTTGGTTCATAATGGGAATGTTGCCATAATCATCAATTTTGGTTGCAGATGGGAATTTAAGAAGGCTAAAGGGCTATTTAAAGGGGTTTTTATGAGCTTTTTCGTGGCAAACGAATCTGCAAAAACTAAAAAAAACGCCCACTGCGTCATGCTACCCATATCAAAAAGGTGATAAATCTAGCAAACACTTCCAGTCAAAAATAAACCATCATCAATGACTCTGTGTCAGGACATACATTCTTGCAAAAATTTTCTATTCAGCAAAATTTATGCTGGAAAATCATATAAAAAACATCTTCTTTTTTAGATCTCTATACTTTAAGAGAAAAAACTATTGTCGAATGTTAAGCATAAACTTTTAACATGAAGTTGGCGACTGCAAAATGAAGCATATCAACTGTCTACTGTAAAGAATTCATTTTTATTGTTTAATTTTTTCTAGTCGTCGGTAACAGAATAGGAATCTTTGCCCTTTTCAAACCTCGAATGTATAGCCTCAGGCTCATTCTAACAAAATAAAAATTACTGAAAAATTTGTTTAGATTTTGGAAGAGCTATCCAAAGTTTAAAAACGGAAAGGTAACAAGGAGAGAAATTTATAAAGAATCTTTTACTTAAAATTTATTGCATCATCCACTATTTTTCTAAAATAGGGTTTTGCAGCAAGGAAGCCAAGGGCGACGTATTTCATTAAACAATATATTTTTTTGCAAAAATTAGGAAATTTTTCCTAAGCGGTCAGTTGAGCACTGGTCTTAAATTTTTTGGGAGGAGGAGAAACTACATGGATAGCCAAGTAGTTATATATAATTAATATATTCTAATGTTTGGTTTTTCGTCTGTGAATAAATTTCCTTCAATGACTTAACATTATAAATTTCTATACGCTAACTTTACTACAAAATAAAAATGCAAATTCCTCATTCCTCAATATTTCCTCTTCACAAAAGGTTCCTGGCAACTTCCACAATGCGTGTTACTTCTAATAAAACGAGCCAAATTTTTCAAACAATTTTTAAAATGAATATGGTGTGTTGTGCCAGCAGAATCGCGAATCTTTTAATTTAATGCTTCCAATTTTTACATACAAATGTTTGATAATTTTGTACCAAACAATGCAAAAACTATTTGAAATTATCAATTATCAATTATCAAATTAAAATAATTAATATGTTTAGATGTATCAGTTGTCTAACTTAATTGTTCAAAATCAGATTTACTTTGAAATATAACCTAAGCTAACCATGCAATTTACATGCAAGTTTTTAATGGTCCTAGGTGATTTGATCAAATTTATTTCCGTAATTGAAAAATCAATAGCAAAAGTTTATAGTTTTGTATTTAAAAAAAACTTTCTCATTTTTCTACCAGAACTTTCCTCCAAAGCAGTTTTTCGTGTTTGTGGTGTTTTCGCCTTATTTGTACCACTAACTGATCTAGCTGTCACATAATGGGCTTCCCACTGCTTGTCTAACTCACAAAGATTCATTATATATCTAAAAGATTTCCTAGTCCATTCAAAAAATTTAGTTGTTGACTTTTCCCCTTTCCCTGCAGTTTTTCTCATTTATCAAAATAGAGCACTTTGAGTAAATCTTTGCATTTTTCCAACAAGAAATTATTTATCGAACACTAGTAGATGAAAGAAAAACAAAACATGTACATATTGGTACCTGAAAACTGGGGACTCAGCGACTGTGGCCTGTACAATATGTCCTTCCACAAAGCTGTAAACTCTGGAATCCTGTCAACGATAAGAAAACACTTAATAAATTCTTCAAAAACGTATGAAAAAAAATTGAAAAATTATTTAAGTATCTAACCGTAATTTTCAAAACGTTTCTCAAGAGGGGTTGTTTGGAAAAATAGGTAGAAATTTTGTATGAGCATTCGCGCCAGGATTGTCGCTTCGAAAACATTGAACCATAAAAAACAATTATAAGTTGGACTAATTAAATAAATTTTAGGAAAGTACAAATAACCAATCAACGATTGGCACCGAAAAATTTAAGAATAAATCGAAAATAGAGAAACATGTCATACTGGAAGAATAGATTATAAAAATGGTAAGGAAAATATATATTAAGATGCGGATGGAAAGAAACGCGAAAGAAAGTTGTTTTGGAAAATTAAGCAACTGCTTACTCTTAAAAAAAATGATGAGCCAAAGAGAGAAAACGATATTTTCATGTCTACATAGGTAAAAAAAGGCAATGAAATTTTGACCTAAATCGAAAGAATTGTTTTAAAAAAACTACGTATACGTGTTTGAAAGTCGAAGAATTGTTAAGAATATATTATGATTCACCAGACAGTTTTCTTCTTGTTCTAGAAGCAAAATTTCCTCCTGTTTGTTTGTGTATATTTATGTTAAACGCAGAAATATGTGCTTTTCTCCATGCTTTAAGTTTATTTATCAATTTTCAGTTGATACACGCAGCATAACTGCCCTAATAGGAATAAACCTCGTTCTAGTGTAAAATAACTAAAAAAGCTTTGCACGCCTTGTTTTGGGGCGTAGGTGCAGCCGGTTCTTCTTTTGTTTGGCTGTGCAAAGGAAAATTTTGATTTTGCTGAAACACAATTCTTGGCCTGCCAAGCTTCTAAGTTTAATAAACCTTGTTTTATCATTTCTTTGCTTTCCTTCGTTCACATTTGTTGAATTCTTAGTCACGGCATGCTTTACACATTGATAAGTGGCTGCTTTGGGCAAATTTATTTCAGCTAACCGCATCAATATATATCTAAAGTCAGTTGAATTATTGCTATTACTCTTCTGATATGAGTTGAAACCCGGCCTCCTGTAACAAAGAGTTGGTTTGGATTGATGCTACGGTATCCTTGACTCGAAAATTTCAAGATGAAAAAAACATGAAATGACAAAATGGTTCATGATGAAGTTTGCTCAGTTTGGAATTTTAAAAATATTGTTTCTTGGAAATTCAGTCAATCTAGCTATTGATTACGCTCGACCCTGCTTAAAAACTGGAAGCAATTTTTAGCCACTAATCATTTCAGTAGAAGAAAAATCTGACGTGAAATTTTGCTAGCTTAATAGCTACAATGCCCTTTTCAAAGAACCGATATCATCAGCTAAGGTAAAAAAGTTCCTTTTTATTATAACTCATCCTATTTTACATGCTAAAAAAATACGCTCCGTGTACAGTCCGTAGGTAAGAGATGTGCTTTTCATCTGGGGAAGCATCATGATGTAGCTTGTTTTGTTATATCTAACCCTTCCGCTTTTATCACATTTTACATATTCAACCACAGAGTCGAGTGTCGAAATCAAGAGCTTAGCCTGACCTTGAGCTCGTCAACTTCAGACCAATGTTCCTCAGACCAACTTGGCTAGCTTACTTATTTATCACTATTGTTGTATAATATGAAAAATTTAAACAGTAGTATCCTAAAGAAAAGTGTTGCTATCGAAAATGTTAGCACTTAAAGGCCCGATACTTAGCCCTGATTTAGTTCATACGATTCGCAGCAAAAAAATATGTTGTCCCTAGTCAACCAGCATTTCTTTGGCCTACTGACCAACAACTTCAGTATTCTAACGTTTAAGCGAAAAATGATAATGCTCAATCAACCAAATGATGATTCGAATGGTTAACAAATACTACATTAAAATGGTATTGTCGAGTTTAATAAGGAAGAAGGGCACATAAAAACCGAGCATACCTAGTGTTGTTGTGAAGAACCCTGATAAGATCTCTGCCAATGCCCATGCATTCAACAAACTATAGGAAGATGAAACAATTATATGAATGTATCACAAAAGCATGGGGTATTGATCACAATTTAGTGATAAAAATCTATCAGAAAACATCTATTAGATAACCAAAATATATAATGACGACATGTTTCAGATAATTGGCAGAGCAAGGTCGTCTTTTCATCTAGCAGTTTTGGAATCAATCTACATACAATCGAAGAAGCCGCTATTGTGTAGACAGAAGGAACTCATTTTTCTCTTGAACTCCATGGACGATTTTCTATAGGTATGCGGTACTAATTGGAAAACTATACCGGTCATGTGATAGCGTTTTTCTGATTGGCCTATTTCGATCCACAATTTGGTATATATTTTCCATCTTGTTTTTTCGGAACCTTGTGCTGACGTTTTATTCTCTAAGGAGTGTCGGACGAAAAAGCTTTCATTATGCTGTAAAATATTTGCTTCAAGGCCATTTTCAAATTTTGTATCATCAAAAAATTGTAAACAAAATATATTAACTGTAAAGTTATACTTTTGCTTTTATTTGTTTGACATAAAAAAAATTTATATTATTAAGTGTTTGAAACATACACATTTTATTATTAAAATTATTTTTAAAAACCTAATTTAAAACTTCAGGCTGATAATTTTCTTATATCACGGTAAATGTGGTTCCATCTGGTAGGCTGCAGTTTCTTATATGTCAGTTTCTCAGTGACGGGGTGATAGTGATACAGCATGTATTAAGCTTTGATATGTTAAGTTACTCAAGACTTTTTCGAATGCACGTGTTGATGTGTAACATACCTTTTCACGCAGAACGCTGATACAAAAATCTACTTCCAATTGACGCAATGAAGAAAACTGTGAAGCTTCGTGGTCCTCAATAATGCGCAAATATGTATACAATGCAACTGGTAGAACTGTAGAATTCTTGTCTAGCCAGGATCTGAAACAGGTAACGAAATTAATTTCTTTATCAAGGACAACATTTTAAAGAAAAAATCATCCACAAATGACTGAACTTACATCCACAAATGTTAAGCTTAGTTTGGCCAGTGTTCAGTAGCCAAAAGGGTAATGCAATCATTCTTAGCGAGTTAGTATTTGATGCAAAATATTCTTAACATAACAAAGACTTAAATGTACGAGGTAACTGAAGCTGAAAGCTAGAAATATTATGATAAAGATGATAGCTAATTCAAGAAACGGGAAGTAGTGGACTTGATGCAATTCACAAGTGAAAATTTGAAGAAAGGATTAGATTGGAGATCGGAGATTGGAGATGTAACTTTGGTATTTGTTAGTTTTTGATCGTTGCTGCTCCCATCACAACAGATCTGATGACTAAGTTAAAAAAGGGCGGAAAGAAACATTTGAAGTGGCACGAAATTGAAACATGAGCAAGAGAATATCAGATGGAATTGAGAAGATTGTGAAGAAAACACTTGCAGAAATCATGACAAATACAATAGGTGCACCCATTGTCTTGTCTAAAAGAGAGTCACCAAATTAAGAGGTCTCTTTTTTATAATAAAATGGGTTGACTTCGTTACGAGCCAGAATTTCTACTGCTGTATTAATAGATAGTTGATAATAGATGAAATCAAATCAAATCAAATCAAATCAAATCAAATCAAATCAAATCAAATCAAATCAAATCAAATCAAAATCAAATCAAAACTTTTTTTTCAGCAACAAATCAATGAATAACAAGATACGTCATGCTAGTTGTTAAGATACAATCATTAATAACAAAAAAGATTACATTACAGGAAACAACATAAGATATTTATAAGATCAGCTGATGGACACATGGAAAAAACTCATGAAGGAGCTATCAGAGCCATGTATCCAGTTTGACGCGAAATGACGATAATTTAATATTAGTTTTGTTTGAATTATAACAGTAAGAATCAAAATATAACAATTTAAAAAAGAAGAACAGAAATTAAATAATAATGGTTTACAATATGCACAAATAGTTAAATTGTGTTAGAATGGAATAAATAGGACTAAAGGTTCTCTAGAAGGTAATTTTTCATGTTTCTTTTGAAAGATTGCTTAGTGGCAGCATTTTTTCAGGTCTAGAGGCAGAGAATTCCATAATTTAACACCATCAAATGTAAGGAAGTTTTTTTTGAAATTTGTGGAAATCGATTGAAGAGAAAAACCAAGGCTAGAAGATTGTCTAGTATTGTAATGATGAAGATTTTTTGTTTTTAGAAATTCCGCTCCTAAAGTAGAGGAACTAGCATATTTTTTTATTTGGGACATGAATTTTCCTGTTTCAAGCTTGTAGAGATTATCGAAATTCAAAAGTTTCAAACGTTTAAAGATTGGGTCACTATGTGCAGTGTACGATGCAAAGCCAGCTACTCTAACAACTTTTTGTAAGCTGCATTTTAGGGTTTCTAAAGTTGATTTGTTTGCGCACCCCCAATTTAATATGCCATACATTGCACGGGATTGAATGAATGAGTTATAAAGTGTTTTTAAAGTAGTTTTTGGCACAAAATGCCTTAGCTTATACAGAACTCCAATACCTTTAGATATTTTAATGTTTCCTTGTTTTACATGCTGTTTCCAATTTAGCTTTTCATCTATTATAATTCCAAGATATTTTGTATAATATTACTGCTTAAGTTTTTCATCATTTATTTTTAAGTTGATAGTTTTGGGTACTTTTCTTGGACTTATCAGAAAGAAGTTAGATTTAGATACGTTTGATGATAGCTTATTAGCTAATAGCCATTCTGATACTTTTGTCAGTTGAGAATTCACAGTTTGTTTCATAAAATCAAGATTTTTGTTAGCAAATAAAATACTGGTGTCATCAGCAAACAGACGAAAATTTAGCTCTTTGGAAGAGTTGTATATGTCATTGATGTAAAGCAGGAATAACAGGGGTCCAAGCACACTTCCTTGTGGAACACCACATTTTATTTCACGTTCAGTTGAAGTTTCACCATTTACAGAAACTACTTGTTTTCGTTTATATAAGTATGATTTAAGCCACGAGAGAGCCATTCCTCTGATTCCATAGTGTTCTAACTTTTTTAATAAGATGTCGTGATTCACAGTATCAAATGCTTTACTGAAATCAAGAAAAATGCAGCAAGAGAAAAGGCCTTTTTCTATATTGTTTATTAGCTGAGATTGAAGCTCTAAAATTGCTAGACTTATTTTCTTGAAAGCCGTATTGATGTTTATATATAATATCATTTATTCCTCAAAAACTTACTAAACGAGAATTCATCAATTTTTCAAGAATTTTACTAAAAATGGGAAGAATAGAGATAGGACCATAATTTCCACGATTCAGGTTTGATTTACTTTTATGTATAGGAGTGACTTTTGCAAATTTCAATTTGTCTGGAAATATTCCTTCCAAAAATGAAGAATTTGCTATGATAGAAAAAGGTTCAGAAATGGTGTAACGAACTAGTTTAATGAGCTTAACAGGAATATTATAAGAACCATTTGATTTACTTTCATCGAGATTAGCTATTGTATTATGGACCTCCTCCGGGGTTACTGGGTGTAGAAACATGCTATTTATCAAATAATCATTAAAATCCTTTGTAGATGGCTTCATCTTTTCAACTAGTTTCTGTGCAACTGAAGTAAAATATACATGAAATGAATTAGCGACAACTTTGCTATCAGATATAAACTTTCCATTTATTAGTAAATTATGTTTTAGGTAATAACTATTATCGTTTGTTGCATTTATTAGTTCTTTAAATCCAGACCAGAGTTTCTTGCTATTCTTTTGAAATTTTTCGAAATATGCAGCATAGTAGCTTTTTTTGCTCTTTCTTATCAGGTGATTGATAAGATCTCTGAAGTTTTTATATTTTTTAAATATATAGGGGTTTTTTGTTTTCAAAAATTTCCTATAATATCTATTTTTAATTGAGATGGATTTTAGAATTCCTTTGGTGATCCAAGGTTTTAACTTTTGTTTATAAGCTTTCTTTGATACTGGTTTTAAGGGGACGTGTTTATTGATAGTGTTAAGCAAGTTTTCATGAAATATGTCATATTGCTGATTTGCTCCTGCATTGAATTGATAGATGTTTCAAGATTCTTTTCCCTTAAGTCACGTATGTAGCAGAAAATGAAATTCGGCATATGATCAGATAGTTTGGAAATCAAATTTTCACTAAAAGTCTCATGATCAATAGAATTCAGAAAAATATTATCAATTAGTGACGGTTTGCTATTATTTACTATATGAAACGAACGATTTTGTATGAAATAAAGAGATGAAGCATTCATTGACTGAAATAAATAAGATTGACAAATAAATTGAAGTAAAAATCTTTTTACAGTGTTGCATATCGGAAAACACCAAAAATACCTCTACCTCAATAAGATTACCAACAACTACCTCAGAAAGAGAAATGCAACAGAAGTCCAAAGAGCAAGCGCAAGAATCGCTCAACTGTCATTTAAACAAGTTGATATTCAAAAAGTTCACTAGTTCCTGCAAATAGTGTTCCAGCTTTGAAAATATGCTTTTAAAAAATTTTGGAAATGCAAAGAGAGGAAATATTGAAATAAAATACTACGAACAAGAAATAGTAGGCTATTCAGCTGGCTAATCCAATCTATATTGTCAAAATTTTGCGCTTAAATATTGCATACAAAAGATTTTGAACAATTCATTCGATTTCAGAAAATAAAACTTAAGACCCAAAGCTGCGACCCAAAACACTGACGGGTATTCGTTTATTGGCGCCAGGCTTAACTAGGCCAGCTTACGTAAATATAACACGGACACATGAGAACAACATAAAAGCAGAGCTGGCCAAAAAGAAAGAGTTGTAGGACTCTCTGTAAACAACCCAAAGCTTAAAAACTAGCACTATTTTCTTGAATGTGCATACTTTCTAAAATTTTCATAACAAAAACTTGGCAATTACACCATATTAACTTATAACCTCATATCATAAAACCGGTTCATTCGCAAACAATCAAATTTAGTTTTAACAGTGGCCTGATAATTACATTAAAGGCAATCTGTCCCGTTGTGGATTGGTTAACGAGAACAATAGCTGGAACAATAGCCTAAACACAATTCCAGCGCTCTGCCATATTTTTTACAATGCGATAAATTAAAGGAGGACTGGAAACAATAAAATTCCTTTGTTCTTATAATCAATCAACGTCGTGACAGATTGCTTTTAAGGGTGAAACTTGGAATATCAACTTTGTACCCGTCCTGTTCTATACACCAAAAGCGTGTACAGCTCTGCCGATACGACAATGAGCACTTTATGATAGACCGGTAAACAGCAATTTTTATTACTATCATAATTGACAGATGCTTAAAAACGTTACCAAGCCATTCAACGTAATCGTACCTGTTATTTTGCAAGATTTTCAGTGTGTTTTCAGCAAGCCAAGTATTTCCCAGACTTATATCTCCACCTAAAAGGCATCCATGAAAAGTAAAGTTGGCGTGGGAAATATTAGAAATGTCATGCTAAAAAAATATTGTAAAACAATTAATAACAAGTGTCTGAGTTTATTTCAGTTTATGCTAATAAAACTAGATACGAATACAACCTTTGCTTTGAAACAGCAATAATCTGTGATTTTATATCCTTTGAAATTCATTATCGGGTTTGTAAGCAAACCTCTCACAGCAAACCTCTGTTTATCAGCCTTAATTGGCTGCCATTTCATCAGATCATTGAACTACAAACTGCCGTGTTAATGTACAAAAGTCAAGCATGCAATATGCCCTCAGTATCTACTCAGAAAGATATGTTTGTGAGCACTTCTAAGGTACACACTTGCAGGACCAGATCAGTACCCAATGATGCCATGTACATTAAAATGGGGGCCAGTAATAATTTTGATAAGACTTTCGCCTATTATGGTGCCAAAACATGGAACTCATTGTCATGTGCACTGGAGAACTCCCCATCTTTAGAGATATTTAGAAGGCATGCTAAAACTTTTTAATAGACAAGATTAAAATGGACAGCTTTAACAATTGGTGGATTTTATAATTGTAAATATTTTTTTCATTTGCATTGAAATTCTTATACTTACAGTACATATTGCAATTTTCTTTAATACTAATTTAGCCTTTTACCTTTTTTTGTACACCAGGCAGAAAACAAGTATTTTACTTAGACCTGTTATGTGCATTAAAGATATGATACATACATACATACATACATACAAACATACCGGCTATTTGTTTCAATAATGCTAGTGCCACAACCTCCAACCCAATCACCGAATTTTTCATCATTTCACCAAGAAGCCAAAGTATCTATAATATAAGAATCAACGAAAATTGACAATGCAGTCAAAGTTGTTATCTAAGAAGAATTATCTACTGTCAATTAAGAGATACTGTTTTCATTTTGACATTCCAACACTATGAAAAGATTATGTTTTCTTGTTCACTGCATTTAAGGTCTACATAGAAAAATACAAAATCAAGAAGTTTGAAATGAGACCTGGTCACAGCCATTGCCAATAAATGAAGGTTTTCTGTTTTGGCAAAGCAGTACCTGTACAATTTTTTGCAGCTCTCAAGATATCATAAGATACCAGCTTAAGGTTTTTTACGTTAATGAAATTTAAGGTTAATGAAATGGAGAAATCCTAAAATGATTTTTTACGCATGCACTGTCAGCATAATCATGATCAACTATACCACAAAGACCAAAGATTGACAAAGGGACAAATGAAATACTTCTTAAATAAATTGGAAAAGCACGAGGAAGAATAGCGAGTTTCTGATTCACTACTTTAGCAACCATGACAGCGCTTGGAAGTCCGTGCACCGATATCTAAAAAGTGATATCTTGAAGCTTTTTTGATACAGCAAGCTAGCTGCTGTCTACAGTGGTAAACGTGCTTTCTCTCTTTAGAAACCCAGTGCCGAGCAAGCTTTGAGTCAGTCCATGATACACTGAGACCAATTTCAATTCGTAAGGTTTGAAAATTAGACTTTATGTACAATACTTCACAATTCAGGGAATTTCTTGTCTGGAAAGATCATAATATCATATATCGATGTCAAGTAACTGAACCTACAGCTACAAACTTTACAAACTTAGGTTACCCTAGGCATGTCTATTCTCCTATAACGATGGTTTAAACCCTTCGATTGGAAGATCGCGGTATACAAGCACAGTATGCTCAGGAATCAATGATATTAAAATCATCTTTTGAATAGCATTGATTGTTCCAAAAAACAGTATAGGAAAGAATCGAATTGCCATTATTTCTTGTGCGAGCTATAATAACCTCTCTTCCCCCATTATTCCTGAGCTTAGTCCTGAGATTATATCATCGTCAAATAATCTGTAAATGCAGAAAAAAACAAAATGCATAAAGTATATATAAACAATATAATAATAAGCAAACACACAACTGGAATTTAAAGTAAACAAAATGGACCAGGTTGGCCCTCACTTCCAAAATAGTCATAGATGACAAAGGTTTGTGCCCAGCTTCTCTGAAAAAATTAAGGCCTGCTAGAACAAAGTCCTCTTAGCACAGCAGTTGTGACTTGCGCAGTAAATCTAATGGCTAGCTTACTGCTTAATAATTTCTTGTTCCAATCAAAATGAAATTGAATCACTAACCTGTCCTCTTGGCGTTTCTAGAAGACGATCAAATTTATCACTTATCACTTGCAGCAACTTGTTAATTATTAAGTTGAAACCATCCCTTGACAGATAGCTCAGATCACGATACGCCTAAAAACAAATTAAACTGAAAAAGTTAGACTCCTACATCCTGCAGTAGCTTTTTTATTGATAAAACAAACATTGAAATAGTAGCAAAACTATTTAAAATATCCCATATTACTATTGACTAAATCAGTAAACAATATCATAGGAATTTTCCTCCAAGAACAGCAAAAAATAGTTACTTACAAAGAATCACAAACCCTAAAAAACACAATTGTGAGTGTAGTCCCAAAGTTACAAGGTCATCTAGATATTAAATCAAATAACCAACATCGGCTACAAAGTAACAATAACCATATTTGATAAAAAAGCTATAACATAGGTACTTGACAATATCAAAAATTTACACCTAATCAAAGAACCAAAAATATCATTGTCAATTTAAGTCATATTAAAAGCGCAAAATGGAAAAAATTGCAGTATCTACTTTGATTTAAGATAATGATGATAAAAATAAGAATATATTAATCTTCTTCAAAAAATGTAGTGTGAAAACTTTACAAATCATATAGCTATATACTAAAAGAAACTTGGCAAACATTCACATAAAAATAAGACAGTTTATGATATTGAAATGCAGATCATGTTAAGCCGAAAAACTTGAGAAAATGGTGAGAAAATGGCAAAATGGTGAGTACCTTTGCAGCATTGGCTGGCTCAGTAAGAATTGTGAACAGTAATCCATAGGATATTTCTTCATGTTCCTTCAATCCTTTGCACACCTTGTTACAAAAAGATATTAAGCTAGACTTAAGAGATGCCTATACATTAGCTGTTAGAAAAAGTAACTTGCCAAGTTTGGAATTCTGCAAGTTCAGTTTGCATCAAAAGCTGGTAAATGATATTTACAACATTTCGTATCAAATAAATGCTGGTGGATTATGTAATTTACATGCTCATCTTAGATACAGCAGAAACACCTCATCACTTTGGGTATACTTTGTTCATATCAATTATATCATCATCATCACAATGATCAATTATTATTAAAAATTTAAATGTAAAAAGGTACTGCAAGAAACATACTTATTTCAATTTAAAAACTTCAGATTTTAATGTCTTTTTGTGATAAGAAATGGCACCTCTCCCCCTAAAAATCGATGCACCTGCTGTACCTTCTACAACTTGAGATTATACCTAAATCATTTGAGAAGCTTTGCTTTGCCATGATGTCAATGTGCATAATGAAAACTAAGAGCTACACATACTGTTTGGTTTAAAGTATCGTGAACCTCCCTTTCTGAAAGACCATTGACCAGGCTGCTGAGTACTGCATGACATTTCTCAAGTTTCTGAAAGAAGAATAAGAATGTTGAGAAAGTTACAATTTACTTCTGAATAGAATATACTTATATTTAACAACAATTGTCTCTACCAATCAGGAATGTCATCTTATGCATTATTTCACCTGAAAAAACCTTGAAAGTTAATTTGCACTGGTAGAATAAATGGTGTTTTCAGCTAGCCAAATACTCCTCTTCTTTAACTGTGTATTTCATACTCCTTCACAACAAAGAATGGCAAGAAAGCATAATTTTGAATCAAATACTTTGGAATCCCAGAACATATTTGAAATAGGAGGAGGACTTGAAATTGAAATTTTTTTTGCCCTAAACCTTTAATTTTTGTTCCAAATTATAGTACTGTAAGTTGGTCTATGCTTGATTAAGGCACAGCCAAGTCTTGATTTGAAAGAGAATGTGGTCTGTTGATGTACATGAATTTGAATGGGAATCAAAGTTATGGAAGATCTTGCAAATTTGTCTTCTTCCATACAGTATCACTTTCTACAAATGAGCAAAGATCAAGCAACAGAATGAGACCTCACTTGCAAATTTTTAGTAAAAAAGGAAAATATTATTTATTATGTCTTGAATGGTATCAAAAACAAGTTTGGACTAAAAGGCAGGGCTCTCAATTTAAGGCCTTGACTGTGCACCCACACTTTTGCACGTGTCTAGATGAGACAAAGTGCACATTCAGTCACGCAAATGCTTCTAAAAAAGAAGCAATATTGCGAACATTTGCATTTTGTAAAAATTGCTTCTTTATCAGGAACTTTGTCTTGTTGCCTGAGAAATCATCTTTAAACAGCAGCATTCTTGCTGAGGAGATTAGATCGAGCAAGTTCACAAGCATGAAATGAGTACCCCTGTTTCAGGGCCATGGCACATGCATATTTTATATTATAAATTTTTAGTCAAAGAAGTATAGAACCCCATGAGAAAGGAACAGACAGACAGAACTTTGTTATCAAAATTCAAAAAATCTCATAGTGAGCAGTCAGTGCTAAATATTCACATTGATTTTTAGAGTTTGATCAAAAAATAGGATGGCTCAGTTGTTAGAGGCACTGGTGACAGACCCAAGGGTCCATGGTTAGATGCTAGGATGGCTCAGTTGTCAGGTGCAAGGATGGCGCTGTTGTTAGAGGCACTGACTACAGACCCAAGGGTCTGTGGTTTGAGTCCCTGGCATGACCAAACTTTCACCCAGAGTGGGGAGAGTCGCCAGCTCTCTGTAATTCCAGGCATAGGAATCATGAGGTGCGGTCACATCGAGAGGAAGGACCAGGACACTGCTCGATAAGCATAGCTTCTCAGTGTCCTAAAAACTACCTTCGGATGCTAGGTAGCAACAAATACAAATACAATACAAATACAAATTAAGAAACCCCTTTCATGCTGAAAAAAGGCTCTCTCTTGACATGCATTTTGTTTGTTTCAAGGTTTGCTTTACTTCAAAAGGTAAGCAAAACATCAAGACTTTTTGCAGGACCTAAATGTACATGTAGATTAGACATTTGATGTGACACAGCACAACATGATTTGAACTGACCTTCAATGCAGCACCAAGATTAAGGCAACACTATCAACTAAAAACAACATGAAAGGTACGTTTAACTGAATCATCCATAATTCAAGTCCCTTTAACTCAACATTCCTAATTTGTACCTGGTGAGGATGGCCAGGAAGTCAAGATTTTGTGAGAAAAACTAACAATATAAGCATACATCATGGCCCCTCAACATTCGTTGGCTCAAACAATAGGAGTGAGATGCTATCTCCCCAACAAATTCACCATTTAGGGAATTGCATGGATGATAGGCATGTTAAACAATGAAAAACTGTCTGTCCTCTTTGATGATGAAAGAACCATTCTAAGTCTGCATAGCCATTGTTACCAAACAGGAAGTAATTTTTAGATTATAAATTCATTCATGGTCTAGCTACGCTTGTTCAGTACATTATTGTTAGGAATTAATGTTGGGATAAAAATAATAGAAGCTTTTTTATGGGTGTCACTTGAAAAGCAAAACTATATAATACTTTGGTACCAAAAAGCTTAAAAAGAGAATGAAAGCTTTAACATTGACAGTACTGATATTACGTGTGCCTCAATAAAAGATGCAGGAATAGTCTTGCACTTGCAAAATCTTAACAGAGAGGCCTGCTAAAAGGGGAACCGGGGAAAAGCAAAAGTGTTCTTAATAATCTATAACATTCAAAGCCTAATATCACACCAATATTTGCAAGGTGACCATCTATAGAGCATACATATGTTTTTCACAACCATTTATTGATTATCTACATTTCAAATTTTACATTAGCTTCATGACATCACAACAGACTCACTATACAGAAGAATAGTTTTTTCAATTTACTGAAAAATGGTTGAAATTGGCTGGACTATTTGGAGGACATTACTGTTAAACATCTTGCAAAATAAAGATATATTTTTTTAATTATTTGTTTACTATTTCAAATCTTAGATTGTTTAATGATTCAATAAATGATACAAGTTGATAATTACATATTTGGGATGCTCTCGTAGAAAAGTTATGCTATATTTATTCTCAAAAAACTTTATTTTATTTAATTATATTTGAAAGAGGTACAGGAAAAGTCTAACATCCAATCTTGGTTAAAGTATGTAGTATGTTTGCTAAATTCTGTACTTGAAAATACAAAGCAGTTTTATTGTTTATGCTAGCATTCTCCTTAAGAGGAACAAGTTCAAGGAAGTGTTTTTCAGTATATAAAGTGTTCAGTGGCAGCGCAAACTAAAGAAGGTTTGTACTTGTCTATGAATATGGGTGTGGCCTGCTGCAGAAAAAGCCCTAATTAAATGTTTTTGATCAAAGAAACAAGATTTATCTATTTAAAATTCCTGAAAATAAACAACACATTCTGTTTACACAGTGTCTGAATCAAGACATGGTTTGAAGCTGTTGCAGTGTTATTTTTGAGAAAAATGTTCATTGCCATGCTGATTATAAGTTCATGAAGTCTCATTACAATATTTCACACAAGTGCTGGTGGGAGACTGTCTAGGCCCAGACCACAAAGGCTACATGCTCTTTGGTATGAACTTTCAAGAGGCTACATGAAGGGGTGCAGATTCTTGAGGTCATAGATAGACCATCTGAACAGAGGAATTGCACGGTCCCATGCTCTCAGTCAAAAGCCACTGTTGTTTTCATGTTACTAGAATTGCGGTTCTAGAACTGCCAGGAGTTGGAAGTGCAAGACTGTCACGCATCATGTTTTCTATCCAGAGTCTGGATTCCAGACAATAGTGCTTGAATGTTATTCTTTAAAATGTTCACAGAAAATCAGTTAACTTATGTTAACTTAGGTGTCGCTAATGAGTGAGACAACCCAGTGATGTAAGGAGCAAAAACTCTTGATACTCCCCAAACCATACACTAACCATCGCAGTCATTGCACTAAAAATTGATCTTCATTCACAGAAACACTTTTTATTGATAAAGGGGAGTTAAAAAGTATACAAACATCATGAGATAAAACAGCAAACAGGTACTCAACAACAAAAATTCATCCTTATTGATTCCATTGTTTGGTCAACTCATTTAATCTGCATGCAGGCAGTAAAAAAAATGCAAAACTAGTACTGCTGAGTAATTTATCTATTGTTTGATATCTTGAATACAGAGCAAATGATGTCATCCAAAGAGACCAAAGAACAATGAGTATGAGTATGGAGAGGCAGTACTAGAATTTGAAAACTAGTAGCACAGCATCACAATTGGATGGGATACAATGGATTGGAATTCAAGCGCACAGCATCTTGTGTGTTATGGCTAGCAGATATTGACTTTGGCACACTAACATTACTGTCAGGATTCCAAAAGTCTATGCAGCTCAAAGCATAGGAGTACCTGCATCAATAGTTTGCAAACAGACAAAGTAAGGAAAAAATGAAAAATTAGATGGTACCAGACTAGTACCGTTAGTACCACTAAGAGCCGCCACTAAAAGTGTTCAATTCTCTGTTGAATACTCATTAAAAGTGTGGTTCTTTGTGAGTATTTATCACAATCAACAACCCCTGAAATCTCCCCCAGCTTGGGTAAACCTATTCTGTTCTAGGTAGAAACATTGGTATGTGCTGATCTCAAAGACTGTTTGCAAAAATGTTTGTTTCTTCAATGATGTTATTCAAAATCTAGTTGACAATAAGCAAAAGAAAAAAATCATCCCTGTAAAGTTGCCATGCAAGATCCTTGTTACCCTTTTGTAGCAGGAGATACCTGTAGGCTTAATTTTTAGAGATACCCTTTCGAATATAATTTTTAGAAATTTTCATCAAGTTGCTTTATCATACTTCATACATATCGTGTCGAATCAAAACCCAAGGCTAAAAGACTTGATCAGCTTATGTATGAGATATTTTAATAGATCGGCTAAAGAAATATTCATGTTGCGATCTTTTTTACTTTTTCAATTGCCTATTATTTGTATCAAGTGTCAACAGCGCCAATCAAAAACTTGGTTGATAAAATGATACTCACATCGTCAAATTCATCTTTGGACAATAAGGCATTTCCACTAAAAATTTTAGATTTGTAAACACGGAGTAATGCTGCTTCTGGTGCTGTCATATTTGAGCCGGATTAATCACTTCCAGAAGTCTATCTTGATAAAATTACAGAACTCGCGAAGATCGTGCCGCCATTACAGCGCGTTATACTAACCTCGTTTTCATAAAGTTTTCATAATAGTCCAGAGGCACAAGGGGGGAGCATTGCCACCCGAGGGGGGACTCTACCAGACAGTGGCGGATTCAAGGGGGGGGGGCAACTAGGGGCAGTTGCCCCGCTCTCAAAGAGTTGAAGCAAGTCTGGCGCCCCTTTTTTGGAAATTGTGCGCCCCTTTTGAAAAATGAGAATCAGGTGAAATAGTTTCTGAGACCGATAGGTTAGTTTTCTTCAAAGATTACCTCAAAGTTATATTGTTTATTCCGAAAATGGATCAAAGATTGTTGTATACAGCCAACTCTCGTCATCAATTTTTGCAAATTTTTAGCGCCCCCACTACCAACTGCCCCTCCTTCAAATTTGCTCTGGATCCGCCCCTGCTACCAGACCAACTTTCTAGACCAGTTTTTGGTGTAGAACTTTCAGAGGGGGTTTTGTCCAAAAATTTGGATGCAGCCTGTGAACGCGCTAGCAATGGCCACCCGATGAGAAACTTTGCCAGAGCAACTTTTTCTAGACAAAGTTTTTGGTGCAGAATTCGAATCTGAATGTTGATCGGGTGGGAGAGGTTTCTTTGCCGAGATACAGGGAATATTGTCCAAAAATTGGACGCAGCTTGCGAATGTGCTATCAAAGACCACCCTAGGGGGAACTTTTCCAAACCAACTTTTTCCGTACTACTAATAGTTAGAGAAGAATTAAAAACTGAATGTTGATCGGATGGGAGGTTATCTTTTTCCAAGAAATGGGGGGCTTTGTCCAAAAACTTGGATAAAGCCTCTGAATATGCTATGAGTAGATCAAGTTGTATATAATCTACAGTGGGCCTAGAGTAGCACTGCTGTCAGCACTCGGCAATTGACTCAGGGAGAGGGATGAAATGTAGGGTCATTTTGTTTGGCAAAAGGAATTGGTTAATCAGTTTGATCTGTGATTTGTCTCACAATAACAGACTAACGTTAGATTATATTGTTAATTCAAGATGATAAGCTGCCATGTCGTTAAATTTCTCTTTCATCTTCACTGTCATTGAATTGTGAACGTCTTTATTATCTTCATCATCTAAACTTTCTTGACAATAACCTTTCCTGGTCAATAGTTCTTCTTTTATTTCTGGATATGGCCCTTCTATCTAATCTCCAAGAATCTGCACGCAGGCTAGTCTCCAAAGGCTCCCAACATAGTTTGGAGCGTTGGGTGTACCTCCTAATGTTGAAACTGCGTTGAGGCATAAAGATAGATTTTCAGTTTTCTTGTCTCTTGCCAATGTTCTTTGAAAAAGCTGGAATTTCGTTTCTACCGAGAGAGACAGCGTTAGTTCAGCATAGAGTCAGGCATTGATTCCTAACACAATGTGAAACTGTTTAAAACAAAATGATAAAATATAAAATAACTTTCTACCCCCAATTCTATTGATCAGTATCCCTGCGTTATTATCTTTTTGCGATTTTATTAAACTTATTTATAATTTTATTAAACTTGTTGATACTAGATCAAGAGTTTAAGCTAAAATCTTGCTGAAAATATCGCACTAATTCTATCTATGGAAATCAGCAAGTGGCTTTAAAAAAGTACACAGAATCGCCACAGAATCGCCACATTGCCGAAGTACTGTAGTTGAATAAAGATGAGCTAATTTCTATTGTGCAAGGGAAATCGTGTCAACAAAACTGTCTTCAGACTTTAGCATTAAACTTTAGACAATCATTACTTATAAATAAGTAACTAATAAAGAGAGGAGGTTAATAAGCAAAAAGTTAAGCAAGAGAAAATCAAAACAAAAACAAAAATCAAATCAACAGATGAGCACAAATATGGAATTCTATGTAGCTACATAGTTACCTTATTGATTGAGACCCTCTTCACCGATTTTGTCAAATATCTGTTCCCTTGGCTACTTGACAAAATGGCTGCTAAGCTTCTTGTTTTCTCACAGAGTGGTTGAAGGGAATTTGGAGACAACGAGTTTCAAGGTGATGTACCTTAGGCATTTTGCATGATTTGTACCATTTTGTACAAAAAATAAATTTCACTCTAAATAGTAAGGCCAACAAAAGATCTACAATCAATAAAAACCTATGAAAACACCGAGACTTGTTTTTCCTCCCTGTTTCAATTGTTACGGTAGGTGCATAAGGTTAAATCTTGCAAAAAATGCTACTAGTAGAATAATCAGATAAAAATGTTTATCGTTTATCCTTGGGGTATAGTCATTATACAGGACTTAAAATGTCAGGGATAATTTAATTTTATTCTATCATTATATCCAAACAGTCTATTTGTTTTGCTCTGTTTCTGAGGATACTCAGAAAGAAAACATGCCACTGTCATGTATTTTGGGAAACCGGTATTGGCACCAGCATTCAAACAAACAAATACGTCCAAACTGCACTTATCTTCCAAACAGCATTTACGCTTTCATAAGACAAAAAATTTATCTGCCTTATAAAATGACTGAGTAGTGAAAGAACTCTGCATATATTTCACTAGTCGTTTTTGAAGTGTTTGAGTTTTTTGTCATTTGTTTGTTTCCATGGTTTCAGATGCGCGACGAAGCATTGGAACTTTTATTTTTCAAAAGGATGTTTTTATAATTTTATTGAAACCAATGCTAATGTTTTCTGAAAATGAAAAACATTATCTTTCCTTATCTTTAAGCATGTCGATGTGACGAGCAAAGAGGGCCATTTGGTCGAACCGGCAAGATGCAAATATTGTTCTCATATCAGTATTACACCAAGCCCAATTTGATTTAGCTCCTTCTTTTTAATGAGGGGTGTGTTACTAAAGACCACATTCCTGCTTGCATGAATTTATTTTCATTGTCACTGAATTAATATACATTTTCATAATTTTTTTGCTGCAATGCAAATGGTTTGGGTAGACAAACAAGACAAATCAACAGCATAATGAAGAGTTTTGAAAGAATTTTAAGATGAAAATGAGAGGAGAAATAGGCAACCTTTTGCCCTATCAGAAGCAAGACTTGAATTTAGATTACAGAGAATGCAAATTATTAGAAAGTTTCCACTTTCATGCCATTAAATTTTTGCCAAGATCTTTTTTTACTCTTAACATCAATTTGTTTGAATATATGCAGAAATAAAAATTTATGGTCATCTCAAAGTGACTAATAGAAGCAACTAATCGAATCAGAGGAAACATAAACAAAAGAGTCCCTTTCATCTTGAGTTTACATACAACATGTTTGATCCGTTATGTTAATATATATTTACAGTCTGTACATATCTATATCTAAAAGAAACCCCAATTACAAACACCCCATACCTCTTCCAGTATGTGCTAAAACAAGTATTGAATAACGAAATTCTAGTCTTTTTCAGTCTTTAACGAAATTCTGCACAGTCTTTAAGAAGCAATGGTAAAAGTAAAACTAGGTTATATGAGATTTTTGGAAGATGAAAAACGTTGCTTTTGCAAAGGAAATTAATGATACATTGCTGATTGTAGAAGGGAGTGGAGTCAAGGTATAGTAACAGAAAGTGTCAAAAATGGCGAATCAGGGCCTAAATGTGTTTTGTATATTCATCATTGGTCGCCTTATTGAATCTAAAAAACCTATTCTATAAATGCCAACACCAGAATGATCTTAAATAATTGGGGCCCTTACCTCGAGCAAAAATAAGGAAAGTTTTCAGACTGTGCAGTTTGTCAATAAAGAATTTAACATACAACACTGATAGCGTAGCACTGTATAAACATATCTTATAAGATGAAAAAGGCCCACATTTCGCTTTCAATACATAATGCTTCTATCCATTCTTACGAATGGGTTTCCACGTGAAAAAGCACCATTAAAGTACAACCAGATACAGGATTACCCTAGGGGCAGCTGATAATATTATGGATAATCTATTCAATACTTATGCACAGTATATTCACTATTTCTTAATTACAACTACAACTACAATAAATTTTCAATAGCTCGAAAGGTGTCATAAAATAAATCTACAACATCCCACAGACAATTTGAAAGTAGCATTGCAGCAAAAGAACCAAAATACGATCAAATTCGATATTTCTAAAGGGCCTAAAATTTCTTATCCAACGTCAATTTTGGTCACAAAATTGAGGTCTCTTTACCCTATTCGAAATCTATGATATTGTTGTATCATAGATATCTGTGATAATTTTCGAACATGCCCAGCTTTTAACTTGACATACATCCAATAAAATTTTGGAAGTGCATTTTGTGCCTTACATAAGGTCTGATAGGGAAACGTGTATGTATTCATAATTTATAAATAAAGGAAAATGTAGACTATTTACAATCACCAACTACTTACTAGGTAAGGAAATACGGTGTATTTTTTGTCTCTAATGCATATGAATAAAAACAGATTAAATGCAGAGATCGTAAGAAGTCATCTTTTATTTTACAGTCATTAAAATGAGACCAGTACGTAAGGAAACAATGCTGTCCACCTCTCGAACATCATGGAAAATGAGCTCACTCAATGAATGCCATTACCAGAGCATTCAAAAGCAATATTTAGGGTTCTTTGAAATCTTTACACAACCTTTGAGTCATCTCTACTAGTCGAAACACTTTCTAATTCCCCCTTGTATATAACTCCGTTGATTTCAATAGAAATTCTGACGACACCAACAGCAGCATCATCCTCGCTTGCTAACCGCATGTTAATGTCAGTTATCTTCTTTGCTCTATTAGATTCGGGGCGATCCGATTCAGAACCGCTTTGGCCATTTGGCGACAATTCCTCAAACCCAGAGCTGCTATCACTCGATTCTTTCTCCATCTTTTCCTCGATAACTAAGTCATCAGGTGAACTGCTGGATGCCTCTCTTTTCACTGGTGACGTCATTTGTGCTGTTTCTCGCACTAGTTGCGCCTCTCGTAATGAAGGCGACTGCTTCAGTGAAGGAGACTGACTTCGAATGTTTGATTGCTCTGACAAACAATAACTGCAAGGACAGGGCACCTTTCTTCCTCTGGATAATTCGCGAACGTCAGCGTAAGGGTACTTGCTTCGTGCCTGGAAAAAATTTGGAAAATTAAATGATGCAAAACTTTCTAAGTGTTGTTTAAGCCAAATTTTCTACGCTAAGTTCTTTCATCACAATTCTATAGAAGATTTTGCAGTCAGTAAGAGCTCATGAATAAACTTCGTGTTCGTGAAAAAGGAGGTTCTCCCATGCAATTTACTTTAAAGAGAAAAAAAAATCAAACAAAAAATCAAGAAATCATAATTGAAAAGAAATTCACAGCTCATTAATTTTGTGAGTTTCCATCAATGCTGGCATTAATCTTAAGCCCCAGAAAATGAGCACCCATCGTAAGTATCGAAATCCTTTACTGTAGCATACATTTCACAACAGTTTTTAAGAATAAAAAAAATTTCTTAACATGAAAAAATACATATAGTACCCTGGATGCTAAGATTAATAGCATTGTAAATAATGATCTTTTATCAAAATTGTAGGAAATCAATTAAGTAAATCAATCTATAGAAAGAGTATTGTTTTCTTATTCAATAATGACACCCCTGGATTGATAGATGCATAGATATTGCCTGGGATTCCTTATAGACCTTTATAAACTTTTGGAAATATATCCCTTGTAAATTACTCTGTCTTCTTCATAGCCTCAGCTGTTGCCGAAGAATGACCGAAAAAGAATGAATTGCTAATAAAAGTAAGCTGCATAGAATTATCAAAGAAAAAAAAATCATTCAGAATTCAGTTGGAAAAATTTAGAAACCTACTAAAAAGATTAGGCAATGGATATTCAAAATTCTTTACGCATTCGAATGAAACTCGACCTAATTAACCATAAAGGAAACCAACAAAGCAGCGTTGGTTGGTAGGCCGGCATACATTCGCAGAGCACGACAAGAAAATTTGAAGATAAAAATTAAATACGAGGCCTCATCTGATTAGAAATCTTCGCAAGGGGCCGAATGAACGAATTCGGTCGTACGCTTAAAAGATCATCCCTCATAATTGAGATTGTTGGGAACATTTGCTTTGAAAATTTACCTAATTCAAACTACAACTATCTAAAATGAAGATATAAGTTTCCTTTGGCATTTCTGTTGCCTATCAGTATCAATTATTCAGTCACAGCTATTCGAGTTCCAGCTGATTTAATTTGGGTCAGCTGATTAGGGTGTAATTAGCTGATTAGTGTAAAGACCAGAGGCTACTGCCAGTCTTGCTTGAATTCAATCACAAAAAGATATATATCCAGAAATATGCTAAGCATGCTACAAAAATTAATATAATGCAAATTTTGTGGTTACACAGCAGCTGTTCGCAAAGAGGTTTACCCAATAGAAAATCCTAGATAGCGTACGGAGGACAATAAACGCTTGTCACCTATCTTTCTTCAACAAAATATGTTTCTGATAAGGTCATTTTTCTGTGTATGCTAGCTAGAGCGCACCTGCATTTTAAAGGGAAATAGCATGTTCCCATTACAACTATTGACCCTATTTACTGCACTGAAAAAAACGACAACTTTAGAGCAGGTGGTAGCCCCGTGTCTCCCCTTTTGCTAGGTCCTTTTAAAAAGAGAAAATGATAAAGAAAAATACCTTAAGAGTAGTATATTGCTATTAAGGCTTCTGGAACCTGTTCTTAATGATTAACCTAGATAGCTGCAGGACTTCACATGAATAAGGCCATCGCTGATTAGGACTCAGTAACAACGAAAAACGGTATGGACTCAAATAAGACATTGTTTGAGCAATTACCGAAGGCACACCACTTGGCTCTCTCCCCCGCAAGCTGTGTGATAATCACCATTCAGGGCACTCTTTAAAGACGGCCGAGAGCATTCTTTAAAGACAACCGCATTTCTTAATATATGTTCATGTTATCATTATTAAATTGCTACCGCATAAGTTTCTAGAAATTTCTTCGAATGACTTTTCATTCATTTAATAATGTTTGATTGGTGCAACAACAGTTAGTTTCGCTCTTACTCGCAGAAAAGTTATCTTTCTAATAATTTTGCTGCTCTAGCCAAAGGCACATATTTGGCCACAAGGACAAACACAAATAGGTGGCACAGTTCAAGTAACAAAAACGTTTCGCTGTATTTGGTTTGCAGCGTATAGATTCTTCTCTTCTCATTCCTCTTAAACTAGCAAATACAATCCTAGGAAACTGCAACTGACAAGAGCCAAAAACAACTAACAAAACACGAGTTAATGAAATATCTGACTATGCCATACTTCGTCTTGTGATATGTTTAGTTTGTGGCTAATGGTCGTATTAAAGAAATTACCTATAATTATAAAAATTTTATAGTGGCAGATTAATGATTAATATAAAGAAATTTGACTCAGTTTTATACAATTTTTGGGTATGAATTTGAACACTTACATGCTCATGATCTCTTTTATCACGAATGTAGGCATATTCCTCTTTGTGGTCACTCTGTATCATTTGCCTTATGTCCCCATCCCAATCACCGCGACTGTAAGTTAACTGATAAGCTCTTTTCGCCTCATTGTCGTGGATAGGTGGGCTGCAGCGGCCTGAACGGGGATCAAAATGCGACTGCCTCGGTCCAGATGGGCTCCGTTTCCCTAGAATATCTGAGTTAACCAAGACAGGACTGCCATTTCTCAGGATGACAACCTTTGGACTCTCGGGCCCATTTTTGTCAATGATTCTGCTGTCTAACACATCCGCGCGTCTCTTCATGGACATAGTCATACCTCGATATAAGGAATGAGTTGGCGTTGGACGTGGAAGAGCACTGAAAGTTGATACTGTAGGGTATCTGCCATCACCAGTAAACGTCATAGTTGGCTGCGACGGGTAAAATGTCGAGAATCTATCTCGCTTGTTGTTATCAATGGCAGCCTGCAGTTCTTTTGGGGTCGAGAAGCCATGCATCACACACTCATATGTATAAAGGTACTTCAAGTATCTAAAATAGGAGAAAAAAGGCATCCAAGATAAAACCAGAATGCAGAAATTGTCGTTAATTGTTATTAAAGCACCAACTGCTCACCCGCAAAATGCATCAACAAAGCAATATCAAAATGTATCCTCAGATCATAAATCGGACAAAAACTGGTGGGTGGCAAGGAAATATTTAACACCCATAACAATACATTTTGAAAAAAGTTAGATTGTCTTGAAAAAAGTAGGGGAGACATTACCACCCGGCCCCCTTCATCGGAGGCTTTGTGTCATGCAGAGATATTCGTGCGTTTTTTAAAAAACTTCGACAGTAAATTCGACCATTGTTATGATAATCAATGTAAGTCAAGAGAAAGATATAATCCATTGCTGCTTACTGTGTTCTTAGTGTGAAGGCTGCACTTGTAATCGAGGCTGGGAGATTGAGTCCACGTGTGATCTTGCTCCACTGCTTGTTCTTTATGACCTGTAAAGAAGGCGAGACAATTAACTCCAATGCCTACAGTTGTCCTTACGGTTTACAAAATCGATAACCAGATAGTTATAAATCGTCACCAAAATAAAAAGTAGGCTAATTTGAAATCCTATTTATTACATTCATCTCAGTATAACCATATTTGATGCAAATAGTCGTCTGTGAGGAGGTTCACAAAAAATCGCTAGCTTGACAATAATCTTGACGGATAATATTATCTGCAAGGGGCATTTTAATACAGTCTAGTGTATTTTGATTAATCGATGTAAGTAATTTCTATCAGATACAGCAAAAACATAATAACAGATACAACAAGTGCTTGGAACGGAGCCGGGTGTTGGCTTCTTGAAAACCAAAAGAAAAAGATTTATTGGGCGTAATTCAAAATTTTATCAACATTGTTATTCGTGATGATTGTCAAAACAGAAGACAGCAACAATATTCTAGGATAGAATATAAATTTTATTAAATAAGACCCAAAGGTTTCCCCTTCATTTATCCCTATAAAAGAGGCAGTTCATTATATGATTTAATTCAAGATAAAAATCCTACTTGAACAAGTCCACCATGCTGAACAACTAGGCGATACAACTGGTGCAAATCTAGAATCTGTTTAGCCATGATTGGTATTCGATTCACTGGGGTTCCTAAAGAGAGAAAAGATTCACATTAAAGGATACTGCCAATCAGCATCATAAAAAAATGAATGAAATGAAATTTTACAAGTTTTTCTAGATTTGTTTTTTATCCAAAAAACTTAACAAGACTAATTAATGTACTATTGTCACCTTAAGCGTCATAGTCATTTCTAAGGGAAAACAGCTGGGACCATGCTTTAATTTATGTCAAGAGGAAGAAAACCGCCAATATCTTAAACAATGGAAGGTCATTGCAGCTGGAGAGGCAACTTTCCCCTAGTTTATTATGTTAAAAATGCCTTGTTGAGTGTTACGCACATGAACACTTGGATAAGATATTTAGCAGTTAAGGCACATGAAAACTTGGAAAGATTTAGCATGCTATGCTCCTGACACGTGCATAGTTATTCAAATGCAATTATCCTCAAATAAGCAAACCTTTTCAATATTCTATATTTTCTGGACTAACGACACCAGGATAACAAAAGCTTACCTCTCTTTCTCATAAACTCAAAGTAATCATCCAAAAATGTTTTTCTTTCGGGATCATCATCCAATTCATACAGCTAAAACAAACGAGAACATTTGTATTAAATATATATATTATATATGTATAGCATTCTCCCAAAGAGTGAGTTATACACGAAACAGGCTTGTAGAGATAAAACATGTAGTTTTCTTTTCTCCAACTCAATGCTATATCACGCTCTACGTGCAAATGTATTGAGCACTGTGCTATGGAAATATCAACAGACAAATCTAAATATATATTATATATGTACATATATGGTAAAGAAACAAGAACTTTCGAAGCTAGATATATTATATTATATTAAATTATATTATATTATATTATATTATATTATATTATATTATATTATACTATATTATATTATATTATATTATATTATATTATATTATATTTATTATATTATATATATATTATTATATTATATATATTATATTATATATATATTATATTATATTATATATATTATATTATATATATTATATTATATATTATATTATTATATTATATTATATTATATTATATTATATATATTAAATATTATATTATATATATATTATATTATATTATATTATATTATATTATATCACATAATATTATATTATAATATATTATATCATAATATATTTTATTACATAGTTTTAATGCAGTATAACATCATGATACCTCATTGTATCGTTTCATCATATTTCATCATTCAACAGTATATCATGCTTCAATCATATAGTGAAATACTTTTAACAGCAGTTATAAATTTTATTAAAATATGCAACTTTGAAAAGCGGGCAAGAAGACAAGAATGAAAAAAGCGGATAAGAATGAATGAAAATCTGCCTGAATTGTTTATTCAAAGTAAAATATACTAAGAAGCACTGGGCAGGACATTCAGGATAAGACACGTAGCAAAATTATTTGACCCAGCCAGCCCATGCTGTCTTACTTGATATCGATAATGCAATATAGAGACTATCTATTAACAGGGGTGTTTTAGATATCATTAATCAGGCATTGCACCTGTTTTCTTTAATAAACACATGTGACCTCGCAAAACTGGTCATTTCACATCCTTCAAATAATTACCAAAATAACAATTCTTCGAAAAAACAACTGTGCGTAACGCTAAATGGCTGTTCAATAAAGGCGGGATTGAACGAAAGAAATAGCGCTCGTGTGCACGAGGAAGGCTCTTTTTTAAATGAAAAAGGACATTATGCTGAGAATTGGCGGTATTAAACAAATAATTGCAAAAAGAAGTAAGCCCAATTATCTTCGCACTATTCATATAACGCGAATATTGACAATTTTATGTCTTTCGTTAACGTAATCACGCTTTATATCTATCAAACTTCGACGATTTTTAAGTGCAACGGCGATTCCCGTCAAAATAATAACCATTTCAGGAAGCAGGAACCGTGTAACGGGATGAGGGACTATTATCGAAGTGAAAAACGGTGTTCTCGCGAGAGAGAACATTTTCTGACCCAGAGATTGAGGTTTCTTGCCTAATCATCTTTTATAATGGTCAAAATCTACGTAGAAATGATCCATCAAGCAGTCTTCATGATAAATTAGATCAATAATCTCTGTTTCCTATAGGATTGGGGCAGGACTTCTATTGCATGAGTGGGGAAAAGATTTTCCGTTAAAAATTGTTAATCTTTGTTTCCCATAGGATCCGGCCATGCTTCAATTGCGTGTAAGATAGCTAGACTACACTTAACAATTTAAGGCTGATTCTTTTTACCCATTAACTTCCGAAAAGGTCAGTGAAATCTGGTCGAGTTTACAGTTTTTTCTATAGTGACTTGAACATCTCTCAGGCCAATTGTAGCTTTCGATGAGCTTGGCAATAAACAAGGATCTGCTTGAAAACATGAGGTATCTTAGAATCACTAATGCACTCAATTTTGGTAAGGACCTTTGCATTATTGGAAACGGAATCCGTACAATTGTCAATTGTCTTTGTTCAGAAATGTTCGCAATTGTGCAGAAAGTATTGATAGTGTAGTTGCCAAGGCCTCTGAAATGACGATCTTGCGCAAATTGTGATAAAAGCATGAAAATCTGCACAATTACACAGCTTAATATGCTGAATAAAATCGGGTCGCGACCCAGTCTGAGAAATGCCCCCAAATGCTATTTTTAGAATGCTTAATTGTTCCCAGACTCCTAAATTGACTATCTCTATAACTTTGTTGAAAATGGAATCAATGACATGAAAATTAGTATAAATGCTAATCATAATACGGTAATGTGATTTAGATTCACAACCATCGTCATAAAGCCCCTAAATGCTTTTTTGGGCCATGTACCCGTTCCCAGACCTCTAACATTCTTATCTCTACAACTTCGCTTAAAATGAAATCAATATCAAGCAACTTGATTTAGATACTAATGATGACAATGCCAAACAGACTTTAATTCGCACCCGTCATGGCACTCTTTTAACAATTGAAGCTTCTTCTCAGGGCTAAAATGGCTTGATGTGCAGAATTTAGTTGAAAGTTGACTGCTGCTTTAGGTTATGTAATAGAAACAGCTTTTTGGTGTTGCATTGGCACATAACCTGTGTATTAAAAAATGGTCTGCAAATATATCTTCCTACAGCTCTTGCCTGCAATTTAAAATCTAAAGGGTTCCAGAAATCATTAATATAAGAATGTGCTTTTCATCCACTTTAATATTCTTCGAGACATTAATTTTCTTTTTGGTCAGGTAGACTGTCGATTTTGCCGCAGAATTTCAAACAACTTTTACCTATTTTGAAGTTCGAGACTTTGCTATAGACTTTCTCCGTTTACACAAACTTGACTCTTCTGGATCTTAGGATGGAACTTACTTGAATTGCGCTATATATTTACATTAGACACTTAATGTTGTTGGTTGATATTGGAACCGTTCGGTCACACGGTCAACTACGTTTGCGCAAGCGCACTAAAAAAAGGCCAACCACGTTTTGATTTGTTTTCAACGACGAAAGTCGCATCTATAGAAGCTACACATAATGAGGTTACGTCAAACATCTTTCCTTCTCTTACCATACCGGGTTTTGCTCTTCTTTGCAGTCATCCGCAAACCTGTCAAGTGTATGTTTCTGAACGCGTATATTGTAAATCTATTGTAACACTTACTTAGGTTTATTGAAATTTCTATTTTTCTGCCCTTTTTAAATGCTTGCGACTCGTACTAAATGCGTGAGACTTGGTACGTCTGCACCCAAAATTGGACTGGACCTAACTCGCAGTCGTCTAAGTGCCTGAAAATAGACCCAGTGGATAGGTGCAACCTCCCTTTAGCAAATTTTGGAAGAAATGTTGCGCTTGTTTGGTCAGCCTCACGTCTAGAAACTTCCAACAATGCCTAATAAGACATCCGGCAATGTTAGGATCAGTAGGAGCAGATGTTGTATTGGTTTGGCCAGGTGCAGTGATTCTGACGGGATCAACGTTGTATAGGAATCAAGAAAATGTCCTTTGTGGTGATTTGTCGAAAAGGAAGGTAAAGTTGTGAAAAATTACATTGAACCGAAACAATATGGTGCATTCACTATACTTTTATACAAAAAAGTGGCAGCCAATTGAATGTCCATATGCAAGCTGAAGAAATGGCATGTTTAAAAACTTACTTGTTTAAACTGCTCTTCAAAAGTCCAGTCCAGTAACGAGTTGCTCTCTATCTCAAGGGGAGATATTCTCTCAATGCTTGTGTCCATCTTCTCAGACTTCTCTTCCTCGTCCACGGAATTCTCCACAGAACTCTCAACCTTCTCCACGTACCTTTTCCAAAATTGCGATGACTCGTTCATTTTCTTTTCTTCTCTCTCCTTCACTTCACTTTTGCGTTCCTCTATAGCAGATGTAGACATCTTTTTTTATCTGAAAGAAGAAATTCAGCTGCGTTGTAACACGTTGTAACAGCAATATATTCCATTTTAGCTTTTGGAACCTCAAAATTTGCAAAATTTGAAGATGGTATGAAATAGTGGAAACATTGTTTGAAGATGGAACGAAATAGCGGAAGTAATGTTTAGGAACCATTATAGCGAAAGAATATGAAACTGGCTGAAAATTGGCTACTTTTGCAATAGTATTCAATTTCTAGCAAGGAAAGAAAGTAAAGAATATGAAACATTTGATTAAAAATTTTGAAAAATTCAAAACAGGGGAATAAAATCTTGAAAGTAAAAAGAAAGACAGGTTTTTGGATCAGTGCTTTAGAAGCGAGCGATATCTTCTAGAAAGACACAGAAAAGTAAGATGTAACAAAAATTTTGATAGGTCAGTCGATGACAAAAACGAAATCTGAATTTTGTCCGATTTTAAGAACTTCTCTTTGCAGAAAAATTAGAATGAGACATATTGACTTTATCTGTAAGCTAACAATTGCGAAAAAAAATGGAAAAAGCTAAACGACAAAAAACTTATACCAAAAATTATGTTTTATATAAGCGTCTTATAAGCTTTCCTTTTCAAAATTTCTATATGCATTTGATGAATATGTTGTGCTCGTTGTTAGTCAGCTCCAAATTCTAAAAAATATGTGATGCCTGGGAAAGACCTATTATTTGTGTTTGCGTTTCAAGCAGCTTACCATAGACATACCATAAAACGTTTCTGGAATCGAAAAAATCATAATCTAGAAAAAACCAAACCTTTTTTAACGATGCTGAAAGGATTTTTCTAGGCGCAGAAAATTTAAAAATAATCGTTTGACAAGATTATGTGCAAAAAAATATTAAGTGGTGCATGAAATGGTTTAATTGAAAATTAAATGAGAAATAAATCATACCACTAAAAAGAATTCAGTTTAAACTAGACATCAGCACCATCCCTTAAAGCTGAAACTGTTTCTAAATGAAGATGTACGATCACAAGAATATTTTTCTCACCTTGCGTAATCAAGTTCTACTTTTTTCCTCCAACGAAAGAAAGCTTGCTGTAGCGTTACGAATAGATAAATGATAGGAGCTCTAATCGCAGGTCCTTTATACTAGTTGCCCCATTTGCATAATCGCATAAAATAAATGAACACAATAACCATTTGCTTGCATGGCAATTAATGTTTTTGTTCTATGTCGGTGAGTGATGAGCGCTAATAGGACAGCTGAAAACGGACCAGAAAGCGCGGAGGTCACCATGCTGCCAATAAAGAGTAGCAATTTCGCTCGTTTTGCATTGAAAACTAGCCTGTGATAGAGACAATTCAGTGGGCGCATTCGTCTACCTCCAAGGAACACATGCTGTAGCGTTGTAGTAATCACGTGATAGAATTGTACTGAGCAGCGAAGCATTGTCTCAAAGAATGATGAAGTTGACGACGAAGAATCCTTACATAATAAAATCTTTAGAAATTATTGTTGTTTGAGGAGATTTGAAATCACTGTACAAAGTCGTCCACGTAGCTTTTCTTAGACCAGTAAAATTTTGTTATTGACGACGAATTTTCACCTTTTCAACTGATAACACGTGGGTGTAAAACGTTGGACTCATTGGTAGAAGAAATAGCAAACAAAAGCACAAGTAGTTCAACATTGTTCTTTTATAGCTTTCACAACAACAACTCATTGCTAGTGATCAGCCTAGAAAAGTTTCACCGACCCCTCCCAACTAAGACGTATGTCGCTGTTTGTAAATACAACCATTTAAGAGACGTGGTGCATGTCACTTCCACCTAGGCCTCTGGTCCGTCAAGGTAATGAACAGCTACTTAATTTATAAGTAAGAATTCTCAATAACTTAGATAAGGAAGGCCAATGGATGCAAATGATCCTAATTACCCTTTTGCACCGGTATGTCTGTTACATTTCTTTAATACTCGTCAAATTGAATGAAATTTTCACAAATGGGCTCAAAACCATAGCATTTCCCCCAAGGTACCCCAATGAGTAGACTCGTGTGTTTGTATTGCCTCAATTTTTGCCCCTTTTAAAGTTCCTGGCCATACCCCTATTCCCCTTCTTGTATATTGTCATAATTCTGCTCTGAAATTATTTCCCACAAACCGGCTTTGAAAACTGCATTTATACAAAAACCTTACTATTCAAGTAAATTAAAGAAAAGTGTCAGATAGAGATCATTCTAATTTGGCGATTAAATTGGCTAGTTTGCAACACAACAAATGGCATTTTTCAAACAGGCACGCACTCCCAAGATAAAGAAATTGAGACTCTAATACCAGAAAAATGATCATGCTTTGAATAGCATCCGAGATACTATGGAAGCGTTTCTACAAACGTATGTATCATATTTACTAGAATTAACGGCAGACCTCGAATAAATAACGATCTTAAATAAACGCTGGACCATTTTTCCTAACTTTGAAATATACACTTTTTTAGTCTATATGTATCTTAAGGCTCAAAATTGCTGAAATTTACGATTAATTTAAGAATGATGCAAGGCCCAAGCTTCATCAAGAATTAAATTTTTGTTATTTGAGCTTTTTGAAAAGCAAAACAAATGCGAGCTTTACAATATATTTTTTGAAATAGACGTATCCGGCCTTGGGGTCATCAACACAATAATGCGACTCAGTTACACCTTGTGTCGCTTAAGAATAATTTAAGAATTATATTAGGTTCAAAATCTTGAAGATTTAAGAATATTGAGGCTCAGCAAAAAATTAGGCAATCTTATAAAAAATGTGTACACGCTTATATAAAGTATGGTGTTAATTCGAATATTTCCGGAAAACTCGATTCCAAACGGGGTATTGTAAATCATTTCTGACATGGCAAAAATCAAAATTGCTGTCTAAAAATGAATGCAGCCGTATGTTGCAACTCACAGTTGCAACTTAGAACTGTTCCCCTGCATACACCAAAAGCGTGTACAGATCTGCCTAAACGGCATCCAGTACTTTATGGAAGACAGGTAAGCACTTATTTTCATTTTAAATGAATAGGTATTAATATATACTTAATTCTTCGTCTGGCGGCTGTCATCTGTCCACCACAATAACTCCTATATCGTTACTGTTTCTACAAAGCAAGCCACCAGTATTGCAAAATATCTCTTTCTGCATCTTCTCTAAATGGTATGAAGGTGAATGCTGGACTAATTCACCATAAAAAGAAAATAGGCTTAAGACTGCAGAGATGTGGTTTTATAGACGAATGATTAAGCATCAAATAAGGAAGTTGAACAATGCAGGAATAAAAAGACGTTTAATGAGAACCATCCGGTAGCAGAGTTCTTGGGGCATACAAGGCACAAGGATGGATTGGAAGACGCAATGTTCACAGGAAAAGCAGAAGGGTAACGTAGAAAAGGAAGATTGTGGTTATTTTAAATCAGTAACCTGAGCAAGTGCATTGATTTAGGTTAAACAGAGTAATTGCTGGCTACCAAAGAAAGAGTTGTGCGGAGAAACATGATCGCCAAGGTCCGTATCGGATGAAATCGATTCTTGCAAGCCATCTACAATAGACTGCTGCTCTTCCTGACATTTAAGAAATAATCTAGGAAGCTCTGTTTGGATGTCCTAGCCCAGACCAACTAAATTCAAAAATCAACCCATCGATGATACGATTTAGGCTAGGTATAGAAAAATGAAAACCTCAAACTAAAATGAAGCGAATCTATAAAGATAAGGATTGCAAAATAGCAATAGCAAAATACATTATTAATAAGCTAAACTGCAAAAGAGATTACCCTTCACTTTTTTGGTCTGGACTCTTCAATTATCCCAAAGAGCGAGAAACTATCATCTGTTCAATTTTGTTCGAGAAACTATCATTTGAATTTTGGAAAATCTTGAAGCCATCCGTAAACGTTTCGTCAGATCTCACACAGAGAAATACGTTCTTGTCAACGCGAGTTGCTCAATTTTGCCTTGCAAAACAGCCGTGACTTTTGAAAAACTCCTATATAATATAAATATCAGGAAATCCTATCCGAAATCTAGAAAATTTAAAAGTGAAAAGTAGATCATTAAGATTCTACTTTTAAATAAATTAAATGATGATTTATTAATGACCAAAGGAAATGCTTTTTCATAAGTATTAATTCATCCTTCGGCAGTTGGTAATTAAAAATTGATGGCTACTTCTCAGATACTGATCAGAAAAGCAAACACCTTTGAGTGTTTCATGTCATTGCCCAGAAATGTAGTTCTATCAAATGCTCAATATTTGCGCAATCTTATGGTTTTCAGACAGATTGTGGCAAAAATTGAGTTAGCAATAAATTAATCGACTATTTGAAGAAAAACACCAGAAAGACCAATGTTGGACTTGGAATCGCTGGTTTTATGTCTGCTTTTGTACAGCGTGATTGATTCACGTAACTTGCACCTACAAACATACGCAAATCAATATCTAAAGCAATAGCAACATCAATATAGATTTATCAGGGCGATTCAGTATAAAAAATAACCTAAGCAGCTCCAACAGTTTAGAATTTCCAAATGGCAGACTTACATCAGATCAGAACGTTCCGAGGCAAAGGGTTGTCGAAAAAGCTTTATTTAATCGATCTGGTCATTACAAGAAACTGTTCAGAAACAGTGAGCGGGCGATATAAAAGTTGTGTTTTTAGATTTCAAAGAGAAAATTGACCCTCTGCAGCTTAAACCTTGAAAATAAACCATCTACCAAACTATAAATAAATAGCCTTGCGCTAAGTACAAGGATGTCTAATGGTTAATAATGTGCATAGAATGGGCATCTATAGGAGGCACGGATGCCCTGAATCAAAGTGCTTTGATCGCTTCATCATTAGAAGCATTTGAGGACCACATCCCAATATGTAACATGGTCTAATAATGCGTCAGGCATTCACCTTTAAAATCTATCAAAGCTTATCAAAAAACTTGTGCTGCAGCAAACTTCGGTCATTTTACTTTTTTTGAATAGTTTGCATATACAGTGAACCAATCCATAACTGCGGCAACATTAAATAGAAAAGTTTTCCTCTTCCCTGCGTCTAAAATTTCGTAATGCTACATCTCATAAGAGTTAAAATATCTATAACGGATACAGTTTCTTAGCAAGAACAAAAAAAAGCAATAAACTGCTTTGTGTCACGATGGACTGCTATTTTGTCTATCAAAACCGAAATTTGGTATGCGGCTGATCCGGAGCAGAATGTTGCAATGCAACCAAAATCAGTGAAGAATAGGATGATGATATTAAATTCAATTTTTTTCATTGATATCAACTTACAGTTATTGTTCGAGGATTTGTGCTTCTCTAAGCTGTAAAAAGATGACATTTGTAAACATTGATTCTGAAGTTGCAATTCAGATTTTAAGGTAACATCTTTTATTCACTCTGTATCATTGAAAAACCAGAATTTGTGCTGTTTCGAACAGATTTCAGTTCTTATCTACTGCAAATACTCTTAGCTGGGTAAAAAAAAGACGAAATACACAAAAACTGTGTTTTTCCCTCAACCCTGGCAAAATTTATTCAACTACTATGCAGACGACCTTTTTAGGTCATACACAAAACATGTTACGAAAGAACTAAAACGAGATCGCAGCAAAATGAAAAAAAAAACAGCTGGCACACGTACAACAAGCAATGCTACATTTTCTTACATAATAAACAGCTTAATAATTGATTCTGGAAGTGGCGAATTCCACTCAATTTTCATCGACTTTCCAGAATGTCTGATACTTTGATATATTCATTTTGACTATGATTACGAATATGAGTAGCGTTCATAATCCTTATACATAAGTGATTCTTTTTCCAATTAAGAGTTAATGATCTAGGTAATCTCTGCAGTCGTGGAGCTATAACTATAATCCTTCAACAAAGATAATGAAAAAGGCAAACTAAAGCAAATTAACTCTCGTTGGTCGCATCAGGAGATAGCCAGTTAAAATTAATCATTGATGAGCTGAAACCATTATCAAAAAATTGAAATATGATGCAAAAATTGAAAAGGGAATTAACGATTTATGACATTCTAAAAGATTTATTTTCCAATTTGCATTTTACTTTGTCGCCCGCAGTACCAGCACTATTCAGATTTTGGCGGCCACTTTTCGCAACCTTGAACTCCGTTTTCAATTAAAATGGCTGCTGTGGTATCTATCAATTAGTAAAAATTATGGTAGAAGAAGAAGAAGCGACTGAAAATTGAAAACGGCCGGTTGTCATATGAATTTGAAAACAAATTGTCAGAAATCACGTAAACATAAGGCAAGAGGCAACACTGACGTCAGTTTCCAAGGTCAAAATAAATCACCCCCATCTCCCCCACGGAACATTACTAGTTTTATGACATTTTTCTAAATTATCAACATTGTTTCAGGGGGGAGGGGGTGCGGGAATAGGAGTATCCGGGAAAGAATTTAAAAATATAAAAACAAAACGCAAATTGCTTGGTGTTCCAAATACTTTTGGCGCTGATTGTAATCATAAAATTAAAGAACTCTGAACCTAAATGCTGCGTTTTCAAACCATTCGCGCGATTTAAGTAAAATAAGACATTTAAAATAAGTCATTTAGATTGGAAATGATTTTCAGACTGGACCAGGTTGCCGGCATAAATATTTTGATTATCATTGCACATACGCGAAAAATGCTTGAATGTTCTGTACTCGAATTTCCTGCCAATATAATCTTGACGATAGTTCACAGAGAAGACTCCCTAACAAAGTTTCGGTTCAATATCAATTTTATTTAAAGGATCGAAAGAATTACCAGTACCGGTTACAACAAAACAGAGGACAAACATAGGATTTTAGGATTTCGCAACATTGTTTCTTGAGAAGTTGATTTTTGAAGAAAATTAAGGACGAATTACGTGTCGTTGATAAAAGTTGAAACGGTTATGGCATTGCGACGTAAGCTCGGAGAATCAAAAGGAAACCGACGATTGAGAAACACGTTTAAACCGCAGGAATTAGCAGGGTGTTGAGAATAAGAAGAACCTTATTCCATTTCCATAACGGCAACACAAGTACAATGGTTGTTGAAGAGGGTAGTTAGAATAAATAAAGAAACAAATTCAACTTCACAAAAGCATCTCTAAATTTCAATTTAATGAATCCTGAGCTTCGTTTTGAAGCAGTTAAACAAAAGAATGAACGACAGTGCTGAGCAAGTAAGTTTTTAAAGATTTCTCTCTTGTTTTGGGAAATTTATAAAGTATTGTATAGAAAGATGACCATGTATCATGAATATTCAATTCTAGGCATGACAAAGGCAAATGGCCGGAAAGACAAAGACAATTCCAGCCAGGAAAGGAAAATAGCTGTGTTATTACACAAAGGGAAAAGAATAGCTATTTTCATTGACCATGAAGGTATTGAAAATAGAAATTAATGTAATAATATCCCTGTGTGATATTGGCTTCTTGTGAATAATCAAAAAAAATGCATGAAAATATTGTTAGATAATAAAACGAAGAGAAAATAAAAAGGATTAAAAAGGATGATATGTCTTGTATCTTTTGATGAAGATAAACCTTGAAAATGTTTAAAGTAGTGGGCTAAATAGCTCAAAACAGAAGCTTAACATATGTAACCATTACAGTCATGTGCTTCAAGAAAGAAGAAACAGGACGACAAATCTAATTAGGCTCAAACCTGTCAATCCGCAATTTTCTTAAATGCGATTCCTTTGGCCGTTCTCGATCGTTTAGGCAGTCAATTTGTACCGGCACAGTTAGCTTCTCCTATCAAGAGGTTGAAATTGCTTTTTGAAAGAGATGTCATAAGAAAATTTCATTCAAAACATCACTGTGTTTGCAGTCTGAAAAAGGCCAGCTTTCATATGAGCTAAATGTGGTCATTAATCAATCTGTAAGCCACCAGGTGATTGCATTGAAGCGAAATTTCCTCATCAGCTATCTTATTAATTATTAAACGATCAAGACTAAATCAACGTGCAATTCTACCGGCTTATGCCAAAGTGAACACGCTCTTGATAGTCTTAAATTATGGATAAACTAACAGATGCAGGATTAATAAGCGTTTGCTCTTTAGTTCCTTAATCGATTATAGTTAATCAAAATATATTTAATCTGTTCTGCGAATGGCATAATATCTTACGACATCGCATTTTTAGATTGCATAAAAATTAATATGCTATTCGCTAGGAGAAGAAAGGGCATCACCGGAGGATTGCTCGATGCCATTGAACGAATTGCATTCTACAAACTTATTTGCACCCAAATTCCCATACTTCAAAGAACGGAATTTTACAAATAACTAAGCGGAACAGTAATTCCTCTTATTGAAGCATCGTTAACAAATTTTATGGAAATATTACTTTGGTAATATTATTTTTCTTTAAAAAGTTTGCTCGCATCTATTTTACAGAGGTAAAATATTCAATGATGAAAATTCAGGAGATACCTGATGCGAATATAATATTAAGTGTTATAGAATTGAATTCTTCTTCTGTCCTTCCTTTAAGAAAAGCAACTTTTTGGGCTGAATGTGTCTGATTCTATTTGAAATTTCTAAAAAGCAGCGATATCATATCGCATTTTTCCGAAAGAGCATCGACCTCAAGTTCTGCAAGGCATAGTCACCTTAGATTAAAATCTGTGGTTACAAACGATGTGAGAACAAAGTGCGAACATTTTTTGTATCAGTGAACATTCACATAATTGGAATAGCAACTCAAGGTTAGAGTGACTTTTGTGAGAAATTTAAACGAAATGAAACTAAAGTTGAGAGGACAAATCTACAATTTCAAAGCGAAACGTTTTGAAAGATATCAACATTTTAGAGTTTCTGTATTCATTTTCGTTACTGGTACCAGCCCCGATAATCATTTTTGTTTGGTAATAAAACTGGAAGATACCCTTACTTTCGCAATGCATTATAATGTAAAGTCAAACAGATGATTGTTGCAGGTCTATACAATTTTGCCTTCATAAAAAACGAATGGATTATGTTCATTAAGTCACTAACAGGTAATTATGAGCATTGTATTCAAAATAAACGTTTGGAAAAACAAGTTCAAGTGAAGAAAGAAAAAACAAAATTAAAAATCCAGCTTTAGAATAAAATAATATAGGGCTGAAAATTGATGATGATTTCATTGGCAACTTTCGGTTTTAGAAATGTATTTATCAAATAAAATTTCACTTAATGTTTATCCAATTATCTACAAGCAATATATGGGGTAATGACGATCAATAATAACCATGAAGGCAACATCAATCATTAACAGGTTAAACGATCTAAAACATTCTGGTATAAAGGCAAATCAGCTACAATTCCGGACAACATTTTTGAGACAAAATGCAATTTTTGCAAATTTCTACTTTACGCTGCCCCTGCAAATTTGAATCCCCCCTTTTCCCGAATCAACTTTGGATTTTTAGTTTTATCATTTTTGCTTCAAAAACATGAATTTAACATTGAATCAGGGGAGGGGGAAAAAGAAAGCATAAAGTTTCCTTGAAAAGTCTCAGCTACTTTTTTCCGGGATTGTAGCTAAGGAGGTATAAAGTTTACTCTTCAACAACATTGGATAAATTTCCGCAAAATGGACAAAATCATTTTAGAAAATCATGTCGAATGAAACAACCCGATTAAAATTCCGGTGTCCGAAAGTGTCACATGAAGCTTTTTTTATAAAGAACACTATATAAAGAAAACTATTAGAGCACTATCTTTAACATCATTCTTTCTGCTTTGGAATACCAAAGTCTGCAAGTGCAAAGAAGAAATTTTACTCGATGATATATGTAGAACATGGACATTTTCGAAAAAATCCTGAAACTGCATAAAATTATGTTAAGTTTTGTTAAACCTCCCTTACGTTACTTAGATAGACCTTTGTGACAAAAAATCCGTGAGTCATAAACATTAAAAAATTTGCACAGCCTAAGGTTGCAAATAAAGTTTGGTCAAACGAATCAGATTATTTATACGCTTTCTCGAAAAAACTCTCTTTCAAAAAAAGAAAATTGCAGACACCTATGATGATAAATTTGTGGCAAAATAGATGATGATGCACAATTGCAAATGGCTAATAGGATTAAAAGAGGAAAACTGAGAAAAGAAAAAGTATTTCCTTATCAACAGGCTTTCTCTAATTAACCTCAGAATTAACTGTGTGCCTGCCGTTAAAAACATTGAAAGACAGGTTTGCTACCGTCATTGAGAAATAACCTACAGCTGGTACACGCAAAGATACACGAGAATTTGTCAACTACAGAATATAATTGCAAAGAGAATAAGTTGAGAATAAAGATAAAAAATGTTGAGATTTTACAGCGAGAAAGGTTGGTTATGAAAAGTAGCAGCCTGTGTATTACATTCTCTTATGCAGAATATCAAACTCATCTGTAGACCACATTGGTCTATTAAAATTAGGACATCATATCAAATTTTAAGTCTATCTATGATTCATTGGTGGTGAAATGATAGACACAATATATATAGTTTCACCTTTGCAAGCCGAGTTACACCTGGCCTGAAAATTCATTGATCCGTTATTACGTTATGGTTCCATCAATTTTCTAACTTTTATTTAATTTTTTGACTGAACCAAATTTTCAAAAAATAAATCGTTGCCTTTTGATATGAATATGTTGCGATGAAAGTGAAAAAAATTCATTTCGGCTTAATTATTACACTTTTCTAGAGATATTCGCAAAAAGAGTGGCAATTATTATTAAAATCCGAAAGCTGGTATTAGATTAAACAAATGAAATTAATAAGATGTGAATGCCATAATCATGAAAAACCCGTCTGGCGTGAAAATTTCTTCAAAACTAAATAAAAATTAGAAAGAATACCAGTAGATACCAGTAGTGATAAATGACCTGATAACACGGTTGATAATCAAAGGTTATAATTTATTAACAACAATATCTCGCAATTGTCTTGGCCTATTCAGGAGATCAAGACAGAGGGACAGTATCACAACGGATCACTGAACACAACAACAAGCCTTCGGTAAAAACACCAGTTCATGAATCAAATTAATTTACCCAATTTTATAAACAATAGACAGTGATTTCCAATGACAACCTTAATTTGAAAAGCAGGAAAAAAGTTGCTGTGATTATTAAGGATATACACTAATTATTTCAAAGTTCCTAACATTACAAAAGAAACGCGTGGTCGTAACGGTGCTAATCTACCCACGAGATGCAACAAGGGTTCGGCAGAAAGAACAGCATCTTGAAATGCTGCTATGTTTTCTCGAGGGAATTAGAGGATAACGATACGTACATGCTGGAGATCCGGATTCCTAATATTTTGAATGTGATTAAACGCAGAAGGGTGCTTATAAAATACCATTTTATGGCTTGAACTTGTTGTAGCATTAGTTTCGAGTCTCTTACTAACTTACTAACAGCAAGAAATCATTGAAATTTAAAAGGGGCTTATTTTGCCTCTTTTTTCTATAGCGACAGAAATCATCAGAGTTTAAAACTCGGAAAGTCAGAAAAAGCTATTTATGTCCAGGTATCAATCGAAATAAAACTTGGAAGGGTTTCTAAAGAACATTTTTCAAGGTTAAGTTACACACTTAGTGGGAATAGAAGGGTTATATTCAATGAGAAAATTTTCATGGGAAAAGATTTAGATTATCAGTAACCATTTCCTTCTTGATTATCCAAATTGTCTTCGAGTCGAACTAAGAAACAATATTTGAATTCTTTAAGAAAGGCAATATCTTTTCAGAAAAGAATCAGAAAAGTATATATTTTAAATGAATGGAAATAGATTGAAAAGTAAAAAGGCTAAATAAAATCTACATCTGATTTTTCGGAAGGTGAAGCAATGCCAGTAATATGCTTGGTTGCAGGTGGCAAGTTGATTACTTGTTTCAAATAGACAAATAGACAAATGAACTCCAGGATACAAAACTATTAATTTTTGCAATCATTTTTGCTACTTGACACTTTCAATAATATTGCATCCAACTGTGTTCTATCTAAATTGGCCTTCAAGAATAAAGAGATACCTCTCCTGAAATCAGTACGAGTAACTTTACACGTGTATTCTCAGCGCCAGTGTGCTTATCCCCAGCCGGGTATATGCAATTAAAAAGCATGCGGTTTGGTATCAAGTATCACAAAAAAACGTTTGAAAGAAAGTGTTTGCACGTGTCAACTCTAAAGACAGGCGAAGTGCTGCCAAAAGGCGTAATAGCAGCAAAAGCTATAGTTTCTGCCAAACATTCGATATCCTACAATTTGTTGTTCAGAAAAGAAAAGGGGGGTCTTTCAGCGAACAATAGCGTTATCAGCTCAATTGTTTCGTTGGTTTCGAAACATGAATCTGATAACAAAATCATACGCTATCAAAATCCGATTAAATATTTCATAACAAAGAACGTATCGAAACAAGAGGTTGCAAGTTTGGGCCAGTGTTTGATGTCTTTCTGATATTGTGAGCGTATAAATCAAGAGTATACCCTCGTTTTGCAAACAATTATTTGTAGATTTTGCATGGAAAATACAAAAGTACGGATTTTGCGCTACTTCAATTTGTAAAAATGAAATGATAGTTGAAGAAGTGTTTGTTTTTTTCATTTCTTCGTGAGGGATAAGTAATTTCATGAAACAGTGTTTTTAGATCTTTACGTTTTGATTACGTCACTGGGTTGATAAAAAGTGCATTTTTTCTCATATATAGACTGTGTATAAGCTTACTCAAAGACTCCCCTTCTATATACTTCTAGAAAACGTCAATATTTAAAAGCACCAAAAATTGCGCAGGTAACTTGTAATGTAACAGGTAACAGAAAACAGAACATGCAAGCAACTACGCAACTGGATTTTAGATACCATAAAGCAATCACCTAAGGCCCTGGTTTATCTCTCTTTCGCCTCGTTTCTTCTATGATTGCTTCAAGATTTGATTTGATAAAAGGCAAAAATTGAGCAGTGTCAACCCCCGTCCCTTTTAAGCTTAGATAACTGGATTCCATTAAAATTTATTTGAAGTAGGCAGATAGTCTTTTAATGATGCCACTTCTATCAAGGAATAAATCATGCTGAACCTAACTGAATCCTGTGGTTTCCATTGCTGGATTTCTTTGACATTCTTCGTTACATCACAAAAATAATATATTTTAGTAAAGGGTGTCTCAACTGTGCTTTAAAAACCCCAATTACGTTGGGATATTTAGCATATAGTTTTTAAAGTGAATGTAAAGTTTAGTCAATAGAAAACATCACATTTGACGTAATATTCTGAAAACATTGCTAGCCGAGAAGACAACTCCCTTGAAAGGAACATGATGTTGGGTTTGCAGAGGGGAAACGAGGCATAGGCAGGCCACGCTGCCGATGGACGGACAGCATCAAGAGCCTGGTTGGTGCTCCTTTGGTGGCCTGTTTACGGTAAGCAAAGGCCAGGTGGTTGTGGGAGATGGTCATCAGAGGGAGCACAAGCAGCCTACCAGGCTGAATGATGATGATAAAAGAGGTAGAATGCTACTTCGAAACATCAACCACGATTGTAATTAAACAATGTGTCGTTTGCAAGATTTTTCCACGAATGCTTCTTGAGATCAAAAGAAAGGAAGCAGCAAAAAACATGCATTGCTTTTTTGCTTTGGCTTGAAAAAGAATGAGGCCAAGCTTCTATTTTTCCTGCGAATGTTATGTTTTGTAAAAACCATTATGCTTCAATTGTAATCATTTTTGGTAACTTCGATTCATTTTTGTCGTCAACTGTTCAATTTTGCAGGGCATCTTTATCTAAATTTATCTGAATAATGATAAATAATAACGACAACTCACCGTTTCCCGTTACCCTTCTACTCAGGAAAATGCGCCAGCGTCAGTTTGATAGCTTTGATGACGATCGAAGAGCGTGTGCGACTCACAGCCCAATGTCCTGTTAATGATTGGGGATTAAAATGATGTCATTTAAAAACGTTTTACCAACAATAAGATTACGGTATTGTTTGCATAAGATTCAATATATTACTTAAGACTGCTACAGTCAGACAATGTTTTCTCTGAGTTCCGTTATTGATGTATAAAATATTTGAATGATTAAGGCACGATGCATAGCAACGAACATAGAAAGAATCATTAGACTGCATATTTTCAATCCTACACCTTCATTCAATGGACAGTGATGTAAAACTGGGAAGAAACAAACTCAGATTGAGCAGTGATAACAAAACTATAAATCACAGAGGCTTAGCTGCGATACTGTTTTTTACCAGAGTCTTATGCGATTTCCATATTTGGTAACGGGAAGTCATTTGCAATGTCTTACTTGAAGAACGGGTCTTGTAAACATAAAACTGGGAGAAAAACGATAAATACACGAGATTGAAAGAAAAGTGTACAAAGAAGGCCGAAAAGGGAGACATTTCTAGCGGGTTCCACTTAAATAGCATAATAAGTGTATTTTACAATGTGTGACGTCCTGTAATAAGAGTAATGAAAATTATCGTCTCGTTATTCAAAATATATAAACTGACCTAGAACCTGCAACATTCAGGTCTGATAAACTTGTCTGAGCTAAAACTGGATAAAGTCATGTAATTAGATACAGTATAATTACTCAACTAACCAAACATTTTATTCAGTTTATTGCTAAAACCAGGCAGACGTGAATGCACTATGGCAGAAATATTCATAAGCTTCTGCATGCCTAAAGCATCGTTTGGCAGCCATCAGCAACAAGAGGAGGAGAAAAGAATCATCAATTATCTATTTTACAAAGGATTTTGACATCAATTTTACAGAAAGTAATTATCATTCCTTGATTATCAAAATTTATCTTCATTCCTTACCAAAGGGCTTGATACCAGAAAGACAGGCAACTTATTTCTGAATCTAAACACCAGAAACTATATTTTGTTATTGACAGATGTTATCAACCATTCACAGAAAAAACTTCTCCGTCAGTAAGACAATAAGCAATATGTTGTTATCTTTTCTAAAAAGTGCAAAATGAAAATGAAAATTTTGCAATTTTTTACGAGGTGATGGATGAGATAAGTATGAAAGGCAGTAAGGTCTAGTAATTGTGCTGGCAAATGAAAGGAATCATACAGTTTAATTTTGAAAAATTATGAGGATACACAATGTAAAATCTGACCACACATGAGAACCAAATAGTCTTCATTTTGCAAATTCTGAAAATTCTTAAATACAAATAACTACATGACTACCAATTTCAATCTTATTTAAAATTTAGTCAGAGCAAATTTTTTCAAAACATCTGCCATAGCTTTAATCCCAAAATAAATTTGTGGTTAATTTTTCCGGTAAACTCGCTTGTTTCAAACTTAAGTTGAGCTTTTGCTTCAATGCTTTACCCATTTTATCAACAAAAAGAGATGAAAAAATATACTGTTGATCATTCATAGCAAAGATGAAAAAGTGAATGTTTTGTAAACCATACACAGTAAAAATTTAAAGTATTACTGCAGATGTTGGGTAATACAGGAAGTAAATAGCCTGAAACTAGTTATATAAATATTTTAAGATTTTATTACCTTATTTCAGCATCATCATCACCCAATTGACATTTGAGAGGCATTCCTATTACTAGATTGGACCTCATTAATAGATTTGACCTATCTAATTAATATAAATTATCAAAAACAAGAATATGAGGTATGTATTTTGAGTATGTACCTCTTTAAAATTACATTAGCTCAAATAAAAAAAATTAACTGCTACAAGCAGCTTCCAGGGCATGATTTAGATGTGCAGACATACCATTACTTCCCATCTGTTTTTTGTTACCTATGTAATTTGACTAAAAAAATAATATGTAGAGTAGTTATAAATGGCTTTGAAAAAAGCAAACACACAACTGGGTATATATATTTCTTAGCGTAGAGTTTTCGATCTATGTTCTAACGTTTTAAACTCTGAAGAGTGTCAGACGAAAAGCTTTAGTTTACTAAATGTTTGCTTTTTTCAAAGCCATTTACAAGTTTTGTACCACCAAAAGATTGTTAGAGTAGTTATGTAAACTGCCTTTTATAATATGTAATTGTTAAAGGCACCTTTTATGGAATAGTTGATAAAAAGCCCAGGAGCTGCTAGGTTTTGTTTGTTTTTACAAAATATCATATATATCTATTTTTTTACTAATAAACTGAATCCATGAGGTTCATTTCACTGTTCAAAGACCATATTCAAAGATCACATAATCTGACTCAACAATAAGAAAATTTAGGTTATTTTCAGAACTACAAAATTCATTCACTGAAAAGTTTGTCGTCAAATAGTTTCAAGAGAGAACTTAGTTGCAAAATCCCATTTGGATGTGAACCAAAGCTGGACTGAACATTTTTCAACACCAACTTTATTTTCAACACCAACTACAATGGAGTGAAAATCAATTAATTCAATTCTATTAGACATTTTATCTTAGAAATGAATTGTCATTATACTGTTTTTAATTGACTTTGTTTCTGTTCCTGCTACGACAAAAAGATTTTATAATTGGCAGATGACCTGCATTGTAGCTTGATAGTTTCAAGACTTTGACAAAATTTCTGTCAAAATATTTAAATGAATAGAAACAAAAATGCTTCATCCTATCTTTTATTGCTAAGAAGAACAATGTCATAAAGACATTTTCAGACACTATCAAAAGCTATGTTTCTTCCAGGATCAGCCTCAAAGCCTGTATTTTCCCTGTACTTTACTGTGGCATGACTTCCTTAATTTTTCATCAATATGTAAAGACACTATTCTGATACATTTTGATTAAGGAAACATAAAAACATAAAAACTTCTGTTTAAGCTTGTGAATTTCACCTTTTGTAAAAGGATTTATGTAAAAATCTCCACTAGACATGCAATTGATAGATCGAGGCAAATGCAATTTGTATAATTCTCTGGGTTTTTCAGTCAGACAGATTTTGCAGCCAAGGCAGAACACTTTTTACAACAAACTCTTAAATATGCCATGCCACCATCCAAATCACCAAAAAACGGAATATAGAAAATTTTAAAAATTTGGGAACTTAAATAAGTAAGAAAATCTTTTTCAAATTCAAGAAATTTTAAGAAAAAAGGCATGTTACGACTCGTGGGATGCAAAGGCAGTTGTTTTTTGCACTTGGCGAATGACTAGGCTATGCATGTCTTGTGCCTTTACAACGGGCATGACTCCGCGCGTCTAAGATCTTTGGGCCTAAATAAATACATGTAATGCATACTGGCCCTTCTATCAAAGGGCGAAATAGCAGATTCTGTTGTGGCAATAAAATGTTGTACCTTTGTGCAACGATTTTTCAATCGTTTACCTGAAAAAGACTCAAGGCAAGACCTTCAAATCATAAGTTTACTGTAAAATACAGTTTTGATTTTGAACGAACAAGCCAGGCTTTCAAAATGCCGCGCCTTTAGCAACACGAGAGCGAGGTGAATCCATAAGAGTTCTACCACGCTTGTTACAGGAATGGGCGTGACGCATTAAAAAACGGCAACAATTAAATATACGAGTGAGGAAGAAATCACATTTCATACCAACATTTAGCCAAAGTTTACATTGGAATCTAAAGAAATAATAGTCCACGTGAGATGGTTGACTATGCATGTGCAAAGTCAAAGTGTAGAAAAGAAACTGTGCAATATTAATAATTTTTAAGTGTGCTACAAGAAAACCAAGACAAACATGCTTCCAAAACGGCCCATGCTGCCTAGTTACTGCTAAACTATGATATAAAAGAATGGCACGTTTTAAACTAAAAGATTAATCCAGGGGTCAATTTTGCAGAGAAGTGGATGGTTGAAAAAATTGTTTTTTTAATTTAAATTTTAATCTCCTGCATTACATGAATTCGATGGCAACTAAACAAATGCAAGAAAGAATCTTTGGCAAATAGACATGCCGTTGAAAAGAAACACAATGGATTGTTTCACTACAGTCAATGTTTTTAATGCACCCTTTAAGGTTGCCGTTTTAGCTCAGGAATCGTGTAATCAGCTAGCAAACAAATGCAAGGGATGGAAAAATTAACGTCGTCCTTGGCAAAAAGTATTACATACAAGTTGTACTCTAGGATTAAAAGACACTTTTTAAACGGTTAGCATAGGGCTGTCATAGCAATGAACACGGAAAATGAATATTGACAACCACTTTTTTTACCTCATTATAGCATATGGCTAAAACCTACAACTCCATGCCCTTTGGATAAAAATAAGGCTAGTAAATTTACTTTACCATAAGTGTAGTGGTGTGTACAAGAAGTTGGAATGGGGGTCCAGATCCAAAAGTTTCGAAAATGGCCCTCGAGATTGGTTCAGAACTGTAGAAAATAACAATGGCGTTGTCGGCGGGCAGATTTATTTTGACATAGTTTAAAAATGTTTGATTGAAACTTAATTTTTGGCTCGAATAGATTCAAAGGGCGTTGGGCTGTTTTATAGCGTTTAAAGAGTGTGAGTGTCTCTAGTTTACCAGGACGTCGCAACCAATGTTGGTTATGTCACCGGCCATAAGTAGAAGTTTTGAATACGAACATTCTGTGGGGCACAATGGCTGAAATCTTTCCTTCAAATTTTGATATTAATACAGTTATATTTCTTTTAAGTATAATGTTGTTGCTCAAATCTTAAATAACCAAATAACCATGAAATTGGCCGTGAAGTATTAGCCCCTCTAGAAATTATCATCACCATAAACATGACACCAGCTCCGAAGGTTATCTGGTAAGGTGCATTTTTCTAAATAAATCCATCTTGTCGAAGCTTCTGTGATTTGGCAAAAATAGCCAAAACTGAACTTTACAATTAATCATGAATAAACCTTTTATGCACTTGTGAAAGTGTCAGTGGAATAGAATAAACTCTTCTCTACAAAAGAGTCTCTCAAATTATGTTTATGTAGTAAATTGACAAGGCTCAATTTTTGTACTGTGGGGTAAATCGAAACTGCAAAAAGTATCTGGCATTTGTAGAAAAATACATCTATTTTAAATTTCCACATTGCCTTTTTTTGTGAAAGGAACAAACTTGGATCTTTATGTTTTCTCAAATATCAAATTGAAGCCATTTATGTCAATGTTTGAAATAGAAATTCAAGAACAGAGCCTACGCAACGAATTTGAAGTTGGGGTGGGGGCAAGGCTAGCGAAGGTAGGGGGCCAATGGTCCCTACAACCCCCCGTTGGCGTAGACCCTGAAGAGACCGGGTCGATGGCGCTATTTTCAAAAGCATGCATAACCAACCTTCTTCATAGGCTCTATTGGTAAAAAGCAAACTTTTGTATCAGATTCTTCTAAGACAGATTGATTGAGAAGATTGAGGATGCTAAAATGTGTTGAGAGGGCTAAACATGCAAAGATCTAGGAGCAGGGTAACTTTTGTATGGTTTTAAATACATTCTGGAAATTGTTTGGGGAAGGCTAAAGTCTGACTGTGTGTACTTTTAAGACACCACAAAACAGGATTGATAAGACAAATATAGAATACTGAGAAGAGAATATAGCTTAAACTTTCGTTATACAGACGAACAGCAACACATACCCTGACAAGTATACCTTAAATGCCAAAAAACTTTTAGAAAGCATCAAAGCCGTAAATTGAATACTGTTGTCAGTCTCTACAACTTTAAACATAGAAAAAAGGATCAATGAATTGTGTATAGATTTTTTTGAAAATGTTGTTAGGTGTGGTCTTCTGCCAGATAAAAATGATTAAGCATATTTGAAATAAATCATCGTAAAAGAAAAACTTTTAACTTAAACTGATTTTTTTATAGCGGAAGTATTTCACGTTGAAAAGCCTATTTAAGCATAAAGAGCAAAAAAATTTTAATCTAAATGACAAAAAAGCCATATGTTTCCACTGAATCATCTGTTGTCACAATGAGGCAAGCCTATATCATAATAGGCATAACCAGGACCGCTGCTAGGCATGACGGGTCCCCACTCTGTGCCAAAGGCACAAAAATTGTTTTGGGCCATGCCCCGTTTTGTTCCTGGAAACGTCCTTGCATTGAATATAAAAGCTAAGATGGACAATACGTTGCTTTTTAGCTTGGATAAAGTGTCCATATTTTCTAGATCTTTCTCACGAACCTTTGGCCCAGGGTTCTGTTTATACAAAATTGGTATAAATCCGTATCACAAATTAAGACAAAAAAGTATCTACGTGTCAATTATGAGTTAGTCAACTTCTGAGCTCCTCTCTCCCCGATATATTTATTCAAACTGTTATCCAATAACTTTCAAAACCTTATCAGTACCACTTTGCGAGCTTTTGAAATGCAAAACATCGATAACATCGATAACATCATTTTTAGCAAATCACTTCATTACCTCTGCACAGCCAAGTCACTCAGTAAAGCATCATTCCTTGTCCTTTTAACGGACCCACTTTGCTAGCCTGAATTCAAGATCGTCGAAAAGACATTTTTAACATAGACAACACAGAATTAATTACAAACACGTTAATATTTGATTCCGGGCTTTTTGGGCCCCCACGGGAGAAAGGCTTACTTTGAAAGATGCATTATCGTTAAAAAGAAAAGCACCTTAATTTTGAGCACGGCACTGCCCCAGCTCAACTCCGCTATTGGCGCTACTTGCCATCACCGACCTATTTCATTGTCAAAACACACTTGATAGAACCTTTGATCCTGCATTTCCCATAGAGGAGGCTGACTCTTAAAAAGGAAAGGCATCTGCTAAAGAATGTTTAACATCTTGGTAAGAAGCATCGGGTCCGAAAATCAAACTGACTTGACTGACCTACTGATGGTAAACATGGAAAATAGTCATACCTGGCTGGTTACAGATCACTGTTATAGCATTTCTGATGTAATGCTTATAAGATCACAGATACAGCAGAAACTGTGTCTTTGAATACAATTACTTAGCAACGAATACTTTGTAGTCTGCAATTTGATGCCCGTTGCAGCCCGCATGTGTCATTTCATTAAGACAAGATTCCATTCATGCGTGAGGCTGCTAGTGACAGCTTCCTGCCATCCCCCATTCATCACGACCCTGCCTTGCAGTTGAACGTCTCAATGGAGAAGCTTTTGAGTGACCTCTTGATGGCTGTAGGCACGATGGTGACCCAGTACTGCAATCATTATGCCTGCAGCCATGAAGTGGTCGCGGCCTCCGCCATTACTGGAGGAGGGGATTTGGGGGAGAGGAAACTTTCAACTATTTCCATATATTCAAGAAAAGCTTGGTAATACTTGAAACAGTTGAAATACAAGGAGACCATGTCTGGATAAAATACATGGTTTGCAAACGAATTTGTTTGAATGAAAAAGAAACGAAACAGCCCAGAAATCTAGATTTTTCTAAGGTGTAGAAAATGTTATAGACTTGCTGCATACGGTTTTGACGCCACACATCCTCCGTAAACTAGCAAAGTTAAAAGTTAAAGAAGAGTATGAAAGCTTAGTAATACTTTTTTTTACTGTACACAGTATTTCAAAGAATCTTGATGTGAACCATTTCATCTATCATAATTGATGGCTTTACATAATACTATATTTAAGAAACTGAGAAAAGTTTGGAAGATCGCTGTTAATTTTAATGGAGCACTGCTGTTTTTTGAAATGAACTCCTCATAGTGATTTGAGCAGATGTTCCAATAATTAGATGAGGCTTTCAAATCCCATACTTGAGCTCCAACTGATTTTATTATCTGCACCCGACGGATCTTGGAGCAGTCGATTTCAGCTGCATCTACAATGATTGTTGATTGGCATGCAAAAAAATTTAACTCTTAAAATTTCGAATCTAACGTTTCAGTGGAAGATGGCACCTGCTAGACTTTGCAGAATGAAATGGTTTACAGATTCTGCTCATTACATAAATCAATTTCTATTTTATAGTTCAAGGAAAAGTTATGCAAAGAAAAGCTTCCAAATCATGAGTTGATTTGCTGGTATTAATACGAGGCTTGATTTGAATTTAAAAAAAAGATTGAAATGTAAATTTTGAATGAAATTGTATTGAAATTCAAAAATGAAAAAAGACATAGCAACGGCTTGTATTCGGGTGGCTTGTTTGAAAATGTGTGATTTGGTTAATTAATTTCAAAAGACGCATACTGCAGTTCGCTGTTAAATTATTGTATGTATAGGTACGTCAGCAGATAATTTACAGTTTTTTTACAACTTACAAAAATGTTTTGAATTATAACAGCGTACCTAATTGGCGCTTTCTAGCTTATCATGCAGTCTTCTTCTGATATCCAGTAAGTAAATGATCGTTTCATTCCTGCACAAATGGAAACAAAAACGAAGAATGGAAAATAAAGCAAAAATATCTTGAATCTGTGATATATGCACTGCATTTTCTGAAATGCATAAAACACTTCAAAAAACAATTCCATGGAAAACTGTGCAATGAAACATGATTTCTAGCATCAGTTTTTGTGGTTCTATATCATTTTAAAAGACAGCTGAATCCCTAAATATTACATCATTCCACCCATAATAAAAGCATGAATATTAATGATCTACACTACCTAAATACAAATAAAGAAACACAAAAGAGAATACGCATACCTCGATTCCAAGAACTTATATAGGTAACCACGGCTTTGTTTTGTGACCAATCAATTGGACCAAATTGCTTTAATCTGATTCTGAAACATCCTTTTCGAGATGCAAGCTGTATATATGAACGTAAATGCAAAAAACTGGGAAAATATTCAAAGAAAGTGATGTATAGCCACGGTTGAGCTTGATATGTTAATAGCAATGGTTTATAGCAATGTTAATTATAGATATTTGTAAATTTTTACATTTGTAATTGATGATTTGTATGACTCAAGCTGAAACAAATATACCTACTCATTGGTGCTGATTTATTTCAAATTTTACAAATACCTAGAGCCTCTTGCTTGTAGACAACGAAAAGCAATATACGGCTTTTTCAATTGTCATCTAGACCAGACTTATTGATCATTTAATTGGTATTGATAGTGCAAGATTCTGTTCAATTATAAATGAGCAACAACAAATTATACTTCTTAGCACCTAATTCTTCGCACAAAATATAAGAAAATGCTATCAGATTTCAATTCATTTTTTATGAAAAACGTTGGTGCTCCGGACACATTGAAAGATGAAATGTTGATACTCATTTTATCTTAATAAGGTCGAAATACTCCATGACAATGATGGTAATGCAAAGACTTACACTTGTAACGTAAAAAATTGTCCTGTTTGGTAAATTCACATAGAATAACAATGATTTGTTATTCCGATGAACCTGAAACATGAACGTCACAATATTAATTGATATAACAATTTTTTCATGCAGTTTTGAATTCTCTGTTGCTTGTAATCATTCTTAACTCAACCCATCAAGTCTCTAAGTCATAAATTGAAAACTGTATAGAAATGGCAATGGTATCAACCGTAATGGTCAATTGCCTAACATTTGTTTTTTTAAGTATACTTAGTATATTTGGATGAATTTATGAATTTATTTGTGTTGGCCTACCAGTAATCAGTCTAACGTATTTCATATTAATTTCTGATGATAATTCTCCAAAGTCAGAGGATTTCATTAAGTAAATTAAAGGAAACTTACTCGTTTAAGGTCATCTTCATCAAATGAAAAATTCGGCAGCATCTCAACTGTAACTATGTACATTCTATACAGATTGAGCTTGGATTCTCTACATAAGAATGCAGTGGTAAAAAGATAACGTGTATGATTGTAATATGCTGGCAAACAAATTAAAATTCTCAAATATTGGGTCATAGATATACATTGAGATTAACAAGTTTCATGTACGACTGGACAAACATTACTGAATAAACAGCATATTGAAAACTTGATTTCTTCATGAACTTTGTTTGTGTTTCTAGATTTCACCTCTTCGCTATTACTTTCCTGTCTTGTAAATACATGTGTGATATGTAATGGCTATATTTGCATGAGAGCAGGGAAAGCAAATATTAAAGGCAAAATTAGACTGTTCTCTCGTGTTTCGTATTTGAGCGAATTCGCTCAGAAAATGGAAGAAATTTAACCAATGGTACTCCAGTTGCTGTAGGCTATAGGTGTCTTTTCATCTTTTAACAAGAGGTGCTACAATCTTTATAGCATTGAATTCCCTTTCGACACCCTGTGCTATATGTACATGTTTTTAAAGTAGATAAAATTCTCTAAACATTCATCCAGCCTTTCATGTTACAGTCTCAAGCAGTTTAAAGGCAATTGAGAGATGAAGAAGTGGCTTAAGATTTCTGTCAATCAATATTAGCCAATCAATGAGCGTGTGAGTGGAATCACACTCACTGATTGGTGAATTTCTGACTGAAAAATGGCTTAAGCACCTTAAGTATCTGTCAATTGCCTTTAATATCTTTAAATGGTCACATTTATTTACAGGAAATCAAATGTTGAATATATATATGAAATATTAGCCATGAAATCAACCATGGAATTTCGTACCTTAAACATATCTTCATTTCAAGCGGTTGGCAGTAGTTAAATATAAACAGCTTCCTTTCCACGTGAGGTTCAATGCTAACACTCACTGTCTGTGTTGAGAGTGGCCATCTTGTTAAAGGAGCAATACTGCTGCTTCCAGCTTTTGGAAATTTCTGTAAGTTGCATGCATAGCTATTATAAGAATGATTTTAAAAAACTGAAGGAGCAGAATTGAAGAAGGAAAAAGTTTCAAGGTCATAGCTGTTGCTAAATTTTTGGAAATATTTTCCATATAATGCTCAAAAGCATATGTTTTGTCTCTGTCCTCTAGACGTTGATAGTCTCTGTCATAGGTTTTGTTTCCTTCAAATTAAAACATTTATAGTATCATATTAAAGAATCTCCCTGCTTGATTGGATTAAACCTTCTTCTTTTCACGTCATCTTGATAAAGATCCGCTTGTAACACATAGTTAATCGATCGTAAAATGTACCTTACTTACTATTACAAGTAATTGAAGAACATATGTTTATAAATCATCGAACTTAATTCTACTTCGACTAAGGAAAAACTACTGGGGCTTTTATTAGCTATATTGAAGGGATACAGTCCACTTTACTTGATTGAATCGTTGTATGTGAAAAGTAGTAATCGATGAATGAAGATGTTTGTTAGCAACTTGATATGACTTGATTAGCATGACTTGACTTCATTTTCTAAGAGAAACTTATGTTTTATTAGTAATGATTGTCAACTTAAAGTCCCTCTCACATTGGACTAGAAATAACCAATAAGACCACTTGATGAAAGAGCAACTGCTTCTCATTGTCCCGATCAAATGTCTGCGGCCCATGATTTCTTCTTCAAAGCTAATCCATGAACAAAGGAAATGACATAAAAACAGCAAAAAGTAATTTGACAAAACCTTTTCTTTGACTTCTATCTCTATAGACTCTGCTACGTCAACACCAGTCACTGATGAGATTATAACAGGCTCAAGAACAAATTTTCCCGCCCTTGATGGTGCTCTTAACTTTAATTGTTGGTTTTCGTTCCTGCATGTAACACAATTGCAGTATTCCAGTTCAAATAAGGGATAAAGATACAAAATTTATCAATCATGAATAAAACCTTGAAGATGATAAAATTTGCAGAGAATGCTGAAATAAATTTCATTTCATAATGATTATATGCAGTATGGTGATTTAATTGACCGAAAGCCTAGAGTTAAACAATTTCCTAATATTCAGCGTTCATCATTGCTTCAAATTAAACGTTTATGATAAAGAATTTCTGAGTTTTTGAATATTTTTGGGGAGTCACATTTTAATATTTTTTTAAGCTAAACAATATTAACACATACATTACATCGGTTTTTGCCCAAACCCAAGATGTGCAATTTCCTGCCAACGTTAAAATCTCTTCCTCTGGTCTGTATTGTGATCGTTTATATAACAAAATCTTTTCTATAACAAAATGAGATATCTCTTTGTAGATTTTAAATTAAAACAATTTATTATATCATAGCTGTTTTTGATATACTTGAGCGTTCTAGAATCTCGGTATTCACGCCTTAGATTACTTAAAGGCTGTTATTTTGACAGATAAAAAAATCAATTTAGTTTTGTGTCTATATATATATTTATGGCTGTAGGCATTCCTAAGATTAAAGAAGGATGATTCTACTCAAGCGTTCAGCTCTAAGTGGCATTTTAAGTTTTGTTAATCAAGAGCGGTCCTCGCTGTTGCATAAAGTTGTAAAATTGTATCATCACAAGTTCAACTCATCATTTCAGTTGACATCAATTGCTACTGTTTCTCATTATTTTTCCAATTTGAGTATCAAGTCTTTTTCTATTGCCTCTCAGCAGTGCAAAGTTGAAAATCTATCAAAACAGTATGAAGTGAAAAGCCCAAACAGCTTGTTTTGAAAAAGTTTGGAAAGCCCAAACAACTTTGGATTTGCCAACGTCTGGCTCAAGAATGATAATGAGTAATTAAAAAGACTTATCATCCGCAAAAAAATGCTAACGACATATTTAGATTTAAAATAATAGACTAATAAATGTACAAATCAGTTTTTCATAGGGAATTCCGACTGATTAAGTAAAGCCTTGGCCACACGATTCGATTTTTTGCTCGATCTTTCTCTCGACATTTGATCTCAAAATCGAGCGAAGTCGAGCATAGGTGGCCAAACGATTCGATCTTTCGCTTGATTTTTCATTCCACTTTTCACTCACGCCAACAAAATGAAGGCAAAGAAACGCAAATCGACTGCCGTGTTTATCTTGTGTGCAAATATCCTTTTACAATCTATTGACGAACTCGAGCGACATAAGACCCTGTTCGTCCGTTTCATGCAGGAACCGCCATAAAATACTTATTTCGTTTAAATAAATTAATATTTTCAGGCAAAATTTTGTTTCTTTTGACTAATTCCATTCTTAAAATGAAATTCATCGCTTAAAAAAGTCCCCTGGACCTCGAGGCCCCAGGGTAGTATGCTTCCCTGCCCAGCATTAGAGTTGATAACTGCGCACGCGCTCACTCGACTCACTCGACAAGGTGGCCAAACGATTCAATTTTCATTCGACAACACCTTTTTCACTCGACTTTTTTGATAGAGATCAAACTTCACTCGACATCCCTCGACGCCAATCGACTTGCTCGACAAGGTGGCCAAGCGACTCTATTTTTCACTCGATTTCTTGTCGAGTAAAAAATCGAGTGAAAAATCGAGTGGTTTGGCAGGGGCTTAAAGCTTTTAGTTTTTCCTTTCTTGAATATAAATTATATTTTCTTTATTATTATCCCTAAAACTTTTGGTACTTTAGCACAATAAGAATTTCTGTAGGCGAAATTTTTGTGCCACAGATTTAGCCACACTTTCAAAGACGTTTTTAGAGATAAGGAACAAAAAGTTGCTGTATCCTTTGTAGAAAACGAAGGCGATGCATAATCATTCTAGCAAATTCCACGAAGAACCTAACAGAAATTCTAAAAAAAACAACTGAGAGTTAAATATTATATTTAAGTCATACAATTCTACGTTTTCGATTTGTTGTCCTGATACACAAGAATCCTTGTAAACTGGACAATAAATTAAGTTTATATTTCCTTACAATAGCACTGTAAACATCGTACTTAATCAAATAAACTCGTTTTGTGTTCTCATTTCTTTATGCTTCATATAGCAAACACCAGTGATGGCAATGATGAGTCACATGCCATAGGATAAATAAATATTGAGTTTCCTTTGACTTTATCTCAGTGCGTTTCGGAAATTTTTCTAGCAAAAAGCGTAAATACAAAAGGATACATACACGTTGCAACGAGAAAGCGCTACGTTTCATGGCAAGCATTCGACAGGAATGCCATATTTTCAAACAAAAAATATCGTTACAAAATTTTGTAATAACAATAACAGAAAATTGTAATTGTCTTTCAACATATACAAAGTTTTCTGCCCACCCTCTCAATGCAGACACTTCGTAGAAAAAGTATGGACATTATATCAATGCTATTAAGTGTCTACTATTTGATTTTTCAACCCTTATGACAAAATATTAGCCAAGAAATTTGAACAGTCTTATGATACTGCAAAGTCCTATAGATTTGCCAGAGAAACCGTTTAATGTTCTGTTTGAACATTTTAGCCTAATGTGAAGGGCTCGATTTTGTGGAGAGAAAAAACATACTTGCATTTTAGTCTTGCAATCTGTATAACATCAAAGATTGAAATGCGTTCATTGACATCATCAGTATTTGCTGTTTCCTTGTTTCCACCCAATTTTCGATACATAACTTGGCCATCCTTTAGTTGGTGTTCAGTATGTTTTATTCTTTATACTAATGTTGGACTTAGGTGTAATTTGCCTATCATTCTTACAAGCATCAATCAAGAAAAGAAAAAGCTAGTCTTCTCAGATATGGCAAAATATTAGTTCGCCTTCTCCTATAAATACTTAAATCAGCAAAACTGAATTTATGTAAAATCCCAAATAGAAAACCTTGAATGCAATACCATTTTTATGAAGAAAGCAGTTCTAAAAGTTTTAACAAAACGAAAAGATGGCAAGACTCAGATTTTCTTAAAATGTGTTCCGCGTGAAAAATCAGAACGAAATAACAGTACTTCTTATTTACCATGTTTACAGCTGTTGAATGGTCAAACAAAAAAATCAGTTTTGTTTATTTTGGGCCACTTATCTTCAGAATTTGGTATAAACGTTCTTCTAGCATGAAAGAGTCAAAAATCAAGTTTCAAATTCCTTAGTTAAGAAAAATATCTTACCTAGACAAGGAATATCTGGATCAGAGTCACAATTAGTGATAATGCTTAGCCCGCTGTTCTGAAAGATAAAAAATACTCCAAACTCAAGTAAACTAAATCTCAAATTGTGTATGCAGAAAAATATTGTACATAAGTATAAGTAAACAAATATGCAAAACGTCCCAATAAGATGGGAGTGGCAAAATATCTGGTTTCTTCTACATTTTGCTACCAGACCAGATGTTAAGGCCGAATGATAAACAATCCATGCAGTCATAAATCAAGAATTTCCACAGCATTAAGTAGAAGATTTTGCAGTGAGCAACTAGCTCTAAGACAATGATCAAGAATATACTGTGAAAATAGAGACTGAAAAGCAGACATACACAACATAAGCAAATTGTTATGGAAAGAGGAGCAAGAAAGTCAAAAAAGAACGTTAGCATTATATTCTTAAGGGACAAAGTCAAAGATGCAAAACGCTACAATCTTTAGGCAATAAATCTTTCTTCAACCAACTGCATCGTTTACGAACAATGTCGTGTAGAACAATTTCATTTTTGTGAAATTCAAGAGGTATTTGTGTAGTGATAAATCTCCTAAGGCTTCTTCGCTAAGAATGATATTTGAAATCTTCCAGGTAATAGAGGTAGATGGTTAAAAGGAAGCAATCGGTTGTCATCAGTATTTATTGTTGCAATTGTTACAAAAAAATATCCCTCATAAATTTCTCAACGGTAAATAATAAAGAGATATTTACAAAAAAGCTCAAAATCAGAGTCCGGAAAAGCTGTTAACCTTCCTCCAGACAAAAACATCCCAGAAGGCAAACCTGCCTCACAAAACAATAGAAAGTAGGCATGATTTTGGTGTGTCATAGGAGCTTCTATTGTTTTTCGTGGACCTTCCTCCTGTCAGTGGCCGTGCGACCGTAATGTTTTCCTGACTCTGCTCAAAATTTACGTAGTAAACGTAGAAGTTACTTTTCACATGTTATTAATTTCATGACTCAGATGGCCCCTAGAAAGACTTTTTTATATAGCAAAAGCTATATGATATATGTAGAGCAAAATATTAAACGTTCACAAAACCTTGAAAATTGATCACGATAACAACTCTTGGCTATTCCAATTAATAAATTTTTAAAGACATGAATTCGCGAAGTTTATTTCGATATACGAAGAAAGGATGCGTCCGAAGCAAGCAATTGAAGTCTTGAATGTTATTATTAACTTCTTCCCGGATTCAAAAACACATGAAAGCGTCCGTTTGTTACAAGAAAACATTACAAAATGAAGCATACAATTTCACTTAAGATCAATTTCTTATAGAACGTATCAATTCAAAAAAAACTACGACCCATACCCAACCCATGAGAACGCTGTTTCCTTGCATGATCCAAAGCCGGGCCCCAGTTAAAGTGGAAATATACTTATTAAGAGTATATACGTATTAAGAGTATATGCGTATTAAGAGTGAGCTTCCGCCCATACGTCCTTGTTTACAGCTACCCGTTCCTACGTAGCCATATGCGACGGGACATTGGTAAATGACTTTCATGTTCAAATCCAAAATTTTCAATATAAATTTCGCAATATGTTAATGATCGTAAAAACCCGCCCTGATCCTGGACGCCTCATTTCATGAATGTTACAATTTTGGCACCGACCACAACGGGTAAAAGGTGGGAGCTCTACTTCCGAATACAATGATTTAAGCTATGAGAGTCGCAAAAATTCAAACAATATAGCCCATGATGTCCACCCACTCTACCTACACCTTGTCTTCTTGATTATTCAATTTGCTAGTCAGTCATTATTCTGCTAAATTGTATTCACAACATGGTTAGCTCCTACGCTGGGACATTAGTATCTCGTGGCATGAAATATTTCTATGTATTTTTTATATAGCAATTAAAACAGATCACAAGAACAGGTACGTTAAAAGAAAATGTTTTCTCGGCAAAAGGGAACTTCTCTATATGGTAACTTCTGTAATTATTAGTGGTGTTGTCAAATCGTTAAGGAAGGTGCTTTGGTCTTCCTCATCCACGGCAATATTATATTCTCATACATCACAAGCATTTCAAAGTACTTATCATTGACAATCGCCTATGGTTTGCGATATATGAGGACAAGACTTTAATTGGAAAATAGCAGCCTTCCTATCTTGTCTTCCTAGCTGATGGATAAGCATCAGGCCTAATGCATTTTATACTAATACTGCAGCAAGCTTATGCTTTCCTCAACAAAAAGGTTACTTTAACGATGTCTTCTTGTGGAAGCATCGGATTAACTGAACTTGATTTTATGAATTGTGATGATGGGACTGAATGCTTTATCTTGTAAATGTATTTCCGTGAAAGCCCTCAAATTGGAAGGCCACTGTTACAAATGCCATTCTTACAAAGCCATATAAAACTGGATATCTGTTTTCCTTCATTGAACGTCGGTACAGTTTCTTGCTACACTAAAGCGAATTAAAAGCAACTAAATCATCATCATTGTCAAAATTAATCACTCATAGCAAATACTGCATATGTATTGCTTGTAATGATCAAAATTAGGATTGAGCGATGAAAATTCTGATATTTTAAATATTCGTATTCTCGATCAGATGAAATTTTTACATATAAAACACGAAATTGTTTGATCGAATTGAGCAACATGTTACCAAAGAGCAACGTGTGACACTCTTCTAATTTTCAACTAAACCGCCTCGATCCTAGACGCCTCTATCTATGAATGTTACAGTTTTAGAACCTACGCTGGCGGGCAATAGGTTGGAGCACTACTTGCCACCTACGAGAGTCATGAAAGCTCAAACAATGTGCCCTATGATATCCGCCCACTCTACTTGGATATTGTCTTGTTTGATTACTGTAAATCCACTAATGAGCAGTCGGGGTGCCCATTAAAATTTTCAGTTCTTGAGGGGCGCTAATTCGAAGGGGGTGTTAATTAGTTTTTGAATTATTTTCTAGATAGAGTCGGACAGTTTAGGAATTTAACATTAGATTGCGGAAACAAAAAATGTGAAAATTGCCAAAATTTTGCTCTTAATTTTATTGTAAATGTCACATGCTATTCTTTCTTAAAGCAAATGATGCCACCAAGAATTGGTACTTTATGAAAATAGTATTAGATCAAATTGTATGATGATAAAAAGCCTAACTATGAAAACTAAAAAAAAATTCTCCGGTTTTTTCCATGTCGCTAATAATCCTTCGTACCTTTTGTAGTTCTGTGGCATTTCCTGGAGTAAACTCGAGTGAAGTTCTTTAGAATGTGGCGATGCGCAGGCACGTAAATACGGGGGTTGTGAGAGGTTGTGACACACCCCATAAAAATATTTAAATTATTCGAAAATTTTTAGAGTGATTGGAATATTGTGAACCTTCACAATCATCTCCACTTCAAAAGAAATATCCATCAATGTACGTCCCTTGCGATGCGAAAATGGGAGACCACGTTCACTCGCTATAGGAACTTCCATTTTCTCACAATTCAATTCAATTTGATAGCTAAATCGTTAGCGTCGTATATTGAAATGAAAACCTACCTGGAAAATCTGCTTTGCGGTGACATAATCTTTTCCTTTACACTGAGTATTGATTGTTCCTGAATCCCTTGAATACACGTGGTTGTCATTTTGACGATTCTTTATCTGTATTTGAAGTTTTGAAAGTGTTAAAAGTTTTGAGAATCGAATGAACAAAACAGATGGAATTAAGATAAAGATCAATAGACAAAGTACGTTACGAAACTTCACACTAATCAGCTTTTCAAAAACATAGCCATTTGGATTCTGGTGATGGTCATGACAACCATTAAGGATCGATAACAGTGGCAAAAGGGAATTAGCGATCGTTGTATAAAATCTATTTTTGTTTATTTCTTTTCCAAAGGCTTTACTCTTATTAAACTACCAGAGACCCCTAGTCTTAACTTGTTTTGTCTTTTCTTATATAAGATTGCATTGGCAAGACAAGCACTAAGTTTTTTCTAGCCTTAAACAAAGTTTCTTATAAAAATTAATGTAGCTACATTTTACCAACGAAAATAGCTAAAAATTCTTAAAACGAAGCTTACAAAATAATGCAGTTTTCCAAGTTAACGATAGCATTTTAGCTTATCGATGTTACAAGTTGCATCCTTGTTGGGAGTTGCTGTTTTAAATCGAATTCTAAGCTTGAATTGGTTAATTTAAAATCTTGAACTGAAGCTTTATATTTATTTTCCGTAATTAAGTAGAAAATGAAAGAAATATTGGAATCTCTCGAAAGCTAATTAGTATGGGTAAAATTATAAATGATCTCAAAATTATGAATAAACATACTAATATACAAAAATTGTGCCATAACACATCTGATTTTGCGTATAAATATTTTACAAGATATGGTTTCTCTATCAACTAAACTCCAGCTCAACACTAATACGAAAAACCTTACATTTGGCCCAGTTATCATGCCACTGGGCTCATTGTCGCTTTGCTTCGAATTCCCAATAAAGAGTATAGTGTTGCCAGCTGCATCAGAAGCAACCACTGAGAATTCTTCATTGGGCTCAAAAGAACTTCTGGCAACACGCAACTTTGCCTACGGAAGATCTCAATTACTTTCAATTATTCGAATAAATCAGCCTAGAAGTTGTCTACATTTTAATATATATTCATATCATATTCGTATTATATTCATATGTGTTCTCAAAGTGAGCAATCAATTGTCACAGCTTAAAACTGAAAACATGATCCTGAAAACCTTGCAATAACAATTGGCAAAACAGGTGTACAAATGGAACTGATGTCAACTGAACGCTAATCATTACAATATATAATTCATGTTGTTTTAGATTAATGGTTTTAGCTCAAAGTCATTCAACTAAGGATTTAAAGAAGACAAATGTATATGCTACTAAACCTTGATTTTTGGCTTCCTGGTTGCTATTTTGATATTCGTTCTAGCAGCAACGATTTCTTTTTCTTCAACAACTTTAAAGATAAGAAATCTAAAAAGGGAAAAAAGTGAAATTAAGATATAATTTTTGATTGCTTAAGATATGCATAGTTTTATTTCTTTCATTGAAAAATAATAAAAATAATGAGCTTTCTCGACTTTGTTGATGCCAGTGAAATCATCAATTGCCTTGGTTTGACAACTGCAAGACCAAGAATGCCCCTTAATAAAGTATAGAAAGTACAGTGCCTTGCAAATTTTAAAAATATTTCAAGTAAAAATGCACTGGAATGAATGCTTAGAAAAAGCCATTTCTTGACACTAAGGTTTTTTTGAAGTTACACTATAGATGAGAAATCTTACTTTAGAAAAGAGACAAGATTTTACCTATTTGACGAAGAACTATACCTATTTTTCCACACATCTACCCACAGCCGACCCAGACAACTTCTTTGACATTTACAGAAACCCTTAAAATTTGCACTACAAGACAGCAACTACTTTATTTTTCATCGCCACACTATGCTGGAAAACAGCACGTATCTTCCTCAGAGCTGGCCCACTCATAACCAAGACAATCTTAACTTTCGAGACTATAGACACTATAGGAGACCACCTTTTCAAAAGAGCCTTAATTGGCAGCTAATGTATTTTATAAAATGACAACAATATTTTTAGCTGGAAAAATAAAAAATTTTTAAAGACTTATATTGAAAAGCCCGAAAAACTCAACATATCTCATTGCCCTTAAAAATGGGCAAACTTTTAGATATTTAGAAAAAAACACTTTTTTTACAAGTTAAAAAGAAAAATATGTATGATTTTGCAGTTAAATTACAGTTTGGGGATTGCTAAAACAGCTATATTCTCACGTGCTATTAGGGTTTGGCTCAATTGTACAAACCTAAAAAAACAGAGCGACTTATTTATTTTTAGGTGAAATAATTCATCTTCAGAAATTGTTAAATGTTGGCAAAATAACGGGTTCATACGTGCATCCAGGATACATGTTTTTCGTTACTTCGAAATTGATTGAAAATCTATTCTGTCCCCTGTCACACAGCTCATCACGTGTTGGACCTAAACAGAAAAATTTCAAAGTTGTTTCATAAATAGGCTGTATTGTTTGAAAAAATATGATTGCTTAATCTTACTTTGGAAAATGAAAATATTTAAAAGTTTTTTGAGAAATTCTGCAATTGCTTGAAAATAATTTTAACCATGCTCACAGCTTGCTTTTACAACATGTTGTTCAAACTTTGACCATTTACTAAGTTTTTCACAAAAACTTTAATATCAATATTATAATATCTTTTTCGCTCTTATTTTTATCAAGAGAAAGCTGGTTGTTACCTCAAGGGAGTATTTTTTTTTCTAAAGCAAGAAAAAATAGTTTCACAAAATATAACTACTTGTCTTTGCATGACCAAAGCAAAAAATAACTCTTTTCTGCTAAGCACAGAAGCTATCAACTTAAGTCTAGCAAAATATACCTAAAACCTATAGCTGCTTTTATATCGTGGTCGCGAATAAAGCAATTTTACGTCCACGAAGACTCTTTGCGTAGTTTAATATTGCATACCTGTTGAAAATGTGTTCCAAAGCCTAAATATTCCTGGTCGACAGAACCAAGACGAAAATAAATCATTGACTCTTTCGTGTTTTTGGATTTCTCCATTGCAAACAATCTGTTAAATATACAAAGAATTTCCAAAAATACACGTACGAATCAAGGAATCTTTACTAACAGGGTCATAAGAAAACTACGTTTATGTTTTTTTTTCAAATTTCAAAGTGCCCCATGTTTAAAACTCTACCAGCCAAACATAATGCAATCTAAAGTATGTAAATGATTTCATTTCTATAAAAAGATTGCTCATAATATTTCAACAAATATTAATTGAAATGTTGTCTGTAAGCTTTCTTCTAACAACAAAAATATTATTGGTGCGCGGAAAAAAATTTTTTAAGGTAGATGAATACATTGAAAATTTTGGAATTTTGATCAAATATCCAATTTTTCTTTCTTGTATCTTTCTTACTCAAAATTTATTGTAGAATTCACTTTTGATGATAAGTTTCCCATCCATCTTCTCCATTTTTGATTATTTAGATTTTTATATACACAAAATTTAGAATTTGTGCATAGCAACACAAAATCGGTTGGTTGTTATGGGGCCCTTTGCCCCGGACAACTTGCTTTCTGCAGTTTTTGGGGTGATTTGTCACCTCCTTTCATTAAGGATGTGAAGGAGCAAGTTTGAGCCTCTTTTTCAAAACCTGCATCTATTTCAAAATGGAGTCCGAATGTGTTGAAAGTAACCCTCAAACTGGAGATCGCCGAAAATTTCGTTCAAAAAGAAGAAAAAAGAGGAAAGGTTTTATGGGGAAAACTAAAAAAGAAGTCTTAGAAAGACAAGAAAAGACCAAAGATATATTTGAACCTGGAAATTTGGCCTCAGAAATAGAACAAACAGGAACGGACGACATTGGGGACATAGGCCCAAACACATCAGCTGATTCTCATGACACGCTGAATGTCTCACAAACAAAACTAACTGATGGTTCACTCTACTGCATTAGTAAAAGAGCTATAACAAGGTCATATGCTGAGAAAGTTGGACTTAAGAGGGAGAAAAGAAACAGTTCAACATCAGGAAACGGTATAATGGACAAGGAGTTGTTAATTAACTGCATTAATAAAGCAACAATTTGTAGACACTGTAAGAGTATGAAAACTTCATTCAGTTTAAAAAGGGCTGGCAGTGATGGCCTTGCAGAGCATTTAATCCTTGTTTGCAGCAACTGCCAAGCAGAAACAGAGCTAGAATCTAGTGGAAAGTGTCATTCTTCCGACAGAGTTGTTAAGAAGGGAGGACGTACTGCATACGAGGTAAATCGCAGATCTGTTTTGGCCACAATTGGTTATGGACTGACTGGATTGGAGAATTTCTGCGCTTTGATGAATCTACCAGAACCAATAGCTAAAAGGGCCTATAATAATAGCATGAAAACCATTGAAAGAGGGTGCATTGGTGTAACAGAATCTCACATGAGTAATGCAGCAAATGAATTGAGAAGAATAACTGAAGAGGAAAACAAGGATCAGATAGAGCAAGATAAAGACCACAGGAAAATTGCAAAAGTTGCAATTACAATAGATGGAACATGGCAGAAACGAGAATATACATCCAAGAATGGCATTGTTTGTGAGATATCTGTAAGGACAGGTAAAGTTCTTGACTATGAAGTTTTGTCAGTTGTTTGTTTTGAATGTCGTGCTCATGAAGCTGAGGAAAAAGACACAGACAGGTACATGTCCTGGTGGCAGAAACATAAGGATCTATGTCCAATTAATCACACAGGGGCAAGTGGGGAGATGGAATCTAAAGGAGCAATCAGAATGTTTCTTAGATCAATTGAAAAACGTAGGTTGAAATACACCACAATGGTTGGTGATACTGGTTGCTACAGTCATGTTTGTGAAGCACTTAAAAGAGCATATGACACAAGTTACATTGTTTCTAAAGAAGAATGTGTTGGTCATGTTCAAAAAAGAATGGGCACATGTTTGAGAGAGTTGAAGAGAAAATCAAGGGGAAAGAAGATTTCAGATGGTAAAGGAATAGGGGGAATAGGAAGGTTGACTGATAAAAAGATTGATAGCATTCAGAACTATTATGGTCAGGCAATCAGACAAAACAGTGGAAATCTCCTGCCCATGAAATCAGCAATTATGGCTATTTTGAAGCACATGGTAAGAGACAATAATGCATCACTTGAGGATCAGCATAGCTTTTGCCCTCAAGATACCACAACTTGGTGCAAGTATGTTAAGGACAAACAAAATAGTACTGCCACATATGATGATAGCAAGAGGCTTCCAAATGCTTTTCTTACAGAGCTGAAACCAATCTTTGAAAGACTGTCAGCAGATACATTGCTGAAGAGATGTCTTTTGGGTATTACCCAAAATCAGAATGAAGCCCTTCATGGGGTTCTTTGGCACATTTGCCCAAAAACAATGTTTTGTGGAAAAAGAAGACTAACCATATGCCTTTGTTTGGCAATTTCAAAGTTTAATGTTGGGCAGTCTAGTATTGCTGATATAATGGAGTCATGCAACATGTTACCAGGACAGAAAACCTTATTTGCATTGAGAAAGTTTGACGCAAAAAGACTCACAGATACAGCTACAAAAGTTTCAGCAAAATATAAGAACCGCCGTCGACTGCTTCGTGCAAAGAGGTTAAAAAAAACTGATGATAAAAGGAGTTATGTTTCAGGTGGATATGGTTTGACCTCAACACCAGAGTTTTCAAAGACTAAGATAAGGAAAGGAAATTCAGAAAATTGGTCTCTAAGAAGAAGCCTAGAAAAGATAATGCCGTTGATGGAAAACACATAACTGCTGAAAAAACTGATCTATTAACTGATACATGTCATTTTGAAAAAGAACCAGACATTATTTTTGCTTTACCTTTAGAGGAATTCACATGAGCATGGTCTCAGGGAGGCAGGAACTTGTAATATCTAGATTTTCTCTAGAATCTCATTTCTAAATACCTGTAACATTTAAAACAAACTTTAACTGCGATTTTCTCAAATTTTAAATTTACGGAGTGTTGTTGAGTTGTGGCTACTGTAATTTCTCCCTAGATTTACATATACTGACCAAATTTTGAGGTCCTGTACAGTTTTAAATGCTCTATGCAATGAGTGATTGAAAATTTGCATTTGTGGCAAAAAAAAATTTTTTTGATCAGAATGAATGTTTTTTGGCAATTTTTATTTTCAATTGTGCAAAATGAAAAGTTTAATCACTCATTGCAGAGAACTATCTTTGTTATATACTCTGTGCAAAAACTGGAATGATTGGTCAATTACTTTTTCCAAACTATTTGCCAAAAGAACTTTAGTCGTCGCCATGTTTAAAGGGTTTCCATAGAAACTAAAAGACCACACCCAATTTTCAATTAATATTTTTATGTGTAAACTATTATTCATTGCTTGTATAAAGTTTCAAGCTAGTATCCCTTGTTGTTATAATCTTTTTGGACATTTTCCAAAATTGTTTCATCAATGTATACATCCACCTTAAGTGCGTGGGCACCAAAATATTTTGCCATGCTTCAACATGTTCTCAAAATCATAACAGAAAATAAAAGTAGCCAAAAGTACTTTTAAATTCTTATAAAATTATGATTCAATGAATACCCAGAAAGAGAAATTAACAGAAGACAATTTAGAATGCAATTTGATAATTGCTTATTTAGTTGCATATTCAATAAGCCTGATGTTTATATAGAAGTTTGGATAGGCGTTGATCCAGATGGGCTAGATTTGAAAACATTTTCAAGTAAGAGGCTCTCGCTGCTTACCTCATACACAAATGCATTTGAACCATCCGCTGGATTATCGTATATGATATCAACTTTAACATTTTTGCCAATCTGGGGAAAAATTGACATTTTGGTACAGAAAATTCAGCAAACGAATTATTAACAAATAGAAAAAAATTAAGTAAATTGAAGGTTTTAGTCAGAGGTTTCCCTATTTTCATTGCATCAGAAAGAAATCACGAAAACAAATGTTTGAAGGAAACTTCAACTAAATTTCATTCTCTGAGGTTTTTAAGAACTGAAATTATGTAGATAAATTTGCAGAAAATACATGCACAAAATTTTTCGATGAAAACCTTTAATATTTCTAAAGCAGGAAAATATTTCCATCTATCTTAATATTCGGGCTAAGAGAGTCCTTCAATCAAGAGCACATGAGGTAGTCTCCGATTACTCGGCACAGTGCGCTGTTAGGGTTAGCCAAATTCAAATGACTATCCACATTCTGCTTTTATCCATTCTGCTTGGAATTTTATTGGAGATTTAGAAAGAGCTGAAAACAGCAACTCAAGTTTTGCCTTCCTGCATCACAGGCATTTTTTATAAGATTCTATTATTAACTCATTTTCAAAATTGCCCAGTTACCAGCACATGACGGCTCACTTACCAGCACGAGTGCTATTAAATTTGCGCAACTGTTACTCCAAAATCAATAATCGCCTGAATTTCGGCTAACAGCACGCTCATGCGCTGGTATCCTGGTTTATAGGGTAAAGAGGACGGAATTTTACAATGCATTGAAACCCAACATCCTGTTTTTCGTAGCAAAAAACAGTGCTGTCACAAACATTTTTTGCAATGAATTCAGATATCTTTTAGAATTGGACAAAAATCTCGAATAACAACTGATTGACTATTGTAGCACTAAATACTGAACGTATCATCTACATAGGAAGCTCTATTAATAGATCAGGAAATGTGGACGTCAAACTGAAAAGGAGAACTGCTCTTGCATCATTTGCTTTCTCTCAACTCGCAAAAGTGTGGCGAAATCAAAGCATCAGGTTAACGGTGAAGATTAGAATTTGTAACGCCTGTGTTCTACCCGTGTTCTTGTACGGCTCAGAAACTTAGCAGTTAACTGAGAGGCAAGAGAAAAAATAGGTGTTTTGACCAGAAAGAATCTCGAGAGTTAGATGGCAGCAGCATGCACGAAACCAAGATATAAGATCACACCAAGAAGCACTTAGTGTAGAAGTGAGAAAAACGAGGCTCCGGTGGTTAGGTCATGTAGCCAGGATGAACAGCAATAGAATCGCTTAGCCAACAATGGAACGGAGAGCACGAAGAGGTTAAAGAAGAGCTGGACAGCAACGAATGACATGGCAAGCACCAGTTGAAAGAGGCTTAAGACGGTGCCCGACTCGGCGTAAGCTGAAAACGGAAGAAGAAGAAGAAATACTGAATTGCTTTGCCTGCACATTTACTGGCAGCACTAGTTGCTACTTAGAGCGAAGTTTATTGCAAAACGGTAGCCCATAATTCATAAAAATAATTTACCTCAAAAGGACCTTCCTGCATCATGATATTTATTTTCATCCCAGAGCGTGAGTAAAATGTTTCATCAGGCACGCGCAATTCTTTTTGAGGCAGTTTCTAGATATCAAGCATAAAATCAAAACAAATGAATTACATTTTATTATCTACTACTGAAACTAGAGATATATGCCCCCAAAAAGATTAAATTAGTGTAATAGCCAAGCTCTCATTTTTGGAGAATGCCAGCTCTCTTGCAACTTATTGATTGAAGACGGAGGATGTATTCTATGCATAGGCATTTACTGGTTGAGGTAACTGAGAGCCGAATTCAAAATGTTTTTCAATAATTAGACGGAAACATGGGATGTCAATGTCACACTTACCTTGACAGAATAACTAGAAGTGCTTCGTGACGTCACGTAGTCAAAGGAATATTAGACAGAGGATTCCTCTGGGAGGAACGAGAAGCCAGACTACCATTCCCAAGCCATAATGACTATACCATAATTATCAAGGGTGCTTTGATTATACCAAAATCTTTGTCAAATTGAGGAGTGAAAAAAATCTATTGGGATTGTTATTTTGAATTACGTTCGCGTTCTTTAAACCTTTGCACTTGGCAATGCCAGGAAATGCCAGGCAATGCACTCAAAAACTTTTCCAACGTCACATTTGTTACAAAAGCGAACATTAAAGGCATCGAATTGTGATAAAAAGAAGAGGCTAAGGCTTTAAACGATGAGTCATGATTTGTCGAACTGCAATGCTTTTTGTGGGCATGACACTTATCACATGAATTTGCCTCGTACTGATTTACAAAGCAGTTCCACAGATCAGTGAGCAGCTCCTTCAATGGCAAGTTGCCAACAATGGATGCCGATGTCACGTGACTCACCGCCTTCAATCTACCTATTCACCAACCAATTACAAAATTGTTATCGCAATTAAACATGTATGAAAAGCAAGCGATTAATTATTAAATCAAATTTTTACCTGGAATCCAAACAAGGAACTGGCTACCGCATTACTTGACGTATCCAAGTTACCTGTAAAATAAAATAAGATGATGTATTTGATTATTCTCCCTCTAAAATGTCATTGCAATCCCCCCCACCCTCCAAGTTTAAACCTTGCATGCAGGGCCCCACTATTAAGATAAATGGAATTCTTCATCTTTTGCACCAGAAAAATAGATGTCATAACGTTTTTGAATTCAGTTTTTGAAAACAATTCAATTATTGAAAAAAATAAGGTATTTATATCACAATTTTGTTTGTCATTTGTGTAAAGCAGTCATTCTTAATTTTACAATCTTTAAAAGATGGCTAATCAATACCTGACCCAATTTGTATTTTGATGACTTTTTCGTAGTTTTCAAGCATCAGTTTTATCAAGAATTTTCCATTTTGGACAACATTACTTGTAGAGAAAGATACACTGGCGATACCTGAAAACACAATGATCAGCAATACAATTTGATGTTCACAGGTTTGATTACAATTGAATTTACTATCATTGGTCTCTGTTAATGGCCTTATTAAGTATTGCCCTCTGTTAACAGCAGCCAGACGTCAAGAAACTTTGATAAAATAATCTGTGACAAAATTGAGCCTGTAATGGCTTGAGAATCAATTGCAAAATAGCCTGATTTTAACAAATAAAAAAGATGAATTGTTGAATCAAATTAATGCAGCAAAAATATTACAGCTAAGAAAGACATCAAGCAGCAAGTTGGTTCAAATAAATTCCTAGGGAATCAGCACTTTTGAAAAATTATCGATTAGCACTTTTTGAAAATTCTCCATTAAAATAAAATAGTGACTGTTAATCTTAAAATAGAAAGTTCTTACCTCTCTTTAAGGGAATATTTTCAATTAAATCATACAGCTCGCCCATATCAAGGTCCTAAGTAAAAAGCAGTTTACAATTTATTTAATAACAAAGAATTGATAAAAGAATAATGTTCCAACAAATTTCAAAGAAATGCCTTTGTACACTTTACAGAAAACAAAATAACCATGTAATTGAAAGATCAAACCTCTACTTATGAAGCAACTGAAAGAGTTAAAGTATATATTCTACATAACAGAGAAAAGCAAGTCCTGTCTAATAAAGTCAGTTTTCGGCATTGAAATAACAAAATTAATTCTATAGTTTTGATCAAATAGATATTTTAAAGTTTTCCATGCTCACCATCAGCATAGCTTTTTGGATCTAAAAAAGACGGGAAGATTTTAAATTCTTTTGGCCTGCAGATTATCTTGCGTTACCCTATTGAGTCTGGTACCCAGGGTTCTCTGGCATTAAAGTAGAGGCCTAGAAAACATGGCTCCCGCCACAGAATCACAATATCAATAACCTAGTTACTAGATCACCATGTAGAAAATGTTTCAAATGGCTGCCAAAGTAAGTCAGTAGTCTTTAAGAAAAAGGAGATATACACCAAATTCAATCGCATATTTAAATTTTTTTGGTAAAAAACTCATCCCAAATGTACATTTTACAGAAATTTTGTAAACACAAACAAACCATGTAATTGAAAGATAAAACCTCTCTTTATAAAGCAACTGAAAGAGTTAAAACTTGAATTCTTTATATTAATTTATATTCTTCACAAAACTTATATTCTTCACAAAACTTATATTCTTCGTGTTTTCATTAAATCCTGGCCGTGTTTGCTTTTCTTTTTGGTTTCGTTCTCATGTTCGTTTAAAGTTTCTTGCTTGCAAAAATACTAAAGCGAAAGATGCATTTGGTTCATATTTATTCGGTGACAGGAAAGGTACTCTGACGCAAAACATGTGAAGTAGCAGCAGTATGTTGCAATTCTAGCTGAATAATTCGATACTCAAGAAGAAGGAGCGCAGTCGATCATCGGCTTGTATGGCACAATGCCGTAAAACTCTGCTAAATAGAATTCATTTAAAAACAGGAAAGGTTTTGTTGACATTAAGCTTACAAGTCAACACCTTTTGATCTGCTTAGAAAAGCTTGTAGAAGAAACATTTTTGCGTTTTAAAAATTTTTCAGTTGAGGGAAATGTAAATTTGTTGGCTTTGCAAGAGAGTAAGGACATGATCAACATAAAATTGGCAATTATTGCATGCTCAAAAATCACATGTTGCCTTAATTATCCAAACAAATGCAAAATAGATCAATAGAAACTTGCCTGTCCTTCGTATGGCATTCGGTGATGATCCAACGCAAACACCCACAATTCAACTAAGATATAATGATCCTAATTAACAGTTTCAAATCGCCTGCATCCCGAACGCTTGTGGGATGCTTGCTTTATGACAACCATCTGAAGCAACAAATATAAGATAAGCCACTAATCTTGAGCTTTGCTTCTGTGCACAAAAACCGACAAGACATGTACGTTATTTAATTAAGGATCATTAAACATAAGATTTTTACAGGAACATTGAAGACATCACAAAGCATTACATTTTGCTTACAATACATCGAAAATTCTTTTGGTAGAAGCCTCTTATATTCAGGTATTCTAAATAGATTTTTTCTGTTTTGATACAATCTAAACTAATCACTGTAAGCAGGCATCTCGAAAAAAAGTTTTATACTGGTTACAAAAGAGTTGCTACATTTCAACAATTTCTAATACCCGAAGACAATCGTATTTCAAAAGGCAAGAACAGTAGAGAATTTAGCGTCTCCAAACTTCCATGCGCAATTCTTTCGCAGTATTTCTTTGATATCGTACTCAAAGGATAGAACTTCTACTGTTTCGTTAATAAATTCATGGAAATCCTTTTGTTTTCGTGGAAATCTCTTACGCTATTTGCAAGAGTGAATTGCCCTTTGCAAGTCACGTTATGTGGGGAATAATGTCTACTAAAGTAGAAGCACTTTTTTAAAAATATATGACAATATATATCGAGAAATACATTAAAAATTCAATACCGTTTTCTCCAAGCTGGTAGTAAGCTTTGTTTGTACTTAACATTATATCTGGCTTTTCTTTCATTATTCTTACAACCTTTCTCTCTTCCCGGTAAGGATGTTGCAGCATACTAATAACAAGTAGAGCGTACTCATTTTTCACCATACTGGGAACCTAAAACAAGAAAATTAAAGTGTGATATACCAATAACAAGCCTGGATTCCAATATCAAGGTTATTTCATGTATAATGTATTATGTGAAACAAAAAAGCCGGAGAAACCAACGCTATAAATGTTAACTGTAATATTCTGGCTATCAATAAACTCTGTAGTTAAATATTACAACAGCATCTTATTTCAATGGATTTACTGAATTCTCTAGCCGGCAAAAAGGAATTTTAACGATCTTTCTAACTTCATTTTTAATGAATAAAAATTTACAGAAAAAACTCAAAGGTAGGAATTTTAAAGACATATTCTATTTCTGGGGTTGTGTGAAAATTGCTTTTGTAAGCTCATCCGCCAACCATTTCACCTCACAAAGAAGAAAGGTTAACATAGAGTAAAGTCAATATTAAGCAGGTTATTGCATGCTAGCAAAAATCAAAAGTGAAATAACGTACCCAGAGCTTTAAAAGGTATGGCTTTCCTGGTAGGAGAAAGATAAGTGTAATAAATTTTCAATCCTTTTATTCAAGCCAGAATTCTTATTAAATTGGCTAGT